TCGATCAGTAGCGGTATACTGGGTTTTGTCCAGGATTTGCAACCATAGGTGTGATCACTATGATTTGCGTGAAAATGAGTGATTTTCGGTCTCAAATCACGCACCAGCGATTCACTAGGCACTCGCCAGGTGCGTGAAGATGCGTGAGCATCAAAATCACGCAGAAACTAGTGATCACTAGGTGCGTGATTGGTCACTGACCACTGACCGCTCGGTGCGTGATTCGATCACTAGCAATCAGCCACCCAAAGCGATGGACCCCTTCCACTTCCACTATTTTCCAACAAACTCCTTGTAAACACACGTATTATCCGTCGCTAGTACTGTAAAGAACGTTGAAGATCTGGCTGGATGCAAAATCATCCGTCTACGCGCCTTGAATTTCGATGGCAAGGGGGTCCTTGTGGGTGTTCAAGTTGATCGGCAATCACCGGCGCGTGAAAGCGATCAAAATGGTGCCCCTCGCTGCGTGATGAAAGCGACCGAATCGCATCACAAGTGCGTGAACGAAAGCAGTACTGATCGAGGCAAGCGCTCGAATCACTACTGCTTAGTGATTCACTAACCACGGTTTTTGTCCAGAATTTACAACCATATCGCCTGGGTCTCCTCGCAGACAGGTTCCCAATGAGAGAAAACATACTTCATATTCAGCTAACTAGACAACGCAGCGAGATATCGTCTATCAAAGAGACATCAAAGCTAGTGTCTAGGTCAACAACCGGTGAGCGGCCTTCCATTCCTCGGGCGAGCCTCTGCAGAGCTCTCGACTTGAGCTCAGATAGTAAGTGCACGTTACTTTCAGAGCCATACGTAAGAGCAAAGTGGCCTATATGCGGGCATTTGTAATGTCCGTCAGCGAGCGGACACGACGAGCGAGAAAACTCACTCGTTCAAGATGCACCATATATGATGCGCAGGCAGGACCTTCGTAAGCCAACGGTGATTGTCGAGAGGCAATGCCCTGTGCGAGAGTACGATTAGTGATGGCGTACCTTGAGAATGACGCTGCTCATCGACGCCGAGCCGAATGCGTTTGGCGCAGCCCACAAGAACGCGTATAGCTCCCTCTGATAGCTGAAAGTGAGTACAACGCGTCACGACTTGGGTTGAGAAGCGTACCCCTCCTAGATCGCTGAATCGTACCCCTTCGCCAACGAATTGAGCGCCGAGAGGACGCACAAGTCATCGTCAGTCCACTCACGCCTCTGCTGATTCATCGGACGGGCGGGTCGGAATTGAGAGCGCCGACCCACCAATCGAGGCTGTCGCCGATGGGCTAGTTGGGTTCAGTGCTTCGGTCCGTCCAAAAATGCTGCACTCAAAAGGGCTTGAGGGTAAGCGCGCAGCACCGTACTGAGCACATAAACTAGCTACATGCGCAGGTCAGAGATACGTGCAACACTCAACAGTATGATACCCACCGACATGTTCCCCACGTTCACTGCGCGAATACCGTCAAGCTTCATCAACGCGCTCGACCACTCCTCGACGGTATGGAGGAGCTTGTCTGCCCTTCGGAGGTGGATGTCGCGACCAGCAGCCCCGGGCGTCTTCAACAGCCTGAGTGCGCGTTAGCACTTGCGAGTCGAGCCGACTGACATGAGTCAAGGACGTGGTCTCACCGATGTTGTTCGTGTAGGAGCGGGGGCCTATCTTGGGTGTCGTAGAGCAAATGATGCATTCGTCGCGAGAATCGGCCAGATTGGTGGCGAAGACGAAGGTACGATGGCGAAGGGGAATGTCGAATCCAGCGATCATGACGCCCGTTCGATGTTGGTGTGTTGGCAGCTTCGATGTTGGTGTCAACGTCGACCGGTCGTCAATGTCGTCGGGCTCCGCGGCGGGCGAGAGCGAGGGGAAAGCCGGATTCAAGACCCGAAGACCACCGGATAGAGCAGAGCGATGGGAGGAGCAGGGTGACATTCTTAGACGTGTATTCCAAAGGAGAATTGTGATAACCTGATGAGAAAGAGAGCGTCAGTCGCGGCCGTGAACATAGTCGATACGACCATGTACCTCCAGAAGACGCTCATCATAAGCGCTGGCGAGCTCGTCCATCCCCTCGAGAAGTAGTGGATCAGGTAGAGTAGTATGCTGTTGTCGTAGATGAAGAGTGACCTGGGGGTAGGGGGTCAGCGATGTCGCGCAAAGCGCAAGAGACCGGAGCCGGTAATACTCACCCAATAACGCGATCATGAGCTCAATTCTCAGAAGAAACGGCCCGATACCGAGCGAGATATTCCTGACCGAGCGCCTCTATCTGAATGATGCGACGTTGCAGGCTTGGGCGCCTGGGCGGGTAGGTGGTGACGGTTCAAGGGCCGGCTCTACGCTCGAGATGAACCGGAGCCGCGCCGTAGTCTGAGAAGCCCTGAGAAGGTACGTGACGCAAGCGAGTTCTCTTCTTATCCCTTCCCCGGTGATCGAGAAGTGTACGAAAGCCGGCTAGGTATGCTCAGGTTGGTTGGCGGGAGATAGGTATGGCAGGACACGTACTTCGGGACCGCGCGCTCGACGAAGGGGACATCGTTGAGGTTCAAGTGCGTCGGCGGGCACCCTTCCCTCCCCCTAAAACGCCCCCGCCACCTTCCGCAGCCGCATCCTCCTACAGCAGCAGAGTCGGGCGCACTCATAAGCAGAGGTTCCACGCCGACAATCGTACGTCAGACTCGCATTGCGCGGACTTGTCAGCGCGTCAGTGGCCGTCGTCCAAGCCGAAGGCCGTCGCCGTGATTTTGAGATCGTGCAGAGTGCAGCGCTTCGTGGGGGATGGGAAGAAGCAGAGGGCGTCGGTTGATGATGATGGACGGAAGCAAGAAGGACTCGGAAGCAAAGCGGAGTCTGATCGAGATCAAGGACGGAAGCTGATCGAGCCTTCCGTCCTTGTCTGTCGCCACCATCTCCGTACAGACGCACTCTGCTCTCCCAATCCCAGGGCTACACAGATACTTGACGTATATCCCCCCTGGTTGGCGCACGTTTGAGGCTCACGGCTCGCCTCTCGCGCTCACCGACACCGATTCTCCAGGCGCTCGGACGCCCACTGCCAGCGGTCGAGACGCTGTTCGAACAGAACTCTTGGCCCTCCGACAACTTCATGACTCATGCTTTGGCTCTGACTGCCTGACTGGCGCGAGGTATAGACGGCGAGCTCGCCTTGAATGACGCGCCTCGTCAACATCTTTCAATCCGCCGAGTTCCTGCCGGTGCGTCTCTGCTTCGTCGCTCGCTCACTCGCTGATACTAACCCCTTTCCGTTGTAGCAAAGGACTCAGGCCGACGATTTCAGCAATTGAGCACGCCACGAAGTCGGGCTTCACGTCGCTGAGGGCTTCAAGCGTATGAAGCCCCGCATGTGCGGTCTGTCGAGGAGGCCCAGGCTTATCTTCAGCGCGGTTTCTGTTTTCTCGGTCGTGACTACTCCGGTCGGTGAGCCAAACCTCTTCTCTACTGATGAGCGGGTCTGAACTGATCGATCTTTCTTCCTCTTATTGGGACTCCCGCGCGCGTCATTGATCTACTCTGCCGGGACTTACTTCTCGCACGGTTCGCGTTTTATCAACCGCTACTTGCGCCTTTTCTGAGGTGACCCTGTCCTTGTCGTACTGGCCTGCGACTCTTACGATCTATGAAGACCACAACCCTCTCATCGCGCCGGCTGGCTGCTGGCTCCCGAGCAGACTTGCATAGTCTGCAGCGACTTGCGCTTCCGCCGACGACCTTGCCTCGACGAGGAGAACCGATATTGAGTGACTATGCGGCCACGGGTAACATGACGACGTATACGTAGAGAAATCTGGGAAGGTCGTATAGTTCTCGAACTAGTATCTACTTCTGTCCGTAGTTCGATACTGTCTCTCGCTATACGAGCCACGTCAAGTCCTTCACAGAACATAGAACAGTAGCCATGGTAAAACTAAGTCATGAAGTATGTACTAAGCCGCATATACGAGGAGTCGAAGGAAACAAGAAGATATTACATCGGGATCGTTGTATCGGCCAATGGTCGAATCGAAACGTCGCGGCGATGGGTCGGTGTTGTGGGAGAAGAGGGTTAAGTACCGTAGCAAGCCATACGAGGACACGATTGGACATCATCAACAAGGCAAGGAAATTTGAAGTCGAGTATATACGGGAAGGAAGTCGGTTCTGCACAGGTTTGACCGCGTCAGGAAAATCGGCAGGTGAAGTCAAATGTATGAAAAAAAAAGTCGGGTCGGTGCGACCGCACACTGTTGTCAGTCGCTCAGTGGCAGGCGCTGTCCCAAAGTCAGCTCAGGAAGCGAGTAGCGTACAGGAATGCTCCTGCTTACCGGATGATTCTTCCGAAGTTGACTGGCACTCCCATCCTACTCCTCCTATACCAGCGCCTCCAAAGGCTCTTCGGGAGCGGGTGCAGGCGCACAAGTCGGCCACTCGTCGAGTCGGAACGAGTCGTTGAGCGTGATGCGGATGTGGGGAGCCGGCGGCACGAACTGGATCTGGTGAGGCGAAGTGATGCGGTGGTGGTCCTGCAAGTGGTGGGGAATACAGACTACGGGTCGTGCTACGCCATCGTCATCGTAGACAAGCCAGCGGTCGCGGTTCTCCTGAAGGGATGCCTGCACACGAGCTCTGATCGTGTCTGCACTTGCGGCGTCGAGCGTGTTCTCCGAGCTCTGCAATTTTGCGAAATCCCAGACTCGGATTATACCGTCAATAGAGCCGGAAACGATACGAGCGCCATCAGAAGTGAAAGCGACCGAGTTGACCCAGTCTTGGTGCCCTCTCAAGGAGACGCCGACTTGTTGCCTGGTCTGCACACTCCAGACTCGCACCGTCCTATCATAAGATCCGGACACAACGTAATTCCCGTTGGGCGAGAAGGAGACGGACCATACACGGTCAGTATGACCGGTAAGTGGCTCGCCCATCTGCTCGCCCGTCTTCACATCCCACAGGCGAATTGTTGTGTCAGACGAGCCAGACACGAGGTACACATCATCGGGCGAGAATGCAAGGGACAGAACATAAGCCTGATGACCTTCGAGTGCCCCTCTCCGCTGCAGCCGTGATTTGGCATCCCAAAGTCGAATAGAGCGGTCGAAGCCAGAAGCGATGTACGCGCCGTCACTTGAAAATGACACAGATTGAACCCTACATTTGTGGCCATAGAGCGGTTCGCCGATTTGCTGCCCTGTCGCCACATCCCAGAGACGCATAGTCTCGTCCATCGATCCGGACACAAGCCGAGTGCCATCAGGCGAGAATGCGACGCAGAGGGCCCAGTCGTTGTGCCCTTGAAGCACGCCCACAGGCAGTCGCGTCTCCGCATTCCACACTCGCACCGTTTCATCGTATGAAGCGGAGGCAATTCGCGTGCTGTCCGGCGAGAATGCGACGCATGTGACTGTGGCATCGTGCCCCGTCATTGGATCCCCCACTGACTGCCCCGTCTGCGCGTCCCACAGTCGCACCGTCTTGTCCCCCGAGCCAGAGACAATGTACTTGCCATCCGGCGAGCAAGCGACCGAGGTGATGATGTTGGTGTGTCCGACCGGGATGCCGCTTTCCTTCTTCGCCTCCCGCACGTCCCAGACCCGGATTGTGCCGTCGTCGGAGCCGGATGCGATGTGCTTCCCGTCCGGAGAGAAGGCGACGGAGTTGACATCACGGGCGAGGCCGCGCAGCTCACCGCCGATTTGCTCTCCTGAGGCTGCATCCCAGATGCGGACAGTGTTATCGCGGCCACCTGAGGCGATATGCGTACTATCAGACAAGAAGGCGACTGCATATACCCAGCTTGTATGCCCATGCGATACCCACACTTGCTGCCCCCGTCCTGCATCCCATACACGGACGGTCCCGTCGACAGAGCCAGAAGCGATGTACTTGTCGTCGTGCGAGATTGAGACTGATCTGACAATGCCTTCGTGTCGCATAGAATCGCCCAGCTGCTGTTGTGTGTCTACATCCCATATGCGAACCGTGTGGTCTTGAGCGCCAGAGACAATGCGGGTACCGTCGTGCGAAAAGACGACGGAGTTCACATCACTCGTATGTCCCCACAAATATCCACCAATCTCCTTCCCGGCCTTCACATCCCATGATTGCAATCTGAAATAATCTATGGCGCTGACAATGGTGGTGCCGTCTGGAGAGAATGCGACTGGCAGAACCATGAGCCGAAAAAAGCCAGTGCGTCCGCGCAATGCCTCGCCCTATGGTTGCAAATCCTGGACAAAACCCAGTATACCGCTACTGATCGAGTGATTTTGCGTGAAAATAGTGGTGTGATCACTATGATTTGCGTGAAAATGAGCGATTTTCGGTCTCAAATCACGCACCAGCGATTCACTAGGCACTCGCCAGGTGCGTGAAGATGCGTGAGCATCAAAATCACGCAGAAACTAGTGATCACTAGGTGCGTGATTGATCACTGACCACTGACCGCTCGGTGCGTGATTCGATCACTAGCAATCAGCCACCCAAAGCGATGGGCCCCTTCCACTTTCACTATTTTCCAACAAACTTATTTTATAGACACGGATTCGCCATCGCTAGTACTGTAAAGAACGTTCAAGATCTGGCTGGATGCAAAATCATTCGTCTACACGCCTCGAATTTCGAAGGCAGGGGGGTCCTTGTGGGTGTTCGAGCTGATCGGCAATCACCGGCGCGTGGAAGTTGATCAAAATGGTGCCCCTCGCTGCGTGATGAAAGCGACCGAATCGCATCACAAGTGCGTGAACGAAAGCAGTAGTGATCGAGGCAAGAGCTCGAATCACTACTGCTTAGTGATTCACTGACCACGGTTTTTGTCCAGAATTTACAACCATACTCGCCCTGCTGCTTCCCGGTCTTGGCGTCCCAAATTCGAATGGTGCCGTCCCTTGAGCCAGACGCGATCGTTGAGCCATCAGGAGAGAATGCGACAGACCAGACCATGTCTTCATGTCCTCGCATGGCACTGCCGATCTGCCGCCCCGTCTCTGCATCTATGGTTGTAAATTCTGGACAAAAACCGTGGTTAGTGAATCACTAAGCAGTAGTGATTTGAGCGCTTACCTCGATCACTAGTGCTTTCGTTCACGCACTAGTGATGCGATTCGGTCGCTTTCATCACGCAGGGAGGGGCACCGTTTTGATCACTTTCACGCGCCGGTGATTGCCGAACAACTTGAACACCCACAAGGACCCCCTTGCCATCGAAATTCAAGGCGCGTAGACGGATGATTTTGCATCCAGCCAGATCTTAAACGTTCTTTACAGTACTAACAACGGAGAATACGTGTGTCTACAAGGAGTTTGTTGGAAAATAATGGAAGTGGAAGGGGTCCATCGCTTTGGGGCGCTGATTGCTAGTGATCGAATCACGCACCGAGCGGTCAGTGGTCAGTGATCAATCACGCACCTAGTGATCACTAATTTCTGCGTGATTTTGATGCTCACGTATCTTCACGCACCTGGCGAGTGCCTAGTGAATCGCTGGTGCGTGATTTGAGACCAAAAATCACTCATTTTCACGCAAATCACAGTGATCACACCACTATTTTCACGCAAAATCACTTGATCAGTAGCGGTATACTGGGTTTTGTCCAGGATTTGCAACCATACTGCATCCCACATTCGAAGCTCATGGTGGAGAAGGCGGACGGCTATGATCTTCGTGCCGTCCGGAGAATAAGTGACAGAATGCACGAGGCTTCCGGCATGGATCACGAGGGGTTCGCTCAGTGGCCACTCTTGCTCCTTCTCATATCCGGAAATGTCAATAGGGCTTACGATGCGATGCCGGTACAATCGTGAGACATGCGAGTTGGCTGGCGCAAAGAGGACACCGGTCACATAGACCTGAGGTGGCGACTGCGTTATTGCTTCGCGGAATCGCTTTTCGAAAGCGATGAACTCCGTGACGATGGCGGCTAAGTCACATTGGCTGAGCTTCTCAAAAGGGTTGTCAGTTTTCGACCATCAAAGACAGAATATCTCATACCTTCACCCAGTGGAGCATGCTGCAAAGACTAACGCATGGCGCGTACCCTAGCCAGCTGCACGCCTCGAGCCAAAAGAGGAACTGGTTCTCTAGAAATCTCTTGAAGGCCGACATCAGATCTGGTGCTGGTACTGAGTGCGAGGGCACGATAATGCAGAGATGTCGCACCTAAATCACCAGGCTGACTGTGCGAGAGATGTGTTGAGACCTCACGACACGCATACTGGAGCCCAGGTGATATTTGCTCGGCAAGACGACTGTCCAAGTCGTTGATGTCCATCTTGCACACGAAAGGAGAGGGTAGGCCGCATATGTTGTAACGGAGGCCGCTCTTTGGTCTGCCCATGATGCCGAAGCACGCGAGAGCGAGCTGCGAGTCGGCGGCGGCGAATTCAGATGTGATGGCAAAAGGACCGCTAGCCTTGGCGTCTAGAACGAAGTCGCGGAAGGACGTGTGAAGTGGGAGAATGGGTTCCGTGTCGCTTGGAGATGTACCGGATAGAAGCGAACCAAGACCCTCCAGGATTAGCAGGTTGTCTTTTCGAGACGGTAGCGTGTCTGAGATTTCTTGGAAGGCGGACCGCGGCTGAGGCTCTCGCACAGCAAACACCCATCCCACAGTTTGGCGGTACAAGGTCATAATATCATTGTCCTCCGTGTCGAGGTGCTCACGAAGGACCGTGCTGTAAGAAGCGTATAGCGGAAGCCCGGGTTGTGCTTGGACGCGCCGAATGAACTCCTCGCGCTTGGCCTCAGTCTTCGGTCGTTGCGGCCCGGTAAGCTCTCTGCAAAGCACTGCTGCACATTCGAAGGAGTCTTGTGCAGCGTTCGCAATGATGTCCACAGTGTTTGACAAGTCGCCAACGATCTTTCGCACAGTCGGTGACATGAGTTCGGATTTGACGAATTTTCGGATATCCCTAGCAGTGTCGGCAGCGCCGTCAATAGACTTCCAGATGAAGGTAACAGAGTCCTCGAGGAGCGGATAGTAGGTCTCGCGCTCGGGGCGGGTGGTGATAAGAATGCGAATGTTATAATGGAGTTGGGCACTCGACATACACATTCGCAAGCTATCAAGCAGTGCCTTGCGATCTTCTATCTCGTTCACATCGATGTTGGGACATTCGTCGACGGCGTCGATGACAAAGACGATCGGAAGTATGGGCGCGTAGTCACGGAATGCAGAGAGGATTAGATGTTCCAGTTGGTCGCGAATGTCGGTGGTCTCCAATTGTGCGGGTAACAAAGAACAAAGTATCCGATAGTACTGCGGGTCCAGGTACGCAAGTTGTCTCGCAAGGGTGGGAAGTAGCTGGTTGGCGCGGCGAGCGCGGTTCGTCCTCTCGAAGGCAAAGAAGGACGCAGCAACTCCCACGTTCGTCAGCCACCTGGCCACAGTGTGCGCCACCGCAGACTTTCCCTTTCCCGCCGTCCCGTGTAAGATGAATCCACGCGAGCCTTTGGGATCGAAGACCCAGTCCGCAATGAGGCTCAATAATTCTACGCGCGTGCCGGGAAGACAGGCTTTAGTAGAGCCAGCGTGCACTGTTGCAGCCGGGAGATGGCGTAGTGCATTGTCAATAGCTACTGGGCTATCAGCTACGCACCAAAACAAACAATGAAAGAACCTACCAAGCTTCTCCACCATATCCTCGACTCTGAAGAGTGCCTGCTGCATATCTATTTCTTGTCCCGCCTTGATGTCTACAACGAGCTTGCGAAGGGACTGTTGAAGCTTGCTCACTTGGTCATTGGTATGAGCTCGTACAAGATCGGCTGGATGGCCACGAGTTGAGCATAGGTATCAGCTATATAATCTGGCCAAAATCACACCTCGCTTCAAGGATTGAATGTAGGACAAAGCGTGGAAGACGATCGGAACAAGCGCATCGCGCGCCCTGATCTGTCTAGCCCGTTTCCCATCAAATCCTTGGGAGTCAACTGCAATAACGACCGCGCTTGCTTCGCCCACGTCATGTACAAGCGAAACGATGTCGTTCATGTTGTCTTTTCTCCTCTCGAGCTCCTGGTATCAAGTCAGCGTAAGTTAGACAAGATTCCAGCAGCGCACCCCAACCCCTATGTCCAACAACTTGAATACAGCCTTCGCTATGGGATTGATCTTCGAACACATGTCAGGAAATGGCATACGACGCGCCAGAGAACAAAGACGCGCACCTCCGCAATGGCGCCGCCTATCTGAACTGCAACCTTGACATAACGTCCCATGGCATCCCACTTAGCAGGAAGGGTCAAGGCCTTCTCGAGCGCATCAACGATCTCGAGCGTCGCCTTTTCCAGCGGATGCACGGTCACGTCGACCTTGACAATGGGCACCTCGGTAAGCCGGACATCGCATATATCGAGTTGGACTGCGGCCATCATGTCAGCAAGTCACGAAAGGCACGGATCGAATGGGCGTACTGGAGGAAGTCAGCTCCGACAGCACCAAAGACGCCAGCACGCATTCCTTCGATGCGAGGCGTAGGTCCTCCTTCTCGTTCTTGGCACATAGACTGATCTTCGCCCGGACGTGAGGTGCGGCTTCGGACGGTACTTCGCTATTGCACACATTAGATGAGCCAACAACGGGAACTGTATGCGTACAAGGACAAGTGGGACTCCTGGTTCCATCTGTACTCATGAGAAGTACTACCGATTTCGAACTTAACGTAGAACTGTAGCCGCCGTCGATGATTACTGATTGGGAGCTCGATATTCGCGCAAGGTAAGCGCCGACGCTTCTCGCGGAATTGAGGGTGATCAGTACCGGAGGGATGATCTAGGTAGGAATGCATTCGAGATCAGCAGAGGGCAACCTTGACCGCACAGGAGCTCACAGTGGATGTGATACACGACTGTTCGCCCCGCCGTCGGCCCTGTCCTGGTCGCGTCGCTCGACATGATAGCTGTGAACAAGACGCAATGCGGCTCTCACGAGCCCTCATCGGTGAATCAGGTCCACATGGCTTCCACGTGCATGATAAAAAGCCTCGCCTCTGACTCTGAGTCTAGAGGACATTGTACTCGTTGTGGGCTCGCCGATTGCAGCATGACGCGTCGGAGGATTACATGGACTCAGCCATTATGAGTACGAAGACGAACAAGAGCCCATCGTAACAGACACGGCGGTAATAAACTATACGGTGCGGGTTGCTGTACACGCAGCGCGTGCGCTGGACCTGGTAATAGGACGATGGTGTCTACCAAGGGCGCTTCAGCTTCTCGCGAGAGCTACCTGCGGCGGCCTTTAGTCATTGCGGATGCAGAACACGCGCGCGACGCACCAACATGTTCAACTTGTCCGCATAACCGCACTCATCCTCCGGCGCAAATGGCTTCTCTGTCGTGGTTTCAACTTATGGCGGCGTTATTGGGAAGAAACGCGAGAAGCAGAAAGGCGAGGGCGACTGGCTCGTATGCCTACGCTCTCGTCGAAAGACCGTCTGCAAATGAGTATCATCAATGACAAACCTACTAAGGAGGCGGAGGACATACTGCAACCTATCGCGAACTCCGTCGATGATCAAACCGAGTACACGCCTTTGCTGAGCCCTCGTAGGACATGAAGGAATTCGCGAGCTCTCTTCGTACTGTATATATCATTTACTCTGTACATTGCGACTGCACGGCCATCGACTCTACGCGCGCGAAATGCGATCTACTGCTGTACAAAAGTTAGGTAGATTCATGCCGTGCGGGTCGCATCGGTGCTCGGCGCTCACCTTGGCGAGGCGCAAGCGGCCATCCTTCTACGGCACGTCGCGCAACCGATTGCGGTCCTCACGGTCCCAGTCGACGACGCTCTCGATACGGTGGCCTGCCTTACTCGAGGGTCGAGCTGCCGACGGGCGTGGGTCTAATCACGATCACGCCGAGGCGCGTCGTCCAATGAGCGCCGGAGGGAAACACGAGAGCGTCGTGGAATAGCAGCGGACCATGCCGGCCAACAGGAAGTTGGTGACTTGGAAGGCCTGGATGAAGACTGTCGACGGCGGATTCGCAGACATGATGACAGGTTGTCGCAGGTATGGCGTTGACGGCGAATCCCAAGCGGATCGTCAAGGTTCGGAAGCGCAACTTCAACATGTACATCCGAGCAACCTGTGGCTTGTGTCAATGAAGGAAACCGACGGCATGACATGATAGACATACCCAAGAGAACATCAACTCGCCAGTCCTTAGAGAGTCAAGCGATGGCGGAGACGCGGAATCGAGCGCCAGTTGTCTTGCAGACCGCGCGCGGTTGCTCGAGTCGCGCGTCCTTCGTGTGAGCGAGCTCGACGGCTGATTATATGCGTCGAAATTGAGAGCATGGTCGATTTCGGCTCGAGGCGTGCTGGCATTGACGGGTGAGGGTTCTTCGTAGTGATGAGCAGGGAGAAAGAGTTATCGGTCAAGAATACCTACCGTGATACGTTGAGATCAAGACAGAAGAGGACGAGATACGGTCTGTGCTGGCTTTCCAAGCGTCGGACGGCCATGTCCCGAGCGACGTTGCGTAGGTCTTGCTCTTGAGTATTGTTTAGTTCGCACTGACTGTTCTGTGATTAGCATAGAAAAGGCCAAGACGAGGTGTCACGCACCTTCATCGCGCGCGCAGGATCAGCGCACTGGAGAGATTTCAAGGTTCCGAAGGACATGGCGACCATGGCGAGCACCAGCAGCTCTATGGCGTCGGGGCGTATGCGCGTCCAAGACCGGGGGAAGTTGAGCGGTGGCGGTTTGAGTAGGGCGAAGCGGACATCCGCGTCATGGACGAACTTCCGTCTCGTTCTGAAGGCGTAGCGGGGAGAGGAGAGACGTCAACGCCTTAGCTTGAGGGGAGGAGTCAAGATGCATCTCAACGATCGCGGTGGATTCGGGAATACGGGCCGCCGACTCCGGCCATTCCCCTCATCAGGTTTGATTCGCCTTGGCCCGTTTACGCAGTCTGATGAGCTTAACGGCGAAAATTTTTTGGCGGAGAGATGTATAGCAATGCATGTATGCTATTTCGAACTATCTAAGGAGTACACTGACCTGGGAGGCAGGCGAAAGCGGGAACCTACTTGGTGCTCGAACGCTAGACGAACCATGTACGAGAAGTCATAGCATGAAGGTATGGCGGCGAAGATGCAGGCTGGCCTCAATATCCAATGGGTGAGGCATCTGCCCCCGACGTGAGGTTAGGACCGACAGTCTTCGAGTTCATGGATGCACGGCGTTGACGATGAGAACAGGCCACCTTAGGGATATGGGGCGCAACGCACTACCTTAGCGGGAGTGCGCTAGTCCTGAACGACATGACAGTCGACCTCGAGAATACGACGCTCGATTTGAGCGGAGTCGCGCCAGACCCCATCGTGCGCGCGTAGCAGGACGCAGCGTCGCTGTCCACGAAGTATCGGGTGGTTGACGCAGATGCTGAAGAGGGCGACCCATGTCGACGAAGGTTGCGCGTAATTTAAATAGCGATTGTCGGGCGTCGAGAGATCTGAGCCCCCATCGCCTCGTGTCCTCCGCGTTGGTATGTCATACGTTGAGCCCGAAATTGCCGAGCATCGAGGGTCGCCGCCGCCATGCTGAAATCGATGCCGCATTATATTTGGTCATCGAGCCCTTCGTGGTACGCTGAGGACTGCATTAGGCATCGCTATATGCATCTCAATGCCAACGTTATCCCAGGCGCACCCTGGAGGAACACTGTGCACAACAAGCTCGAGACTCAATGTTGTGGTCCGTAGCGCAGATGTGTCGTACTGGCCGGGGATCAGCGCAATCGATAGTCGCTCATGCTTGGTAGCATAACAGGACCGTCGACCGGATATATGCGCCAAGTTCGGGCTCGGCGTAATCGAGGTCGGCGTGAAGGTCACTGAGGGCTCTTCAGCGCAAGGAAATGGCTAACAAGCAAGGGAAACCGTACATGCTGTACTACAAAGTTCGCGGAGGGCCGACAAAGAGACGCCAACCGCTCAAGCGCCGGCGCTCCCCATCGAGAGCTGGCGTGTAACTCTTTTCCCGCAGCTTAGACGCAGTCTCCGAGGAGAAGATCCGCATGTATGCGTGCAGGGAACGCGCTCGAGGTCCGACATCACCGCCGATGACGCAAAATTCCTCGACGCTGAAAGGTTGCCATTATCTGTTAGGTATCAGCAAAGTTTAAGAGCCAAGAGGGGGAGCAGACTCACCGAGTCACAATAGCGCATGAGATGATCTCCAGCGCATTGCGAGGGTACTCCACGAGTCGGCAAGAAGCGCACGAGGCCATGATAGGCGCATATGCCGAGAGCATCTGCGAGATATCGAGCATATATCTTGCTCTGGGGAAAGGCTATAAGAACCATCGTACTCCACTAGATTGACAGTAAGACGTACCGTTGTCCCGATTGTCGAAGTCAACAGTGCGACGTATGCAAAACGGTAGAGAGAAAGGAGATCGTTTACAAGCGCATCGCGGGCCAAGCCGAATCGCCTCTGCGCTGCTTCAGCAGACGAACAGGATGTGAGATTGTAGCGCCGGTCCCTAGAGCTGCATGTCTTTCCAGTTGTTGTACGGTAGGTTGTGCGTCGTTGAGGTACCATCCCACCGGGTCGCGTACATCCTCGTCGCTCAAAGCGCAGGACTATAATATGTGTACCGACGGACTATATGTACAAGTCAGAGCTGGAGATCACGCTTAATTGCAAGATACGTACCAACATGAACTGCCGTAGAGCCTCAGAATAATTGCAGCCGGCCGCGCCCCGACGGCAAGGGATATCCTGTCGGTGCTACGACCATCGATGCTGCAAACAGAATCGTATACGTCTACAACGAGGTGAGCGGGAGTTAGCACCTCCGTGTCGAGCCGACCAACATGGGTAAGGTTTCGGCCTCACCGAGGTTGGTCGAGTGGAAGCGGGGCCTACCTTGCGTGTCGTGGAGCTAATGATGCATGCGTCGCGAGAATTGCTCAGATCGGTGGCGAAGATGAAGGTACGATGGTGAAGGGGAAGGTCGAATGCAGTTATCATGACGTCCGCGGCTTCGATGTTGGTGTGTTCGCAGCTTCGACGTCGATGTCAACGTCGACCGGTCGTCAATTCGGAATCCGCGGTAGGCGAGAGCGAAAAGGAAGCTGAGGTCGGGACCCGCAGTCCACCGGATAGAAAAGAGGGACAGGGGGGGTAAATTACCGTTCGCGGACGATTGTGCCAGATGAGAGTTGTGATAACCTGATGAGAGGGAGAGCCTTAGCCGTGACCGTGAGCGAACTTGTCGACATGATCACGTACCTCCGGAAGACGCTCATCATGAGCGCCGGCGAGCTCGTCCATCCCCTCGAGAAGTTGTAGATCAGATAGAGTAGCATATTGTTGTCGTAGATGAAGAGTGACCTGCGGGTTAGGGCGTCGGCAATGTCGCGCAAAGCGCAAGAGACCGGAGCCGGTAATACTCACCCAATAATGCGATTATGATCTCAATTCTCGACAAAAGCGCCGCAATACCGAGCGAGATATGTCCTAGCCGAGCGCCTCTATCGTTTGAATGATGCGACGTTGCAGGCTTGGGCGCCGAGGCAGGTCGATGGTGACGGTGCAAGGGCCGGCTCTACGCTCGAGATGGACCGGAGCAGCCCCATAGTCTGAAGAGCCCCGAGGAGCTACACGGCGCATGGGAGTCCTTCTCTTGCCCCCTTCATCGGTGATCAAGAAGTGTACGAAAGCCAGCTAGGCGTGCTCTGGTTAGCTCGCGAGGGGTATGCATGGCAGGGCACTTACTTTGGTACCGCGCTAAGCAAGGATAGCACCCTAACAGCGTCAACGTGCACTCTTTCCTCCCTCTCAAAGCCCCCCTGGCCTCTGCACAACCGCTACTTCTTGAACCCAGTCGACCGCGTCTCTGCAGGGGCGTTCTTCGCCGTTGACCGCGATGTAGGGCGTACTGACCAGCGCCCTGGTGTCGTCGTCTAAGCCTGAGTATGTCTTGGCCTTGCAAAGCCGCCCGAATGCAGCACGTCGCGGGGGAAGGGGATAGCAGAGGGAGTCGACGTCGATGATGATGGACGGAAGCAAGACGAATGCGGAAGCAAAGTGGAATCTGATGGGAATCAAGGGCGGAAGCTGATTGATCGTCCCTCTTTGTCTTCTGCCTCCATGTTCCGGTCAATACCCCAGCGCTTCCTGCTCGCAACGCTTAAGAGAACCGTGTTGACTCTGACCTTGACTTATGCTCGAAAATCGCTGCTTGGCCTTCAACCTCGAAGACACCGGGCGCTCGGATGCGCCAATGGTCGGGACGCTTCTATGGTCGAAGAGGACTGAGCTCCTCCGGAGGCTTCGAATCTCGTGCACGTTCTCTTGCTAATGCAACTCAGCTGGCGCGATGAATTGTCGGCGTGCTAGCGTCGGGAGACAGCTCTCCTGATGAGCTTGTAATGACCTGACGAGTTCATGCCGGTGTGTCCCTTCCGCTGCCTTATTCGCGCCCTGGCTGATACCACACATACCTCGAATAAGATTATTCAGAGCTGGCTTGGGCGGTGGTAATATATCAATGCCGGAGATGTCAGTCAGGGCGAACGCGCGATGAAGTCCGAACTTTTCGACCGGTCAGAAATTCGTGGCTTCAAGGGTATGACGCTCCATGCGCGCGGTTCATCGAGGCCCACACTGCCATCAGCGCGACTGCAGCCTTCTTGGCTCTCGCGCTTTTCTCCAGTGAGTACGACTTCCTCTCATCACCTGAGCGAGCTTGATCCTCTCGGGCCTGAACCTCTCAAAGCACCTTTATCACCCTTCCAGGATTTTAATGCGCGTCAAAGCAAGGATCACCAGGTCTGCAAAGACATGCATTCTAGCGTGACTCGTAGACCATCAAGCGCTCCTTGCGCTCCGGTCGAGGCGAGTCCGCCATCGTCGTACTGGCCTGACACCCTTACAGTCTACCAAGACCGCAATCCTCTCATCGCGCCGCCGCGGCTGGTTGCTGGCTCCCGAGCGAACTTGCGCAGATAATGATCTGCGCTACAGAGCTATTGTCTCCCGGTGGCGCGTGCTCAAGATGGTCCAGAAAAACCGAGCGCGGCAAGCGCATGCTCATAACACGTCGTGCGTACCCTGCCCTGGACTTTAGGCTCTCGTCAGTAGGTCAGATTGGTTCTTCAGACTCGTCGGCGCTGAAGTCGCGCCTTCAGATGGTCCAACATGCATTGCGGACTCATAGGGCGTTCCTGAACCGCGATCGCAGACGACCCGCGCAAGTCGGTGTTGCACCGACTTGCGCTTCCGCCGACGACCTTGCCCCGACGACGAGAACTCGAAATTGAGTGACTATGGGCCCACGGGCAACATGATGACATATACGTAGAGAAATCTGGGAAGGTCGTACAGTAATCGAACTGGTATCTAGTTCTGTCAGTAGATCAACACTATATCTCGCTTGGACCCATATGCAGCGAAATTCTGTAATACGAGCCAATTCAAGTCCTTCACGGAAATCAGAACAGTAGCAATCGTAAAACGAAGTCAAGAAGTATGTATCAAAAAGCATATACGAGGAGTCGAAGGAAAAAAAGGAAGTTACTATGTCAATCGGCCAATGGTCGAGACGTCGCGAGGATGTGTAGTCGTTGTGGGCCAGTTGGGGGAGAAGAAGGCTTTGTACCATACCGAGTTACAAAACGGTGCGACCGTCAGGAAGAGCACATCATCGAGCCAAGCAGATATGTGGTCGAGTATATACGGAACTGGTCGAGTATATACAGAACGATATTCGAGTGTGTGCAAGCCCAGCCGCGCGTAGCTGTCTGGCTCGTAGCACCCAGCTCTAGTCAAGTTAACCTCAGTATGAGAGATAGTGGACAAGAAAATTCCTGCTTACCGGATGAAGATTCCTACGTTCGGTGACATGCGATGTCAATCCTACACCTTCATTCCCAGCGCCCTCGACAGCTCTTCAGGAGCCGGCGCAGGCGTATAAGTCGGCCACTCGTCAATTCGGAACGAGTTGTTAAGCGTGATGCGGATGTGGGGAGCCGGCGGCACAAACTGGGTTTGGTGGGACGAGATGATGAGGCGATAGTGCCGCAAGTGGTGGGGGATCCAAAGGAGGGGTTGCTTATAACTACTGTCATTGTCGTCACTGTCGTCATCGTCGTCGTCGTCGTCTTCTCCGGACACTATCCAGCCATGCCAGGGACTTTTTAACCCCTTCCAAAGCGCGGCCTGCGCGCGGGTTTTTGTCATGGATGCACTCGTACTGACGAGCAAATTCTCTAAACTCTGGAAAAATCTGAAGTCCCAGACTCGGATTGTACCATCATCAGAGCCAGAAACGATGCGAGCGCCATCAGAAGTGAGAGCGACTGAGTTGACCCCGCCATCGTGACCTTGCAGAGTGACGCCGACTTGTTGTCTAGTTTGCACATCCCAGACTCGCACCGTCCCATCGTTAGATCCGGACACGATGAACCTTCCATCAGGCGAGAAGGAGACAGATCGTACCCATTCAGTATGACCAACCAGCGGTTCACCCACATTCTCGCCCGTCTTCACGTCCCATAGGCGAATTGTTTTGTCAGACGAGCCAGACACGAGGAGCACACCATCGGGAGAGAATGCGACGGACCAGACACAATGTTGATAACCTTGGAGCGCCTGCCATGTCTGTAGCGGCCGCAGCGTTCGGGTATCCCAAAATCGAATAGTGCCGTTGGGAGAGCCGGAAGCGATGGAGAAGCCGTCACTGGAGAAAGACACGGAAGAAGTTCCATGTCCATGGCCCCTGAGCGCGTCGCCGATTTGCTGCCCTGTCGCCAGATCCCAGAAACGCATGGTGTCGTCCGCTGATCCAGACACAAACTGAGTGCCATTAGGTGAGAATGCGACACAGAAAACCAGGCTGTCATGCCCTCGAAGCTCGTCGCCCGCTGGAAGTCGCGTCTCAACATCCAACACTCGCACCGTTCCATCGTCCGAGGCGGTGGCAATTCGCGTGCTGTCCGGCGAGAATGCGACACAGTTGATGTGGTCATCGTCCCATATCGGGTCCCCCACCGGCTGTCCCGTCTCCGCGTTCCACAGTCGCACCGTCTGGTCGCGCGAGCCAGAGACGATGTACTTGCCATCCGGCGAGCAAGCGACAGAGGTGACGGCGCGGGTATGTCCGATTGTGGTATCGCGTTCCTTCTCAACCTCTCGCACGTGCCAGACCCGGAGCGTGCCCGCATAGGAGCCGGATGCGATGTGCTTCCCGTCCGGGGAGAAGGCGACGGAGCTGACGCCATCAGCGTGGCCGCGCAAGTCATCGCCGACCTGCTCTCCTGAGGCCACATCCCAAAAGAGCACGGTGTTATCGTCCCCACCTGAGACGACGCGCATATTATCAAGCGAGAAGGCAACCGCATGTATCCAGCCTGTATGCCCATGCGATGCCCACACTTGCTGCGTCCCTTCTGCATCACATACACGGACGGTCCCGTCGGCAGATCCAAAAGCGACGTACTTGCTGTCGCGCGAGATTGAGACTGAGCTGACTTCGACTGTGTGGCGTATAGAATCGCCTAGCTGCTGTCGTGTTGCTGTTTCCCATATGCGGACCGTGCCGTCATTAGCTCCAGAGACGATGCGAGCTCCGTCGCACGAAAAGACGACGGAGTTCACACTACGTGTATGTCCCTGCATTGCTTCACCTATCTCCTTCCCGGCCTTCGCATCCCACAATCGCAATGTGCGATCGTCTGAGGCGCTGACGACGGTGGCGCCATCCGGAGAGAATGAGACTGACCGAACCCAATCAGTGTGTCCGCGCAATGCCTCGCCCTGCTGCTGCCCGGTCTTGGCGTCCCAAAGTCGAACGGTGAAGTCCCGCGAGCCAGAAGCGATCCTTGATCTGTCGGGTGAGAATGCGACAGACGATACCCAACCTGCATGTCCCTGCATGGCTACATCCTGCCGCCCCGTCTCTGCATCCCATATGCGAAGGATGTTGCCCCCGGCCACAATCTTCTTACCATCTGGAGAGTAAGCGACAGAAAATATACAGCTTCCGGCTTGAATCACGAGAGGTTCGCTCAATGGCCATTCTTGCTCCTTCTCATATCCGGAAATATCGATGGGGCTTACGATGCAATGCCGGTACAATCGGGAAACATGCGAGTCGACTGGCGTAAAGAGGACGCCGGTCACATAGACCTGAGGTGGCGACTTCGTTATTGCTTCGCGGAATCGCTTTTGGAAAGCGATGAACTCCGTGACTATAGATGCTAAGTCATCTTGCCTAAGCTTCTTAAGGGGTGTCAGTTCCTAACTGTCTATGACGAGATCTCATGTACCTTCATCCAGTGGAGCATTTTGCGAAGACTGTCGCACGGCTCGTATCCTAGCCAGCCGCAGGCCTCGAGCCAAAAGAAGAACTGGTCCTGCAGAAACCACTTCAAGGCCAACATCAGATCTGGTGTTGCAAATGAGTGCGAGGGCGCGATGATGCGCAGATGGCGCACCTAAATCACCGGGCTGACTGTGCAAGAGATGTGTCGAGACCTCGCGACACGCATACTGGAGTCCAGGTGATATTTTCTCGGTGAGACGACAATTCAAGTCTTTGATGTCCTTCTTGTACACGAAAGGAGAGGGTAGGCCGCATATGTTGTATCGCAGACCGCTTCCTGGCCTGCCCATGATGCCGAAGCACGCGAGAGCGAGCTGCGAGTCGGCGGCGGCAAAGACAGGCTTGATCGTGAAGGGCCCGCTAGCCTCAGCGTCGAGAACGAAGTCGCGGAATGATGTGTGGAGTGGGCGTATGGGCTCGTTGTCCCCCGCAAGCGTGCCGGTAAGGACAGACCCAAGATGCACGAGCATTTTGTTTATTCTTTCTCCGACCAGCAAAACCTCGGCGAACTCTTGGAACACTACGCCCGGCTGTGGCTGTCGCACAGATAACACCCACGCGAGAAGTTGACGGTAAGTCGACAGGTATACCTTGTCGGTCGTGCCTATATGCGTGCGGAGCACGAGACGGTATATCTCGTATAGTCGCGGATGTCCAGGTTCTTGTCTGATGCTGCGAATGAGATTCTGGCGAGCAGCATCACTCTTCGGTTGATTCGGGCCGGTGAGCTCTCGGCAGAGGACGGCGGCACATTCGAAGAGGGCCTGTGACGCGCGCACGACATCGTCTACTAGCCCAAAGGCATCGGTTCCGCGAAGGTTCGCCTCAACAACCTTGCGAATGTCGCTCTCGGTATTTTCCTCGTGATCGATAGATCGACCAGCGACGATTGTCTCGTCTTCTCCTAGCAGACTTGCGATATCCAGGTCGTCCGGACGCGTAGTGATCAAGAACCGGATGCTTGGGGGAAGCGCATGGTCCCATATGCACGCGCGCAGAGTCCGAATCAGCGTGGCACGCTCGCCGATGCTATTGTCATCGTCATTCCGACATTCGTCGAGCGCATCGACGACAAAGATGGTGGGAACGCGCGTTTGGTAGAGGCGGAGGGTGGCGAGCATCAGGTACCGGTGTTGGTCTTCGATATCGATCGTCTCAAGCTGCTCGGTACGCAACAAGCGCAGTTTGTCAAGGTATTGCTGGTCATAGCGGGCTAGTTTCTCGGCGAGGGTCGGATATAATTGATGAGCGTGACGAGTGGGGTTTGTACGATCGAAAGCGAAAAACGGAGCGACGGCGCCCATATCAGCAAGGATGCGGGCGATGCTGTTGGCAACTGCCGACTTTCCCTTGCCAGCTGCGCCGTGAAGGATGAGACAGCGCGGGCCTTTTATATCGAAGGCCCAGTCCGTGATTGCTGCGAGTAGCTGGACGCGGGTGTTGGGGCGACAGCCCCTGCTCGTGCCCGCCTGTATACTCGCCATAGGCAGGCGCCTCAGTGTATTCTCATTATCTATGGACGCATATGGAAGGACGAGAGTTCGCTGAGTAGAGGTAGGCACTCACCGATCTTCTCCTCGATCCTGAACACAGCGTTCTGTGCGTCGAGATGCGCACCACTTTCGACATAGCGGGAAAGCTCTTGCAACCGCTTCAGCATGTCTTGAACACGTTCATTTGCCTCGGTGCGCGATCGCTTAACTATCAGGCATTAATGAGATATCGACTGAAACATATAGGGGTTCATCTTCCTCACCGAGACTCTCCGAGGTCAAGGATCGGAGGAATGATGACACACACAGTAACTCAGTGATCAGCGCGTTGCATGCTTTCCCCTGCTCCTTCCTCTTGTCCTTGAACTCCCGCTTGTCCGAGGCGATGACGGCTTTACAGAGCCTACTCGTTTCGTCAACGAGGGATACAATCAGTCCGTGATACTCCGTCCTCTTCTCGAGTTCCTATGTTCACTGTCAGTAATTACCTACGCGATGGACGGATAACGCACGTCGACACCGAGGTCGAGGAGCGCAAATACGGTCTGCGATAGAGGGATAGCCTGAAAATGAAAACCTGCTTCAGGAGGGTGATATTCATAAATTGACAGTACGAACCTCTCCCAGGGCATTGCATATCTGGATAATGGTCCTTGAATAGCCTACGACTGCGCTCCATTTGTCCGAGATTGACAGTGCAGATTTCATAGCGGCCACCTCCGAGGCGAGGTCTTCCTGGAATGGCGTGATCGTCGCGGACAACTTCAGCTCTGGTTGTTTGGCCACGTGCGCATAGCATACGTCGAGAAGGACTGCGTGCGATCCGTGAGTCTGCTATCGTGGCCGTGCATTGTTCGGATGTACCAGGCTTATCGGACGAGGTGAGTGACTCCAGGATACATTCCTTGGACGCGACGCAGATATCGCCTCTTCGGCGCTCAGCATACAACTCGATCTGTATAACTGCGCCGCATGCAGCGATACTACGATGTGAACGATCAGCGGCGATATGGGCAGAAGGCATAACAGACGCACAAATCCAAGGACTGTGCTTTACTCGTGTCGCAGCGCTTGCGATCGCTGCCGACCGTCAGAACCGCATACAGGTGCCGCGAGCCGCCGATGAACTTGAATCTTGGGATCCCAGGAAGTCCGTCCTCGTTAGGCGTGTCTTCGTAGACCGCGTTGTTAGTCACCTGTGCGAAAGACGAACGGGGGAACCCACAGTGGATAGTATATAGCACCTTACGATCCATGCTCTGATCTGTTGACACTACGTCGGTCGACATCGAGGCGACTGAGAAGACGCGGTGGCGACAGACAATGGCTGTTGACGGCGCGATCCGCACATGCACCGCCGACATGCTGTTGTAACCACGTGGCGGCCTCGATGCGAAGGGACGCGGCAGTGAGCTACAGTATCCTGACACCGTTATCCATCTCGGCGACTGAGAAGCAGCGTAATCGGCAGATGCCAGTCATTGTGCTGCTATCAATTTCAAGGTTAGGATCAGGTTCATTGGTCCGAGCGCGATACTGGCAGCCAATACACTGACTCTTGACGGTAAGGGTACCGCGACGCGTCTGGAATAGTACGGTGCACAAGCAAGCATCCTTCGTTCTCACCAGGTTGCAGCCTGTCTGGCAAGGCCGTCTGATAAGGCTAGTCGTTGGTCGCAAAGTGGGAAATGCGGATACAAGACTCGTGGTGACGCCTCAAGGTAAAAGGCCCCTCCCGTTGCGCGCCCGCCTGCCTTATGCCGCCCCTTCTCGCAGTCGATACGCGGCAACGGCGTGGGATGAGTTTATGCCGATCACCGGGATGTCGTGCATACGGACTCCGGGGGACTTCACGCTGAGTGTGCAGCGCTAAGGTGCGAGTGAGTACCTGATAGTGCCAGATTCGAGAGATCTTCAAAGACATCGCGCGTTTGGCTCAGGCGCGTACTAGACCAACCCATGCGTGAGACGAGATGTTCTACATAACGGATGGGCGACGTACTGAGCAAGTCGCATGCGCGGGCAGGCTTGTTGTCATTGCCGCGGAAAGGTGCTGCCTCAATCATTGGCTCCGAGAGCGAGTCTTGCTGGTACATGGGACCTTGTCTTACTATGGATCGCTTCTAGGATAACATCAGCGAAGCTCACAGTGCGAACGTTGTTGCAGGCTTACCGTGAAGCCCCGCAGGCCGAAGTGCTTCGTTTGCCTTGTGAATATTGACGCTTGGGAGCAGGCCATCTTACGACGTAGGACAAGGGAGTACCAGGTCGTCGTAGCTCAAGCGATCTCGGGGCTCGTCGTTCAATGCAAAATACGGATTTCAAACCGAGCGTACGCAAACAAACCACCCGTTCACGACAGTCTATACACCCACTACGCCGCGATCTTCCTCACCATAATCGGCACGCTGGGCCCCGCTTCCTCCTTCCCCTTGACGTACGGGCCCACGGTGATCCCGAGGCGCCAGTCGATCTCCTCCGGGCACGACACGAACTCGAACGCGGGGATGAGCACGGACAAGACGAGCTCTGGAAGCAGCACATGAGTACGATGAAAGAACTACCAGCCCGAGCCGTCGACGCACTGATCTCAAGGACGGCGAACTTCATCCCGCTACATGACCATCAGTCAAACAACCCAACAGAATCTCGAGCGCGCAACTCACGGACACGCCCTCCCTCCGCCCAAAAAGGTCATGATGTTCGAGTATATCCCTGCGCAATGCATCAGCCCGTTTCCCCCACTTCCAGCCGCCCTGCACTGACCCGGCATCTTCACCCCATTCGCCGTCCCCTCATTGATCGCCTTCCCCATCCACCGCTCCGGCTTGAGCTCTCCCGCATCCGCGCCCCAGATAGCCTCCGACCGGTTCGCCGCGCCCATGCCGACGTACACGGGCGTGCCCTTCGTGATGAGCAGCTCGCGCGTCTCCGCGCCCGTCTTCGGGTCGACGATCGGGAACTGCAGGGGCACGACGGCGTCCTCGTACGTCCTGCGAAGGCCAAGGGTGAGCGGGCGATGTCAGGAATCCGGACTCGGCACGCACTGCCGCCAGACGAAGGTGACGGGCGCGAAGAGGCGGAGGGCCTCCCGGCAGACGCCGTCGAGCAACGGGAGGTCGTTGAGCTCGTAGTAGTCCAGCTCCTCGTCGCCCTTGTTCTATGCGGCGTCAGCCGACTGAGTTGATTGGCACTAGCAGCGCAGCAGGACATACCGCACGTGCGGCGGTCAGCTCGTCGCGTAGACGCTGCTGTAGGCCCGGGTTCTCCGCCATTAGGCACAGAAGGCGTGATAGCGCGCCGGCGGTCGTCTCCTGGCCTCCCAGCACGATGGAGCTGAACGGTGGTAAGCACGTCAGCCCATATTGCCCAACGCATCTCGCACCTCATCGTCGCGATGACCATCTCGTCATCCATCTTGTCGGCGTCTTCAATCTCATAGTTGCGCGCGACTTGGTCACCGTCAGTCACAACAGCATACCGTATTGCGAGAGCACATACTGAGGAGCGAAGACAGGTCCCTTCCGCCGGCAACGGTCTTCTCGAGCTCGCTGATGCTGCCCTGCGAGATGAGGTCCTTCTTAAGCAAGAAGAGCCGCTTGCAGACCGGGTGCATAGTGTCTACCGCCCATTTGAACTACGCACAACAACATGAGCTAGGGTGTTCGTATCCTGCGCACACAACCTACCCGACGCGCAGATGGCCAGGGAACATAGGCGACTGCCGCGGATAAGAAACCTCGAAGCCAGTCTGGCTTCATGGACCGCCAGCTATTCAAGAAGGGCAAGACCAGAAACAGGCGACCGCTCATTGGTCTGCACGATCATGAGCTCAGTAGACCGAGCGCGATTATATCTACCCACAGAACTGTCTTGAGCGCCTCGTGGAACGTGTTGAACTCCTCGCTCTTCTCGGAGAAGCTGTTGAAGGAGTGCCCGAGGCCACCCTGGGAGATGAGTTCGAGGGCAGTGCGCGTCAAGAGGTCGAGCATGTCGATCGCCGATCCCTCATGCGCCCCGTTGACCTTGGCGGAGAGCCTGTCACGCAGCTGATAGGCTATGCCGTAGAATACGGGCGACAACTTGGACACGAAGGCGGCAGTGAAGACAGGGTTGAGTACGCGACGAAGGCGTTTGTGCTCGGCGCCTTCGTAGTGGTCAGAGCGTAGTCTGATGCCAAGGAAATGGGACGTACCATACGCGGTTGCGGAATGATCACCGTGGTGGATGATACCGAACAAGCTGGGCGCATCGGTCAGCATGGTATGTGCGTATTGAGAACACAGCGCACCCTCTAAACTCTTCGGACTCCTCAAAGATACGCTGATCGCGAACCAAGATCGAGTGCAATGCAAGGGGATCTGTGATATATAGCGCGTCCTTTTGAAACTGCCAAGAGCATAGCGCTGTCAGAGGGCACTGCGACAGCAAAGGTGAGAACGCACTCCAAAAAATCCCCCACGCAAACGCGCGACGTGTCCGTACTTCTTGCACATATCGTAGTGCAGGCCTTCCAGCGACCGTTCGTCGTGCAACTGTGGTAGATATCCCATGACGGACGTCGAAGGGGGCCCGGGGACATGTTCGTAGGGACTTTTGCGCGATACGAAGAACCATGCGCTCGCGATAGCCAGCGCAACAAAAGCAGCCGAAAGCGGCAGCGCGGAGGGAGACATGTCGAGGGTGCGAGCCGTCCAAAGGCGTACCGGCGATCTAGCGGGCTGGTCTTATGTACATCATCTTGGTGTAGACTGTGTTAGTCCCGGGAGTTTGTAATGCCCAGGGTGCGAGGGGGGTGCACTAAACATGACGGGCGAAGGCAAGGATGCGCTGCTCACCGCCGGCCGGTCCGCTGCAGCCATCACGTGTGCAAACATAACACTTGTTCTCCGCGGCTGTCTGGGCCTCTGCCGCTGTCGGTCTCTACATATGGCCTTCTCCGGCGAAGGTGACATCCATCTTGCTGCATAATTACGCGCACGGCTGCGATGTGAAGGCAGGGACTCAGTGTGCGAAAGGCACGTCCGACGAGGAGAATACACCGTCGACGAAACGGCCGTTCACAATGCAAAGAAGGCTGCTGTCCTATCCGAGGCATCTCGACCGAGCAAATCGCCTGCGCGTACATATATCTTTTACGCATCGGGGCTGGTACCGTTCTCTTCTGCTCGCCATGCCTCCACTCGCCAGTATCCTGCAAGACCACTGGGTGCTCCTCTTGAGCGCCGCCTTTGCCGCTTTCGTCTGCAACAGGCTGTTCACACCACCCGCCGAACTAGCGCACCTTCCTCGCGTCCCTGTCCTGCCCCTTCTCTGGAGCTACTTCACGGGCGAGGTCGAAGATAAGCGCATCAAGCGCTTGCTCATGCCCTTTGCCGAACGCGGAGAGGGTGTTGTGCTCGTCTACGCCCTCGGACGCTGGATAGTGCACGTGCTCGACGAGAAGGTGCATACTTAGAAGCTTGTCTCCTCTACCTACGTCGCTCAACAAGCGCAGATCGCAAGGGACATCTCCGCGGACATCACGACGTGGCCCAAGGAGGAGCCTCCGGGTGCGGATTCCCCTTCTGTCAGAGTGCGTCGAGCTCACGACTGGTATATAGATGATCTCCTCCTCTGGCGCCTAGTGGGCAAGGTACGCTGCGGCTCACCTCGCCCCGCGACCACTCTCCCTGACCCACCCTGTCAGACCAATGTCATCCTGTCGAACGGATCCAACTGGCAGCGCCACTCGCGTGTGGTTAAGTCTGCACTTCAGCGGTAGGTGCCCCTTCTCGCCTAGCCCCTCACCTTACAATCTCCTGCAGCAATCTTCCCATCAAGGACTTCGTGACCTTGGCCCACCGCCTGTTCCGCGTCATGAAGGATGGCGGCAAGCTGCGGTGGGACGATCTCGCTATGGTTAGTCAAGTATGAGGCGTGTCAATGGTGTCCTGATATGTCCGTTTGCCAGAGATTCACGCTGGACGCGGTCGGATCTACGACTTTCGGCTGGGACTTCAACAGCATCGAGGACACGAGCACGTATGTGCGGTTCACCTTGCTCCCAACCTTCGGTGTTCTGACGACAATCACTCAGACCCTTCGTCACGGAATACAGCCATGTCATGGACAGCATCGCGAATCCTCTGTACGTCCTCCTTCCGGCGCACTGCGACGTGAATCTTAACTTCTGCCTCAGCTACATCGTCTTCCCCAAGCTCGAGACGCTGCTCCCCCGGAAGACCATCATCACCAAGATCGACGCGCTCATCGCCAAGTTCACCAGCATACTCGACGAGAAGAAGGAGAACAAGGGGAACGACATGCTCACGTATATGCTCGAGGACGTAGGTTCTCTGCTAGTACATCTCTTCGTTCATAGGCTGACCTCCTTGCATAGCCCGAGATGAGCGACACGGAATTCCGGGACAACATGGTCGTCTTCTTCATCGCAGGTCATGTCAGTCATCATGCTTTCGCCTCCATCAGCCTACGCCAGGCTGGTTATCACCCTACGCCAGGCTTGTTATCACCCTACGCCAGGCTTGTTATCACCCTACGCCAGGCTTGTTATCACCCTACGCCAGGCTGACCCACCCATCCCCCCAGGACACCACCGCGGGCGCGATGTCCAGCCTCGTCTACTACTTCGCCAAGCACCCCGAGCTGCAGGCGCGCGCGCGTGCCGAGGTGCGCGCCGCGCTCGGCGACGCGGAACCCACCATCGACAACATGCGCGCGACGCCGTTCGTGCAGGCGTGCATCCGCGAGGCGCTGCGCGTGAATACGCCGATCGTGAGTATTGAACTGCCGTTTGGCGGATTCGCTTATTAGGAGTTGCTGATCCTCGTACAAACAGGTCTACATGGTCCCCCGCGCGAGCGCGCGGCCCGCCGAGCTGGTGAGCGCGCTCGGGAAGCGCTACGTGCTCCCCGCGCACACGTCCGTCATCCTCAACATCTGCGCGATGCACTACAATCCGTCTTACTGGCCGAAGTGCGTTCTTCGTCGAGACACTTCGCACCTCAATTCACCTCCATCCTCACCTCAATTTATCCTCACCTTACTCCATTCTCACCCCTCTCCCTCTCCACAGCCCAGCATCCTTCGACCCCGACCGCTTCATGAACAAGAACGACAAGGAGGTCGCCAGCGTGGATGCGAGTCTCTGGATGTGCGTGGCAGTCTATGCTCAGTCCTTCATCCTGGCTGACCATAACGTTCCCCACACCAGGCCCTTCGCCCTCGGCCCGCGCCAGTGCCCCGCGCGCAACTTCGCGCTGTACGAGATGCGCACCCTCCTGTGCATGCTCGTGCGCGAGTGGGAGTGGGCGCTGCCGGCGGACAGCGCGCACGCGGGCGGGCTCCAGAACGGGTTCTCGCCGTTCGCGCTGAGTCTGCCGAAGGACATGGATGTGGTGTTTAGGAGGAGGGATAAAGGGGAGGGGGAGGCGTAGAGGGGGGTAAGGAGTACTCATAGAGGGGGATGGGGAGGAGTGGGGGAGTGGGGAGGTGGAGGAGAGAGCAGGAGTGGTGAAGAGGGAACGGGAGGATAAATTGGCTGAAGGAGGGTAGACATGCGGAGGTGCGGAGGCGAAGCAAGAATCTCGCGCAGATAGAGTGTACGTGTGACGAGAGGAGCGCTGGGCTTGCGTAAAAACTGAAGAATGGAGAGCTTGCCGTCATACTTGAGTGATCCATCGCAGCGTTCACATGGCCCCTTTGCTCAAATCCCGGTGGTTAGGCTGAACTAGTGACAAGCAGGTTCGGACTCTACCGCGACCACTATACCATCTCGTTCTAGAGACAGGAACGCTCGTCGGATGGGCGCCAATCCGCCGGCCGCTCGGAGCTCAGGTTCCAATCCGTCGCTGGTCACTCCATGGGCGACGCCAGCTGCGACAGTCATCGAGAATGAAGCGCTAGACGCATAAATACCGAGTTGGGCTCGTTCTGCGTGCTCCTGATCCCTACGCCCCACCATCAGCATGTACGCTCCGCTACTCGAGGTCACGATCCTATCATCGTTTGACGCGAAGGCCGCGCGCCAGGCGAAGGCTGCTTGTAGCGGGGTAGACGGTCTGCAGCGGTCAGTCGACTTGGATCGTATCTGCAGGTTCAGTCCCTCTGACAATCCTTGCAGGGCGTACATCGGACAAGAGATCGAGGATCCCTCGCAGGGTTACTGCGCGCTTCGTGAGTTTGTAGCTCTCGCACGCAGCACCAATGGACTTGACAGACCTTCTACGCAGAATGGGAATCCCTGCGCGCTCGTGATGCCTTCCTGCGCAGCCCCGCATACGAGGCGCACGCGCGGCATCTCACCGTGCAGCGCGGCCCCTTCCTAGTTACTCTCTCGGAAGACGACCGCACCGCCTGCGATGCTATCTTCTCCGCGCCTATCCAGAAATTCGGCTTCCTCCAGGCGAGCACGCACCTCGGCAGGGTGAAGGTGCGCGAATTGCTCGCGCTCATGCGCTCCGGGCGGCAGGAGCGCCAGACCAAGAAGGAGATCATCGGCGAGCTGGACGCGGCGGTCGTGGATAATGCGGACTGCCGCGTGATCATGGATGGCTGGGAGTCCGTTGAGGTAGGTCTTTGCGTGATGTGAAGGAATTGTAGGCGTGACTGAAGCTTTTGCCGTCTCTAGCAACATCACGCGTATGTGGGCCGCGCAGAGAACAAATCTTTCCTGGCCGATGTTATTTCTGTGTTGGAGTGGGCCTCATCGAAGCATGCCAAGGAGGTTTCGGCTTGAGGCAAAGGGCGGGTGAAAATGACACTAGTTGCGGCTACCGGAAGTGCGAATCCAATCGTATGCGCCGAGCTTGCTGTATCCTGGTGCACATATCCTTGCCAGTGAGTCGAGGTCTGCTCCTCGAGAAGTTGTGAGATGTGCCTCTTGCCTACCACCGGACAGCAGTGTGTCTAATACCGTTTGAAACTTTCATCATCCTACCACGGGCTTGCGGAAAGGTATGTGTTTCCGCCCTCATCCCTCTACATCTTCTTGCCCAGTCGCTAGCGAGCGCTGCCGAGAAGTCGAACATATCACGTGACACGCACGTAACTGGATAAATTGCCTCAGAGTCAGGCACCCTTGCTGGCCCTGCCCGCAGCGCCCATTGATACGGTTTGGACACGGTCCCCGGTCGCTGCCCGGTCCATCGCCGCCGACTTCAGACGCGGCGATGAGGCGATGCTGCTGCAGATGTTGGACCCCCCAATCGACAAGTTTCGACGCGGCATGTTGCCATCGAAGTCCTGGCAGATGAGCGAGGATCTCGCTTGTCGTGGTGCACGCGTATGAGCTTCGTCGATGCTGAGTCGCAAATGTTCATAAGGACCGAAGCCCAATCCGGCGGGGTTATTGACGGTTGGCGAACAAGAGACGCTTGACAAGGTTGGTCGCCATGTGAACCGTCCGTTGACCGTGACGCCGGCGGGGGTCTTGTCCTCAGTTTGGAATCCGGCCGCGATCGTTCGGATCGCAAATTGCCCTCTTCCGGGAAGTATATAAGGCCCGGGCTCGGAAGTTCGCTTTCTCTTCATTCCCCCATCTCCCCTTCCTCGGTCCGCTCTTGGTCCCTTGTCGCTCGCGGCTGCTTGAACGTTCATTCACCCCACTTTCGCTTCACTCGACAGCGCTCGTTCCCCATCCTTTTGCAGCCGCCAACACTCTACACGACAACGACTATCATGCAGCGCTCCATCTTCCTCTCCCTTGTTCTTGCCGCCTTCGTGCGCGCACACGGTCAGATCGAGAGCGTCTCGGCCGGCTCGGAGAGCAAAGTTGCCCCCAACGTGCGTAGCATCGACTAGCCAGCGTTCGAGGGAACGCTGACTCCGCCCACAGATCTACTGGGACGGCGACAAGGCGAACACGGACACCCCCGTCCGCGTCATGTACAAGGCCTCCTCGCCTGCATACCTCCTGCCGAAGGACTTCAGTGACAACTCGTACGTGGCGCGCCGATCGCTATCAGTGCACCCGCTGACCCAACAATAGTAAGATGGCATGCGAGGGTTCTAGCGCCAGCCCGGCGCCCTCCTCGCTTGAGGTCGCTGCTGGCAACTCCCTCACTGTGCAGTGGTCCGGCTCCACGGGCGAGCTTACGAACCAGCCCGGCGTCGGCTCCGTTCCAGATGGCATGCAGGCTTGGGTGCACGCGTACGTACTCACCGTTCCCCTCGCATTGACCTTCGCCTGACAGTCTTCCACAGCATGGGCAGCATCCAGAACTACATCACCTCCTGCAACGGCAAGTGCGCGGACGCCGACGTCTCGAACAACGGCTGGACCAAGCTTTCCGGCGACGGCCTCGACCTCTCGCAGTCCATCTCCGACGACCTGCGCAACACGATGACGAACAAGCCGGAGAAGTACTACCCCGAGGGCGCCGGCCTGTGGGCGATGGCCAAGTTCGTCGCCGACGGGTCCAAGTGGGACGTGCAGATCCCCGCCGGCCTCAAGGCGGGCGAGTACATCGTGCGCCAGGAGCTCGCGGCGGTGCACAACCCGTGGAGCGCGAGCGATTCGTCGTCGGGCCCGCAGCTGTACGTCGGCTGCATCCAGGTCACCGTCACCGGCGACGGCACCACCGAGCTGCCCGAGGGCACGCAGGCGGGCGCGCTCTACGACCCCGAGGGCGACTTTGCGAAGTTCCAGGTGTACTCGGACGCGGACAGCTTCGTGCTCCCGGGTCCCGCGGTCTGGGATGGCGCTTCGTCTTCCTCGTCGTCGGGCTCCAGCGGTACTGCGTCTGCGTCTTCCGAGGCTTCCGCGACGTCCACTGAGGCGTCTGCTCCGGCATCCACCGACTCGTCGTCCACCGAAGCGGCGTCCTCGGCGGTCACCGATGCCCCGGCCTCTACTGCCGTCGCGGTCCCGGCCTCCTCCGCGAGCGCCTCGACGTCCGCGTCCGGCTCGTCCTCGACGGGCAAGTGCCGCCGCAACAAGCGCATGATGCCCAAGCGCCGCCACCTCGCGCGCGTCGCCCACGGCAGCTCCTTCTGAGTGGTCGCCGCTGCCTCCGCGCGCTCTGACCACGCACTCTTCCCCCTAACTTATCCCCTTCATCTTATGTCCTCATGACTGTATCCGTACCGTCGACACTGTGTGCCGACTCCTTTCCTTCTGCTCATGTTGTCTTACTTACTCTGGTACTCACTGGTTGTTGACGTGCGCTAGTCGCATGCTGGTGTCTCGTTCTGTATGGTTATGTCGTGCCCTTCTACCCGGTCGTAGATCTGCTGGGTCAATACACACTTGATGTGATGGCTATGATCTCAATATCCACTCCGTATGACGGTGCACAAAGTAGTGGGAAGGCATGGATTTAGCTGTGAGATTAGTGTCTCTGCAACGTGCTGTGTTCGCGCTGGGCGAGCAAGGTTCGCATAATCCGCTGTCCAGAATATCGTAGGGCACCCCTTTCCAACGACGATGAAGTGGCGTGCGGACCTTAGTGGTGGTTTATCGAATGACCACTGAATGCTGAGTATTGGATGTCCCAAGGATGTCTAACAAAAGTTCAACTAGCCATCACATGATATGCACGTGCAGGGCACTTAAGAGTTAAGCGGCCGTTCCAATTCCGGTTACATCCGGCCCTTGCCTCCTCACTTCGCAGCCACGACTGAACGTAGTACACGACCCCGGCTATCTGTGCGTCCCTGCGATTCTGGTCTCGACGCTATACATGTCCTGCCGCATGCGACTTGTGATGGCTCAAATGCACAGTCATGGGGAATGTCACTAGTCGAGGCTGCCCATCATTGCTCTCTCGAATGAGTGACATAGTATAGTTGGATCTATCGACTTTGACTTGCGACTGCACTTTAAGACTCCCTCATGATGGCTTCTCATTGGTCATTGCGCGCCTGTCGAAGGTTCAAGATGCGACAGTCGCATTCATACTGCCGCCGGCCGCTCCTGAACCTCTGACTACATATTACCCGCGTCTTGCTTGCCCGCGTCCCGAGCCGAAAACGAAGATGGCGATCGCACTCGCTCTATCTTTTCCTCCAGACCTACTCGATGCCTCTGGGACTGGCGAAAGTGTCTGGGAATGCACTATCCCCAACGCGGCTTGCCCTAGTGAATCCTGCTCCGACCTTGCCTTGTTGATCACGGCTGTGCGTATCACGCACTTCCTGTCCACCGGGATTGAGGACGCGGTCATCGGTGCGTGCCATAGCAGCTTCTCTTGGTGATGTGTGTTGATCAGTACACCAGGCGTCGCTCGGGACAATGCGTCTATCCAGGCCATAACGCTTCGTGTTTGGAACGGCACGCCCGCAGTGCAGATCGTGAAAGCTGCCGATCAAGCGTTAACAAATGACCGTCCTACCGCGGAAATGGCAAAACCAGATACCGTAGTGCTCGCAATGGACCGTGGGGGATCCAAGGGATGCAGGTCCGAGTTGTTATCCTCGCTATTTCCTCGCACTGACATGTTTTTTCCAGTCAACAGATGCATCCTTTAGTCATCTTCTGTAGCGAAGGAAGTCTGCTGTTCGCTGGTGATCCACGTCTATACTCTCCGCAAAACGTGCGCTGCATTGGCGGGAACGTACAGGATGTTGTCGAAATCATATGCGGCGCCCCAAACACGATGGTGTCTGATATCAGCTTTCCTGGCGCCATTTCCCGACTCTCTGTTGCTGGGGTGCGTCTCGATGTGCCACGGCCACCGACCTATGAGGCGCAGTCGCTACGAGAGGTCTTCATTGCGACAGCGACGGCCTTCCCGCACAACATCGCGTTGACCGATGACGATGTCGAGTTTACTTACACGCAGCTCGACGCGCTGACCGATATGCTCGCCGACGAGATAGCTCTGGCGCTCGTGGACCTCCCAAACACGGACTACATCTCGACCTGCATCCCGTCATCGCCGCTCGCCATCATTGTCATCTATGCGATTATCAAGTATGGAGCTGCGTATGTCCCGCTCGACGTGCGCCTGCCGGAAGCCAGACTTCGCACCATCATTGTAAACTCTGGTGCCAACCTCCTCATCACGGGCGCAGAATCCCCCTCTGTATCCGACCTCCCCATTGCGAAATTGGACGTCACAGACTTCCTGCGCCAGCACGTACCACGCGTAGAAGCGTGGAAGGGCAGCTCGCGAGCTGTCTGGCGCAGTCAGCCGAGCGAGATCGCATACGTGCTTCACACGAGCGGGACCACCGGCGTGCCCAAGGGTGTCTGCATCAAGACATCCGCAGTGCTTGCGCTACTCTACGAGCGCGGTGTTTGCCTGATTACCCCAGATATGCGCATCGGCCAGATCGGCAACATCGCTTGGGACGGCAGCATCCTCGATGTCTGTTGCACGCTCACCGTGGGCGCGACGCTCGTCTCCTTCTCTTCGTACGATGTCCTGGACCCCATCCGCCTCGCAGATCTGCTTCGCGCCCGGCGCGTCACCGCCTTGTCCATCGCGGTCGCCCTCTTCCGCCAGTTCCTCTCGGTCGCGCCACATATGTTCACACCCATGCGATTCGTCATCGTCGGCGGCGAGGCGTTGGATTTCTCGCAGTGCCAACGCTTCAAGGAGATCAACCCTACGGGCGAACTGGTCAACGGGTACGGCCCAACCGAGGCATGCTACACTGCGTGAGTTGAAGCATTCTCATCGCTGGTTTCTTCGCTCATCTCGGAGCAGCGTCGCCCACCGCGTCGATCGTATGCTTGAGTATGGCCTCGTGCCCATCGGACGGCCCTTGAGCTATACCAATTGTGTGGTCCTTGACGGCAATGGTCGCCTGGTGCCCCCAGGTATCCCGGGCGAACTGTTTATCGGCGGGCGCGGGGTCGCGGCAGGGTATCTCAATCGCCCGGAGGAGACCTCGGCCGCTTTCGTGCGCATGGTCATCCCAGGTCTTGATCAGCCGCCTGCGACATTCTATCGCACGGTGAGTGCGATGCTCATACGTGCCTCTTCATCCAGCGTTTTCTGATGCACGGCCTCAGGGTGACCTAGTTCGCTGGCTTCCGAGCGGCGACATGCAGTTCGAGCGTCGGTCTCAGAGTGGCCAGATCAAGATCCGCGGTCAACGCCTCGAGCTCGCGGAAGTGGAATCCGCCATTGTGGGCACTCGGCTCGTCAAGAATGCCGCAGTGGTATACGTGAAGCCCACGGATGGCCGATCACCCTACTTGGCCGCATTCATCGTTCCGGTAGAGCCTGATTGTGTCGAGACACCCCATTCCTTCACGCGACGCTTCAAGGAGACTGTCCCTGTGTATATGGTCCCTCAGGCGGTATACCTCGAGGCGTCGCTGCCGCTCAACAACAATTGGAAGCTGGACAGGCGTAGGCTAGACGCAATGGCGCTCGAGCGCGACGTGATCACCCCCAACGGCGACGTGCATTACTCCGCGGCAGGGGAACCGAGCGCGCGAAACGACGCAGAGGGGGAAATTGCGTCCATCATGAGCGACATCCTGAGCGGGAAGGCTGTCGGCCCCGAGGATGACTTCTTTGACGTCGGCGGTCACTCCCTTCTGGCGATGCAGCTCAAATGGCGTCTCGATAAATCATTCGGAGCTCTCGTCACTATGCAGGATATTTTTCAGGGCGCCTCCGCGCGTCGGCTTGCTACCCTCGTCCGCCAAGGATCGCCAAACGACGGATTTTTGGTCTCTAACGGGGACACGTTTTGTTCGCTACCCCACGCAGAACGTCAACGCTACGTTGCGTCTTCGGGCACTCGGTGGCAGTACTCTGCCAGTCGTGCCCCGGCTCCAGGGGAGGTCGTCAGCCATTGTGCGTTCTGGTCTCGCCTCATTGGAGAGCTTAGCGAGGATTTGCTGGAGCAAGCGCTGCAGGCGATGGCTCGTCGGCAGGATATCCTACGCACAGTGTTCGAGGAGGTGGACGGCGACGTGTGTGCGCGCGTCACGGACTGCATGCCCACACTGGAGATAGTGGATTCACCGCCGATGAAGAACGATCAGGACCTTGAGGACTACCTTCGCCTTCATGCGAGTCGACCCTTTGATATCGCTGCGAAGGCTCCATTTCGACCTGTCCTCTTCCGCCTGAGCCCACAGGCCTTCATTCTCCTCTTGTCCTTCGACCACATCATTACCGACGGCTATTCGGAGGACATCATCGTCAGGGAACTATGCGAGTACTATGGCGCACTCTGCGAGGGTCGCGCCGCCGACCTGCCCGACCTGCCTGTCACATGCGCCGACATCGCCCACTGGGAGCGCAGCGACTCTTTTGCGACCCTCATCGCGCCGCAGCTCGACTACTGGGCCGCCCATCTCCAGAACGCCACGGCCGCCTCATTCACGCCTGACTTGCCCGGCGCGGACACCTCGACCTACCTGACCGCCGGCGACTTCGTATCTATCTCGCTCTCCGAGTCTCTCGTCGCCCGGCTCGACGCCGCGTGCGCCCTATCGCGCGTCACGCTCTCGATGGCGCTCCTCGCCGCGCTCCGCGTCGTGCACTTCCGCCGCACAGGCGCGCGCGATGCCGTGCTGGGCGGCGCGACCGCGAACAGGCAGCGCCCCGAGGTCGCGCACCTCCAGGGCTTCTTCGTCACCGCGCTCCTCTACCGCATCCGCGTCGAGGCCGGCCAGCGCTTCCGCGACGTCCTCGAGCAGGTGCGCACGCTTGTGGCGGAGGGAGTCTCCAACATGGACGCGCATATGGCCACCATCGCGGAGGCGCTCTGGGAGCGTGGTGCTTTACCGGCAGGTAGTTTGCCGCTTCGGGTCGCTTTGGGATATGTGGTGCACGAGCAGGCGTCGGTCCAGGTCGGCGGCCTGCGCATGGAGCGGATGGAGGTCAACATGCACGCGGTGCAGCTGGACATGGAGATTTACTTCGGGCGAGTCGCAGGCACGGATAAGATGACAGGGGAGATCAACTATCGGCGGAACCTGTACAGTAAGGACTATATACAAGGCCTTGCTCGTGAGCTGGAGGGCGTACTGGAAAGATTTGCGGAGGCTTCTGACTTTGCTGTCCAGTAGATAGCTTGTTTCTGTAAACTTACGACGTGAACATCCAAAGAGATATAACTTAGCAGTGACCTGGTTCAGTATTTCGGGACGATTTCGCTGGTACGATCATAAGGAAGCTGTCGTTCGAGATGATCATGTTCTCCATTGGATGCCTACCGAGTTCCAGGTGAGGCGCCCACGTGTATGCCATCGTCCATTGTCAAGTACAAGGCATGGAACGAACGCCATTGCCGCCGCCGCCGCCACCCGGGCCGGCAGCCGGCGACCATGCAAGTGCGCGTCTGACATGTGAATCTCGCCTCCGCTTCCCCAGCCGGACCCCGCACAAGCTCGAACAAATCAGGTTCGAGCAGTTGGCTAATAAGCTCACCAGCTCTTCCTTCTGACCTCCATCTCCCCCGTCCCTCTTTGCTCACTCACAATGGCATCCTCGAAGCAGATCTCCCGCGAGGAACTCGCGAAGCATAATAAGGAGGGCGACCTGGTATGTCCCTTCCCCACAGACGAGTGCCTGGGTCTGACCGTCCCTCCCCTCCCCCAGTGGGTCGCAATCGACTCCAAGGTCTATGACCTCTCTCGCTTTGCTGCGATGCACCCTGGCGGTCTGTCCGTACTAACAGACGAGGACGTCGGTGCGTACACAGCCCATCCAAGCGAGACCCCGGCTAACGAGAGGCTACAGCCGGCAAAGATGCGACGGAAGCCTTCTACAGCCTCCACCGACAGGAGGTCCTCCAGCGCCCGCAATATGCGCGTCTCCAGATTGGTGTCCTAGAGGGGCAGACCGCGAAGATCGCGTTCCGCGAGCCAGGTGCCGTCAGCAAGGTTCCCTACGCCGAGCCAACATGGCTGTCCTCCGGCTATCACACCCCGTACTACAAGGACTACCACCGGACCTTCCAGACTGCCTTCCGCAAGTTCATCGAAGAAGTTGTTCTTCCCGACGCACAGAAGCATGAGGAGGACGGAAAGCGTCCCTCCCAACATGTCTTTGACGAGATGGCGCGGCTGAACCTCATTGCTCTTCGCATGGGGCCCGGAAAGCATCTGGAGGGGAAGGAGATCATGGATGGACTGGTGAAGCCCGAGGAGGTCAGTCTCGTCATTATACGAGAAACTGTGATCACTGACTTTAGTTCAAGTTTGATCACTTCCACGAACTGATTATGGGTATGTGATAAACGGCCGACCTCGATGCTTATTGCTCACGTTGTTCCACAATAGCCCAAGAGTCCGCTCGCATACATGCTCGTGGCTACTACGACGGGCTGGGCGGCGGGGTACGTGTATTTTGTTCTGATCAGCCGACACTGATGCTGACCTTCGCATCGCAGACTTACATCGGCCTCCCTCCGGTCGTGAACTTTGGCAAGCCTCACGTTCGGGAGAAGGTCGTGAACGAGATCATCACGGGAAAGAAGTTCATCTGTCTCGCGATCACTGAGGCCTTCGCGGGCTCAGACGTCGCTGGTTTGCGGGGCCGCGCCAAGAAGGTCGAGGGTGGTTGGCGTGTTACTGGAACGAAGGTCTGTCGTGGTTGAGATCGTATCCTTGCTCGAAGCTTACGCTCTCCGCGACAGAAATGGATCACCAACGCGACGTTTAGCGATTACTTCACCACTGGCTGCCGTACCGACCAGGGCGGGCTTGTCGTGTTGCTCATCGAGCGTGGCGAAGGTGTCGAGACGAAGCCCATCAAGACGTCGTACTCGACTGCTGCGGGTACGGGGTACATCACCTTTGACAACGTCTTCGTGCCGGACGACTACATTCTCGGCGAGGAGAACAAGGGTCTGCAGGTCATTCTGTCGAACTTCAACCATGAGCGGTGAGTGCGAAGCTGTTGTGTCATCGTCCGGTCGCTCATTGGTCACAAAGATGGGGCATGACGGGCGGCAGCATCGGCGCGCAGCGCGCCATCGTCGAGGAGTGCCTCAAGTGCGTCGGCTCATTTTCCCCACCACAAACTCTCTGACGCTGGCCCGCCCAGGTGGACCACGCAGCGCAAGGTCTTCGGCAAGCCGCTCATCTCGCAGCCCGTCGTGCGCGCGAAGATCGCGGCGATGATCGCGCGCGTCGAGAGCGCGCAGAACTGGCTCGAGAACATCACGTACCAGATGAACAACATGAGCTACCGCGAGCAGGCGGACAAGCTCGCGGGCCAGATCGCGTTCTGCAAGATGTACGCGACGCGGACGGCGCAGGAGACCGCGACGGACGCGGTGCAGATCTTCGGCGGGCGCGGGATCACGAAGAGCGGGATGGGCAAGTTTATTGAGCATGTGAGTGGTGTGTTGGGTGGTGGTGGTTGTATGGTTTGGTGGCTGACGAGGGCGTTGATAGTATCACCGGACGGTGCCGTTCGATGCTATATTGGGAGGCGCGGAGGATGTGCTGGGCGACCTCGGTGTACGGCAGGCGTTGAGGAAGATGCCGAAGGATGCAAGGTTGTAGTGTTCGGATTGGTGCTGGGTAAAGCATGCTTGCAAGGACAGTGTAATAGTATTGGTCAGATAAAATCTTATCTCCCTCGTCATGCAAAAGGACGCGACTACGAGCGATCAAGGGGTCGCGGCCGGTATATGTTCATAATTCACAGGGTTCATTGAGCCCGTAAACTGCTTGAAAAAGGTCAACACATCCCGCGCAGTATTGTGCGCCCTTCCGACGGGTGATTTCCTAAAAGTCGCGCGCTTCCCAGCCAGTCACTGCAGTCAAAAAAGATGCGGATGCTGATTGTGACCCGCGTGTGGCTGCATCTCCCTCGGCGGCGCGAATAGCCCTGCGGACATGGCCTCCTCACAACCTCCACAGATCTTGCCGAGCAGTGGGCTTGATCCGGTCTTGACAATGACGCTGTCGGGTATTGCCGACGCCTTCTTTGCTCCCACCATCACATCTTTGAGGACGTTGCCCAGCTGTTCGCAGAAACTCACACCCCGTCTGGACCGAGCCTGCACCTTGTGAGAGCTACCACGTACTCGTCATGATCCAAGTCATCAAATGCCAGAGCAAGCCCTGCATCAACGGGTATCCGGTATCAAAGCTCGAGTGCCCGACGTGCCACAAGTTAGTCCCTTTTCGCCCTTTATGCTATGCCTACTCAACAATTTTGAAAGGTTAGGAATCCCGGGATCCTTCTTCTGCGGTCAAGAGTGCTTCAAAGCCAATTGTGAGTGGTCCTTCTTCAAATTTAGTACCACTTCAAGTTGCTAATGCCTTGCGACTGGCAGGGGTGAGTGCCCATTTCTGTACTCGTTCTCGATCTGGGCCAGCACCTAACCAACATGTATCCTCTTCAGAAATCGCACAAAGTTATTCATGCGCTGGCGAGAGCACCTCTACCTACCTTCAATGAGGGCGAAGGTTCGCACGCTCTCTTGTACGTCAACAGGCAATTGACGGCGTTTCAGAGGGAACCTTCAATCCTTGGCCCGCCTTCGGATACTCAGGGACCTTGAGGGCCGTGTACCCGCTATCTCCCAGACGTGCTGTACCGGACCACATCGGCAAGCCAGATTATGCAAAAGACGGTCAGTGAATTCATCAATGCATTCAGTTCTCTCTGCGATCGCAACTACCGAGCCTTGTCTCGATGCTTACACGCCGCCATCTAGGTATCCCAAGGTCAGAGATCAAGGAGCCATACAACTCTATCCGCATCCTCAACAAGGAAGAGCAAGAGAAGATGCGACTTGTTTGCAAGGTCAATAGCTTGAACATACATTCGTCCGTGATATCCTGACTGCACTTCACCCAGATGGGACGCGAGATGCTTGATCTTGCCGGCTCGCATGTTAAGCCCGGCGTCACGACCGATGAGATCGATGAGATCGTACACAACGCTCTCATCGAGCGCAATGCGTACCCTTCCCCCATGAATTACCGCAACTACCCGAAGTCGATCTGCACGTAAGTGTTCCGCGGTTTGACGTATGGCTGCCTCTTGACGCAGTCGTCCATTTAGGTCGATTAACGAGGTTATCTGTCACGGCATCCCGGACAAACGCAAGCTGCGCGACGGCGATATTCTCAACATCGGTAAGTGTATACCAGACGATGTCGCGCTGCTAGTTAATCCCGGGTCGCAGACATATCGGTTTACTACGACGGTATGAGAAGTTGGTTTGACGTTAAGCCTCCAACCTTGACGCTCCCAAGGATTCCATTCCGATCTCAATGCGACATTCCCTGTGGGCGAGATTGACGAGGAGTCGAAGAAGCTCATACGCACGACGCGCAAATGCCTCGACGAAGCCATCAAGGTCTGCAAGCCGGGCGCGCTCTTCCGCGATATAGGCAAGGTCATGTTCGTCTCGCTCTTTGTCGACCCCGTTGTGCGTCGCATGACGCCCACTTTAGTGAACCGATCGCAACCGCGAACGGATACTCCGTCGTGCGCACCATCGTCGCACACGGCGTCCACGAGCTCTTCCACGGGAACCCCAACATCCCGCACTACGCGAAGAACAAGACGCCCGGAACGATGAAGCCAGGCATGGTGAGTTCCTCCCTTTCCCCGAAGCACATGAAGCTCATGACCGCAGACTTTCACCATTGAGCCTGTGCGTATGCCATCTCACGCAGCAGCAATCAGTAGGCTGACTGTCTCAGATGGTCAATATGGGTGTTTATGGCAACGAGGTGTACTGGCCGGACGACTGGACCGTCACCACGGCCGATGGAAAGAGGAGCGCTCAGTTCGAGGAAACGCTGCTGTAAGCTGGTCAATTTCTCCATGGAAAAAGCCTTCTTACTCGTGCTTTAGCATCACGGAAACGGGCGTCGAGGTGCTGACCGCAGGAGCGCCTTTGAACATATGAGCACTCAGACTCATCGCCGACGGAAGTAAAGCCTGAGGAGAGCGTGGCACTGGTAGAAAACGGCGTAGCTTGAATGTACACTCTTGTTTAGCAATTGTTCAATCCCCCAGAGCTTGTGAATACGAGTGCCCGTCGAGTTTTGCTCTAGAAGCTTGCCAGCCAGACCGTCGCGAGCTCGGCGGAGGCAGGGTAAGCCGCGCGCTTGATCCGTCCGTTCGAGGCGTACGGCAACTGCCGGTGCTCCTTGGTCCCGACCATTTCTTGCCTTTGCGTCGATTCCCAGCCAAGCCCACTCCTCCACTAAGCCCACCCTCGACTCCAGCTTCAAATCGCACTGAAGACATGATCCAAGTCATCAAGTGCACGAGCAAGCCCTGTATCAACGGGTACCCGGCCTCCAAGCTGGAGTGCCCGACCTGCCACAAGTTAGCGCTCCTCGCTGCCGTCGACACTTTTTTCTGACTTGGAGTTGAGACTAGGAATACCTGGGTCTTTCTTCTGTGGCCAGGAGTGCTTCAAGGCGAATTGTGAGTGCGGTTTCGCGGGCGCCTTGATCTGAACTCCCGCTGAACTATCATCACAATCGCAGGGGTGAGCATACTTCTCATCGTTGACAATGTGCATCCGGCTAACGCGTATTTCCCTGAACTCAGAAGTCGCACAAGGTCATCCACACCATCGCCAAGGCGCCGCTGCCGTCTTTCAATGAGGGTGAAGGTGAGCAAAATTTGACCCAAGCTCGCGTGAGGGGCTAACAGCATTACAGAAGGGAGCTTCGATCCTTGGCCTGACTTTAGGTATACCGGAACATTAAGGGCAGTGTATCCGCTGTCGCCCAAACGCGCTGTGCCAAAGCACATCAACAAGCCGGACTATGCGAAGGATGGTAAGTAAAACTCAATTTTCGACGCGCCTTTCGTGCGTTAACAATAGGCGTAGGTGTCCCGAAGTCAGAGGCACTGGAGCCGTATAACTCTATTCGCATCCTGAACAAGAAGCAGCAGGAGAGGATGCGCGTTGTCTGCAAGGTATCTGCCCTATTGGATTCCCTCGTCGTGATATCGTGTACTAACTGGCCATTGCCTAGATGGGGCGCGAGATCCTTGATCTGGCCGGATCGCACGTCAAGCCCGGCGTCACGACGGACGAGATTGACGAGATCGTGCACAACGCGATCATCGAGCGTAATGCGTACCCATCGCCGATGAATTATCGCGAGTACCCGAAGTCGATCTGCACGTATGTCGTTTCTTTGTTGAGTAGCGACTATTGCACCGAATTGAGATTTCCAGGTCCATCAACGAAGTCATCTGTCACGGCATCCCAGACAAGCGCAAGCTGCGGGAGGGCGACATCCTCAACATCGGTAAGTCCCTTACACCTAGGATTCGACTTGCTAATGACACATTCCTCAGATGTTTCGGTGTACTACGATGGTAGAAGCACATAAAGAGCTCTCCGCGATAGCGACTGACACCCGGTAGGGTACCACGCCGACCTGAATGCTACCTACCCGGTCGGCAAAATCGACGACGAATCCAAGATGCTCATTCGCACGACGCGGAAATGTCTCGACGAGGCAATCAAGGTTTGCAAGCCGGGTGCCCTCTTCCGCGACATCGGCAAAGCAATGTACGTTCCGAGTTGCTCTCGAGCTCTTGTGTTTAGCCTGATCACCTTGCAGCGAGCCCGTCGCGCACGCGAACGGCTGCTCCGTCGTGCATACGTTTGTCGGACACGGTGTCCATGACCTGTTTCACGGCAACCCCAACATCCCGCACTACGCGAAGAACCGCGCGGTCGGAACGATGAAACCAGGCATGGTCAGTCGGCCCACTTGTCGTGTCCATTCTCGAGATTCTGACCCGGCCTTTGCAGACCTTTACTATCGAGCCCGTGCGTGTCGATTTCATGCGCCACAGATGATGGTGAACTGACGTTCTGCAGATGATCAACCTAGGTGTGTACGGAAAGGAAGTATGCTGGCCCGATGCCTGGACCATGGCCACGGCCGACGGAAAGAGAAGTGCTCAGTTCGAAGAGACGCTGCTGTGAGTCGACTGTGTCTGACTCTCTGTTGATGCTGAGTCGATGCCCAGGATTACGGAGACTGGCGTGGAAGTTCTGACTGCTGGAGCGCCTTTGGATATCTGAGAGTCTTTCAGGATCCGTATCGTGCTCATAGACCATACGTACGCTGTCCATAAGACCAATAAAGGATCTCAGCGGCCATCCAGAACGCCGCTAGCCACTTGCACAGAGCATAGAGGTCGTCCAGGTCTGGACGGGGCGTCGGCCCGTTGATAGGGGCCTGTGGACGCGTGAGGCGCCGGCGCGCATACATAATAGTCATCAACAAGCCTCGTTCCTCTCTCGCACCACCATGTTCAACTCATTTTTCTCGTACGTTGCAGCGTGTTGTACGCGTCCCCTGCTGAGATGAGAGCAGGACGACCGCCCCCGATGCGCAGAACTTCCACCCAGTGACCGACCACATCAAGGACGGGCAAATCTACGGCGAGCTCACCTCCAATGACCTCGAATGGACATGCGGCGGCTCGTTTGCGACGGAGACGCAAACGTGGTACACCTTTGGCAATGACGGGACCTTCTTGATGTGCCAGATCATACACTCTTCCGTCGGGTGCGTGTGCATTTTGCCCTCAAAACTCGCGATGGCTAACAACCTTTTGTGTGCAGGCTCTGGTACCCGCAGATCCAGTTCACGTGCAAAGTCTTCAACCCTGTACGCAACATCAAGATCTGGAAGTCCGTCAATATCAGCAACTTTGTCACCCCGCCGCCTGGGCAAGACAAGCGCTCCTCGCGATCGGACCAGTTCTCCGTCACGCACAAGGCCGCCGAAGGCGAGTTCCCGGAGAAGTACATCATCAACGCGAACCTGGGCACCGACCTGCAGATCGCCCTCGAGATCCGCCGTCCTGCGACCGTGCCCGGCTTCAAGGTTGGCAACGGTCCCAAGGGTGGCTTCTCGTACTTTGGTGCGGATGAGGCGAACCCGGAGGGGTACGTCGTGCATCGCTTCTGGCCGCGCACCAGCGTCACCGGTCACCTCATCATGAACGGCGCGGCGGAGCCCATGGAGGGCCCGGGCATGTTCGTGCACGCGATTCAGGGTATGCGTCCGAATCTCGTCGCCGCACGCTGGAACTTCGCGCACTTCCAGAGCGACGAGGCCGGCGGCGTCTCTGGCATCCAGATGGAGTTCACCACGACGGACGCGTACGGAAAGAAGGGCCCCGGCTCGGGCTTTGTCTCGGTCAACGTTGGCTCGCTCGTCGTTGGCAACAAGCTTGTGGCGGTCACCGCAGAGACGAAGTGGCCGGGCGAGGAAGTTCCGGCAGAGGCGCCGGTCATCTCGCGCGCGACGCACACCAAGACGGAGCAGGACGAGGATACGGGGTACAAGGGTCCGACGGAAATCGCTTTCGAGTGGAAGGGCCCGTCCATCGTCCCCGACGCGAAAGGCGACTACGCAGCCAAGGTTACGTGCGACCTGGGCCCTGTCGCTACGCCGCACGGCCTCGTGGACAAGGTGGATGTCCTCGCCGAGATCCCCTATGCGGTGAAGATGGTGGTGAACTATGTCGCCGGCACGAAGCCGTATATCTACCAGGTGCGTCGCTTCCTCCCTTGACAAACTCGCACCCATTCTAACACGCCCTCCAGTGGATGAATCCGGCGACCATGACCCTTCACGAGCCTGGCAAGGAGGAGCCGACCGAGATTAACGGTACCCTCTACAACGAAGCGACCTTCATCTCATAGTTCATGACCGCGACGCTTTGTATTCCTCCTACTGGATCTCCCCGACCGGATACCGGGACAAGTGTATAGTAGACCCATGCCACCTACATCGTATCGTACCATCACTTCTTAAATTCAGCTGTCCTCTCCCCGGACTATACTGAACTCGTTCGCGTCGACCATATGCATTGACATGGCGACCACTGTGCATTCTCGGAGGTAGGCATACAAGATACATTCATCCAGGTAACTTATCCGTAGTGTACATTGAGAGCACTCTCAAAACGCTGTCCAATTACTGCTCAAGAAGCTTTGCGACCTCGGCGTCAATCGTCTCGGGCGTGGTGGTGGATGCCCAGCGGTGGACGACGTTGCCGTTCTTGTCGACGAGGAACTTCTCGAAGTTCCACTAGGATGCAAACGTTGGCAAAGGCGTTGTCAGAGAGGCAAGGGAACGCACCTTGATGCGCGTGAGGCCAAGGATGCCCGCCTTCTGGTTCTTCAGCCACTTGTAGACCTCGTTCGTGTGGTCGCCGTTCACATCCGACTTCTTCATGAGGGGGAAGGTCACGCCGTGGTTGCGCTCGCAGAACGTCGCGATGTTCGCGTCGTCCTCCGGCTCCTGGTGCCCGAACTGGAGGGGCGATTAGATGGAGGGGGTATGCATCGGTGATACGCACCTGATTGCAGGGGAACCCGAGGATCACGAAGCCCTTGTCCTTGTACTTGTCGTACAGCGCCTGCAAGCCCTTATACTGCGGCGTGAATCCGCTGAAGGCGAGCTATCAGCCGACCGTCGCCCCGCAGGGAACGCACGAACGCACCACTTCGACGCGACGTTCACGATCAGCACGACCTTGCCCTTCAGCTCGGCGAAGTCGAACTCCTTCCCGTTGCCGAGCTCGGCCTTGAGGGAGTAGAAGCCATAGTTCTCGGACATGGTGTGCGTTTGGCGGGATTGGGGGCGGGGGGCGGAGGCAGCAACGAAGGGGACCCGCGCGGCAGGCCTGGCGATCGTATATAAGGCCGCGGCGCGCCTACGACTCACGCCACATGCGCCCTTACTCAGCGCGATGCCCCCGCATCGGTATCGGGGCATGCACTGCACTGCAGCTGATGCAGACGTCCGGGATATGGACAGCCGGGTTGCGCATACGAGGGGCATTTTCACGAGGATGGACGACGTGAGGAGGACGAGACGCGTGCGGCGTGCTGAGCTATGCTACTCAGACGAGGCGTGCCGTAAATTCGGCAATCCCTGCTACTCCATTTCGACGACCTTGGGCTGGGAACTGGTCATTAGGAATATGCTGTATATCGTCATGAACTACGTTGCGAGACCTCTACTACATGTCGTCGTCAACAGTCTACTTCGCCGTGAACTCGTAGTTCAGATAATGGCCGTCTCCCAGATCCTGGTGGTAATACCCGCCGACCTTCCCATCCTTCGCGCACTGGTCGATGAGCGCCTTCGTGAACTTCGCAGCGCTGGCCGGATCCGAGCACTGCGGAGACGTGCCGTCCTGCATGCAGAGCACGAAAGTGCACCCCAGGTTGTTCGAGACGACCGTCCGGCAGCCGGAGCCGTATGGCTGCGCGCAGTCGGGGTCTGCACCCTGCGCAAAGCCGTCCGAAATGGTCTGGCAGCCGGTCACGGGCGGGCTGGCGTCGGACGTCTCGCAATGGACGTAGTCGTCCGCGAGGACGACGATGGCAGCGAAGGCGGTGGCGAGAAGAAGCTTAGCGGCGAACATGGCTGAGAAGTACCGTTAGCTATACTAGAACAATTGGGGAGGGGTGAGGGGGTCGAAAGAGCCTACTAGATGCAATGGGGGAGCTTAGTGATCGACGGACAAGCAAAGCAATTGGCCGTGAGCTGGGATGAGGTCAGATGAAGTCGCTGGGTCCATTGGATGAGGGACACTCACCAAAATCACCAAAAGTAGAGGGAGTACTGGGACGATGAAGTTTCGCCTTCGATGCACTGACCTTTATACCTCACCCAGCTCTGAAGTCGGCCGGAGAGTCAAGACCGACTCCTAAACACGATGAGGCAAACAACTGCGTGTCCCGCTAGGGATGCAGGACGCGCTTCAAGAATTTTTGGAGCAGGCTCGCCGACATCGGAGTGGAGTGGGAGAGGGCGCGGAGACTGGCGTCGGGCATCGTTTGCTATAGCGGTCACCCGAGCCGCTTGAAACGAGGGATGAATTGAATTTGACGCCTGTTGATGAAGGAACGCTGCCTGGGTTGTAGGAATTGCTGATATAGACGATTGAGCTCCACCAAAGGGGAGCTCGCAAGGCGGGTATCAGCTCGAGGGTCGGATTGTCGGTCGTCGGAGGGAACTTCAGCTTGAGGCCCTGCAGATAGAGAGCGCCCCGAAACAAAAGGCATCGCTGGCTTAGTCCTTTCGAGGCCAAAAAGAACTTCAATGTTGCGTAAATCACGGGAAATCGACAGAGTGAACGGGCCAAAGCCTGCTGGAACGAGAAGAGCGCGATCTTGATGTTGTTGGGCAACAGAGACAAACATGCATTGGCTCGGCAAATCCCGCGATCACCTTCGTATTCCTCGCGTATATCCAATAGTCAGTGTTACAACAGCCAGTATTACCCAGAAGATCCCTTGAGCCCTTGTCAAACCAGTCGCGCAAGCCGCGAGCCCTCAAGCCATCGCCTGCATAACAGCCGTGTACGCCGGCTTCGGGTTGTAGTTGTTGTCGAAAAGCAGCGGCGAAGTGCCCGAGCGCCACGAGTTCTGCGATGCGGTCAGTTCAGGTCCTAGGCCCTCATCCCATTCAGCAAACACGCACCGCGTCGCTGACACCCCATACGGTGATAGAAACGCAGTTCGTGGTGGCGAGGCAGGCCTTTACGACGTTAGAGTAGTCGGATGCGGACGCGCCTGGTGGCGAGTGAGTAAGAGCAGATGAAAGCAAAGTAAGAATCGATCCCACCAGCAATATCGAGCTCCGTGATGGCGACTTCGAGGCCAGTGGACGCGAGCGCTGTGAGCGCAGCCTGCGCACCGCCGCTACCGCCAGACTGCGTCGTGCCAGGTGAGCCACCTAATAGTACATAGTACACGAAAGACGTACCGAAAGATGCATTTGAGTGCCGACGCCGTCGATGAGCTGGCTGTTGGCGTTGACGCGCTTTACAAGGCTGACCATGCCTGCAGCACCCATGGATTCAGTAACGAGCCCTGCCCCACTCGTAAGAACGAGACGCACCCTGAACCTTGGCGTTGTTCGAGTCCAGGTTGTAGTCGTTGATATAGAGCCTAAGAACGGATGTCAATGTCAACATCCATCGGCGACTGCAGGCTATCTCACTTCGCATCCGGATCCGCAGAGCGCGCGGCCGTGAAGGCGATCGTGACGAATTGCTGTTGCGTAGTTTGTCAATCTCAACCTCACAGACAAGGACGTACTGTCCACACACCTCGCCGAGCACGCGGGAGAAGACGCTGTCACGGAGCGAGCCGTCCTCGTTGAAGATCTCGTTGCAGACGTCCCACTATTACAGGTGTTCAGTTTGACTCTGATCATGGGCACTCGATTGTATGCCGCGTACAGCTGAAGACAGTACATCAGCTTGCTTTACGAGGCCAGCAAGAAACAGATATCACCCACCGTACACCTTGCCAGCGTAGCGCCCAGCGACGTTCTTGATATGGTTCTGGATCACAGAGGTCTGGATGAAGGTCAGTCGCGCCTTCTGCTTCTTCGAACCTCAGTCCAGCGTACGAGAGTCGACGAAGACCCAATGGACGAGACCCATCCGGGAAGTTGCGAGTGCCACACTAAACGCTGTTAGAGAGGCTTCGAAACCCTGGTCAATCGAAGTCGCGCGCACCGAGAGTGTGCGCCCTAATCTTCTTCCCGTTCGTCGTCGCCCAGTTCACCAACGTGTCCGCGCCACCGAAGTTGAACTGGTTCTGGCTCGCTATATGATGGGCAAGGGCGCGTCAGCGATGCTCATCTCCTGAGGGTCAGCCCCGATCACGCACGCTCCGTCGCATCCCACTTCATCGAGTTCTCGGGCGTGACGCCGCCGAAGTCGGACTGCAGGATCGCCGCGTTCTTCGCGATGTTGAGCGTGTTGCTGTCCGCGCAGGAACCCTGCAGAAGACGGTGATCAGCGTTCTCGAATGAGTTTGCGCAGGGATTGTAGGGGAAGATGTAGTGGCAGGGTGAGACGTGGGGACGAGGGACGGTAACGACGTGATGCGTACGAAGAAAAGCTTGCCACTGTGGCCGGTGAATGCCGCGTTCAATCCGGAAGCAGCGGGCGCTGGATTAGCAGGGCTCGTCGAAGTCGGGGTCGCCGGCGTGGTCACGGGCGTGGTCACGACGGTGCCGGGCTGGCATCTGAAGTGGCGAGTATGGTTAGGAAGGGAAGGGTGGAGGGATGTGAAAGTAGACTTACTGCGAGTAGTAGTCGTTGATCTTGACGCAGGTCGAGCCGGAGTCGCCTGTCGGGGTCGGTCAGTCTTCCCGAGATATTCTGAAAAAGCAGAGTACGCACAAGTGGTCTTAGGAAATGCAGAGTATCAACTGTCAAGCCCGATGAATCATACGCGAGGCATGGGAACTGACCTCCCCGCTCCATCCTTGGCCACCACCTAGTAAAGCCGGTCAACACCTATGAAGTTCACGGAGAAATCCAATCCAGAACTTACATTGACCCCACGTCGCCACAGCGAGCACCTGACTGACGACCAAGGAGAGAGAAATGAGCTGAAGCAGGTTGAACATGACAAGTGCGCTTGCTGCAGGGAAGTACGACGCGGTTCACGCCCCTCACCGCAAGCATTTATACCTCCCGTCAACCAGGCACTCCAACATTACCTTGTAGAAGGCCAGTTTATGGGACCTAGCCAAAAGTACCCCACGAGAACGGGACCGAGTCGAAGAAATAGCATGCACAGGCACGCCCGAGGCTCGAGGCAGCCGGTCCGTTGCCAAAGTCGAAGAGTGCACCGCGCGACGGGGCAACTTCGCTCGCGTGTCCCTTTCAAGGCGAGAATCTCGGCGGGAAGCCGGATGGTGAATAAGTGAATGGCGGTGGTGGATAGGTCAATAGTGGCTGGCGGACAATACTAGCGGCCCGCTCATCCAGGTTCAGGATGTAGCGGACCGCCTACCTTCGAGCAAGATATAGCGCTCTATTTCAGAAAAAAGAGTAACAGACGCGGACTCCCAGTTGAGTATATGTGCAGTTAGCCGACAAAGTTCCGAGAAAGTATGCGGTTGAATGTCCAAGAGGCGGTCACTCGAGGCACAACGTGGCCGGATCGACGGGGTGCGTGATCTCGAGGTCGAAGGAAGTCTATCCAAAGTCCATGTGGGCTCAATGGATGTCTTGCGAGCCATGGACGTCTATTCTGCCGCCCGCGTGACGCTGGGGTTAACTGAAGTATGTGGGTGATCCGGGAAGAGCAGAGCTTCTGAGGGAGCGGAGAAGGAGGTTGCGGAGCTCCGTGCTACATGCACGCTGGTTGAGCGGCTGCAAGGGAGATGGATACTCAAGTCGTCAAGGTCGAATTTGAGGCGTGGGAAGTTGACATGGCTCAGGCAGAGGACAAGCAAGCCGGCGTTTGCCGAACTCATCTTGTTTTCCTTCTGCATTCTCCCCTTTTGGAGTCTTCGAAGGATATCTTGTTGCTTGTGGCTCATTAAGAATTCCGTAAAACCAATCAACTTCTATCATCTGCGTAGCTGTCCTTGAGACCGGTCTCCTTAAGTCTTGATATCAATCGAGCCCTTCCAATTCGACTGTGCGCGTCAATGACCTCCCGCTCTTGAAGCTCTTGACAACCCCTACGCCATGCCATCGTCAGTGACCGGTAGAGGGCAATCATTCAGCCCATTCTTGACCGCAAGGGTAAGCCGACATGCTTCATAACCGAACTGACTGCTCATTCCCCCGCATAGAACCCCCTTGAGCAGACGTGCTGCCCCTTTAGGCTGCCGCCGCGCTTCCAGCTTGCTTTGCAAGTTTTCGTTGGAGCAGTTGCGCAGGAGCAACGCTGCTCTGCGCCATATCGCGGGTGGATCCCGAACAGATGTAGCTTCTCGCTTATCGCAGGCCCGGCGTGACCTTGCGGCTGCTTTAATTCGCTTGCATCCCAGCCGAGCGCAAAGCCTCCGACCCGTGCGCCTTGCCGGAGTTCATGGTAATGTGCAATGCGGCCCTGACCCTCATAGAAGACATCGCCAACAGATGAAGGGAAGACGAAGCCCGATCTCTGTGCTGTACTCCCGCGCTCCGCAGGTTACACAGGATATCTGTGCAAGTTCAGTAACATAGCTGTGCCCATTGATACCGTTGGAGTTACTGCTAAGGTGGCGGTGTGCAGCAGCTTCTGGCCGATTTTGCTCATGGAATTATGCACGTTTCCTCAGATCCGGCAGGACGAAGTCTGCGAAGAAGTATACCGGGGCGCGATTGTCTCCGGGTGCGGTGTTGCACCCACGCGCGTGTCGCGCGGGCAAACGAATACGTCAAGAAGAGCTTAGCGCGTTCGACACCGCCACTGAGAACAATGGATTCCGAGAACGCGAGTGGACACCGCCTCGACGGCGCGCTCGAGTCGTATAAAGGCCGCACCGGCTACAGGAGCAGCACACCCGAGCTGTCTTCCGCGACGGACTGACGCGTCCCCGACGCGCCACTCGCCCACAAGTCACGACACTCGACTATATCGGGCATTAGGCGCGCCTAAGCTCCGCGCGGGAGACGTACTTCATCCTTGGCTTCTGCACTCACGACGCTGGACCGAGCTTGCCCTCCCCCACCATCATCGAGCTCGCAGGCTGATAGCGCTGCCGAAGGGAACACCTGATAGGTCCTGGGCGCCTAACCACTAAGCACCGACTTCAACGGACGGCGATGTCGACATCGTTCGCATCCCAGAATGCATGGGTGCCGGTCAATCAGCACCCCTTGTCTACTCCCACCATGTCCCAGGACGGATACGCGAAACCTGCAGGCGATGTGTACGGCGCGCCGCGCCAGTCTATGGGCTGGACGGGACTCGAGGGCGGTTACGAGCACTCGATGATGCAGAATGATATGGCTAGCAATGGTGCGCATGCTCGGCTCGTATCGACGATGCTACGCTGACGGCGCTGTCGACGCAGGCGCTGCCAGCTCAGGCGGTTACTTCCAGCCGCGGCAGGCGCAAGATGCACGCGCATATACCCACCCTGCGGGTAATTACTACCGTCCCACTGCGGATGCAAACACGACCGGAAGGCGACAGCCCCATCCTGACGCAGGTGCTTACCACATGCAAACCGCTCCTTTCCCTGCCACGAATAGTAGTCATTATCCGGCCGCCCTACCCGCTCAAGGTCTATCTGTCGCCTACAACATGACAACCTCACCTGATCCCATGAACATGAATCAGTTCGAGACTGAGTCCTTTGTCGGACAAGGTGTACATGGACCCAATGCACCTGCCAAGCGACAGCGGGCTAATGCTGCGAGTTTTGATGACGCAGACGACGCAGATGACGAGGATCGGGAGATGAACAGGTTACGGCCGTGCGTACTCCGCTCGTTATATTTTGCGAGGTAGTTGACAGCGTCTTCCAGACAAGGGGCCTGTGCGCGATGCAAGGGCCTCAAAGTCAAGTGCGAATTTCGCGCCGACACCGACGTATGCAAGCGATGCCTCAACGCTGGCCAACCATGCCAAATCCCCGGCCGCAAGAAGCGGCGCACTCCACCGTCAGTACTAGGTTCTCGTCTCGCATCGATTCATATCCTCAAGTCTATCCCAGAAAGCGCGAGCACCTGCTCAATCAGATTCGCGAGCAGGCAGACGTGATCAAAAACCTCATGGGCCAGCTTGAGCAGCTCGGCCACGCCCCGCGGAGCGCGAACGGCTCAAACTCTGCGCGTACGTCACCGATGGTATCGCCGTCCTCTCTGCCTTGTGAGCTCGAGTCGACGTCGTCGCGCGAGCGCGTCGCTCCAGCCGTGGAAGAGTGGATGGCGAAGGCGCGCGAGCGCATCGACGACTTCATAAGCGTGGCGGGCTCGGCGCCGATCAGCTACGTGCAGGACGACGCGGACGGCTCAGACGACGAGTATGAGGACAGCGAGTACGAGTTCGCGATTGTGGACTACAACGGGGAGGTGACGACGCCGGAGGTCGCTGCCAGCCGGCGGGACTCCGCGCCTAATGGTGTGCCAACGAAGAAGCGCACTTACTCTGGGAAGCTCGCCACGCTGCCGAGCGAGGCGGCGCCGTACGGGCTGATGGCGAACCTCAGCCTGAAGGCCCATCCGCGCCGCGTCGGCAGCCAGGGCGAGGTGATGCAGAGCCCGGAGGAGGACAGCGAGCTGAGCATCGCGAACGACGACTTCTTCCGGAAGCGCTCCGTTCTCGAAGCGAGCCCGGGGCCCGACGCGGAGCGTCCGCGGGAGACTGCCGTATTCGAGTACCCCGCCATCCTCGCGCGCGGCATCATCACGCCAGACATCGCCGAGTCGCTATTCAGCATGTGAGTGGCCGTTCTCAGGCTGAAGACGCGCGCAGCTCATGCCCATTTCAGCTGTTTCGGGACCATGAACCAGTCCGTGTCGTTGCTCGACCCCGTCCTCTATACGGCACCTCGGACGTGTGTCCGCAGTCCGTTTCTGTTCACCGTTAGTGAGTGTCTGGTGTACTTGACGGATGTCGAGAGTTACTGATAGAGCTGCACCTCCCAGTCTGTGCGCTGGCGTCGAGGTTCCATCCTGATCACCTCAAGGTGTATCCCCAGCTCATGCGCTTCGCGCATCTTGCTGCTGGGACGGCGTTGATCAGTGGCACGAAGACCGTCGACATGTGCCATGCTTTCATTCTTCTCTCTCTATACCCTATGCCTACAAAACGCTGGGAGGACGACCGAAGCTGGATATTCCTCGGAACCGCTATCCGGTAAGTCCCCAGTCTACTCGCTAGACACCTGGATCTACGTTGACCGCAATCTTCTCGAACCTCAGCATCGCCATGGACCTCAACCTGCAGTACCCCAATACCGCAAAGCCGCAGAACGAGAATCACGCGCGCGAGATGCTGAACCGCACGCGCCTGTGGATCAACTGCTACAACCTCGACCGCTCGATGGGCTCGCAGTACGGGAAGGCGCCCGTGATCAATCAGGCGGACTACACGGCGACGCACACGCACGACTGGTGGCGCTCGAGCCCGTACAATCTGCAGAACTTCGACATCCACCTGTGCGCGTACAACGCGGACCTGCGCGCGCTGTCGGGGTTCATTCGGAAGGTGTACAGCAACCCGGACCACCCGATGGGGTTGAATAAGGACGTCGATCTGGAGCAGCTGTCGATGGAGTCGGACGACGAGATCCAGGCGCTGCAGAAGGAGTGGATGGGCATTATTGAGCAGACGGACATGACGGACTCGCAGAACCGCTTCCGAGCAGGGCTGTTGCGGCTGGCGTGGAGCTATGCGCGGTTGGCCGTGCTGTCGTACGGGTTCCAGCATGCATTCGGGAGGACGAATGCGGATGAGAATCCGTTCTTAATGAGGGTGAGTAGCCACTCTCAATGCAGTTCGGTGCTCGATGATCTGACGTCGCGCTGTAGTGCTTCACAGCAGCGAAGGACGTAGTCACTTCTGCGCTTGATGGTCTATCTCAGCCTGATCAAAGTAGGTGTTGGCTGGTGTTCAAGCTATTGTTTCGTGCTGATTGGTTCTGCAGAACTCTACCTCCGCCACGGCCCGGAGGCTCAGAAGGTCTTCGTCACGTTCGCCGCCTCCTTCCTCGTCAAGCTCCTTCAACCAAAATTCTCCCACTACTTCGACTACGACCGTCGGGTTGAGATCCACGGCCTCGTCACACGTGTCATCGACTTTCTCTCCAGCCCCGACATCGCGGTGGACGACCAGCATGGGCCGAAGTTGCATGCGCGGTTTCTCAAGGGGCTCCTCGCCTCTCCGCTCGCGCAAGTGACCCAGGTTCGCAGGACATCGTCGCAGTCAAAGTCGTCGCATAACTCTCCACCGGCCGCGGCGTCGTCGCCCGAATCAACCACCGGCATGCCGACGCCGGCAACGGCAGCGACCTCGTTCAATGACTTCACGCCAATCAACCCCTTCGCCCAATCGGCGCATACGATGGGCACGGCGACGGGCGATGGCGCAAACTTCAACCTAGAGGACATGTTCAGCCCACCGCTGCAGTATGATGCGGCCATCTTCGCGAGGATGCAGGAGCTACCTGCCCAGTGGTCGGATATCGCGGGGATGAGCACGCTGCCGGAGCAAATGATGCCCGAGAGGGCGGACGTGCGAGGCGGCGGGGAGGTGGATTGGTTCACGCAGTTACAGAATCTCAGTGCTCAGACCCCGCAGAGCGCGGATTGGCAGTATTGGCCATCGCAGTAGGTGACCCCCGTGCAGTTGTCGTCGGGTCCTTCTCCTCTCATATAGTAGACCGTACATATGTACTGTTATCGTTTGTTCTCCGTCTCGCTTATCGCTGTTTTGTCTATATGCGCACATGTTGTTGTATTCCTTTAGTTCGTTTCGTTTGTACACGTAGGAAGCCATCTAGCAGTACATAATTCGTAATTTTCTCCAGAACTTCAGAGCAAAGCGTCACATTACGCGCCAATCGAAGAGAGCGCCTCGGCCTCGCTGAGATGATCGTCAGTCTCGGGAGGTAACTATGGTGATTGCCCTGAACATACCTCGCGGAGATCGCGAATACCGTCCCATGGCGGGGGTCATCAGGTAAAACGTAGTCAGCGTCGTACGTCCACGTCCCGGACGAGATATCGTCTGCGGTCCATGATGAACAATAGACGATCCAATGCACCGAAAACCACTCACTCGTACTGAACGGCTCGTACCCCTGCGGGCTGATCTTATCCACCCACACATGGTACGTGTTCGCCTCGACGTTGTCCTTGAAGACCAGCGGGCCCTCGACCTGGCCGAACTCGGCGTCGCCGATGCCCTGGAAGACGAGCTCCCAGTCGTTGGCGAAGAAGTCGGCGGGGCGGGCGCGGGTTTGGACGACGCCGGTGAAGTTGGAGGGCCCGTAGGCGGAGAACTTTGTGAAGCGGTGCCAGTAGCTGGATGGGGTGAGTTGGGGTCGGGGAGGTGAGTTTGGGTTGGGAAGGTGAGAAGAAGGGTGAACAGGTGGATGGGTAGAAGCGGGATCATGGCGAGGAAGTGTACGGTAGAGCACACAATGAAGAATTTACCCAGATGCGTCATCGAAGATGGCGGTCGTGTCGATGGTGCTTGAGCCGTAGTCGAGCCAGACCTGGGGCTCGGTGAACGTGTTGAAGTCGGTCGTGTTGGCAATCATTTGGCGCGAGTAGGACGAGCCCGTGTGGTTCGTGTCGTCGGCATTGTAGAGCGCGCTCGCCCAGTAGACGTTGAACACGCCCTCTTCCGCGTCCCAGCGGGCTTCGGGTGCCCAGGTCATGCCGGCCTGAAGCGCGAAGGCCCCCGTTCAGCTACTTGAGAAGTGATGTATGAAGATCAAATCATACCTCCGGCGGCGACACCTTCACCAACCGCTCCTCGGACCAGTTCACCAGGTCATCGGACTCCCAGATCGCGAGCGACAAACTGCCCGTGCGCGACGCCTGATCCCACGACCGGCCGCTGCCGTACATCTTCAAGTCAGTCGCGACAACGTAGAAGGTGCCCGTTTCGGGATGGCGAATGATGAAAGGGTCGCGTACACCCTTGTCGCCGAGGGTGGAGGTCAGCACCGGGGAGGCGTTATTGACGGTCTTCCAGGCGCCGGGGGTGTTGCCGTCGGAGACAGCTGGATGGGGTGGATTAGCAAAGAGGGCTGTGAGTTGAAGAGAAAGGTGCACACCGAAGTAAATTTGTTCGCCTAACAAGAATCAGGTCGGTGGTGCTCAAGAGCTAGCGATCCACGTACCGTTCGCGTGAGACTCGCCGGTAAAGTAGATGAAGCCATACGCGTCTGCGCTGCTCTGCGGGGAACTCTGAATGACTCGGGTATCGAGGGATGAGTCTTTGGACATACCTGTCGCTTAGCAGGAGCGGCGAGAGCAACAGTAGCAAGGAGCAAGCCGGACAGGAAGGCAATCATTACTGGTTTCGAGCTTGGAGAGGGCTTCGACAGCAACTCAGCGCGGTCCCTCGCTGCGCTTTTGTACCATCCGCCTCACGGGCGCGCTCACCGACGGGCCGTCCTCCAGGTGACAGCTGACCGCTGCACGTTATGGCGAGCACGCAGATTGACAAACATGACGTAGAAATCAGGGCAGAGAAGGTGCTATTCGACTGGCCTGGTACCGTACAAGGCGTCCGAAGCCCGTTGTGCGCAGGTCGAGAGGGCGGTCAAGGCGGCGCGGTGCATGAGATCCTTGGCGAAGGCCCGGGGATGGACGTTCAAGTCAGCGTTCGGCCCGTCGTCCCGATTGATCCATGCGGTGCGTTGGCGGCGTCGAGCTCGGCGGCTCCGGACGCGGTGTCTAGCAAGGTGATGAGACGCTAAACCCTTGTAGACGATGTCGCGACTGGTAGTAAGCTGTGGCTTGACGAGAGGCAGGAAGAGTGGATGCTAGAGTGCCCAAAGGGCGAGATCCCCAGCAGAGACGAGAAGAGCGGGGCAAGAGAGGGACTTGGTCAGATACACTGATATTCAGTCCACCATGTGGGGTAAGGCTGAAGAGGGCTCTCAAGCACGAATATAAAGGGTAAGGAGGGTGTACTAGTTTCGATAGGTATAAGCGAATTCACTTACCACAAGGCAAGTGAAAGGTCAAAACTAGGGTCGTTGAGTAGATGTGTAAGCAGGCCAGCAAATGCACGAGCGACTTCGAGGATTTCTTTTGGCATACAGCAAGCCAATGAGCATGGCAGAACGTGGTTGGCGCTAAAGAATGCGCAAGGACCTCGCCTCGTCTTCTCATTGTGCGCACGTCAAAGAGCTTCACCGCTCTTCATCGCGCTGGCTGCTATCTTCGCGATTAGCCGGCCGAAAGTTACGCTTCCGCCGGAGCATCATCCACCTGCATCTGAGGGAGATTCATTACCACTCGTAGGTCCTGGACTTGCTGATCTATCGACTGGAGCTGCGTTTGCTAACTAATAAATTTAATGATTCTGCCTAATAGTACGTCCTATTGCTTATATCCTCCAATTATCCGTTCTCTCTGACATTCTTCAATTTGCTGGGAAAGATCTGCGAGCAATATGAACAGTACACGTGATCGTGAGATATGAGAGCACGTGTACAGGCTCGGAAGCGCCCGGACCGCGCCACAATCTGACCTTGCTTGCTTCTATCTGGGGGTGGGCATGCGCCCGCGATCAAACGGCTTATTTGGTCATGTTGACCTCCATTATTGGCCAGGTTCCGCCTTCCGCCTCTATCCCAACTTCCGCCACATCTCTTAGCGCCACAAGGAGTGTACAATGTGCGGTCTAAGAATTCTGTCCGACATTCTGTGGAGTCAAATATTTCTGTATGTTCGTATTGAATTTCTGATGCAATGAAAGTGTACTGGAAAAAAGCTATCAGAGGATGCGCGAGTTTTGACTCCACACATTTATGGAGTACATCGTTGTCCTCCGTATGTCGCATTATCCAGATGATAGACAAGGGCGCGGGTCACTGGATAGACGAGCAAGTTCACATGGCGGAATGATGACAGACGATGATGACATCAGCGCGCGCACCTGTGCTTGACCCCGACGTCGATCATAACCGCGCGCGACCAGCAAATACGCTATCTGTTTCGCATCGGTCGGGCTTCAGTACATTACTACAAGTGCAATACTAGCGTCCATGGCCCCTCTGACTGCTCGGAAACTCCACCAGAGGCTTGCCTCCGCTTTGGGACACGACCACTTTCTCGCCGGTCTGAAGGATTCTGTCGAACGCGTACATGCCGCTGGCAGCGAGAATATAGACCCTGCCCTACTTGCGGCTCACACACGTCGCTGTGACTCCCGCTGCGCGCGTTGCCGAGACGAAATCGCGACGCTGAAAGCCGACCTCAATGACCTACTTGGTCAAAATTCTGCTCTGCTCGACGAGGTCGCCTCACTGCATGCAACAATGTCCGAGACCACCCAGTCTCTGATCGCGAAGACAGACCGCGTCAAGGATCTAGAGAGGAAGAACCGCCGCTTGACGAAGAAAAATCGTTCACTCACCGACGACGTGACGGCCGCGGACAAGCGCACGCAGCGGGTGAAGCGCTCGAAGCGTAGCGCTGCAGATGGGCATGAAGCGCAGCTGTCTGCACTTCGGACGAAGCTCGACGATGAGCTAACGGCTCACGCCGCCGACGTAGCGGGTCTCGAAGCTCAGCTGGCCAACATTACGCACCAGCTCGAAATAGCCATCTCGTCGCGCAACCGACTGCGTGGGGCTGCCGCTGCTCATCGCAGGGACAAGTCTATCATGCGGAAGCAGATCAAGCGCCTGCTGGTCACGCTCCGCAAGGTCAGGACTGTTCTGCATGATCTTCAGGAAAAGCTCGTCTTCACGCCAAAGAAGGGACACCAATACTCTCCGACCTCACGCTGGCTTGGCCGGCAGCTGATGCGGTATGGTGTCAAGCCCCACTGGTTGGATAGCGCCGTCAAGGATGTCGCTTTCGCTTTCGGCATCCGTATCAAGGGCCGCTTCTTGAGCCGCCGCACCGCTGGCGCTGTAAAGCTTGAGCTAGGGATGTGGTCGCTCCTGCAGCTCGGGAAGGAGATTAAGGACTGTATGGGTAGGTTTTCCATCGCTTCTAGTGTCCTTGTACTGATGGGATCCTCTAGCATTCGTATGTAGCAGCGACGGGACCAGCCATAAGAAGATACAGTATGAGTCTACCTGTATCAGTCTCCGCGCTCCTACGTACGAACCCGATGTGAATGATGAAGATCCATCTACCTGGAAGCCTGTGACACGATTTGTTGCTCTTACCAGTGCGCTCCGTCATACCGCTGAGGCGCAACAGGAGGGGAAGAGAAAACTTGGTGAGAAAATTGCGGAGATCTACAACAGCAGTCCGCTCGCACAGGCTGACGGAAAGATGGATGGGGACGAGTGGTTGATTAAGCAGGTTGGGCAAAACAAGGATCACGCTGCTGACGGCAGAAAGGAGACAACTGCCACTGGGGAAGCGAAGGAGAAGGCAGTCACAAGACGCCTTGAGGAGGAGGAGGCGGCGAATATTGACTTCCAGATGCTGCTTCGCCGGGTCATGTCGCTCACGCAGCAGGAGATGCGAGCAGCTGTTGGCGAAGACCGTGCATTGTCGGATATGTGAGTCCAATCATTCTACGTGAGGTTCTAACTGATAATTGCTTCATAGCGGCTATGATGAGCGTTGCCAGATCGCGTTGAGCCTTCTGAAGTCCAAGCTTGGGCATGACATGTACTTGCGACTTCACGCTGACCGATCCCGCCAGGCATTCCTCACCATGTTCATCTTCGGAGGCTGCGGCGCTCACAAGGATCTTAATGCCTTCAAATATGGTACCGATGCGATCAGCAAGCTGTGGAAGTCAAAGACTCTCGCTAGCCCTCAGCCGATCCTCCTTCCGAACAAGGCATTTGACGCTGTCATCAACCTCCCACACGCTGGGGATAGCGAGGCCCCGTCCTCATCTGATGCTCGACTCCTCGCTCTCAGCGCGAGTGCTAGCGGCGGTGTCAAATGTGCAGCTATCTGGGGCGCTATTTTTCGCAACAAGGATGACAAGAAGGGCTACCAAGAGCACGGTAGGACTCTTGTTCACTCCTTCAAAACCGAGTTGCACGGTTCCGCCTTTATTAGCTCTGCTAATATCGCCGACACAAACAATACACGCTACCAATCGCACGGCAAGACCGCTATTGAACTTGTCACGTATGACCACGAGTACCGCTCCACGATCGAGACGATTTGCCAGGGCAAGACAAACGGTGGCCAGCCGAACCATATGGAAGCGCTTGCGTTGCGCGCCTTGGACTTCCGTCAACCTGGATGGACCTTATCGCTATGGGCACGTACATGATATGTGTATCCGAGCCCTATATGCGGTACATCCGGGGCACAGACAAGCATGGCGAACCTCGTAACTTGCTCGATACGGTCAAGCTGCACCGCCGAATCCCAAGCTTCTGCGACGAGCTAGGGGACCATCCCGAGCGCCTCTTCGATGAGTCGACTTCGTACAAGCATCAGACCCTGTTTGGAGCCCCTCTCACGGACCGCCAGTTCTTCGCGAAGGCGCGACTTCTGCGGGGGGAACTAGGAGACGACGTCCTGCGCGTAATATCAGCTATGTTCCATGGCGCCGCGGATGGATGGCGACAATTCACAGCCGAGTTCGCACCTGATGGCCCTATCGATCGCCTCAGCGCCGACCAACGGCGCATGCTCTTCATCCCAGCGACGAATGACCACAACGAAGGCGCTCTTGGCTCGTGGCGCCTATACATCCGTCACAATCCCTGCAGCACACCAGCGACCTTCTCCGCTCTCGAGCGCGCCAATCGAAATGACTCTGAGGCCTTTATCACTAAGGTCTACACCGAAGCGCTCGAGACGTTCGTAATGCAGAGCGCGCGAATTCAGGGGGCGAGCGGGGAGATGAAGAAGTTTAAGCAGGCATTGGCAGCGCAGTCCCGGGAGAAGGCGGCCGCGCAGGACAGAAAGAGGAAGCAGGCGGAGAAGCGCTCGAAACAGCGTCGGCAGCACCTGGAGAGCGTGGGACTGGAGATGCGGGAGGACTCTGTCCGGCATATGGGCGTGAAGGCGCTTCGGGAGCAACTTGAACTCTATCGCGATGTCGTCGGGGACTTGGTGACCAAGAAGCTGAAATGGTCACTCGAGCTAAAGGGGAAGGATAATATGTTGGCTCAAACCCTTGCGGCGCTCTCGAGATACAAGTTGTAAGTGTTTTTTCTCCTTCGAGTTGGGAAAGTTTTGCTGATCCGACAGATCTGATGGGGAGGCCGAATCAGGCGCCGCCGAGTCTCCAGAAGCCCAGCAGGCATGCCCGGAAGCTATGGATGTTGATCCTGTGCAGGAGGGAGGGCTCGTGAGTGAAGACGAGTGCATGGGCGAGGACGAAGAGGATTTGATGGACACGGATTTCTTCTAAGTCGCGACATCGACCTTGATTTGCTCACGGCACACGCGATCCGCGGCTTCTGCATCTCGAACTTGCAGGACCATTTAGATACATGCACGATCTATGTATATTGTATATACAACGACTCGATAGGTGCCCTTTTCAGAGCACTATCAGCAGGAACATCGAAATCTCTGATTTGGCGGGGGTATCAACACGACCAAATAAGCCGTTTGATCGCGGGCGCATGCCCACCCCCATTCTATCAACGATGTGCATGTATACCGCTTCTCGTGTGTCTCTTCCTCGTCAGCAGTCGTGCAAGAGTTCTGTTACCATGTGGATCCACTGCGAACGGTATGTGGACGGTGCTCGCGAAGGAGGAAGGTCTGCTCGTCGTCGGTGGGCGAGATATGCATCCGTCCCTTCCCGCAAGTGCGTGGCGCAGGTCCATTTACAAACCCACGCGTTGCTGCACAACCCCCGACAACCATCCCGCGTTTCGTTTGCCTCCGTTGCCCGAGATCCACCCGCCCGTCGTCCTCGTTGGTCGTTATTGTCCCCTTCGGACCTGCCCAGCGCCCCAGCGTTCTCACGGCGCGGCGGCCCCGTGACGCGCGCGCTGGGAATTGAAGGCGCGTGCCGCGCTGAGCAGGCGCCCACAGGTCTCGCTTGTACTGAATTTCGAAGGCGGATCGAGCTAGACGTCCTTCGCAAAATTCCAGTGATGTTCCGCGCGCGCGCCTCCGCAGGAGGGAAGCAAACCGTCAGTTCTGGGTCCGAAAACACCGAGCGGCGGCAACATCGACCTCATCGCCGCCCCAGCACGGGGCTGCCTGCCGCTGAGGGCGGAGCCCAAACATATCGAGGGGTGGTTGTCGGACGGAGCGAGGTGGCGACGAAGGCCCCGGACTGCAACCCACGCCGTAATCCCGTTGTGCGGGACCGACAGACTGGCCAACGTGGTCGCGATTCAACACAAGAGAGGAGCCCTGGGCGCGCGATTCCAGGCAGAAATTCGTTCTTCCGTCTTTCCAATTCAATATAATGCACTCCGACGCCGCCGATCACACGAAGATCAGTAGGCTATCGGCGAACCAAGGCGCTCACCCCCCCTGAGATGCCTTCACACCGGGGGAATCAGCCGACGTCAGGGTCTTCCGTCGTCGTGGTCTCCCTTTTCGCTCGTGGTCTCTTCTTTCGTCCCGCCACCACGTCCCGTCCTTTCCAACACGTCCCGCGCAACCACTGACGGCGCGGCGCGCACGGTAGAACCCGCCCGCCATGTCGCTCTCGGCCTCCGCCCCCCCTCCCCCGCCCTCGGACGCACCCTCGCTCCCGCTTGGGGACTCCGCGCCCGCGATCCCTGTCTCGAGCCTGTTGAATGTGGACCAGACCATCGGCGCGATGTCCATCGGCTTCTCCCTCTCTTGCTTGCTCTTCGGCGTGCTCTCGACGCAGGTGTTCATCTACTTCAGGCGATACCCGCACGATATGTACGGGTATAAAGCCTTCGTTGTCTGCATCTGGTGAGTGCGAACGCCAATGCGATCCCCCCCCTCACGCGCGCGATCCCCCGTGCGCATTAGCGGTCCCCCGAGTGAGCGCGCTGTTAACGCGTACAATCTAGGATGCTAGAACTCATTGGCCAAGTGCTCATCGGGTACGTCGCGCGCTCATAGCGGACATAGCTCGCCGCTGACCCTCGCAGACACGCCGTGTACTACTACACCGTTAGGTACGCGCAACGTCAACTCAATTCAATCGCTGGCACCGCTCATCACCTCCCCTCCCCCCAAGCCACTTCGCGGAACCGCTGGTATTCATCACCGGGAACGTAATCTGGACGCTCATAGTGCAGATCATCTTCGGGGTGAGTCCCTCGTCACTTCATCCCGCGCACCGCGGGTAGTAACGTCCATTCGCAACCCACCCAGGACATCGTCGGCTCCCTCGTCAAGGCGTGCTTCGCCCGTATGTGGTCGCGCTCTTCGGTTTTCCATAGAAAGCTGATCATTTCCGGATATAGTGAGGGTCTACCGCTGTGAGTGGTACGCGAAGAGTCCGCCATGCGCGCGCTGATATCGGTTCCCAGTCAGCGGTCGCAATTGGTGGGTTACCGGGGGCATCGTGAGTGTTTTCATTCACTTTCTCAGAGTGGGGCGCTCATCTCATGATTGCTCTGTTCAGTTCATATTAATTCTCGGGCAATTCGGTGGGTGGCCGTGGCCGGCGTCGTCGTACATCCATTCAGCGGACTGACACTCTGTGCGCAGGGCTTGGTATTGGTACGACATCCCGCTTTCATTCGCAGGATTGGGGGTTTACCATGTGGCAAAAAAGCGTATTCCCAACGCTCTTTCGTCCTCGACAGACTCGTCTTCCTTCCGAAGCTCAAGGTCAGTCGTCTCTTCCCTTGCCCGTGCGCATCCTACTCACACTACACCCATTGATATAGACGATCGCGACGCTCGCGCTGAGTGCGAACGTCGCAACTGATGCCACGATCGCCTTGTCCCTGTGCTTCTTTCTGGGAAAGTACCGCACAGGGCATCGCAAGTACGTGTTTCTTATTCAACTCCCTTCTCACTCCTCTATCACATCCATCTCCCTTGATAGTCGGCTGACCACGCGTCCCAGGAGCGACACTATGGTCAACAAACTGACGGTGGGTGCATTTCGCCGGGCCATGTGGCGTGTTGAATACTGAGATGATCTGGTTTGTCCGCGCGCGCAGGCGTATGCGATTAACACGGGTGAGTGGTGTTCATGCTTCCCTTCGCGGCATCCGCTGGGACTTCCCGACATTCGGATGGGCTTCGCGGCATTCGCATGGTCGCGGCATTCGCCTGGGCTTTGCGGCATTCGCCTTGGATTCGCAGATTCGCTGACCGTAGTGTGCAGGACTCTTGACTTCTCTGATCAGCCTGGCCACTCTACTCCTGGTATGTGTTGCATCTCGAAGTGGAAGGTCTTCGGAGCCGCGACAGTAACCATAACTAACGTTTTCCCAGTATAATCTCCGGCCGCAGACCTTCGAGTTCATGGCCATGTTCTTCGTCGTGAGTACTTTACCCTCTTACCGGAGAAATGCCGTATATCTGACTACCCCTACCTCTCCTTAGCTCTCCAAGTGTGCGTACCGCTCCAAGTTTCCCCCACCCCACGCGCGCTCCCTCCGTCGCTCAACCCTTTCCCTCTCTCGACTCCTCGTACAAACTAACGACGCCGTCTGTCAACAGTATACGCCATCACGCTCATGTGCACGCTCACGACGCGCAAGATCATCCGCGGGCGCGGCACGGACCGCGAGGCGAGCGGCTACACGGGCTACAACTACACAGGCGGGCAGACGTCCTTCATCGGCGGCACGGCGACGACGAATTCGGTGTACAAGATCAGCCACCACAATCGGACGGCGGGCGTGCCGCGGGCGCCGCACTCGCATACGCATCAGGTGCGTTCGATTATGGGGCTGGTCGATTGTGTGGCCGGTCGTGGTGCGCACGCGATGACTGACGCCCTCGCAGCTCAGTGCCCCGCTCGAGATTGGTGTCCGGCAAGAGGTGTCGGTGGTTTCCGATATCGAGATGGACGAACAGAAGGCGTTCCAGGTGCGTGGTGCTCGAATCGCATATTCCTATCAACCTCTCACGAATCCGACCAGCTTCCTCAGCCTGCGAGACCAGCGGCAGTGCGTCCGCCCAAGGGCGATTACTTCTGAGGATAGCGCGCCACTTCAATCATGGTGTGCTCTCGGTTGCACGGTGCGGCCTCATATGCATAGCGCGTCCTCATATGCGCGGCGCGGCGTGATAATGCACGGCGTATGTGCGGCTAGTGGAGACATGGACTCTGGTGATAAAAGGATTGTGTTACGTACAGATGTCCATTTTGTGGATATGTCCCAGTTTGTGGTTAGTTAGAAGATCTCTCCAGTGTATTCCTCACATCGTGTACTACTTACTATCGTTGAATCTGACCGGGTCTTTCTCTAGCGCCCGTACTACAAGCATCTAGCGCAAGTTGTTCGAACCTGCCAGCTACGCCATGAAGAGGCGACGATGTCCATCTGCAGGCTCATGATAACTTCGAGCATCGTTCTCACATATTACAGACGCCGACTCTGTTGCAAGAACTGGCCCATCGACGTCAAGCAGACCTTCCCACTTTGCAACAGTCTAAGCCCCTCCTTCGCTGAAGGTCCATATGGTAGCAGAGTTCTTGCGTAGTTCTTACGCAGAAGATACACACGAAGGGACACATGGGAGCGGAGAAGAAATTCACAACAACGGAAAAGAGACTCCCAAGACGCGGTGCACATGCACGAAGCAAGCAAGGTCGGACTGTAGCGTGGCCCGGGTGCTTCCGAACGTCACGTGCTTTTATGGCACACAGTCATGTGCGCGATGTTCGTGTGGCGTCGTTCTCGTGCGTAGTGACAGTGCACGCTCCTTTTCGAGTGCCATGGTCAGAGAAAATAATTCTCGTTATTCCCTTACGACTATAATACATTTTCACGCTGACATTTCAGGGTCCATGCCCACCACTGCCCACCTACTCGTCCGCCACTTTGATCACCGCCTTCCCTGTGTTGTACCCCTTCTGCACCGCAACGAACAGGTCTCCGACCTTGTCCAGTCCCTCCGCAATCTCCTCCCGGATCTTGACCTTCCCAGTCGCAATCCACTCGGGAACCTCCTTGTAGAAGGCGTCCATGTACTTGCCTTGGATGCGGGAGACGATGAAGCCGTGGATGTGGAGGGATTTGCGGAAGACGAGATCCCAGGTCTGAGGGGTGGTCAGTACGAGTTTTGAGAGTATGTTAGGGGAAGGGGGAGAGACGTACATGAATCGGTACCGTGCCAGTGTTGTAGCCGGAGATGGCACCGCAGGCCTGAGGCGTACATTAGCATTATCATCATCCTTTTTTGCGCGATCTACTCACAATAATCCGCGCTCCATCCGCCGCGTTCTCCATCGCTGCCTCGAGAGTCTCGCCGCCGACATTGTCCCAGTACACGTTGATAGGGCCTTCCCGCTTCAGGATCTCGGCGGTGTTTTCGGTCTTGTAGTTGAATGCGACGTCGACGCCGATCTCCTTCATGAACTTGACCTTGTCCTCGGAGCCGGCGGACGCGATGACCTTGCAGCCGGCCATCTTAGCGATCTGGACGACGAGGGAGCCGACGGCGCCGGCGCCGGTGGAGACGAAGACGACGTCGCCCTGGGTGCGGGGTGGTAGTTAGCGTCATGGTTTATTGTTGCTTGTTTGTATTGCAACGCTAGCAGAGCACGGCTCACCTCCTTCACATCCGCATACTCCTTCCACGCCGCGTACGCGGTCATGCCCGGCATGCCCGCGCTGCCGACGTACACGGACCAGGGGATGTTGTGCGTGTTGGGGAGAACGCGGAGGGAGGCGCCGGGGACGATGATGTACTGCTGGAAAGCTGGGGCGAGGGTTAGTATACAGTTAAAATCCGTTTGTGACAAGACGAGGTGAGGTGGGCTGGGTGTGGAAGAGGGAAGGGGGGAACAAAATACTCACGAATGAGGCCATAGACATGGTCGCCGGCCTTGAAGCACTTGTCCTCAGAGCGCACGACGACGCCGACGCCGTAGTTGACCAGGCTGATGGGTAGAACGGTGAGTGAAGAGTAGCGGAAGCAACCGCATGACGCTCACGGTTGGCCGAGCTCGAATGAGGGCTGGCGTCGCAAGGGTTAGCACACAAGACCTGAACCTGAACTGGCTTTACGCACGATATACGAGCTAAAGTTGCTGGGCCGCATGCGCCCGCGCAAGTAGGGATCAATGGAGAGGAAGAGGACCTTGACGAGGACCCCGCCGTTCAAGGCAACGGTGTCCGGGTCGATCGTGTCCTTGTCGTCGTACACGATGTGCTTCCCGGGGACGGGGTAGTCCTCGGGGACGGCCGCGAAGACGGACTTGGCGTTCTTGACTGGCGCCATTGTTGGATGAGAGTCGATGAGTGGATGAGGATGAAGATGGAGATGGAGATGAAGATGGAGATGAGCGTTCAGAACAAGTGGGGATCTTGCGCTATAAAGAAGGAGCCCCGCGTAGCCGATTCGGCCATTGATCACTATTTCTCAGCGCCGCCCAGGCTTGGTCAGGACTTGGTCAGGACTCAAGAGCGTCCCCCCGCGCCTGGAAGCTTCGCGAGCCGCCCTCCTTGATATGTGGGACAGGTCTCAACGCATGGATTCCTGGCATGACGTCCAATCGCAGAACTTCGACCGAGCGGCTGGACGGATGCAGAGGCGGAAGAACATGAAGAATCCAAAGGATCGACGTGACATCACTCCGGACCGGCGCATAGCAATAACCGGAAGTTGCCTGAGTTGGGTGTGCCATTGTTCTCGCTGAATCCTGCCCAAGGAAGCTAGTTAGCTGATACATGGGATGTCCGAGGTAATAGGTTTGTCGAGCGTGTTGTGTACTATCCCAGCCTCTGCCCCGACCGTTTCAAGACAGAGGCCGGAGGCGGGTGCGTTTTACTCCAGTGAGACGACGTCGAGGACAAGGGCGAGAACTGTAGTCGAGGGAAGATATCATTTTCCCTCAGAGCCAAGGCCAGAGTGTAGCTGCAGGTCGTTGCGAGAAGAAGAAATTCAACTGTGACGTTGATGTGACAGATCACGTGCTCGTCCCGACGAGTAACACTCGTGTACAAGCCCCAAGACAAGCCCTTCTTATGCGTCAGAAGGTATGTATCCAGAAAAGAAGGCACGTCATTCGCCTTACATACACACATACAGAAGCCCAAGCTAAAAGTACATCGTGAAGGAGATCGTGGTCTACTATCGTAAAGCACGAGAGGCCGTAGCCAAGAGCTACTCTCATGTTGACATGCAGCGGTCAACAGAAAGCTTGGCCGGGTCCGGGTTACCCCACCTGCGCATATCCTGTCAGCATTGCATCGAATGCAACACAAGAAACAACGCACCAGTACGGGAACGGCACCTCCTTCCCACTCGCGCCGAACACAGCGAAGCTGAGGATGAACAGGATGACCTGACTCCCACCATCCAACGCCGCAGACAAGAGGTAGTTATACTTGACGAACCACCCCGGGTACCGCTTGCGCATGTACCACTGCGAGACGAAGCCGATCACGAGACAGGACCACCACTGGCCGTTGACGGAGTAGGGCAGGTAGCCTATGTAGAGCGTGAGCACGGGCACGTTAATGTAACGTGCCGCGCGGGCAAGCCAGCTCTTCTTGTTCGGGCTGAAGCGCCAGATGAGGTAGAAGGGGAGAGGGATGAAGAAGCCGATGATGCTGTGGGGAGGATGGGTCAGCAGTCGATCGTGAATGGGATAGAGAAGAGGGAGGGAGGGGACGAGAGGGTTGAAGAAAAGACGCACGTAGAGAAAGGAATGATCCAGTATCCTGACGGTTTGCCGACGGTGAACAGCTCTTGACCCAGCGCGCCCATGGCAATGGCCGCGGAGTTGAGGCCCTGGATGATCCAGCCGCTCCATACACGGGTGCCCGTGGGGTCCCTGAGGACTTCACGGTTGGTGGATACGATGCTCTTCATCACTGGGGAGGACGTCAGAAGAGCGTTCAGGTGCGGCGAGGGCTCGCAAACGTACTGGTGTAGTTGAACACGGCACCGACGATGGAGCCCAGCATCTGCGCGATGAAGGTGACTGTGTAGAAGGTAAGTATACAGTGATATATTGGGAGGACGAGAAACTTACAGCGAGGCGGCACCTTCGTGTACTGCGCAAGCTTCAGGTCTTGCAACATGTACAGCGTCTGTGTGGCCGAGCTGTTGCCGTACAGGTTGGCGTACATGACAGAGCTGGGAGGAGGGTTGAGCATGCGAAAAGATAGTCGGACGACCAAGAAGCTTACATAGGCTCGCCAGGGTGGATGAACGCGGCCAAGATCTGCAGCGCAAACTTGACCTGGATAGTCATACCCGTCGTCGCGTTGATGAAGCCCAAGAAGATGGCGATGATCCCGCTGAGGACTGCGCGCGATGTCAGACGTGCACGAGAAGGCATAATGCGAGAAGACGTACTGGAGAAGACAAGGATGCTCCAAGCGGGCTGCAGGACGACACCCCCGGGACCACCGTAGCTGCAGCCAATGCAGACCGCAATGCAGACGACCCAAAGCGCGGCGTATACCCATTGCGGGACCTCGGCTGTCATCATGTCAGTCATTGAGTCCGCTCTGTTCACTGAATGCACCACTCACGATACTTCTGCATCTCCTGATAATGCGGGTCGTTGATATGCTTCGCATGCCCCTTCTTCAAGAAAGCGAATCCGCCAAACGCCTGCTTTAACTCCGGGAAGTACCAAAGGAAGATCGTCGTCACACTGGCGCCGACCGACAAGTTATACGCCAGCTGCGAGATCGCGTACGTCGTGGTGTAGCGCGGGAGGCCCACCGCCTCGAGCGCGGTCTTGTTCAGGTGGTAGTCCGCGGTGATGATAGAGGACTGGTCGTACGTCTCGCCGTCGTCGCCGAAGAGGGAGGTAGACATCCAGGGGAGGTTCCGCCCGTTAAAGACGTTGTTGTAGTAGCAGAGCGTCATGACGAGGTAGCAGATAGCCATGCCGAGGTAGGAGTTGACCTCTAGGGGGTGGGTTAGGTGGGGTAAGACGAAGAGGGGAGGAGACAACGTACGGGTGCGCAAAGGCCAGACGAGCGGGTTGCCCTGAGTGATGAGAGTCCACGATGTACCGAAGGACAGCAGCCCGAGACCCTCGTTACTGGAACCAGCGCCGAACAGGTTGCGCAGGAACGCGTGCCGCCCATTGTCCGCCAAGCAGATGACGGAGATGGCGGTGAGGAGGGGGAAGGGGTACTGTGGGATCCACTCCCAAAGGAAGATACCGGCGAACTAACAGAGTAAGGGTAAGTATATGGTTGAGGTCTGGACATACGGCAAGACGTACAGCGAGCCAGAAGAACTTCCGCTTTTTCTGGTTGAGAGAGCCGTGGAAATGGAGGGACTGCAGCAAGTTGACGACAGAGATGTACGTCGGGAAGAATGCGCTATGAAGCCCGTCAGAACTTTTGAGGAGAGCGAGTTCATGGCGAGACATACTAGGTCGGGTACACAAGGAATGTCCGCACTGTGGACCATGTGAGTGACGCGCATCGTATGAAGTGGACAACACATACACATCCCAGCAACACCATAGCCGATCATTTGCGAGGCAAAGATCTGGAACATCGCCACTGCAGGGTTCAGTCTGATGTTGTAGAAGAGGTCTATCGCGAGTGTCAGTCACTGCACTGCGTGCATCTGCCAGCGGGAAACATACCCAAAGCCGCGACAATTTCCATCCCGAGCGCGACATTAGACGCCGTCGAGGACATGATGACGATGATCGTGTGCTCCCTATTCAGCGCAATGATTAGCTCTGCCCGCCGCCGAACATAGTGCGGGAGACGCAACGCACTTGATGGAGAAGGGCCCGGGGTTGAGATAACGCCAGAAACCACGCGAGGGCATTACGCTGTGCATGGCCGTCCCAAGCACATACGCGATGATCAGGCAGAAGAGCTGCGAGACGGACGCGTTCTGCGGCTTGAAGGTGTAGATCGTCGCGAGCACCTGCGGAGTATGACTGTCAGCGATGCTTGTACCTCAAAGGCGTGCGCGGACGTACCGAGGTGAACGCGCTCAGCCCAATGCCAAGGAAGATCGCACGGAAGGTGAAGACAGGCAGCTCGGGGTCGTCGCGCGCACTGATGACTTGCACAGCGACATCTGAGGCCTTCTCGATGTGCACCTCGCCCGCCTCCTGCACGATCGCCTCGACGTCGTCTTCCTTGTCGTGCTTCTCCGAGATCTTGTCGAATGAGTCTGACCGGTTCATGGGGGACACCGGTCCCAGCTCGGGGAGCTGGCCGACGAAGTCCTGGTTCTCCTTCTTCTCCTGCATGGTGAGGGCGGGAGAGGGCCTGGCGAGGGAGGGGGAGACGGGCAGGTAAAGATGTCACCTATCATGCCGCGCTTCTTAAGGTGGCGGGGAAAGCTTATCATGTGGGCGGTGGGGCGTCCGCCCGATAGCAGGTCGAAAATATTTACTTGGGCACAAATCCTCCCGAAGTTCAACCTTCGTCACGTGCGAAGGACGTGCTCTTCACGCTCGACCTGAAACTGACACAATAGACTGAGAACTGCGCGAGTAGTGGCCAAAGAACCTGCACGGTGGCGACATCAACAGACGCTCTGCAAGGGGACAGCGAAGCCGTACCAGATGCGATGAGATAGCCACGCGCTGATCATTCGTTTATCGGCGGGGGCGGACATGCGGAGAGCGCGATAAGTGCGAAGCGGCAATGGCCTTGACGTTGGGCGTCTCTATCTCGCCGAGAACCTAAGCCTTCGATAACTTCCGCGTCCCCCCTGATCGCCGCTGCGCGCCTTCGGACGCAGCGCTTCGGCCGGAGGGATGATCGCGCCCTGGCGGAACTCGCAGGCCCGGGCATCACTATTGGTTGAATGGTTCGGACAAGAGCCTCTCAAGCCCAGTGCATTCTTCCGAGGCCTATGTACAGCGTCTATATGAGAGATAAGCGCGACGGACAGGAGTACAATATGTGCCAAGGGCTATCGAAGCAAAGCTTGGAAAAGGTACACACTGGAGAAGCGTTCCTCGACTATCTTTTCCAACAGTGGCGATCCTTCGGTGGCGGCGCTGCTGATGACGAAGGTAGCGAGGGCAGACGCGGCTGCCTTCCGGCCCGTCGTTCATTGGCCTCCCACTCGTCGTCCTCGAGATACTGCTCTACGGCGTATCTCTCCAAGCGAGAAGTACCAGCACACGGACCGGGATGCTTAATACCCATTTCCTTCATCTTCGCGTCGCGTTCCGCGTCATCCTCATCAGCCAGAGCGATGTACGCCCGCGCCACTCGCCAATCTGCCTCCTTGGTGAGCGTCTGCAGTCGCTTCTCTGCTCGTTGTCGTGCTCGCCTGGCTTCGTGCTGCGCTGCTTCTTGCGGCGTTTGCGCTGCGGCGAGCTTGCTACGCGCGGATGGCGGCAGAACGAGGAATGTACGGGTGTGCAAGAGATGCGGGGTCGTGCTGAGTGTGCTAGGGGGTAGAGTATTGAGCTTGCAGAGTTCCCGCCCCTACGAGCATTGCAGGTGAGCGGGGGAGCATTAACGCGGGAAGGTCACGCACATCCACAGCGTACTTGAAAGATATCCCCCGGAGGGTGTCTCCGCGCTTGAGGTAGTACTTCAATGGCCCATCTACCTCGTGCTGGACATTTGAAGGGTCAGGCTGAGCGTCTTGTGCGTCTGAAGGCACGGTCTCGGATGCGATGATTGCTGAAGATGGCGCTGGTTCTACTGGTTCATACGCTGGAGGGGGTTCGCGTGCGTCCGAGTCGTCTTCGTCATCGTCATCGTCCGAGCCTAAAACGAAGGTGTCTTCATCCTTCAGTCCCCCGTCAATGTTGACTGGCGTGTTCAAGGTAGTCGGCTTGGCCGCGGTGCCAGAGTGCCCCACCACACCGACACCGCTCAAGCAGGCGAGGCAAGGATCATATCTTGCTAAGCGAGGGTTGGACGAGAGGCAGGATGGACAGATCGGACGACGACAGCACTTGGTGTGAAAGGCAGATTCGTATGATTTAGGCGGCAGCGATGATGAGCAGGCCAGGCATAGGTTCGTGTTAATGGTCATGGTGGGCAGAAGCAGGTCGTCAGCGCTGCGGCTGGCGTTGACCGGCAACATCGGCCCGGGCGGCGCAGCCCCCGGCGCGCGCGTATCAAGGTCAGGACTCAGGAATCATCCAAAAATCATGTATTAGTCCACTGTGCGAGTGTATGTACGATGCGAGCACAAGCGAAAGCACTTATTACAGAAACAATCATCACGGAACATAAGTAGATAGCCTCGTTCGTATCTCTCCTACCCTTTCAACTCCACCACAATATTCAAGGTCATGATCACCACATACGACGCAATGAGGAACACGCCCCATTTCCGCGTCAGGTAATAGTCATTGAACGGGATGAACAGCAGCGTGCTCGCCAGCACAAACAAGAGACCGATCGTGCTGACCACGAGCGTGCGCGAGTAGTCCAGCTTATACGGCGTCCCCGTCTGCGAGGTCACGTACGAGCCGGAGATGCCGACGCCGAGGAGGATGTTGAGCATCGGGCCCCCAAAGCACGCGCTGAAGCCCATGATGGGGGCGAAGACGGCGACAGACATGTTGGCGACGAGGTCGGCGAGCGAGTTGCCCACCGCGAAGATGGTGAGGCCGATGATAGCGTCGGAGAGACCGAAGATGAAGCCGAAGGTCTATGAGAGGGATGAGTATGAGAAGGGCTTGGATAGAGTAGATATGAGCCACTAACCTGGAGCACATCCACGACCTCGTCGGCGATGGCCATGATCCAGACTACGGCTACGAGGAAGCCCATCGAACAGCGCACCATGCGGAAGGTGGGGTTGTCCCCTTTGTCGCCGAAGACAGTCACCATGATGCCGATGGTCAGCCCGGCGATAACGCTCGCCAGCAGCAGCCAGCCACGGTGCGAGTGCCCAGCTGCATGACTTTAGCAAGGGCACGGCAGATGACAATGCGCGACCCACCGAACAGAACGCCGATACAGAACAACGGACCGAACACACACTGCGCCGCCATAAGCCACTTGTTGAAACCCACGCCATGCAGCTCCTCCTCGCGCTCCTCCTCTGCCACGAGCGTCCGCTCAATGCCCTCCTCCTCAAAGTCGACCAAATTCCGCGTGCTTGTATCAAACCCCTTCTCATGCCCATTCATATCCCCATTGTACGGCGTCACGACCACAGGCAACGTCAGCGTCAGCATCAACAGCGCTGGCGCGGCAAACAACGACGCGACCTGCCCCAGCACGCTCTTCTCGCGAAAGCCGTGCAGCGAAGGGAAGAGGACGTGTGCCGCGCCGCGAAGGATGTATATTCGCGACGGCTTCGCGACCTGCGCCTCGTTGTCGGACTGGTAGTCGAGCGGCATGGCAGAATGGATCGTCGTGTCCTCCGTGTTGTAGTCGTGCTGATCGCTTGGGGACGGGCTGCGCGGCGGGCGGTCATCGAGCGGGAGCCCGAGGGTCGCATCCCAGGGGTTCTCGTCCGTCGGCTGTGGCGTATGCGACCGCGACCGCGGCGGGTGGTGGTGCACGGGCGAGTGGTAGTGCCCGCCCGCATACGGCGTAACGGGCGTATCAAATACGCTGAGCTGCGACCCCGAAGCCTGATTCTGCAGCGAGGAGACCACACTCCGGAACTCGAGCGCACCGATGAGCGAGAAGGATGGCATTTGGGAGAATTGCGGGCTTGACGGGTTGGAGGTGCGGTGTTGCGAGGACGGTCTGGGTGGAAGGTCGATCTGCAGGCGGGGAGGGCCTGGGGTGGACTTGGCGCGTGGACGAGTAGGTGTAGAGGGAGATGTGACTGTGAGGGAGGGGACGCTGGATGCTTGGGGGGTGTAAGTGTGCGAAGCGCAGCTTGGGCGGACCACGTACGGTCGTCTCGGTATGGCTCGTCCCATGCAGGCGGAGGGGGCATCTCATCGTCCTGATATTCAGCTCGGATGAGCGCCTCGGCTTCGAGTATGCGTCTTCTCCGCTGTCGCCACCAGGTGCCGACAACCACCACAGCAACGTACACGAAGTACAGCACGACCAAGGACCCGGCCTCCCAAGGCCGGATCCAGCCGTCCCAGAGGATGATGAACGTCAAGGTCACCGCAGTCGTGAAGAAGCACACGTCGCGCAGGAAGGGGCCCCGGTCGACGCGGAACGGCTTGATGATGCACATCGAGCCCACGACGCATGACACGATGAACGTCGCCGCGCCGAGCAGCTCCCCGATAGCCAGGCTGCCCGAGTTCGCGCGCATCGCGGAGAAGGTGGAGAACACATCGGGGGAGCCGTTGCCGAACGCGAGGAAGGTGACGCCCGCGACGTTCTCGTCCAGGCCAAGGATCTGCGCGATGGTCGCGAGGTTCGGGGTGAAGAAGTCGGAGGCGCTGATGCCGAGGGTGGAGAACAGAAAGACGAGCCATAGAACGAGGCCGGCAAAGGCGGCGGGCCGTAGGGGCTCGGCGGTGCAGAAGTAGTGCTTGAGGTAGTTAATGGATAGGAATGTGCGCGAGCCCGGGCAGCTAGTGATGATATGTGCACACTGCTCGGCGGTCGGGAAGGAAAGGGGGCGGCACTGGACAGGTGTTGAGTAGTATCCCAGGTCGTTAGACTTGCTACGCACCTCTCCTGCCGGCTCATCGTCCGCCCCCTCCACGAAACGCTTGATCAGGCTAAGAGTGCTCGTGTGCGCCGGGGCTACCTCCGCATAGCGACTGCGAGACCAGAGCGCAACATTGATACAGAGGGCTACGACGAAGAGCAATTTAGCGGAATTGTTGGACATGACGAGGCATGCAACCTCATGGGAGGAGCGAGCAGATGTATGCGAGGGGCACTGCCGGTTTGATCTATGAGCATATGGTTCCCACGAGTGCTATAAGCGCTCGTACCTACTTTAACGTAGCCCTCTACCGGAGAGAGACCCAGGCCGTGGCAAGCACTGGAACGGCCGCAAAGGAGACTACAGTCAAGGACAGATCGGTACGGGCGACAGGGAGGGACGAGGACGTATGTGACAGCAAAAGGTGGTCACGCAGGCGGCATGATCACAACGAGCCTAGCGCAGTCCCCTCCGCCAATTGCCGTGAGTGTATTTCTAAGTTAGTACCAGTACAGCATTCACGCCAAATATCTACAGATAGTATGCCCCTCCAACCCCTCGTAGTCAGTAATCGTCACATAGTATACCCATGTCAGTGGTCGTCTGCACCCAGTCGTCCCCATCGCACCATCCTCGTCGGTCCATTGTTCCAACTCTGCACTCTTCGCTGGCTAAGCTCGCTCACGGTAGAGCCCCAGGTTCCAACGAATCCGTCGCTCATGGACTGTATGCAGGTATCGAGAATGATCCCCCACCATCCGCCGTTGGTGTCCCCCGTGCCGTAGTCGATATGCGCCCATCCGAGGCGGTCGACTTCGGACCAGAACGCTGGGTCGTGCTCATCTGCATCGACATTCAGTCGAGGTCCTCGGAAAGCCACACAAGATACGCACTGGATGACACGATGATGCGCCGGACGGCCACGCCCTCTCGTTGTTCTAGTTCCTCCTGCACCTCTTGCACGCGCCTGACGTAGGCCGATAGAGGGGCAAAGCACTCGCTCATGGGCACATCACCACATACCTCGACGAAGTCGCCTCGCCGAACGTGAACAGAGATGAACTACGAGAAACAGTCGTCAGCAACTGTGTGCGATTACCAAAGGCATAACGCACGCTTGGGACAGCATCCCCCGGCGACAGCGCAAACGCTCGACGCAGCTGCGCCTGAGCCCGCTCTCGTACCGCGCGCGTAAACCGCACATGCCGTCCCGCCATCCACCACGCAGGCCAATACGACCCCGCGCTGTGGTCCAGATTCAGATCCGCCGTCGACGACACGAAGTACGTGAAGTCAAAGCACGCTAGATGATCATCTGGAGGCAGGGTCGACTGCTGCGCCTCGGGCGACGACCGGTACACCTGCGAGAGCACGGACCCGGGATGCACGAGCTCAGCGAGCGTCTCCGTGGCATACATGTACTCGCTGCGCGGGTCGTGGGGGACGGGGGTATAGACGACGTCGACGCCGAGCGCGTGCGAGAAATCCATGGGCGTTTGCGCGGCTTCGTGCCAGTTGGCGAGCGCCCAACAGCCGAGAGTATCTGATGCGCCGTTGCTAGCTTGGACGTCGGACCATTCGAGGACAGGTGCGCGCAGTTGAGCACGGAGATGTTCGAGGTCGAAGACGTCGCTGAAGGAAAGAAGCGGCTCGTCAAAGCCTGCCAGTGCAGCGACTCGGTGAGTACTGGTGAAGGATATGAGAGCAAAGCTGCACTGACCGACATGCCCGTTAGCGATGAAAGGTGGTATGATGGGTACGCGCTCCGATAGCAGCGCAAGGTAAAGAACGTGGAACTGGTTCTTGTTTTAGCATCGCGTCCTTGAAGAGGCTACAGGAGAGACAACGACCTACTTGAGAGATGATCTGGTTGCCTAAGACGCGTTAGGATTGGCCTCGCGATCCTGAACGCAAATGAACACTCACTGAAGCCTACGGGACCGCCCCATTGTACCAAGTACTTGACGTCCGCTCTCAACTTGTCTGGGACAGTTCATGATCAACTCTCCGTCACTTCAACCTCAGACACCGTCGCCCACCTTTGAAAGAGGCCGCGCCAATTTTCGAGGGCCGGACAAAATGCCGGGTGTCCCAGGGCTGACTCTCTCCAACGAGCGCGACGGTTGCGGATGGGGCCTGTGAGACATCCGCGGCGGGGGACGACCGATAAACACTCAGCGGCAGCAGAAACACGATCGCAACGGTGACCAGCGCAACCGCGACGCGCCTGCCGCTGCCCAGGGTGCTCGCGGGCGACATGAGGGACGTGGTGGACGGGAAGGACGGCGGGCGTGCAAAGCATCTATTCTCGCAGTCGTGCTAGGGCGCTACATAGGGGGCGGCACGGTAGCAGATCGGCGCGGCTGTCAAAAAATCGATATGCATGGAAGAATTCTGCAAGGTACAAAAATTGCCTTATCGGGATATAAAGGCACCTGGGTTCAATCAGCACGTGCGACTTGTTTGTCTTCGGAGTTGGCCGAGCGAGGCCTTCAATTTTGCCTGCCCAATTGCGAAGGAGGATAGCGGAGGATAGTTTGATTCTAGTCTACGGTTGTCCATGGTACAGCCTCGTCGAGATGGATATGTACAATATTCTAGTGATCGTCCGCCCCAATCTTGCCCCACCTCACCATCCGCGTTGGACCCCCGCTCCACTCCTGGACCCTCCTTTCGCTGATCAAGCTGACTGTGGAATGCGCGGTTCCGACGAACGCTGACGCCATGGACTGAATGCAGGCGTCGAGGACGATCGCCCACCAGCCTTCCTGTTCCTCGGTAGTATATTCGGCGAAAGAGTAGCCGAGCGCTTTCAGGTCTTGCCAAAATTCGGGTTCCCGTTCGTCTGTGAGGCACGAGTCGGTCAGTCAGACGCAGCAGGTAACAAATATTCATGCACTTACTGGACTGGACCACGACGTGCTCTACATGCACTCCGCGATTCGCCAGCTCATCCTTCACCTCTTGCACGCGTCGAACGTACGCGGGCATCGCAGGGAAGCATTCGTTCTCGGGAACGCCGTGGCACCATTGCCCAAAGTCGCCCCGTCGCATATGGACAGAGATGAACTGATCGGACGACGTCAGAAAACACACCGTCTTGTGGGAAGGGGGACGAACCGGAGGTATCTCAGCGAACGCAGGCAATCCCATGGCCACCCGAAGGTGCTCTTGCGCCATGTCCACCACCTTCGGTGCAAATCGCAGGTACTGCCCGACCATACGCCAAGCTGGCCAGGACAGGCCCTCGTCCCAGTCCAGATGCTCTCCAGAGGAGGACGCGAAGTACAGGTAGTCGAAGCAGGCGATGTGCTTGTCCGGTGGGTTCTTTACGTACGCACCAGGCATGGATTGCCGCTGCTGGGTGGCTAGGCGGCTCGGGTACAGCACGTCGGCGAGCCCGACGAGCAGGTGGTGACTCTTTCCCATAGCCGACTTCGGCAATTCCGAATACGAGGCGTTGACACCGAGGCTGGCGGTAACGGCGGCGGGCATTGCATTGTGCAGCGCCCAGCAGTGCATCTCTTCGCGTGTGTCGTTGGAAGGCTTGATGTCGCGCCATTCGATGACGGGCACGCGTAGTTGAGCACGCAGGTGGGTAAGATCGAAGACCTCGCGGAATGGTAGAAGTTCGTCTCCGGCTGGGGGGTACGTCAGACTGCTAGCTTGCGAGTAGTGAGTAAGCAGACGCACCGATGTGTTTGTTCGCGAGGAACGGGGCCACCACCGGGACTCGCGTGGTAAGAAGGCCGATGTAGATGAGATTGAGCTGAGGGGAGGGGTACGGTTGATAAGCATGCACTTTCGACGCGCAGAGGTCTCTCTTACCATGCCCAGGAACTGATTCGCTATGACAAGGTTAGCATACAACCACGAATCGGTCGAATGAACGACATACTCATACCCAGGCCCATCCCCCACTGCGTAACGTACAGCTCGTCCGGGCGCAGATTATCTAGGAGCCTCTCTCAGTTGCTTCCTTGCCAACGCCCAAGCAGAACCACGCACCTCTCAACAACGACGACGCATTCCCCGACAGCACGCTCTGCACGCCCCAGGGCGTGTCCGAGTCGCCGTACGTCGCCATCGAGAACGCCTTTGGGATACTCGACGGCACGAAGGCGAGCATACTCGTCGACACGCTCTCCACCCGCACGAGCGTCCAGCACAGCAGCGATGCGCCGGACAACAGCAGCAGCACCGACGCGCCCATCCTCCCAAGCACGGGGCCCATGGCGAGCAGCATGGCGAGGCGGTCGAGGGGGGTCCAGGAGAAGGCGATCGGGGCCGAGGGTCTGCGCGAAGCCTTGAATACCGTTCCCGCCCTATAATAGATTAGCTCAGCTTTGTCTTGGGCGACTCGTACATCGCAGACGCGGTGACGTGCTCACAAACGCGGGTGCGCTCGATCGCCCGGTGCGGGCGGGGTGCTGTCCGGAAGCAGATATGGCGCGCATCCTCTTCCCCTATTCCATTCTGTGTGGGCGCTTATCCCGGTTGACGAAGGCGCCGAAGGTACTTTGAGACAAGGGTGAGTAAGGCAGGGGATAGTGACTCAAAATGAGCAGCAGAGCGCCCAGAGGAGGAGTATATGCCCGCAAAGGATAGCGGTGCTCTTGCAGGAGACAGAAGCGATGAGTTGACTCAGGATGCGCACGGACGCTGAGAGGGCAGGGCAGACCACTGGTATAGTAGAACGACAAGATCGAGCGTGACAGTAGTGTCCGTCGCTGTTCATGGCAGGTACTCGGCAGCGGCAGGTCCAGGAGAAGAAATACCGACTCTGAGCCAAAATATGTATGAGATCGCGCCCGGGAAGATGAATACACGCAGGGTTGACCAGGACATTCAATGTGTACTCGAGACCCATTTCAGAGCGTCGAGCGAGACAATCGCATTGTCTCGTGCGATTCTTTGCAAGTTGCCGATGGACGCAGGTAGAGAGAGCGGCGATCAATCAGACGCAGAGAGGTACGCAGCCGAGATAGTTCAGTCGCGCAAGAAAGGAGAGGTGGATCGAAGGCGGCGAGTCTACACCTGCTGCTGAGAGGGCGATGGTCGGTCGAGCGCCTACTGGACTGCATCGGCAGGAGGTAAAGCTGTAAAATGGCCTCAAGTCAATCAGATAGCGCAGAGACCAATCTGTCGCGTACTTACATTGCAGATGACCATCATTCCATGCGTCTGCCGCGCTGTAAGAGCGAGTGAAGCGGTGGGAGGACGCCCGAGGTAATATCTTCTCCAATGAGAAGCCGTACTTACTAGGATAAGTGACAAAATTCGCCACAGTTCGAAGCGCTAGTTGTCCACATGTTAGCCATATCCTCCCTGGAAGCGCCTCAATGACTGCACTACCTCTCGTTACCCTATTAGAAGCTATTCAGAAGGCCGTCTTGCGACGTTGCGCCGCCCATCGCAGCAAATCGATGACTCACGATGTATCGGCGTACTTCTTGAATGGTGTACAATAGAGAGAAGGCCTCGCTCATGAGCTCAATCAGCCATTGCCTGAGAGATATGTCAGAGATGGATGATAAAGACGCACACGTGTATCCCAAGAATTAAGCGCCCTCAGCCTGGTGCTGATGCAATGCTGTAGCGGCAGGCATGCGCGCGCGGTATTTCCTATCCTCTTACTTACCCTTAACGGCATCCTGAATGACTTTGCAGAAGCCCGTCCGGGCAACGTCGGGGCCGCGTTGCCTAGGTACTGCGGAGGAAGTATGAGTATGACAGACTCGAGGCAGAGAGGCAGTGAGAGTTACAGGGTTCGAGTCATGGAGACACGTACCGTCCAAACACTCAACGTTACGATATTTGGTGCAACGAAATGGACTACGTACGCGCGCCGCGGCGTTCGATTCTGTTACCAAGGGCTACGGCCATGAGAAGAACACGACGACTGCTTCTGTAGCTGAAACCAGCGCCGAGTCTTGGTATGAGAAGTTCCTGCCGGCCTCGCTCAAAGATCACCTTGGAATCGGGAATGAAGACAAAGGAGGCCAAACCCGCGCAACATTGCAGGCAGCTCTGTCGATCCTGAAGTCTCGTTAATTCTTGATGACCAAACGTTCGTCACTATCGAGACGCGGGGTAAATCGACAAGTTGGAAGGTGATGTACAGGTATCCGACCGTAACGTACCTATTTGGAGCATGAACGGCAGTCATTGTAGACAGCGCAGCAAATTCAGCGGCCTTTAGCTGATTGGAAGGGTATGCAGAGGTATACGGGAGATGCAACGTTGAAGTAAGTGGCGATGCGTCTGCGGTCGCGCGTACGAACAAGCGAAAATACCGCTCATTGTGTCGCATACCAATCATTGTGCCGCAGGGAGTGTGCTTACAGACTCAATCACGCGCACAGATTCTCTCGCAGACTGCCGTTCTCGCAGTCCATTGTCCACAGCTTCGATAGCGCAAGGTGAGTCTCAGCAGTGCGACTGACTGCGCTGAGGTACACTGTTCGGTAGCTCAAGCCGAGCAGCCTAAGACGCGCGTCGACGGCATCCTGCGCAAGTGAATGAGCAACGGGAATAGAGTCTGAGTGCGAGTGTTCCTTACCAACTCAAGACGGTTCCGTACCGGAGGCGGTGGTCAGTAGCACAAAGGCAGCGCCATCGATGGGGCGGCCATCCCGGTCTACGCGCCTCGACTTTCACGCCGCATGCAGATCATGTCAAGTAGCACACACACCGCGTGCAATGCCCCCGGAGCAGCCGGGAAGAGACGCGTGAATGATGCGCCCCGTCGGTCTTCATGAGCGCGCAATGGTCTCAACACCGCTTCGCTTTAGCTAGACAATGCGCCTATGCATGCTCCGGCAGTGCCTTCGAGTCTTCTTTGCTCCTGAGTGGAATTTTGCAGTTGAGTCGAAGTCGCGCAAGAGTTCGGGGCTCCCATAATACCACAGCATGGGCGGATCTCCCAGCGTGAGTGTGGCGAGGGAACAAAGGGATGCCCGCTGAGAAGATGGGAGGCGGTGTGAGAGTCGGACATCGGATGACGAGATCGTATCACGTGGCATCAGCAAACGCGCCACGTGGAGTTCCCGTGCGCTTGTCCCGCGCAAACTGCGCTCAATCGCCGCGTATGTAGCACACTGATTGCTGGAGATCCCGATCGGCTAGGAGACTGGGGGCCGATGGATTGAGTGGAATCCAGTGCAAGGAAGGCCGGATGATTGGCCATAAAGATCAGGTGTGGCACAGACAATAAGACAGAAGGACTTCGAAAGCGGACGCTGCACACCTTCCGTGGGTTCCCCATCGCAGCGAACAATAGGGAGATCGCGGTCGAGGGATATCGAAGATGTGTGGACCATAGCGAAGCAGTCGAACTCCGGCAAGACGGCGCTTGAATACCGAGGAGCTGTAGAGTTCGCACGGTTGGCCGTTGCAGGATGATTTTGTAGAGGGTGTCGTTGTAAGGTGCGTGGGATAGCGCGCTGCATACCGGATGGGGATCATTGAAAGGAGAGGGGGATCACGACTAGATTGCGGTTTGTCGAAAAAGCTGTAGAGATAGGTGTGGACCAGGGGAGCGACGCACGAGGGGCCGTCGCGCGCTGCGCAAGGATATATCGTGCGCCGCGCGAGATTTTGGCATGCGCCGCGCGCAGCTTGGCTCGCGATCGCTCTGGGCACCCCCTCGCCAAGATGTGCCCGTCGCACGCGTCCGTCGCGACGACGGCCCGCCCGCTTAGCCTGGCGAGTGATGCGGGGCCCTGTGAAAGACATTGCAATGATAGGCGAGGTCACTTCAACTTGTGAGAGCGCCTCGCGAACGTTCGCTGGTTATACGACCTCGAGCTCGCTGATGCCACCCCTCTTGAGCGCCGTTCACCCGAGGCGCTAGCTGAGGATGGCTGCGACCGTGGTTATGGATAGAATAGCCATCGCTTGCGAGACTGTGGTGAATGGCGACGGCCTGCGGTTAATGATATCGCTCGAGGCAGCAATGAATGGTGAGCACTGCAGGCGCCTAAATATCCGCGCGAAAGACGGTCGGTCGATGACTCACCAAAATGACTGCCGCGGCAGACTCGCGGTAAATGGTCCTGGAGAGCCAGAGGCGAAGTGACCCAACTCTACTGCTTCAAGTTATCCGTCCATACCGTGACTGAGCATGGGACTCTCGCGGCGCTTTGCTCGTTGCGCGACGACATATCAACTGAAGGCGCCGCGCACAGAAAGGGCATAGACTTTCATTCGGGGAGAGGAGGTCAACAACACAGAGTTTGCGCGATGAACGTCGTCGTATTTTGGGGTCATGAAGTTTTGAAGACCGCTGTCATGACGGCCGCGGCCCGCATCCTGCTTCGGGCGCGCAGTGAGAGGCGCGTCGACTCTGTGCCAGAGGCTGTCCAGAGGAGCTCCGATGGATAGAGCGTACAGAAAAGTTAGCTGTGCAAGGGAAGAGCGTACGGGCGACAATAATACGGGAGCTCCGGTCTGTGGGGCAATTGTCTTGCAGTCAGACCAGCGGAGGAATCGTGTTCTCGGCCTGGCGCTTGGCGTTGCGCAGTCAGGATCAACGCACGTGCAACAAAAATATCAGAAGAAAAGCAGAGGATTCTTCATCCAACGTTGTGAGAAGCTATCGCTCTACAGAGGGGTGTAGGACCTGTAGAAAGAACGGTGCCGATGGTCGAGAATAGAGAGATGTCGATTGATCATAGATTGAATCGGAATCAAAACCCAATGGGGAATTGATGTTCTTGGCGCGAGGCAGTGCGTAATTGATGGCATCAAGCTTAACAGCTTTCCTTGTTGAGACTTCGATTTCGCGTTCACAGTTCTGCAACAACCTATAAGACCCTCCCTCTCGAGGGCAGAAGAGCTACAGCCGTTCCTTATTCCTGACCTCTAGCTCTTCTCGCGCGCAATCTCGTCCGTTTTCCATGGCCCACACCCCCAGCGACTCGCCTGTCGTTCCTGCGATCGTCACCACTGACCTCAGCTCCAAGCCCAACATCGTCCTCTCCGACGACGCGGACAATGCCACAGACCACCCCCACCGAAGCCTCTCGCCTCCTCCAAGCGGCGCAGGGCTTCTCTCCCCAGCATCGCCCTCAGGGCGCGCCTCCCTCGAGGTTCCCATGTCTCCCTCTTCCGCAGCCTCGGACGACGGCACTCTCACCACTCCCCCATCCCCAACACTGTCAAATCACTCCGACATGCCTAATAGCACATCATTAGCGCTCCGCGACAACAAGCCCGACGCGTCGAGCGGCATGTCCTCCCTCCACCTGCTCTCGCCCGACGCGCACCACCAGCACAGAAGAAAGGGCTCGATTGCGAGCGACATGACGCAGCAGGACGCCCCCAGCGATGACGCACACCATTTGCGGCACGTCAAGTCGAACACGACGAGCGTCACGCACGTCGACGAGGAGCGTGCGCGGCACGAGGCGGAGAGCAAGCAGCGTGATGCGAAGCATTCATCCGATACGGGCCAGGGGGGCGAGGGCGACGAGGAGGAGGGCGCGGAGGGGAAGGGCGCGCGGGCGGCGCTCGAGCAGGATGAGAACCTGGACCCCGCGCCGTTCCAGTTCCGCCCCTTCTCGCTCGCGCGCATGCTCGATCCGAAGAGCATAACCGCGCTCGAGGATATCGGGGGCATAGAGGGGCTCACCAAGGGGCTGGGGACGTCCGAGGCGCGTGGCCTCTCCGATACGTCGGGCGGCCACAAGCCACCGCCGGGCTCGAACCCTCCTACCCCGGGAGGTGCGCCGCCGTCGGGCGCGACGGACCCCTTCAACGCCACTATCGAGGACCGGCAGCGTGTGTATGGGCCGAACACCATCCCTGCGCGCGCCAGCAAGACTTTGCTGCAGCTCATGTGGATCGCGTTGAAGGATAAAGTCTTGGTGCGTTTCGCCACTTATGCCCCCCGTTTGTGGCACTGACAATATCGCAGGTCTTGCTATCTATCGCGGCAGTGATTTCGCTCGCACTGGGTCTCTTCCAGGATTTCGGGCCTTCGCACGACCCAGATGACCCACAAGTCGATTGGGTCGAAGGTGTTGCGATCGTGGTTGCCATCATCATTGTCGTACGTGCCTCGGTTAATTGCGTCATCCTGTCAGCCTGACTTTGCCGGCAGGTTATGGTTGGCTCCCTTAACGACTGGCAGAAGGAACGGCAATTCAAGACGCTGAACGAGAAGAAGGAGGAGCGTGGTGTCAAGGTCATTCGCGACGGCGTCGAGAAGGTCATTGACATCAAGGTGCGCCGCTTTTTTGTCGCTTTTTTTGCGATATTTACATCCACTTTAGCAAGTCGTTGTTGGCGATATTGCGCTTCTGGAGCCTGGTGAAGTCGTCCCGTGCGACGGTATCTTCCTTTCCGGACACAACGTCAAGTGCGACGAGTCTGGCGCCACTGGTGAATCCGATGCTATCCGCAAGCTCCCGTACGCGGACTGCATCGCGCTGCGGGATAAGTACTTCGAAGAGAGTCCGTGCATTGTCATTCGCAGTATTGTGATGTGTATTGATTACGAATCTCAGAGTCCTCCCAGGGCATTACGGTCGACAGGGACGAGATCCCCGGCCACACGGACTGCTTCGTCGTTTCTGGCAGCAAGGTGCTCGAGGGTGTTGGCAAGTACGTCGTCGTCGCTGTCGGTCAGAAGAGCTTCAACGGTCGTATCATGATGGGTGCGTGCATGTCTCATCCCGAATGACCGCATTTAGCTGATATTCTCAATCGCGTCGTCCAGCACTTCGCTCGGATGGCGAGAACACGCCTCTGCAGCTGAAGCTCAACAACCTTGCGGAGCTGATTGCGTACATCGGTGGCGGCGCTGGTCTTCTGCTGTTCGTGGCGCTTTTGATCAGGTTCTTCGTACAGCTTGGGACGGGCGAGCCAGTGAGGTGAGTTTTGGGATTTTTGTGATGAAGGAAAGATTTTGACGATTCAAATAGGTCCGCAAGCGAGAAGGGTATCGCTTTCGTGAATATCCTTGTCATCTCGGTCACCCTCGTTGTCGTCGCTGTTCCCGAAGGTATGCCACGCTCTTCTGCGCACTCTCCCCTGCTCACAATGTTCCAGGTCTTCCTCTCGCCGTCACTTTGGCTCTCGCGTTCGCTACGAAGCGGATGACGTACGAGAACCTTCTCGTTCGTGTCCTCGGGTCTTGCGAGACGATGGCCAACGCCTCAGCCGTCTGCACGGACAAGACGGGCACGCTCACGCAGAACGAGATGACGATCGTCGCGGGTTCGCTCGGTGTCAAGGCCAAGTTTGTCCGCTCGCTCGAGGAGAACAAGGCGCGCACGAACGCCGCGGACTCGGAGGCTGCGCCGGAGGACAAGCTTTCGAAGCAGAGCGGCGACTTCTCGCTCGACCTCTCGGAACTCAACAACATCCTCCCGGAGTCCCTGAAGACGCGCTTGAACGAGGCCGTCGCGATCAACTCGACGGCTTTTGAGGACACGGACGCGGAGACCGGTATCACCTCGTTTGTGGGGAGCAAGACGGAGACGGCGCTGCTGAAGTGGGCGAAGGAGCTGGGGTGGGGCGACTTCCGCGCGGTGCGGGATGGCGCGGACGTCGTGCAGATGATCCCGTTCTCGAGCGAGCGCAAGGCGATGGGCGTCGTCGTGCGCTCGAAGGAGGGCAAATACCGCGTTTACATGAAGGGCGCGAGCGAGATCCTCAGCAAGCGCTGCTCAAGCCACGTCGTCGTCTCCAAGGATGGCGCCTCGAGCTCATCGGGCGACGTGGAGACCCAGCCAATCGACCAGGCGGCGGCGGACAACATCAGCCGGACGATCATCTTCTACGCGAACCAGACGCTGCGCACGATCGCGCTGTGCTACCGGGACTTCGAGCAGTGGCCGCCTGCGGGCGCGGAGGTCGACGAGGAGGGCGAGGTCGCGTACGATGTGCTCGCGAAGGACATGGTTCTCCTCGGCGTCGTCGGCATCGAGGACCCGCTGCGCGATGGTGTCCGTGACGCGGTGGCCAAGTGCCAGCGCGCCGGTGTCGCGGTCAAGATGTGCACGGGCGACAACGTTCTCACGGCCCGGTCTATCGCGCTGCAGTGCGGGATCTTCACGCCCGGCGGTATCATCATGGAGGGCCCGACGTTCCGCGAGCTCTCGAAGGAGGACATGCTGGAGATCGTGCCGCGGCTGCAGGTGCTCGCGCGCTCGTCGCCGGAGGACAAGAAGATCCTGGTCAACTCGCTCAAGTCGCTCGGCGAGATCGTCGGTGTCACGGGCGACGGCACGAACGACGGCCCCGCGCTCAAGACGGCGAACGTCGGCTTCTCGATGGGCATCGCGGGCACGGAGGTCGCGAAGGAGGCGTCGGACATCATCCTCATGGATGATAACTTTGCGTCGATCGTGAAGGCGATCATGTGGGGCCGCTGCGTGAACGACGCGGTGCGCAAGTTCTTGCAGTTCCAGATCTCGACGAACGTGACGGCGGTGATCATCACCTTTGTGTCTGCTGTTGCGTCCGACGAGGAGGAGTCGGTGCTTTCCGCTGTGCAGCTGTTGTGGATCAACATCATCATGGACACGTTCGCCGCGCTCGCGCTCGCCACGGACCCAGCGAGCGAGTCGCTGCTCGACCGCAAGCCGGAGAAGAAGTCCGCGCCGTTGTTCTCGGTGCACATGTACAAGCAGATCTTGTTCCAGTCCATCTACCAGGTCACGGTCATCCTCATCTTCCACTTCATCGGCTTGCGCATTTTGGGCTTCGAGAAGAGCGAGAACAACGACTTGAAGGTGCAGACACTGGTCTTCAACGCCTTCGTCTTCGCGCAGATCTTCAACTCGGTCAACTGTCGCCGGCTGGATGACAAACTTAACATCTTCGAGGGCGTCCTGCGCAACTGGTACTTCATTTGCATTACACTTCTTGGTACGTTTTTCTATTCTTTGTTCCGTCGTTCGCTCGCTGATCTCTTCATAGAAATCTGCATTCAGATCGTCATCGTCTTCGTCGGTGGTGCTGCGTTCCAGGTCACTCGGATCAGCGGTCGCGAATGGGGCATCTCTCTCGCGCTCGGTGTCGTCTCTATCCCGCTCGGTGCTCTCATCCGTTTGATGCCTACTCCGCCGTTCCAGTGGCTCTTCCAAAAGGTTGGGCTCTTCGGCAAGCGGGAGGTGCTCCCGACGACTAGTCCCGAAGCCGAGGAGGACAAGTGGGCTGGCGCTGTCTCGCTCGTGCACGATAACCTTGGGGCGTTCGCCAATATCCGCGGCGGTCGTGTTCGCTCGTCGTCGTTTGTCATCAAGAGTCGGTCGGCGAAGCTGAACAAGGATAAGCATGGGGATGCGGCGGTTCCGCCAGTTACTTGGTACGTGCCTTTGTTTCTCGAGGTGATTCGCCATATCCTGACCGTCGTTCGCAGGTCCTCTATGCTCACCATGGCCCCGACGCTCATGGCCGGCGCCGTCGTCGCCGGCCAAGGCTGGAAACAGCGCGGCTCGCTGTCCGACCCCGCCAGCACCGATCCGTCCAGATCATCTGCCGCGTTATGGGAAGGGAAGATACAGCTGCATCCGGACACGGACCCAGAAGACCCGGTTTACAAGCGCTTTGGCAGCGGTGGACGCAATACTGTATAACATCATCATATTCATCCCTTAGACATCATATCTCTTGAGCATCCTTACTGCACTTGAGCTATCGAGCATCCTTGTTTTCCTTGAGCACATGGAGGACGGCCTCCTCTGTGCGCTCAAGTACCTCCATTGCGTTTGGCATCCTCGATACAGTCGAGCATTTCTGATACACGATTTCCGTCGCTTTCTTTTTGGAAGACTGGGCTTGTTACACTATGCGCCTTGGTTAATGTATCGATATTGCACGGATAGGAGCGGTACGGACATGGTGGCTGTTTGACGTATCGCGTGTCCATATTATGACCTATGCGAGTCGACTTGAGCTCGCTTCTTGACAATGAAAACTAACGAGGCTGCGATGCCCACTTATCTTGCTTTCATCGGGAAGACCGTAGATGGCACGTCCATAGTGTGAAATGCTTGTTGTGGACCTTGGTGAAAGCAACTCGCAAGCCTAAGGTGCTCGGTATATATTTCACAGAAGGGAGCAGTTCGCGAGGCAACATCCATCAAACAAGAGCAGTGATGATGGCTGAATGCAGGGATTTGTTGATAGATGTTTGTATTTGTACCAGTCAACAGTCAGAGAAATAGAGCTTTCGTTCTCGAATGATGGTAGCTGATCTCAGAAACCAAAATCGAGCTGAGACAATCGACTTGCTGGTCGCATGAGCGCTGAACTTCAAAAGGAACATGACGCCTGATTCATCCGCTGGCATTCCCTCAGCTAACGCCACTCGTGCTACCTAATGCTTGAACCCTTCGACCTTCCGTGAAGCCTTGCAACACGCCGCACCCCAGCCGCCCTCGCAACCTCAACAACCCGACGTCGCGCCCTGTCCTTTTCCTCCTCCGCCTTTAGCACCCTCCAAGCCGCACGCGCCGCACCCCAGTCCCCTCGCTGGTAGAACGCCTTGATGAACATCTTCAACATCGGCCGGACGTGCCGTGCGAAGGACGTCGCGCTGGGCAAGGGCTCTAGCACCTCGAAGATATCCTGCACTTGACTTCCGCCTCCAACACTGCTTTGCAGGACGCCGCCATCATTCTCAACACGTCGCGCAGATCCGCGTCGACCGTGGATGACCTTGTCGGCACCGAACACAGGCTTCTCCCTCCCGACAACGCCGCGCATGACGTGATCGTACAACGCCGCGAGGTCCTCTGAGGCCAGCGCGCGCCACCGCAAGAGCGCCTTCAGCACCAAGTTCGTCGTCACCGCGTCTGGGACGAAGCCCGCGGTGCGCACCAGGGTGTCCCGCGCGCGCACGACGTTCCGGACGAGGTCGCATCCAGAGCGCCGGACGGAGACTTGGGTCGTGTGCTCGCCAGGCTGGCTTGCAGGTCCCTCGATTTGACTTACACGCGCGCCGATTTCGCGGGATTCCGAGACAGCGCGACGCCGGGAGAACACGCGAGCGATGATTGCGTTGCCGAGCAGGGTGCGGGTGTGCGTGTCGAGGACGTCGCGGGACTGGCGGTACACCCGTCTAGCTGCGCTGATGCGCCCAGTTTCCAAGAGCGTAGCGATGACCCGGCGCGACTCGTCGCTACCACCTCCCGCGGAACGGAGGCGTAGCAACTCCGTGTCGGGACCATGACGGGGGCCTTCAACCTCGTCCGCATCATCTCGCCCGCGTACTTGCATCGCCAACCGAGTCGCAGACGCGCGCTCGAGGCTGACCACAACATACCGCCGCAGCGCGCGCCCCACCGCCGGACTCGCATGCCCCGCGAAGCCTCCCACACCCGCCGCCATCCTGAACTCCCGCCTCGCAACCAGCAAGCGGACCAGAAGCCTACAGAACGGCAGCGTGATCCACGTCGGTGCGTACTGGGCCAAGCGTGCCACGAGATGCATGCCCTCCTTCGCGCAACTGGAGGAGATCAGGATCGCGATGCACCCGCGCAGGTCGTACCGGAGGGCGTCGGGATAGGGAATAGGCAACTGCAGGAATGCTGCATAGAGCTGGCGCGCAGCGTCGCGCGGGAGACGATCCCACCGACCCCGTCGCAGCGCGCGCAAGATCGCAAGTAGGAGCGTTGTCTGCTGAGGCGTGTCCTGTAGGGACGGCAGAAGGGAGATCGCCGCCTTCGGCGAAGTGGGCGCCAACGCTGCGCCAAGCATGAACAGAGCCTCTGGGGGCAACGGGATGTTGTTGGCTGCACAGTGATTGACGAGGGCATGCGCGGCGGAGAGGTCGCGAGCAGCGAGAAGCTTCTCGATCACCACGCCAACGGCGTCCGAGGCCACCTCTACCGGAACATTAGCCAGCGGCGCCAGCACATCCCTCCAACCCCCAGCGTGCGAAGCCGTCGCGCGCGCCTCCAAAAACGCATGCACAAGCCCACGAACCGACGCGCGCGCCGACTCCGAAGCCAGGTGCGGCAGATGAAAGAGCGCCCTCGACTTCGCAAAGGCGACGCAGCGCGCGGCCAGCTTCGCGTCCTTCGTCCACGCAGCGAGGCGGAGGAACGTCGCCACGATCGCGCGCGCGACGACAAGCTCGTGACCCGCTTTCGGGTAGGTGGTGGATGCCTCCCAGGCGATCCAGCAGGACGCGATGAGCGAGCGCGCGACGTCGACGTCCGCTGGGAAGCCGATGTCGGCCTGCCGCGCGAGAATGTCCAGGAGGCAGATGGTGCGCCAGCTTACGACGAGGGTGTCTTCCTTGCCGGTATACCGCGGTAGGGGAGCCGACCCACAATGCGCGTCGAAGGCGACGCTATAGGCCAAGAGGCAGAGCATGTACCAGCGGGTTGCCAGATCTTGGTCGAAGAGCTGGCTAACGACTTGGTGGGCCCACCGGACGGCCTCGGAAGGCAGGGGCGTGGGTTCGGTGATATGTAGTACTTGCAGGATGGCCGATCGAATGGGTTGTAGGTCGTTCGTCGATTGACTACGCCTACTTTCTGGGCGGTCTGTTGATGGAAGGCGGCGAATCTTCTGAAAGCGAGTACGGAGGGCTTTCATGATGCAAGATTGGGCGGAAGCTGAGGAATGCGTCCGCTCGGAGAGGACAATGGGCCATATGAAATCGAGAAGCGCGTCGTCAAGCGTATGAAAGGTTTCGAGGAGGAAAGAGACGCGACCGATTAACTGGCGGTGAGACGAGGGTCGTTGGATGGTCGCTATAGCGCGAAGGTAAGGAAGGTGTGCCTTGGGATCGGGGGTAGCGCGTCGTAGTCTATCGTAGTATGCCGAGGCAGTCTTGAAGGCATCGTGGCGGACATGATCTAAACGAACGGTGAGAAGGCGCAGACGTACGTTAAGATGAGACGCACCTATGGTCGAGCTCGTTATCAAGGAGAGGTATGCGAGCATTGCCCAATGCAGATCGGATGTGCTGAACGCCTTGCCCTGTTCTTCCATGTCCTTGACGATCTCGAGAATGACGTCCCAGTACACGCCTGGCGGTTTGCTTTGCGATCCCCTAAGCACAGGTATTCGACGCGTGGAAGTTAGCGCGGTGTTCGCATCCGTCTGCATCCCGAACACATGGGCCAAGAGGCTAAAATGGCTAGGGGATAGATGTGCGAGGTGTCCGCGGTGCTTGACGGCTTTATACAGGTTGTAGAGTTGCTCTGGGGTGTACGCAACGCGGTGACGCGGGTCGGAAATCCAGTGGCGCAGTCTATAGAGTGCCAGCTTTCCGGGGGGTATCAGGTTGGTGTCTTCGCGCGCCGGCGCCTTCGCAGCCCCTCGTACTGGCGTCGAGCGCTCCTGCGCAGCATCCGCTTCACTTGAGCGGTGCGCTGCAGGTGTGTCTCGGGAAGGAAGAGGGGTAGTACTGCCTGCGGTCCGAGGAATAATGACAGCCGGAGGGATAGAGGTGCATGCCGGCGTCAACTTCGTCTGCGTCTTCGTCTTCGTCTGTGCAGAGCGCTGTGTGCGGTGTAGTAGCGCGCTCCTCGTGTAGAAGCTGGGCTCAATGTGAGATCCTATTCTACCCTCACATATTCGGGCACACGCACCGACTGCTACTGCCGCCTCCGCCCAGTCGGTGGACGGTTGACTGGCCCCATCGCAACATTCCATTGCATGGAACCGAGGATGACCGTCCAGACCAAGCTGCGCGTTGTCCCCAGACGCCTTGCTCCTCTGCTCTCGCCGTGGGGTTCAGCCGGCGCGCGTCTTCAAAACTTCACGCGTCGGAGGAGAGGTATGAGTGACCGGCATCCGCCGCCGACGCGTCCGGTATTTGGCTCAATTTGATTGGCTCGCACCAAGCGGACAAACAAATCGACCAAACAATGGGCTTGTTCCCGACTTTCATCTTCAGAACTTCCTTCACCGTTCTATCCAAGAGAAAAAATCTCTCGCTCGCTTTGTCCAGACTCGCCTTTCATAGTCGCGTCTTTGCGCGAAAGAATAGGGCCCTTCGAGCTGGGCAGGATAAACTAATCCCCAATTTGAAGTCTTCGCGCCCGAGCGGTTGAAGAGGACGACCATCCGGCACATTCTGTCGTGATATCCTACAATGCTCTGCATACAGCATGCACTTTGTCTCAGCGGAATATACGACGACGCCAGTACCTTGCGGTACTTCGCCGACGCCCAGGCAACTCAGGTAGCAACTCATCCCACAGAGGTGAGCCTTCCACAATATTCCGTGCGTTCTGACTTTTCATCTTATCCTCCCTGTCTGTCCAGGTTTTGCCGCTTCATTGTTTGACTCCCTGGTCGAGTTCAGCCCTGCATACATCTACAGTATCTGCCAAGTTTTCCGTTCATCTTGGTTATGTCTGCTTCACTTCTTGATCTTCACCTCGGTCCGTACTGCACTCCTGCTCAACGTCATTCCACCAACTCTCATTCTTGATATCTGTCCTGCGTAACCTGTGTCTTGTGGTCGTGCAGCCAACGTCGAATGCCGTTCTTCATTGTGCAAGGATCTTCTCGCTTTTCTTGCCGGCTACTGATTGTGTCCGAACTATACACCTTGGAACACTAGCTTCGGCAGAGGGGGGCTGCAACCTTTGCTTCATGAACCATTCAATCTACCTCCCACCATCCTCGTTGCATTGATCGCTTGCTGCTTAGGGTGGGTTGATCTTGATAAAGTATTATGAGGTGTTGTTCGTCATCTCGGTTACCGACTGCATTCCGTCGCTTGAGGCGACGCATACGAATACATACATGACTAGGAGAGGTCCCTGTCTTCCATGAGATCTTGAGCAGCTTGCGATGGAAGATCCATTCAGGGAATTATGGCGAACGGAGGCGAACGGTCGACGGAGGGTTATGGCCGAGCTATGTGATGGCATCAGCGTGCTCTTTGCCGCCGTTCATGATCATCATGCCCGCACGTCCTCGCCAACGACGCCGCCTGCCCTCCACTGTTGAGCGCGTCCGCTCCTTTGCAGGTCATGATACTCCCCAGGCCGTCCCGTCTATTCCTACTCAATGCCGTCCTCTTGACCACCGCACTCCTCGTCTTCCTCCTCCATCCTCGATCGGGACACGTTTCGCGCGACCTCCTCAGGTCCTGGCTTACTTCCCCACCCCAGCAAGCACTTTGCCCCTCGCCTCACGTACTTGACCGGGATCCTATCGAACACGAGCGACAGCTGTGCCATACACTTCCCACTATCATCGACGACTTCAAGGCCGAGCTCTGCTACGAACCCGAGCTCCCTAGTGCGTTCACCCTTCGTGTGTGGAGGGGGGACGCGGCTGCCTGCGAAGCAGCGGAGGCTTCCCCTGATCCGAGTGAGGAGCCAAGTTTGAGCGACTGGATCCGCCGCAATCGTGGTCCGGACTCCTTCATCCTCACCACGGACGGCGCAGAACGGATCGACACGCAGTGGAGTACATACGAGGGGAACTGCTCGTATCGCTTCGATGTTCAATTGCACAATGCGGGGGACGTATACATACGCTCGTGGCTCGCGTATGAGGTGCGCGTCTATCCGGTCCTTCCTTCCATGCGGCTGACGATCAACCAGCGCTACGAAGGCTTCAACGAGGCCAACGCGACGGGGTCACTTCCCTGGCCAGAACTGCAACTCCGCCCCCTCCTCGCGCACGCCGTCCTCTTACCCGCGCACTCCCTCTGCCGGAGTTACATCCCCTCGCCTCTGAACGCATCGCATCACCTCGCGATACCAGGGAGCCCCTACCCCGTCGACGACGACTCTGCGCTTCCAGCGTGCTCGGGCCAGGATCCGACCCGAGGCACCTACGTCCCCCACCACCCCCTCGACCTCCTAGATTCGCCCATACAGTGGCCAGCCCCTGGGGGCCGTCGAATTGGCGAGCGCTATCGCTTCGTACCCGCGGGCTGCAAGTGGAAGCACGCCGGGATGCGGTTCGCGAATATAGAGGCTTGCACGGCGAAACGACACCACATCTTGTCTATCGGCGATAGCCACGGGCGCCAGTTGCAGGACGGCCTCATCCATCGTCTCAGCGGGCTTCCCAGCGTCGCGCTAGAGTCGGTGCGGATGATGTTCTTAACTCTGTGTTGCTTTCTGATTGATTCTACTAGGGCAAGGCGGACTTCAAGAACGGCAGCGTCGGCAATATCGATTTCTTTTTCCGTTGGTTCGTCGACTTCGACACTTATGAATCTGCCGCTGCTTACAATCTGCAGGGCGCCATTCGGACATCTCTTTGCCAGCGCTGATTTGCTGGAGAGCGACGTCTGCGCCTACATGCGAAAACACCAGGTGGACGTACTCATCGTCAGCGTCGTACGTCCTGCCGTCCTGGTCCAACGCCCCAGTCCCGCTCACAGTATATTCTCAGGGATATCACTTAGCTGTCGGCCACCCGACCGCCGTCCTTCTCGAGCGTACGCGCGTGATCATGGACGCCGTCGATCGCTGCTTTCCACCGCGATCCCCATTGGAGGAGCGAACTCCTGATGGGCACGGGATACCGCATGCCCACTCGCACCAGAAGCCAAGCGCCTACACTGGACCTCGCGTGCGCATCATGCTCACCCCCGCGGCACCGGGGCCCCTCACTACGGACCGCGTCCGACGAGATAACCGGCACACCACGCACAACCGGCTGCGCTACTGGTCCGACGCGATGGTGCCCCTCGCGCGGTGGCGCGGCTGGTCGGTGATTGACCAGTTCGCGCTGACGGCGCCACTCGCGTGGGAGACGCTGGTGTCGGACGGGATACATTTTATGATGACGGATGCGCATGAGGCCTTGGTGGACGAGGCGCTCGGGAAGATGGGGATATGTCCGGAGGCGAGTGCGTATCGATAGCCTTGCAATCTGACGATACTGGGGAGATGCAAGGTACCAGCGTGAACGCGCGTGATCTGCATGAAGAATACGGTACGTCGGTCGGCCCTGCGAGATATTGCATGGCGGTGCGCGGCACTTGTCTGGCAATGTGCTACGGCCCACTCCCATACGTTCTGGGCGCACAGCTGTACGCTCAACCCCATCTTGCCTTGGCCTTGCTGTAGAGCAGGCCAGCTGAGATCGCTTGGAATTCGGCGTCATAGCTTACAGAACATTCGGACGGATTCCCTGTTTCCCGCTCTCATCCGAGGGTGATATCGGTCACTTCTCGAACAGGCTATCGCTACCCCCTTGTTGGGTAGCCACCGGGCCGCGCATTGCGCCTCATCACCAAGGGTCGGGCTGACAAGGTGAGGCAGTCCTATTCCACCACCCGTACATATGTACTCATTACATGATCGCGATCCCCATCAAGGTGCCCAATCTCAATACATTCGTGACGCCAGCAAACAGCTTCAGCATAGAAGCTTCCCCTTTAAGGCAGTCACTGGGCCAGCAGCTCCGTCGTCAAATTTCTCCGTCATGTTTGGCGGCGATGTCCAGCGATATGAACGAGTCCCGCTGCAAGGGCTAGCTGCACTGTTCATCGCGCCTTTCCTTGGCCTAATTTTCGTCGATGATCTCCTCAGGTCCGGTGCATTGGCGAATGGGTGTTTGTCACTGCGAAATCCTCGAAGCTTGCTTTCATAGACGAGGTCTGATGTGGGGAAACCTACGAGCGGCTGCATCGCCTGGCGCTCCAAATCCCGTGCAATGGTGAGTGCAACACGCCTTCTACACGAGTTGACGGTCTTAAAGTCGGAGTGGAGCACTCTTGCAGCTCGATCATCGTCTCTCCTTTCCCTCTCTTCGCTCCTTGCACTATCATTTATCTCCTTTAATCCCTTGCGTGGGTCCCTCGGTCTGCTATAGTATCGTATGGATGCTAACGACCGTTCTTCCAGACATGCAGACAAATCAGTCTCCTCCAACTCCTTCTCACCGATGGAGCTCGCCTGGTTTGTTCATTTATATGCGCGCGGCAATCTGTACTGAACATGTCGTAGACGACGCAGTCACGGTGCTTTGGCATTATCGTGCGGCAGCCCGTCGCGAATATGGCGCTCACGCCATCCTCACCAACCACGGGACAATGCCTGCGACGTACGATAATCAACAACGGGCCCTTTTCAACACCACCCCTACGGCTTCACACTACGATCATTATATAGAACCCTCTCCTCGGGGACGTAGGCGCCCGTATCAAGCGCACAGTTCTGGCGCTTCTCAAGTTCGTCAAGCAAGTTCGCCGCTACGCCTCGAGAGCTATGGATACCCATCAGGCTCTCCCGCGTACGACACGTCCTCTCTCACGCCTGCAATTTACGGTGGCCATCATGCTGAAGGTGAATGATTCGCTAGCAAGCATCTTTGAGCAATGCTGATCCTCTTGAAGCCAGTGCAACTTATCGCTCTTCCGAGAGCTTCGTGGGCCTTCAGGATGGCTGGATGGCCGATGTGCCTGTCACATCAGGTGTGTATCGCTCACAGGAACGAAAAGACAACACTGACTTGCTGGCATGACGTAGACATAGCACACACCAATTCAACGACCTACCTCAATCGCAGCCCAAGTGACTTCGCCAACGTGCCATTCCCTGACGGTTCCTTTGCGCTAGCGCAGGACCCCTTCCCTACGCCGGGCACCTTTCGCCTGTCTACGCCCGCTCGCGCGACGGGGTCCCCCGAAGCCAGGCATTACCCCCAGGCGCGCAACGAAGTAGGAACTTCGCGCCAACGGGAGGCGGCCCAACGACGTCGTCGCGCGCCGGCCCGGATGTTCTGTGACTATCCCGGATGCCACGCGTCCTTCACAAGGGGCCACAACTACAGACGTTCGTGATCACTTTTGACAAGCCGTTCAATTTCTGTTTGCTTATCACGGCCATCGCAGATCACATCCAGGGCCACGAGAATCGCAGGTCGTTCACTTGTGCCATTTGCGCCGCGACCTTCAACAACAGGAGCGCGCTTACTGGGCACTCCAGACGAATGCACCATGGCGCCATGACGAACGCGTAGGCGACCTCATCGTCGATGTACGTCGAACTCGCGCGACTTGGTTTTTCCCACCGCTGCTTTTTTACTCTTTCTACTCTCCTCACCTTTATCTGCTATTTTTTTGTCTCATCCTCTATATCTCTATATCCAGATAATATTGTACCAATATCCGAACCCCATCTCTTGCACCTATGTGGTCTTCGGTGGGGCTCGTTCCTTCGTTTTCACTACTACCGTTCATCGCTGCTTGATATTGCTATCTCGTCTTCATCGATACCATTGTAACCTATATTTCTTTTTCAGCTACACTACTGTACGCTTCTTAATCCGACCAGAACATATGGATCGCTGTGGAGCGCTGAAGGATCATGATTGACTTGGCACTTCATACTGTACAACGTGAAGCACCGCGGACTGTCGTTGAGCATTGGCGCCCAGGCGCATTCCGTGCAGGCGCATGTCCGTGGAGATCCTGGGATGCTCGGATTCATCTTGATGACGCCTATTTGTCGAAGTAGGTGCCTACCCGGCCGTTTGCGCTCATTAACGAGTTGGAGATGAGCTCGATATTAACTTCCGCCACTCCTTGAGGACACTTTCCTAATGAGCAATACGCGTGTCTGCGCGGTATAGGCGTGTGGATCCAAGTAGAGGAGCGAAATCCTGATGGGCACGGGATACCGCACGCCCACTCGCACCAGAAGCCAGGCGCCTACACTGGCCCTCGCGTGCGCATCATGCTCACCCCCGCGGCACCGGGGCCCCTCACCACGGACCGCGTCCGGCGAGATAATCGGCATACTACGCACAACCGGCTGCGCTACTGGTCCGACGCGATGGTGCCCCTTGCGCTGTGGCGTGGCTGGTCGGTGATTGACCAGTTCGCGCTGACGGCGCCGCTGGCATGGGAGACGCTGGTGTCGGACGGGATACATTTCTTGATGACGGACGCGCATGAGGCGTTGGTGGACGAGGCGCTGGGGATGATGGGGATATGTCCGGAGGCGAGTGCGTATACTCATTCTTGCGATCTGACTGGGAGGTGCAAGATATTAGCGTGGACGCGCGTGATCTGCATGGGATATCGGTACGTCGGTCGGCGCTGCGAGATATTGCATGGCGGTGCGCGGCACTGAACTAGCAATGTGCTACGATTCACTCCCATACGTCCTAGGTGCACAGTTGTACGCTCAATCACGCTTTGGCTGCCGTTGTGATCGCGTTGAATCTGAGTCATAGCTTTCAAATCGCTCGGACGAACTCTGTATTGGATTACCCGAGCGGTCCCTCGAGGAACATACGGATGCCCATACAATAACATACAGTGCTATTGTACGCGCTACGGACCCGACCGACGCACAGAAATACTTTTGTAGCAGATCAAACTCGACATCAGTTGCCTCTCCCGCAAGCCGTGAGTCACAATCCACTGTCCTGATTATCATTCTCTTTCGAAGCAACCACGCACGCGCATATGAGCAGCGAGGAAGCACGATGCATGTTCAAGAGCTGTAGGACGTCGAACGCAAATTTCTCGAGCGTCGCGCCCGGCGCCATGCGCGCGCAGAAGGCAGTCTCTTGCTCCCGTCCGAAGGTGATAGCGGCCACTTCCTGAACAGGCTATTCATTGCTGCCCCTTTTCTAGAAAACCAAGAGACCGCTGATCACGACGCCTTGTCGCGTGAGGATGGTCTGGCGAGGTATAAAACCAGGCAAAGCAGCCCTAGTCCGCATACTGTACGTACTCATTACACGAGCACAGTCCCCATCAAGATGTCCACATCGTCTACATCCAATGCCAGCATCGAGCTTCAGCGGAGATCCTTTCCTTCCAGGGCAGTCTCAGGCCCTGCAGCCCCGTCGCCAACTTCCTCTATCCGCCGAGATGTCCAGCGATATGAACGAGCACCGCTGCAAGGGATAAATGCACTGTTCCCCCCGTCTATCACCACACTTGGGACATAATATCTCCGGCGCTTACTGCAGGAATATTGTGAGCTGTTTTTGAATAAGCGAAGCATAAAGGCGAAGGGTGGATTGTGGTCCTATGGGTGGCATATTGATCGATACGGCCTCCGATTGGCTGGGCCTCGATATGCCCTTTCAATTGACCCGCGGTCTTAATCAAAAGCTGATTTAAAATATTCCCTCCATCAGCGTGCAGTAAGCGCCGGGGAATATTGAATCCTAGGTGTGGTGTATACTGGGCCTGCTTCTCGTTGATGATCTTTTTAGGTCCTCCACATTGGCGTGCGGCCATTTGTCACCGCGCAGGATGCCTAGGGTTGCCTTCATAGACGTATTCTGATGTCGGGACACACCGACGAGGAGCTGCATCGCCTGCGCGCCCCCGCTCCAAAAGTCCATGCAATATTGAGTGCAACACACCTTCGACACGAGTCTGCAGACTTAAAAGTCGGACCGGATGAGTCTTGAGCTCTATAATTCTCTTTCCTTTCCCTTCATCTTGACCGTCGTTCTTCTCAATCTTTCCCTGCCGTAGGTGCCTCGTGCTACAGCAGTATTCTTCTAGGAACTGACGCTCTACTTCCAGACATGCAAAGCCGTCAGTCTTTATCACCTACCTCCCGCCAATGGACCTCGACTGGTCTGTTCAATCTTAGGCGTTCGAGGATCCGCCTTGAACCAGCTAGAGGCGACGATATGACGGTGCCTTGGCATTATCGTGCGGCAGGCTATACCGAAAGCGACGCCCTCCCTGTCCCCACCAGCCACGCCACAATGCCTGCAACGTACGATGACCAACACTGGGCCCTTCCTAACAGCGCCCCTACGGCTTCACAACACGCTCCTTATATGGAACCCTCGCCTTGGGGGTACAATCACCCACATCACGCGCCCAATGCTAGCGCTTCTCATGTACATCAAGCAAGTTCACCAGAGCACCTCGGATACTACGGATATCCATCAGGTTCTCCCGCGTACAATACGTTCGCGCACACGCCGACAGCATATGCTAGACATTCACCTGTGGAAGGTGAATGATCCGCTACTACACGTCTTTAAATACTGACCCCTTCCGGAGCCAGTTCGCCCTATCTCTCTTCCGAGCGCTTCGTTGACTACAGAGATGGCTTCATGGCAGACGCGGCCGACATATCAGGTGCGCATCTTTCACAGGAACACAGAGACAACACTGACTCACTGGCATGACAGACCCAGCACACGCCAACGGAACGACCTACTTCAATCACAGCCCGGATGGCTTCCCGAGTGTGCCACCTCCTGATGTCGCTGTCGCCCTCGCGCCGGACCCCTTTCCTACGCCGGGCACGAGTCGGCTGCCTTCCGCTGTCGCGACGGCGTCTCCCGAAGACAGACACGATCCTCTCCCGCGCAACGAAGTAGGAACGTCGCACCAAAGGGAGGCCGCTCAACGGCGTCGTCGCACGGCCGCCCGGTTGTACTGCCCATACCCGGGCTGCGAGGCGTCCTTCACGAGGGGCCACAACTGCAGAAGTTCGTGGCTGGTTTGACACGCCGTTCGTTTTCCTCGCTTACCACGACCATCCAGATCATATACAAGGCCACGAGAACCGCAGGTCGTTTCGTTGTGCTAGTTGCGCCGCGACCTTTAACAACAAGGGCGCGCTCACGGGGCACCGCAAGCGGATGCATCCTGATGACACGACGAGCGCATAGATGACCTGGTTGTTGATGTGCGTCGAACCCGTTCTGCCTGATTTTCTGACCGCTACTCCATGGCACCTTCTGGTCTCGTGACCTTCTTAGAAATGCAGGATCCTCCTATGCCGGCCTCGACTGAACATGCGAATACTTTTGTAACAACACCTGAACCCCGTCCCTTGCACCTACAATGGTCTTTGGTGGAGCTCGTTCCTTCGTTTTGGCTCCCAGCGCCAACCGCTGCTTAATATTGCTGTTTCGTCTTGTTGACGGCTCATGATAGTCCTCCGCTGTAAGTTCCGGCCCTCGTTTGGTGTATGTACTGTACTGTATGATGACACGATGATAGATCACAATAGACCTGATACTTCATACGATGTGAAGCACCGCGAGTCGTCCTTGCATTTTGGCGCTCTGGGTCGATCCTGGTACGCTCAGATTCATCTTGATGACGCCTATTTGTCGACGTAGGTGGCTACCCGGCCGTTTGCGCTCATTAACGAGTCGGAGATGAGCACGATATTAACTTCCGCCGCTCCTTGAGGACACCTTCCTAATGGGCACTCTCGCATTGAGCAAGTTACGAACGCAGACTGTATGTAGCACCTTCCAAGCTACACGGAGCCGTGTTGCAGTGCACGGATATGAAGGACATGTGTCGAAGACTCCACGTTTAATGTACAGAATAAATCAAACTACCTGGGCTCAGGGCGTACCACCGGCGCTTGTCAAGCTTGCGGTAAAACGGACCCGACACGCCTCAAACCGATCCTCCCTGCATAACCGACCCATCCTGCATGTCCAACAACTTGAGCTGATGATAGAGCTGCCGCGTCCACTGAATGGGTACCGACCGACCACACCCTGTTCGCGCGCGTCAGCAAAGAGATCCCCGGCCGCCGCAAGCGCACTCACAATGCAAACAATCATCGTCCGGGTTCGAGTGCGCGTCCGGGCGCTGCAGCGACAGGCCGTAAATATCAAGGTAGTACCACCGAGGGCCCGCGTCCGACGCCGAACGGGCCTTCTGCGCCTTCTCGATAGCCACCTTCCACATCCCATTGTGGACCTTGAACTGGTCCCAGTCCCAGCGCGACCATGTCAGTTGGCGCGCCGCGTTTGGCGCCAGAGCCATAAGGCGGGTATGCAGTGTCGCGTCCGCGGCCTCCGCTTCCTGCGCGTTGGGGTAGGGTTTGTAGTTCTCGTGGCAGGCGGCGTGCGCGGGGGCGGTGGTGCGGAAGAAAATGGATGTCCTGGGAGCGGCTTGCAACCGGAGGAAGTGCATGTCCATCTGGTAAGTTTGGGCGCTCAGCATATGAACGTGATACTGGCATGGGCGCTATCTTACCATGCGCTGGTAGGTCCTATGTAATAAAGCATGCTCAGTCGCCGTGTCTGATCGAGGGATGAGGTTCCCCATAACACCACGAGACCACTAGAACGCCGGTCAGAGAGGAGATGGAATCAAAACAGTGCACCCACATGGGCGCCTGTGTTAAACAGGACGACGGTGTCCTTCGTGACTGTATCGGCATGCTCAGGTATGGGTGTAGCCAGCGATACCACGAGCTCCTGGAAGCCCGGCGCGCGCGGGTGAGCGCCTCGCCCAGAACCATGAGACCACTGCGCGTCCTCAGGTCCCTCCGTCAAAGCTCGAATCTCGGTCTCATTGACGGATAGGTGGTACTGGATGACCGTCAGCAACGGGCGCTCCATACGCGATTCCGGAACCTGCGGGCCAGTCAGTTAGTATTAGCACTGCGCAGGTAAGGGGGTGGAACGCACATTCGCCCGCTCCATCAATGTCTTCCACGCCGGCGTGTTGTTCCGCACCACCCAGTGCGAGACATAATCCTGCTTAGAGTAACCCAAGTCTTGAAGATGGGGCGGGTCGACCTCGACGTGAATACCAACGGAGGGGAAACCAACGGAGAATGTGTCGCGATGCTGCACGGTGAGCGAGTCTGCGCGGCAGGCGTGAGACAAATGCTTGCTTCGAAACGAGAGCTTACGCACCTCCGATCATAATGAGTCCACCGGGACTCTGCAGGAGACGGACAGCCAGCTCCATCATATCCAAGTCCATGAGCTTGCCGCGAGATGGCACCCAATCCCAGTTGATGATGTCGAGGGAGCGTTGAACCTCAATCTGGGGACGTACGTCCTCTGGTATGGGGTCGCCGTGGATGTCGATAGGACGACGGCAGCTAGGCGGTTCGCCGAAGACCAGCGTCTCCACGGCGGGGACTCTGGGAACCCACTTGCCAACGCCGCACTCGGCGAACTGGCACCATGGCGAGTCCGAAGGGGGCGCGAGGACTGCGCTCGGCGGGTCCACTTCCGGCTCGTCATTGTGAATGGGAGGGTGGATGATGTCGGCAAGCTCGAGGGCGACGTGGTCTGCGATGGGCGGTGACGCGAATTCGAACTCTTCAAGAATGTGCGGGGTATAGAAGATGTCCTCGCCGAAGTAGAGGTAGTACCATGTTACTGTGAGGAACAGGACGATGGCGATGAAGGGGTAGTACCGACCAGGCCAGAGCATGAGGCGTCGCGGGGAGTAGCGCGCCATGGCGGAAGGAGGTAAGGGTCGCAGGCTAGCCACTGCCCGACGAACAAGCTCCTCCCAGTCTCAGCCGCCGTTGGGCAGGATCGCGCGCGGAACCAATATGCGACGGATAGGAGTGCAGACGCGCCGTGTCACTCAGACCAACGCGTTCCTCCAGTCCAACTGGACGGACTACAGGTCAATATTCCAGCCATGGGGTAGCTCACCGGAAGGACGTGGAATCATATGAAGCAGCAGGATGAGTACGCAAGAGCAGCGCACAACGGCGTCGGAAAATGCTGCCATCAGAGACAATTACGAGCATGGCGCAACCTTAGACGTTGAGCGGATGGGGGGCATTTTGTCGTGGATGCAAGTGAATCAGGGCACTGAGTATAAGAAATTTTTCATAAAGTTCGAAGGTCGCGATAAGAACCAGGCAGTCCGTGAATGCATCGAAGTCACGGAAAAGTTGAACATGCACGTGCCCACGGTTCAACTTTCGGCAATACCCGAGAGCTGTATAGTTTGACTCTAATCCTTCTCCTGCGCCAAGAGAGGTTGAAAGCTGGGTGTACATAGTTTGTAAGCCTGTATATATGCGCTTGTATGGATCATTGAGGTCCAGGGACGAGAAAGAATGAGTGAGACGCAATGAGACGGCAGAAGAAACCATATTTTGTGGCGCTGCCGAACTCAAATTGAAACTCCGATGTACACACAACTTGGGTGATCGGGCGACGCCTTCTCTCCACATAGACAACGCCTTTAAAAATCCATTGGCATCTGCAGGTCCGTGTTGCACGTCTGAGGACGATCTCGAGGCTAATGCGCGCGATCTTGCAGGCGTGAAAGGCCATAGGGAGGCTTTGTCTAATTCTTGTGAGCGGAAGTGAAGTACGCGACGATTCCCCCATCTGACCTTCTGGCAGTAAAAGACCGAAACATCAACAATGGGTGCCAACCGTGAACAGAAGGCCGCTTACTTCGAGAAGCTCAAGGAGCTCCTCCAGCAGTTCCGTACGTCGCAAACGATATAAGAATTCATGATCGTACTGACCCCGCGCATCAGCCTCCATCTTCATCGTTAACGTTGACAATGTCGGCTCCAACCAGATGCACCAGATCCGTGTCGCGCTCCGCGGCAAGGGTGTCGTCCTGATGGGCAAGAACACCATGGTCCGCCGCGCGCTGCGCAGCTTCCTCTCCGAGCTCCCCCAGTTCGAGAAGCTCCTCCCGCACGTCAAGGGCAACATCGGCTTCGTGTTCACTGCCGGTGACCTCAAGGAGATCCGCGACCTCATCATCGCCAACAAGGTCGCCGCCCCCGCGCGTGCCGGTGCCTACGCGCCCAAGGACGTCTCCATCCCCGCCGGCAACACCGGTATGGAGCCCGGCAAGACGTCCTTCTTCCAGGCCCTCGGTATCCCCACCAAGATCGCGCGTGGTACGATCGAAATCGTGTCCGACGTCAAGGTCGTCACCGCCGGCACGCGCGTCGGCCCCTCCGAGGCGACGCTCCTGAACATGCTCAACATCTCGCCGTTCACGTACGGCATGACGGTCGTGCAGATCTACGACTCGGGCAACACGTTCTCGCCCGACGTCCTCGACGTCGACGAGTCAGAGCTCATCGACCGCTTCCTCACGGGTATCAAGACCATCGCGGCGATCTCGCTCGCGCTCAAGTACCCGACGATCGTGTCCGTGCTCCACTCGCTTATCAACTCGTACAAGAATGTCCTCGCTGTGTCGCTCGCCACCGAGTACACTTTCGAGGGCTCCGAGAAGGTGAGCATCCGTTCCCTTGGGCTACTGGATGAGCCAAACATATATCACACTGAAAATGCTGAGCGCCTTGGGCGCGTTGTTGATCTATACCCTTTCTGACCTTCGCATATCTCCTGTCTTGAACTTGCTTACTGACTTCATCTTCAGGTCAAGGAGTACCTTGCCAACCCCGACGCTTTCGTGTCCGCTGCGCCCGCCGCCGCTGAGGCTGCCCCGGCCGCCGAGGCCAAGGCTGAGGAGAAGGAGGAGGAGAAGGAGGAGTCTGACGATGACATGGGCTTCGGTCTCTTCGACTAATTTCACTCCACGTGTATCGTTAGCATTTGTATCATTGCTATCTATCGACGAGTCTCCATCTTGATTTGCTGAGGACCTCCGAGTCACCGCAAATCGCGAGTCCTTGCTATGCATGGAAATACGCAGGGTGCGAAGGAGATCAGGAATGGAAGTAGTGTCGTGGATGTCCCGTAAGACGAGATGTGGTTTGAAGACTATATGTATCGTTGTCTGTCCAGCCCCAGTGAGGTGTGGGGTATTCACGCACGCTTACCTGAAAGGTGCTTTTTGGCCATGCACATGGCTAGCTGTACTCACTCGGAGATTGCGGTGAGTCATCTCAATATTCCACGACCTCCAAGCGTACGATGAAGCCACTCAGCGACAGGAGGGTGTTTGCTACTGCCGAACTTTCCGAATGGATCCCTAACCACACATGTATGTACAGCACCGTCGCAGTAAAGAATCCACAGCTGCCAATCTTTTTGCGCCCGACCTCACCACGTCGACAGACGCGGGATGATACGGAGCCCAAAGAGAAAGATAGTGGAAGGTTCCCCCGACGACACAAGCCTGTACTGCAGCGGCAAGGTCATCGCGTCCCCGTGTTGCAAGCAGAGTCCAGGGAGCAGGGGCGACAAAAATTGGATAACCATAACACGAAGCAGTGCTTCGGTAAAAGTGGTTAAACTTTTAAGAACAGATACTACACTTGATCTAAGCCAAAAGGCCAGAGTGGTAAGGAATCGGGGTGAGAAGGAGGAGCCTTTATAGGGGAAGAGCGGCGCACGGACCATCAGTGGATGTAGGTGGTGATGGGTCCATAGGTAGGGCTTGCAGGGAGCAGCACGCTCTTCACTTGTAGTGTGGATATTCTGCACGCGCGTAGCCGCTTACCAGGGATCGAAAGCGAATGGAGAGCAATCTGTGCAGACACTGATAATCCGCCGTGCCACGGCCAAGTTGAAGTTCATCGGGACAGCAGATCACGTCAAAGTCACGCATGATCCACGTGATGTTGAATTTCAGGAAGCCCGGCGCTGAGCGCTGACGGCAGCTCGTCCTGCGGTTGGTCGGGGAGCGCCCGCAGCCAGATAACGCTTCAAATAGTCTGCTGCTCACCTGAGAGCGTGTATGTCATATCGCTCTTCCGGTACTCGGGACATCACGACGACAATACAGTACAAACAAAACATTCATTCGCGCAGCTTTCTACACTGTCGTTACAGGCCAGAACATGATATGAGAGGTAAGAAATCGTAAAGGAGGTTCAATTCAGCTCCGGTCCGGGATGGTACCGATCCGCCGATCAACAACTCGCGCTTTAGAAGCCCAGTGCGGCAAGGAGCAGACCGAAGCTGAGGTCGTAGAGGAGACCCGCAACATCCTTGAGCCTAGAAAAGGGTGTAAGTGGACGGTGCCGGCGGTAAAAGCACACGATTGCTCACAGGCCAGCCACCAGCTTCAAAACACCAGCCAGGAGGAACTCGACGCCGTGGAGAATGTTCGCGAGAGCCGCGTCGATGGCGATGAGCAGGGGGGACAGGCCAGGGATGGCGAGACCGAGCTTGACGAGGACGACGTGAAGGACCTTGAGAACGTCCTGATACCGTTGGGGTCAGTTTCCAAAAATTATTATATGAGGCGCGCAACGCGTACCTTGAGGATCTCGGCGATGAGCCCAGCCAGAACATCCGGCTTCGGGGGGTGTCCGCCGGCCGGCTTGCCCTTGAGCTCCTCAATGCCGTCGTTGGCAGTGTTGAGCGAATCGAGCAGCTGCTGCACGAGGGCAAGAACGTCCTCATCCTTCGCATCGCCGGAGTCAGCAACGGTTTCTGTCGTATTGTGAGAAAAGTGGACAGAGACGCATCGAGACGAAGCATACCGAGCTGCGGCAGAATTGAACCGGTCGCGTCCTTGAGGTCGGTGAAGATCTGCGTAAGGCCATCGGCGTCCTGGCGCTTGGCGACGCCAGTCTGCGCCTCGGCGGGAGCAGCGACCGTGAACAGGCCGAGGGTGAGGAAGAAGAGGAAGAATGTGACGAGGCGCTGAGCGTACATGGCTGGAGAGCTGGAGAGTAGGCTGGAGCGGGCTCGAGGTAGTCGGTGTAGGTTCGACTGAGGAAAGTAGGCCAAGTCGGCCTTGCTTTTATACTTGAGTCCCCATCGTGGGAGTCCTTGCAGTCTCGTAAAGCCTTGAGGATTACCGCCGCGATGATGCTGCTTGATGATGGGGTCTGAATGTCCTGTAGGGTTGTGACATATCCCTCGAGCGGGGTCTCATTCATTGTATACGGAAAAACAACACGCACGCGGCTGTTTTCCGAGGCCCCGCTGAGCGATGGCTCGCTCGACACGCATTCAAAAGGGGATGATGTCGTTCAAGGGTGGAAACATCGCGCGCCTCGTTGTTGGCACTGACGAGATGGAAGGGTAATCTGAGCCAAGAGTTATGTGCTGGGCGTTGGACCATATGGCGCGATTCGGGGAAAGGCTGTCCGACCATGCAATGGACGCGTTCATCTGTTGGCCAGTACTTCCGTGCTCACGAGAAAGAAGGGGCGTGGCCACCCCGGGCGGCGATCGCTCTGCGAGATTTGGGATCTTCGCTCGCTTTCATGTCCGCGCGACATGAGCCTTGCAAATAGGAAGCCCTTCACGCTGTGTACGTGAGCCCATCTGCTACAGGGACGGCCTGCTCACCATAAGATGCCTTTTGCTTCTTCGATGAGCAGAGACGCACTTTGTGGCGAGTATGAAGTCGTTCTGCGTTCCGTTGGTATACAGCGGGGTAATGAGGAGCAGGGGCACGCACGCACGAGTGGAGCTTGCGTTGAGCTTACTGCTCGAGTCGCCATCGAGCACCCCAGGCCTCTGGAATAGTCATTTTGATGTCACCGTCGCACAATCTCAATTGTGGCATTTGCGCGGTCCCGTTTGTCTTTCGAGGGTACTCCATCAACCTCCGCGCTTCTAGGTTACCTGCCAAGCTGTGTGATTGTGATGAGGATCGCGCAGTGAACCACGTTCCGTCGTCGTAGCGTTGGCGACGATATTCTTGCGTAGGAAGCGCCCCGCCGCGCGATTACGACCGCGAGAGAACGAGGACGCCGTAGCGTTGTCACCGATAGAGAAGGCGAGACGCACGCACATCGATGTACCACAAATTCTGCCGGTAGGAAACCGCGAGTAACCCAAGGGGAAACCCTGCCCGCCCAAGGCCTGAGGTGAGCCGGAAAGTACGTCAACGGCATGAGCAACAATGAAGGCACATTTCGACTCACATGACAGAGCTTCGTTCGCGGAGTCCTCCCACAGTGTAATAGAGTTGGTCGTCACCCCATGGAGGGGATCTTGAACATAACACGGCACGATTGAACCTTAAACCTTCGTGGGCTTATTTACTCGCCTCAAGGCTTCCGTGTGCCCTACGACCAGCCTTCCTCGGGTGACCGAGGGCGGTTCAGGTGACGATGGCGAGGTCAATACGGTGGCTGTTTGTCGGTGAGAGACCATGATTTGCATTCAGCGTTCGTTTGCCGTCGGTGTAGGGCATTCTGCTAGTAGCATTTAGTAACACGGTCTTCTTGTGCGCCGAGGAAGGGTTCTGTATAGCACCGAGCGCAGGATCAGCAACGGCGGAGGGCAAGCACTGTTGTGTAGAGGGTGAGCGGCGAACTCGTACATCGGCATCAGATCATGACGAGTCAAGGGCCAGCAGCCATAATTGGAGGGCCCGCAAACAGTCGGAACAATCGCTTCGCAAATCCCGGGCAATGTCGCGGACTTACATGCTCAAAATTGATTGGTAGTATGTTCGGGGGTTCGAAAGCCCTGGACGCGGACAGAGGCGGACATCCGACGGCGTGAGGGTGCGTGACAGAAGGGCAGTGGCAGGCTAAGGGTACCGGCAACACGTGACTGTTGAACTTTCGCAGACACGGCTTGTCCTCGATTGAAGCGAGCTATACCGAGGAACATGCATCGTAGACAGTGTGATATCGTCGACAGGACTGCCGCATATATCTAAATATTTATTCGAGTCAGCAAGCTGCGGAGAAATTGCAGTTCGAGAACATATGCACGACTGAAGCCTTCGTCGTCTCCGAACCCTTCTCCTCGATCGGTGGCCGCTTTCCCGCGTTCTCCGCGTCCTCCATCTCCCCTGATTCTCTGAGCCACCTGAAACTGACCCCGAGCGCCAGTCAGTCTATATCTTGCTACCCTGCTTCGCCTGCAGATGCCTGAGATCGAGCCGCACGTGGGGAAAGCAGCCCCGCTTCGAGCTCGAGGGAACTGGCAAGATGTCGACGAGAGCCATCTATCATTCGTCATCTCTATACTGCCGCCGACTCGAGCGGCACAGAAGGATAGAGAAGACTGTATCACGACGCCGAGGCGCACATCAGCACGCCCGGCTCCGCATACAACCCCGCCATGATCAATAGGCCCTTCCCCACATCGTATAGCCCGGCGCTCGAGGTCTGCAGCTGAGCGCCGTTGCTCTGATATAGGGTTTGAATGTCGAAGCGTGGATGTACCGCGTTGAGGGCCGGAGCGTCATTGCCAGGCTTTTCCACGTCTTTCCTCGCGATCCGCACGACCCAGCTACCCGCAGGGTCTGTGCCACCCCTGGCAAGCGCGGCCAACTGGGGGAAGTTCGGATGGCCAGCGACGACGAGCGAGCCATCGTCCGCAAAGTGGAGGTTGTCGGGAAGGAAAGGCAGGGAGATGGTGTCCCTAAGCTCAAGCCCGTAGTTCGTCAAGTCCGGTATGAAAGACACATGGTTGGAGCGGCCAGCTACGTGGTAAAGACGGACCTCCGCGGTGGTAGTCGAAGCCACGGCCACGGTATCGCGGGTGGGCGAGACCGCGACACCGTTGGGGAAGGGAATGAAGGGTGCCACTACGTCGACGGTGGCAATAGCTTGTGGCGAGCCTGCCGCGGACTCGGCATCCTCGCGGTCCGCACGGTCATCTTTCGGCTCGAGCCTAACATGCACAACCCAGCCTAGGGGCAGCGACAAAATAGATTCGGCGATTGGAAGGAGGTGGTTGAGCGGGAACGGCAGGCGCCGTGTGAAGAGGTGATCGTTCGTGACCAGGAAACTAGTTGGGGACGTAAGCGCCAGGGAGTTTGCCTGGCAGGCGGACGTCAGCCAGGTATGTAAAGCGCAACATTGGAAAGATATGAACAACATAAGGCGGAAGGCCTTCCGCGCAATGCATACAGGCCCGCTAACGAGGGTATGATAGACTCACCGAACTGAAATGAGGAGAGTCGAGGGTGCGGACGTAGGTCGCGATTGCTTGCCCAGACGGAGAGACTGTGAACTGTTCTATGCAGGTGCGTCCCCTTGCGTGGTTGACGACAAAGAGGTTGGAAGGCTCGCCGTCATGAGACGGATAAATGTCCAGGCCAAGTGGGTGGAAGTCATGGTCTGGTGGAAACCCCGCGAGTTCGAGACGCGCTGGCGCCGCGCCCTTAGCAACGTCCATAACCCACACAGAGCCCCTCGGCTTGGGGTTCAGCAAAGGACCCATGACGGTGTTCCACGCCTTCCTGCCCGCATCGCAGCTGATGATGGCGCGACGCGTGGCGTGCGCTTCTCCGGCTTGAGAACCAATGTCCCAGAAAACTACGTCCTCGCAGTACTTGAATTCGTCTGCAAGAGGGGACATGGCGTCGTCTGCGAGAAAGAAGTCGACGTCGTCCGCACGAGGGAAGGTACATTGCAGCGTAGCATTCCCGTAGGCGTAATAAGCGGGAGGGAGAACCGGCGTGAATAGTATATTGTTGTATAGCAGGCGTCTGCTTCGCCAAACGAGGACGCTCTGGGTCAAGTTCAGCGTCTCCCTCTCCCTGACATGACACCAAGTTACGCACTAGTAGAAGGGCTATGATGGCAGACGTATATCTCATGTCAGCTCCTCGGTTTCGGCCCATCCAATTGCTAGCTCGCCCAACCTTGGCGAAAGTCCCGATTTCACGAGGGGGCGCGATTGGTTGTTGCAGTATTCACGCTTCAGTGCTCGACGCCGTAGAAGGTCAGGTCGACGGCAGGTACAGTCGATAGAGGAGCTTCGGGCTGACGATACAGCAGCAAAGGTTATCAAGAACTCAGCATACGACCGCAGATCCTGATGGTGGCGCGCAGCAAGCGCCTGCATTGCCACGTGCGAGGCGCTCACTTCCAAGACGTGGTCGACCTTGTCAACTTCGAACTGCATCGTTACTACTTGTAGGGTTCAAACGTTGACCTTTGCACAGCCCATCTACAGGTCATAAGGTCATTATATAGATTTACACCACTCTCCTGGCCGAATACACTACAAAACGAAAGCTAGACATAGACATATATACGGGTGAACAAGGATGCCAACAACGGAGGACCATCGCGGAAGACAGTCTCCACTGGCAAGGCAGACGGAAGACAGCGACGGAGGAGCATCGCGACGGATAGGAAAGAGAATCAATTCGTCGAGGGTCATAGATACCGAAAACGCCGAACATCATGATATCGTCTATAGCCACTGGCTGGCCAGATTCGGCAGAAGTGTCCTATAAAGCTCGTCAGCACGCGCCCATTCTAACTTGCAAAAGGATGGCACTCACAAAGCGCCGACACCAAACACAAATAAGCCAGTGCCCCACGCCGCCGCCTTCCGCTCCGGCGCGACCGCCCCCACGCGTGAGTTCGACTTGATGAGCCGCATTTCGGTCTCCGGCTCCTTCGGCTCGAACGACTTCGGCAACTCATCCTCGTCGTCCTCACGAGCGCGCTTGCTCGAGGAGCCCGCGTCGACGTTCATATTCCGCCCGCCCGCGGCCATGATGTCGGTTACCATCTGCTTCTGCTCCTGGATGTCGGCGCGGTGCATTTCCTCCATGGCTTCGGACATGACCTGGTGGCCCTCATCCTCGTCGTGATGCGGCTCGTCTGACGCGTCCGTTTCCACCCGCTCGTACGTGGAGACGACTTTCTCGTAGGACCTGGACGCGCGCGGTGTATCCTCCACCGCGGTTTCGTCCGAGCCCGCGACAGATACGCGGCTTTCCTTCTTGACTAGGATGGCATTCTGTTTGCGGGAAGAGGGCTTGACTGGGGACTTCGCAGGAATGATTACGACGGCTTCTCTCTTGGATAGTGGCCTGCCGCGAGTGGAGGGTGGCTTGGCAGGCGATGGGGCATCGCTCGCGTGGACGGCAGACATGGCGGCACCGAAGGTCGGTGGCGGAACACCAGTCACGGGCGGGCTCTTCGTTCGAGCACGAGTCAAGCGTGTCGGCGTCGGAGCCGGGCTGGGACTCGTGCGCGAGCGGGCAGACCGACGCGGCGCAGTCTTCCCTGGCGTAACGACCGGCAAGGGTCCAGGCGATGGCCCAGGCGACGACTCCTTCCGCCGCTTGGACGGTGGCGACGCCACAGCGGGGGACGCTGGAGCGCCATTGAGGAAGCGAAGAGGTGCCGCTGCGGGCGTTGGAGGGTTTGGTGGGGGGTTGACCGAGGCCGCCTTCGAATTGGCTGCAGACTTGGCGCTCTTGCGGTAGTGGACATCTGGGTCGGGCTTCGAATCCACCATGATCTGGATGAGCGGTGCGATGGCGTAGTCTTGGGCGAGTTCAAGGGCAACATCGGGCGGGACCCAAGTTCCGGCTAGGCGGGGGATGGAGGTGTCGCGGGAGGAGCCGTTCGTGCCGGTGAGGTCGTGGGTTTCCTTGACCCATTGATACTCGCTCTTCTCTACATCTTCGGGACCGTCGGGGAAGGCAGCGCGGTACATAGTTGTGAGGGAAATGGCGCCGGTATCGAAGCGGCGAAGAACGAAGGAGTGGCCCGCGCTCTGTGCGAGACGTCAGTGAGTGGAGGGTTCGCGAAGGGTGGACGCGCACCGTTGGTGTCTCAACCTTCATACGCCCAACCTATGGTTTGTGAGCGACTCCCGCGTAGGGGAATATGCAGTGCGACGTACGATGATGTCGGTCCCCTGGCATGTGAGGACCTGGTACTTGACTGGTGGCAGTGGGGCGCCAGAGTTTACTGCGAGGGGATCAGGTACTGGCGCGTCCTAGACAGAATACGCGTACGGAGATGTTGGATCTTTGAGTTCGCATAGCGTACGGGGAGACTGGGGCGCGGCATTGCTGCAGATGTACGGCACGCGAAGGCACACCCAATGTCCGAGATGGCGGTCCGGGTAACAGAAATGCGGGCGGGCAAAGCGGCGTGGCATGTTCTACACGTGTCTAATCTCACATTTTCCCACGACCGCGTTGTTCAACATGAGATCACGTGCGGGAACATCAACGAAGGACACGGTCGCTCTGGCAGAACCATGGCCATGGATATACATGAATACAGAAGGGTCAGTCATAGTAGGTACTGTACATTAGCATAGAAATCATAAATACACTAGCTTTCCTGCCTGCAGTTCGCAATCTGGATGGAAGATCGCCGCTCCATACCTAGAAACACAAGATGGTGGTCCTTGCCGTCCAACCAAGACTGCCCTGCATTCATCGTCGGGTGGCTCCTGCGCGCCCGCGGCCGGACGCGCTATCTCGGGAGGTCGTCACCCAGCCTCCTCCGCAGTAGAGGATTACTGTGCCTGCCAAAGTGTTGCTCGCGAAGCACGATCATCTTCAGTCAAATTCGTCTTCATCGTCGCTCATGAGCATGTCGTCCAGGCTGACGTCCGCGACATTCCTCGCACTTCCCTCCTGGATGGAGATTATTTGGTTCGGGAGCTAAAGGTGCATTAGCCTCACTTACGAACGACCAGATGCACATATACTCACCCTGCTCATTCTCGCGCGCCAGTCATCCCAGTCTGCGATATCCTTGCACAGGAAGCCGGCGAGCATACTGGGGTCTTGCGCGCTGATGGGCATCATCTTCGGGTTCGTACAGTGGAATGTTGCCAGATCAGCATGGGTGAATGCGACCTGGTAGTGGGTATTCAAAGAGTCGGGTAGTAGGGGCGCCGTGGGGCCCAGAGATGGAGATATCGGCGACACTGGGGAGGTGGGTACCGATAGAGAGCGCGTCGCGGGCGACGGCGATGAGGGCACCTTCAGGTGAGGTCGTGGAGGCGGAGTCGTTGGCGGAGAACGAGTTGTGGGAGGGGGAGACGCAGGTGGGGTGCGTGGTGGCGAACCGGGGACCTGTAGCGGCGAGGGAGGCGAAGGCGTCCGCGGCGGCGACGATGCCACCCTGCGTGGCGACTTGGCAGGCGAAGCAGACTGCTGCTGCCGCGAGCGCCGAATGGTGAAGCGCGAGCCGCGTTTGGGCTCCTCTTCTTCCTGCCTTTCGCGCTCCTTATCCTGCTCCGCGACCGTGCGGACGGTGTTGCGAGTATGGTGCGGGTCGAGGTAGATCAAGTCGCTGCCTTGCGCGCCCACAAAGTGGTAGGATGAGCAGGGGCGACCGCCTGCGATACCGACCGACTGAGGAAAGGTGAAGAGCGCTTTGATGGTGTCGTGATATATCGGGTTGACGCGGTCCAGTCCCAAGCGGAGGTTGAGGAGGATGAGGACGGGGCGATCGCCCCAATCCAGGGCGGCCTCTTCATCGGACCATTCCGAGTGACTGGCAGTGAAGACTTCCGACTTGGACAGCGCGCCATCCATACCGACCACGACACCGATTCCAGCTAGGGGGTATGCACTGACAAGATTCCTGGGGACAAGATCAGCAACCGGTCATGGGGTGGATGAATCGGCTTACTTGATAGCGCCAGCAGCAGTGCTAGGACCAAACCACTGGCCGATATCCTTGCCTAATTGCTTCCCTGCGAGTGCCATTCGATGAATACTGAAAGGGGCGGTCGGGTGTGGCGTGTCGAGGAATAGGGATAGCAAGTGGACATAGAGGGAGTGCTGATGCGTCTCCACCTCCGATATTCGCCTCCAATCTGCGCTAATGAGCCTATGAATCATAGCAGACCCATAGACGACGCACCTCGCCCGAACCATGCCGTCAGGAGCGCGTTCGCCAGCAGGCTCTGCCCAGTACGCAGCATACATCCCCACCCCGAGTCGGACGAGAAACCGTACGCGCCCGGGGGCTCCGCCTCGTCTGTCGCCCACTCCCCCTGCAGGTGGCCGTCCAGGCTCGCCACCGGGGGCGGGAGATCGATCAGCTGGCGGTCTCTGATGAGCTCGAAGCCCGAGCGATACGTGAGCCATATCCTTGTCGCGAAGTCCGCATAGAAGTCTGGCGCGCCCGGCGCGTGGCACACGCCCATGAGCCATATCTCCTCCCCCTTGTCGTTCCGGTGGTGGTCCGAGTCGAGCAGGTAGCGCATCGCTTTGTCGATCTGGCGCGCCGCGTTCGAGAGCGTGCCGTGCCCGTGCGAGTGCGAGGCGGAGTTCGAGTGCGATGTGCTCGTCGAGTCCGACTCCTCGGCGCGCTCCGAGCCCTCGGGACTCTGCTCTGCGGGCTGCTGCAGGATCGCGGGGGACGAGGCGCGGATGCGGCGCGGGGAGGACATGGCGGCAAGACGCGAGAGACTTCCGTTCCCAGACAGGCGGCGCCGTCCGCTGGAGACTGTGTCCTGGATGAACCGGTACAGGAACTTGTTACGTTTTTCTGTCATGGGCGCTGTCGCGCGGCGCGACCGCCGTCGCCGTCGTCGTCGTGGCAGGAGGCAAGGTGCGATTCCGACCGAACAAGCTCCCGCGAACTAAGTAACGTGGCGCGCATCACGCCGCAAAGCGCTAGCTGTGTCATGATGCCGGACCAGTTGAGCAGTGAGGTCTACTACAAGAAGTACTAGGTAATGGTACAGTAACAGCCGTGAGGGTAAGTAAGGATATCGCGAAGCCTCATATCGTTCCGAACAAACTCCAGCAAGCAAAGATCGTTTACGAACCGTGAGACCGCCTCGACCAGCTCGACATCGTGAGCGCACCCACGACGCCCACCATTAGTATGGCCGTACCCGCACCGATGATCGCTGGCACGTACAGGTACCACGCATCATCAATGTCCTCCGATCGTGCCAGCTTCTTCTTCACCAGCGCCGCCTCCTCCTTCTGCCGCTTCTCGTCGATAATCTCGAAGGACGGCATCTGGAAGTGATCAGGCTCGGCTACCGGGGAGAGGACAGGGACGTCGAGGTCTGGACACAGTACGCGTGCGCGCTCGAAGTATCCGTTGGCCGCTTCACGATCTCGCCTCCACGCTTGTGCACCAGCCATCGAGAGCGGTGCCTTCGGGGGCGGTACCCTCAAGGACGACAGGCTGGCGAAGGAAGGAGAGACCAGGTTCGAGGCAGCGCCCTCCAAATGAAGTAGGCCCGCGTCTAAGTAGAGCTGGGCGAGACCCTCTGCTCCGCCTAAGCAATGTGCATAGTAGGCTTCCGTGTCCCTCGCAGGAGGCGTCTGGAAGTCGATGTCGAAGCTTGCAGAAACGGGTACATAGTTCGTTGCGAGCCGTATGGTAGCAGCTGCGCCGTGGCTCTGGTGCCAAGCCCGCCTGTTGGATGAATCAGTATGGAACAGAGGAACGGCTGCGAAGCTTCCGCGTACACAAGAAACTCGAATGCTTCGCGCTTCTGCTTGCGAATGTCGTACAGGTCCAGGCCGATGAGGATCAGGCTCGTCGGGTCCATATTGTACTGATGCTCCATCTCCTCACTCGCGTCATAGACCACGCTTTGAGTGACCAGGGGAGACAAGGCAGAGGGGACAGGCCCTACTATCAGCGAAGGCCATATGATGGACTGCGCCTTGTCGAGATGCAATGTGAGCAGCCGGTCGGATATGCGCGATTCCAAGGACTCGAGAGAAGAGTAGTATGCGGGAGAGACCGGGCCAGAACTTGCGGGTCGTGCGCGCTCAAGGCGAACGGAGAGGCCGTTGTGGTCGATGATCCCAGAATTAGTACCGCGCACGGGTGACGTGCCGCCGTCTTCTGTCTCCGAGACAGGACCGCTGTCAAGAGAGGCTGCGAAGCTGCTCGTGATGTCCGGTTCCGAGACGAGGGCGTAAGATGAGGGAGTAGATACGGACGACGTGTTAGATGTCGTCCGTCCGCGTCCTGGTCGAGGAGACTCCTCGAGCTGCCATGTGGATGTCGATGGATCGACCTCGCCGTATAGCTTGCCCTGTGCACAACTGAGAAGGCAAGGTACGCAGAAGGCCTGAGCCTACGAACCTTGATGATAGGTTCGCGACCTTTGATTCCAGCAACGAGGTATTGTCCCTCAATGGTGACCTAAACGCCGCATGCATCAGCGCCAGCCGCCACATAGCACCTCGACCACGCACCACGACGTCCTCTTCACGCGCCGAGTTCGGTACCATCAGCAGAATTGTCGCCTAGTCGCAGAGTGCCTTCAGCTCCCGCGGCCAGCGCGCAACACGGGAGCCCAAATACCTGATCGTGAGACTGGGGTAGGCGCGCTGGTCAGTACTTGGACTGCCTGAATGAGCACCCTTGTACACACCTGGTGCCACGAGTACGCCAGGCGCTGTTCGTCGAGCATCTCCATGGTGAAAGGGAGCGAGTGTGGCGTGCAGAGATGGTGGTGGAGGGAGACAAGGTGGTGCGAGCAGTGCTATTATGTCCGTCGGCCATGACTGACGCCTGTGAGCCGGCGCGTGGGCGGCTCGTGGCCTCCCTATTTCGGACGCGTCGGACCCGTTGCGGAGGTCGTCCTGAGCCATCACGAGCAATGGAAGTTCAAGCGCAGACTATGAACTGTGTCCTCCCGAAAGACTGCCTCGGGGAATGTTGCCAGTGCTAGTGAACATTCGCTCTGGTCCTGCTGCAGCGTGGAGGAAAAGTGTGACATGCATGCATGTAGAAATCACACAAAACAAGGCAAGCAAGCGATAATTCACTCATGCCCACAATATCCCATTGAGCTGTAGGGAACTCTATAAGATTCCCAAGAGGCATGAGATGTATATTGATATGAAGGACGATAGACAATGTCAGCAACAGTCACTATTGACTTTTAGGGAATATACGTGGACTGCGTTGCTCCTTCGGTCCCGTCTCCCACTCACGCTTCTTGAGAAACGATTTAGACGGTCCGCGGCGCTGCACAGGTAGATCATGCTGTGTCCGCGCCGTCCTAGGGTCCATCCGAGAGTCTGAGCGCAGCGTCGGGATCTTCTTTTTTGGGGGGAAGTTCGTGCTCGCGATGTCAGGAAGTCAGCGCGCAGGAGAGAGGAGCTGCAATGGGAGGACAAAGCGAGTGCAGATCCTATCATTATATGACCAGGATATATGACTAGGATCCCAACGACCGCGTCGTTTTTCGTCTCGCGCGTCGAATAAGATCCTTCGACAGTCGCCTTACTAGTACTTGCAGAAGGCAGCGAAGAAGTAGCGGATCCTGTGCTGGTTAGCCCCGGGGTAGGACTGGTGCACCGGTGCTTGCTCACTCTCGTGCGACAGCCAAGAAAGCCGATATCCATGCCATGGGCGAGATAATAGCAAACTTGGGGGCCGCGAGCGTTGAGGGCAGCGGTGACGATGACGAAGAAGAGCCGCAAAGATAGAGGCTCGTAGAATGCGCTGTGAGCTTATAGACCATGGAGTTGTGTAGTGCTGCCTAGGATCGACATCCGCATGCAACTGAGAAGCACAACAATGCGACGGCACGGGAAGCAACAGGCCTCGCGAGTCGCGAGTCATGGCGAGAAGTTGAACAGTCACATGCGTGACAGGTCTGTCACTAACGTCGAACAGCCCTGCTCGGCATATGCCGCTCTATTCTCTATCACGGAGCCCTATCGCAGAGTTAAGAGGAATCCTGCCCTCCACGGAATCGCTACGCGAATGCACTCGGCCTCGTCTTTGCAGTCTAATGTCCCCTCGCGCAGCAGGATACCGGACAGTAACCAACTCTCCTACTCATTGTCTGTCGACGTCACCGCAGCCGGAGAAATAGGCTTGAACTGAGAAGAGCATCCTCCATGCCTCGGAAGTCTATGCAGAAGCGGGTGCGGAGTCCCAACGGGAAACCTTCCCCTCGTTCACATTGCACCCGCCTCTTCTGCGTGCGGTTGCAAAGCGTGTCACCTATTCCTCGTGCGGAGGAGTTCCCCGTCCTCCTCCGCACAATACACCTTCCATCACGCGCGCAAGTCTCTTCCAATGGACGAACCGTTGAGGCTACCTCGGTAGCCATAATCATACTGCACGGCCATTACCCCGAATGCGCGCAGACGATGGAAGCGATCCCTCCCCCCGGAACATTGCCTGACCACGCACCCCACATGTTCCCCCGGTCATGCGCCCTGCCTCGCATCGCGGCGGTGCGCGCGACAACGCAATAAAAGCCTGCGCTCGGACGGGCGGAGGAGTAGCTTGGGGCTCTCTCGCTCTCCCTCGCCGTCTGAGTCAGGATGTTCACCCTCGACACACTTTTTGTGCGTGGAGCTTGGATGAGCGCGATTTGACGACACTGACTGGATGTAGACTGCCGTGGGTCTGGCAGGCGCGCTGGCGATGGCCACACCCATCGTCCGGCAAGATTGCGCGTCCGTGTACCTCATCCATGCCGCGGGCACGTCCGAGAGCGGCCTCGGAGCCGTGGGCGAGCCGTTGTCGGGGAACTTGACCTCTGCTCTTCCATCGTAGGTCTTTGGTCAGCTATCACTGGTAGATCACGCTCACCGTACACGCAGGTTCTCCTCTGTTGGCTTGGATTGTGAGCACCTACGTGGCCCGCCCGTTGCGAACGTGAGAGCTGATCCAGCGGCATCTTGACTTTGACTCGGAAAGACGACAGTAAGCTTCGTTGCCTGTCCTCAGATCCTCAGCTCATCGGAACTTCAGCCAGCGTTGAGTATGTGGTGACCGTCGCCGAGGGCGCGCAAACGCTGGCAGACCTCATCGTGCGTGTGCGATAGCTCTCTCTTCAATCATTGCTGAATGATAGTCTTTCTCAGGCGAGCCAAGCCTCCGCCTGCCCCGACCAGAGGTTTATCCTGAGTGGATATTCCAAGGGCGCCATGGTAGTCCACTGTACGTTGCACGTCTGAGAGACACATCGATATCGCCACTCACTTCTATCATAGCATCGACGGCGGACCTGACCGACGACTTGATCAGCAAGGTCTGCGGGATCGCCGTTTTCGGGGTAAGCAGGATTTTCTGTAAACAATGATAAACCGTTCACTCAAGTTTTTCAGGACCCCGACGATGAGAAGGGCTTGGGCGCCATCTATGGGCTGGCGGACAGTGCGTTTTCCCTTACATCGGCTGGAAGTTTACGCTCTGACTGACCCCTTTGCAGCGTGGCCCATCGCAGAACCACAGATCGGGACGAACATCCTTGAGTATGTGTTTTATGAAATGCATAGTCTACTCACTGACGCGACCTTACTGGTATAGATTTTGCAACGAAGGCGACCCTGTCTGTGACGGAGGCGCCGATATCGACGCGCATTTGGCGTATCCCTCGGACGGCTCTGTGCTACAGGCGGCGACTGGGCTCGCGGCGGTTTGCGCGTGACGAGATCAGATTGAGGAGTCCATGACTCCATGTAAGGCTCGTTGTGAGCATCGTGTTGTACGATTGTTGTATGAATACCAAGCCAAATTGACGACGCTACACTGCCGGTTTCCCGCTTCCTGTGCCTATTGGCCGCTGATGAGCTCGTCCAGTTTGCTGCTGAGGATCTCCCCCTCGACGAGGCGGCCGACTTCCTTGCCCTTGTAGAGGGTTAACTGATGAGATGTTTAACTTCGAGACCTGGCTTACATCTTTCAGCTTGAGCAGCGTCGGCACGCCCCTGATGTTGAAAGGCGCCTTCCGATACTTGTTGTCCGGAGACTTCCAGCTGCGCATCATAGATAAATGAGCGTACTGGGAGGTAATACTACTACCAGCACAACTTACGTGGGTCGGTCGCCGACGAAGACAATGAGTGCCGATGGTTGTTTTGCACCCGCGAAGGCGGCGTTCACGCGCCCTTCGACGTCGCGGCAGTCCTGGAACACAAGATTCAGCATTTTTCAGGGAGAAAGTAATCTCTCAAAGGCTTACTGGACACCACATCTTGCCATCGACAACGGACGAGTAGAAGATGAGGTACTCCTCCGGAGCGGATGTGAGGGTGGCAATGTCCGGGGTCTCCAGAGTGCGGATAGGCATGGTGCCTGTAGTGAGAAAGGCGCTGAACGCAAATAGTGAACCTCCTTATGTCCAGATGGTGGTTGGTAAGAAGAGGGAGCAGGGTATACTGACGAGATCGAGGCCCATCGTTGTGCAATCCTGGCCGGCAGGTGCCGAGTATGTTTGTCGGCAGATGCCAGCCAATCGCGTAAATGCGCCACGCGATAACTGCTCGTGACCGCGATCAAGGGACGGACTTCGCGGTATATAAGGCCGGGTAGGGTGATTGGCGCTGCTCCTTCCTTCCTCTCCCTCTCTTGTGTATGCGGCTCGCGTTGGCGAGGGTTTTTCACCATCTCTGGTGCGTGGACATTCATCCTACGGTGTCCTGTCACTAATGGAGTCCTAGATGCCAGAGTAACTGGCTACAGACGACATCAAGACTATCGATTGCTGTGGCTGAGAACGTCCTGTGCATCCTAGTCCCTCGCTCTTCGCTCCTCCTCCGATGACCTCCAGGTCTCCTTCGTATCCTCTCCCCCCTACTCCACCTCCCTGCTACACGGTTTATCACCCACAAACGCCAACAGAAGTCCAAGAAGGACATGTCCATACCGACTTCCATCACATCTCGACTCGACGGATCCCTTCCTCACCCTCGTCGTTCGTCTCTTCCGACTTCGCCCGTCCTTATCGACATCGATGACGACCGCTCGCCGTCGGCGAAGCCATGACCAACACAGGCACCGTTCGCCATTGGTGCGCGCCCTTCGAAGAGGCTCGATCGACGCGGATGGCTCTTCTCTGTTGCCTTGGCGCGCGTCCCGCAGCAGTTCCTCCGAGCCGCATCCTTCCGCTAGACCCCCCACATCTGCGCCGAAATGCTGGAGGACTTGCTCTGCGTCCGCGTCTGAAGGCAGCTTGGCCGCTCTCTGACGATGGCGAATATTCTGATACATGTTTTCCATTCGCCCGAGCTTGTTCCTGATGTAAGTATTGTACCTAGAAATCAATGTGGTTGGCATAACATCGGTCGGAATATCATCAAATCTATGTTCCCGGACGAGGGGGCCTCTTGGCAATCGCTCTCATAAGGCCAACTGTCATTCTCCCCGCACCTCCATCCTCTCCCGCATCCCACCTTGATCATGGTCGTCTGGCTTTCTAAACCTTTAGGCGTCTGGCATACGTATCGCGATCCTGGCCCTCCGGACCCTATGTTGGCGGACTGGGAGGCGGCCATGATTCACCAGCGGTGGTTAGATGTGAGCGACGCAGTTGACGGGTCCAAACCGCCCAAGTAACACTTTCGCAGTGGTACCGCGCCGACTGGGACTACGGCCAGACCACGATCGCTTTCTTCTGTGCTGCCATCGCCGCAGCGATCGTCCTGTACAGTGTCGTTTTCCTGCGCGACAAGGTTAGGCAACGAAGACCAGCCCCTGCATCAGTCAAACGGGAGAAGGGAGCGCGAGTAGCGCCTGGAGTTCTGGATAGATTGACCGCCGCCTGCCGCTACGCATCCTCACGACAATTCTCCATCGAACGCTTGGGCTACTACTCACCACCGCTCTCCGCAATCCTCCTCGTCTGTGGGATGGCCATTTTCATATTGAGTGCGTGCCCCCTTTCTCCTTCCACTGCATATAATGACATGCGCTATAAGGCCTGATTCTCTCCGTCCGCCCATACTACTGGCCAAACCCCATGATGGGCCACAGCATGCCCATCGCGACGCGCAGCGGTTGGATCGCCATGGGCATCCTGCCTTTCATGATGTATGTATCGTCGTTCTCCCCGGATAGGCGAGATTACCGAACGTCTGCAGCGCGTTCGCAACCAAGGTCAACTTCGTCGCCATCCTCACCGGGTCCTCGCACGAGCGGCTGCAGGTCCTCCATCGGTGGTCGGCGCTGCTGATGTGTATGTGGGCTGCTTTGCGAGCATGAACTCGGGCTGAGCGATTTGTTATAGACCTCGCTGCGCTCGTGCACACCTTCCCTTTCGTCTATTGCGATATCCGGGATGGTGTTTGGAAAGAGAGGTACAATTCGAAGCTATACTATTGGAGCGGGTTTCTCGCGCTCGCTCCGCAGGTGAGCTACAGCGGCTGTAGGCCTCTGATAGTTGCCCAACAACTGACTTGCGATTGCAGACATACCTTGTGCTGCTCTCGTGGGGACCGTGCCGCAATCGGTACTACGAGATATTCAAGAAGATGCACTATCTGTGCGTGGACACGCTGGTTGGTCTGATCTCAACTGAACGCATCTTCCAGCGCTGCCGCCGTGTTCATGGTCGCCCTCTTCATCCACACCGACTGGATCCTCACGTCGTGGTAAGCTGCAAAGTCCCCCTGCCCCCAGCTGTTTCTAATCAGCCTGTAGGGATTACTTCTGGGGCACCGCCGCCGCCTGGGGCCTCGCCCGCCTCATCCAAACCGCCCGCACCCTCTATCACAGCCGCCTCGGGCTCCCCGCCACCATCGAGGCTCTCCCCGACAACTTCCTCCGCATCCGCATCCGCGCGCCGCGCCCCCTCGCCATCGCCCCCGGGCAGCACGTCTTCCTGCGCTTCCTCGATGCGGGGCTGCATGCATTTACGTCGCATCCCTTTACGGTGTGCGGTACGGGCCATGAGGGGCGGACGGCGGATGTGGTGCTGAGGGTGAGAGGGGGGACGACGAAGGCTCTGGCGGCGAAGGCCGCTGGGAGGCCGGTTGTGGCGACGCGGGTCATGGTGGATGGACCGTATGGTGGGGTTCCGGTGGCTCTGGGCACGTATGACCGGGTGCTGTTGTTGGCTGGCGGAAGTGGTAAGGCAACGACGAGAACGTCGCTCTTCCAAATTCAGATCTGACACATAGATAGGCGCAACGTTCACCGTCCCAATCCTCGCCGACCTGGCGCAAAAGCTGAAGCGCGGGGAGGCAAGATGTAAGCGGATAGGCTTCGTCCTCGCGGTGCAGCACGAAGGTATGATTCTTCACCAAGGACCATCGGCTGGAAACTGACGCTTTCCGCGCAGACTCCTACGCATGGATGGAGGAGCAACTCACCGCCGTGCGCGACCTCCTGCCGCCCGATGCACTCAGCATCTCGATCCACGTCACAAGAGAAGACGTCCCCGAGGAGGAGAAGAGCACCTCGCCTGAGTCCTCCGTCGAGTCGTTATTCAGCCGTCCCAATCTGCCCAACATCATCTGCGAGGCGGCGCGCGTCACGAATGGGACGCTTGCGGTAGCTGGTCAGTACTGCCGTGCTTCATATGCTCTATTCTTATGTCTGCGCAGCTTGTGGCCCCGATCCCTTCTTGCTGGACGTGAGGAACGCCGTCGCGGATTGCCAGCTCACCATCCTCGACGGCTTCGGTCAATGCCGCGAGATCTTCCTGCAGACCGAAAACTTCGGATGGTGAGGGAGTGAGCGGCTTTGTCGTAAGTCTGCATCTCGGGTCGTTGAGGAGGCCAGGTGGTGAACGCATCAGGCGTGGTTTTGTGTGACGGAGTATTTATTTACGGGCTACCTTGGACATGTATCAATATTTGAGAAGATTCATTTACGAGCACACGACGTAGCGTCAGTCTGAGCGTACGCTTTGGACGGAAGGGTATTCGGGCGATGGCTTTGACACGATCACGAAGAGCAACGTTCGACTTCAACCTGAGGCGGACTGAATTGAACACCTCATATTTGTTCGACTTATGCATTCGTATCCGGTGTCGCCATGACTCCCTGAATGAATCCGTTCGGAGTCCAATCAACACGCGTACTGATCCATGAAGGTCTTTTCATTTTGTGCCAGGGGGATGTGCCAAACGAAAATGGCCGTCAGGCCATCCAGGGTCCTGGTAGGGGGCGTTTCGCCGGTCCCATTACGCTCATAGCAGGGGCAGACGCACGCGCGAGGAAACCCGCGGAAAAGCCTGGCTCTGAAACCCAGCCTCACACGCTTTGAAGCGTGCATTCTCTACTTGCGAACGTAAAAGTCGTACTGCGTGAGCATCCATATGAGGGATGATGCTGGCGAAGAACAGACGCGCAAGGACGGAGGGGGAGGTCAGCGTGGTCTGGGAGCGAACAAGGGTTGCGTACTTGAGACGACAACAGGGCTCATGGAACCTGGGTTGGGCTTGGCGGAGCGGAAGACAAGCAGCTCCAGGGAGAAGTGAGCAAAGGCGAGGAGGTAAGTGAAAAGTGTCATGTCGTAAACGCTGGGTCGCGGGTAAGAGAGGTCCTCGTCCGAGTAGGAAGGTGGCAACGTACACCTTCTGGTGGATGTTGTACGCGCAATACCATCGCACTACGCCCGAAGTGAGGGTCCAGATCCCAAAGGTGCGCGCTTGTAGAGGCGTCACTATGGTAATGTTAGCTTACGGTCGACAGTTGAGGGGGTGCAACGTACCAGGTTCATTAGTAGCTACGTTATTGTAGATTTTGCGGGCGGCCTTCATGGAGAAAAAGTTCTGCAGGCCATTGATGATTGCAGTGACGGAGACGAGGAGTTGCCAGTAGGGGAGGTAGCCCGGAGCGTCGGGAATGACTGCCAGAGATCAATGTCAGCGGGTATGGAGGGTACAGCATGCGCACGAGCGGATAGGATGCCGGACATGATGGTGGCGGGAGGAAGGAAGAGCGCGTCGGAGCGCGACCGGCGCGTGGACCGATGCTTACGCTTATGTAAGCACATTCGCCCTTCCTCCCTCGCCCTCGATTCGTTGCCGCACTTGGTACCATCGGCCAAACTGGCCCTGGACGTCGTCGACGATGTCGGCCGCGTCTCCCACGAATGAAACGCACCGTCCGCCGTCGCTGCGCTCGGTGGCGAGCGCGAACAGGGCAGCAGATCCCCCGCGGGGACCGCACCAGGGCCGCGCGCGTTCCAGCACGGTTACAGGCGCGCCTGTCGCGTCGACGTCTGCTGGCCCGGTGCCGGAGATGCCAGACTATGATGAGGACATGGCGGACGCGACGTGCGTGAGCGAGACCGCGCCCCAGCGTTCGCCCCGACGGGCGGCAACTGGGCCGGTGGGACAGGTGAGTATTCCAGCATTTGCATACGGACCCGTCTCACCTTCGACAGAAATCTGTCACTCTCGCACCTACAGACTCACTCACAGCATTCACCCGTCGACCGTCACTCCAGCGCATTGACATGAACTTCCGAGACTCAGTCCTTACCCAGGACTCCAACGCCTCCTCCTCGGTCTACCCATTGTCCACTTCTACGGCATCGATGACGGAGACCCCCTCCCCACGGTCCTTTTCATTTGCTGAACGCGAACTGGCCTCCCTCGAAACGGAGGTCGATCACATCCAGGAGTTCAACGGCGACGATGTATCTTATCGCTTGCGCCTTCTCGTGAAAAACAATTACTGGCTACCACCGGCCCACTCCAAGCCTAAACCTTCCGACCTTGCTCTTCCCAACACGAAGAAGCCCCAGCGATCCACCACACCTGCCTTCCTCGATCTCTTCCGCATAGGCAAGGGAAAGAAACCAGGCACCCCGGATAGCTCCAGTTCATCTACCGACGGTTCCAGTCCGGCCCTGCGAACACCTACCGACGCACCTGTCTACCCTCGCTCGGCGCCCGCGACCCCTCGAATGCCGCAGCGCCCCGCTACCAGCCCCGCCGATACTCGGTCGCGCCCCGGCCGCGTCGTGGTAGTGCGCGAGAGGATGGACGACCTGTCATCTGCTGCGAAGGCGGCTGAGCAGGAAATAAAGACGAAGGCCGCTGGCCAGGGCTCGCAGCAGGCGCCGTCCAACGTCTTCGACGGCGTTGTGGACCCGACGGATGCGGTGGACGTTCCGCCGCCGTCTTCGTCCTACTTTGCCGTGCAGGCGTCTGAGGTGCACGGGCTCGGCGTGCAGGATTCCGTGGGAGCGGCTCTGCTGGCAGACCGCTTGCCGCCCTCCTCGACCTCGACTTTGGCGGACCCGGAGAACGCATGGAGAAAGCAGCTTCTGCATGCTGCAGTGGACCTCTCGCTGAACACGTCGCCGGAGAGCTCGAGATTGCCATCGCCGGCTGTCCCGAGTTGGCCGACGAGCTCGCTGCCACCGTCTCCCAATGTCAAGACCAATGCCCCGCACCCGAAGGTGATGCTCGACAGGCGCATCATCAGGCATCCGGTCATGATGGGCAGCAACCCCAGCGAGGCGTCTATCCGCTCATTACCTGCACGCCCGAAGCCGAAGAGAGGCGATACCTTGTCGAAGCCGGCAGAATATGTCCCCGAGCGAGCGTCGACACCGTCGACGCCTCTGATCGCACTCGCGCCTGCGCCGCGCTCGAATTCTGATAGGGACAGACCTCGCGCAGCTACGGCTACAAGTCACAGCCCCTCGTCATTTGTGGCACCCCGCGCTTCGACCTCGACGACGCCCGCGCCATCAGTCTCGAGCGCGCGTAGTGTGCGGAAGGTCGCGTCGTCTCCTCATCTCTCTGGCCAGGGTGGTATGACGATGACGCCGCCCCCAATACCAGGACTCAGGCCGGGCGCGCTGACTTCTTTGTCCCAATATTCTGAGCCACGGACAAGCAACGCTGAAGTACGGGCTGAGTCACGAGCAGAGTCGACATACTACTCGGACATGGACGTGCGCTCGCAGACACGCTCGCCACCGACGTCTGCATTCCATACCGCCCTAAATGACGACTGGCAATCCTTCTTGGACGTTGACAGTGAGGACGAGGTGGACGATGCGCACGTTATGGCGCCGCCGCGAATCAGTGTCGAGCCCGAACCGGAGCCTACGCCAGCAAGCTTCTCCCCCCCTCCACGGTCGTCGTCGTTCACGCCCCCGCCTAGAGCATCGACGTCGTCAAACCACTTCCTCGCGCTGTCGCCAGCGCCCAGGCCACCCAGGAAGGGCTCGCTCCTGGCCGTGGGGTCAATATCAAGCGGCTCGCCCTCGATGATTCGCTCGCACTCAGAGCCGACGCCGTCGGGGTCGTCGGAGACGCATGGTGGGCGCTCGCGGTCTACGAGTACTTCAAGCAGGCGCAGTGCTGCATCGAGCAAGTACAGCGCGTCGAGTAGGCTCAGTGAGGATCGACGTCGAGACGAGGGCGTGCCGGAAATCCTCGCGCCCGACCCGACGACGCCGCCGTTCCCGGTGACGCCTCCCTTCCCTGTCACGCCGCCAGCGGATCGGGAGACCATGGCGCCGGTTTCTTCGCCCTCGAGCTCGGTCACGCCGTTCGGAGGTCGCCGCCCTGCATTTCCTGGGATGTCGCTGGACATACCGAGCGAGTATGTTCCGGCGGATATACATTCTGCGCCGCCCATCCAGTCTTCTCTTCCGATTCCGAGACAGGTCGCGTCTCCGCTGCACATCGCGCCGCCAGCGTCGTCGCCACAGTCATTTTTCGACGCGTTCCAGGATCAGGCGTTCGCGCAGGAGCTCGCGGAAGAGGAGGAGGAAGACGAAGACGAGTCGGAGCTTAGCGAGGAGGACGATGTTTACTCTACCTCGGCGCATGGGAGTGCGTATAGCGGGAGGGGAAGTGCTCAGGGCAGTCTGTACAGCGGGCGGGCGAGCAGCACCTACGGTGGACGGACCAGTAGCGCGCGGGGGAGCATCGAGTCGCGGTACCCTCCACCCTCCTTCCCTCGAGCGCGTGCGGAGTCGGCAGCGGCGCCGACACCTCCACGGCCGTCTTTCATGCGCCTGGGCAACCACTCGCTACCACATGTCGGCGCGGCGCTCGTCAGTCCTGCGCTCGTCGAACGCCTGCGGCCGGTGGAGAACAAGCCGGAGAAGTCTAAACGCTTCTTCACGGATCTGCGCAGTGAGCCGGGGCACGCGAACTCGCCCTACGGTATGGCCGCCTTCGCTTCGAGTCGCGTCTCGCAACAGAGGTCGGCTACGGCGACGACTGCGGCGATCGAGAGTACGGCGGAGGAGCCGAGGGGCAGGAGGTCGGACGAGCCGGTGTCGTTGGTCAGGAAGGAGTCGTTGGCGAGGTTGGACGGGATGTTACAGCGGCACATTGCGGCGGAGAAGGATACGATGCGCCGGATCACCAGTACTGCGAAGGGGAGATAGAAAGAATGGATGGGGAAGGGGGAGGTTGTGAGGTAGGAGGGTAGGAGGCTAGTTGTTAGCAGGAGTAGTAGCAGGTAGCGGACTCGAGATTATACTCACGTACATACGTGTCCTCGCGCACAATCACAGTCAATCACACATTCCTTTGCTCTAGTCGTACACAGTATATATCTTATTTTCTATGCGTATACGTACCTATACAAGTTCATACTTGCTGCATCTTTTCGCGTATATACCCTTTTAGGTCACCGCTGCGGTTATTATCACAGGCTCTCTAACAGAATCCATATGCTGACTTCTGTACTCTCATATTGGGGTGGCGGGGCAGGAAAGCGCCGTTTTATGGCCTTGTTCACGATCTGGATTGTCCAGTTTTCGAGTTGTGGGTCCATAGTAGCTACAGTGCGTGACCGGGAAGCTGGTCAGACCGGGAAGCTGGTCATAGCGTTTGTAGCGTACCGTATCCGATGTCTCGGTGCTCTTTGATGAAACCAAAGTGAACGTAGCGATAGACTGAAGCTGTGTATAGCGCAGAAAGTCCTTAACTGCTCAAGGTCCGAGTGCGTGGGCGCTTGATGGGGCCGGGGGACGCCGTGATCGAGCGATCAAACCCCTTCTGCCTATAGCTCTCCTTCTGCCGCTCTCGGCGCCTTCACACTGAACGATATGCGTACCTTGGGCGGTCGGCCGTCGATATACTCCTCTACAATCTACGCCTCCTGTTAGATGCCTGTAATATGGCTCTCTCAATGCGACCGCAGCGTTCTCAGTATCGCGTCAGAGACAAATTCAAAGGAAATTCACAGCGTGGTTCTCAGCCATGCGATTCTCCTAGAAACTGGTACATGGAGGCTCAACCTTTCGCCGAAGGGTTCTGTTTACTCTCTTCTTCTCTATCGCTCCTCGGTACGACGCTAGTCGTAGCTATTTCCGAAGACAGGCCCTGAGCCCCCCTAGTCGCTGGGCCCCTTCCAAGAACCTTCAGGGCACAAAAACAAGCACAGAGACATAGTACAATATACTTGAGAAAGCATGGCCCTCAAAACCGCTGGGGAAGCAGTCTCTGCGTGCTGTTTAGCATGCGTTGATAGTCACGTGCCAAGAGTGTTGTTCTTAATTCTTGATAGACGGCACTCTGCACGTACATACAGGAAGGATATGAGTACTTGAGTCATTGTAAACACTATGTAGATGCATCTCGGACATTTTGGCGCCAAATGCTCGCTCTCACTATCGATGATGCCTGCCAACCTTGAGCATGCGAATTTTCGGGCATGATCAATAGGGTTCGGGAAGACTTTGGGCCTTAGATCCTTCATAGATGTGCACTGACGTGTTTACACTGTCTCAGGAGGTGGTATTGACTACCAGGGTTGAGTGAACCGTCAAGACGGGGCGGTAGTCGACCTGCGTGGGAAGCTCGGAGTTATGACCAGCTTCCCGGTCCGAGCACGTTCGGCGGTCATCAATTCAAAATATTCGTACAGCAGGCGAAACTTCAAGGACACTTTCGCAAAGTGTACCAGTCGAAAGCTTAGAATCCATACTACATGAAGGTGACTATTGGTAGCAAGACACACCGCCACGTTCGCAGCAAACGCTGATCGAACGATTTGTGACCAGCTTCCCGGTCACGCACTGTACTACACGTGACTACGAGGACCAAACCGTCACAAGTCAACGCCTCAGTGACTCGTTCTCGACTTGCCTTGTACCATCGATCGTTGTAGCCCATGCAGGAATAGCGAACGCTCTCTGGTCGCTCCACCGAGATAGTTTCGCGATCGCTCACACCTTCGTGTTGTTCCACCTCAAAGGACCGAGTCCTGATCTCTACGACCCTCAAACACGAGCTTCAATCCCGACTCCACAAAGACATGGCTCTGTATACGCGCTGGTACTGGGTAACTAACGGAACGAGCTGATCTTTCGTGACTTCAGGAATGCTACCTCGTTCTTTGCGTCCTCTATTGCTCCACAAATATCATCTGCAACAACAAAGCGCGTTGGACTGAGCCAACTCCGCGAAATGACTGCACCTCTGCTCACTGATGCATGGCCAGTCGGAGAGCGGGGGGCATCTCCACCTCGCGAAAAAGCTTACTATCGTCACCTCACGAGGTATCTGCAGCGTTCCACTGTTTCGCGCTTGCACTACGAACTATAAAAGCCACGGACGGATGGACTTCTTCTCTATCGACTTCCTCTCGTACATTTCAAAGGTGAGCTTTCTTCCTTCTCGCATAGCTCACGCGTCTCAACCAGACTCTGCAGGTCTAATTCAGCAATCCACTTGAATCACCGACTCGCCTGCACCTCTTTGGACAAGGTATGAACGGTTTCTCCGCGTACTTTGCCTCTCGAGTCTCACCATATCTCGCAGTATGTTCTCCACCAAGCACCTCCTCGCCTTCGGTCTCGCCTGCACGACTGTCTCCGCCCAGGACTACATCCAGTGCGAGACCTCCGACGCCAGCCCCAACGCCAATGGCTGCCAGACGCTCGTCGACGCCTTCAAAGGCGGCGCCGACCCCAGCTGCGCGCGACCGCATGGCTCCGGCTGCCACAACCTTGACGGCGCAGGCTCGGGCAATACCCTTGGCTGCACCTTCGTTCTCTGTCAGCAGAAGGGCACGCAGCCGCAGTGCTCCGACCCCGCGAGCGCGGCTGACTTCACGCAGAAGCTCATCGACAAGTGCGCGAAGGATGGGAAGGTCGGCGGCTTCTACCACCAGGATCTGGGCGACGGGCACTGGCTGAACTACGAGTTCGTGAAGCCGGAGTAGACGGGGGTATGTTTTACCTTACAGGAAGTAGACGCAAATGACAAGCCGATGACTCGTCCCTACAACGATGTGTTGCATACGCAGACATCTCAAGAGAAGTGACTTTTGTGGAAGGCTTTACTTGTCTCCGGTCGACTGAACGCTCCGAGTCGGCGCTAGAAGTCGGGGAAAGCAAGGTACTCTTGAGTACCTCCATGCTCATGTGGTAGTCCCTATTTCGGCCAGACTGTACGCGCTACTCGCTCGCGGGCGCGTCCAGAACTGCAGTATGCATCCAAGGACCTTTGCTTCGGGTAGATCGTGCTTCTCTAATATCCGACTGATGAGATTGTTTCTTTATGTATTCTCTGGCAAGTCGAGCCCTCCCAGAAGGTCCAGGGTCAAGACATTGTTTCTGTAGGTCCAGCACACGTGCTCCTTTATGGACTTTGTCGCGGATGAACTTCCTTTCTTAGCTAACCTTCGTCTATGGATCTGGGGACATTCTCTTCGAGCTGCTCGGGACTGAAGCGCATGCAAGACGATAATGCCAAACACGGTGCTACATCTGTCCGTCGACCGAGCGCTCCGAAGCAGATAAAACACTGAGGCAGCGCCGGCGTCCGCGGGGCGTCTGGTGCTTCGCAAAGAATATCTCTCTAGCCAACAAATTCTCGCCACCATCCACATAACGGCCTCCCCACAGCAGACCCACTCCGTACTCGAAATTTGCTATTGCATGCTGTAATTTCCCTCGGGTCGCTGCGCATCTCCGTGCATGCGAGGCAACTCACGATGCGTAAGAAAACCTTATAAGGTCTGTCAGAAAGCAGAGTGCGTCCAGCGCCTCCCGACGCCCCTTGCGATCCCAGCCCACCAGCACGCTGCCTTCGAAATGTCCAAGACGGAGTACCCCCCTCAGGCTCAGCAGCCGATGTCCATCGCGCAAGTGGGCGAGCAGTATCAGGCCGAATGTACGTCCTTCGTGTCTTGGCATAATGCCCCAGTAGATTCTGATGCTGCATTTCTTCCACAGTGTTTGCAAAGTGCGCGCAGGGGTCGCACGTCGTGAAGAAGCATTACGGAACGTGTGGCATCGTCTGGGCCATCGTTTGTTTCCCTTTGGGCTTGATCTGCCTCTGGTGAGTCTCAGACGTGCGTTCAATAGCACGTATGCTCACGTTTCTTAGTCGGGACAGGGAAAAGCGCTGCGTGCGCTGCAATGTCAGGATCGATTAGACGGTGGCGGCGAGGGCTGGGACCGGCGACGGACGACTTCATGACTTTGCGACAAACATTCCTTTACCTTTGCATTTACTACGTTATCATCAGCACTCTGACGGCTACTTGATTAACTTCTCATTATCGACGCGAGCTCCATATTTTTCGGGCCGTGTGTCTGGCCCTTGTCGCCCACTTCAACTTCAACATCACGTGGGAATAGCGTGATACAGCAGTGACCTCTTGTTGAGGTCGATGATTCGAGTCATGCTGGCGTCAGGCCAGACTTCTTCATGCTCCTCAGCTGGTTTCCACTACCCGTTTAGGTGCTGAACATATGAGGCGGAAAAATGTGTCACCAACTGCGAGTTCGTCTGTGGACCCATCTACACCCACATGTACCGCTGGTCTGTGCGTCGCTCCGCCCTACATAACCCGTCCCTCGACACCCCGATTCTTCACCACTCTGGCCTCTTGGCTTAGATCAAGTGTAGTATCTGTTCTTAAAAGTTTAACCACTTTTACCGAAGCACTGCTTCGTGTTATGGTTATCCAATTTTTGTCACCCCTGTTCCCTGGGCTCTGCTTGCAACCCGGGGACGCGATGACCTTGCCGCTGTAGTACAGGCTTGTGTCGTCAGGGGAATCTTCTACCTTTCTCTTTGTGTTCTGTATCATCCTGCGTCTGTGGACGTGGTGAGGTCGGGCGCAAAAAGATTGGTTGCCTTCAATCTTTTTATTACTTTGTCGTGCACGCGCTGGGTAGACGGTCTATCCTCATGAATGTCTGCGTCCTCGTATCCTTGCGAGCATAAGGAAGTTTCAAGTGACTCATGCCAATCTTCTCGTGCAGTAAACACGTGCATGGCCATAACGCACCATTTTGGGTCACAGAACGTCGACCTCGGACCATAGCCGTCGAAGGGGTTACCATGTTTTCGCTGAAGGCCGGCTCTACACGCCCTGGTGGCTCAGGATGAACCAGACGACTACTCGCAGAAAGATACGCTCATCAATTGAGCCTGGACAGATTGGACAGGTCAAGAACGGGCGAAGCGTCACGCAAGAGCACGAGATTGAAAGGACAGTGACCATTGTACATAACGACCTACGCACAACTAGCCTACGAGGACATCGGCTGCTCCAGAGGCGGCAAACGAGCACCAAGGTTATCCGGGACAGCCAGCGTGTCGTCGATCTCGCTCGCCAGACGACCACCAAACGCAACCGTCCCGTTCGCGCGGCGGAACTCCTCGATGCGCTTCTCGACCTCAGGACGGAAATGGCGCATGAGGCCCTGGATGGGCCAGGCAGCGGCGTCACCGAGCGCACAGATGGTGCGGCCCTCAATCTGCTTACTGTGGGGGATATGAGTAACGTCGCCGGGTGAGGTGAAGGAGGGGAAGACGTACGAGATCTCGAGCAACATGTCGATCTCGCGGACGTGACCGCGGCCCTCGACCATGCGGTTCATCATGTTCATCATCCAGGTAGTACCCTCACGGCAGGGCGTGCATTGACCGCAAGACTCGTGCTTATAGAATGACGCAAAGCGGGCGATGGCGGAGACGACGTCGGTGCTCTTGTCCATGACGATGACGGCACCCGTGCCGAGACCGGACTGCGCGTCCTTCAGGGAATCGTAGTCCATGCTGGACATCACTGAGCTCGGGATCATGGACCGAGATGAAGACACTCACAGCACTTCGGAGCACTTGTCGATGGGCAAGATGGGGACGGACGAACCACCCGGCACGATACCGAGGAGGTTATCCCAACCGCCAATGACGCCACCACAGTGCTTCTCAATGAGATCCTTCAGCGGGATACTCATTTCCTCCTCAACGACACACGGGTTGTTGACGTGGCCACTGATGCAGAAGAGCTTGGTGCCCTGGTTCCGCTCGCGCCCAAAGCTAGCAAACCACGACCCCCCGCGACGGCAGATAGTTGGGGCAACAGCGACAGTTTCAACGTTGGCGACAGTGGTCGGGCAACCGAAAAGGCCCACGTCGGCTGGGAACGGCGGCTTCAAACGAGGCTTGCCCTGCTTCCCTTCCAGCGACTCAATAAGGGCGGTCTCCTCGCCACAGATATAGGCGCCAGCTCCACGGTGCAGGTAGACATCGAAAGAGTAGCCGGAGCCGCATGCGTCCTTGCCAATGAGACCGGCCGCGTACGCCTCGTTAATGGCCTGTTGCACGTGCGACGCCTCCTGGAAGAACTCGCCACGGATATAGATGTAGGCGGCGGTGGCGTTCATCGCGCGGCCGGCGACCAAGCAGCCCTCGATGAGCTTGTGCGGATCGCCGCGGAGAATCTCGCGATCCTTGCATGTTCCCGGCTCGCCCTCATCGGCGTTGACGACGAGGTAGCGTGGTCTACGAAGGTGTCAATTAAGCGGGGGGCCCTTAACGTGGGAGGGAGTACGCACCTGGGATCCTTCTCCCAGCCAGGCTTGTTCATGAAGCTCCACTTAAGACCACTGGGGAAGCCGGCGCCGCCGCGGCCTCGCAGACCAGAGTCCTTGATAGTTTGGATGATCCAGGAGTCGCCTTTCAGGATGATATCCTTCGTGCGATGCCAGTCTCCGCGAGACTGGGGGGAGGGTCAGTACCTCGCCGCCTCAGACTATCGCACCACGCACCTTGGCGCCCTTCAGCCCGTGGTCATGCCTGCAGTATGCGTTGGTAAAGATGCGGTCCTGGTCCTTCAGGCCCCCGTATCTCCTGACCGGAATGTCGGTAGCGGTTGCGAGACCGCGACTTGCTCGCAACTTGGCGGGGCGCGCGACCGCTGGAAAGCACAGATCAACATCTTACGGGTCAACAGGGTGAGGGCGGAGACGTACAGGTCGACCGCCGCGCGGCTTTCAGCACTGCGCTCATCGTTGTAGACGACGAGCAGGGGTTTCGTTAAAGTCGGCTCCTCGTCGAATTCCGCGACATCCGATTGGTCACGGCAAGACAAAATAGAGCAAAACAAAGCTAGCACGTGAGTGCGCATCTCCCAACTTCCCACCACCATCGAACATGGTATTGAGACGGAAATTGGATCTTCATGTCGCCGTACGTGAAAGCACTCGAAGAAAGACAAGCTAAAGAGAAATGCCGATGCGTGCCAGATGGCCTCAACTGCGTTCAGGTGAAGGTCTACCTTCAACTTGATCCGAATTTATTGCAGGAGGGACACCCAGGATTGCCACAGAAATCTGGGCATCCCAAATCACTGGAGTTCCGTGTATACTGTAACCTGGGAACTCCAACGTCTTCACTTTTGCATTTGCCTCCAGGTGGTTTCCCACGGTTGAACCAGAGTATACCAGTCTTCTGCTTCAAGCCTGAGCGCGAGGGATTCGAAGTAACACCGCGCAGTCGCGCAGCCTGTCTGCTTGCATCCTCGCGGGGCCGTGGAGAGCCTTGCAGATCCCGAGCGGTATGCGTTGCTCCGGTTTATCTGATTCGTCACATACAAGCTGAATCTCTCTATGTGCAGGATCCTCGCATAGACATTGGATCATTTCCTCCGCCATCTATGTACGCGAGCGGTATATATTCTGTGAGAGGTTTTTGACCTATCCTGAGTCTTGCTACGGCACAGGCACTCAAACGCTCGAAGGAACGACGCATTGTCGTTCTTCCGCTCTGTCGAGAATCAAAGCCAGCATGAAGTGAACCCAGGTATGTCCCTATATTTACATCCTCTAATTCTGCACCCAACATGCTCTCCCCATACCCGATCCGAGGTTATAACTTCGTCCCACCCTCCTCCCAATTCACGGCCAAGCAAGAACGCTACCGCGGTCTGTACGGAAACAGCACAAGGTACGGCAGCACGCCAAAAATACGCCCCCCTCATCTTCCTCCGACGATCTAACTCGCACCTCCGCTGGCTGAATACCCCCAGAGTTCGTTTTCCCCGTCTTAAGGCTCCTGAAGTACATCCTGAGCGTTCTCTCGAATGGTCAAGGAAGACCTCCTTATAGTCGACCGCCTATAGCTGACCTCCTTTTAGCTCGTCCTCACGGCAGCTCTATTCTCGTTTTCTCCGTCCAAAGGCCCGCCAGGGGAGCCCTTGTCCTCATTTCGGCCAGCGCGTGCGCGACCGCATGAGCCAGTGCTATGATGTCGTCAACAATGGCGAGCCTGCTGCTCACCAGACGCCGCGGCGCGCTCCCGAACGCATCTCTGACTTCCCCGCTCCCGCACATACTTCTGACTGCACCGCGCGCGCGCTTCGCGAAGGATACTCGTGCGGTACCAGTACGGTGCCATGCCCGCCGGCGAACGCAGCCCATTCGTGGTCAACGCAGCCTAATTCGTAGCCAAAGCGATGTCGCGACTGCGCGGTGAGGACAGTAACGGCGACTGCTCGGTGGCGAATGCGACATCGATAGCGATGCTCTTCGATGGCTTTTACGCCCCAAGTCTTCGATGGCGCGTTTTCCTCCCCCGAATAGTGTGCGCTCTCGCTGTTCAGCTGCGTGGACGCTCCAATGGATCTCCGCCTTTCTTCCTTTGCGGGAGAATAGACGTGTGGCCACTTGAATGACTGCTCGAATACGTCCTTTTCTCTCGCATGTCGGCGTATACCTGCAATGACTGTATACATATTGTGTAACAAACAAACCGTAAGCGGCTCGGATCTGGTCAGTAGCTTCTTCCCCCTGCCTCCCCAGAAAGCTCACTCTCTCCCCTGGACCCAGTTACTTCCCCAAAAAGTTTACCACAACGATCTCCACATGTTGGAGGCGTTTGAGGCTTGTCATCTCAGCTCACATGAGGGCCAGTAACTGGGCAGGGCGAGCGCGTCGAGCAGAAATTCGGTCACTTGACTTTCGACTGGCCGGCGCGCAAACCACATGCGGGCAATTCAAGGGGACTGTGTAGTGTAATTTATGGGTTAGGAACAAGCTTACAGCTTCCCGAACCTGCTTCGTGAGGCCTCTTCGCCGGGATCCTGTACCGCTTACGCACGTTCTGTCGGGACGTCGGTATTTCTGTACGGCTCTTTGTCGCTCGGTCGCTTTTTACTGTCAGCGAATCTGGATGCCTTGCTTCAGTCGTATGCTGTCTATAATTTCCTACAGCTCTTCGCGAGGCTCGGAGTTCGTCCGCCATTTTCATGTGACGATTCATCGGCGTCCCGCATTGCACGTCTCAACGACGCCCAGCAGCTTAGCAGTTGTAGGTCCATTACCCCGCACTACCGGCGTTAACCGCATTCTGCCCTTCCTTTTGGCCACGAGGCTAACACCCATCACTTTACGTCCTTTGACTCCCACCGCTACGAACCTGGACGCTTATGTCTCTTGCGTGCTACATGGCTCCCGGGACGTCCGCTTTTGCGCAAGCATGACGACCCACACACGACCCATTCATCTTAGGCCGGAGGCTACGCCATCCGTGGCCTCAATTCACGACTGAACTGGCGGGCGAAATGTAGCAAGCGGCCTTCGACGTGATGCTGTTCTTCCTGCGCAGTGCGTCGACTCTCCGACCGCGGTCTTCGACGCCAGACTTGGCCCACCCGACTTAGCTACAAGGTGACTTCGCGGAATTGCGCGGTGGCCTGATTGATGGAATGAGTGTCCGCCGGCGCATGCACGTTCTGCTGGATTTTACGTGTCGGTCGGAGGCGTCGAAGAGGTCATCTGGTCTCATTCTCGCCTCGGGAAAGCAAGACAGTCGGTGGACGCATGAAGGCCCTAACAACCCCGTCACGGGAGCTAACCCGTGTCTCCTGCAAAGAACACTGAAACCTGGACCGGGCGTGCAACCTGCATTGTGAGCATCTGCGCGGCGTCAAAATTGGGTAAAATGTTGATAAAATGTTGACCAACATTGCAGGCATGCTCGCCAGCGTCCTTCGCCCCTGCAGACGCCAAGACCCGAGGCGCGAGTTGGGGCAGGGACGAGGAGAAGGGCAAGGCTGGGGTGCGGGGAAAGCACGCGACGATCGATCACGACATAATACAAGTGCCGCCTCCTGATTTGGAAGGAGTGTTCGCCGTTTCCACGTGCAGTCGCCGGAAGGCATATATAAGGCCCGGATGCTATGACTCTGCATTCGCCCTCATCGCGTCTTGCCTCTTACCAAGATGTCTCTCGACGCAAAGGAATACCCCGTCGAGCTCCTCTTCGCGATCAGCGCCTATGTCTACGCCGCTTGTTTGCCCCCCTGGGAGTGCTCGCTCGACCCTTTACTGCAGACGGACTGTCAATTTGCGCCCAAGGCTCTCCCTTCCTCCCACCCCTCCGCCTACTGGTCCGAGCCCGACTCCCGCCGGACACTTGCTAGCCTCTGCCTCGTGAACCGCGCATGGTACGCTGCCGCACGGCCATGGCTATACCACAAGCGTGAGTGCCCCGATCCTTTGTTTGTGGAACGATCGCTCACGCCACATAGTCGAGGTGCGGATGCCGCGCAGCTGGCTCTCCCTCGTAGAGCAGATTGCTTGGGACTACGAAGAAGAGACCGTCGACATGGTCATGGACCACACCCTGCAAGCCGCGGCACGCGTCGCACTCGCCTCTGCGCACCCTGGAGTTCCCCTCGATGACGACGCACGGCTCAAGCTTCAACAGAGCATTCTCCAAACCCTGGACGGGCCTGACGAATCCATACCCCCAGAGCTCCTCTCGCCTGCCATCTCTCGGGAGCCTAGCCCGAGACGCATACGCCCCAAGAGCAAGAGCCCCGCCCGTTGGCAGCTCATCCAGTCCATTAGTGACGCCATTCGAGACGTCTTCGAGCGCCGGGAGCCCAACGTCTACAGTGAGTGATCACTCCTCTCGACAGCTCTCCACCGACTAACCCGTCCCGTCGTAGTACCAACCCCTGACGATCCGCGTCCCGGGAGGTTCGTGCATCATCTCGACTTCAACCATTTCCGGACCATCGGGCTGCGCCGATCGGTGAGCGAAGGCGTCAACAGCCGCTTCGTCACAGGCGATCGCGTGGAGGCAATTTTGAAGGTGCGTCTTGACCTCGGCGGACGCCGCGCGCAATAATGACGTGTCGACAGGAAATGCCGAACCTGATGACCTTTGGCGCGACGGAGTACATGGATGGTGCGCTGACAGGCAGGGTTCTCAATGAGCTCTTCCTGCGCGGTGCAGCGTCGCAGGGGCGTGGTCGGCCGATGCGTGGACGCGCCTTGGCGATCGCGGACCCGAACGACACGGAGGAGGACGACCGCGAGCGCAGGCGGGAGTGTCGGGAGCTTCAGGCGATCGACTTCACGGGCTGCGTGAGCGCGGTCTTCATCAACGCGCTGACCGAGTTCGTCGAGCGCAACATGGCTACTGACGACGACGAGAGTGGTGACGACCACCAGTCGCGGCGCGGTTCCTCTGAGGACCCTCTGATTCTCCCGGGCCTGCGTCGGCTCAATATGCGTGCTATCAAGCCTCTTTCCTCCCGGACCCTACGACTCTTTGTCATGGCCTGCCCGTCCTTGACTCATCTCGACCTCTCCGCGACGCGGGTAGACCCGGAGCTGCTGTACGAGCTCGGCCGCTCGACGACCGTTCGCTTGAGGTCACTCGCCCTTGCGCGCTGTGTCAGACTCACCGGCGAAAGCATCACGGACTTCCTCATCAACTCTCCCGTCACCAGCGAGCTTACTGAGCTCAACCTGTATGGCGACGCCACCTTCATCTCGCCCCTCTCCGAAGACGACATGATGCGGCTTGTCACCCAGGCTCCCTGCATGACTCGTGGCGAGCTTGCCTACCTAGACGTCTCCAGCACGCCCATGACTGCCGAGCACCTGGCGGCTCTCCGACCGCAGCCCAAGCTTCGCTCGCTTGGCTTCTCCCACCTGTCTGAGCTCCCCCTGCCCAGCATCTCCGACTTCCTCGCCAACAAGGCCCCGAACGTTGAGGTGCTCACCCTCGTCGGGACCTCGCCCGAGCTCGTCTACGCCCTCCGTCCCAGCGCGCCGCGCGGCTCTGTCCGCACGGCCTCCATCGCCCTGCACACGCACGTCATCCGCCCGCTCTGCACGCCGCCCTTTGTCTCCTGCCTCGCCGGGCCCGCGGACGCGCCGCCTCCCGCGCCGCCGACCCGCCTGCGCGTCATCGAGCTCTCGACCGCGATGCTCACTGCGCTCGGCGCGGGCGCAGGCGCGTGGCGCATCATCCGGAGCAAGGGTGGCCGCGGGTGGTACGTCGACACCGCGAGCGGCTGGTGCGACGGCGTGCTCGTGCGCGACCTGGAGGAGAGCCACCCGATGCGGGCAGAGCTGCAGTGGCTGGCGGACGCGCACGGCAATGTGAGCAGTGGGGTCGGGTGGCACGCGAGGAAGATGGAGGTGCTGCAGGGCTATGGCATGCTGGGGCGGGAGAATGGCATGTATGGCGCCGTCTCGTTTGCCTTCCAGGGCTAAAATTGCGCGATCGCTGAGCGGTCGCTCCCGTTCTCTTCATTCACCATGGTAGCGTCTGCCTTCACCTACCTTTTCATGTTTATTTGCCCATGACTTAGGAGGATCGTTTCTCACTGTACCATTACCTGCACTTTCATGTCGTCCATCTGCTTTCCATCACGTTCCTATTCTGCTCTGCTGCTATCTATCCTCTATCCCACTAATGGTGCTGCTGTTGTACATTGTCTGCAATCACAACTTCCGATAGTTTGGATCATTCCTAGAACTGGCCTAGTGGAAGCTTGTCAGTCGTAAAGTCCTGTAGGCTGGTGCGTATGGTGAAATAGTGTTCACCTCCTTGTCGAGTGTTTTTCAGCTGCTGCTATGGTAGAATCAGCACATGGCTACATAACAGCCATTTTCTTGCCTCCAGGTTATGTTGCTCAAGTGCGCTGCAGCAGCGGCGAGATCCATGGTTTCCCAAATATCGGCGCGAGAACAAAGACTTCCAAATGCGGTTACAATAGATTCACATGGTATGCGGTCTTGCCATCCATCTCCTATCTAGATGACCCGGCCCTTAGCCTGAGAACATACCCACTGACCTTATCGTCTTCGCCTGACCCTTCAAGTAGTTCAACATCCTCACCTTATCGTGAACGATTCAGACACGCGGGCAACGGTTATCACCGGCGCTCTGATGTGTCGCTGCCGAATCGAAACGCTTCTGGCAAGGTCTCTTCTCCCCGACCATGATCTCGGAGAATGCATTGAACTTTTCCTGCGAACAGACTTGCTGACTGGAGAGAGCCTGGGAGAGCCTTGGCAGCGGGCGGACCGGCAAGCAAGTGACCGGATGATTTGCAAGAAAATCATGGACGTTGACGCAACCAGGGCGTCTAGATTTGCTTTCATTTTGAGACATATCTTGCTTCTGACCAGCTTGCTATCTCTCTACCAGCCATGCCTTACGATGTGCTTGTGCTTGGTGCGACCGGTATGTGTTCAAGATTTGGGTTTGAGCCAGTGTTGACGAGTTTGCCCAGGTTACACCGGTCGCCTAGTCGCGCGCTATCTGAATGGACACACCCAACACCGCACGAGCTTCTCCCTTGCCATTGCAGGACGCTCCAAGGCCAAATTGGACGCGCTCAAGGAACAGGAGAAGCTTGACGATGGGGTCACGATCGTGCAAGTGGACGTAACGCAGCCAGACGATGTCGAGCGTGCGGTGAAGGACGCGAAGGTGGTTATCAACACCGTTGGACCGTTCGTGAGATGGGGAACGCCTGTCGTGAAGTGCGTTGTGCTTTTAATACCCTCCATCTACTCGCTGACCTCGGTAATGTTAGAGCTTGCGTCGAGCACAACGTCCACTATGTTGATATAACGGGCGAAGCATACTGGATCTACGACATCATCAACCAGTGCGTTCCCCTGTTCATTATGCCCCCCCTCCCTTCCGCTGAACGACTGCCCTAGGTTCCACGACCGCGCCCGCCAGAATGGCACCATTGTCATCCCCGCCTCCGGCTTCGACTCCGTCCCCTCCGACTACGGCGCCTACATAGCGCATAAGGCGCTCAAGTCCTTCGTCCCCACCGCTACATTGGCCGATACAACCAGCGCCTTCACGCTCAAGAGCGGCGCGTCCGGCGGCACGATCGCCACCGTCTTCGAGATGATGCAGATCCCGAGGGAGAAGATCAAGGCTAGCTCCGCCGCCTGGGCTCTCAGTCCTGGTGCGTTTAGGGTCTTCGCTTGCATACGCACGAGACTGACCGTTTCGCAGTCAAGGGCCGTCCTACCCCGTCCTTCCAGCTCTCGTACCGCCTCCCTCACGTCTATCCCCCCGTCTACGGCGGCCAGTTCTTGATGTCGACCATCAACCGCCCGATCGTGCAGCGTACATGGGGCTTGCTGCAGGAAGGCAACCCCGCCGCCGCATACGGACCGAACTTCAAGTACACAGAGTTCATGCAGACGCCGAGCTGGTTCCGTGGCGTGTTGCTAAGCTTCTCGCTCGCCTTTGGCAGCATATTGCTTGCCACAGTGAAGCCGGTGCGCTTCCTTGTAGACCGGTGTTGAGCTCGTCTCACTCCCTCCGGCAGCTCCGCACTCTCGTCCAAAAATACGTCCCCCAACCCGGACAGGGCCCGTCGGAAGAGTGAGGCGCTAGCACAATCTGCACTGACCCATTGCTGACGGCCCTTAGGGCGTTGGAGCAAGGCTTCTTCAAGATCACCACAGTCGCGTCCTCTGACCCGCTACCGGACAAGCCGCCTGTGCACGTCAAGTCGGTCTTCTCGGGCAAGGGCGATGGGTACCTGCTCACGGCCGGTGCGTACATGCTCGTCATGCACCCTTGTCATGAGAAATTCGCTGACGGACCTCGCCCCTCGCAGTGACCGTCTCCGAGGCGGCGCTCTCCATTCTGTTGGACCACGACAAGCTCACTCCCCTCGGACAGAAGGGTGGAGTGTTGACGCCCGTGTCTGCGCTTGGCGACGTCTTACTGAACCGTCTGACGTCCTCCGGCCGCTTCCAGCAGGGTCCGGCGGAGCTCATTGAGGACAAGAAGTCTGCCTGAATGTCCAGTGATTCTAAATGTTCTCGGACTGGACCTGCGTTGTGTATGTACGTCTGCCGTGTGATCCAAACTGTTTGAAACTGCGAATGAGGTACAACAGCAGCACCATGCGATCAAATAGATAGCGGCAAAGGACCAGGTATGTCACAGCAAGGAGACGATGGTATAACGAAGACCGACTAGGGTCACTGGGTATGCTCAGAAAAGGTATAGGAGGGGAGTTCTTGTTCTTGAAGGCTCTCTCGCGACGGAGCAGACCCGACTTGAAAGTTCAGGTAATGGTCTCGTACGGCCCGCGCCACAGCGTCCGCTGGCGCTTGCTGAGCAGAAGACGCTGAGCAATAGAAGTTCAGCACGAGAGGCACACCAACGCACCGGAATATGACGCGGGACGGCCGCGAGAAGAAGCTCAAGTTGCGCCCTTCCGATCTCCCCTATCATCTTCGGGCAAGCGATCAGCTCCTCGACCTCCTCGTCTGTGAGGAATTCCCCTCGAGTAATGATGCGCGTGAATGCGTCTTGCGCCCAGGATTTGTCGACGCCGTAGCAAAGGCATACGGCGAGCCTGCGTACGTCGCCCAGCGCGGTTTCGCGGCCTAGCGCGTACAGCGCGACCGCCTTGACCTTATCCATGTCGTACATATCCGCCATGGAGAGGATAGATATCCATGTGTTGACCATGGTCTGATCGACCTGTGGCAACCTGAGGCATGTCAGCTTCAGCACGTAGGGGACGGGCGCGTTCTCGACTGACCAGTCATACGCCGAGTCGTAAAAGAAGTAGAGCAGGCTCTCGAAGTCCGCGGCCTTGAAGAACCGCAATTGAATGGGATTGTCTCGAGTGCCTTCGCGTGAGTGCTCATCTCCTGACGGGAGTTCGAGCATCATGGCGAAGACCGGCGAGACTGCAAGCAGATGATACGAATGGATGCTGAACAGTTGTTCCTCGACCTATGACAAGATACGGTCAACCCGACATGCACTAGTCAAGCTAAGATCGTACCTCGAAGAACAGGTCGCCCCCTAGCGTATCGATCCTGGTTTTCGGCGTCCAGTAAGACGGAGGGGCATCATCATCTGGTGCTACCCGTCAGTACGAGTGCCATAAGGAGGACATGAGAGTAACACACCTTCGGAAAGCACCATCGCAGACACGACCGATTTGACCGCCTCAGGATCGAAAGGCGCGCTGTCCCGCTTCGGGCACTTCGCCAAGCTCTCCGCTTCCTGGTTGTACACGTCGCAATACTTGCAGAAATGCACGCCGTCCTTGCACATAGCGATAACATAGCAGTTCCTGCACCGCGGCGCGCGGCACGGCTTGCGCGGGAAGTTCGACAGCGTCTGACGCGCAGAGTGAACAGCCATGGTTATCTGTGGCCCAAGCGCGTCGGTCTCCTCGTATGTCAGGCGCTCTTTCCGGGAAATCAGCCTCTCGAGTTCTGCCGATACCCATTGATTCCCTAGGTGGTGCTTCGCGCACAGATAGATCTTGCGCGTGTCGGAGAGGGCATGGGCGCAGTCCAAGGCATAGCAGGCAACCTTGGTGATCTGGGTCATCTGCAGCTGTTCTGCGCAGATGAGGACGGACTCCCAAAGGAAAACGCGCGCCGCGTCAACAATGGGGATATCTATCCTGCGAGAATTCAGCACAAGACCTGGTCACCACACGCAGACGTACCAGGTATACGGTGACTCGTAGAAGAACCAGACGAGTGCTTGGAAATCCATAGCCTCGACACCAAGTAGAACGTAAGGATTCCCGTCAGTCGCACCGGGCGCAAAAGGATTGGTGCTCGCGAGCGCCAGATCTTCGTCAAAGAAAGTCGTCGCTCTCTTCAAATGGTAACCATGCAGACGAAGCAGTGTGTCTCGCGCCTGGTCACAAAGTTTGGATCCGTCAATGCCAGGACACCAGCGTTCGCGACTCAAGGAGAAAACCTACACGTATAACGAAATCACCGTCTTCACGGTAGAAGTCCTGGCTGCGCGACACCCTGCTGGGGTCCATGTCGAGGGACGCGAGTGATGGCCGTAGCTAGAGAAGAGTAAAGAGCACTAGAATGGGTGGTAATTAGGTATGCTCGGTATCGTCCCATCGTCCCAAGGCGATGCAGGACGGTTCGGAGTTCAATCTGAAGCAAGGGGGATGTTGTGATCAGATGAGGCTGAGTCACGCTGACACAGATGCCAAGAGCGTCTCTGTATGCTGACGCTTGAGATGGCATTTTTCGAGGCGCTGGGATGGATTGTAGGCACGGAGGAGGAGGCAAGCCCTGAGACCGACAGAGGAAAGCTTCGAAAGTTTCGGCAAAGTCCGATCCGTCACATTACACACGAGTCACGTGACTTAAAGTTGAACTTCTGTAATTGGCGATCTGTGACTGTTTGGTGCGTACAGAACAGCCATGGCATGGGGCAATACTCCGATTCACGGGTGATGTGAACTTGCAAATGATTACTTAGTTTGATTTTAGCAGAAGGAAAACAACTATTTGGCCTATCCCTAACCCGCAATCACCATCACTGCCGACCTCACGATAATTAGATCAAGCACAATCAAACGGTTTTCGTGACTCCAAGATAATGAGTACCAACAAGGTCCAGTGCGAACTTCGTTGCTGGTACCTGCAGATCGGTCAGTCATGGCCACAGCACCTAACGCACAGCAAAATGCATACAGAAGTGTGTTGGGCAGCGTGGCGGTGTGCTATGAACGCTTCACGTGCTCGCGCAACGGCAGCAGCAACCTTAGGCGGGAGCTCTTCCATCTCATCGTCGCTGAGAGGATCCGAGCGGGAACATAAGTTCTGGAAGGCGCCCTGTGCCCATGTCTTCTCGACGTTGTAGCGACTGCATAACGTCAACTTATGAGCACTTCCGATCGCGCTGTCGTGGCCGAGGGCGTATAGAGCGACAGCCTTGACTTCCTCCATGACGAATTGGTCTGCTAGGTGAAGGATGGACTCCCACATGGGGACGCTATCCGGATCAATGTTCGGAAGCCTAACACTGAGCATCGTGCACAAGACAACGGCAACACAGAACTCACCACTCATAGGCGGAGTCGTAAAAGAAGTAGAGGAGGTGCTGAAATTCGCTCGCCTTGATATGCTCAAGCTTGATGGGCGCTTCCATGGAGGTTCCTTCGGTATAGTCACTCCCTGGGAGGGAGAACATGCCCTCAAAGATGGGCGATGCTGTGCAAAGGTGGTAGCGATGGCAAAAGAATAGTCGATCCTGGACCTGGCAAGCGCTGGTCAGATCTTGTAAGACTCGGCCAAAGTATCAGGAAACAGCACCTGGAAGAAGACGTCGCCACCATGTGCGTACCCCTTGTCAAAGGTGCGGAGACTGGCGGTCGATGTTGCGTTCTCTAGAGCTGAAAAATAGAATCGATACCGTCACATGCATACGGTGGAAAGCAGCGAAAAGCTGACCTGGTTGGAGAGATATTGCAGATGAGATTGTTCGTACGGCAGCAGAGGATAACGCAGGCTCGAGAGGACAATCCTCCGGTGTCCAACGACGCCTACCGTGACATTGCGTTTGCGGACAGTAATGAATACCCTTCTCGCACGACATATCATTTCGACAGTTGCTGCACTGGACGCCCCTGCAATTCCCTCGAAGCTTCGGTACGCGGAGTAGCTCTTCGCGAGCGCCGGCCAATTTGATTGCCAAATCGATGCCGAGGGAGTGGGCTTCCTCGACAGTCAGAGCGTCGCGGCGGCTGATAACGCTTTCCACTTCCTTCTTGGCCCATGTATCGCCCAAGCCGTGCTTTGCGCACAGCGCGATCTTGCGAAGTGGACTGAGAGCTTGTGCGCAATTCAGCGCATGGCTAGCAACCTTGCAAACTTGGGGCATCCGGAGCACTTCGGCGCACTGTAGAACGCGTTCCCATCTTGGGGTGACCGTCGCGTCCGGGGAACATGACCTGCATACGATATCGTCAGCAATAAGCTTCGCTCTGAAGTTGTTACTCGACGAACGCACCAGCTGTAGGCCGACTTGTAGAAGAACCACATTAAGGTATCAAAATCTTTGGCCTTTAACTTTTCGATGACGAGGGGAGAGCCGTCATCTAGGCCCAGCCGCGATTGGGCATCCCAAGCGGTTGTCGTGAAGAAGTCCTCGAAAAACGTCGTCGCGCGCTTCAGGTGAAGGCCGTGCAGTCGAAAGAGTGTGTTTTCGACCTGAATTAGACGAGGAAAAAGCCGCTTCAGGACCGCGCTAGATTGATGCTAGATGACCACGTACCCGCACGACGACGTCTCCTCCTTCGATGTAATACTCTTCACTGCGCGAAGGGGCATCGCTATCTTTGTTAGACTGCATGCTGAACGGTGAGGGAGGAGGTCAAGAGAAAATATCGCTGCCGAGAATCTGATAGGCGCCCGATTCTCTGAGTATCGTAAGCCTAGTATGCACAGGGTGCTCTCGTGCCGAGTTCGTGCGCTAGAAGTCGCATAGCCGGAGATCAAGCGCTGGTTCAGATACGAGTATCAGTTGGTACGCAGGATTATATGTTCAATATAAGCGTCTCTCCCGGTTGCGCACTGCGAACAGGTTACAGCCAACGATATGGGCACGATACAATGGCAGGAAACAAGTTGTGGATCAACAACTTCGGCGAAGGCCGTGTCGGATGATCGGATCAATGCTTGGAGCACGTGCCTATGTCCGTCAGGTCCGTCTTGATCGAATTTTCCTTTTGGTTTCCTCCTGGAGGTCATCTTTCCCAGGTCGAGCTCAATAAACATGTCTACATATCCTTCTCAGGCATCGGTCAATGAGTTCCAGCTTGTATCCTTCGGTCTCATTTTTTTACGATGACCACGCGGAGCCATACTTTGCGACCTCATGCTGTATCTCGCTGCGCCGGTGTAAACTCCTCCGAGCCCTCGTTGCACCCGGTCAGTCCGGATTCGCACTGTAAGCGCCCTCTTCCAGTCCGACCGTGGTCCCCTTGGCATCGCATAGAAGACGTGTCTGACCGGCTTCGCTGTGTGGCAAAGGACCTCGCCCTGATGTCTTTGCATGCACAGAAGGGGGACGCTGACTCAACCGTTCGCGCTTGTTTCTACGCTCGCGGTGTATTTCCTAACATCACTTCCCGACTCGGGTACCTTATAACCGAGGGGACGACCGTGGAGGACGCCATATAAATACGAAGCCTTCAGTTCGAGTCCAGCCCTCACTTCCACCTGGCTTCCATCGATCCTTCCGCACCGCGTGAACTCATCAGCAGCATGTCATTCTCAATCGCGACCACGACGAAGGAGTTTACGACCTCCCGCGGTATCAAGTATACCTACCACTACGCCGCGCCTCAGGCGGGCAAGCCGACGCTCCTGTTCCTGCACGGTTTCCCGTCAACGGCGCACGACTGGCACTATCAGGTCGACTACTTCGGCGGCAAGGGCTATGGCGTCATCGTCCCGGACATGCTGGGCTACGGAGGCACGGACAAGCCCGCGGACCCCGTTGAGTACATTGGGGCGAAGCAGGCGCGCGATTTGGTCGACCTTGTCGACCACGAGAAGGCGGAGAGGGTGTTGGTGATTGGCCATGATTGGTGAGTCATGCGCGAGCGCGTCGTTGACTCTTATGAGAGGGAAGTGACTGACTTCGTGTTCGGTGAAGGGGAACCATGCCCACTACGTATCTCGCGGCCTTGTACCAGGACCGGTTCATTGGCTTCGTCCACCTTTCGGTCGGATTCGCGCTGGCGCGCTCCGGTCTCAAGCTCGAGCAGCTTCTCGCGTTCATGAAGCAAGCCGTGGGCTCAGAAATCTTCGGGTAGCGCACCGCTATTCTCGTGCCTTATCGCCGTCTGACGCTCCATAGGTATTGGGCATTCTTCAACAAGGAGGAGGCCGCCGGTATCATCGAGAAGAACGTTCGTTTCTCCCTTCCTCCTAACCACCCTCGCTGGGCTGACCCAATGCACATCTCAAGCTCGACACCCTCTTCGACCTCGCCTTCCCGAAGGACCACTCCATGTGGAAGACCTACATGAACCCAGTCGGCGGCGTCGACCCGCTCCTGGAGCAGGGCAAGCGCTTCGAGGCCGGTGACTACGTTACGGAAGAGGTTCGTGGACGTCTATATCTCCGGTTGCTGGTATAACTCACGCCGTCCGTGTGCAGGACCGGAAGATCTGGCGCGAGCAGTATCAGAAGGGCGGCCTTACTGGCCCGCTGAACTGGTACAAGATGGCGTCTCGCGCGCTTCAGACTAGCGACGGTCTCGGTGAGTACTACTTCCCTACATTCGCGCTTTGCCTCGCCTCTCGCTTCCCCGTCGCCTCTTGCATCGCCATCCTTCCCTCCCCCACCGCCCTCAACCACCTCACTAACCCCCCCTCCAGACATCTCCGCCGACACCCTCAAGGTCAAGAAGCCCTACCTCTACATCGGCGGCACCAGCGACTACGTCTGCCGCCCCGAGCTGCAGGACCGCGACATGAAGAAGGTGTGCGAGGACCTGCGGATCGAGGTGTTCGAGGGCGTCGGGCACTGGCTGCAGCTCGAGCTGCCGGAGAAGGTGAATGAGACGATTGAGGGGTGGGCGGAGGGGAAGGGGTTGGTGGGCAAGTGAGGGTGGGTGCGGGCGAGAGGAGCGATGAACTTAGAACCTACTGCACAGCGTACACGTCGAGGGATTTTGAGAAACTGAATGTTTCCGAAAGAGAATTGTACCACGAACATATGTCAATGTATACGCGCGCGACTGAACTTGCATTGGGCGCTCGAGAGTTATCCGAGAACGGTGTAGGCTATCACTTCTATATCAAGCTGACACACCATCCATGAAATTTCTCTGTACGATTGCGTCGATCCTTACCTGAGGCTCAACCTGAAGCAAAGGATTCAGCGGCAATACGAGACAGACAAAAGAAAGTTTGTAGTACTTACCTCAGTAGTTATGTTGGTCCCCCGAATATATTCTTCACGCGCCCGCGATACCGCCGCCGATGCAATCGGCCCCAGCTCCTCAATCTCGCCTGCCGCGAGCGATTCCGTTCGCTCGCATATCTCCTGGAAGGCTGCGCGTGCCCAGGTCCTCGGAAGGGCGTACTTGATGCATAGGGAGACTCTGCGGGTGTTCGAAAGGATAACGCCCTCGCGGCTGAGCGCATAGATGGCGGTCTGCTTGACGGCCTCCATGTCGAACATGTCCGCCGTGTGGAGGATGAGCTCCCATAGCGCGGTGGCGCTCTGCACGGGTTCAGGCTGCCTGGGCAGGGTGAGGATGGCGATTTCGAAGGCGTAGGGGTCAAGACGATACTTGCCATTCGTACGCGGCATCGTAGAAGAAGTAGAGGAGCGCTGCGAGTGCGTCCGCCCTCACCTGCAGGGTGATTGGATTATGCTCCGACGAGCCTTCGATGTCTTCTCCGTCGTCGGTTTGCGGGAGCAAGAACATGTCTGCGAAGACTGGAGAGGCCTTGACGAGGAGATAACGATGAAGGCGGAAGGTTCGACCCTCAGGCTCGGCCTGAAGGAAGTATAAGAACCTCGTACCCAACGGAACGACTAGATATACCCGAATGTAAATATCTCCACCTTTATCGTCGCCATCGAAGGTTCGCAGATTCTCGTTGAATTCTGGATCTGGTTGCGCTGTGAGGGCGCTTTTCTCAGCATAGAATATATATAGGCAGAAGTAACGCCTACTTCCAAGGCTCAATCCGTCCAAGGTCGAGTTGTACACGCTTGGGTATACGTCCCCCCACGTCGGGCACTCTGAGTAATGCAAGTATGAATGTCTGTTCTTGCAGACGTGCATTCGCATCAGACAGACGACTTCGGAGGAGCCACAGCTCGTGCAATGCGGCAGGTGGTTTGAAGAAGCGCACGGTGTACTCCTCGCCCTGGTGACGCCCTTGGCAAGCGCCTCTCGCGCATTAGAAATCTTGGCACCCGTTTCGAATCCGAGCAACTCGAATTCTTCGGCGGATATAGGCTGCTCGCGGGCGATGATTCTTCCCGAGTCCTCCCTGGCCCACGTCGCGTTCAGACCGTGCTCCGCGCATAGTACAATCCTTTCGATGCCGCTGACAGCTCCAAGCAGTCCCAGAGCATGGCAGGCCACCATCGCAACCTGGCGCATCTTGAACCTTTTAGCGAGGCTGAGGATCCGCCTCCAGGTGCTGATTCTATCAGTACTTCTGTCAACATCTGGGGGCCTAGGACAGGTTGGGGCAGCTCGTAAGTTGAAATGGACATTGGTTTCGTTTAAAGAATGCGTACCAGAGGTACCCGGAATCGTAGAAGAACCACATGAGGCTTTCGAACTCCTCGGGCTGCACATCGGTGAGGATGCACGGAGCATCATCGTCTCGTCCTATACCCATGTCGCTGAAATCGATCGAGCCCAGCAAATCGCTTTGGGCAGCTCGTTTGATATGGTAGCGATGTAGGCGGAAGAGTGTATCCTCCACCTAGTTCAAGGGCCTGGTTAGTCTAGGCATCCTGATGAGGGAAACGGCTTACAAGCACTCACCCGAACGACAAGGTCACCTTCTTCGATGTAGTACTTCTGACTACGGGTAGGTGCAGTGATGCTGGAAGCGGAATCGGTACTCTGCATTGTTTCTGACGGCGGACGAGGTCAAGAATCAGATAGGCGCTGAGCTCATACTAGCAGCCCACGAATTCTTCGCACGCTCTACACGCGACGCGCATTTATAGCACCGAGAGATCAAAACTTGTCGTGAATAATCCTGCTCTTTCTCCTATGGCTGTATAGCGCCTGCATCGACGCAAACATCGACATGAAAGGAACGAACAAGTCGTAGCGGCGTTTGCCGAGGCGCTGCAGCATCACTTCCCCGGACACCGACCAGAATCACATGGCTCCTTCCTTCCCCCACAACATAAAGCCCGGTGGCTTGCTTGGTTCTGCCCACCACCATGGCAGACTTCACCAAGCCGGACGCGTTCGCCGACCCCGAGGACTCCAAGCTCGTCGCTGACGCGAAGCGCGAGCCCATCGACCCCGTCGAGTACCAGTACACGGAGCGCGACGTGATCCTCTACAACCTCGGCGTAGGCGCGACCGCGGAGGAGCTCCAGTGGACGTTCGAGAATGATGACAACTTCGCTGCCCTCCTGACCTTCGGCGTGATACCCCAGTTCCCCGCGAGTGGGGGCGTGCCTCTCGACTGGCTGCCCAACTACAACCCGGCGAAGCTGTTGCACGGCGAGCAATATTTGAGCATCAAGGCGCCGATCCCGACGAGTGGGGAGCTGGTGAACCAGTGCAGGTGCGTAGCCTACTCGATTCAGTGTACTCAGGCGTGCTGACAGGAAGTAGGATACTGGAAGTCCTCGACAAGGGCAAGGCCGCGGCGGTGACTTCGATCGTCGAGACGCGAGACAAGTCCTCGGGCGAGCTCATCTTCGAGAATCAGTCCACGGTCTTCATCCGGGGCGCTGGAGGCTTCGGGGGCAAGCGGACTGGCAAGGGTTCGCAACCCCCTCTCATTCACTTTTCCAAGCTCACCCCTCCCGCAGACCGAGGTCCCGCATCCGCTGTCAACGCACCCCCGAAGCGGAATCCTGACGCCGTCATCGAGGAGAAGACCAGCCCCTCGCAAGCTGCGTTGTACCGGTTAAGTGGAGACTACAACCCTCTTCACATTCAGCCCGAGTTCGCGGCCATTGGAGGGTTCGACAAGCCCATTCTGCATGGCTTGTGTTCGATGGGGATCGCTGGCAAGCACATACAGAAGACTTTCGGTCCTTACAAGGACATCAAAGTTCGGTGTGTATCTCTGCATCTCTTCCCTGTCCCCAGCTATATCTGGGACGAGCCATACTAACAAGTATTTTCCAGGTTCGCTGGCGTCGTCTACCCCGGCGAGACGCTCGCCACCTACATGTGGAAGGAGGGCGACAAAGTAACCTTTGGTGAGGAAAACCTCAACGTATTGACGCGCAACCACGCTAATGTTGTCATATAGTCGTGAAGGTCAAGGAACGCGATGCGGTGGTTCTGGCCTCCGCTGCTGCAACCTTGGTCGACGGACAGGCCAAGGCGAAGCTATAATAACCTTTTCAAGCGGCACCTTTGGGAAGCCAGCTCACCATCTATAGTCAGTACGCTCTCATGGGACGTGTTGTCGTGTTCTGAATGCTGCTCAGATGGAGGTTGTAACATCAATTGTATCTCGAAATGCTATCATAGGTTGTCTTTACAGAACGTCTTCCTCACATGGTTGGGAGCCCACCCACGGGCCACGCGTATGCGCTGCATGAGTTCTCAGATCGCGCCCCACCAAGATTTTGATAATTCGATCTGCAGGGCGGCTTCCAAGCCCGTCCGGTCGAAGTCGCTTAGACTCCGCCCAGACTATCCTATCCTTCGCGCTGCAGCAATTCTCTCCGCGCCAACGCAGCCCCCCATCACGAAGACCGCGGCGGACCCCTACTGCTCGTCGTGACCGGAGCTGTCACGATCTTGTAGATGACAATCTGAACACCTAAGTGCACCTTGTATGATAGCTCTGCTGAACAGTAGCGATGCTGGGGAACCCTGCAGCCTTTGGGTATTGTGAGCACGAAGCACGCAAGCGGGGTGTGCATTCTCATACCATAGATTCGCTAGGCCATGCGAAACGAATGACTACAGTAGAGACAGGGAAGGTACTTTGTAAGGACGGTGAGGAATAGGGATCGTATGAGGCATAGCTGCGCGCTACAACCACGAAGTGAAGGCGGAACGGGCGAGGAAGACAGCTGAACCGAGGCCACCGCCAAACAACATGCTCGCGCCTCCGACTACGAGCAGGGATGAACACGCGAATAAAGGAGGATCCTGCAAGACTCACCAGTTAGGACATTTCGTGGTGTGAAGACGAACCTTCCGGCGCGCACGAAGTCCGTCAGGACAGGACTGGTAGGTGCCCGCCTGACGAAGACGGCGACGTAGGAGCCTCCCAGAAGCGCGCCACAGGCGATGTGCTGGTTCCAGGCGCGTGCGGCATTCTGTTCGAGGGTGTCAAAGGAGGACGTCGTCAATACTTGAGAAGCAAAGTAACACTTACGCCCTCGAAGAACTCCTGGCGACTCTTGACTATGCTGAGAAGAGATTTATCAAAGAGAACGCCGTGAATAGCGGGGACCCCGATGAGCAGTCCTGTTCAGCATACAGTCAGCGGCCCTTCCCCAATGCATTTATGGCACTCACCGTAAGCCGCGCTACCAACAGCAACGCGGGAAAACGACTTGAAGAAATAAGGGCGCAGCTCGGGTATCTTGTGGTAAATCATCTCATGCACAGCGACCAAGGACGATGTGGTAGCGACCTTGACGCCGCACCAGAGCTGGATAGTTGCATATTGACGGAGCCAGGCAAGGTGGTCGTCCGAGAGGCGCATGTTTTGATACAATTTCTTACCCGCGTCTTCGACGCTGAGTTGTCTGTATGGCTCGAGAGACCTGACGACGTGCTTCCCATAGTGGGTCAGGTAGCCCAGAGCCGCGCCCATGCCAAAGGTAGTGATCAGGACTGTGTATAGGCGGCATGTAGTCAGCGCTAGGCATCTATAGTTGCTCTCGCAACATTACTGACTGTCGATCAACCTCGACACTTTCTCGTCAGCCCAGCCAAAGATGCCTTTGCGCACAAGACCCATTGGTGGCGACGGCCTCTTGAAGATTGCGAGGATGAAGCCTACGCCAAGCCCGGCTAGTGAATGCTGAAACTGGCTCTCATTGTCTGGCTGTATAGGCAAGCCGTCAGCGTGTCGCGCAATGCCAATGGTTTATGTAGACAACGTACACCCACGCCCAACCGACGATATGTGCCGACGAGCTCACCAAGGTTCGGCTGATCTTTGCTGCGAATGTATCCCTCCAGCAGGTACGAGAGATATCCTGGTGTTCATCATTCACTCCGAGCCTCGATGGATAGAAGGAAAATCAAGCGAACCTGGCACGAGTCCGAGCTCAAAGGTGCTGTCGACCATCCCACTGACATGCAGGCCTGCTCTGCCACGCGTCGCGAGGGTATATATAATGTGTCCAGAGAGGGCTGCCGCGCCGAATTTTGGGAGATTGTGGGCTAATACCGCCAGTTGAACGTCCGCCAAGTCGATCGGGGAAGCCTCTGGACTAGGCTTATCCGTAGCATCTCGAGCCATCGGCAGACGCGCTCAAGCGCTGATAAATAGATGCGCGTTTCGAAGTAGTCAGAGAGCGGAAGGGGCTGGGAGACAGCAGACGGGACGTTAGGGATAGGCTCAGTGGGCTTTCATACCACTGAGGGTTGCGGCCTGCTCGTAAGCCGCGCGTCGCATCGGCATCGTCGTTAGTTCAGAAGCAAGCTGGAGTGCAGGCAAAGGCAAGGCGCCTTCGTTTACGTCCGTCAAAGTGCATTTCGTGTTCATATCTGAGTCGGCTGGCGAGCAAGGTGGCAAAAAGGACGCGTCGCGGCGGCAAGCCGGCAATTCCCGAGGCCACATGCCGAGCACGTGAAACTTCGACCTCGGCTTTGCACTTGAACGTTCTGAAGTGCCGCTAACGACATGTGAATGCTCCGTCTCGCGCCCGGCCCCCACCACTCAAGGTAATAGCTTAAGCAGCCACAAGCCGCAATAAGAATGTCTAGGCATTTTACTAGTAAGCGTATATTCATAAAGGTGATCCAAAGCAGCAAAAAGTCCACACGAAAACCTAGGCTCAGACTCAGGGCGTCACGTCCTCGAGGGGTACGATCGTCAGCGGCGAGGTGCTCTATATAAGTAGTAGGCTGCCAACACGGCGGGCGGTGTATAGATATCGCGTTGGGGGGTGGGCAGGAGAGCATGTCGACAAGGCGAAGGGTATATTGGCGGACTACTTGCACTCGGGGAGGAAGGCGGAAAGGTTAGACCCAGGATAGAACCTGTGGGAGAAGGTCAGTTCGGTGTACTAGGTGGCACGGGCAGGGTCACAACACGAGCAGGAAAGGCTACGACATAGCAGGAAAGAAGACGCACCAGAACGTAACACCCAAGATAACGTAGAGACACATGAGGATGAAGCCTTCTAGCCAATTTGACTTTCCGTCTTGGACGACGTAGTTCACGACGAGGACTGGTGGGGATGAAATGTCAACGACGCGGTTGAAAGCAAAGTCAACAACGCCACTGACCTGACAAGAACATGACTATAGACTGGTACGGGTCGAACAGCAGCGTCAAGGGCTTGCCCATGATCCAGGCAAGAGTGACGATGAACGGGATGACGAAGAGAGCAATTTGCTGGGAGGAAGGAAGGTCGAGCGTCAATCACATGAATCGAGCAGCGCACAACGACCACTCACAATACTCGAGCCCATAGCGACACCCATGGACAGGGTCAGCTTGTCCTTGACCGCGACCGTCACAGCCGTAGCGTGCTCCGCCGCATTGCCCACGATCGGCAAGAGGATGACGCCGACGAACTCCTCGCTGATCCCGCCGCCCTCAACCATGCCATCGATAGAGTCCACGAGCCATTCGGCGGTTACGGCGATGATCTGGAAAGGCATTAAGCCCACGTTAATATGCTCAGGGACCCCAACATACCACAGTGACCACAATCAACAAGAACAGGCACATCGCTAGACTCAGCTGCGGGATCTCCTCCTCCTCATCGTCCTCCTCGTGTTGCGCCTCCAGATCGGTCGCATGCGCCGTGTCCGCGGACGCCAGGGGTGCCTCACCAAGCGTACCGCCCAGTGCCGAGCCGCCGTTAGGGCTCTCCACCCTCGTCGCCTCAGTCATCATCGGTGTGCGGCTCGTGAGCGTGCCCGTGCGCGACTCGACGGAGGAGACCTGCGCAGCCTTATTAGGTGCATTCAATCAATGGTTGGTCAACACACACCTTCGCCTCGCCACCCTTGTTCTTCTTGAAGTCGAACAGCTTCTTCTCCCGCGGCGCATACTTGTTCGTCTTCTGGATGTCCCCGTGCTTGTCATCGTACATGCTCGCGTGCGAGTAGAGCTGAAACCAGAGGTAGCCGCCGTAGACTATAGGTAGATGAGTTGGATCAGTTGAACAATGGTCAACCATCGCTAGACGGATACGCACTGAAGAGCAGGATGATAGAAACCCCGCGACTCAACGACAGGATCGGCGACCCCTGATCCTGGTCGTTGTTCACATTGTCGTCCGTGAGTGCGAGATGGTAGGCAGCGGGAAGAAGGACGGCGATGACCGAGATCGTCAGGAGGGAACTGTTGAGCTGCGTAGTGCCTGCGTGCGAGGGTCAGCGAGCGCGCTACGGCACGTCTGAAGCAGTGGACGTGGACAAGCAAGCGATGGCAGTCTGTCCATATGCTAATATAGATCCACATGGGAAGCAGTAGCACGATGCATACTAATCAAGCCAAATACGCCTTGAGCGCCAGCGCGTCGATGATAGGCGCCCGAAACATAGACGCCCGCATAGGCAGAACCCCGCAAAGTAGGCGCTCGAAGGGAAAGTTCCCCGGGATAGGCGCCGGCATTAAGGAGTGGGCATCCGAGAAAGGAAGGTGGCACCTGTGTAGGTTACGCGCCAGGAAAACCCGGAGGATAGGTGCCCAGCCAACCCAAAGCAGAACAATAAGCGCGCCAAGATGGGACAATAGCCGTCTTGGCGCGCCCGACTCTCGTCCTGCGTCACAAGCAGATATCTCGATCGTCTAAATCGCCCAGCGCGCCGAGCGCACCATGTGGCGCCTCGCCGTCGTGTGCCTCAAGCATCGTCAATCGCCAAGGAGGGAGAACGCAGCACGCCAAGCCGGGTGCAGGTGCATATATAAGTGACGGAGGGAGAACAGGAAAGGAGCGTCCCCGCGCGCGCACAAAAAAGGAAGGCAATCGCGATTTGCACTCACTAACACCGAACCCCTGCTCCGCGTACTTGAGACCGCCGGCGAAGAAGCACATCCCGAGGACGAGGACTGAGGTTATAGTTGTGAGTATATGGGTTCGTTTTATGCAGCAATTTGAAGCTTACGAAGGTTACTCAGAACGGAGCCGATCACTGGATGAGGGGAAAGCGACAGTCAGCATTCGGTTCGGCAACGTTCATTCCGCAATTTCGGCGCAACAGAGGCGTGGTTGCGCGCGAAAATTGCCACTCACGTGAAGACTGAACGAGGTCCAATTTGCAGTGCGCAAGCGAGATGATCTGACCGGCTGGATGAGTACTGAAACTAAAGGTACGTACTTAAACTGCTTACCGCAACGATCAGTTCAACGCTTCATTCATTGAGATCAATTAGCGCAGGTTCGAGGTTACATGGCACATTTGCGGCACTCACGCATTCCCCTGCGAGAGAACGACCGGTCAGCATATGTAAGGAAGATGTGTAACTCATGGGACGCACTAATGTGGCGTTGAGGAGACCCGCGAGCGTCTGGCCGACACGCATTGAGAGTTCATCCGTGGCGAAAGCGAGGAGCTAGATTGGGGCGGGCGGGTAAGGGGCAAGCGGTCACCGATGACGTTGAACATGCGAACCTTTGCGAGCGGGATGATAGCAAGAAAGGAGACTGCAGGAGGAGGGGAGGGATGAGTAGGCGCTTAGCATGCACTGAGGCGCCACGCACAGACGAAGGTGAGCGTATCCTTCGTGTTGCCCGTGCCGATCTTCTCTGCAGGTATGAAGTTGAACGCCCACTGCGGCCGTCGTCAGCTATTGCGCAGCGCGCCATAAACGCGCAGCCACGCACCGAGAGGGGAATAAAAATCAGCAGGATATTCAGGTCTGGAAGACGATTCCCGTGTCAGCCGGGATACACTTTCGCAACAAGGGGCGCGCGCGACGCACAAGAGGCCAGGATGATCGACTTCAGGCTCTGGATGAAGCTCGGGGCGGGGCCTACGGGTCGCGGTGGTTCGAGCAGAGACTGTCGTTTCGAGCGGCGCTTGGCGAGATGTTCGGGGTCGGCGGTCGCGGCGCGCTCCCGCTGGGGCAGCTGGGAGGTGACCCGGCGCATCGGGATGGGCTCGCTGTGGGTCTTGCTGGGGTGCCCGGTCTCCATCGACTGCTGCACGGTGGACTCCTCTGAGGTCTTTGCTTGTTGGCCGTCTGGTGGGCGGGCATTAGCGGGTAATGAGCGTACTCGTGGCGGAAGGAACTAACCCATGATAGTGGACGTGGTGTATGTACACTACCTACTTAAGGAGAGGGAGAAGCGGTGCGAGGCGAACAAAAGGAAAAGAAGCGGAATAGCACAGCGCGAAAGGGCTGTGATTAGCTGGCCGTGAGCGTAAAGGGTAAGCGCGGCGGCGAAGCGTGTGTGTGGCGAAGCTCAAAGGAGTGACTACTGACCCCCTCCGATCATAGCGACTGTTGTCAGATGGACCCGCAGCGAATCCGACGTAACGTCACAATTTCGAACACGAGACACGTGCCGCGCCGCTCCGTGCCTTCAATTGTCCTCCATCGGGCAATCGCAATATCGCTGTATCTTCCTCTTGGCCATGTTCATGTTCCTCAAGAAGATCATCCTCGACACCCGAAGGCAACTCTGCCGCGCGCACATCCTTGACAGCTCTTGTTGTCGCTCTTGATAGTTGCGGCACTGCCTCACTGACATCAATACACGAGCTATACGCGCGCTGTACACGAGCCTGAACTGAACCCTGATAAGATCACCCGACTACGCCGACTCTGCAGAACGGCTCTAAATTCAGGAAAGCAGACCGTACCCCTCGCGCTTGACGCATGTCCTCTGCATTATGACTGCCTCGTACCCACCCCGCAACATACTTACATGAAGTGGCTAAACTCTCTCGATGCCTTACGGGGTCTCTGGAAATCTTCTACGACGCCTACCTTGCGTCACTCGGCAGCAACTCGAAGCCTATGCAGTCACCCTAGAGTCACCCTCGCCACTCAAGCGTCAGCTCTCACCGCTTCTCAATGACACCTTTCACCGAGCGTCAACTTCCTACTCGAGCGCACTCAACTCTCGGTCACAACCTTTCCTAGCAGGGCCGAAGTCGCGGTCACCCGCCGGCTTTGTGAAACGACCGCCACTCTTCAAAATAATCAGCCGACCGTCGCAGCATCTCTTCACCCACCTCCAATCACTTGCTGAGCGCCCATCGCGCCTCGCTTAACGGCCAAGGCGGTGCGCCGCCCGAATAAGCTGTTTATTGGCCCTGAAATGCTGTTTGTTCGCCTACAAATGCTGCTTATCCTCCCTATGTAATACCAATCGGAACCTAGCCGCGAAAGTCAATTCCTGGATAGCTGCGGAATGCCAACGAGCACGGTCGACTGTGTCCAGTCGAGCGCAATCGACACAGCCCGACCAGTATCTCGCAACAGATTGCGCTGCAGCGCCTCGTCGAGCGCTTGTCAACAGCCGTTCCCTCGATTTCGCACACTCATCTACGACTGAACAAACTGGCTGAAGCTGTACGACAAGAATTTTGAATAATCCAAGGCAGTCCCTCGAGTCGACGCTCATGCACCAAAACACGCAGCAGATCTTGCAGGAGGTTCAACAAAACGGATTCACGATCGTACTGGCATGATGGACCAAAGCTCGATCGCAACAACCGCTAGCTACGAACCTCCTCCCTCCCCCACCTCCTCCCTTTCCCCCACCTCCTCCCTTTCCCCCACTCCCTCCTCACCCCCCTTACCGCCCTCGTACTTCCGCCTCGCCTCCTTTCCCCCTCCCCCTCACTTCCTCCTATCCCCGATTTCACAGCCTCGCTTCCCCTCGCCTCACTTCGCCTTGCAGACGACCCCTCACTTCGCCGTGCAACCGACCCCTCACTTCGCCTTGCAACCGACCCCTCACTTCGCCTTGCAACCGACCCCTCACTTCGCCTTGCAACCGGCCCCTCACTTCGCCTTGCAAACGACCCCGTACGCCGCCTTGGTCTCCGACGTGATAACAGAGTCGACTTGCAGGAAGAGCGAGCGCTCGCTCTCGGACAGGAAGTCCTCCATCCTGTACCACCCTGGAAGGAAAGGGGAAAGTCAGTAAGGTGGTCGAGGAGTGGGGTAGGCGGGGGCAGGGTGAGGGAAAGAGCAGGCGAGGAGGGAAGAGGAATAGGTAGGGATGGGGTGAGTGAAGAGGGAAGAGGGAAGAGGATGGTGAGCGCAGATGGAGAAAGGGCGGAAGCAGCGAGCGAATGACGCCGACGCACACTTGTAATGCCCCTTGACGCGGTCGTGGTAGTTGAACCAGACGACGCCGCGCGCGATGAAGGGGATATTCGCGCTCCCGTGCGTGGTGCAGGTCTTCGTGTTAAGCTGTGTAGGCGGGTGGGTGGATTAGCGACCGAAGTTCATGAGCAGGGAGCGTAAAGACAACCCACATTGATCGTGCACTGCTGCCCATCCTTGTGGTCCGCGGTGACCTTCGAGGTGACCTGGTGCAGGCTGCTTCCGGAGGTACTGTAGCGGATAGGTCAGTGAGTTAACGTAGTGCAGGAGGCGCCAGCATCTCCACACTCACGTCTCCCCGTAGCTGTTCGAGATCTCGGAGCTGATCGTCGTCTCGGCCCCGACCGACACCCCGGGGAGCTCGAACGACGCGCCGTAGGTGACGCCGATGCCAAAGGTGGTCGTCCCTGGGTGGGCATTAGCCAAGACAAGCAACCGAGCGCGGAGAATAGAAGTGTTACGCACGCGTCGTCGTGCTCTGGATCGTGGCGTCCATCCCGGTCAACACCGAGAACTCGACCGCGCCGTTGGTCCCGACGAAGTGGCCTTCAATGCTCTGATTGTTATCCGAGCACTTGGGTTTGCCTGAGTGCAGTAGTGAGCCAATGAGCTTGCAGCACAAGCAAATATCAGCGAAGTAGAGTGGAGTGTCGTCCAATAGGGGCGGAATGCCACCCGAGGGGAGAGGAAAACGCCCGCCTCACCATTGACCGCGATGTCTATGGGCTTAGTGGTGATGCAGATCGTCGCGGGCAGGTCGGGGCCCTCGTTCGTCCCGATGTTGCGGGCCCTTGTGCTGATCTGGCTATCCGCGAGGCCCGAGAGCCTCTTCCAGCCGGGGACTACGAAAGTGTAGCGTCAGCGAACATTGGACGGCGCGCGAGCTTTGGACGGCGCAGAGGTTGCCACCAGAGCAAGAAAAGAGGGGATACACACTCGTCTGCACCGTCTTCGAGTCCAGCGCCGTGCAGCCCCTGGCCTGCGCCGCGCGCGACACGAGCGCGGTGCTGTTGTCCTGCATCCCGTCGGTGTCGCCGGTGTAGCCTGCCATGTCGGTGGCGCCATTCCCGTTCTCCACCACCACACCAAGCGCCGTGCCGTTCGCGGCGAATGGGTAGATGTTGCCCGTGGACTCGTCGACGGTGCCGTAAGCGGCCTCCTCGGGGACCTCTTCGAGGACCGCCAGGCCGTCGAGGACGTGGAGGCCGGTGTTGGCGTCGCGGACCTGTAGCCCTGGGGTGGGCGACGCCTGGGCAGCGTGGCTCGCGATGGCGATGGCGACGAAGACGAGGGAGAGGATGCGGTGGACCATTGTGCTGATGGCGAACGATTCGAGGAAGGAACTGTGGGTAGCTACTGCAGATGAGAAGCTGGAGATTGTGGGAGAAGGTGAGCGACTTATATACCTGCGGACGGCCTCAGCGGATGATGAACAGTGCGAGGCAGGACTTTGACTTAACTGCAAAGTGGTGAGGGGGGCCGCTCGTATCGTATCTCAGATGTCAAGAGCTGGGATACACTTGTCAAGGAAGCGGCATAAATCGCGTCTCCATGGACTTGAAGTACGACAAGAGTCTGCGCGGTGCGGGAAATATTAATTCTGTGACTGACGCCTGCGTTCGAGAACTTGAATTTGGTTTTCTGCTTGAATGCAAACCACGACTTCATGGCGGTCGTAGCGCGCGAGCCGGGGTACTTCTGGCAGCAAAGTCCCTTCTAGTCGTGCACTGGCATGAACGCGCAGGTAAAGTTTTCCATTCGACATAGTCGTATGGGAAGAATTTCTCGGGCGACAGCCTTTCTACAGGCAGTCAGAATTGGACGCACGAAACCGGACAGTGAGTCACTCAAAAGACTAATCTCTCGACAGCCGGGACTTGTGTTCGAAAAAGGAGGACATCGAGTATTCAGGAAGACATGCATCAGCGACAGCTTCTGGACGAAAAACCATCTGGGACGGGTAAGTCCGGTGACAGCGAAGTCGAACGTAGGATTCGGGGTTTGCCGAAGGGGGGCAAACACAGAGAAACACAAGTTCTTTGTCGATTCAACGTCGAATTGGAGCTTGCCAATGGTATGCCCATTGCCCACAACGATAGCGGGCTTCCAGGGTACCATGCTTCGTCTTCTTCTCTATGTATCTAGCCGCAAATTGCGTCAGAAGACCTATGTGTATGAGAATGAGCAGCGTGTCGCTGAAGAGAAAAGTCATTCGCGGGCTGTATAGAGTCTTCTAACTTGAAGCAAAGGTGAGCGACTGCATAGCCAGCGGGCGTGGCATATAGTGAGGTAATCGAAGTCGCAGAACGTCTGTCCATGATAGAAGCGAGCGAAATATGTCTTGTGAGTGTTTGGTACTCTCCGCTGCAATCGAAAGGGATCGTCGAGGAGGGCGTCCATAGGCGACCAGTGAGTCGAGTGTTCTGGACTTGTATTGCCCTTGAGTTGTTCTACCCTCTTCGGAGGCGAGCATTATAATCGAGCCGTCGACTTAGAAGGCGCCTGATGATGGGCGATGGACGGATTATGTCGAGGGTTGAACGGCGCCGAAGGGGTTCCCGAAGTCTTCGCTCGAGGTCATGGGTGTATCTCGTGCATGCGTCGGGCAGCTTCTATCGGCTATCGAGGACCCCCACCGAGTCGAGTGTCCAGTGCTGCCTCGCCAGCGAACGCCGAAGTGCGGAGAAATGTGGGAGCAAGATGCGTAGTCGGGCCGGATGACCAAAAATATTGCGGGGTTCGGCGCGTGCCATTCCGTCGGTCACTTCCTGCACACCATCATCATCTCCCCATCGTCGGGGTCGTCTGCGACTGCGAAGGGAAGCTACACGACAAGATTGGGTCAATAGACAGTGAATCGGGGGAGACAGCGTTCCGTGGGGGCGAACGCAGGAATAGGTGCGTCTCAGACTGCTGGTCAGCAGCATGAATCACGCTAATCATAGTTGTAGCTCCGTACTTTTCAGTCCAACGGGTTCGGAAGTGGCGGTCGCGAACAAGCCCTAGCCGGTCACCATGTCCTCGACAGACAGTAGCAATGGGGGCGCTAGCGCGACGTCGTCCCAGACCCCGACGTCGTCGCTCTTCTCCTCGACCTTCTCCACCACCCCCACCACCTCCTCTTCGGCCGCGGGCTCGGACAGCACAGGGGGGATCGACACCGGCCCCAGCCTCGCTAGCTCCGCATCCCTCTACCGTCCGTGCCGCGCAATCCCCTCCTGCCATGAGACTAGACACTGACGCCCCCATAGTGTACACCTTCCTCGCCACACTCATCCTGCTTCTCGGCGTGTCCGCTGCCATCGTCATTCGCTCTCTCATCCTCCGGCGGCGGCACCGTGCCCTCGTGGAGGAGGCCATCCGCAACGGCACCTGGATCCCACCAGCTACGCGCCCGCGCGTCGACCTCTCCAAGAAGCCCAAGCTCCACGAAGCCTTCCTCGATGCCCACAGTACACATACACAAGACGCGGAGTGGCTTTCGTGGGACGGTATCTTCGTGAGCCAGCCTTCTGTCTCCCCCCTATGACGCAACGGTGACCCGCTGCCAGCCGTTCTCTGCTACGTACATCAATCCATCGTATCCCACCCCGCCAGCGCCCATCAACGTGCCCGCTGAGGTGCCCCCACCCCCGCCAGCACGGCGGAGATGGTGGTGGCCGTTCTCCCGAGCACGTTCATCCGACTCTTCGACGGACGGGCAGACAGAGCTTGCTGAGCGGCCCTCCTCACACTCGTCTGAGCCGACACGCGTGCGTGTCGGCGTCATCATCGCCATGCCTGCGCCGCACGCGCCGAAACAGGCGAGGGATGATGAGGAGCCGCTACCGCCGCTCGAGCTGGGCATCTCTGATGTGTACCTGCGCGGTGGGCCCCTACCGCGCGACGAGGACGGTGGCAACAAACCTGGGCGCACGTCGGCATCTACCCTCGAACACTAATGGACGAGGGGGCGCTGATGTACGCCTCTAACGTGGACGCCCCTCGATACTCATCGTTTAAACCTCGTTTCCGTTCGCGGATTGCTGGATCGCGCCGACGAACACTGACACTTCCCACGACTACAAACGCTCCCCGCCGTTGTATCCACTATTTACGCTGATGTCTCCCCTTGTAGATTACGAGTCTGCTGTGTACCTGTCATGATATAATGCTGTCAAGCAAGCCCGTTCGATCTTCTTGAGCTTTTCGGGATGCTACTGAAGTCATCTCTCTATCTCAAAGGAAACCTCCTCCCTCGATGGCGTCCGAAGTCACAGTATACGAGAATGGCACATGCGATTGAGATCCTGGGCTGAATACATCGAGGCTTATACGAGTACATCGAGGCAAGAGGAATGCCTTTACTTCGGCCCTCGACAGCGAGAGTTCCAATTATCTGGTCGCTTGCTCGTGAAGCTGGGCCGACAGGTCGTCGAGAGTCGCAGTGGAGACGTCGGAGACGAACGCGGCTTGGCGATACTTGTCGACTGTGTCGACGTGTCAGCACGTGGAATGACGATGGAGTAAACTAAGTCACCAGATTCCGCGAGGTCGTTCCATTTGTCCACAAGTTTAGTAGCCTCCATGCGCGCAACTATTTCGTTGGCTATCTTGAAGTCCTTATTCACAGTGTCCTTCAGGTTTTTTAGGTCGTTCGCGATGGCGGTCCAGACACCGATCATCTTCTGAATAACCGCAATGGCGGGCTTGATCAGCGTCAGGACGTTCCCGACGTCCGTCTGGTTGATAGTGGGTGAGGATGCACGCAAAATGTGGGAGCAATAGCACTTACGCTTATGGCGCCAAGATCGGAAATAAGGCGCGTCTCGTCCCTGACCTTGGCCTCCCAGTCTCTGATGAGCTGGCGGACTTCGTCAATACGCTTCGCCATCTTGGCCGCTTTGTCGCCATAGACGCTGGCAACTGCGGCGGCAGCAATCAGACCGAAGAGTCCTATCCAACAGTAGGCCGCAGAGGTCTCCTCGACGAGTTTGTCTATTGAGAGCGTTACTTAGCGCAGGTAGCAGCCTGGACGTAGAAAACATGTACCATGCTCGTACTCCTTCAGGTCGTCCGTGAGCTCGTCGCGGTACTCCTTCAGCTTGGCGTTCAGATCGTCGAGGTTGCCAACCTCGGCGGTGGCCTTGTCCTTGACAGCATTGCTGCGGGTCGTCAGAGCATCTTGGTCCTTCTCGGACTGATCTTCAAATTTCGCGAGCTCGCCGACGGCCGCGTCAGCTCTGTCTTGAAGGGCTTGGATTGCCTCGAGTTGTTGGTCGATGACGGCGTCGATGGCTCCGTGAAGGTCTTCCTGCTCGTCCTTGTCCGTGGACTGGCTCAGTTGCTTGATCCAGCTGATGATGTTGACTACGCAGCGATTTCAGTCCACGAAAGGCTCGATAACGAACATGTCAGACGACATACCGTAGTACGAATCTTCGACGGTACCGCCTGCATTCTGGGCGTAGTTGTACACGTCGCTCGAGAGGTCGACAATGCCTGGGTAGGTCTTGTCCTTGAATACTTGGCAGTTCGTCTGAGCCTGAAGGACAATGTCGTCAGTGATTGACCATGCAGCGGTGCAGCGTTCGACTCACCACAGCGTACGCCGCGACGAGGGGTTTGATCACATCGGAGAGCTTGCCCGCGGTGTCGTCAGAGAGCTGCAGGCGTTGCGTGTACGCGTCCTCCGTGACGGGAAGGAGTACACCTGACCAGACGTACTTGAGGAGGTTGGCGATGTCGTCGTGCTGCAGGATATAGTTGCCGTCGTCGTTGACGAGGCCTTTCGGCTCCATGTCGATATCGGAGTCGGACGACATGCTGGCGGGATGCGAAGTGGGAGGTACGAGCAGGTAAGAAGCGGAGTGGATGCACGTTTGGCCATGCCTTGCCAGCCTTTATATTCCATGAGTCCCTGCGAGTGAATTAGCTCATACGTCTCAGCTCGCCGATGCTGGGATTGAGGTGGGCTAAAGTGAGCAAGCGGCAGGAGTCAGACAAACGTACAAATGAGGTTCGACGACAAAGAAGGCCATGGCGCTGTCTCCACCAAGCGCCGCAATTGAACGCCGCACAGTTCTAAGGGTCAGATAGAGCGCGATGGCGCGCTACAAACCCGTTCAAGCTGACCAGCGGGGAAGATAGATGCGGCTGTACGTGATTCGAGCTTTAGACGAAGTAGCCAGGCTCCACATTTGTGCAAGCAGAGGGGGCGTAGGACTTCGTGAGCAGTTTATGCGCTCGCAGTTGTGGTAAGACCGTAAGCGCAAGCCTTCGCAAGTTATATCGAGGTAGCAGAGATGCGTATAAGTACGTATTCTGCCGTTTTTCCCAGGGGATGCAGAATACGTGTATGTATTGAACACGAAGCGCAGTGGTGATGGACGTTTGGGAGGGAAGGTGTGACGGACTGTGACGCGTTCCTGTAACTGCTATTGCCGTCCACTGGCACCACCACGCCGTCACGCCGCCCCCCATGATCAGGCGGACGGTCTTGGCTGCCGTAGAGTCACCAACAGCTCTGTGCTTCAACGATGGTCAGTTATAGTGCTTGTGCGGATCATCGTCTTACGCCAAAAGGTTCACCGAATTGTGGGTCTGTGCCGTACGCTAAACTCTCGCAGTAGCCCCGTCGGAACTCATTCTTGGGGTCCAGGATGCGATGTTCGCCGACCGGCAAAGATCATCGCCACGTTGCTTATACTCGTCCTTCATGGAAAAACTTGGGCTTGATCTGTATCCAGACGTTTGAGGAGCAGAACACTCCAAAGCCCACAATCGCCATGAGCAAACCGAGCATCTATCCGACGTCGATTGGACAGAATTTGACCCTTCGGCAAATCCCGAACCCTATGTTCGACTTCGCTGTCACCAAATTCACCCATCCCCAGAAGCTGTCGATGGTTCCACGCTATCTGACGATTCCATGCTATTATTGCTATGGTCGATGGCTGTCTAGATGTTGGCACTGTGAGTGGCACTCCGTACGACTCTGTGCGTCCAATCTTCGACTGCCCGTAGAGAGGTTGTCGCACGAGAACTTCCTACCATACGATGGTATTGAATGGAAAACTCTACCTGCGCGTTCATGCCAGTGCACGACTAGAAGGGACGTTGCTGCCAGAAGTACCCCGGCCCGCGTGCTACGACTACCACGATGTCGTGGTTCGCATTCGAGTAGAAACCCAACTTCAAGTTCGTGAACGCAGGCGTCAGTCACAAAATTACTACTTCCCGCACCGCGCAGACTCTTGTCGTACTTCAAGTCCATGGAGACGCGATTTATGTTGCTCCCTTGACAACTCTATCCCAGCTCTTGACATCTGAGATACGATACGAGCGGCTGCCCTCGCCACTCTGGACTCAAGTCCAAGTCCAGACTCGCCCTGTCCGTTATCCACTGAGGCCGTTGGCAGGTATATAAATCGCTCGCCTTCTCCCACAGTCTCCAGCTTCTCACCTGCAGTAGCTACAGTTCTTTCTCCGAGTCGCCCGCCATCAGCACAATGGTCCACCGCATCCTCTCCCTCGTCTTCGTCGCCATCGCTCTCGCGGGCCACGCTGCCCAGGCGTCGCCCACTGGTCTCGTCGAGGGTGCCAACACCGAGCTGCACGCTCGCGACGCCAACACCGGCCTCCACGTCCTCGACGGCCTGGCGGTCCTCGAAGAGGTCCCCGAGGACGCGGCCTACGGCACCGTCGACGAGTCCACGGGCAACATCTACCCATTCGCCGCGAACGGCACGGCGCTTGGTGTGGTCGTGGAGAACGGGAATGGTGCCACCGACATGGCAGGCTACACCGGCGGCACCGACGGGATGCAGGACAACAGCACTGCGCTCGTGTCGCGCGCGGCGCAGGCCAGGGGCTGCACGGCGCTGGACTCGAAGACGGTGCAGACGCGTGCGTATTATCTTCTTCTCTCTCTCGCTCTGCTAGCGAGCCCGGCGCCGTTCAAAGCTCGCTGACGCTACACTTTCGTAGTCCCCGGCTGGAAGAGGCTCTCGGGCCTCGCAGATAGCCAGATCAGCACAAGGGCCCGCAACATCGGGACGAACGAGGGCCCCGACCTGCCCGCGACAATCTGCATCACCACCAAGCCCATAGACATCGCGGTCAATGGTGAGGCGGGCGTTTTCCTCTTCCCTCCGAGTGGCATTCCGCTGTCCTCTATCATACTTCGTCAATGTTTGCTTGTTTTGCGAACCGGCTGGCTCACTACTGCACTCAGGCAAACCCAAGTGCTCGGACAACACTCAGAGCATTCAAGGCCACTTCAACGGGACCAGCGGCTCGGCCGAGATCTCCGTTGTGACGGGGACGGACTACAGGATTGAGAGCACGACGACGCGTGCGTGTCACTTCGTCTTTCTGGGCTCGGTTACTTCTCTTCGCTGACTCCCACTCAGAGACGACCACCTTCGGCATCAGCCTCACCTACTCCGCGTCGTTCGAGATCCCCGGAGTGGCGTCGGTCGGCGCCAGCACGACGATCAGCTCCGAGATCGCGAACAGCTATGGGGAGACGTGAGTGTAGAGATGCTGGAGATGCTGCTGGCGCCTCCTTCACCGTGTAGACTCACTAACCTATACACTACAGTACCTCCGGAAGCAGCCTGCACCAGGTCACCTCGACGGTCAGAGCGGACCACAAGGATGGGCAGCAATGCAAGGTCAATGTGAGTCGCCTTCACGCTAGCTGATTATGAATTAGGTTGCTGATCGACTTCGATTGCTAATCCACCCACCCGCCTACATAGCTCAATACGAAGACCTGCACCACACACGGGGGTGCGAACGTCCCCTTCATCGCGCGCGGCGTCGTCTGGTTTAACTACCACGACCGCGTCAAGGGGCATTACAAGTGTGCGTTGGCGTCATTCGCTCACTGCTTCCGCCCTTCCTCCAACTGCACTCACCATTTCCTTCCCTCATCCCTGCCATCCCTCTTCCCTCCTCGCCTGCTCTTACCCTTTCCTTGCCCCTGCCTATCCCACCCCTCGATCGCCTTACTGACTTGCGCCCCCTCCTTCCAGGGTGGTACAGGATGGAGGATTTCCTGTCCGAGAGCGAGCGCTCGCTCTTCCTGCACGTTGAGTCCGTTATTGCGTCGGAGACCAAGGCGTCGTACGGAGTCGTTTGCGCGTAGTGAGTAGCTCACAGTTACTCTTTCGAAGGCGGTTTAGGGGGGAAATGGGATGGTAGCGAGAGGAGGAGGTGGAAGTCAGGCGCATTCGTACGTAGCTGTTGGACGGCTGTAATCCTGAGTTGAGAGAATCATGGATTGCAATGAGTCTGCTCTGACCCACCAAGCGACCTTATGAATATAGGGGGCGGGGGCTTCCGCGTCCTGCATTCCGAGATCACGAGGACACGAATATTCATTTGCGAGGACTGGGGATGCTTTGACAGATTGCCAGCGATGACATGGAAGGAGCGAACAAGGAAGACCGGCGTTTGCCGAAGCGCTGCATTTCGAGATGTCCTGCGGAGGTGCCTTCGACGCTCATGTTCTCATAGATCCTCATGCTCCTCATTGGATACCCTTGTTTTTTTCCCTACGCAACCCTCCCATCCTAAACCGGGTGTGGGTCCGGTGTTGCCTTCCGGTCTCGGAGGGAAAGTAAATGCCTTCTCCCTTCTCCGCATATCGTACTAAGCCTCCACGCGAGGCTTGCTTCCACCCATCACCATGGCCGAATCTACCAAGCCCGACGCGTTCGCCGGCCCTCAATACCGAAAGCCCGTCGCGCGAAGCGCTATGGCACGAATGCACGTCATGCTGTACCTTGCGAACGTTTATATACGACATGGCCCGGAGTCCCTAACGTCAGTTAGCTCACCTCAGCTCGCCGTTTCTGGGATTGAGGGGGGTTAAGGTGAGCAAGTGGCAGAGTCAGAAAAACGTACAGATGAGGTTCAACGACAAAGAAGGTTATGGCGCTATCCCCACCAAGCACCGCGATTGAACGCCACACAGTTCCAAGCGTCAGATGGAGAGCGATAGCGCGCTGCGAACCCACTCAAGCTGTCCAGCGAGGTAGATAGATGCGGCTGTACGTGGATAGGGCTTCGAAGGAGGTGGTCAGGCTCCACATCTCTGCACAACGAGAGAGCGTATGACTTTGTGAGTGGCTTATGCGCTCGCAGTTGTGCTAAGACCCTACGTGCAAGCCTTCACAGTTCACAGCGAGTCAACAGAGATCAGTAAAAGTGCGTATTCAGCTGTTTTATTAAGGAAATGCAGAATACGTGTATGTGCCGAACACGAAGCGCGGTGGTGATGGACGTTTGGGAGGGAAGTCTAAGATGTGACGAGCTGTGACACATTCCTGTCACTGCTATCGCCGTGCGCCACCACGCCGCCATGCCGCCTTCCACTTCCCTTGATCAGGCGCACGGTCATAGCCGCCGTATAGAGTCATCAATAGCTCTTAGCTTCAACGATGGTCATCTCTAGCGCTTGTGTGGATCCATCATCTCACTCCAGAAATGCTCACCGGATCATGGGTCTGCGCCGTACGCTGAACTCTCGCAGTAGCCCCGTCGAAACTCGTTCTTGGGGTTCAGGATGCGCTCCTCGACGCGACGTAAATCGTCACATGTACCGGGCGCAAAGGTAATTTGCAACATATACCCCTTCAATAAATAGCTCTCATCCTCTTCTTCAAGTGCAACTAAGAGTACACCCAATCACCCATCTCAATCCCTTTCTACGTCGTCTGACACGCCGTACTCACCATGAAGGACTCAATACCATCATCTCCAGCCGAATGGCACAATTGGGCTACGTCGCCAGCTCTCAACAAGATCCCAGCCAAAGCCAGCCGCGAGCAGACTGAAGTCAACGTGAGTGTCCTCGTAATCTCAGCATACTCTGCCTCACATGTTGTCCAAGCTGCTCATACGCGACGTGCTCGTTGAGTTGGGCACTGTGAAGCTAGACGAGTCAGACTTCACGTTCATCTATTCGGACGTGCTCGCGCTTTCCCCGAGCCCTGGTCCTACCCTGCGCTTAACCCTGCCCAAGTTAGCATGCGTCAGCGTGTACGCCAGGGTGGTCACGTCCGATCAGCCTATCACACTCGAGCTGTCGCCCTCCGACCCGACGGAAGAAGCACTGGTCGTACTCTACGCGACGTATGTGGACCAGCCTGTTTCCGTGTCGGTCGCAGGTCAGGAGGCTCAAACCCTCAACCTGGGGGCCCTATCAGGCAACGTCGGCGTGGCCATCTCGACGACCAACGGTCAGATCACTGTGACGTACATGCAGCGGTACTCCGTCCCGGATCTCTACACGGATGGCGAGCTGCACAAGCTCCTCTCCACGCAGCTTCGCATCGCGTCGACGCTCTTCTGGACGCAGCCCTCCGTCGCGTCGGCCCTTGCCTGGCACGTCGTGAACGCCACGGCCTATCCGTCCGAAAGCACTCTGCTCAACGTGCAGGCCTCCGCGCTGCAGCAGCAGATCAACGTCGGGCGCCTTTGTGGCCCGGGCGTCTCCTACGCACCCGTCCTGAAGCTCGAGTACTACAAGAACACGCTCGCGACCGTGCTCGACGCCGGATCCGACTTTGAGGCGCAGTACGACCGCTTCACCGATAACGAGACGAGCGTGGACGACCAGCTGAAGATCTGGGACAGCATGCTCGAGCAGGCGCAAAACACGATCACCATGCAGCAGACGCTCGCGAACGACGCCAAATTGAAGTGGACGGCGTCGCAGCAGATCCTACTCGCTGCGCAGACCGACCTGCGGCACCACCAGGATACCCTCGAGCAGAAGGCCGAGGTCTTTCGGAGGGGTATCGAGAAGTGGAAGGAGGAGCAAATCATGAAGGCGGTCTTCAACATCTTCAAAGCCATCGTCAGTGAGTAATGATGCATTCCTCTTTCCCTGATATCTTCTGACGCTGCGTATGGACAGCTTTCGGCGTCGCGATTGGGGCCATGTGCATCGGGGACCCCGAGCCTGCGGCCGAGGCTTCTGTCAATGCTGCTGGGGCTATCAAGGACGTCGAGGAAGCTGCGGAAGCCGCGAGCGCGGTTACCAAGATCATCTCCTCTGACACGCTCAAGCAGCTGGACGAAATCGTCGAGAAGCTGGGCGACTTACTCTCCTCGACCATCGAGAACGTCGAGGCCATCATCGCCGCCGAAGGCGAGGGTGAGGGATCCCTCTCGCCGTTCCCCGCGTCCCCCGAAGGCAACGAGGACCTGACCGCGCTCGCTGGCATCGCCGCGTGGGACAAGTGGACCCTCGACATCGAGGAGCAGATGAAGTTCCCGGTCGACCAGAACATCGATGGCGCCTCCGCGTACCTGCTCGAGCTCCGCAAGCACGCCATCGACGGCAAGCTCACGACGCAGTCGAGCGCGCAGACGATCAAGGCGGGGCAGGAGTACGTCCAGGTGCAGCTCGCCCTGCAGCTCGCGCAGTCGGACCTCGCCCGACTGCAGGAGCTGCGCGATAGCTTCCAGGGGGAAAAGGAGCAGCTTGAGGCCGCGCGGTTGCACTTCTACGATCGCCTGGATGCGATGCGCACGAGCGTGCTCATCGAGCTACGCAACCTCGTCTGGGCGTTCAAGTTCTGTACCCTTACGGATAGCCAAGTCACGCTGGACCCGCTCAACACGATGGCGGAGTATAAGGCGGACCTTTCTCTTCTCGTGCAAGAAGTCGAACGATGGCAGGAGGGTTTTGCAAGCGATAAAGCACGTGCGTGCAATCGATTCTGTTCTCCTTTGATCTTTCTCACTTATATTCCACTCTATAGCCATTCATTTCCAGCGGGATATCAACGACGTGCGTCACTTGCGTGTCCGTGGTTCTGGCCTAACAGCATGATCAGCCCAGCTTCAAGAACATCGCCCCAGATGTTCTTGCGTCTCTGCAGAAGGACCACGCAGCTACTTTCGCTCTCGCTCCCGATATTGGCACGAAATCAACGAGCTCCCCATACATCTCTGGCCCGTTTACCGGTGGAAGCGGTTTTCGCGTCTTCGGCATGCGCGCATACGTCAACGGGGTCGTCCCCAAGCCCGAGGCTCTCTTGAAGAAGACCAACACAGCCCTCATATGGGTGAAGATCCGCACTTCTGGCGTTTACCAGGACATCCGCGAGGATGGTCAAGTCTTCGGGTTTACGAGCATGGTTCAGGAGCGGCAGTTCAAGTACCGGATCGACGCGCAGGGCACGCCGCTTCCTGACGAAGACGGTATCGAGGTGGACAGCATCATCGCCTCGGGGGACCATATGGATCCACCGCCGTTCACTCAGTGGTCCGTCGCAGTACAAGAGCCCGAAAAGCTTGACTGGACGGCGCTGTCGGGACTTACGCTGGAGTGGAAGGGAGAGGCGTACATGTCCTAAATGGAGCTGATCAACGCACGCGGTGAATCGAGCTGTCTATACTATACACGAGTTGCTTTTTGTATACAGATTGAACGAATTGTCGTCCGAACCTCGATGACCATTGCCTACTGTAGGACATATAAAGGCGCTATCACCGGGAAACGTGGCACGGATCAGATTTTATCTGCGTGACAGTCACGATACTCAACTCTGACCCCAACCACGATGTACCACCATGCGTAGGGGCTCGGACGGTCTAGTTCGGGGTATCCGTTTGCTCTCAGCTACTCTCATCCGATGAAACCCTCTTCTGAGCGCAGCCTCGCAAAATCTTGAGCGCCCATTCCGTGTCGCGTCCAGTAAACATCGGACAGTTAGGTACGAAGTGCGGCGGCACCGGCGGTCTCGCAATTGGAGACCATGCACTTGGCTCCCACCGCACTCCTTCTTCAACGTGCCGTGCTGATTGCGCACAAGCTATCGGGACACCTGTTCGCTCGGCGCTCGCACCAGGATCAGCATTTGAGAGCGAGCGCCGAACCTCCTGCTATGGTCGCATCCTGAGCGGCGCGTCGCGATGATACCTCGACACACTGCCAACTGAGATTATCGGCGGCCCTTCGAGCGCTTGCTATTCGCAATGCTTGCATATATAAAAGGCTTTCTGGGGACATCTACGACACCTCCCAACGAGTTCCCCTTCTCCCTCCCTCTCCACTCTCTTGTATACACATTCCTTGCAGCCCCTCGATACGTTTCGTCATGGCACCCTTCTTCGCTTTCATTTCTCTGGCTCTTGCCTTCATCGTGAACGCCACACCCACTCCCGAACGTCGCCTGACGCACGTCCCTCGCGAGGCGACCAAGCTCGCCGCCGATCCCGAGACCGGTACTATCTACCTGTTCAACAGCCGCGACGAGCACCTAGGCATACTGGATCACGATGCCGCCTCGTCCTTCCAGCGTCGCGCTGGTGGTTGTGCGGACATCAGTGCCGACGAAGTTCAGCAACGTGAGTGGGATCTCGGTTCGTCAGGTTTTTGTCTGTGTACTGAATGCACCTTGAAGTTCCCGGCTGGAGCAAGCTCAAGGACCAGGCGAACTCGATGTGGGGCGATTATCAACGGGAGATAAAGACGAACAACCCGGATGTAAGTGCACATAGATTGGCAGGATGTCATGCTAAGCTAACGCGTGAACCAGTTCCCTGATCGCCCGGCTTCCGTCTGCATAACCAACAACCAGGTGGACATCACTATCAATGGTAGGACTTCGCCATTCCCCCGCCCTCGGTGAAACTCATGAGAAGTATCATACAGGCGACCCTCAATGCACAACTCAGTCGCAATCCATTGGTGGCTCGGTCGTGGGTACAAACGGCACTGTCATGCTATCGCAGACCGAGGGGACGTCGTACACTCTCGAGACCTCGACGACCAGTGAGCATAGATTTCCGTGTTCCGAGCGCGCCACCTACTTACGTGATCCCCTTAGGACAAGCCTCGGTCGCTTTGGACCTCTCCGCTGAAGCAAAGTTGGGCATTCCCGACATTGCCGAGGTCACCTTCAAGACATCCGTCACCACGACCGTGTCGAACACCCTTGGAAAGACGTGCGTACTTTAGAGTTTCCGCAGCAGCGACACGTTACTCACACCCTCCTAGCGAGTCTGCAACCAGCAACCAGCAGACCACGTCGACGGTCACCGCCCAGCAGAAGGATGGTCAAACCTGCCAGCTCGACGTATGCAATCACCCTTCTTCCTCGCCCTTGCCAACGCTGATCCACCACGCTAGTTCGAGACGAAGACCTGCACCACGAAGGGCTCCGGCCAGATGCCCTTCATTGCGTCGGGATGGGTCTGGTTCGTGTACAAGAACAAGACTAAGGATCACTGGAACTGTAAGGCTCCTTCATGCCTTGCGTGTTCTGGAGCATGCTAATTCGGATATGCAGGGGCGCTCCTGATGGAAGGCTACCTGGACGAGAGCGAGCGCTCGACGTACATGAGCTTCGACTCGAACATCGGCACCGAGACGAAGTCGCAGTACAATGTCGTCTGCCAGTGATCGTGAGGCGCGACTGCAGCGTCGAGACGGGTTTTCTTAATTATATTATTTATTATCTCAATCGACGACCTGTGGCCTTCGAGTCTTAACCTCATACCTGCCATAATTCGCACCTCGCCCCCGGCGTCAACGCTTTGCGCAATGCGGGACACCTAAGGAGAACATGGGAAGCTCTGAACTCACTAGGATTCGCTCCGCGTTACTTGTCACCACTGGCGACAGCGTGACAGTCGCCCAGAGCGTCTTTCCTGTGACCATCATCATCGACCGACTTCATCGTACGCCTGATCAAAGTCAGCTGGTAGCAGGGCAGTCGTGCAGTCAGGAAGAAAGAGGTTATCCGCCCACTTCACGTTGCGTGCGCTCGAAGCTGATCATGACTGCGCATATAGATGCATGAAGCTCTACGAATCTCGGAAATTTTATTCCATATCTTCAGAGATGAAGACCTCCGATTGAGTGATCTCCAGCACATCACACTGGTCTGCTCGGTATGGAACGAGATTGCAGTTGCGATTATGTGGGAGCGCCCAAGAGGAGATACTTCTATCCTCAAGCTTCTTCCTAGCGATGCATGGTCCATGGTCGAGGCGGTGAGTGTCAATATAAGGCTGCGATAATGTCAATTGACGGTAGCAGCGGTCGGAAAGAGGCGACTTAGTATACGTCGGGATGAGGCTCTTCAGGCGATTTGTGCGTATGGTTCCTTATCGTTCAGGTTACCTGTCGCTTTCAATGCCATGCGTTGACTCTGGTACGCGCAGGCCATAACGCGCGCTCTATGTCAAGCCGATTGGGACCAGATGATGAAGCGCTCGCGCTACGTTCGAAGTATACGCTGGGACAATCTGTGTCATGGCGACGAAACTACCCTCGACAAAAGCGTTTACGAGCACATATTGGCCAACCCACCTCGGGAAAGGCTGCTGCCCGCCCTTCAAACCCTTACCTGTGTCATACGGAACGCAGAGTCTGCCGAGATCATCCAGCTGCTTGTAGGACCATCGCTGCAGCATTGGATCTTGAGCGTTGAGTTACGGCGCGGCGTGCATCTATCCGATATTGCAACCGCGATTTCGTTTGCTCGGCACAACTGTCCTCATATCCAACAATTTGCATTCCTTCTCAGCAACTTGCGCGGCAGTCCATTCCACGATTTTACCTGCGTAGAGAACGCGATCATGGATTTGCTGTGTGGAGCGGGCGGTCGGATGTCCACATTGGCAATCGACATGCCTTTCAGACCATCACTCCTTCCTGCACTCGCTTGCTACCCCTCGCTACACGACATCAAGCTGAGCAATAGGATGCCGGATCTGACGACCATGGAGAAGCTCCCCTCGAATGGCTATCCTTCGCTGCGCTCCCTCATTCTCGTAGGGTTCCCCCTTCGCACTGTCATCGGGCTAGTACAGTCATGGGGAGGATGCCGTCCCATAGAAACTCTGGAGGTATCGGATCTGGGCAGCATCACGTCTCGGCTTCTGCTCGAACTCACAGAGGCGCTGGAGAAGCATTGCGATCCGAAAACGATGCGTCAAATACACATCATGGTCAAGCCTCACGGAGTGCCGTGGGATGTCGAGAGTTGGGGGGAGCCGTTCGCCTTGCACTACGCACACCTTGCCCCCCTGCGCGCTTTCTCTAATCTGGAATACCTTACCGTGCATGCCGCACGCGGGGGCAACAAGATCACTGACGCGGAATACGCGGACCTGGTACCATCCTGGCGGCATCTCGGTCGCATTGATCTCCTTGCGAACGGCAATCGGGAGCCGCCGCCCGCCAGCCTGGCAGCGCTGCTACCCTTCGCTCGCTGCCAGAACACTCTCAGTCGTGTCGCAATCCAGCTTGACGCGAGCGTGGTCCCGCCGAACGATCCTCCTGCGCACGCGACGAACGAGAGTGTGGTGTCCTTGGCCGTCGGGAACGCGCCCATAGCGAATGCGTACGCGGTTGCCTTGTATCTGTCGAAGTTGTTTCCCCGGCTGCAGCAGACGGGCTACTGGAACGACCTGCTAAACGATCCAGAGACGGTCAGGAGGGAAAGAATGTGGCTCACGGTCGAGAGGATATTCGCCACTGCAAAGAACATCAAGTGTTCGGTGCAGGAGCTAGGAGTGGTCTGCCAGAACATGGGAAGCACTATAGAGGACATGTGCACTGACTACGGCGGCCCACGAGATGCTGTGATCTACCCCTGGGATATTTGACGGAAAGCGAAGATAGCATGGACATTTGCGACATGTACAATACACATTATACATTGCATCTGTAAAGTACAGCCAAGTCCATCGACAGCGATAAGTTGCCCTGCACGGAGCAGACACTTTGATTATGACTGCAAGGGAGGTGCGAATCCTCGTCCCCTGCCGCGGTTCATACCCCTCGGTGCACCACGCCCACGGTCGAACACGGGCACGAAGCCACCTCTGCCTCTGAAGGGAGGCGCGAAGCCACCGCGACCGCCCCTAGGAGTAGGTCCTCCTCGCCCGGCTGCCGGCGCCGCATCAGAACCATTCGGCAACTGCGCAGTCTCGTTGAAGGGACGGTTAGGTGGCCCTCCCCTGCTGCCACCGCGTCCGCCGCGGTTGGGGTTCGCCATGATTTGAACGCCTCCTCTGCATGGAACGTTAGAAAGAAGATCGTCGGTCAAGTGGGGCAACTTACCCTCTGTGAGGCGCGGGACGGAACCCAGCCGCAGGCTGCTGCCCTGCACCAGGCTGAATCGCAGGGCGAGGACCGATCTGTGGCTTGAACTGACCAGTCCGTACGGGCGCGGCAGGCGTCTTGGGGTTCGTTGACGCAACGAACTGCGGGTTCGATAAGTTCAAGCAAGTGTTGAACTCGACCGTAGAGCCGCGGTACTGCGAGCACCTGTAATGAGGGGTCAGTCGATACAGCGTGATCCAGCCAGCGATGCCACTCGCCGATCCCCCAGCGTTGTCCCCGCCATGAACGGTACGTCCCACACCACATCCATCGACTTTGCGTTCAGGCCGATGACTGTGCCCTTGACCGAAAGTGGCACCGCGCCCGAGTCCTGGATCATCGTGACACGATCGCCGAGAGCGAACTTCTGGTTCTGCAGACGATAAGGCGCATGCGCGGGCTTCAGCACTGCCTGGCGCGGGATGGCCTTGACGATCGCCTTCTTGAAGCCCGAGGTTGATTTGGATGCGTTAAACTCGTCCGCGAGCGTCTCTATCTCCTTGACGATCTCCTTGCCAAGCTGATCACAGAACAGCGTGACAGGTTCGAAGTCCCGTACACCCTTGTTCTTCAACCACGCCTTGACCTCCTTAACGCGAGCGTCGGAGTTCTCTCCCGGAAGAACGTCGCTTGCACGAGCCATAGCTATAAACAGTCAGGATATCAGCATCGCGACAGATCGGTAACACACACCATCTCCGTCTTGATCTAGAGCTTTGAACACGTCGGGATACGCTTGCTGAAAAGACGATCAGCGGGATGCTACAAGGGAAGCATTGTCCCAGATATACCTTGTACTCGCGGAGCAGGTCAATGGCCTTCTCACTGAACTCCCAGTTCCTTCCACTCTTCCTCGAATAGTCAACAACCTTCATCCCCTTTGCCTCGAACTTAAGGCTCAAGCCGAGGTTCGTCTTATTCCCATCCGACGTCACGACCATGAAGCTCGACGTGATCCTGGACAGTGCGCGCCCGGACATGCCCAGCATCTGCGCGACCTGGAACGATGGAAGGTATCGCGCCGACTTGCGGTGGTCGACAATTGCCTTGAACTTCTCGTTCTCCTGCTTCTCGGTCGGGAAAAACTGCACCAGGCCCATTAGCGCGAGGTGCGGTACATAGATGCCAGATCACTCACTGCCAGGATGACCGACAGGGTATCCTTCGTTGTAGATGAGACCTGCGCGGCGACGCCATACGCGTGCTCGCCCAAGAAGAATATCTTCGTGCCATCGGGGAATTCCTCCGCCAGGGGCGGCGCCTCGCGCTCCATGTACCGCGGGTCCTCCGACACAACGTGCGACACGGCCATCTGCAGCGCCGTCTCGATCTCCTTGTCCGGGCCCTCGTAGTCCTTGACGAAGGCGCCCGTGTCCAGCCGCGTAAGCCCTGACATCAACCGGCTGTCAGCTCTGTTCCGACCACACCCATGCCGTCGCGTACCTTTCAGCGGACGGACATGCAGCAAAATATCCACATCGCCCGTCAAGACACCACACCGCTTCGAGTACACATCCTGTATCCGCTCCGCCTTCGTCTTCCAGTGCCCCAGCCCCGCCTGCGAGTGCGGGCTGCTCACAACCTTCGGGGGCGCGCCCGGCGACACGCTCAGCAGCTCGTACTTGAACAGCGCGTCCGACACCGCGACGACCTTGCCCTCCTGCAAGAACGGCCAGTTCGCGTACGTGCGCTGCCCGATGAACTGCCGCGCGATGTCCTCGGGCTTGACCCCCTCGTGCTGGTTCGTGATGTGCACGACCATGGACTTGTTGCGGCTCTCAGAGCCGTGCACGTTGACGCCGTGGTGGCCGAGCGTAGCGGTGTGGGGCAGCGTCTTCAGCGATGGGAAGCCGGCGAGGGCCTCAACGCCCAGGAAGACGCCATCGCAGAGGCCATCGATGAGGTGAAGACCGTCGAGCGTGGGCAGGTCGAAGGGCTCCATGCGACAGCGACATTTCGCTATGGCTGGGAAGAAGCCCGGGAGTGACGATGGGTAGTAATGTGGCTCCTCGTCTCCCTTGTAGGAGAACTTCGTACTCGTGCTGAAAGAGTTGCGTCTCCTCTCCTCCTCGGTGAGCCGATGCTCCTGCTCTGTGACGCATTAACTCCCGCGCGACAACGGGACCCAATCTACTTACTGGCCATCGCAGACAGTAATCTTGTCTCGACAATGAAGGGGATCTTCACGACTGCCTCCCATTCTTGCTTCTTGCCATTGAGATCTGACTCGAACTCGGTAGGGTAGAAGTCAATAATTGGCGAGTTCGGGTCGTCCATGAGATCCTGCAAACTGTCAGCGTGATGCGTCAGAGCCAGCAGCTAGAAACGCATACCCGATAGGCCTCTGGAACATGATCCTTACTAGCCGCAGGCAGCACGCCCATCAGCTGCTCGAACGGCCTGAAAGGCCGACCCAAATTGAAGTTGAACGTCATCTTGTCGACGCCAGACAGGTCTGCGCATTCTTGTGAGCCCTCTGTCCGTCGATACAAGCGGAGAGGCCAACTCACCCGAAATCCTTGGCGCATAATGGTAGTTATAGAACCAGCCCCATGACGCCACACCACTATAGTAATAGTGCATCACCCACTGCAGACCCTCAATATAGCGGTACACGAGATCGCCCAGCTCCTGCGGGTCGTCGAAGTCGATCTCGAGCTTCCCGCGGTAGTAGTTGCGCTTCCACTCGTCCATCTTCTCCTCCATCGCCCGGTCGTGGCGCGCGTCGAAGCCGCCGCCCTCGTCCTCGTCGTGCACGGGCGCCTTCGCATACTTCTTGAGCACGCGGTCAACCGCGGCGCGGCTCTCTTCGTCGTCGAACTCGTCGTCGTCATCTGCTGCTGGTGTTGCTGGTGGGGCCTCTGCGGTCTCCTGCGTGTCCCCATTGGCGCCATCCGCTGTCACGTCCTTCTCTCCCTCTGAGGTCTCCTCCGGCGTTGGCTCGGGCAGGGGCTCCTCCAGAGCACCGGGGAAACGCCACACGACAACGTTGACCCCGCCCTCGACCTCCTCGTCCATCATGTCGTACTCGTCCCACGTCAGACACAAATGCAACTCCGCCGCCAGATCCGCAATGAACTTCCGCTCCCGCGCCGAAAAGTCGTTCTTCATCATCAGCTTCGCCGTCTTGTAGTTGTTGTTCTCGCGTCCCTCGAGCACGAACTTCTGCACCTTGTTAAAGATCTCGCGCTGCGCACGCGTCAGCGTCAGCTTCGCGCGCTTGCGGCCGAGCTCCATCTCCTTCACGTGCTTCGCCTGCTTGCCCTTGTACCAGTTCAGGTCCGCGTACTCCTTCTCGAACATCTCGCGCTCCCACTCCTTCATGCCATCGATGACGACCTGCAGCCGCGCGGTGTTGATCGTCCCGCCCTCGTTGATGTAGCCGTCGAGGCCGGGGAGGACCTTCTTGTACACGTCGAAGAGGCGCTCGAGGCCGTTCTCGTGGATGTGCAGGTCGGGGAGGTTGGGGAGGAAGTCGTTGCCGATGAAGACGGCGAGGAGGACGAAGTCGTCGATGATGCGCTCGAGGTTGTACTCGAAAGGGAGTAATGAGTAGATATCGTGGAACTCCAGGTCCAGGTACTCGCGCATGAGCGAGAGGTGTAATAGATAGAAATTGATGGATTCGAGGCTGGGTGAACTGGTCAGCTTATGCAGACTGGGACGGATACGATGACGCACCCTCCGCTGTTCTTCTTGCGAGATGATGGTCCAAACTTGACTTCCTCTCGAAGAAGACAGAAATGCGGATCGTGGCTGAGCAGGCTCAACATGATGAGGTCCGCGTCCAGTCCGTACATGCAATGCCGGATGTTGGGGTTGTAGTCGGGCTGCGCTCGTGACAGCCGGATGTACTCCATGATCTTGTGTTCGCCCTCGCCTGGAACCTCGTGCCCCGAAAGCACAACCTCCACGTCGCGCCAATTCGCGTCCTCGGTGATCTTCTTATTCACGAAATACCGCAACTGCTCGGAGAGGCGCGCCATAAACGGCGTCCCTATTCGCCGTCATCATCAGCATTCCGCGCAGATCATCAGGAGGCGGGCAACGCACCTGGGGTGATGCAGTTGCTGTCAAATGCCTTCTCCTCTGGCAGCTTCTCCCCCTTCGCCTCCGCCTTCTCGCGTACTTCCTGCGCCTCCTTCGCGGTCCTGAATCGACGACTGCGCTGCTGGTTCTGCTTCGCGCGAGGGGCCACGCCATCGACGGCCAAGAACAGCAACTTCTTGGGCTTGATCTTGGAGAATAGATGGTCTACGTAGGAGAATATCCCTGTGAATATCTGCTCCTCAGACATGCGGAAATGAGCGTCGCCATCGTTCGGATGGGAGCAGTTGTGGATGATGCCATTGAAATCGAGGTACAAGTTGTCGAATTCAGGGATCTTGTTCTCTTGGATGAGCTGAGAGGTAAGGGGGTAGCGCTCACTGTAGAGCTTTAGTACGGTCCAAGGGGAAGTGCGATTACTCACGAAATATAGCGGAAGAACTACGTATGCTGTCAGCTTCGAACAAACGCGAGTCCTTCCCTGCGCACCTTGGGGATACCTGGAAGGCGGCTTTAGTCCGTGATGCAAGAATAGAAGAAGGATCTGATCCTCACCCATCGTTCAACGAGCGTGGTAGAAATACAAGTCGGTTGATTTGTGTGAGTGTTTGAGGAAGGAGGAGACGCGGCGGCGCAGGTCTGTGGGAAGCGCCACTAATTGCCGCTTTAGGAAGGCATTGTTATGCGCCAAGCAGAGGCAAATAAGACCCGGAAATTCCTGAGTTCCCCCCACACCGCGTTCTGCGACGCGCTCGGGCAGTCTGCCCACCCTTTGTCTTCTGCCATCATGACCGCCATCGTCCAGCGTCCCTTCCGCGGCGCGAGAATATCCTCGTTTTACCCCGTCAAGACCCTTCCCTCTCTCGCCTCCCTCGATAGCGCGTTCCAGCTTCAAGAATATATCTCACTGCTCATTCGCCTCGACGTTCACGATGTCGAGCGGATAGTCAACTTGCCCGAGAAGTCAAAAAATGGGGACGCAGACGGCGTGAAGAAGGCGGACGCGAACGTGGACCAATACTGCTGGATTTACGAACAACTGAGGTGCGCAGCCTTACACGCGTCGTGCGCGTGCGGCCGAGCTCATGCAAGCCCGCCAGACGACTTGCCCAGGACCTCACGCACCCGCTTTGTACGATGCTCCAGCTCGAGTGCAACCGCCAGACATGCCCCGAGATGAAAGCCGGCGAATGGCTCTACCTCTGCGTAGCGCATGGCAACGACGGCGCGATGGAGCAGTGCTGCGCCATCGACTACATCCTCCACACCATCGACTCCGCAACCGCGCTCCTCAACTCCCCTCGCGCCTTCCCCTCCCGCCTCCAGATCCCCACCAGCTCACACCGCCACTTCTCCGCCCTGGCGCGCAGACTGGGCCGCATCTTCGCGCACGCGTACTTCCACCACCGCGAGGCGTTCGAGCAGGCGGAGGCGGAGAGCTCGCTATATGCGCGCTTCCTCGCGCTCACGCAAAAGTTCGACCTCGTGCCGGCCGAGTTTCTCGTTATCCCGCAGCGCGTCGATCCCGAGACGGAAGTGGAGCCTCCGCGCGTTCTGCCCCCGCGGCACCACGAGCCACCGGCGCTCGACATGAATGCGCGCGCGAAAAGCCCGCCCGGTCTCGGTGGCGCGGAGAGCCCGCGGAAGTTTGGCCGGAATCGCACGGACACGATGGTCTTCAGTGAAGCCCAGAGTGTTGCGGAGGAACTCAGCAGGCGCGAGCATGCAGACGTGCCGACCATCCCACTCGAGAAAGCGCCTGAGATTCACGACAAACTCTACGACGAAGCCGTGCACGAAGCTGAACACGCCGAACATGCCATTGCCAAAGAGGTCACTGCTGCAGACGCAATGCCTGACACTCGTATTGCCATTGCCCCGGAGGAGGACCCCTTCGCTGACGAACACGCCGAACCGTCTCACGCAGAGGAAGAACCTTCTTCGCATGTCGAAAACACAGGCCCACCGCCCGCTGAAGATGTACCCTCTCATGCTGAAGATACCCCAGCGGAGCACGAGCACATTCCCGTGCCACCACCCACCGAAGCTGAAACGCCGTCCGACGCTGCTGACACCACGATTCTTGACGCACCAACTCCCGCCGCTGAGGCCGACCCTATCATGCCTGCGGCAGAAGTGTCTCCACCGGCTGGCGCGGACGTCATAGAGGAGCAGGCGGAACCCGCTGCCTCTGCGCCTGAAGAAACCGAAGTTGCTGCCGAACCCTCCGCCTCTTCTGTCGAGGAACTCGTTGCGGACGCGGAGACGGAGACATCGCAGGATGAAGGGCCCGCGGAGGAGCCGGTATCCCTTGCGCAGGACGAAGAGAAGCCTGTGGAGGTGAGCGCAGAGGAGCCTGCAGAGGATGATGGGGAGCCTGCAGCGGAGCAGATTGCCGCGGCTGACGAGGTGAAGCCCGCAGAGGGCGCGAAGGAGCCGGCAGAGGAGAGCGCCGAGGAGCAGCCCGAGGCCGCTCAGCAGGACTCCGAGGAGACTCTGGCTGAATGGATTAACGCGGACGCCCCGTCCTACGCGGCGGCTGTCGTGGAAGGCACGGAGCACGCCGAGGCGAAGGCCGATGCTGAGCACAAGGGGGGCGAGGAGGCGAGCGAGGAGTCCCACGACGCTGCTGAGCCTGCGCACGAGCTCGCGGCGGAGATAGCGGAGGAGGGAGAGGAGGCTGCGAAGGACGAGGGTACTACGACTCAGTGATGTGTATTGGGGACCATGAGGTTGATGCAGTGCGCCCTTCATTACGATGCTCAACTACTGTGATTGCGTTGTGTTTTCAGCTGGAAGCCCTTCAAGCTTCAAGCTTAACTGAACTTTTGAGTTGAACTCACCTGCGCTCCCCCTGCCGGTCCGGGTACCCGGGTCAAGGTAGGTGATTGACATCACTGGGCGCTAATGCAGACCTCCTGAGTACCATGGGGGTCCACGTCGCGATCCCATCTCTTCATCTTCCTGCCATCATCATCCCCCTGGCACTCCTTTGCATGACGGACGCGCCGCTGCAGGTGAGTCTCGCAACTGCGTATCGTCCTCGCCGACTGACAATGCTCGCAGAAAGTCATCGTAACCGGCGCTGCAGGCTACGTCGGTCAGTACACTCAGGAGTTTGCCTACCTCAGGCGTGACCCCATCTCTCCCTCCAGGCTCCCACGTCACCTACGTACTGCAGAAGACACGCCGCTACAAAGTCATCTCCTTGGACAACTATCATAACTCCCATCCGGAGGTTTACAAGCGTCTCGAGCAGATCGCGCGGGATGAGTTGCCTGTGAACCCCTCCGTGCAGGATATCGAGTCCACGAAGATCGAGTACCACAATGTTGATTTGACGGATGAGGCGTCTATACGTGCAGTCTTCGATAAGTACGGGAAGGGTGGCATCTGGGGAGTCATTCATATAGCGGTCGGTCTTTGCTCTCCCTCATTAACTCCTCGTCTTCCACCGGCATATGTCCATCGCTGACATGCGTCCCTCAGGCATGGAAGGCCGTCGGTGAATCCACGCGCATTCCCCTCACCTACTACCGCAATAACGTCTCCAGCACCATCACCCTCCTCCAACTCATGGACGAATTCGACTGCACGCGCATCGTCTACTCGTCCTCGGCGACCGTCTACGGCGTGCCACCGAAGATTCCCATCCCGGAGTCGACGCGCTTGCAGGCGCTCAGCCCGTATGGGAATACGAAGATCGTGTGCGAGAATATCATCAAGGACCTTTGTGCATCGGATCCGCAGCGGTGGCGTGGGTTGTCGTTGCGGTATTTCAAGTACGAGGGTCTCAGTACTCGTACAATGCTATACGATGCTAACGTGTCAATCAGTCCAGGCGGCGCGCATCCTTCGGGCCTTATTGGCGAAGACCCTGTGGGGAGGCCAAATAACTTGCTACCTATTCTCGCCCAGATGGCCGTTGGTCGCATCGAGCCCAAGCTATCCGTCTACGGGAATGACTACCCTGGTACTCCGTATGTGCTTTCCCTATCGCCTCCTCCCGGAAAATTGAGCGTCTGCAGCGACGGCACCTGCGTCCGGGACTACCTCCATGTCGTTGACCTTGCGGCAGGGCACCAGCTGGCTCTTGACGCGCTGTCCGACTCAGACAACTCAAAAGTTTTCCCACCTGGCACCGACAACTACTACAAAGCCTACAACCTCGGGCGCGGACAAGGCGTCAGCGTCCTTCAGATGGTGGAGGCAATGCGCAAGGCGACCGGCTGCGACTACAAGGTTGAGATCGTAGGAAGGAGGTCAGCGTGATATAGAACGACTTGATGCAGCCGTGTGTTGACCTATGCAACACAGGAAGGGCGATGTTCCTGATCTTACAGCGGATCCTACCCTCGCGGAGAAGGAATTGGGCTTCAAGGCGCCCCAGTCGCTGGAAGCAATGTGCCGGGATTTGTGGAACTGGCAAAGCAAGAATCCAAATGGCTATAGGGTGTAGTCAGCCGGCGCTTGCGAACTGGCCGTAGGTGTAGCCCGAGTCGGACATTGCATGGACGGTCTGGCGGTGTTTGGCTTTCCGGTACGCACTACCTTGGGTCTTCGTACATTCAATGACTCACCTCCCGACAGACAGCCTTAGCAATGTAGGTCCTGCTAGGATAGCTGCACGGAAGGTGATACTCGGCCAAAGAATTTGCCGAGTGCCTTCGACGCTATGTCCGAGTGATTCATGGCGGTCCCTTCTACAACCCTGTATCGTGCGAACCTTCTTGAGTCAGCGGAAGTAGGTGAGTAATTCATCCCGTCGGCGGGCTAAATGGCCATATACGATCTCGCTCGGTGCTGCTTAAAAGCCAACACTGGGCAAAGAAGCGCCAACTTCACTCTGCCTTGCCGCATTCACCATGTCCTCGGCTTTCAAGCTCTTCCAACCCGTCAAAGTCGGCGACGTTACACTCGAACACCGTGTCGTGCTCGCGCCTCTCACGAGATTCCGTGTTTCTGACCGTGGGCATGTCCCGCTGCCCAATGTGAAGGGGTACTACGCGCAGCGCGCGAGCGAGCCTGGCACGCTGCTAATCTCAGAGGCGGTCTTCGTCTCGCCGCAGGCCGGCGGCTATCAGCACGTCCCCGGTATATGGAGCGATGAGCAAATCAAGGCATGGAAAGAGGTATGTGCGTCGTCTCTCACTACGCTGAGCCTTCACGGATTGCTGTCCAGGTTGCGGATCGCGTGCACGCGCAAGGCTCTTTCATCTACATGCAGATATGGGCAGTCGGTCGTGCCGCGCAGGCCGTTCAGCTGAAGGAAGAAGACCCCTCCTTTGACTACGTCTCTTCGTCTGATGTCAAGCTGACCGGCCGTGACGAGACGCCGCGTCCGCTGACTATGCCCGAGATAAAGCAGTATGCGCAGTGGTTCGCGACTGGTGCGCGCAATGCTGTCGAGCGGGCGGGCTTCGACGGCGTTGAGATTCACGGCGCGCACGGGTACCTCATCGACCAGTTCTTCGTGAGTTCTGTTGCTTCTCACATGACGACCGCTCCTGATGACTGACCCAGCAAGACACGGCGAACAAAAGGACGGATGAGTATGGTGGGAGTGTCGAGAATCGTGCACGATTCGGTTTGGAGGTCGTCGATGCCGTCGTCAAAGCTGTGGGCCCGCAGAAGGTTGGCATACGCCTCAGTCCTTGGAGTGCCTTTCAGGGTACGGCCTTCTCTGCAAGCTGCCATGCTTCACTTACGCGAATCATGCTACAGACATGCGCATGGCCGACCCGATACCGCAATTCTCATACTTCGTCAAGGAGCTCAAGAGTCGGCACCCCGAATTTGCGTACATCCACGTCGTGGAGCCTCGTGTGCATGGACCCGAGACGGTCAATGAGAAGGACATCGAAGCGCGCGAGCAGAATAACTTCCTGCGCGAGATCTGGAGCCCGAGGCCCTACATTTCTGCAGGAGCGTACACGCGGGACCTTGCACTGAAGACTGCTGAAGAGAAGGGCGATCTGATCGCTTTCGGGAGATACTACATATCCAATGTAAGTACTTTTATTTGGGCAGTTTTGAATGAGCAGCTAACGTGCGCCATAGCCTGACCTCCCGCGTCGCTTGAGGGAGGATATTCCCTTTACGCAGTACAACCGTGACACGTTCTATCTCGCTGGCGATGCCAGTCCGACTGGATACACCGATTATCCTTTCGCAGCGAAGAACTAGTAGTTCACGGATGACGCCTTCACATGTGTATAGATTTTGGAAATCACGACATGCACGAAGTACTGAGCGTCACTGGTCGAACATCTTGCGATAGGTCTTCTCTAGCGAGCGAGCAGCCCGCCTCCTTCGGCCACAGGCAGGAGAGTCTGTGGTCGAAGGCTGGACCCTCAGCGGACGCCCAGAGACACCTTTCAAGTCATGCATCGGTGCCCGGCCTGGGCACAGCAGCAGTGAGAGTAGAGGCTCGCTTGCGAATCCAGGCGAGATCTTCCATGTCGCAATGCTTGCTCAACCAGTGAATGACCATGAATAATCCGGCCGCACATCGAGAGGTCTTCCTGGCCGTACCCGGAGAAGCTTTAAGAGAGGGGAATGGGGGGTAAGGCGACTCTTACCCTTCCAAGCCTTTACCATGTCCGCCTCCAAGCTCTTTCAGTCTGTCCGTGTCGGCGACATCGCCCTCGCCCACCGCGTTGTTCTTGCCCCACTCACGCGATTCCGCCATACTGACCTCACGCACGTTGCACTTCCTAACGTGAAGGAGTACTACGCTCAGCGCGGCAGTACTCCTGGAACGTTGCTGATTTCAGAGGCGACCTTCATCGCGCCACAGGCTGGAGGATATAAGTATGCCCCTGGCATCTGGAGTGACGAACAAATCAAGGGCTGGAAGGAGGTATGCGGATACTGAATATACCGTCGTTTGCCTGAGTCCAAACTAACGAGCGACCAAATTAGGTCACGGATCGCGTTCACGCTCAGGGTTCTTACATCTATCTTCAGCTGTGGGCACTCGGACGCGCTGCAGTAGTGAGCGAGCTGAAGGAGGAAGATTCTTCCTTCGAATACGTCGCCCCGTCTGCAGTTCAGCTCTCTGGGCACCCCGAAACCCCGCGTTCGCTCACCATACCTGAGATCAAGCAGTATGCGCAATGGTACGCGACGGCAGCGCACAATGCTGTCCAGAAGGCAGGGTTCGACGGCGTCGAAATCCACGGCGCGAACGGGTATCTCATTGATCAATTCTTGGTATGCATACTGGTCTGAGGCAACATCGTAGTCGCTAACTGGTAAAATAGCAAGACGTGACCAACAAGCGTACGGACGAGTATGGCGGAAGCATTGAGAACCGCGCTCGATTTGGCTTGGAGGTCGTTGACGCTGTAGTCGCAGCCGTAGGCGCGAAGAAGGTCGGCATCCGCCTGAGCCCCTGGAACCAGTTCCAGGGTAAGTCCATGCCTATGTTATGCCGAAGTCAATCCTTACAGCCTCGACAGAGATGCGTATGGAAGACCCCATCCCTCAATTCACCTATTTCGTCAAGGAGCTTAAGGCCCGTCACCCGGATTTTGCCTACATCCACCTCGTCGAGCCGCGGGTGGTGGGGACCGAGAACCGCGACGAGAAGGACATCGACCCGCGCGAGCAGAACGACTTCCTGCGCGAGATCTGGGCTCCGAAGCCCTTCATCTCTGCGGGAGGGTATAATCGAGAGCTCGCGCTGAAGGTCGCAGAGGAGAAGGGCGATCTCATTGCTTTCGGGCGGTTCTTCATCTCGAATGCGAGTACTTCACCGCTACGAAAGGAGGCAGTACTAATGTACATCGCAGCCCGACCTTCCCCGTCGTTTGAAGGAGGACATTCCCCTCACTCCGTACAATAGGGCCACATTCTACCTCAAGGGAGATTCGAGCCCGACCGGATACACTGACTATCCCTTTGCTGATAAGGCGACCAATTAGATTTGTGTGCAACTTGTATATTGTGAGTGCATTAGGGCCTACCCTCTGCAAACACGGACTCATACCGAGTCGCATAGAGATGTCCATAACAATATAATGAAGATAAGAACCTCGGTGTTTCCGGTCTTGCGCTACGCTGCTGTGGCTGTCTCGGCCATCACCCGAACTATCAGCGCAGTAACCACGTACGTGTCCTCTTCGCTTCTCTCCCTCTGACTTCCCAGTTGCTTCGTCGACCTCGCTCTGGCCTCATGATATGACCTGGCGAAAGCTTGCTGCAGGCGCGTTTGTTGCTGGCATAACCTCCGTCCTTGTGCTGCTCCGGAGGCGCAGCGAGGACGACGGCTTCCTTGGGCTCGACTGGCTTCCTGTGGAGCTGACGAAAAGCTACTGGACGCCAGTCCCTCAGCTAATATGGTCGTCGGCTCACGAGGGATGGTGCGGTCGAGCGACGCTTGTAAAACCCCTCTCCGATCCAGAGAGACATCTCTTCACGTCAAACCTGTTGTTCATGGTCACCAGACTTGACACTGATGGGGAGCGAGTGTTGTTGGCGGTCTTCACAACTCCGGAGCTCAGGGAGGAGTCGCCGTCGCACGACAAGGCTGATTGCCCGGTGAGGACCTCACTGGAGGGTGGTACCTCTACCTGCCAGTCTGTACTCCAGGATTTTGGCGACGGAGAGGTGGAGAGTCATGTCGCTGTCGATGGCAAGGGCCGCATATGGCGCCTGGCACCCCAGGATTTCACTGCCTTCCGCAACCTGGCTCGCACCGCGAAAGCGGAGATCGGGGATATTACTTCCTATACAGTCGCTTCCGGAGAGGACTGCACGCCCGTTTTCTTCTTCATCTATCCCGTCCCACCTTCCTTCGGAGCCCTTTCGGACAACGCAGTCAACCGGGCCGGGGCCGCTATGGTCAACCCCGTATATCGTGATATACATGGCGGCACTACCGGTGACGCTGGAGGGGGATATAACCTTCTCCACGACGTTGATATCAACGCCTACACCATATCCTGCCGCAAGCTCGCCCGCGCACAGTCATCGAGCGCGGGCAGCGGAGAAGCGCGGGATGCTATGCCAGGCGAGCTCCCCGAGGCCTTACACGAGCTGCTGGGCCTTGCTCAGAAGTGGCCGGAGGACCGCGAAGCCGACGATGAGACCGGGGACGGGACGGATTCAGAGTCGCTTCGTGCGACCGTGGCCTGTGTCGAACGCATACGCAGTTGGGCATTAAAATTCCGGTTTCCTGATTAAAGCGCTCTTGTAATCATACTCGGCATACAATTGTACGTATGGCATAGGGAGGATCTTGTAAATTGATCCATGCTGGTGTACTATTGAGCTCTATACGTCGAAATACCGAGGGAGAAACAATGCTCAGCCCAGGGTTCGAACCTGGCTTCATTTATAGCGTGACCGCGTCGCGCGTCACGGACGTTTCGGCCTTTCGTCTCGACTCCCATCAAGTCAGTACTCAAGCCACCGCAGTGCATACGTGTCCTCTGCGTGGCGCGGTCTCCCTCTCTCTCTGTCTATACCCTGATCTCACTTTGATATGTCTCTGAAGCTAGCGAAGATCGCGCTTTTCGTTCTCCTCGTCTCATTCTTGTCCTGGCGGACAAGCGCTGAGCTTGATCCCTCTGGAGCAGCGAACAGCGCATCAGAGCTGAAAACTACCCAGTCCCAGCATCAGGACGAACCTCTGTTAGCATGGTTCTCCGAACATGATGGCTGGCGCAGCCGCGCTACTCTCCTTGGACCCTCTGCTCTCCCCGCGAATCTCACCTCATCGAACTTGCTATTCGCAGTGACCGAGAGTGGGATGATTGGCGACATCGTATTGCTGACCATCTTCACCTCTCCTGATTTCGATGCGCCCTCGACACTGCTCCACACGACTGCGAGCGATCTCCTTGCGGGAGCCGTTGAGCAGGTCCCTATTGCGCCTCCAATTATACAACGAGGGGTCGGTGGGCACGAAGTGGACAGCCATATTGCCATCGATGCAGCCGGCCACATGTGGCGTCTCTATCCCGATGACTACGCTGCGTTTCTTGGCCTCCTTCACGCCGCCGAGGTGGAGACGAAGGAGATCAGCAACTTCTACATCGCTCATACTGCAACGTGCCAGTCGATGTTCTATCTCGTTCATCCCGATGCAGGCGCAGAGCGTAGCAGCAGTGGCGCCAGCACTGTTCCAATTCGCAAAGTCGGTGTCGACGCCTATAGCAAATATCGCCGCAAACTCTCATCTGCTCCGTCGTGGGATGAGGAGGACGATACGAAGGCACCAGTGGACGAAGCTGATGAGCAGCGGGCGAGCACTCGAAGGGAATTGCCGCAAGCCCTGTACGAGCTGCTAGGCCTTGCACAAGAGGGTGCGAAGGGGTTCTGGGATGAGCAGCCCGACGCGGAAGTGCTTCGTGCAATTCGGGACGTACTGCCGCGATCATTGTTGTCCAGGCTGTATTTACGCTCAGATTATGCTTCTGCGTAGACATATTATGCCATATCTCGAGTACATAGGCTAGTCCGAGTATCTATCGAAGCGCATATTGTCTGTACTAGCTCTTCTAGTTCGAGATGCCCGTCCCGCGCGCTTCACCGACCTGGGCTTGCGAGATCTGGCTTAAACAAATACCAGTCATAGTCACCCAAAACTGGGACGAAAGGGGAACCCATAACATGCCTCATCCGTCTGGTCAGATACTCCCTGGCGCCATCGTCCAGTTGACGACCGCGTCCCGGATCCTCCGCTCGACCACTTTCTTACACTCCTGGCATATCATACCCTCCTTCAGCTTCTCGAGCTTTTGCTGCAACGTGTTGGCCACAATATCTATGCACCCATATAAGCTTGCCATACAACCTCCATGAAATCGTCTGGCACCCACCCGGCCTCGCGTGCTTCATCACATACTCCACCGCCCCATCCCACGCGCGCGTCATGTCCTCCTGCGCGGCGAAGCTGCACCCCGCCGTCTCCGCGTGGAACTCGGGCGGGCAGCGCAGGAGCTCGTGCAGCGTCGCCAGCCGCGTGCGGTGCAGCCTGACCAGCCGCTCGAGGTATGCTGCGCCGATGAGCCGCGCTTGCGCCTCTGTGATGCACTGTAGCGGGTAAGAGAGCAGGTACGTGGACGCGACCTGCGCGAGCGCGAGGAGGTCGTGCGCGGCGGCGAGAGCGTACACCTCCATGGGTGCGACCGCGGCGTATGGGCGAATGCACTCGAAGAGCACGCTTCCGTAGCCGACGTACGCCTGGGGGTCGAGTCCGTAGGTGGGCATGCGGCGCACGACTTCGACAAGCGTCGAGCAGGACGGGGTGAATGGGATGGGGGACGTTCCGTAACTGGCGTGCAGGAGTATGTTGAGCACCCCGGCGGTGTCTGGGACGTGCAAGCGGGGGAGTTCGCTCGAGATGCGCCGCGGGATGGACTGTAGTGCGCCTGCGAAGTCGTTGAAGGAAGCACGGCGAAGGACGTCACTGCGGACAGAGAAGTGTACATTGTCTGAGGATACGAGCTCCACGTCGGGGCGAGGATCGTACGTGGAGGAGGGGATGCTGCTGAAGGCGGTGGACAACGCGCGAGGCGCTGGGAGTGGCGACGTATACGGCGGCTCCTGGGTCGGCGTGATACATCTCGGCTGGGATGCTGGGCTACCGGACGATTCTCCGTAAGGGTCGCCCCAGTGCACCATGCCCTCGAAATAACTGTTGTTGGTCGCATCCTGGTAGTCGGCTGGATATGGTTGAACGAACGCGGCACGTTCCATATGGTCGAGTGTCTGCCAGCAGGTCAGCGTTACCGCCCGTGAAGACGGAGCGAGCGACGCACGTTATATAAAAAGCGGATGGTTGACTTGCCTATCGCTGTTTTCGGAAAGTACACATGAACCGCCGCCCCGCCCTTAAGTACGCCGTCCCTCCCCCGCGCACGTCCCTGTAACTCAGCACAGCCAAAGTATACCATAGAGATCCACCCGCTCCACGACGATAGCTAGAACGCTAATTTGGATAGGCCTGCAGGAGCGACCTCAGGGGTACGTCAACCTCCTGACCAGGTGCGATGGCAAATCGTAGGACCCTCCCATTAAGAGCGCACCAAAAGGGCCCGAAGGCCGCTATTTCCCTTGCCTCATGACCTTCATGACGGTGACATGCGTCGCCATAAGCAGGATAAACGCTAAACGAGGCGCCGAACGGAGGCAGGACGCCAAACCTTGGCAGCTCGCGGCGGCAAAGAAGTGTTGAGGTGCGCCAGATGGGTCGGCCTAGCCTCTGGTGAATCCTTGCATTTCTACGAGAGCGGCGGAAAGGACGCATACATGACCTTGAGCAGCCTTTGAGCACTGCCACAGAAGCCGGTTGTCAGACTTCGAAGACGATGAATGACCGCGTACCTGTGCTTCGCGAAATGGAGAAGGCGCAGTCATTCGGCGGCTGTACGCATATAAGTGTGTGGTCCACCTTACCACCACCGGGAGCACGACCCCACACTGATGCAATAGTACCCTGACGAAGACACGAACAAGGCTGATCAACTCGGTCAATGAACATTTTATAGAGTAAGGAAACAAACGGATATCATGAGAACAAGACCGGGCTCACAAGTACCATTCTCCGTCAATCACCCTTCCTCTGCTCTATCACTTGCTTCTCTCCTCTCAGCAGAAGCACGCACGCCCTTCTCGTTGACAGCCATCACATCCTTCTCCTCAACAGCCGCCCCGTCCTTCTTTTCCTCCGTGACATCGAGAGGCCCGCCAACTGTCTCCCCGCTCGACGACGCGCTGACGCCACCCACATCCCCCGCTCGTCCAGTCCCTTCCATCCCCGCTCCTGCCTCCGCCCCCTCATGCCCCGCCTTCGCCTTCTTATGCCCAACCACGCCCACCCCGCGCAGAAACACCAGCGCCAACACGGCCGCCAACGCCCCAAACGCGAACGCGGTCCACTGCGCCGCGTGATACGCGTCCAGCTGCGCGGGCCGCGGCGCATTCGAGTGCTCCGCGTTGAGCGTGGTGCCCATTGCCGCGGCGCGCGAGGCGAGGACGCGGTCGTAAACAACGGTGGAGACGGCGATGCCCATGGAGGTGCCGAGCTGGGGGGACGTCAGTTATGTTGGTCATGAGTAAGCATGGGATGGTCCAGGCGTGTGACGGCAGGCTAGCGCTGCTATGGTGCTCGAAGGAAGGGAAAGACGCAGCGCCTTCGCGCCCCCGGAAGGCACTGGATACGCCATGATCAATACACTATGGACGCGTATAGGCCATGATCGTGTGCGCCATGAACGAGCGCGCCATGAACGAGCGCGCCATGAACGAGCGCGCCATGAACGAGCGCACCATGACCAGTGTACGCGCCATGACCGCATATCCATCACACCCTCGTCACACTATATACACACACACGAACCACCCAAACAACGCCTACCCACCTGTATCATCGTCTGGAAAAGCGCCCCGCTCACGCTCTGCTCGTGCCCCTGGCTCAGCTTCGCGACGAACAGCGTCCCGCCAGAGAACACAAAGTCCGCGCCGAAGACGCAGCATATGGACGCCGGGAAGCCGAAGGCCCAGTACGGCGACGCGGGGTCGATATTCGCAAAGAGGAGGGGCGCGGTCGAGGTGATGAGCGTGCCAAAGGCTGGATAGTTGATCGATGGGTAGGAATTCGGTGGATAGGGTGTTTTGAATTAATAGGGATGGATTCAAAGGGTAGGATAAAGAGCAGTAGTTAGCAAATGACTGTGAGGGAGCTAGGGAGGAAAGCAACGCACTCATGAGCCACACGATGCCAACGCGCGAGACGAAGAAGGCGACGAAGACGTTGCAGAGGATGCCCGTGATGGTCATGGGAATGAACCGGATGGCGGCCACGAATGGCTTATAGCCTTGGTATTCTTGGTAGAAGAGCTGGCGGAGATGAAGTCAGGAGGGGTCGACGTTGGACGAGATTTGGAGGCATCAACAGTTGGACGAGATGTTGAGGCAATAAAGTCCGTCGACGAAAGCACTCACCTGCGCCCAAAACACCCAACTGAGGAAGCAACACCAGTTGAGAAATGCGATGGCCATTTGCACGGCGTAGCGGCCGCGCGCTCGTGTCCAGAGCGAAAGACGCATGATGGGCGGGGGCGTCCAGACTGAATACGGGGTTTGTGGATTGTCGTGCGCGCGTTCGAGGTACCTGGAACAATTTAGTGTTGATTTTCGCGGGGAAATGTACATACTCACCATTGCCAGGCGAAGAAAAACCCCATAAGGATGACCCCAAGGATTAAGAGGACGATGATGTCTGACCATATCGGTGAGCGAAAAAAGACCAAAAGATAAACAGAGAAGTAACTCACAAGGCGAAGCCCACTGCTTCGGCTTCGCAATTTCGCCCTGCGCGAGCACAAAGATGATGAGCGTCAAGCCCGCCGTGACCAGGAAGGACCCCAGCCAGTCGACCCTGCGATCCTTCTCCTTCGACGGCGGGTCCGCGTCGATGACATACATCCCGCCCGCCGACGCGGCAGCCGACAGCGCGGCGCTGAGGTAGAAGCTAGAGCGCCATGTCGTCCTGAGGGGGGCTGTGTAAGGATTTACCGCGCGCGTCAGACAGGGAGGAATCGAGACGCACTTGGTGTACTGCGTTAGCGCGCCGCCAAGGAGCGTTCCTATCGCGCCTCCGACTGGCGCGCCGGCGCCGAATGTCGCAAAGGCGATGGATCGCATGCGAGATGGGGGGAAGGAATGTGCGAGGATGCCCAGCTGAAGAGGGTCAGTCAGGCGTACGTAGTATGGACAAGAGAACATACGGCAGCGGGGATGATTGCAGCACCTCCGACGCCTTGAAAGCCGCGCAGGATCTGGAGCGTGAGGGCATCTGGATAGGATTTGTGAGTCCGGCGTGGTCGCCACAAATGACGACGTACTGTGTACGAGCCCGCAGGCGAGCCCGAAGGCGAAGAGCCAGGCTAGGCCAGCGATGAAAGTCTTCTTCCTCCCGTACAAGTCGGCTATGCGCCCGAACATGAGCAAGAGGCAACCCTAGACTCAGTTAGTCACAATTGAGGCAAGGTGCTGAGCCGACCCACTGAGCTAAGCGAGTACGCGTTCGTGAGCCATTGAAGCTGGTCCTGCTGGATCCCGAGCTCCTCGCCTATTGTGGGTAGTGCGATGGCTACAGACGTCGTATTCGAGACCTATCATGCATGGTCAGTGTCTTCTAGACGCGCGAAGTGGATCACAGCGCACATTCACAATCATCGCCGTCGTGCACACCGCTACCAGGACCACAGCCCTTGCCACGGTAGGGTTCTCAGGGACATCCTCCGTTGTAGGGGCATCGTCGTGCTCGTCGGCGCGCTCTTTGCTGTCCACTACTGCCATGGTGGTGTGCGGTAAGGAGGGCGATTGTCGCGCTTGAAGGATACCTCCCGCACTCGGTCACGAACGGAGCCCATCGTCTCCCGCACGCCACCCGGGGACGGGCCGTTCTGCGTCACCGTGGGTCGAAGCATCGAAGCTCAATTGACAGGCCGTGTTGAACGGCGCGCTTGCCAAATGGGGACATCCGCCCGTCCGAACAAATATTTGGCCCTTTGGCTTCGCTACCATCTTGTCTCCTGCGTTGATGTCGACGTGCTCATACACAATGATCATGCTCTTACCCTGTTCCACCCCCGGGGGAACGTCCTCAGAATATCCCTACGTTTTGACTGCGTCGAACGTTCGATGTCATCGTGCCGCGCCGTACGTCCGCATGGGCAAGTATAGACATCAAGACGTTAGGCAGCGTGTTCATTCCAGTGCGTTCATTCCAGTGCGTTCGGAGGTCATGAATCAGCACAGTGCGTAACCATGCTGTGCTGTCTGCGCTGTATTGTTGACGGCGGTCTCACTAGAATTCGGCTGAAGCACCCAATGATCACTGTCTCCCAACTCCCAGTTCCTCGACGTAATTATTTCTCCCAACCATGGCAACTACTCCTCTGCCATCCGCATAAACTCACTCGATACGCTACTTGATCAATCTAGACCATTCATTCACGGGGAGCACGCTCGGGAACTTGATCAAGACGGAGAGAGCGCGGACGGACTTGCAGCGCATCGTATCATGACGACCTTCCCTCCCCCCATCGTTCAAACACTCTTGAAGGACAGACTGGGCACGGGACAACCCCACAAGTCAAGCTTCCATACCCCACTATCTTATCACACGCACCCATTGCCTCCGCCGGCGCGCCTCCCCCGGGGCCATGTCCAATCGATCGATAGACGCTCTCGGCCTCTCCCCTCGTCTTCCAGCTCCTCTCTCACCTCCTCTCACCTCAAAATCCCCTCCTCATAGCTTAGCGCACCATGGACGTGACCAAAGCCCGCTCCCAGTACCCCATCCTGACTGGCCCCGAGCCCTTCGTCTTTGCCGACAACGCGGGAGGGTCCCAGGCTCGCTCGGACGCTTGTGCGACGACTCGTATGCTGACTCTCGTATAGGTACCCAAGAACGTCGTTAGCAGGGTCGTGGACTACTTGCTGAACACGAACGTCCAAATGGGAGCGGATTATCCAGTGTCGCAGGTTGCGACGCGTCGGGTCATGGTGGAAGGCCCGACCGCAGCCAAGGTGCGTGTTTGTGTCGATACTCTACACTTCTAGTGAGAGCACGTTCTGTGTTCGCTCATGTGGTGTCGCAACATGCTAATCCGACTCACAGATCCTCTTCAACGCGGATAGCGCAGACGAGATAGTCCTCGGTCAGAGCTCGACCCTGAACATCGAGAACCTCGCACATGGCCTTTCAACCGACGTGAAGACCGGAGATGAGATCATCATCACGGGCGAACACGAAGGTGCGTATGAGGCGACACTAGTCCATTTCCTTTCTTTCTCCTTTGCTTTCTCTCATCCATCCACTTCTTTGCCCCTGTGTCTAATCTGGCTATCCTACCCAGCCAACGGCGGGCCCTGGAAGCACCTCGCCGCCCGCACCGGCGCTACGCTCAAGACCTGGCCCCATCGCCAAGTCGACCCCGCCAACCCCTACGCCCTCGCGCTCGTCATCGACGACCTCCTACCCCTCATCACCTCCAAGACGCGCTTAATCGCCTTCACCGCGACGTCAAACATCCTCGGGAGCGTCGTCCCCGTGGCCGACGTCGTGCGCGCCATCAGAGCGAAGGCGGCGGAGGTAGGCGCGGCGAAGGTGGAGGTGTGCGTGGACGCGGTGGCGTACGCGCCGCACAAGAGGATCGACGTGAAGGCGTGGGACGTGGATTACTGCGTGTTTTCGGCGTACAAGGTGTACAGCGCGCATGTGTCGGCGCTGTACGTGCGGAAGGCTGCGTTGAGTGGCTCTGTGTCGTCGGTGGTGCACCACTTCCTGAATGTGAGCGCTTTCCAATCGTTTGCCGCCTCCCACTGACGCGCGACCAGGTCCCGGAGGTCGCCTACAAGCTCATGCCCGGTGGTCCCGGCTACGAGGCCGTCTACGCCCTCACGGGCATCATCCCCTACCTCCTCTCGCTCACCCTGGAGGGCGAGAAGCTTCTCGGGGAGACCAGCCTGTTGCATGATCCGTAAGTGCATTCCTTCATCCTTGTCTTTCCTTTACAGCTGACATTTCCTGTCCCGTCGTTCCGATGCTGACTGTACTCCAGCGGCGCGGACAGCATGCCCCTCCTCACCAACCCCTCCATGCCCGCCGTCCTCGACGGCGTCTGGTCCGCCATCGCCGCGCATGAGCTCACACTCATGGCACCGCTGCTCTCCTTCCTGACCCACCCCGACCAGTGGGCGCGCGGCGTACGCATCGCTGGTGATGGGGGCGCATTCCTTGACGGAGGAAACAACGCAGTGAGCGCGCCCTTCCAGAACCACGTCGCCGGCCGCGCGCCGACGGTGAGCTTCGTGATGGTGGAGAGCAGCAATGGGAAGCCGCGGCTGAGGAGCAAGGAGATCGTCGAGTACTTTGATAAGAGGGGGAAGGTGGGCACATTCTCTGAGGCGTGTCGAAGTGAGAAAAGGAGCTGACCGCATCTGGGTGCAGATCGGTATTCGGTATGGCCATTTCTACGCGTACACGCTCGTGAGCCAGCTGTCGCCCCTCAAGGACCCGGCAGACGGCGTCGTCCGCATATCGCTTGTGCACTACAATACGGTCGAAGAGGTCGAGCGCATCATCGAGGGACTGAAGGAGGTCCTTGCATAGACGAGACAATGGGGGAGTCGCAACGCAGACATGCGCTGCAAATGTACACTATATTGATTCATTACACGGGCAATCCAGGAAGTATGTAAGTACGTGTGTATATTCACGGATAAGTATAGCGTGGCATGCAGCTAAGCAGAGCGTGTCATACAGCTAAGCAGAGCGTGTCATACAGCTAAGCAAAGCGTGGCGTGAGGTACGTGAGTGCACATGGCGGGTCTATGCTACATTACAGGGCGAGTTAGCGGGCTATTACAGAGCGGGTCAGCGGGCAATTACAGAACGAGTCAGCGGGCACAGGTCTACTGCAATCCGGTGTACATGTCATCAGGCTGTCAGAGGAGCGCGGCGCGGTCGGGGGTATCAAAGGTATAGTACAGGACGAAGAATACACTTGGGACTTTCCTAGGTATGTGGATTGGACAGCTACTTGTCGCAGAGGCTGACGCGCCTGTTATAGCGGTAGTTGCTCAAAGCGGTCCACGACGGGCATCGTCCGCGCTTCTGCCCGGAGGCGGGACATGAGGCGACCGCTGCTTCGCGGGGCTGACGCTGTGCTGGCCACTTGGCGGCGGTGGCCGGCCAGATGTTTGTGGCTGTCCGGCGCGAGTCCTCGAAGGTGGTCGCAGTGCGGCGCACCTTGGCGACTGGCGCCATGTTCTCGTCGTCGTCGTCGTCGTCGCTGCTCTGCTGGTTGGTAGTAGCCGGGGAGGTCAGAAAGGACGGCAGCGATGGGAGATTGTGGCTGGCCCCGCGGCGGTCGCTGGGATCGAGGCGGAGGGGAGGCAGGCTGATTTCGCCCTGGGTGTTGTACCAGTGCGGCGATAGCGCGAGGCTGGGCATAGCCCGCGCCGTCGATGGGTTTGCCTCTTGCTTGACGCCCCGCGGCTGCTGGCCGTGCGCTCCTTGGGGACTGGGAAGCCTGATGGCCGGCCCGCCGGCGTAGATGGAAGCAGAGGACAAAGAGCCAGGCCCATACGTAACGTGAGAGCCGGAAGGCGAAGTGTATTGAGCTGTAGAGAGCCCGCCGGTCAGGCGATGTGGGCGCACACGGACAAAGTTCTTCTACGTACCTGGTGAGGGCATCCGACTGCGCTGCGAGGAAGCCCCGTCCGGCGTGGGCGTGTACATCTCGCTCTCGTCTTCGGGCGATGTCGATCGCTGCGCGGCAGCGGCGACTTTCTTCTGCTGGGCCCGAGCCTTGCGCTTGGCGGGGTCGTGGATGGGGTGAAACTTGTAGTCGGGATAGAGACGCTTGTGCTCGTCCGCGATGCGCTTCGCTTCGAGGGCCCAGGGCAGCTTCTCCTCTTTGGGGAGACCGTCCCAGATCCTATCTGAATTACATGATTAGCCGACGACAGCCTCGATGAACTCGGGAGGACGTACGAGCATGGGTGCATAGACCACCGGGGAGCATCTTTCCGTACGATACGCAGGCCTTCATGAAAGCGGAGCGCCACACAATCCACTGGTTGGGCGGACGAGCGATCTTTCCGTCCTTCCCTGGCCTTGGAATCTCGTACTCGCTCATCCCGACCTCAGGCAGAGGAAAATCATACTCGGCGTCGTCGACGACGAGCCGTACAGTGCGGAAGAACGTCATATCAAATCAAATATTAGTGGCGATGGCTGGACAGCGGGGAGGGAGGGTGAAAATGGGACAAAGTACGGGGAAGAAGTAAGGTTGGCCACGCACCTTTATATCACACCGCATCCGTCTTCTTGATGCAGTCACCATTCATAGATGGATTGGGCCACAAGCACTCACACACGTGGAAGCAGCACTTTGTTGTCCTTTTTGTTCTAGTGCGCCGCATGGCTGGGTAGGGGCAGCCGCATCGGGGGTTCGCGAGAGAATGAAAACAGCATGCAGGCGGGAATGGGATGCCGAACGACGGACCGTCAATGGTGAGTCACGACTCCCCGGGGAACACTCCTTTTGTCCTTGAAAAAGGAAATGATCCGTTATCGGCGCGTTTTGCTTCCGTGCGGAGGCTTTTCGTGCCCTGCCCTGATGTACACCAACGCACACGAGGTGGCAACCAGGTCAGAAATGCTGACCAGCCAGAACCCCAGCAGCGTTGGAAAGGGTGCAGGCGACACGGAAAACACCAAAATGCAGAGGCGGTGTACACGTGTTGGTTTTTCTCAAGCAACCCGAGCCGCGAGGAGGTTGTGCTGCAAATAAACCAGAATGGAACAATGCCGTTAAGCGCAGAGACAATGAGCCATTGTGCACTGCCAGCCCGAGATGGTCCTTACGTCGTAGGTGATCGGCGACCTGGAAGTGGGGGAATGAGGCGCTAAAAACAAAGGAACCCAAAGTGGGAATTTCGGAGTTACACTTGCGATCAAAATGATTGCAAGATCGGCGGTCTTCCAAATATGGAAACTCGGACCGCTCTCCGAAGGCAGGCGCGCGCACCGCGCTGAATCCACGCGTTCCTTGCTCTCTCCCCTCATCATCGATGCCGCGCACTCGAGTACCATGCACCCCCACCAAACGATCCCTCATCGTCCACATCCGTGACCGTGATTTCCTCCCAAACGGCAGGCCGAAGCCATGGGATGCAATCGGACAGGAAGTCGGAGTCGACGCGTCGACTGCTTATCGTAATTACGCGAAAATGAAGATACTGAGGAACCCATACTTCAACAACCTCAAGGGGAGGGTCGGAAGGAAGCGCCGATGGACTGGAGAGGAGGCAAAGACCATGCAGGCCACCATCGAGCAGGTCCTCGATAGCGGAGAGGCCAAAGACGGCGCAGACGTCCAGCGGCTCGTCTGCCCTGATGTCCCGAAGAGCACCGTGCGTCGTTATCTGAGGGAGATGGGTCTGCGGGGCTACGAACGGTGGAAAAAGCCAGCGCTGAGCCCCGTTCATGTTATGAAGAGACTGGCCTTCGAATACTACATGCGTAACAACGTCCCCAACCCTCGTATCATCATCTTCAGCGACGAGAAGCGCTTCGAAAACCAGCCAGACGGTCCCTGGCGCTATTGCAGGAGGCGGAGGGGTGAAGCGCTGCTGCCACGCAACGTGAAGATGCGGCGAAGGCATCTAGGAGGGATCATGGTGTGGGGGTGCTTGACATCGAAGGGTCCTGGCCGTCTAATTCGGGTGCGTGGCAACTTGATTTTCCCTGAATCTGCTAATACTCGTGCAGATCGACAACATCATGAACAGCGAGCGCTACATCCGAATCCTCGAGGACGGATTTCTCGGCACTCTCGCCGACTATGGCCTCGATCGTGCATCGGTCATTTTCCAACAGGACAACGACTCCAAACACACGTCGCACGTCGTGCAGGATTGGCTGCACGATGAGCACATCATTGTCCTCCCCTGGCCCCCCAACTCACCCGATCTGAGCATCATCGAGAATCTGTGGGATTGGATCGATAAGGCGGTCCGGTCTCGTACCCCTGTCCCATACACCAAGGACGAGTGGTGGAAGGCCGTGCAGGAGGAGTGGAAAAGGATACCCCAGCACTATATAGACAGCTTGTACGACTCGATTCCGCGGCGGCTCGCAGCTGTTTGCGAGGCTCAAGGTTACTATACTAAATATTAGGTTATTCCTAGGAGATTTCGGACTCTATCTATTCTCATCATATGCTAGCTTCATAGATGTTGCATATACATTATAGTGCAGCAGTGACCACCCCTGCATGGAATGCAGAGCATTAGCATTCACGACGCGCTTAGGCAGTTTCCATATTTGGAAGGCCGCCGATCTTGCAATCATTTTGATCGCAAGTGTAGCCGCGCCTTTTTCCAATCGAACCGTGACTCACATGCAATGTTCCACTGGAAGTACGGAGCCCGAAACTGATCTGCACCGTCCTTTCAGCCGACTGTCTGTCGCATGCTAGTAGCCTGCGTCGCTGGCTCAATCACAGCAGCTGTCAATGGGAGGCTGCGGAAGGCGCTGACGTTGCCGGCAGAATGGGGAAACTAGGGCCTGCGTATCCCCATCCGAGGCAGCCTTATTGTGCTGCTAAGGCGCACGTAATGAAGAACCTCGCATGAGTTATTGCTACTCCCCAACGTGGAAACAATTGACCTCCCCAATTGTTCCCCTCGCAGAGAGGCAAACGCCGGGCGTCAAGGCCTTCAGAACCCCGCGTGCAAAGTTCACGAAGCCGCAGGCGCCAGGGCGACGGAGGCGAACGCAGATGGAATCAGATACCTTATCGCGCTTTCATCTCAGCGAGCTTCCCAATTGGGATACAATGTTCATTCCGTAAAGCTTCCATTAGCCTCCGTCGAGGTCTTGATGTTGACGCGCGATCCGTAGGGGCGTGCCGATGGGAAGGTTCCCACACGCATTCAAGGCGAAGGTCTTGTGCGTGCACGATGAGTCGGCTGGCGCACTGGCCCGATGTGAGGCCCCATCGCCGACGCCGAGTATTGTATTCGAGGGCTCGTGCACAGAGCGTCTGTCGGACCCGTCGGTCGCCGGGCGTGCGACATAACGTTAGACCTGTTGATGAGTACAACCTATGTGGCGTAAGGTGTTCAGGCCGGCAGATGGTCTCAGCGCACCTCAGTCGGAATCATTATGGATGGCAGCCGTGATGTGAAAGTTCGAGGCTCTGGAAAAGAGCGCCAAGATGGGCACCGAAGTCAGGAAAGTCTGGCGCGCTAAGGGTCAGTGCTTACAGGCATCAAGTCGGGCCACAAATAATTGAGGGCGCCCCTCAGTACAGGCGCGTGGTTTAGGCGACTAAAGCTGCGTGTACTGGGAGAAGCTGTCGAATGGTGGCGCAGCGTGCCGGCCTTTCAGAACCATATCGCCCGTAATGAGTTGGTGACAGGATTTGCAGTGCGTCAATATCAAATAGGCTGCAAATAGCCCAGGCCAGCTTCAACGTTTGAGGGATTGCAAATAGGAAGAGCAGTACTCTCTCAAAGGACGGTAGCGCATGGTGGCGTTAGCGAAGTTCGAATGTGACACTTGGTCACATATTTCGCGTGGCTGCAAGCAAGGACAAACACCGCGCGCTCTTTGGCTTCTACCACCATGCCGCCTCGCGGAGGATGTTGAGTTTGTCTCTCGATCATCCATCTCTAGTCCAGAAGGATTAAACTCGTCTCATAACCATTTTGGAGGATATTTGCTGTCCTTTCACTCTCCTCGAATGGCGCCTCGAGCGCGCCCTCAAGGCGCCATCCCACGAACCAGTCAAGGCCCTGGACCTCCCTCGGGACACACACGTCCAGGCCCTACTACGTTCGTGGAACATCGACGCCTGCACGATCTCCTTGATGTCTCCTTTGGTCTTGGGCTTTGTTGGCCTTCACGGGGTGCTCGGCCTCTGGACCTCGAGGAGCGCGTCAAGCGGTGGGATTATGCGGGTAAGTCCCTAAATCGGAGTTGAGCACGCCGATAGGTCGCCTGCGCCGCTCATAGTGGGGGGACGGACATTCTTGCTTTGAAGGGGTTATGTTAGTCCTTGTAAGTCGTCACAATAAAGTCACGGCCGTGCAGATAAATCACAACGCAAGGGAAAACCTATCGTACATACTTCGAATACAAGAGATCGGCGCATCGTGTATTGCTCACTGAACTGCTAGCTTCGGATAATATGTCCTCTCCTCTGAAAATTTATTTGCGCGTGGCGTGTTAGGCCACCCTCTACGCACGAGGCCGCCCAAAGAACCCGCGTCTATTGCCATACGTGTCCAGCGCCGGATCCCAGCGCCCATGCATCGGGCGCCTCCACGCACGCCTCGAGTGCGCCAGCCAGGCGCTAATGAAGAGTAGGATGGTCATCACGCCCCATCCGGTCCACGCGATGGCGATGAGCGCGGTGAGGATGCGGCAGGCGCGGTAATGCCAGCACCAGGAGAGGTCGCCCCAGTAGTGCTGTGGTGAGGGGTCAGATTTGAGTTAGGCGTTCGTTGTTTCAATAGCGTAGTGAAGGGAGAGTGGGCGAGAGAAAGGGGTGGGAGAAAGGGGAAATGGTTAGGAAAAAGAGTAGATGGATACGTACCGTAGCGTAGGCAACGCCAACGAGCCAGAGAAGCCAAAGGAAGACGAGGGTTCCTATTTCGTGGCTGAAGGTTCCTGGGAAGCCTGAGACTTGGAGGCCGCGCTGAATGCTATGGAGACTGTAGAGTACAGACGTCAGAAGTGAGAAGCATTGAAGTTGGGAAGGTCGTACGCATAAATTGACCAGAAAATGGTCAAGACGCTCGAGACAAGCAGCTCGACGATGGTGCGCTCTACAAAGACGTAAAATGTCAGTTACTTCTATTCTATCAGTCAAGAGAGTAGGAACGTACCGTAGAAATCGCGGCCTCCGTTTAGCGGGTCGCCAAGGGGCAAATTCATGGTATAGTGGACACGTGTGATCGTGAGGCCCAGGAGTGTTATAGAGAGCAGCAGCTGCGATAGAGTCGAGTGTCAATTGTTGGGTGTCCTAGACGAATCGAAGGGCATCTGCGCGCACTTACGAGCAGAATGTAAAGCGCCATGCGCAATGACGGCATACTGGACCCAGCGTAGGCCATGGTGTCGATGTTATCCGAGTAAGTAGGTGAGAGACTGACAACTTAAGCAGTCCTTGGAGAGACGACAGTCGAACGAAGGCCTGCCCCTCCCTGGCCTCTATAACTACTTCCCCAGAGCGCACCATGAGGTGTACACGACGCTAGGGAATGAGGACCTAGCCGAGGATTGGGGCGCGAGGAGTCATGAGCTACATTCAGTTCTTCTAATCGAGCCTTCATAGAACGCTCAACAGCCGTAGCGGGGTCAGGAGATCGCTCATTCCCCAATCGCCGTGGACTCCGCGAGGCAGTAGGTGTAGTGAAGGACGCAAGGATGACGTGTGGCTGAGGAGAGAGATCCTATTGTGAGTCCATACTTCTATCATTGATCATGACATGCGCGGCGAGCATGGCGGAGTGCAAATGCTCATGGCCGTCGAGTTCAAGACGAACATCCCACGAGCATGGGCGCTCGGCAATTGCCGCTCCGCCGGGCGCGTCGGTGGCGTCAGCACGCCGGCAGTCTCGGACGCGTACCCCACGCTTGCGATCCGGCTTACACGCAGCAGCGACGGTCACGATGATTGCGAGTCTCAATGTCCCTATCTCTCGCCCTTGTCCTGAACCGCCATGTCCGACGTACACCTCCTCGTCCTCGTCCACGGCATGTGGGGGCATATAGGTACGAGCATACGCGTTTGACTTGTGTGGGCGCAATGAACTCAGCGATGATTAGGCCATCTCGAGCAGATGAGACGTGCCTCGGAGGCCATTAAGCCCACGGATGGGTGCAGACTACACGTCTTGCGGCCGGTAACAAACTCGGAGGAGCATACGTACGATGGCGTCGACTGGGGAGGAGAGAGGGTCGCGCAGGAGGTGCGTCGTGCGATCGGCCCAATGGACTTAGATTAACGTCGAGACAGATCCTGGATGAAGTGGACAGCCTGAAAGACAAAGGCGACAAGGTCGTCAAGTTCTCGATCACTGGCTATAGCTTGGGCGGGCTCATATCACGATACGCCATAGGGTACGCCTCGTACTCCCCACCGTTACAGGCTTACTAAACTCAATTAGGATCCTGAAGCAGAAAGGTTTCTTCGACTCCATCATCCCTGTCAACTTCATCACCGTCGCAACGCCTCACCTTGGCCTCATCAGGTCCGTCGAGTACAGTCTGGCGTCGCCTAAATAACGCTTAACCTCCTGCCAGATATCGGACAACACTCTATACTCTATTCGCATATTTCGGCCCCAAACTCCTGGCCCGTACTGGCGAACAGTTCTACTCTGTCGACAAATGGTCAGCGAACGGGCGCCCGTTGCTGGAGGTCATGGCAGATCCAGGTAAGATCAGGGACCTGGATGTATGCGCTGGTTTACCAATCATATGTGCAGACCGTATTTTCTATCAGACCCTACGGTCTTTTCAGCGCATCGCTATCTATGCTAATGCGTACGTCCACCGTATGTGCTTCCGTTGAACGTCGCCAACCTTTTTTTCCAGCGTGAGCGACCATACTGTTCCATATATGACTGCCGCAATAGACCTGGACGACCCGTTTGCTGATATGGAAACGAACGGACTACAAATGTGCGTACATAGCGCCGTCACTACCCGCACTTCCACTGATCACCTTGGTGCAGAGAATTGAACGAGAAATACAACAACGCCATAATCCTATCCTACCACCTACCCGACGAGCCACCCGCGAAACAGCACAGCAAATTCGACGCCCGCAAGCTGGCGACTAGCGCCGTGAGTTTGGTCAGTATGTCGGGCTTGCGATTCCGCCTCTGACATTGCTGCAGCTGCTGTACGCCGCTGTGCCGCTCATCGCACCTATCGCCATCCCCTACGCCATCACGCGCTTCATGCGCGAGTCGCGCTCGTCCCGCGCGCGCATCAAGCTTCTCAAGACGGACGAGACGCTCGCGGCCATGTTGGAGAAAATGGAAGCGGACGTGGAGGGAATGGTGGTTGGCTCGCCCACAAGCCCGACTTCGGAGAGGGAGAAGGAGAGTGCGGTTCCCATGGCGGACGTGGAGGTGGATATCACGGAGCAAATGCACGTCCTGCAGGTACCTAGGCGGTCGCATTCGCCGGACGCGACGATAGCGTCCTCAAGGCCTGCGTCGTCGGAGGGGACGCGCGCGTCCACTCCTGCTCAGGATGTTTCGACGCCGGCATCGTCTCCGCCCACTTCGACGTCCGTGATCGCGACTGCGCCAGAGGGGACGACTGCGAAACCCCTGCACCGCACCCGGTCCATGTCTCAGCTTTCCACGTCGTCGAAAGAGCAGAAGAAGTGTCATCGCCGCAAGGAAAAGGTTCCGCACCCGGTCACGACGCCGCTTCAGCACAAGATGGCTGAGCAGCTGAACGCGTTGCCATTGGTCAAGGTGCGCTTTCATCTCTGGCGTGCTGTGGAAAGCTGGTTGTTGATGAGCACGTAGGTGCGCACTTTCTTCCCGGGTGCGGTGAACTCGCATGCGGTAATTGTGTGCCGCGACTTGGAGACGTTCAGTTGGCAGAAAGCGGGGCAGGGCGCGCTGAGGCACTGGGCGGATAACTTTGTCGCTTGAAGGACATGATCACTTCGGTGCTCGCAGACGCCGGGGGTGATGGCCGCCATTATTTATGCCATTGTGAGTGTTTGATTCGTTCCGTTTTCCGCATGGATTAGCGCTGACCGGCAACATAGACTTGGATATCATCATTTTCTGTATTTATATCGAGGAATTGTAGAAGTCATCATTGTTTGGCGTCGCATTCAACGAAGCAGAAAGTGTTCTCTTAAACCCATGTAACATAATCCATACACCCTTGAATTCCCTGATTCTTCGCAACTCCCCCAAGCAGCAGAACTTCTACAACATGACCATAGCAGCGCCAAACATAAGACCGCCGATCTCTACGGCGATGACCGGAGCCACCACACCTCCAACAAGGAAGAATTCGTGGTGCAAGCCGGAAGCCGCGTTGGAGTCGGTCGCGCTCGCGTCCGCGTCGGACGTGGTGGAGGATGGGCCAGTGGACGTCGCGCCCGATCCTGACGAGGTCCTTGTGCCGCTAGCACTCGATGCGCTGCTACTCGCCGACGCGCTGCTGGTCGCCGACGCGCCCGTCGATGTCGCTGCGGAGCCGGACTCTGACGTCCCGCCGACTGGCGCAAGGTCAGTCATCTCGCTCGGGGGTAGAGGGGTTATGGCACGCACTAGCCGCGCACTCGGCTGCTTGCAGCTGGAGGGCCGTCTGCTGCTCCTCTTCTGTGCAGTTGTCTTGCAAGCAGGACTTGGCGTCATCTTGGAAGCTTGCAGATGTGCACACGCATTGCAGGTCCGTGCTATGAGATCGTCAGATCGAGGGAGGGTGGGTTAGGGGCAGGGATACTCGCATCGACGAGCAGCCGTTCGACGACGCGGCGTCGCTCTGTGTCTCGTGTCAGCGAACGCTCAGGTGTGGGATGTCGTGCGCACCGAGCATTGCAAGATGCAGGCTGAGATGCCTGCAGTGCTCGTGGCCGCCGCACTGGTAGCTGCAGACGTAGAGTCCTGCGCGAGGGCGGCCGTAGCAAAGACCAGGAGAGCAATGGGCGCGAACTTCATCTTGCGCAATGAGGATCTCAAAATGCAGGGAGGGACGGGTCAAGCAGGAGATTCGTCGCAGAGGAGCGCACGCAGGACGCGCGCTTTTAGTGCGCGGACCTATATAAATGGTGGCCGTCTCGGATGTCATCTCGAAGGTCAGGCGGGACCCCGACGGTCGAGAGCACCGAGCCGCGCCTTGCCCGCTGAATGGGCTCGTGGCCACGAACCGTCGGTGGGGTGACATCGAGGATCGAGTTTTATGGCATGATTCCCCGCGTGCACGCTGCAGAACGCGGTCTCGGCTGTTGAGCATGCCGCTGGGGCCACCAACATTGCAGGCATCGACAAAGTTCTCGAGGCTGTTGGTCTCGGATGTCCGGTCTCGAGTGTCACGAATATTGGAGAAATGGATAAATAAAGTAGGGGATAGATAGAAATGTCTACGATAGATACTGTTGCTTCCGCGGAAGAAAAGTCCAGAGAAGCACATGAGTGCGAAGAATGAAAGAGGAGGAGCGAAAAGAAATCAACTCTGGGAAAGTAACGGCAGGGGTCGCTGACGGAATTCTCTAGCAGACGAAGGAGCGAAGCAGTGAACAGCAACGGGGTGAAAGTTATAATACGGCTATCGCCCCAACGAAGAAACCTCCTGCAGTTGCCAATCCGGCACCCATGAGGTTGTTGAACGATAGATGTACGTGCGAAGCGCCGTTGCCGTAGTTAGCCCAGCCAGCTTCTTGTGTTGATATTTGCGTGGCAAGCATGCTGGTCTTCGTGGCATCTGAGAGACCAATCAGCGATGTGCACAGCTCACAATAAGTCGAGGACAACGTACATGCGCCACAGTTCCCTTTGATCATGCCTACCGCCGAGTCCCTCTGGTCCGCGGTGCATTCCTTCTTCAGGCAGTTCTCCATATCGCTCATGAAGTCCTCTGAATTGCATACGCAAGGGAAATCACGGCTGGGAGAATGGGTCAGCGTCGGAGCGTGCGTCTTGTAAGGACGCCTACATGGACGTGCAGCCATACTGCCTGGCGATAGGGGCCTGCACAAGTGTGGTCAAGACGATCGGCAGAAAGACCATGCTAGAAGTACGCACCGTGCAGCCGACGATACACTTCTGTGAGTTCGGCTGAGCAGACTCGGTATGTTTCGAACTCGATGCTGTCTTGGAGCCGTGATGGGTGGTGGTGTCCGAGTCGTCCGCGTCGGTACTTGTCTCATCGTTGTCGTCCTGTTCGTCGTCGTCCCCGGAAGTATCCTTCTGCGCAATAGCGACGACGGCGAGAAGCAAAAGGAATAGCGTAGACTTCATGACGGAGGAAAGTGTAGATGGACGGCGTTCTCTCACAGGGAGGAAGGGGAATCACACCAAGCGGCCTACTAAGATGCCTTTTGAAGCACCCATGTTCGTATGGTTTTCGCGAGCGAGATCTTGGCTGAGCTATGTCATGAAGGAAGGCGCCAAAATGGTTTCATTTGCAGTGGCGTATCAATAGTGTGTGCATGGACCTCGGAGGTCGACAGACCAAATGCGCACGATATACGAATTGCACTTGGCCTGGTCGAGGAAGAGTTTGCGCCCGAACGGGAGCGATGAGGAAATAGGAAGAGCTGTGTTCGTCTCCGATCTCGAGTTTATATCGCAGAAGAACCTGCACGGGCGTTCTTCACTGAGATGATCGATAGTCGAGGACTGTGTTCCAATGATTTCGAGGCGTAGTTACGCCTTCTTCTGTCAGCCTTCCTGAGCTATCACAGCGGACATCGGTGGCGAAGAAGACAATGCCTTGTTAGACGCCTTCAATCGCGTTTGCGAGCGGGCCCGTGCGGATACGAGCAGCGAATAGCCTCGTTCGGTTATGCCCTAACCCATGCGAGAAGTCGCCCAGGGAGCTACGTCGAAGCCAGAGATACGATGAAGCCACCAGTATAAGAGTTGCATTCGTCAAGACATATCCTGTCGCAGAACAAGACTCAGTTCACAACCAGTCTTCATCAACATCGTGGTTGAGTTCAAGATGCACTCCGGCCAGTTGCGGTTCAGAACCACCGACGGCAAGTGCCGCAAATTAGTATGCCGGCGGATCAAAAAAGAAGCACCAGGACCTACCGCCGCCCACATGTTCATATTCCATGTGGCTAACCGCTGATGCAGACCGAGAGCTTATTCAAGGTGCTCACGGGATAGCGGGCGCCCGTTGGTATCAGGCGACGTATTCTGAAGATGGGTCAGAGGATGCGAGGATAGAATATAGGACGTCAGGCGCTGAATAGGCTGCGTCAGTACACTGAACATGATGAGGCCCACCACGCGAATGAGGAGCCTCCGCCGCCCGCCTGAGATGACCCCGGTTTGTTGGACAGTCAGCCGAGCGCGTGTGGGGAGGATGGCCATTGTATGAGATCGCCCGAGGGAAAATGGCGCGCGTACCGTGTGACCAGGTCACGACTTGCGAGCGGAGGGCTGAAGGATGCGCCCAGCGAGGGACGGTTCTCAGGTTGCTGGGATTGCGCAGGACAATAGCACATGCCATTGAGCGTTGCCAGAATCAGACAGCTCTTACAGCCGGTGGGCCTTACCTCACCTCAGTGCCGTCTGCCGTACTGTATTCCGTTCATCAACGACCGCGCAAGCGACGCCGGCGGAGATCATCAAGAAAACCCGTGCGATAGAGTCCGTAAGTATACAAACGAAGTGCGAGTAACTAAGACAGCAGATGAGATGGGATGCGCTGAGCAAGTCCACCGATAGACCAACTTAAACCAGGAGAGCGAGAACCAACAGGAATGCCGGGATATGTCGAGAGAGGCGGGCTCGTCAGCACAATGCCTTGTCCCTCTCCGCATACGGCAACGGTGCTAGAATACGTAATTCTGTGCAGCGGTCAGTTCAGCGCTCGAGGCACGCAAGCGCAGCCAGGACTGACCGACGACTTATTCGTCTGCGCTTGCGATTGCCGTTCGGCCGCGTATGGGTCCCATTGTCTAGACCAATTCGCGTTGAGATTTGTCGGAAGCGTAGGCTGCGGCGCGCTGACAGGGACAGAATATGGCGCCGTGTCGAAGTAGCTTGGGTCCAAAGGCGGGAGACCAGCTGGTGGGAAGGGTGGCATGGAAGCCCTCCCAAGCATACTAGCGCCAGCATGCGTGAAGAACGGATCGTCGAGACTGGCGTTGGTGGCCGGCGGGAACGCGCCTAATGACAGATCGTTGGGCATGGAGAGCATGCTTTCCTGCATAGACCGTCGGCGCTGTAGCTCCATGTTCTGCCGCTGCAGGGCCTGCTCGTACGCGCTAGCGGCGTTCGGAAGCATGGGGAAGCAGCGCATGGCCTCGAACTTGGTGCCAACGAAGATGTCGGAGGACTGCGCTGATCTGGGCATAGCGGCGCACATGGACGGGTCGGGGAGTGATGGCGTGGGAAGCGGGGGTAACTGGTCAGACCACGACGGCTCGGGCTTGAGCGCTATACAGGAAGAGAGCGAAGAGGTCGCGTCAGGGTTGATGGGGGACAGTGGTGCGGCGCTTGAGGACGGGGACGCATTGCCAGCGGAGGTCACGGAAGAGACGCTCTTGCGGCGTTCGTACGGCGCGGCGGAATCACGGCGCGGACGGGTCGCTGAGGTTGAGACGAAGCGGGTGATGCTGTTGTACCTGCCATCATGCAGAAATCAGCGACCTAGCCGAGAGGGTACACGCGCCGCTGAGTACGGACCTGTTCTTAGCTGCGAGCCCCGTCCGGCCGGGAAAGTACGTTTTGACGATCTTCGTCCAGACCTTGCCGTGTTCGTTGACAGCGCGGATGAGCAGATCGTCCTGCGCCGCCGTCCACGTAGTGCGATCTATGGCGGGATTCAGGGTGTCTGTCCACCGCTTGGCGCATTCTAGGGGGAGGGTGAGAACGACCGACGCCAGAAAAGTGGTGGGCCTCACGATCGCTGTTCCGCGTCTGGACGACTTGGGCGACAAGGGACCATCTGCGACGTCGCTCGATCAGCTGAGGGGATAGGAATGAGCTGGAAGGGGCGCACCTTGTCCCGTGTTTCTCAATTGCCTTCACCAGACGCTCGTCCTCGTCGGGTGCCCAACCACCTTTCACGACGTCTGTCGCCATCTTTGCAAACCAGCGCTTCCGGCAGTCCTTGTTCGTGCGTCCCGGGACGTGCTTGGAGATAGCATGCCACCGCGAGGGGTTCGAGTTATTGGGATCCTCTAAGCAGCGTCAGAGTGGTACAATCGACGACGCTCGGGGGACGCACCAAGCTCGACGGCCTCCCTGAGCAGCTGATCCTCCTGCGCGGTCCAGGACCTGCGTTCTCTTCCGAGGGACGACATGGCGGGCGGGGGACAAGGGGACGGCGTCGGGGGTCGCAGCGGAACGTGAAGAAGAGGGTCTGGTGGGGTGCGGCGGGGGGTATTAATATGAGCAGGGGTGGTGAGCGTATGGGGATCGTTCTGGCTCAAGGGTCCAAATCAAGCGCGCAGTTGGGGGCCCGGCCGCAGGGAAGGGGATAAGCGTCTTCTGATGTGATGGCAGATGTTGACAATACACACGTCACGTGCGCCGCATTGGCCGGCTCGTATGCCTCCGCCCGACGTCGAGACGGCGTGAGATTTCGCGATATTTTACACCATCTACAAGGTTGATGCTCTCGACGATCTACACGCTTTCTCCCTCGGAATAACGGCATGGACATTGTCGCATTTTTACGCGCCGCCACACTTGCATTCTCCTGTCTCAGTTTCACCACGATCCTTGCTGACTCCTCCGCGACGAGCTCCTTCATTGCGGGTCTGCCGGATCGTCAGGACGTCAATTTTAATGCTAGTCACGCCACACGTCAAGTGCCTGAACTCGCAGAGCTCGCGCAGTCCATTTCCTCTGCGACGATGGGAAAATCGCAAAATACCTGCGAGGAGGCCTCGGCGCCTTCCTGATCCCTCTGTAGTCCGCGCACAGCACCACGTCACTTCCCTGGCTCCAGCCCGCGTGCTCATTGCTCTGGTGCAGGACGAGAGCGCGTCGAACGTGACCTCTGACACGGACGTGTACCGCTGTATACACCTGTTCCGAAGCGCCCCGTGGCATGGTCGACGGCCATTCATCGCGCGCGCCTCCCAATCAAGCGTCATCTGCCATCGGGAGGAGCACGATGGAGTCTCCATGTAAGAGTACAATGGAGTGTTCGCACCTGTCCACCAAGTCACGGTCGCAAGGATCTGCTCCGCCGCTGGCGCAACAATCGTCCCGCGATCTAGCGACAGTGGATGCTTCGAGCTGTGATGCCGGGAGCGTCAGCCTGCGATGGGACCTCCCCCTCGAGACTGACGTTCTCCCGGGGGGCATCAGGAGGCCGCCTTGGCGATGCGTTGCCGGTGCATGCATTGAGAAGCGCTCGTGCTCGTCGGTGATACCTAGGGGTCACATTGCACTGTCTTCCCACCCTTTTGCACGGCGTCAGTCCAGCCTGCACTGGCGTACGGCAAACAGACGCACCGCAGGTCTTCCTCCCCCGAAGATGCATACGCGTCTTCCATCCCTGAAAACGCATCCAGTTTCCACGATCGCGTATAGTACTGCTTCTCCACGGTCGCGTTTATGGCGTGTCCATGTCTCTCACGAGCAGTGACCGTGTCTTCTCGAGCAGTGGCATGTACATAAGAAGCCCACACGCAGAAGCGCATGATAAGCGCCCAGCAGGTCGGTACTTCTCGTACTCCCAGTCGGTAGTCCTTGTAATCCCCGTTGGGACTTCTATGAAGCCCAGCAGGCCGGTACTTCTGGCAGGCCTCGTTGTTCTATTCGTAGAACCTCGTTGATACTTCTTGTGCAACCCGTCGGCTCTCCTTGCAGAACCCTAGCAATCCCTGTATCCTTGCAGCATGCCGTGAGCGAGGCGAGCGTTGCCTTCATATCGCGAAAGATGTCTGTCTGTATGCCGTTAATGAAGCAAGCAAAGACGATGATCACCCCCTTCGCGAAGCCGTATCCTCTCATTCGCCCAAGCGATCGCCTTCGTTATCCCAGGCGATCGCCCTTCATCGTTTAGGCGACCTCAGATGAGGTGCTTCTGCGGCAGATTGGTGGACAGGCGATTTACGAGCACGCCGCGAAGCAGGCCACAACCTTGCCGTGATAGACACAGGATAAGCCAGCGCGAACCAGGGCGCAGGCAGCGCACGCCTTCTGTATCTGCTGAAGTCCTTCCGTATCAGCGCGAGTGTCCTGTAGCTGCTCGACAGTATTCTGTGTCGGTTGGGAGGTTCTGCAGCGACTGCTTGAGACGGCCTGAATATTTCTGTGGCGGAGACGTGCTTCCGCTGTTACGAACTGAGGCCCCTACCAACTGAGCTCCCCGAATGTGCAGAGGCGCTCTGCATCGGTTGAGTGCTTCGGTATGGTTCTGTAGTCGCAAGCATCTTCCGAATTAGCCAGCATCTTCGCTCCGGTTCGTATCGTCGCCGCTAGAGCGTGGCAGCGACCTGATCATGGGAGGGGGTGCTGTGATACGGGAGGTGGGACCGTGTCCTCGAGAGATGGCAGATACGCAGACAAGAGATGGTATTGGCAGATACGCAAGAGATGGTACGCGAGGAGAGATGGGGAGGCCACAATCCCTTCGCCGCCGGCGAGCAACGGCGAACAAGGCGGCGAAATGCAAACAAGTGCAAAGTTGAACTTGCGCGCGTGAACAGTTGACTGTTCTCACGAGCCAGTCGCGTATCAAACGCCCGTCGAGCGAGGAGAGGCCGAAGACCCAAGGCAGGCCGATCAGATATCAAGATGGAGGGGACTGCCGAAGCGAGCGTCATGGGTGCTGGAACGAGTTGTATCGTGAAGGCGACCGCATATATATTCGCGAGTTATTGCGCTGATAGACGAGGATATGATCTAGATGATGGAGTGGAAACCCTTTTGAGAGACAGAACGCGTCGCAGCGAGCGGTTGAGGGAAAGATGGCGGTTTTAGTCAACCGGACCGATTGGCCGAATCACGGTCGAAGTTCAACGTTCAACCGTGACGCGCGTGACCCAGCGTGCGCATTGCGCGCGTAGGATACACAACCCTCATTATGTCGTCTGAGGGGAGAGAAATTCTAGTGATTGAAATTCTACCGAGGGTGTTCCGCCGGGTGGAAGTCCGCTCGCTGTCAACCAGGATGGATAGGGAGGATCTTCGCCTGAGTTCGTTTCTATCTACCTACCTATCGTACATACTTCGGTATTCTTGCATCGATGATTGGAGGCTGCAACTTGAAAGCAAAATACTTATCCAACAAGTTACACCGTAAATCGAGCCCCGCCTCTCTCATCTCCACCATCCACTCGAAAGCCTCAGCATGATCCTCCACATAAGTACGTTCGCACGCCTCGAAAGACGAAAATGCGTACTGCCAACCATCGTCTGGCCAGAGGTCTGTCCGCTGATCGAGCTCGAAGTGTTGGAGCATGGCCCTTCCTAAGATCACAGGCCGTCTGCGCGACTCGACCATCGCCTTTATATCGTCCATGTCGCGCCGAATCCAGTCACTATGCATCGTATGCATCGACAGCCGCGTCAGGTTGGGTAGCAATGGGGCACTTGGGTCGTGTGCTCTGAGCAGCACGCCGTCAATGACCAGCGAGTGCCCGTACACGTCCTCCTGCCCAAGGTACTCCCACGTCGCCAGCTCGGTGACGCCCGGCAGCTCGCACAGGACTCGATCAAGTATGTCGCCGCTCTCTCCGCTCTCGAAGGTCTCCACGCGGAGTGTGAGGGAGGTAATCTTGTCCCCGCAGCGGCGGGCGAGGCGGAGGAGGGCGAGGAGCTCCTTGTTCAGATACCGCTCGGGGTCCTGGACGTCGATGTGCTCCATGCGAAAGACAATTCTGTGCAGGGAGGGCGCGGTCAGGTCACGGCAGAGCTCGGTCGCCTGATTGTTAACGTCGAGGACCTGGAGCGCGGGAAGAGTGAAGGGCACGGTGTCCGTGCCGCTGCAGGCGGTCATGGATACGGTGAGGTGGGTGAGCAAGGTGCAGGGCGAGAAAACGTCGATGAGATCGTGGAGAGAGTCGTCGTAGGCACCGAGTTGAAGGTCGAGGGAGAGGAGCTGGGCGTAGGGGAGGGTGATTTGAAGAGGGCGGAGGGTGCCGGCGATGGTTGCATTCGTGAGGAGAGGCGCCTGAATTGTGAAATCGGGACCGATGATGTCCTCCTCATCCGAGTCGTCCTCCGTGCCTGCCTCGTCGGATTGCCCGATATCCAGGCAAGGCTCCTTTGGGATCACACCAATGTCGAGCTTTCTCAGCAGCGGCGCATTAAGCTCCGTCACCTTCATTGCCACGACAAGGGGAAAGCTCAGTCGAGCCTGTTCCCAGCGCACCGACTGTCTAAGAACGTCTTCCCAGAGTAGCACTTCCTCTGCAGTAGAGACTAGACGCCGAGATGTAATATGTATGTGAACGGGGAGCGGGTTCGAGCGCGCTAGAGCGGCGCGCGCAAGATGACTGCTGCCATCTGTTAGATAGCCATCCACCCATATGCGTGCCCATAGTCTGGGGCTACCCAGCGTGATCTGGCGCCAATATTGGCAGACGTGTGCGGAGAGCATGTTCGTAACAGGTTGCGAGAGGAGGAGAAAGATGCATTCGAGTAATTCGACCGAGAGGCGGTGAACGGGGGGAATAGTGCCGTCAGGTGAGTTCATGGTGGTCTAGCCTGTCGATACAAGCGCGAAGTCCGCCGTCGAAAACGGTGCTAACTGGCGTGGAAGCGAGCGGAGGAGAGGAACAGAAGTCACAGCAGTCACCGCGTTACTTGTCGTCACACCGTGCCTCGATCGATCAAAAACGGCTTTTGATTCAAACGCCCATTGTTCTGAACAATGGCCGAGGTTCATGATCAGTTTGACACCATCTTGATCCTCGACTTTGGCTCTCAGGTGTGTCTTCACCTGTCTTTATCCCAAAGTCGAGCTTAGCAGCCGTAGTACAGTCACTTGATTACACGACGATGCCGCGAGCACAATGTATACGCCGAGCTGCTTCCCTGCACCACGAAGCTTGCGGACGTCAAGTTTAAGCCCAAGGGTATATCGCACGCGTTACCCCAGATGACACTGCTCTGAACTGCTCGTGGAGGTATCATCCTGTCCGGCTCGCCCTATTCCGTGTACGACAAGGACTCGCCGCATGCCGATCCTGCCATCTATGACTTGGGCGTGCCGATCTTGGGCATCTGCTACGGCCTGCAGGTAAGTCGATTGCGCCTGCATGACCCCGCCACGCTCATCGCCCCTACGGGATAGGAAATTGCCTGGCACATGAAGGGCAAGGTCTCCAAATGCGACCACCGCGAGTACGGCTTCGCGTCGGTTGACATTAAGAAGCTCGGATCCAACTCGGCCGCAGATGCACTCTTTGAGGGTCTTGGGGACTCGCTTGAGGTATAGACGCGTCTCTTATTCCCGCTATACTGGTCCTCATGTGAGTCCAGGTCTGGATGTCGCATGGTGATCAGCTCTCGGAGCTACCGCCCAATTTCCATGTCATTGGCGCGACAAAGACGGCACCTTACGCGGCCGTCGCACACGACACCAAGCCCATCTACGGCATCCAGTTCCACCCGGAGGTCACGCACTCGCCGCGCGGTCGGGAGGTGATTGGGCGCTTCATCAAGAACATCTGTGGGTGCCGCGCGCACTGGACGATGGTCCGTTCGACCTTGCATCCTAGTCAATAGCTTGCTGATGAAGTAACAGGAGGAATTCATCGGCAAGGAGATCAACCGCATCCGCTCAATTTGTGGCCCCAAGGGACGCGTCATCGGCGCCGTTAGCGGAGGTGTCGACAGCACCGTTGCCGCGAAACTCATGCACGAAGCGATCGGCGACAGGTAGGGTCCCAGACACAGCACGTCGAGCGCCCACTGACGTGCGTCCTCCCAGATTCCACGCCATCATGGTCGACAACGGCGTGCTGCGCCTGAACGAGGGCAAGCAGGTGCACGAGATGCTTAACCGGGATCTGGGGGTCAATCTGAAGGTCGTCGACGCGTCCGACCTCTTCCTGTCGCGCCTGGAGGGCGTGGAGGACCCTGAGCAGAAGCGCAAGATCATCGGCAACACCTTCATCAACGTCTTCGAGGCGGAGGCGGCGAAGATCGAGGCAGAGGCCGAGGAGGACGAGAAGAAGGGTGCGGACGCTAAGGGCCGGATTGAGTGGCTCCTTCAGGGCACGCTCTACCCGGACGTGATCGAGAGCATCAGCTTCAAGGGCCCTAGCGCGACAATTAAGACCCATCACAACGTGGGCGGCCTGTTGAAGGACATGAAGCTCAAGCTTATTGAGCCGCTGCGCGAGCTGTTCAAGGGTGCGTATATCTTTTCCATTCCCACCGCGCTTATGCAGTGACTCACTGGGCCCCCAGATGAGGTGCGCGCGCTGGGCCGCCTGCTCTCTATCCCCGCGCCGCTCGTCCAGCGGCACCCTTTCCCCGGCCCCGGCCTCGCCATCCGCATCCTCGGACCGGTGACGCGCGAGCAGGTCAAGATCCTACAGCACGCGGACAGCATTTACATCGAGGAGATCCGCAAGGCAAACTTGTACGACCAGATCGCGCAGGCGTTTGCAGTCCTGCTCCCCGTCAAGGCGGTCGGCGTCATGGGCGACAGCCGGACGTACGAACAGGTCATCGCGCTGCGCGCGGTGCAGTCGGAGGACTTCATGACCGCGGATTGGTGAGTGAGTGCGGAGCGATACCGACGGGGTGCTTATGATTATGTAGGTTTGTGTTCCCTGCGGACGTGCTCCGGAGGATATCGTCGCGAATTACGAACGAGGTGTCGGGGATCAATCGTGTCACGTACGATATCTCCTCTAAGCCTCCTGCTGTAAGCGATTTTACAACTCGGGACCGTGTAACCGCTGACTTCAGCGCAGACCGTCGAATGGCTGTAGAGCCCTCGTGAGGGCGTGTATTTCTGCTGCTTGTTGTTTGTTGTACACCCTAGACGTCCTTGCTATCGAATGCCGCTCCTTCCTGGCCGCCTTTTCTGGGTTACTCCGGATTTGCTGTCGCCTCCTCGCCGCAGATGTTCTATGAAGTCTTCCACGACGTGAAGATGGCCAGTATTCCTTCATGGCTTCGCCTCATGAAGAGACTTCGCATGGGTGACCTTTGCGTGATCGCCCTTGTATTCACTCTGACCAGCGCTACGCCCATCTGAAGTGGCAGCCCGCGTCGAAGAAGGATTCGTGAGTGTACTTTCTGGTGCTATGTCGGCGTATGTGCGCGTGGCCCCAGGGACTACTTCAGCATCTTCGTATAGCGATCTGACGCTAGACTTTTTCTGAGGTGCTTGCCTCTTCGACCTGGCTCCGGCGACACTCTGCTACTTGTTGTGGATCACTTCAGCAAGACCAAGATTGAAGCGGCGTACAACGGATAGTCGGAATGCTTCGATGTCAGTTCAAGCGGTCCCTAGTAATACTAAGACGAGTGGTTAACGTCTCCTAGAATTACGACATAGAAAGAGTGCCGTCACTAGAAATTCCTCGTGTCAAAGGTTGCGCAGACGGTGCGTGCCGCTACTAAGACGTTCTCGTTCGCGGCGGGGCAAAAGGTGGAGCTCGAGAAGTCAGAGTATGCACGAGAGATGAGGACGACATCATTTGTCCATCTCAATACTTTGGTTTAGTTTCCGACGACGCGGCTGTTGAGGGAGGTCAGCCTGCGTTCGCTCCGTTGCTGGAGTGACAGCGGCCAGCAGTGCTTACTTAGGTTCCCCGCCGAGAGGGGAGGGAACTGACTGTCGAAGGAATTGCATTCCCCTCGCATGTGCTGCGATACTGCCCCCCTGCCTAGAGCAGGATCTATGGAAGTATATAGCCGTGATCCGAGGAGCCGTAAGTTTGAATGTTACTACCGACGTACTTTTTGCAGCACTACATAGCGAAGAAGTTCAGATAGTTTGGCGTGTGCTTTGCACTAGTTTTGCGCGGTCTGCAGCAGCGCGGAGTCGGCGTGTAGTGCCGATCGATAACTACGTCGGTATCGATTAGGGGTCAAATCACCTCGTTGTGGCGTAAAATTGTGGACCGAGGAGCCGCAGGTTCGAATCCTGCTACCGACATTACGAGGCTTTGACTTGGTCAAGCCTTTTTGCAAAGCGAAACAGTACAGAACCCGTAAGGCCAGAAATGGCTTCCCCTTGCATCAAATCCATAGCAGCGAAATTGACCATCACACGCTCGTAAGGTTGCAGAGGTGGTTGGCACCGCCGGGGTCACTTCTTAACGCTAGCTAGTTAGGTGTTTTCCCAACCACTTTGTGCTTTCATTTTCAGAGCTGGTAGCGCGCGAAGCGCTGTAATCGAAGGCTCAGCGCAAGTTGATGCCTCGCCAATCACGCGACGATCACGTGTCGATTATTTTCTTGCATCTGACTCGGCATCTGCCGGATCCCCTTTGTTATGCCCCTCACTGCGTCTATCCCCAAAAGTACACCGTCAGAGGTATGGCGTGTTTTATACTCCAAGGCTATCGAGGTGGAGATAATCATATCATTCTCAGAAGGATTGACATGCAGAGCGAACTCAGGGATGAATATGCAAGCATCTCCGCGCTATACGACGTGCTTTTCCGCCTAAATAACCTGCAACACTCGGACAGCCATTCTTTGGAGTTCGCACAGCTCTCAACTCGTGCGCATACCCTGCTTCGCGCGAACCCTTTTCACGCGTTCTTTCGTACACCGCCCGACGATATGCCCGTGGATCGCTTCATCAAGATGCCCGAGGGGACTATAATGGTCGGGAACATAATCTCTTTCGGCTTGTGCGGTTCAATCGAATATCTTCGCCAAGATCGGGCCCTCCTGGAGTATATCACCGCGATTTGGCCGGAAATCTTCGACTGGATCTACTACATGTGCCCCCTCAACCACGAATACGACTACAGCAGCCTCGACAGCGCCACACTGAAAACCCTCACGATCACAATGGAGCGAATACAGACCAATCTACATGGCGTGACCCTGCTTCAGGCTTCTGAAGAGCAGATCGACGTCTTTCTTCATCCTAATCACAACGTTGCCCAGCTCACCGCGGATATTTATATGCGCGGGTCTCGAATACGAGACCTTCAAGCGAGATCAGGACAGGCAAAGCTCAAAGGATTTAGGGATGTGGTGCTTAGATCCACCGGGGTTCTCCTCTTGGTCTTGGATATGGCGCATAGACACCGCGGAGGTTCTGCATCTCAGGTGCTCTTGGCCGCCGCGAATGGTCGACCACGCCGGCTCTATAGCGCAGCGGGTCGATATTTGCGCACGGTACGCATCCAGGAGGCTAATTTGTGGGACTCGGCGGACCCGCAGGCCATATTCCTTCGCCAGCTGACAGGCAGGCCAGCCCTGGCCGTCCGCCGATACCCGAGCATTATGATCGTCGGCCTCATGAAGATGATTCGTGCATGGCCTACCAACCCATCTCCCCGGGGCGCGTCGTCCTTCCACAGGATCTACGACCTCATACTCACGTTCTGCACCAACGACCCGCACGCCACCGCTTGCTTCGTCAAGCACGGCCTCCTGGACCTTTTCTCCTTCGACATGCGACTTCCCCCGCGGGAGTTGACTCCTATCTTGGGCTGCATAGCCCGTGCGATTGTGTCCAGGAAGCCGCTCAAGGTCCTCTGTGGTCCACTTAACGCAGCGTTCAAGAACGACCCAGATCCAGAGCTCGCTGAGCTCGCTGCCGCCGCGGAGGTATACGACTCTTTGCGGGGTGTCGCTGCCAAGGATTGGAAGCGCGCAAAGCACTGCGCCAATATGAGGGTATGCTTCTCGGACTATAATGTGCATGCGACGCCTGACTGATACGCCCCTAGTGCTCGAGCCCGGCCGACGCGCAACTCCGCGCATGTACTTGTTCGCAGGCGCTGTATTGCTCTGTCTCTTGCCAGGCACTTCACTTGACGGAGGGTGACCATCGCGATCACTGCAATCATAATAGTGAAGATGAGGGTGAGGAAACTCAACGATCTGCTTTTGTTTCCGACTCTTCTCGCTGACAACCTGCCTAGGAAAAATGACTCCTCGTGACGTCCACTTTCTCTTCCACATCGTCCGTTTCCTCGTACTCGAACGTTTCGATGAGATCATGAACAAGGTCACTCCGAACCGCAGCGCACGAATAACCCTGGATATCCGCTCATGCGTCCCGAAAATCGGCTTCCAAGCGTCGCCCGTGTTCGCGCCAGAACGAACACAGTTCTGGGTCGATGCCACGATAGAATATCCTGGATGGCCAAACGCCCACGAGTTCATCTTCTATCCGACGGGCAGTGAAGAGCCCCATTTTATGCCCTTGACGCATGGGTATATGGGTACGACCACTACCTTTGACACCGCGTGTGTTTGACCTGATTGACCATAGATGCGTGGACTCGATATGACGAGCGACGCGCTCAAACAAGCGGCACTATTTCTCACGAATCATGATGCGTCTGCGATGTAGCATGTAGCATACAGCACATGTACACCCAGTACTTTAAGGCAGCACTCTAATGTGTATCCTAACTCTAAGCCCTGCGCACATCAGCAGGCCTACTCAAGCCGGAGTAGTCGGCGTTGCCGTGCCAGACGCAGGCGGCTCGTCCTTCGGCGCTTCGGCGGTGGTCGTGTGGTCCGTGAGGTAGGCCTGGAGGAACTTGCGCCAAGGTGTCTTCGACGGGACGAAGTGACCTAAAGGAAAAGGGACGAGCATCATGGTCAATACGCAGAGTGTATCTAGCGCCAAGATCTGCACTCACCCCCGTCATGATACTCCACGCGCTTGTTCGTCGAGATATCGACGAGAGATTGCGTGAGTTCGCTCGAGACGAAGTTGTCCGCCTTGCCGATGAGATGGAGGGTGGGCGTGGCGAAGCCGGAACCGTAGACGGCGTCAAAGCGCGGGTCTTGGAGGCGGTAGCCGCTGGCGGCGAGGCAGAATTCACTGAGGGGGAGGTGAGCGGGGTGGGCGAGTGGTGAGACAGGGGAGGGGGAGGAGCGACACGAGCGAGCGGGAGGGGGAGACTAGGGCGAAGTGCGAGGACACGTACAATGGCGGATGAGGTGGCTTGCCGTCGACTAGGATGTCAGGGTACGTCTCCGGCTTCTCGAGCTATGAAGGGAAGGCGGTCAGCCGGGGATCAGGTGTAGATGTATGCGCGCCTCACGATAGCTGCGAACAACGCCGCGACGGCAGCTCCCTGGCTTGCAACGTCGTGTCAGCGGAGAACGTTGGTGGACTGCAGAATCCCAATCGCACCTGAACCCGAAGATTCCCTATATGCGATGGCGGATTAGCACGCATACATGCAGGCTTCAAGAGGGAGGAAGGACGCACGTCAAACTTCTTCCCCTTCACGAGATCGCGGAGGACGGCAAGCGACTTGTCGATACCGTCGACCTTCCAGGGCTCCGTCCACCCGCGCAGGTCCTGCATGGGATCCTCGAGAGGGGGATCGCGGACGCCATCGTAGTTCTTGGTGGGCGCGAATGCATCGGTGGGATCGAGGACAACGGGGCCGTCGGCGAAGACTGCTAAATGCTTCCGGATTTGGACAGTACGAGGGATTTTCTAAGGCTACCCACCTGCGCACGAAAGGTCAGCTGGGTCCAATGCTCAGATAATGCGTTACGCACCAAAGTCGATCCCCTTGCACTGTTTCCTCAACGCTGCGATCTGGAGGCCCGTCAGCTGCTACTCTGTCCCGGAGCAGGCTTATGGGGACGCACTCGCTTGCTGAAGATGAGCCCGTTCTGCGCGTAGCCGTGGAGGACGAGGATGGTGCGGGCCATTGCAGGCTAACTTGCTTGAACTTGAAGTTGATGGTGAAGGGGAAAAAAGATGTTCAACCGACGACGTCGTCGTTGAGGACAAGGAGTGGAACCGGGTTGCTCGTCATTTTTGCCAGATATACAAATGCGAGATAGACGGCAGAGACTTCGCGCGCTGTGATCGATGTCGATCCGCGCCGACGTTCGAGTCTGCTTGAGTCAAGCTCGATGGCGACATCCTCTGGGTAAGCAAAGGTCGTGCGCGATGCCTCCGAGAACCTGGACGGGCTTCCGAGGGTTCCTGCTAGTCGTGGAGGGTGGTAATCATGGTGGTCGACGAAGTCGAGACTGGCCTGAAGCCTGCCGATGGTCGGCAGCGGCAAGAACGATCACATGCCATGCGTGTCGCGTACGCAAGCGGCGACAACAAGACGGTATCCGAAGATGCAGTGGTCGCTTTGCTGAATGTTCCTCTCCTGGCTCACACTTGCAAAGTTCCGCTGGAAGCCAGGACCGGGCCTGGCTGATCATTTGCAGAGTGACTGGCGTACGGTACTGGGACCGCACCCAAACCCAAATGTCGCTAAGTTACATGTAAATAACTACCAGTCCTAACCCAAGGCGTCCGAAGAACAGCGAGCACGATGTGCGCAATCAGTTGAAGTATATGTAAGTCGAGGTCTTCCGACAAGCTGGCAATCCTTAGACGAGCTTCGCAAGCGAGAGCTGGTTCTTGGTGACGTCCGTGCTGAAGTAGGCGTTCTTGAGGAACGTGTCGCCGACCAGCCACTCGTTGGCGCCGCCGACCGTGCCGGCCTGGATACCAGACACGCACATGCCGGAGCCGTCACCGAGATCCGCGAACGCGAGGTCGCGCGAGTCAATGTCGAACGACGTGCCGCCGAAGGCGAGCGAGAGCGTCTGCGCCGTGTTGCACGGCACAAGGAACCCGTTGACCTGGTCCTGCGCCGCGCCGTCGATCTGCTGGTGGATCGCGAGCGCGTCGTCGTCGGGGACGATCATGAGCGTGGTGCCGGTGTCGAGGATCGCGGTGCGGCCCTTGAAGCCGAGGTCCGTGCCGTCCATCGTCGCGCCGTCGAGGTCCGCCTCCCAGAAGCCGTCGGGGCTGACGTTGTCGACGGTGGTGAGCGTGGTGGCGTCGAACTTGGTGTCGTCGAGGCCGCCGAAAGTGACCTGGCCGTCGTTCAGGCCATCTGCGAGGCGGGGGATCTTGTACGAGACGATGGCGTCCTGGATCAGGCCGGCGGATGCGAGCGCCTCAGGCGGGGTAGGGACACCCTGGTTGGACAAGGTCTACAGTGTGATGAGCACGAGAATTGATATAGAAGCAGGACCAGGTGCTCACCGACTGCGCAAGGCCCATGAGACCGTCGAATGGCACGCTGTCGTCCGCAAAGTCATCGGTCTCCTGCGTCGCCACACCGAAGGTGTGGGCGTCGAGGTTCAGACCGCCCATGGCGATGTTATCCTGGACAATGGCGCCAGCGACAGCGCCGGTACCGTAGGTGACCTGGAACGGCGTCTTCGTCGCCTGGAACGAGCTCGAAGTGTCGCTGCCGAGGAACTGATGCTTGCCACAGTCACCGCCGGAGGTAGCGGACTGGCACTGGGTAGAGCCGACCCACAAGTCGGCGGAACCAGAGTCCATGAGGATCTCGAAGTCCGTCGGAGGCGTGCCCATCTGGATGGTCGAGAGGTAGCCGGTGTCGTTGCCCTCGATGTCGAGGCCGAGCGTGTTGTCGGTCGTGGGCGTGTTGGCCTTGGTGACGCCGTCGACCTGCTGGCCGCCATCGGCGGCACTGAAACGTCCGTCAGCGACGGCTCTCGCAATGGCATACGTCCTACTCACCCAGAAGCAGACCCAGCAGCAGCGCTCGCCGTCGCGGTAGCGTTACCGCTCGCAGCGCCGGCAGCCGCCCCAGAGGCAGAAGCACCAGCCGCCCCAGAGCTCGCAGCCCCAGCAGCAGCACCGGTGTTGTCGCAGTTGGGGTCCTGCTTGTTCTTATTGCCCCTATGCCTCGCCTCGATGTCGCGGCCCTGCTTGCGGCCAGCGTACCCGACCCGGTTCTTCCTCGCCTCAATGGACTGAGGCGGGAAGCGTCGCTCGGGCTCCTCAGGGTCGAGCCCGCGGAACTCGAGCGAGGGGTGCGGGCGGCTCGACGCATCGCCGCGCTTCCCGATAACGGTGTACGTGTACTCGCGCTTGTCTTCCTCGCCGCGCTTGTACCCGTGGCGGTTGAAGCGCGTCTCGAGCTCCTCGGGCGAGTAGCGGCGCGCGAGCATGGACGTCGGGATCGTGTCCACGCGGCGTTGGAGGCGCTCCCTCAGTTCCTCGTCAGAGGGCGGCGTGCGGCGCGTCATGTGCGCAAGGCGGCGGCTGCCGCGGTTGATGTGCTGCTGCATGCGCTGGGGAAGGGTCAGCATGGACGCGATCGGGCAGCAGGGGAGGGGGATCTCGATCATGTGATCGAGATGGGGGACGACGGCGACAGAGGTTGTCATGGACACTCACGATGAGCGGGTGCTCGTTCGACGGGGGGACCTGGCGGAGGCCCATGTGCACCATCCCGGGGCTGCGACGGTCGCCAACTGGGGCGGATGCCGAGGGCGCGGCGGCTGCATCAGCCGCGAGGAGCGCGCCGGCCAGCAGCGCAAGCGAAGACGTGAAATACATGATATCTCGAGCGTGCGGGACGGAGGAGACTCTTTGAAAAAGGAATGAACGTGAATGCGCGTGTGTGCAGGCGAGCTACGAATGGGCAGCGAACGCGAAGGGCGAAGGAGGAACTGGATAGGCACCCGGCCTGCGACGAAGAGAGGCGAAAGGAACGGGGTACGCAGTACGCCCTGCGAAATGACCGGGAAGAAAGGAACGAAGAAGGTAGCGGGGTGGGGAACGGGCCATCGGGGCAGGCTGCGTCTTTATATACGGCCTGCCACGCAGTCCAGGGGTGCGGTCGTCCGGTCGTCCTCGGCAACCGTTGACCTCCTCATCAGTTGCGCAGCGGACCAATCTCTCGGGATCCAATCAAATGTCGGTCACGCGCTAGTCACGGAGAATTGGGAGTTGAACTTGCACCAAGTTTGGACTTGTAGAGCTGGCTTCGGACTGGCATAAAGCAGGACTATGGTACATGCCGGTCAGGATAACGAGACTTACAGGAGAGACCAAACCACTACGAGCGAAGAATAGCCGCCAAGAGACGCGAATCAATATAGATGGCGGCCGGCAGGCACAATTACTCGTCTTCTTTTCCGGGCACACGCACTCGGAAGCTTCACAAACGCGCCTTCGCAAGGTCGTCTGCAGACTTCACGGAGGGCGGCTGCGGCCTCTTCGACGACTCCTTCAACGCATCATAGTACAAGTCCTCCTGCAACAATAGCGACACTTCGTCAGCGTCACGTCTTCCGAGCGGTGATCTCGGGCAAGGGCTTGTATACGGTGTCCGCAACTGCGTGCAAAGCAGGACGTGAAGAGAAGGGAAGATGGGCCGCGTATGTGAGACACCCAACGCACCTTGATCAACCCCCAAGCACCCGACTTCGCCAACGGGGCAACCTCGTCCGCAAGCTTCTCGGCGGCGGCGAGCACGTCGGCCGTCGTCCCGCCGTTCGCAATGCGGTCGATCAGCCCGGCCTTCAGCGCCTCCTGCGGCGTGAAGCGCTGGCCCTCGAGCGCGACCCGCCGATGGACGTGCGGGTCACCGACTTTCGCGCGCAAGATGGCAGCGAAGGCGTGCGGCCAGGGTGCGCCGAAGTGAATCTGGGGAATGGTTTACCGTCTGAGCGCAAGGAGGATGGGAAGGTAGAGGTGCGCACCTCGTTCATGCAGATCCATGCGTTGCGTTTGAGACCATCGGTCATGACGCGGTAATCGCAGGCGAGGCTCAGCATGAAGCCGCCCGCGAAGCAGTGGCCGTTGATGGCAGCAATGACGGGAACTGGCGAAGTTGAACGGACGTGGGGATGGATATGCGGACGATCACGTACTGGGGAAGGAGAGTAACCGGACGAAGAGGGGGTGCAAGGTGTCTGCAATGAGATCGACTGAGAAGGTATGTTAAGCAGAGAAAGAGAATATCGCACGGATGAAGAAGTTGGGGTTTGCGAGCGCGCGCTCGAGGTCCAGTCCTGTGCAGCATTAGCCAGACGCGCTCGGAGCAGCACAACCTAAGTCCACGCACCATTGCTAAAGAACTTGTCTTGATCCCTCTTTCCGACGATGATAAGTGCACCCTTCCCCTTCGTCTTGTCCGTCTTCTGCGTGCGCCACTGCGCGCGCCAGTCCTTCTCCACCGCGTCCAGCGCAGGCTTAATACCACCGTCGATCAGCTCGACATTCAGTCGCGCATCCTCTCCATTATGCAACTCGAGGACCCAAAGCGCCTCCTTTGCTAAATCGGTGCGGGATAAGTGGGGGGATCAAGCAGACGGGGTGGCGCACGCACGGCGGGTGAGGGTGACCAGGGGTGCGTTAGCAGGCAGGCTCAGAGGGAAGGCCATGGTGTGTATCAGTTGGGGAGACCGTGGAGGAGGAGGACAAGAGGCGTGAGGGCGCTTTGGTACGCGCTGGCAGTGAAGGGTCCCGTCATGTTTGGGGTCCGGGGCCGGATGCAAACATGTGAATTTCTAACATACGCGCAAGCGCCGAGCTGGTCATGGGGTCGCAGTCGGTAAGTACACAATTTATGTGACTTTGTGCTCGCCGAACTGAGGAGTGAACATGGTGGATGAGACGCGGGAAGGAATGGGAGATGAATTCCAGCCTGCGCCGGCGCAACCGTCATCAGTACACGAGGCAAATCCGAACTGTGACAGTAGGCGTCACGGTCCATATCGACTTTAAACGATTGTAAGAACGGTAACACGAGCAACGACAGGTACTTTTTAGACCTAATCCGACTCCCATACACCCGAGTCCCCAGGTAGATGAGGATACCAAGATCTCTTCTCCACTGCTACTCCACGCTCCCGTAGTCCTTTCAGCCATTGCTCATCGAACGCCGTATCATGATCGGGGTCGTCCCGCTTATTCCACATCTCAAACTTCTCCAGCTCTGGCAACCGCGCAAGTTCGGCGGCGAGCTGCGTCGCCGCCGCCGAGCTGTTCCACCCGGATACGTCAAGCTGCAGAGACAGAGTCCGTAGGGCTCTAAGCCTGCCGATGGCACAGATTTTAGGCAGCTCCGGTGGGGGCCTCCAGCGTGAACTGTCTGCTATGTGAAGATAAGTGAGCCCGGGTGTATGCTCCAGCATGGCATCCACATTGGACCAGATACGAAGCTGAGCGTTGATGTATAGGTACCGCAGTTCACCCAAGGGATGCCGCTGAGCAAGCATGAGGAACGCATCCCGATGGTTCTTTTGCGGCCCATGGTGATCGACGTTGACCGCGAGTCGCTCGAGCCGGGGTACGTGAAGGTAGCGGCACAAGAACACGGCCTCGTCGTGGAGAACGAGCGCGCGCAGCGTGGGTATCTCGACAACAGGGATGCCCTCTTCCCAGTCCACGTACACATTGCTAATCTCTAAGTGTTCGAGAGCGGTGCAGCGGGGAAGGATCTCGGTGACATACTCCTGCAGGGACTCGGAGCTCAGGCCGAGATTGAGGTGGGTAAGACGCTCCCACACAACCTCCACGACCGATGCGAAGAAGGGCTCGCCGATGGAGAGGCGACGAAGCTTGGGGGCGTTGGCGAACCACCGGAAAGCCAAGTCGTAGAACTCGATGGGGTAGGCTAGGTCGGGGTCTACAGGGCACACAACACCCGCTTCCTCGAGCTCCGGGATATCGATAGGCTCATCGTATGGAACGGGGATCGGCACGCCTTCGTCGAGTACGAAGCGCGCCACCCGCCAGCGTCGCGACTCTGCGAAAACGACGGACCACAAGTCGCTGATGCAGGGCAGCCCGCCCCTCAGCGCGTCCACGTAGCCTGAGACCCGGTAGTTCCCCATTGTGACAGACAGAGTCGCTCCCGCTGATCGCTGAAGATATTCGCGCAGGGCGGCCACATCCTCGTCGCGCCATCCGTCTTCGCTCCTGTACTGGGTATACGAGATACGCCGCCAGATACGCGGCGTTTGCAAGCATATAGCACGCCACCGACTGCAAACTTGGCTGATGTGGAGGCGCTCGGAGAATGGCCGTGAGCGGAACCAGTACGTGGGCAGGGCAGCGAGGAGGATTTCGATGAGGATCTCCGTAGGCAGGTCATCGATTCGAGCCATAGCATGCGAATTGCTGTGTATAGAGCTCTGACACTGGTAAGAACGACACATGATGCAGCTTTTAGATGCGCACTTATAGTCGTTTGAACCTGGATGGTGTTAGTCGCTGCTAAAGGACGATAAACCCCGAGGTGCTGCATCCCTGGGAAACAGGCTTGCCCTCACGTGATCGTTTTTGATGAACTGTGACAACATGCGTCACGAACCAGCCGCTTGAGCTCGACAGGACCAGTCTGCCTTGTGTATATTGAGAGGCCATGGTTCATGGCTTTGAAAGAGGCAGCTCCATTGTGATGTATCCGCCTTCGAAGCCGAGCTCCGGACATGAACTCGTCATCAGGTTGAAGACAAAAACAGCCTTTCCATTCTGTCAATGGTGAGAAAACCTCCGGACTTAGAGTTTCAATTGAGGACAAGTATTGCCAAAGATTTCAAACCTGGGTTTGAACTTAATATGGCCCCTATACTACGTCTGAGTCTCTAGGGAGCTGAACATATTCGCGGTGCTTCTCTATCACTACTCCGCGCGCGCGTAGTCCTTCCAAGCGTTGGTCATTGAACTCCGAATCATCGAGACCCTCCTCCACATTCCACATCTCGAACTTGGCGAGGTTGGGCAGTTTCAAAAGCTCCGCGACGAACAGTGCCGCTATGGCTGGACTCTTCCACTCGCCCTCGTCCATCTGCAGAGACAGCGTTCTCAGGGAGGCAATCGTGCCGATACCACATATTTTGCGGGGTTTAGCGACACGATTGAAGACTCGTCGTGCCAGACAGTAGTCGATGTGCAGGTAGGTAAGCCCAGGCATGCGTTCCAGCATGGGGTCGATATAGCGCCAGTTGTCGAACCAACTCGTAAGATATAGCTGACGCAAATCACCGAGGGCGTGCCGCTCGGAGAGTAGGAGGAATGAGTCGCGGCGGTCCTTGAGGCAGTCATAGGTATCCATATCGCATGCAAACCTCTCGAGCCGAGGCACGAGGAGGTAGCAGCATAGGATGATCGCGTCCCCGCCGAGATAGAGCGTGCGTAAAGAGGGCATCTCCACGACAGGGACGCCCTCGATTCCGTAGATCCAGCTCGAAGCCTCTAAGTGCACAAGAGAGGTACAGAGCGGGAGGATTTCGGCGACATACTGCAGCAAGTAGTGCTCGCTGCCCCGTGAAAGATGAAGATGGGTAAGACGCGCCCACGCAACCTTCATCACCGTCGTGGAGAAGGGCTCGGAAAGGCGAAGGCGGCGAAGCTTGGATGCGTTCTCGAACCACCGAAAGGCGGAGTCTTTCCTGAACTCGATTGGGTATCTGAAGTCGATATCGGCAGGGCACATCACGCTCGCCTCTTCCAGCTCCGGGAGATCCAGCGGCTCCTCATATGGGACGGTGATCGGCACACCTTCGCCAAACAGCAAGCGCACGACGCGCCAGCGCCGCGACTCGTGGAACACCAAAGCCCATAGGTCGCGAACACATGGCTGCGGCAGAACCGGGTTCATGGCGCCTTTGGTAAGGGCACTGCACTTCCCCATTGTGACGGAAAGGGTCTGTCCCGCTGATCGTCGCAGATATTCGCGTAAGGCTGTGACATCCTCCTCGCGCCAGTCGTCCTCTCCTTTACGCTGGACGTACCAGATACGCTGCCATAGGCTTGGGGTTTCGAGGCATATGGTGCGCCAGCGACGGCAGACGTGGCTGATAGGAAGGCTCTTTGAAAATGGCCTTGAGCGGAACCAGTACTTGGGCAAGGCGGCGAGGAGTATTTCTGTCAGCGTCTCGGTCGGCAGTTGATGAATCCCGGTCATGCCTTGCGTGTTGTCGTCCGGAGGCTCTGACATCGGTAAGCATATTTTTCTCGGATTCCTGGAGGTGCGTACACGTGTAGTATCAACGTCTGGATGGTGGTCGTCGGAGGGAGAAGCTAATAATCCACGAGGCGCTGCGTCCCTGCGTAACATGACTTTCACGTGATCATCCGAAGTCCAACTTTGATCTTGAATCATAAAGCCTTTCATGCCCCTCCGTGGTCGGCGCGTAAGAGACGGGCAAAGTACTTGCTATAAAGAGCCATCGTATTCATTTCAATTGTCGACCGCCCTGAAGCGGTGCATGGGGCAATATAGGTTATATATACTAGTTAGGCACGATGGATTGAATCAGTCATGGCAGGTGTCATCGACAAGCCTGGACTCGTGGCGCCCATACTATAAAGCCCATCAAGCTAGCAAGCTCTCTCCTCATTGTCTCACATCGAACATTTGCAGAGCCTCTGATCTCTTGTACACAACCTTACCAAGCGATTTTCCGTTCTCATGGCCTTGAAGCTGCTGCCTTTAGCGACCTTGGCAATCACCGCGCAAGCAAGTGGAACGTAAGTAGCGAATTTTACATGCATCTCATCGCTCAATGACGCTTAGGACCTATTGTGAGACATATGTAACGACATCCGCGACGACCTACTACCCATATCCCGGATCGACGGTTACTGTAACCGTTGATGGAGGTGCGTACACGCTTTCAAATCACTTCCTGAGTAGCTCTGATTCTACCCCACTAGCAACGACGATCCATCGCACGTCCTACGTCTATGAGACCCCAATGCCGACTCTTCCAAGACGAGCGGCCAATACGCCCCCTTGCAACTCCACGAACACCGTCACGCGCACCGAGTTTACGACGGTGCCCAACCCGACGTGGACGGCGACTTGGACGGAGTGGGCAACAACTGTGACCGGCGAGCCAGTGACTATCACGGTGCCAGCAGTCTGATTATCTTGCCGAGTCCTCCCCTCGATTCTGTCATGAAATGCATGATTCGATATGCTATACTACAAGTGGATGTCTGTCTATCTAGTACAAGATGCGATGCGATCCGAGCCGAAAGCAAGAATAATGAAGGATAGATAGCAACCGCACCCAATCTATCTCGCCGCCGCGCCTCTCACAACTGCGGGCCCGCGGCGCGCACGCCCGCGTCGACGTCCTGCTCGTACAACGCGAACGCCTTCTGGAACATGCCCGCGAGCTTGCGCACCTCCTTCGTGAAGCTCGCCTTGTCCGGCCACGCGAGCTCGGGGTTGAGCAGCTCGCGCGGGACGCCCTCGAGCGCGGTGGGGATCGAGAGCCCGAAGGTGCCGAACGTCTCGAACTCGGCCTTGGCGAGCTCGCCGGAGTGGATGGCGTCGACGATGCGGCGGGTGTACTTGAGCGGGCAGCGCTTGCCCGTGCCGAACTTGCCGCCCGTCCAGCCGGTGTTGATGAGCCAGCAGTCGACGTTGTGCTTGGCCATGCGCTCGGCGAGCATCTCGGCGTAGCGGCCGGGCTGGAAGCAGAGTTAGACGGATCGAAGAAACAGAGAGGGATAAACGTACGTGAAGGACAATGAAAGGCGCAGAGTAGCACGTCGAGAAGGTCGGGATGGGCTCGAGAACACCATCCTCCGTACCCGGCGTCTTCGAAGTGTAGCCGGCGAGGAAGTGGTAGCTCGCCTGCGCCGGCGTGAGCTTGCTCACGGGCGGGAGCACACCGAACGCGTCGCAGGTGAGCATGATGATGTTGCTCGGCTGGCGGTCGACGGAGCACGGGATTTGCGCGTTCGGGATGAACTCGATCGGGTACGCGCAGCGCGTGTTCTCCGTGATGCTCACGTCGTCGTAGTCGGGCACGCGCGTCGCCGGGTCGTACACGACGTTCTCGAGGATGCTGCCGAACTTGATCGCGTTGAAGATCTCGGGCTCCTTCTCCGCGGAGAGGTTGATGCACTTGGCGTAGCAGCCGCCCTCGATGTTGAAGACGCCCGTGTCGGACCAGACGTGCTCGTCGTCGCCGATGAGCGGGCGCTTCGGGTCGGCGGAGAGCGTTGTCTTGCCGGTGCCGGAGAGGCCGAAGAAGAGCGTCACGTCGTTCTTCTCGATGCCGACGTTGGCGGAGGAGTGGAGGGAGAGCTGGCCGAACTTGACGGGCTGGAGGTAGTGCATGACGGAGAAGACACCCTTCTTCATCTCGCCCGCGTACTCGGTGCCGAGGATGACCATCTCCATGCGCTTGAAGTTGATCTCGACGGAGGTGGTCGAGGACATGCCCTTGGTGAAGCGGTTCGCGGGGAATTGGCCGGCGTTGTAGATGATGAAGTCGGGCTCGCCGAAGTTTGCGAGCTGCTCCTCCGTTGGGCGTATCAACATGTTGTTCTGCGGGCGACGTCAGTACATTCTCCTCGATCTCGAGGACTGAACACGCACCATGAACAGAGCATGGTAGGCCCGCGCGCAGATGACCCGGACCTTAATGCGGTACTTCGGATCCCACTGCAAGACTCAATGAGCACGAGACATCGGGGACGGAATGGAGGTCACGCACCCCCGCGTAGCCATCAAAGACATAGACGTTGTCGCGGGTGTTCAGGTAGTCGATCGCGCGCTCGCGGTTGATCTCGAAGGTGTCTGGATACGCTGTCAGCTGCCGCTACCAAGCACACGACCAAGACCGGCACGCACGCTCGTCCATCTTGACGTTCACGGGCCCCCACCAGACATCGTCCTTGCTCGTCTCTTCGTAGACGATGCGCTTGTCCTTCGGGCTGCGGCCGGTCTTCTTGCCCGAGAAGTTGATGAGCGCGCCCGAGGAGGAGATGATCGCGCCCTCGTTCCGGATGGCGTCCTCGTAGAGCAGGGCTACAGGCGCATTGCGCTTGATGCAGATGCGGTCCATGTCGAAGCCCGCGTTCGAGAAGTATTCGAGGTCGCGGCCGATGACTGCAGGGCGATGTCAGGGGGATGGTGAAGGGAGAAGGAGAGAAGGGTACGCACGCTCGTTGTACTGATCGGAGTCTTGCGTCTGCGCGTAGTGCTTGTGCAGGATGTGCGGGGTAACGTGCGGGGTAGTGTGCGATGCGACCATTGCTGTGAGGGTGTGGGTAAGGCCGTATGCGGCGATATTTGGCAGGGAGGTGGCAAGTTCGGCGTCCGATTCGCAGAACAGAGGACAGGTGGGTGGGTGCGGAAGTTAGGGAACGAGGAGGGGAAGTGGGACCTTATATACTCGCGAGTGCGGGAACGCAAGCTCCTACCTTGCCGTGCTGGTTCCTATTTCGCCCGAGCACTACCAATCGATCTCCATGTAAGACCGTGAGTGTCCGAATGAGGGTGGGGTTAGGTGGGATAGGGGAGCCATAACCAGGGCGGAACCTCCGTATATCACATGTTGGATTCTAACATCACGGGGCACGCGGACCGCCGGCGCTCCGGTCGCGCTCACTCGCGCGTCTCTTCACTGCGATATTTCGGTGAAGTCTGCATTCGTGGCAGCGTTGTAGTGGAGCGCGATCTGTAAATGAGAGAGGACGAAAGTATTCGGTCATCCCGCGAGAGCCATACAAGGGCAAGAGCGGACGTACCAGATCGTACGTATCTCTTCACAACCTACTATCCGATTCGAACGGTGCTTGATCGTGATTAGGGGATCACCATCATCTTCGCCTCTGGTGCTATCGAGGACGTATGCGAGCTCACTTCGATAGCGTCAGTGAACATCGGGCACCGACGGCAACGCAAGAGGGATCACCTCACTCACCGACCATGTTGACACTACTCAGCTTCATCTTCGACTCAGAATAGACAGGAAACCACAACGAACTATGAGAATTTCGTACGATGTCTTCAAGGACGGCGTGATAACGGTGATGACAATATATTCATAGGTACTCCGACGTGAGAAGACATAAAGCCCGCATGCAAGAAGTAACCCTCGTATACGTGAATAGACAACAAAAGCGATAGAGACAGGTGGGAGCGGAGATTTCGATGGGTGAACTCGGAAGGGGGGTGATGGGGGAAGTACGATAGGTAACAAGTCGTCTGGAAAGAAGCGTCAGCAAGCGAGGTCATTGTGAGAGATAGGCAGGATGGGAGGATATAAAGTCAGATAAGCCGGTGTTTTCGTATCCCCCGCTCGCTTGACGCGACGCGGGCGACACGTCTGCCCCAGAACGGCGCAGACGCGTATGGCCTGACGGCTGCCCGATGTCACATCGAGCGAAACGGGTATTAAATCAAAGAATGGATGAACTTGTTCTCATCAAACGAGGGGAGGCGGAGGCGAAGAGAAAGGTGAGGGGAAGAAGAAATGCTCACCTAAAAGCGGATACGATCGACCAGTAAACAAAAAAAACGCGCGAGACTGGGAAGTGGATGTCAGTAAAGGCTGGTGAAATGGCGGGGGAAGGTGTAGGAGGTATCAGTTGAGAGTCTTTTGGTATCAGGTTGTCCACAAGAGATTATCTCTCCTTCGGAAGCAGAACTGAATTATAGGATCATCTTGGAAAGGATGCCGCAGGAGCGTTGTGCAAGAGCTAGGAAGAGCATACACACCTTCAGAAGAAGACAACCCTTATTCGTCGTGATCGTGGAAGACAGGGAAAGAGGGGAAGAGGAGGGGAGGATGGGAGAAGAGGAGGACGCGGAAAAAAGGACGCGATCGACGCGTCTCATGTCCAGTCTCCGGCAAATGCCGAGCGGAGTTTGAAGTCGCCGCATGACCCCGGCAAGTCCAAGCAACACCAAATACCTTTTTCTTTCCTTCCACGACGCGTCCGCGACGCGCCTCATTCCCTTGCTTTCGGTCCCCTTGTACCCGTCGTCACATACAACATATTTTGTTCATCCTTTTCATATGCCTTGCTGTCTCTGAATCGTTCTATGCTTTGCCTTGTGAGTACCTTTCTCTGTCCATCTCCTGTACGATGATATCTATCCATTCCGAGTCGGTGACGATTCTCGATGATCCTTACTCGCAACATGCATCACCAACTGACAGACTCCCATCATCCGTCTGTTCTTTGTACGCTCTACTAACGCACAAACCCCAGGATCCGTAAGTATCCCTCCGCCGATCGCCAGCCCAGTACATTTCTTCGACCGTCACCACGTCCTCTCCCCGCTATACCTGCGCGCTTGTGATGATAATATATTCATTATGCGACCACACCTTGGGCACCGTGCTTCTGCACTCACCACCCACTGAAGCGCCTTACGCATCCGATCATCAATGGTTCCTATATCTCACCTGCTCTTCGTACTGACATGTCCCTCACGTAGTCTTATCCACCTCTTTGGAACATCCAGCGCATGGTGAGCTTTCTCTCTTGAATCCTTTTCGCATGATGCTTTCGAAACAATGACAAGCATATGTCCGACTCGCGAAAGCGTATGAAGGACACCATTTATGTTTCCTGATCCCCCTCCTTCCCTTGCTGATCACGCTCGCTGACTTCCTTCCCCAGTAAGACTTCCTGCGCCCCTCACTGTTATGTTCTTGTGGTCTAGGTTTCGAATCATCTTCCTCCCTCGCGTGTATCAGTCTTCGTGTTGCAATGCTAGTCCCTCTTCTCGTACCTGTGTTTGCGCCTCGATCTCCTTCTCGTCTGAGCTGTCTCTAGGTTCGATTCTTACGGAATCTTCGATCGGCCGACTGGCATCATGTTTTGGTCAAGCGTTGCGCTCTCGCTTGACTGATGCGCGCCCTCATCTTGTCAGGTTCCTTGTGGACTAGCCTCGACCTCACCTGCGGTGAGGCGGCGCGTGCACTGTCTGGAAAAGAACATTCGCCGATCGAGCGTCTCTAGTGCGCTCATTGGCGGTGGTTCCCAAGCACCTTTCTTACACATCCTTCGTCAGCGGTGCAAGGCGTCGAGATTCCAGCCGGCCATCGCAGTCCCGGTGTGTTCTGCAGGGTGTCGTGCGTTCTTGAAGTTGAAGAGTGGACGTTCGTTTGGAAAGTGCGCAACGGCGCCCTGGCAATTGTTGGACGCGTGAGAGCGTGCCAGTTGTCAAGCTACGGACGCCGGGCTTGGCCTGGCTCGACATTTTTGGAAGCAATACAGACAGCTCCGCAGCGTACGTGACGGGGCGCAGCCAAGGCGTACGTACCGAGGGCCCGCAAACCAGAGGCTCAAGCTCGAGCTTGAGCTCAAGGAGGTGTACGTGCACGGTACGAGGCCCTCCGTTGTCCAGGTGGCAGGTACCTCAAGCTCATCGTCGACGGCGCTCACGCTTTTTATGTCCGCCACAGCGCCTCGCCGTTCATCAAGAGTTCATAAATACACATGGTGACTGCCGACAAGGATCAATCGGGCAACAATTATTCACCCCTATTTGGCAAAATGCATCACCGATCTCCGAGGCGCGTCGCAACGTCGATGGCGTCGATAGCCCGCGTTTTCCCACCAGCCAGGGCCGGCCGCCCGCGCCTTCTCGCGCGCTTCTGCTTCTGCATCCCCCCACTCAGCCGCTAGCAAGCGCCCGCCGCTCTTTGTCCCCCCACGCTCCTTTGCCCCTCGCTCGTTCTCCTCCGCCTTATTGGAGCGCTGGCGTAGCTGCTACAAGACCATACAGCTGCAACTTCTGGCCTACGCAGAGGCACCGTCATCTTGTCATTGCGTCTCTGCCGCCGGACCCCTTCCCCCTCTCCTTCAATGCCCGTGCTGCACGCTCGAGACAAGGACCCCGGCCCATTCGACCCCAAGAACAAGGGCTTTGGCGCGAATGTCGCGGGTCTCGCCGTTATCGTCGTCCTCGTCCTGGGCATAACGATAGCGCTTGCGGTACGATATGTGCGCAACCGCAACAAGCCCGCCGAGGACACGCAGACCTCGCAGCCTGGCACACATTCCATGTCCTCCCTCTCGTCCTCCTCCCAGAATGAGAAGGCAAAGTGCGTCCGTCCGACGGCGAGATTTACTTCCGCTTACTGACCGCTATCGTAATCGCAGTCCGCGGCCCAAATCTGGCGCCCCCAACACATTCTCCCGCGAGCAGCTCACGCGCTCTGTTGTACTTCCTGCGACGACGATCCAACCGCGCCCCCACCGCCAGTCCCGGCAGGACATCCTCGATTTCTACCGCAATAGCGGCGCATTCCCGAAGCCCTTCCATACCATCACCTCGTCCGGCGGATCGCGCAACTCTGTCATCACTGCAGGGACTGCCTCGCGCAGCTCTGTCGCCCTCCACTCCCCCACGTCCGCCGTCCCCTCCCGCTCCTCGATGCTCAACCCCAACGCACCCCGCCACTCCTTCATCTCAGCTCACTCCGTCGGCTCGCGCTACTCGGTCATGTCCGGCTACTCGTCCGCGCCCTCCAGCGCCGGCATGTCCCTCAGCGGCCAGCCGCGCAAGATCCGGCAGCTCTTCGACCCCGTCCTCCCCGACGAGCTCACCGTGCGCCTCCACGAGCGCGTCACGCTCGTGCAGACCTTCGACGACGGGTGGTGCGTCGTGGGCCGCGAGGCGCCCGCGCAGCCGGCGCAGCAGACGAGCCTCTTCCGCCCCGCGGAGGCGGCGGTCGATATGGGCGTCGTGCCTGCGTGGGTGTTCATCAAGCCCGTGAAGGGCCTGCGCGCGGAGCGGCCGATACGGAGCACGAGCCTGGGGATCACGGTGCGCATCGACGCGCCCGGGTTCTCGTCGAGGGACGAGTGCATCTCGTGGTCGAATTTCTGACCGCGCAGAGGGGTCGTTCGACGTCGATGAGGAGGGGCGCCGGCGTGCGACATCACTAAACGAGGACGCTACCGCATACCCCATCCTGCTTCATGTACATATCTCTTACGACCCCGACGTGTGTCTGCGGGATTCGAGTCCTTCAAGACTCCAGCATTCGAATTCTCCGAGACTCGGGGCCATGGCGATAGCTCGCTGCTCGTCGTGCCCACCGTATATCCCCTCTTCATACACCCTCTTCATGCATTCCTCTTTCCATCCATCTGTCCAATCATCTTCTCCACCATAGCATCGCCGGGTGGCCGATGGGCCACTCCGGTGCCCGGCCGCCTCCGGTAGGACGACCATGTAACATCACCCACGCATGCTATCCTTGCTCTCCTCCCGCAGGTTAGCTCTGTTCGCGGATAGTGCTGCAGTGCTAGACTTATCAACTGGTACTACACCTGTCTACTGGTACCATACCTGTCTTCTGGCCGTTTCATCTGTTGTTTCTTGACACATTCGCTCGTCCCTACATGACTATTCTGTACTGGCGAGTCAGAGGTTCGGCCACTGGCGAGCCCAGCCCCACCATATATTGCCCGCCCTATCCCATCCTGCGCTATATGCGTACAACAATCCCCGCCTGTAGACTGGTACATCATCCCTGCCTATAGACTTGGTGCAAATCCACCTATAGACACCCGCTAACTGACATTAGTATCGTTATTTCCTTATTGCTCTCAACCGTTCCACCTTCCACCCCATTACTCTTGGTTTGCTCAGATATGTGTATCGGTCCCTGCATGCAGTGTAACACAGATGAAAGGGCTCCAAACTCGTTGATTAGGTGGTGGTTCAGCGTGCGAAGAGCAACTTGCAACTCTTGGACTTGGTCACAATGTGTGACTGTCACTTGTGACCAAGTTCAACATTGCACGTGATCAAAAAGCACTGTTAATCATTTGCGCTCGGCAAGGCCTTTCGAGGGCGTCGTTCATACTCAGTTCCCAGACCTTCCAAGTCTGTGTACTCATGCCGAGATCTTGCTACCATATGAGACTTCTTGACTGCATAAGTATGCGCTACAATCCTAGCAGCGTTCTTTGACACACGTTCCACCCCACTTCTACGGCACAATAGCATGTAGCCCAAGATCGGTATAAGCTTCTCTACCGTCTCAGTCTCAGTCTGTTCAAAGGGTGCTCGTCTCTTACAAGGATGCCGAAGGGAGGTGTTGCGAGTGACCGGCTGCCGCACCAAAATTACCCCTTTGGCCAAGATATAAATCAGCAGTGTAAGTGGAGAGAGGTACGCATCATGCCAGTGCAACGACGCCACCTTGACAGGGAGAACCGAAGCGAATGAAAGACCACCCTTTCGTATAGCGCTTTGCATATCACATATATGGGGAGAGCCATCTCTGCTTTGTACTTCCCTGATCCTACCTCTCTTTCGCCGCCGATGCTCGCAATGTTCCACGACAGTGACCCCGGGAAGCCGGTATGCTGGCATCATATGCTTGAACATTCGGCCTGCGGAAGCTCAGACGGCCGCGCAGTCTTGCGACTGAGAATCAATGCCGAGGAGGCCTGGCCATGAGGAGAGATTGAGGTGAGTTTCCGATGCCGTGATCTGCTTTCTAGAACCGAGCAAGAGAGACCTGCAGCCTTGACTTGCGCATCGTCAATCCTCCCGCTGGACTGATGAGCTACGAGCTCTTCAGAGATCCAGCTGGACTCATCGTGCATTCGTAAGTACGCCAACTTTACGGACAAGGCACGCCGGTAACCGGGCTGATCAGGTGATCGGTTGCCATCATGCGCACGTGGTTGGATGCAAACGGTCGCCCTCATCGTCGCCGTCACCGTTCTCGACGTTCACCACGACGTGCTCCCGGCCTCGCCAGCGCCGACCCCATTCGCCTCGGCGCTTTTTGTGCTCGCCCTCATCCTCGCATGAAGGCCCAGTGTACGTGATCAATTAGTGACGCTAAGCTAGTGCTGATTTGCGCGGCACAGCCCGCAGCTACTGCCTGTATATCCCCCACGCTCGTTAATTCACCATACACAATGCCCGCGTACAGACGACTGAAGCGCCAGGGCAATGTCACAGGCCTTTCGGACGATAGTGTAACCCTTTCGAACACTGCAGGCACTGCGCAGACGGCAACTGCCATCGCTTTCGATACGGATGGAGGCGACGACTCCGCTAGCTACACAGGGCCCGTCCCAGGCCTCGCAGGCACTCAGTCCGTGGTAGTCACCGATGCGGAGACCACCCCCACTGCATCACCGTCGTCCACGTCCGCCTCCGCAACGGCCACGCCCGAATCGTCCTCCAACGCGTCCTCGGGCGATCTCCCTTTGGGCACGGTCATCGGTGCCTGCGTTGGCGCCTTCGCTGGTGCAGCGCTGATTGTGCTCTTCGGAATCTGGCTGTATAACCGCGCCACGCCCCGTAGACGCGGCGGCGATCGGTCGATATCCGCCCTCTCCAACCGGCGCGGCGACCGCGCGCGCTCGCAGTCTGGCGCGGAGTTCTGGAATAAGCTCGGCGACGGGCGCGACCGCGAGAGCGGCAGCGACCACTGGACGGACCCGGAGACGAAGCAGGTGGAGGGCGGGGTCACGCGGATGGAGAACATGTTCAAAAAGTCGCCCAGCATTCGCACCGCGTACACGCACACCACGGAGAAGTCCTTCGAGGAACCTCTCCCGTCGTCCTTCGGCGTGTACCACCCGAATCTGGCCCGCGAGCTTGCTGGTGCCGGTCCCGACGAGCCTGAACCGCCGCGTCCCTTCCTGCACCGTATTGAGACCACACCGGCCTTCGCATGGCATGACAGCGCGACAGGTTCGCTTGCCAGTCTCAAGTCAAGCAATGCGGAGGGCCGCATGTCTCCCTCGCTCTCAGTAGCCATACCAACGCCGCCTGCCCAAGCGTCGCCCTTGCACCAGTGGGAGACCGCTGAGGTCCTCAACTTCGACCCCAGCTCTGACGCGGACCCGCGGAATCCTTTCTCGCCGCCGACTTCCCACGCTGCGCTTCCGGATGAACCCACCACACCATTGAGTAACCGGCGAAGCATTGGGAACCCCTTCTTCAAGAGCCAGGAGGGCACATACCGCAGACGATCATCCTCGACCTTGACCCCCAAGAAGGACAAAGGGAAGGGGCGCTCGATACCATCCGTTGTGGAACCACCGGCGGATGCAGAAGATCCGTTCCAGGACGCGAACCCCTTCAGCGACCCAGTCACGCGACATGCGTCCGCCATGACTGCCACCACGGCGGCGACGCATGATTCAGTCGTCACCAACGACCGCGCGCTCCAGAACCTCATCGCTGTCCTCGACACCGGCGCCCACAATTCGCTATCGCCGCCGCGCCATGACTCCTACATGACCGTATCGAGTGCGTACTCGGACGCGTCCGAAGTGATGGGTACCCCGCCGCACTCGCCCAGCCCCAACGCACGCTAGTTTCTTAGACACGCCCGATACTCGTTCGTTCGGCGCGCGCGCTAGGCGTTCCCCGAACTCCATCCTTCGCCTCGCTGCTCTACCGACTGCCCTGTCCGCCCTACCCTGCTCTCCTCATCAACCTACCTGCGCAGACCACAGTGTTTAATCAACCCGCCCACTTACCTTTGTCCGTGCCTTCATATGGCCGTTCGCTGTACACTACCTTCGTCTCGACGTCTGTGCTCCGCCGCGCGGGCGGGCGTCCATTATGCGCCCGCCGCTGCGTCTACCGCTGGCGGCGTGTCCGCGGGCGCGCCAGCCTTCCGCTCTCTTACACTCACTGTCCATCTTGCTCCATCTTGCATTGCCGTACACTCATCTTCCCTCGCGTACACCCCACGTATATTGCGTGTGCCTGCTGCGCCGGACGAGGCCCCATCTTGTGCTTATTCCCCCTCGTCGGGTGGTTATTCCCCTCGCGTCGTCGCTTTTCGCTGTACTTACATACTGACCGTCGCATTGCCCGGGAGGACTGACTACGCATGATATCATTATTGGTCTTTGGTAAATGCGTGAAACCGAGGGATGACGGTGATGCGAGCTTTGCTAGGCTCCCACTGCCAGCCTGGTGAGAGCTGAGCTGCGGGACCAGGGAGCAAGTAGTGTCACTTGCATGCACAACAGAACCTGCTGGTGCAGAAGTACTATCTTGGACCGATCTGGATGGAATGGAGTGCCGACTTCTCCTCTGGCACTCTAGAGGAGCAAGAGCAATGAACAGGGTAGGAGGCTCAATTTGGTCCCAGGAATTGTCGCACATTCTGCACGTTGTTCACGCCGTTGTCCATCGCGATCATGGCTCTTCTGTAGCAGCGGCAACAATTGAAGCTTTCAGGAAAAGAACCTCTCTAGATGATAAATACGGCATGGTGGGGTCGGATATCCTCGAGCAGGGTAGTAGTACATTACATCCAACCTCGGCAACGAATCACGTCTCGTACCCTCTATGAAGTTTCTCAACCCTATATCTTCCGGTTGAAGCGCTGCTTCCAGTTGCCCTTATTCTGGCGTGCGCTGCCTGTGAGAAGTCAGGTCAGTCATAGCCCTCTCCTCTCTTGATCGACGCCACGTACCAGAATGCTGCTGACTACGATCCCCAGTGATGGCGCCGACGACGGAGTCCTTCTTCCCCGCAATACGGTCGCCGGTGCCCTCCGCGTAGCCCTCGGCGCGGGCAGCGTTGTACTCTCCCTCGCCCTCGGCGTGCTCTAGGCGACCGCGATTTTCGGTGCCGCGCATACGAAAGATTCTGCCGATCTAGAGGGATGCTTAGCGAGGGAAGGAGAGGTCAGGCAGAGCGACGCACGGTCTTCTTAAAGGTGCCCTTCTTCTCGTGGTACTGGCCGGAAGTTTTGGATGGAGACATGACGATTGTAGGATAGTTTGTTGGCGAGGGGAAGTGGCGTCAGATAAGCGAAGAAGATGCAGAGCCAGGGCCCAAGGAACCTCCTTATGTAGCCCCGAACACGCCCCCGCCGCCTTCACTGCCTCTAACTCTCTCTTACCGCCCCCAACTCTCTTTTCTAGCTCAGGCGCATGGGCGATGCAGCGTCATTGGAGCAAGCCAGGAGAATGGAAGCTTCAGCTCGCCTTCGCCCTGCCTTCGCCTCGCACGCTGTCACAAAGCGCGTGTCTGGATATGACGAGTTCGAACCTCTAGGCCATCGGGCATTGCCGATAGGCTCTCAACGACTGTCGGATAGGCCTGGGACAATGGGCCTGCCAATAGAACAATGAGCGCCAAGGCAATGTGCGGCGAAACACCTCAACGCGTCACCGTATGTCATGAATGCGTCTTTCCTTCTCGCGGACTTCATCTCCAGAAGGGAGCGTGCTGTCCTGCCCTTTGGCACGCCGCACAAGGAAGACCAACGACACTGTGCTGAAATCGAGTACAATTCAAGTTAGTACAACACTATACATATACTTCACTTCTTCAATCCCAGTATCCGCTCATAAAACTTCAATTCCCGCTCCGTGCAGTCGCGCACAGTCTCCGCCCTGCGGAAGCCATGGCCTTCGCCTGGGTAGACCTGCGCATACGGTGAGCTTAGGTATGATTAAATAGCACTAGCAATGCTGCGCACCTGCATCTCCGCTACGCCACCGCGTGCCTTGATCGTGTCGTACATGGCCTGCGCCTGGGATTTGGGCACGACGGTGTCTTCCTCTCCTTGGAGGATCTGCGGGGTTGTCAGCGCTGTGTACAATACAGCGGGCGGGGTACCCGTCTCAACGCGAGGCACGCAAAGACTGCTGCCCAAAATGCGGAAGTCAGACAAAGCTACCACTCACCAACAACGGACAGACGATCTTCTCGACGTGCGTGATGGGCGACCGTGCAGCATACAGTCTGTCCCTCTCCTCCTTCGCCTCATACTGCCCCTCTGGCCGGATGAGCACGTCGATGTAGTGCATTTCGAACTTGTGCATGTTGCTCGACATGAGGAGGGCGATGTCGGCGATTCCATAGCTAGGGGCCGCAATCAATACACTTGTACTGGAAACACGCAGACGACTTACCATGACGTCCCCGCCGCGAAGAACGCTGGCTTCGAGGAGAACGAGAGTGCGGAGAGCACGGTGTACCCTCCGGCAGAGCTCCCGCGTATGACCATGCGCTTCGTGTCCACGTAGTCGGACAGCAGCTGCGCTGCAGTCCTCCGCGTCGGCGACGCCCCATTGACCATTCAAGGCGTCCATGTACGCCCGCCCGTAGCCAGAAGAGCCGCGGTAGTTGACTTCGAGCCTAAGGTGGTGTGTCGTGAGTGATGGACGCTTCTGCGGCAGCTTTGGCTTCCACAGGCATACTTCAGCGCAAGTGTGCCGACTTACCAGGCCCACCCTCGCGTCGTGTAGTACTGGATCTCAAGGTTGAGCTTTGGGGGCGTGAGGCCGGTGGGCCCGCTGTGCGCTTGCACGACGCAGGGGGGCTTCTCGCCGTCGAGGCCGCCCGTGTAAGCTGGGTTCTTAGGTGGCCAGAATATAACATGTATATCGTGACCTGAAGCGAGGGTCAGAATCTCGAAGGATATAACTACAGCGCTGCTGAGAAAGCAAGAAGATTGGAAAGGCTACACTCACCATCCGGCGCGGTCAGGGTCATGGGCCGCGGCTGGGAGACGAGATTTCGGGGGAGCTCGCCTCTTGAGAAGACGGTTGGACGCGAAGAGAGCTTCTTAACTTCAAATGTGGAGGATGACAGCGGCGACGAAGGCGTGATGGTCAATTGCACCGTAGCCGAGCCATCGTCTGTGAGGTCGCCGACGAACACAACCTTTGAGCTCAACCCGTCGGAGGGGATGAGGCGCAGGTAATCGACCGTCACATAGGGGATGTCCAACTGGTGCTTCTCGCCCGACTGCAGGTCAACCAGGAAGAACACCGCCCGCCCGTCCTTCGTGCCCGTGAATATCGCGTGCTGGCCATCCTCGAGCGCGGCGTAGAAGCTCCAGCCAAAGGTCCACGCCGGCGAGTTCCCGTTCCAGTCGAACTTCGTCGGCTCGCGCAACACGGGCGTCGGCTGCGTGCCGAGCCCGACAATGTACTTGTACGGCTGATAGTACCCCGTCTCGTCTGAGAGAAAGAGGATGGTGTCCGCGGACGCCCATGTCGGGTAGACGACGCTGACCTTGCGTCGTGCGCCGGCGACGTGGGTGATCGCGTTCGCGGTGAAGTTGTCCGCGTCGAAGTCCACGACGTAGACCTCGGACCCGGTCCAGGACATGTCGGGATGATACCATTGCTGCCAGGTGATCCTCTTCCCGTCGGGCGAGAAGCGCGGCTGGGCGTAGAAGTCGGCGCCATGGGTGAGGGGATGGACGGCGGAGTTGGCGGTGTCGATGACACAGAGGGAGTTAGTGACGTCTGCAGGGTTGGGCTTGGTGTGGTCCTCTAGGACCGCGATAAGGAGGTGGGGACGGATTGGGTGAATGTCGAAGTCGGCGTAGCGCCAGTTGATGTTCTCTGCGATCGCTGGTCAATCATACTTCGGCACAGGGGGGGTCAGAAACGCACCTGGCGTCACTGCAACGGGATCACCGTCTCCTTCCCTGAAGCGGTACAGGCGATTGTCGCTGCGCTGCGAGAAGTAGAAGACACCGTCTCGGACGGCCAACACGCCCGGGCCGCCACCATACTCGTGGACCTTGGTACCAATGTTCCACTGCGACCCCGGAATCACGTCCTTCCCGGTATCAAGGTCTACCAGCGCAGTCCTGCCTCCCTCTGAAGGACGCGAGTCGGAGAGGTATAGTTTGGATGTGACAGGATCGACGAAGATTGGCTGAGCGTAGACGTTTGCTGCCTGGGCACGTCGTTAGTCGAGATGTATTGGACGCAAGAACGACTACGCACGTTCTCAACGACATGCTCAACAGTGAGCGGGGAATCCCATGTCCCGTACGATGCGCGAGCAGCACCCATGTTACCACGTACAGAAGATGCTTGTGCTGTCGGAGTTGCCCAGGAGCCTCTTTCTTGGAGACAAGGATTCAGTCAAGGAGCATGAGATGGTTATTCAGGGGTGCTAGACTCGAGATGTTTGCAGAGAAACGCCTGTACCACAGACCGCCAGCGCTCGCCGTCATCTTGACGCTAGAGATTGATTCGGCATCGACCGAATCCCTCGATCCGGAAGTCCCTTTGTTCGTCCCGGCCGCGGCTTGTTTACGACCGCCATGTCTTCGAAACATGAGCCATTGACCAGCACTGTTCCGCTCCTCTACTGAACAAGTCAGTGCTTGAAATATGCTTTAATATATGGTGCAAGTCGTCTTCGAACGACTTCAGGGAGTTCTCGACATCGCTGGTCGTCTCGCACCTCCGCCGATGGTAACGAGGACGTAACTGCAGTACTTGGTGCACGCCACCGGCCCTTCCACTTGACACTTTTGCTGCCCCACGCCTTGATAAATGCACCCCCTGCTATCGCACAGCTCCCTGATAGTCTGTTTGGCTACGACGCCCAGCATCGGCGCTTGTACAGCCCCGATCGCTCTAAGCTCCTCTCGCTTGTGGGACCCTTGCAAGAGGGCACCGCTCCTCACATATAAGTACGTCGTCACGCCCCCTTCTGTTTTGCTTCCCTTTCGTTATTACAAACACCATAGAGCGGGAATAGGGCCGTATGAAGGCCGTACATGCCGTCGTATCTCTTGAATCCATCTGATGTTGCAGACGTGCAAATCACAATACAAGGAATAGGGTCGCTGCTCTTGTGCTATGGTAAGGAAATTTGACTTCCACGCTGCCGTCATACTGACGTGCGCCTCTGGGTGTACAAACGGGACTCTTCTTCGCTGCGATCCCAGCACTGGTGTAAGCGCCTTGTTTCTGTATCAAATGATACCCAACATCTGACTTTGAACTGTCAGCCGCAAGAGCAGTAGAGCCTCTCGCATACTCAATGCTTTGGTCACCCTCTTGTTCTTCTCTACATCGCTGGGCGTGATCACCTACGTGATTCTACTCTCCCTCCTCCTGAGGATCGGGGTAGGCGCCCCTCCCTCCCGCTACCTTACCCTCATCAGTAAGCTCGACGTTGCGCATGCGGTCACGGCACGCCTCAATGTGCGTCCTCATCTTGCCGCCTCACGCCTCACACCCACTTTGCTCAAATCATCTCCGTGCCAGTACATTATCAGCGATGCAATCGTCGTATGGAGGGCGTGGATCCTGTGGCCAAACGATCGCGTCGCGCAGGCGCTCCTCCTATTGTGCATGGCCTACAGCGCGGGTGAGTTCCGCAGTCTACTTGACCTAACCGTCGGCTGATTGACGTCTTCCCTCGCCACGCATCGACCAGTCGCCGTTATCGTCAACGGCGCGCTCCAAGCGAACATGAGCGACTCGCCCGTGCCACACACCATCGCGCGCTCGGCGATGCTGGTCACGAATGCGGTCGCGACGGCGCTGGTGGGGATAAAACTTTGGTAAGTCTCGGTCTGCCGCACTTCGAAGCACGTCTCTCGTGTGCCAGCGCGCTTCCCGTCGGAAAAGAGTGTAGTCTGATGGATGCCCGCAGGCTGTACAGACGCAACGTGAGCGCGTCGATGAGCTTCATGTCTGGAGGCGGGCAGGTCGGAGGCATACTCGTCCTTCTTGTCGAGTCCGGCGTCGTGTACTGCATCGTTTGGGTGCGTTCCTGCTCTACGTCGTCTCCGAGTCGCTCCCGATTCTGACCCAGTCGACCGACGCAGATCCTCGAGATGAGCTCGATCAACCGAAGTGTGGAATACCTGATGAACTTCGGCGCGCTCACCCCCGTTCTCGCTGTGCGTGTCTTGATCTCCCGTCTGCTGCCATCCTCCTGTACATCGAACTTTGCCTTACGTATTGACACTGACGTCGCATACTCGCAGGGCATCTACCCGACCTTCGTCGTGCTCGTTGTCACGCTGCAGCAGCATGCGACCGCGCAGGCGATGATTGGCACGCATACCACGGGGGTTCCGGAGCCTTTGCGCTTTGCTAATCATAGGGAATCGTTGTGCTTCGCTACGAACTGTGGGGAGGCATTGAGCGAGGGGGATCCCTCGGGATCGAGGGGAGGGATTGTGCAGTTGGGACAGCGTGAATGGACGGAATGAGAGGAATCGGGAGGACTGGTCGAGCAGTAGAACCATCGGGGATGGACGCAGCGTCCAGGAGGAGGATTACGAACTTCGAGGACGGAGTGAGGCGGCTAGCGCGGGCGTGACTACGTCGAGTGTTCGGTCTTGGGGGAGGGATTTCCCTGTAAAGTAAGACACGAACTTTTCCATACCAAGTGCCCATCGTGACCTAAAGTGACGGAGAGGATGACTTGTTAGACACCAGTTGTCTTTGGTCTTTATTAACCTGTGAAGGGAGCGGGCAAGCCACAAGCCGGTAGGGTTCCAACTCTGTCACGATCACGTGCACTAAGGGGAGCGTGTCACGTTGGGTGACACCCATAGTATGCTCGCCCATCTTACTGTCTACCATCAACCCCTCCTACAGAGATCAGCTTGGACCGCCGAACTCTCGAGGCATACACCCCGCGTAGCACCCCGCAGTCGACGATACACTATGGTCAATCGACTTCCACCCGAAATACTCTCGGAAATCTTTCTGTTCGCCCTGCCCCTTTTTTGGGGCAGCATACGACCTTTCGGATTGAAACTCATTGTTAGCCACGTATGCCGGCACTGGCGCACTATATGTCTGCATACGCCGCAGATGTGGCAGCAGATCGTACTCAATCAGGATGAAGAGGAGGATTGGCGAGAGGACGACGTCGAGGCGTTGTCCGAATATTTGCGACGGTCGGCAGCAGCGACGTTATCGATCGATATAGGCGCCTACCCCCCTCGCACGTCCGCTATCTGGGCGCTACTTCTCGCGGAGACGTGGCGCTGGCATACGGCGCGCATCGTGCTGCATGACGCAGTCGAGCAGATGGTCCCGCTTGCCCAACCACTCGACGTGCCGGAACTTGAGCGTGTAGCGCTGACTCGAAGGTCCTCAATCACGCAGTCCTTTGTGCGCCCTGTTGACCTGACGGACAATCCCTTGCGCTGGTTCCAAAACGCGCCCAAGCTTCGCCGCCTTTCCCTCGCCTGGCCCTTCTTCCCTTCGGCCGTGCACGTCGCATGGGGGCGCATCACGCATCTGAAACTCGACTCGGAAGGATCAGGTCCTACCCTTGCCATTACCATGCGGCAGTGCGTTGATGCTTTGACACACTGCATCGCGCTCGAGTATCTGGAGCTCTCCGCTATTCATTTCCGCTGGGGCGAGTCGCTGCCCATTGTGGAGGTGTCCACACTACAGACGCTCTTGCTCGTCAGTGATGCCATCGCCTTATGTCGCTACCTCTCTGCGCCCCAACTTACGCGACTTTCGCTCTGTCCCAATACACATCCCAACGAGGACCATTGCGAGGCAGTCATCATCATGGCTCGCCGCCAGTCACTTCGGAACCTCCGGTATCTATTCCTGTGTCACTCCCTCTTCCAGTGGCTTCATCTCGATCCGCTGTTCGAGCAGCTTCCCGAGCTCATATATCTCCACTTTACCCACTCAATTTCGTGGTCGTCCGGGGGAACGACTCCTAGAGTGTGTTGCATCGGAAGGCTGCATGCCCTCCGAACGCTATCTCTCCTCACCACTGAGGCAGCGTGGCATCGTGGACGTCAGCCTCCGAGACTACCTGAACTGCTGGAGGGGGAGATCGGACAACTATCTAACCTCGAAGAGCTTCACCTTTGGAACAGGCCAGAGCCAGGTGAAAGTCCAGACCTTGATGAGTGGACAGACAGGCAGAGCAAGCGAGGCGTGAATGTGAAAAGAAAAAGAGGGCATCCTCCGTTTCCTGACGAGATGGACACTTTATAGCCAAAGAATGATTATGTAGAATATAATTTTCAGTTTACTCATTTGTATCATACATATCAAGACGGACACGATCTTGAACTGAACGGTCCCAGCATGATTGTGACAGACGTCACATCGACTTGATCTACCCCAGCTTTGCACCCGACGACCATATCGTTGGTCAACCGCTCATAGGCGCCGCTCAATATCTCGCGAAGCGTGCACAGGACCGCGATGGTCGATAATCTCCCCCCGGAGCTCCTCACTCAAATCCTTCTGGCTTGCCTCCCCGAGAACTGGGGCAGCTTACGACCCTTCTCGTCCATACTCTCTGTCAGCCATGTTTGCCGCTACTGGCGCGAAATATGCTTGAGCACACCGGAGATGTGGCAGCGCGTTACGTACGACGCCAACGACGTAGGCTCCAGGTGGCGTTCGGACGAGATCGAACCTCTGCGCGAATACTTGCGGCGGTCGGCGGGAGCGCCGCTGACCATCGCGATGTACACGGGCGACATGGGCTTGCACGATGAACCGAAGCTCTCCGGGCGCGAGAGCCAGATCGCAGATCTCTGGCGCCTGATCTTCGCCGAGTCTTCGCGCTGGACCGTTGCGCATCTCGTGCGAGACGGTCGCGTACGGATACCTGTCTCGTACCAGGACGCCCTTGACGTGCTGATGCTCGAGGAGCTTCGCTTAACTTGCATCAGAAACTCTGCGTGGAGCTACGCCCTCGATCCCTCCATCACCTTTCGCTGGCTCGCGAATGCCCCTGCCCTCCGCCGCCTGAGCCTCAGTGAGCCGTTTGTGCCGTCCCAGACGCAGGCGCCCTGGGCACAGCTCACGCACCTCAGTCTCGACCTGGATGAACTGGCATCGCTGCATGAGTGCGTCACCGTCCTCCCGCGCTGTATCGCGGTCGAGAGGCTCATGCTCAGCGTGAACACGGCGAAGTGGAACGAGAGGTTCCCCGTCGTAGACGTTCCATCGCTGCACACGCTCACGCTCTGTAGTGATGCGATATACCTGCTGTGCTATATTCGCGTACCTAATCTCACGCGGCTCGCGCTACTCACCGAGGGTCTGTTCACCGTGCGCCACTACGACGCATTTGCGATGCTCGCTCAGCGAGAGACACTGGAGAGCCTGCGATCGTTGACCATCCAGCAGCCGCTCCGCTACCCCCAGCGACTGGAGCAGATGTTGGATACCATCCCCGGGCTTATCCATCTGGAAATCAAGGATAAATGCTTTCCTCAGATCCATCCCATATCCGAGCTGCCTTCAACATTCAGAGCCATCGGCAAAGCTCGGAACCTAGAGTCCTTGTCGCTGCAGCTCTGCATGTTCGGTTGGCTTTTTCCAGATGTGGTCCAGCTACTCGACCAGCAGATATCTCAATTACCCCAATTGAAGAGCCTGCACCTCTGGGGCGTTCCAGAAGCCAAACGACTCGCCAAGGCTGGAGAATACAAGGATTGGATCGATGGACTACGAGAACGTGGTGTTCACGTGCGGAGCGATGAGGACTGTATGCAGGAGGCCGGTCGTTTTCACAGTTATGGGAATAGAACTACGGACTAGGTAGGAATTGACGTCACCAAAGTAGATGTTCGCAGACTGCTCTTGTAAACATGGTGCATCATTGATTATAAAACATATCACTGCATTCGATCCTCTACAAGCGCGCCCCAGCACGCCCGTCCAGAGCATGGTCGCGCCGTAGCCTCTCGCGATCTTCTGATGCGATGCCGTACTCGTGCAGAATTTCTTCTGTGTGAGCACCGGGAGGTACAAAGGATGCGCTCAAATCAGAGACGGGGCGTGGCTCGTCTATGCTTGGATGAGGCTTTGGCACTGCGGTATAGCGGTGCGCAGCTTCCTTCGGGGAGAGGACTGGCACGGCGCAGGCGTCGCTCCCTGAGAAGAATTTCTAGAGGGTGTCGGGAACGCAAATCCAGTTCACAAGCTCACCCTGGAACACCTTCGCCCAATAATCCCGCGGTTGGGTGGCGAACCCGGACTGCAGGTAATTTCGCAGTTGTGGCCAGAGCTCGCGCAGCATCTGCGCATCTGCTGGGGGTGTCCAGCCGCCCTCGCCCGTGAATCCAGCTGGTAGGGCCCCAGTGAACCGCCTCGTAAATTCGGCATAGAACTGGGGCTCCAGGCAGCCTACGCTCATGTACCGGCCGTCCTTGCACACGTAGACGTCGTAGAACGGGGCAGCACCGTCGAGCACGTTGTGGCCGCGCTCAGAGACAAACATCGGGGATGCAGGAGCGAGCGCCTTGTGAAGCAAGGGGAACGAGCTGACGTATCGCGCGCCGGAGACCATATCGGTTTGCACGACCTGCCCGCGGCCGGTGCGGAGGGCGAGTACGATGCCGAGTAACCCGCCTCCCGCGAAGTCGGCGAGGAGGTTTAGCGGGAAGGTAGGCTTGCTCTCGCCGGGGAGCATGTCGAGTACACCGCTGAGCGCAAGATAGTTGATGTCATGGCCTGGGAGAGGAGTGAGAAGCCGTACGACTGTTCAAGCGAGACCGCCGACCAGCCATATTCTTCTCCGGACCTGTATTATGCAGAGGTTAGAAATCATAAACCCATAGCTTGATCCTCTTACCATCTAACGAGAATCTGTAGAATTCAGCAGCAGAAGTCTCAAGGTAGAAGGCAGACTCACCCAGCGATTCGCGCATAGATCAAACGCTTGTTCAGCCCCTCCTCTCCCAGAAATACATCTGGACTAAGCCCAAGACGCTCCAGTACGCCAGGTCGAAACGGGTCTATCAACACGTCCGACGCAGCGATGATCTTCTTCAGTACATCGCGTCCAGAGGGCGTCTTGGGGCTGATAGCGATAGACCTCTTCCCGCGAGCCAGCACGTCCAGACTCTGCGCACCTGGTTTATCGACGCGCACGACAGACGCGCCATGGTCTGCGAGGATCAGTCCAGCGAAAGGGCCTGGCGCCAGGCCTGCAAACTCAACGACCTTGACGCCGGAGAGAGCCATGGAGGGAACATGAGAAAGAGAAGCCTCCTGGCTTTATATTCCCATGTCCTGTGTTCTCGGAGGCGGTCATGTTTTTAGCCGGACCCAAGCGGTATCGGGCTCGGTGAGGTCACGCGCGCAAGCAGGCCCAGAAGTCGGCGACCAGTAACAGAAGTGCTCACCATGTATGCAGTCCACACTTTGCGCGATTACTTTATGGGACGTCATGAATTTAGAGTTCTTCTGCTGGACGTGAACGTTCTGAACGGTGTACACCAACTCTTTGCGCCACCGTGCTGGCGAAAAGATATATGGACTCTCTGCTTCAGTACGGTCGTCATCGGATATACGGATGTCATGTAGCGTCTCCTCAGACGAGAAGACTGGAGGAGAAAGGAAAGCAGCGACGCAAATATGCGAACATGGCAGTTTGAGTCAAGGGCCGGATGCCCGGCGCGCCGTTGTGGGTCCCGGTCACGTGGCCGTCCAGAACCCATCTCGCGCGCCGCGCGCGTCTTTTGTCCCGAACACCTTCTCTGTATACGCCGTCATGGCATCTACCCCTCCCCCGGCTAGCTCGTATGCCATACCACCAATCCCGTATCTGCCACCACCGTCCGGAGGCCATCGCCCGCGGGGCTCCTTTGGCTCCTCGTTCTCGCTCGGGCCTCAATCAATGATAGACTCGTACATCGAGGGCCATGCGTCTCCTCTTTCACAGCGCTCTTTCAATCTGGACCCCAACCAATCTATGCTATCTGCATCCCCCTTGCGCTCCTCCCCGCGCCGAAAACACCGCGCGCCGCGCGAGACTGCCAGCCGAGGACCGCACCCGCTCGCCACCGACACGACAGACATCTTCCAGGACTCGGAGATCGACGCGGACGCGGACGATGAGGATGAGCAGGAGTGGGGGATGGTCGATCGCATACGGCTATGGCGACACGACGCGCTGATGCAGCATATGTACGAGACCGCCGCGTTCTGGGGGGACAAGGTGCTCAGCTGGACGAGTGCGTGTCGATGCTTTTCTGATTTTAAGCATACTGACGCGCCACAGATGACCCAAACGACGCGTTCTGGCTTGCGCAGACATACTTCAATGCCAGGCAGTACTCACGCGCCGCGCGTCTGCTGACGCGACCATTCCGGATGGCACCCCCGCACCGACCCCCCTCCCCCCCACACCCCTCTGCCAATGGCTTCCTGTCCGTCAAAGGCAAGGAACGCGACACGGGCGAGAAGCCGATTGTCTTCCCCGCTAGACTGCCCATGGGTCCCGCGGGCATGATCACCATGCCCGAGGAGGAGCAGGAGGGCGTCTCGCGCCTGGTGGATATGAGCTTGTCCTGCAGATACCTTGCGGGAATGTGCCATATGCAGATGGGACATTGGTCCGAGGCGTTAGAAATCATCGGGGAGTCGAATCCGTTCCAGAAGACCTCCAATCGGGGGCCTGCGGTACCCAACAACGATGGCGGCATCAAAGTGCGTCTTTCCGTGAATGACTCGCGGGAAACACTGAAGTAACGAAGTATGCAGGTGGAGGCATCGACATGTTACTTGCGCGGTCTGCTCATGCAGAAGTTGAACCGCGGAGACGAAGCGAAGGAGTCCTTCCTCGAGGCCTTGTCTCTTGACGTGAAGTGCTACGACGCCTTCCAGAAACTGGTAGACAGTCAAATGATGACCCCAGACGAAGGTGCGGCCTCCACCTTGCGTACCCGTACGATCTCTGACATGTACTATATCTAGAGTGGAACGTCATCCAGTCTCTCGCCTACTCATCCCAAACACCGCACGATGCCCAGTTTGTCCAACTGATGTACACCAGCCGCCTACGAAAGTATAAGCACAAGGCCGAGCATGCGCTCACCAGAAAAAAGCTTGTAGAGGAGTACGGCCTCGGCGACAACCCAGACGTCCTCCTCAGCTTCGCCGACGCGCTCTTCAGTGACTTCCGGTTTGCTGACTGCTATGCCATTACATCCAGGTAGGCACGATCTCTCCTTCCTGCATTCGCTGCCCTCTGGCCTGACTGACGCCACTTACTCAGAGTCCTCGGCATGATCTCCATCCATAACCAGGCGCTGCCGATGCATTTGGCGTGCATGTTCGAGCTGAAGCACCTCCACTCCAAGCTCTTCCTCCTCGCGCACGAGATGGTCGACCGCGAGCCGGACAACGCGCTCAGCTGGTACGCCGTCGGCATGTGGTACCTCTCGAAGGGCTCGTGGGGCCAGGCGCGCCAGTTCTTTGCGTACGTCCACTCGTTTGCTGCGTCCAGTATGTTCTGTATGCTGACCATCTGCACAGCAAGTCCTCGCTGTTGGACCCGCGCTTTGCGCCGGCGTGGATATCGTTCGCGCACGCGTTCTCTTTTGAGGGCGAGCATGACCATGCGATTACGGCGTATTCGACGTGTACGAGGATGTTCAATGGGTTTGTCTCCTGCTTCAGGTCGAGGGGCGTCCTGACTGACATGCCCGCAGCTCGCACCTACCGTACATGTTCTTGGGCATGGAACATCTGGCACTCTGCAACTATGGGCAAGCCAACGACGCGTTCCGGGCCTCGCGCTCCTTATGCGACTCTGATCCGTTGCTCCTCAACGAACTGGGTGTGCTGGCGTATCAGCGGCAAAAGTACGTCCTTTACCAGAAAGTAGTCGGCGATGGAGAATCTGACACGCACGATCAGCTACAAAGAAGCCGCGGAGTACTTTGAGCAGGCTCTCTCGGTGGCGAACGTGACGCAGAGCTCGCACACAACCTGGCAGGCGACGTACATCAACGTCGGGACGTGCTATCGCAAGTTGCGGTATGTTCGATGTTTCAACCTCAACCTGACCGCCTTGCTGATACACGACGACCTTAGGCGACTCCCCGAAGCCGTAAAAGCGTACGAGAAGGTGCTCGAGTCGGATCCGCGGCACGCCGTCGCGTTGAGCTTCCTTGCGATCTGCTACCACCTCATGGGCGACTTGGACAGTGCGATCTTGAAGTATCATGAGGTGTGTTGTCGTTGCAATGTTGGGCCAGTCGTATCTGACGGTTTATGCTGCAGACCTTGAGCCTGGTGCACAACAACAACATCCTTGACCTACTTAACCTGGCCCTCGATGCGGCGACGGTGGTCGATCAGCCGAGGCTTGGAGATGCGGAGTGGAGGCAAAGGGTGGCTGAATGGAAGGCGGCGACTGGCCAAATTCAGCCTCAGGATGATTCAACGGTGGATGAGATGAGTATAGGGTAGCTTTTGTAATATTCCCTTCCGTTATCCTCTCTGCGCAGTGATTTTCTTTTGATTTTTTGTAATGTCTCCGCCGCTGTGGCGCGCATCGGGAATCGCCGAGTAAACAAGCGCAAATTGAGTCAGTGACGCTGATCGGGCTGTCCGCCTTCGCTTGCCTCACGACTGCATCGGACGTCGCCCTTGGCGGTAGCAGCTCCCCACAGCCCTCGATCTCGTCGCGCACGCCGCCGACAGAGCTCCCGCATCTCGCAACTGCTGTACTAGCCAGCAGTCGCGGACCAACTAGACTCAGCCCAGCATGCCGAAGGTGCGATCCTGCGTCCTGCTGCCTCCGCCTGTCTTACTTATCGTCTGTCCCTCTTCAGAATAAGGGAAAGGTTCGTTTGTGAAGATCGCGGGCAAGAGACGAGGTGTCTGACGGATGTACAGGGTGGAAAGAACCGTCGGCGCGGAAAGAACGACAACGACGACGACAAGCGCGAGCTGGTCTTCCGCGAGGACGGCCAGGAGTATGCGCAGGTGACGAAGATGCTCGGGAACGGGCGCCTTGAGGCGCAGTGCTTTGACGGCGAGAAGCGCCTCGCGCATATCCGAGGGAAGATGCGCAAGAAGGTGCGTCGTCGATGGCTCTGCTTGCTCGGCCCCGCTGACCGAGATGCTCGCATCTAGGTGTGGATCAACCAGGGTGATATCATCCTCATCTCCCTGCGCGAGTTCCAGGACGACAAGGCGGACGTGATCGTAAAATACACGCCGGATGAGGCGAGGAATCGTGCGTGGTGGTGTTCCCCGTGTCATGGCAGTGCAATTGATCTTGACCTCCCCCATCACAGTCAAGGCGTACGGCGAGCTGCCCGAAAACGCGAAGATTACGGAGAACACGTTCGACGAGGAGGAGGGCGAGTGCACTTTCGAGTTCGGGGACGACGAGGAGCTCGACATCGACGAGATCTAGAGGAGCCACCATATCCCCGCCAAGTCTCGCTATCCCCGCCATCGCTACCCTCCCGCTCGTTACGGTTTACCTACCCCGCACACGTACCTGCCTCGCGCACGTACAGGTCCCAGGCTCGTCCGGACATAACGGACCGTCTATCCATGCCGTCGTTTCTGCTCTCTGTAATCCATCGGTCTCCCCATTCGTCATGTACACACACCGAGACCGTTGTATCAGTATGACTTATCTGTAGGTATATTCAGTCTGCGGTGCTCTTTGACGTGCGCTGCACGCTTTCGATGGTCGTGATCATTGCTGCCCTTCCAGTAGGACTCAGGCCTCAGGCCTCAACAACGCAAGCTGGGACACCGAATTCATGATCGTCCAGCAGTACTTCGACGAGAGCGGTAGCTGCATTCGCCGTTCTGGCCAATGGAATGCTACGAATCAGGATAATAGTGATTCTTCAGGTGCCGGTACTTCCTCAATGAATACAAAGCGAGAGTCTCTGTCCTCGTAAGTTCAGGGATCGCGAACGCGCTAGTGCTACAACTGCCACATACCATTCTTGATATACTCAGCCATCTTCAGCGCCTTCTCGATATCCTCATGATCTGTCAGATTCCTGTTCTCTGTAGCCTTCTCAGTCCACAATGTTTCCTCTCCTAAGCACGCTGTCTTACTCTCGAACATACGTCGTATTTTGCCATTGAAGTCGTACCTTCAAGGTATCAGGGTATGCGCGCACCGGTAGTCCCATCGACTCACGCGGGGTCGGGGTATTCCTTTCCAAGGTATAGCAGCTCCTTGTATAACCGAAGAGCTCGTAGGCGTGTTGTATTACATGCCATTAGCCTGAGGGTACGCGGATGGTGGTCGAGGTCAAGGTTTTCACGGATGGTCACACGACCCGGTGGCGCGCCGGGCCGGGAGTCCGCTGCTGAACTCGAACTTCCATGTTCGCCCACCGGTATCGCTGTCGCTGCTTGCCTCTGCTTCCCAATCTATTCGGTGGAAAGAGGTACTTGACATCGACCCTGAAGCTAAAAAAGACCTTGAGGATGAAGGCGCCCGCGACGAAAATCGTGTTTTTCTTTCCTCTGTAGCTCAGTCTTGAGGGAATTGCGCGCAGAGCCACGTCAGGCAGGCCAAATTCTGCATCCCTTGTGGTCCAGCACTACGCCACTCCTCAAATGTACCTTGATTTGCTGGCCTATATGACTGTGTCGTATAGCTTAACGCTGCATCCATATCGGGATGAATACCGTTTGCAAGGGTTCGCGTTCGTCGCCTCAATTTGTCTCGTCGAGACCTTATCTTCGTTCGTTCCATGGCTCGGAAGCTTCGGGCGGATCACTCTTCTGGACTTCGGGCGACTATATCCACTGAATTGCTTGCAGCAGCTCCGCTCTTCCGGTTTGCCAAGGTGCCTCTGAGGTTTACTGGCGAGCACATTTTGGTCGCGAACTTGGATTATTCAAGGTCAGTTCCCTTGCTTCCACTTTCTAATCTACTATGCTCAGACAAGAAAGGGCACCATAGCATACATCAACCTGGTCGAGCGGTCGTCCTTCCGGCCGCTCCAGTGCCAGACTTCAGGCGGACGTCCCTCCGTATGAGGGCCGGCGGCGCCCCACTCTCTCCTGGCAGCTCCCAGCCCGATCAGTACCGAGCCCGAGAACATGCTGCCCAGGCTCCAGCCACCGCGTTTGGACGACAGCGCGAGAGCGCTCCGCGTGCCGGGGGACACACATTCGTCGGCAGTATAGCGCCCGCCCCCAATAGGCAGTGATTTGTCAGCAAGTTGAACAATGGTCTCACCTGATTGGGCCGCCCGGACGAACGTGCGAGGGGCGACACTGCCCAGCGTCCCGCAGTCCTTGCCAATGGCGGGTAGATTGCATGTGAGCCAAGGCACACGGGAGGGAGGGTAGATACTTAAAAGGAACGCGCCAAGAAGGAGGAGAAGCAAGCGCCCTTCTTCCCCCTCGCCCGACCTTCCGCAAGTCGTCGATCGAAATGGCCTCCGAGAGGGATTCGCACTCGTCCGATGCTCAGAAAGGAGAGGATGCGACGTACGTGCTCGACGAGCGCCGTCGAGCAGCCTTGGCGGACGTCGACAACGCTAAATTCTCGTGCGTTTCTTGGCCTGTCTTGGATAGATCCTTGGCTGACCCTGTGGCTGCCCGTAGATGGTTCCATGTCAAGGTGGCCATGGTTGCTGGCGTTGGTTTCTTCACGGACGCGTGCGTGGTTGTACTTCGTGTCCAAGACGGGGGCTGACAGAACGTGCGTAGGTACGACATCTTCGCGATCAACATCGCGTCGAAGATGCTCGGATACGTGTACGGGTCAGTAAAGGCAGGGGACCCTCCTGAGAGTCAGTCCATGCACTTTCTGAAGCCCTACGAAATTTGACGATATCTCAGAGAGGGCCCTGAATTCCGACCAGGACCTCGGCATCAAGGTCGCTACCCCGTGTGGTACTTTCTTCGGCCAGTTACTTTTCGGGTATCTGGCTGACCACCTTGGCCGCAAACGGATGTGTAAGTACATTGGCACAGTCGTGGTTGGTGTCGCTGACCATAAGTATAGATGGTGTGGAGCTCATGATTATCATCATCGCCACCTTCGCACAAGCGCTCAGCGGTCATGCACCTGCCGTTGGCATCATCGGCGCACTCGTTGTCTGGCGATTTATTGTGAGCGATATTCCGCCTTACATTGGACGCCTTACTCACCTACCCCCAGATGGGCGTCGGCATCGGCGGTGACTACCCTCTCAGCGCCGTCATCTCCTCCGAATTCGCCTCGACCAAGATCCGCGGCCGCCTCATGACCGCCGTCTTCGCCTTCCAGGGCTGGGGCAACTTTTGCGCCGCGCTCGTCGCCCTCATCGTCACCGCCGCCTACAAGGATTCTATCCTCGGCGACAACACCGCAACGATGGACCACGTCGACTACTGCTGGCGCATCCTCATCGGCCTCGGCTGCGTGCCCGGCTGCGTCGCGCTGTACTTCCGCCTGACGATCCCGGAGACGCCGCGCTACACAATGGACATTGAGCGCAACGTGCAGCAGGCGGCGGATGATATCACGAACGTGCTCACGACGGGCAAGTTCAAGCACGACGAGGACGTCGTGATGCAGCGCGCGGAGGCGCCGAAGGCCAGCTGGGCGGACTTCCGTCACCACTTCTCGCAGTGGTCCAACTTGAAAGTGCTCATTGGTGCTGCGTGGTCGTGGTTCGCGCTCGATGTACGTCGTTGGCTTTTTTTCGAGCTGATCCGTTCCTCATATGTCCTCCTAGATCGCGTTCTACGGCCTCGGCCTCAACTCCAGCATCATCCTCGACGCCATAGGGTTCGGGTCCCCGAAGTCCACAGGCACGCAGCGCATCTACGACGACATGTACAACGTCAGCGTCGGCAACCTCATCCTCTCCGCCGCCGGCCTCATCCCCGGCTACTGGGTCAGCTTCCTCTTCATCGACTCCTGGGGCCGCAAGCCCATTCAGCTCATGGGCTTCACGATGCTCACCATCTTGTTCATCAGTACGTTTACATGCTTTTTTCGTCTCTTTTCTCGGAGACTAACTGTCCTTGCAGTCATGGGCTTCGGCTACGACAAGCTCACCGAGACGTCCGGCGCCAAGAAGGCGTTCGTCTTCCTGTACTGCCTCGCGAACTTCTTCCAGAACTTCGGCCCGAACACGACCACGTTCGTCGTCCCCGGCGAGGTCTTCCCCACGCGCTACCGCTCCACCGCGCACGGTATCTCGGCCGCCTCTGGCAAGCTCGGCGCCATCATCGCGCAGGTGGGCTTCGCGCAGCTGAAGGACATCGGTGGCCCGAGCGCGTTTGTCAAGCATATGTACGTCTACCTATTCTATCCTTCCCCCAGCCAATATATGCTGACTCGCCCTCCTAGTCTTGAGATCTTCGCCCTCTTCATGTTGACGGGTATCTTCTCGACGCTGCTCATCCCGGAGACGAAGAACAAGTCCTTGGAAGAGCTCTCCAACGAAACGCAGGAGGGCTTCTACAAGGGCGTCGCACCGATTGTACCTGCCGTACCGCAGGGTGCTGTCGTACCGACCTTGTCATCATAGGTATTCCGGAGGAAAAGTACTGCTGTTAGTAGTGTATGCTCATGCCCGGCACCTTACTCTCATTATTTAGTGTACTCACGTTGTATGTGGTGGCGTTGTGTACGCCGATATCTATTCGTTCAGGATTTTACAGACGCGGAAAAGCCCACTGAATGAAACGATATTGAAGAGTAGCGACAGACCATTTACAATGAGTGGAGATTACAAACGGCGACAAGGATGTGCGTGCACGGTGGACGACGATCACGTAGACTTCAAGTTTGCGACCATGGATATATGAGAGCCAAGGCCGGCGCCGACGACCAAACCTCCGACGCCCACTGCGCTCGAGTAATCAGCATCGCTTGTGAACGCGCAGCGGAACACAAAGACTGACGTATACCCATATTGCGGAAGGAGTAAACGAACTTGCCGTTCGACATGAAGTCCACAAGGTATTCTTTCGGAGCGCCTTTGACGGCCAGCAGGGGAAGGAGAGAACCGCCCAGCGCCGCGCCGGTGGCTATGTATCGATCCCAATACCGAACAGCAAAAGCTGACTTCAGTTCTTTGCGGTACTGCTTGGCCCGGCCTTCGATGTCGAGGACAAGAAGCGAATGGATAGCCGGCAATAACGAGATTCCAACTGAGGGACAAGATAGTCAGCTAAACAAGCCCTGGTCGTGAAGGCCCAAACGTACACAAAGCACCGAGGAAGCCTGCGTTCCTCACACAATTCTGGATGAGAACGCGCTCTGCACCAGGGGGAGGACAGAACGAAGGAGGTATTTCGCGAACATATATGATGGTCATGGGCACGGCGAACCAGGCGTATTGGAGGGCGAGCTCCAGGCTTGCGCCTGCTTGGATCATCGCGTAGTCGCGGAGCCAGTGCAGCTTCAGAGGAACTGAAAGACCGTCTTGTACGCGCTCCTTGGCAGCGATAATCCGTTTCTGAAGCTTCGGCCTGGGACCGGTAGTGTCCGGTGCTGGTTCCGAGCGCGACAGCACCTCGACACCCCGCTTCGCGTAGTAGACCATAGCACCGAGGCCGCCGAAGGCGATGGGCACGAACACCCCTGCGATGACAGATCAGAAGTGGAATCATATGAGCAGGTCGACACTCACAATTCGTTCCTTTCAATATAGCACGTCGCAGCTGCGAGTAGGAGCGCGCAAACTTCTCCGGATCAACGAGCCCGTCGATGAGCAATGGGACGGGCCGCTTCTTGAAGAGCACAAGGCAAGCCAGAAATCCGGCGAGCATTCCGCAGTTGGTATACGGCCCCGGAAGCGTCATTGTTGGCTAGACAGGGTCAGTGAGTACTTGCGTAGAAGCCGTGTAATACCCACGTCCTTTTGAAGGCGGGAAAGCAAGCTCTGCCTCTCCTGAAGATCGAGGCCAGAGCATCGCCAGCTAGCTTCAAAGTTGCTTGATATCCAAGCTGGTGGAGATAGTCGTCAGACGGAAGTACAGGAAACAATTGTGCTGGACGGACGTGGCACGATGGAGAAGACAGCGGTCGTCCTAACCAATCCCCCGAGACTGACCCCAGCCCTCCCCCGCGTAGCGAGAGTGTACCCAGTATACGCCACGACGCCAGCGGCACCGAAGAGGGCACGATACCTTGAGCTCAGTATCGCTCGGATTTCGTCCTCCGGTGCGCGAGCTTGCCCGCTACGGAAATGCTTGGTGGTCACATCGAAGTTCATTGCCAGCAGCGGCAGCGGACAGTCGTCGAGGACAGGGTATGCCGAGGATGTACTCAGAGAGCTGACCGGTGGTGTGGCGGGATGGGTTCGCTGAAGGGCCCTTCATGTTAAGTATGACCGATAGCCTGAAGTGCATGAGTCGAAGATACCCTTCCGAGGGTACGCGTCGACCCGGCCGTTGAGCCACGCCTTTGCTTTCACCGAAGAATATGAGCACTAGAAGCCTTCTTTTACGTCGTCGGAACAGCGCAGTCTGAGCGGAGCAGAAGTGCCAGAGCTCGGCCAGCAAACGCGTCGGCGCGGCTTGTAAGTTCATATAGTTTCTGATCGGTGTGCGAACACGTGCTGCGGGTGGTACTCGAGTCAGTGAGACCGATGAAGGATATGCGTCTGAATTATGAGGAGAGATGGCTCGAATCATTCACCGAATACAAGCAACACATTCCACTACTTATGGACGAGGACCATCATCGCCACCATTGGAGCTTGACCTGAGCAGGTGGCGCGCGATGAACGCCAATGAGCCAAGACTGCCTCCTGCCATGATGCTGGCGCTTCCGACTGTGTTAACCGGGGTGGTCAGTCTTCATAACCTTGCTCCGGCAGTTAGAAACTCACGGACGAAGACGTTGCGCGGCGAGCGTATGAACTGCCCGGCACGCACGAAATCGCGCATGATGTGAATCCTGGGCGCACGTCTGATCAAGAATGGCACGACCGACCCTCCAAAAAATGCCCCGCAGAGGATATGCTTGTCCCAAGCCCGAGAGGTGTCCTATACACGGAACTGAGTAGGTGGTTTCCGAGACGGGATGAAAGCTTACGCTTCGCAGAGCAGCTCTAAATTCTTGTAGTATGCTGGACGTCGCGATGCCTTCTACGAGCAAGTCGTGCGTCATCGGCATAGCGGTCAGAATCCCTGGATCGCGACAGACACTTTATTTAACACATGGTATGCCTTTGAACATGGCAAAAAACTGACCTAGGCCGCCCCAAAATCCTGCCCGACGAGCATACAGCCTGACAAAACGCAGAGAAGAAGCATTGGTGGCAGCGGATCCCAATGCAGTTGGTATCGCCACCAAGGAAGACGTAGCGGCGATCTTCAATGCAGATGACGCCTGCATCGAAGCGTAGTCTCTGTACCACGCGCTGTGTTGCACTACCGATTGCATTCTCTCAAACAGCGCAGCTCGCACATTTGTGGAGCGAAGCTGTTTAGCGTAGAAATAGTATACGCCAAGGCTGCTGCCCAAAAACACAGCGGTCTCGAGGACTGTGCGAGCGAGCGTTCAGCGATGTGAATAGATCCAGTGAAGAGGGGCTTACTGGAGAATAGCCGGGTTGCGCACTCATTGACTATGCTGAGTGCGCCCTTGGGAAGGGGGTATACGTGGACCTTTCGGAAGAGCCCTAGTGCCACACCACAAAACACTCCATAGTACCAGTGACTGATGCGGCTGTGAACGATCGGCTGGGCCATATCTCAGCTCGCTGCTCGCGAAAGCCCGAAAAAGCGCCTCGGATTGTGGCAAGCTCACATCGTTGCGCAGCTGTCTGTGGACCTCTAGTAGCTCGGCGAGAGGCATATTCGCGCGGAAAGCGTTGGCTTCGGCCCAGCTAGAGACAAACGCTGTAGAGTACGTCAAATCGCGAGTAGGAAGGGCATTGGCATCGACGTGCCTGGGAAGAAGGCATAGATGCCAACATTGTTCGTTACGACGCGCACGGTGAAGCCATTTACGCCGCTGGAGGCGAGAGATGACAATACACAGAGCGGAAGCGCAACAGCAGGATACAGTGATATCCTACTCGCGCGCAGCTTAGAATCGATGGATTCAGTGATCTCCTGGCGAATTTCCTCTAGGGAATAGGGGATAAATGGTCTCGGTAGAGCGAGTATCTTGAATTGCTCGTCTTCCGCGTCGATCGGCTCCGGCAAAGGCAGGTCCTCTGTATCAGCCATGATGCATGTCAATCGCGGGCGCAAGCCGCAGAACGCGAAAGCTCAGTCCGTTCAATAAATGTGGTCAACCGAAGTTCGGCATTTTGATTCCTTGACTACGCGTCCCCCCGGCGCTGCGACCGTTTGATAGCACGAAGCGCCTCCGCCCTCTTCCTTTACGTCCTCTGGGAGAGTATCGGTGCAGTTGCCTCGCAAAATCATCGCTGAAGCGATCATGAAGGTCGGGACGAAGACGCGTCGCGGCGGCATGCCAAGCTCGGAATTATCAGTAAGGTCACGAGGTTCCGGCCTTTGCCGTGGCTTGGATCCACAACCTAAGAACATGTAACCGCCATCCTTTCGACGAAGTCCACATAGAACATGGCGACATCGCCTAGACAAGTCAATTGACCGAGCGTTTAGTATGTACAGTTACAAACGAGTGGCAGGCCGCGCGTCTCTCTCGACAACTGGGCAATAAAGTTAATGTACGGCGAACTTCTATCTTCATGAACCTGCGTGATGGGCCGAGGGGATAGTAATAAAAGGGGAGAAAACGGGAATGAGATCCGGAGAAGTCGTAAAGGTATATACGAATGTCCGTGTCTAAGTTGTGCAAAAGGTGTGTGTGTCCATGTCACGACAGCAGACGTGTGATGATGTTCAGATGTACAATGGGGGCTGGGGAAGAGGTAGAGGGAAGTAGGTATATGTATAGCAGTGGCCCGAGTAGGCAGGGGACAATATGTGGCAGTGCGTACTGATAGTATATGCATAGGCGATTCCAGAGCAAAGCGACACGACGGGCGATGGGCAAGGGCGATAGGGCGTGACACAGTACCAGTCTAGTTGACGTGGCAGACAGCGAGGGACGAGGCGAAGGTGGAGCCTGGATAGAACCAGTACGAGACGGCGACAATAACGTAGAATGCTGATCATCAAGTGGTCAGTAGACTGTTCCTCCGCGCCGGCAGAAAAAAACACACAGATGAGGATGACGCCTTCCATCCAGTTCGATTTCCCGTCCGCAACCACGAATCCCATCGTCTGCACGGAAAGGTATAAGACCTACGAGACGTCAACTTCTTCCCTTATTGCACGAAGACCAGGGACTCACGAGGGACATGAAAGGGTCAAAGAGTAGACTGAGCGGCTTCTCCATGGCCCATGCGGAGACGACCATGAGCGGGATGACGAAGAGTACAGTTTGCTACACAGGAGAACATTCTTAGCACTGGCAAATCCGTAAACGCTGGGAGAGCACTCACAATCGTCGACCCAACGGCAACGCTGACACTCAGCTCGAGCTGATCCTTGACGGACACAGTCACTGCTGTCAAGCACTCTGCAACGCCAGTCAGCCTTCACCCTTCCACATAGCACATAGCCACGCCCACTCACCCGCCAAACTCGTCACCGCCGGCAGCAAAATTAGCGCGACCCACTCCTTACTGATCACATCGGAGACACCGTTCATGCTCTCCACCAGCCAGTCCGCCGTCACCGACACCGCGATCGTCACGAGCGTCAGCGTGCTCAGCGTCAGGAACCAGCTCAGCTGCGGCGGGGGCACCTTGGGCGCCTTCTGCGCCTCCGGCTCCGCGACCGTCCCCGCAGGGCTCGGCGCGCGCGAGTCGTACACGTCGGGGTAGCTGTCCGTCCATGGCATGCCCGGGCCCGACGAGAGCGTCGTATCCTCGCGCCTCAGGGGCGGCAGCTCGACCAAACGCACCGTTTCGCCGCCGGGGAGGATGGAGATGCTGGATGCGGTCCCGCTCGCTGGAATCTGGCCGTGCGCGCCGTTAGGTGGTGTCTGGGACCCCAGATAGATCGAGCGAAGGCCCGGGGAGCGACTACGGCTACGGCTACGCGGCGGGGTGCCCAGGGGAGACTCTCGCCCCGGCGTCGGCGAGCGCTCCAGTCCTGGCGGGACAGATGGATAAGACCCCAGCTTCTCCTGCGACTGGGATGCCTTCCCGGCGAGATTGAGGTTCGACATCGACGCCTTCAGGGACAGGCTCGCATTGGCGGCCTTGCGCAACTTAACGAGACTAGGGGGAGGCTTGACAACATGCTTGTGGCTCGGAACGCGGTTGTCTTCGTAGAGATGTCGATGGGAGTAGAGCTGGAATACCATGTAGCAAATGTACACTGCGAGAAAGATATTAGCGCTGCTCGCATCCTCTTTCCTGCCGTACTTCCTCGACGAAGGGGCAGAAAATATGCTTACCCGATATCAGCACCATCGACACCTGCAGCTCATCAGTACTTTGCTGTGGCGGCCTACCGTCGTGAACTCACCCCATGGCTCATGTACATGATATTCAGCTTCTGCCATTCCGAGCTATCGTCAATCTCCCCGCTGAGCGCGAAGTGGTAGACGGCCGGAAGGAGGATGCCTCCCACACCAATACTCAGCAACGATGAATGGATCTGGGTCGCCGCTAGAAGGTGTGTGCATCAGCAAACAGATATGCTAGTCCAGACGCGAGCCTCGCGTCCGAACGAGCGGTCCCCGTACGAACAATAGGTGCGTTATCCGCACGCACGCTGCGAGTTGCCACAATACACGACCGGGACCACGGGCGCGTCCCAAAAGTGGTACGGCGACACAGAGGTAGCGATGCGTCGCGAAAGTGATGTCACGAAACTAAAGTAGAGCCCACTCACTCGGATCGAAGCCCTGCTCCGCGAACCTGATGCCACCCGCGAAGAAACAGAGTCCCAAGACGAGCACTAAAGAAAGAAGAATAACACCACCGTCGTCAGCGTGAATGCGGCGCAGCAAAAGGAAAATAGGCGCGCCGCAGCGCGGGCGGGGGCGACGTACGCAGTTTGCTAAGAATGGACCCGATCACTGGATATAGTGCGATGAGAGGGGCGAAAATAGACGCGGAGGCACCGGCGATGGATGAGAGCGGGGACACGGCGAAGCAAGATTGAGTGAAGCGAGATTGATGAAGGGCGGGGGGCGGATGCGTGAAAATAGAACATAGGAGGACGAATTAGTGCGGATGGAATCAGACAATGGGCGCGGTTCAATCAGTGAGAGGAGCGGCAACGGGGGGCGGGCATGCTTACAGGATGATTGGACGACGGTGAGCTCGCAGTTGCGCAGCGCGGTGAACTGGAGCATTGTTAGTGGGAAGCGAAGGTGCCATCGGCAGGAAACTTACGCCGACTACTATCTCAACCCTGCCGGTGATATGAGCGTGGGCGCGTTAGAGAGTCCATACGAAACGTACATGTTTCCCTACAATTAGTAGTGTTAGTGAATGAGCGATCAGCAGTAGGTTGGGCGCGCACCATGGTGGCATGCAAGAGCCCGGCGTTCGCGCCACCAATTCGGCGGGATACTTGGGTGATGGCGAGATCGTGGAGCTGGGGATGACGATAAGCGGCTTGGATGGCTGGAAAGGTTCTGGGGTGCGTACTCTAACCAGTGGAATGAGGGCGAGGATGGAGGCTGTTCCATGTTAGTGGGGTTGCTGCGCAGACACGAGGCGACGCACTGGCGAAGACCAAGGCATGAGATTCGGGGAGGAGGACGCTGACGGTCCACTGCAGGAGGTGAGTGGGGATATCTGAGTCGCGCGGGCACACGCACGGCTATGGGTACAATAAATAGCAACAAGTTCAACCCTGGGATGGTGGCGTGAGCGGGTTGACGATGAGCAAGGACAATGAGACGCACAAGAGCCGAGGACGAGCAGCCGCCAGCCAGCGAAGGCTTCGTGGAACGTCTCTGTCCACGTCCGATAACGTCTGTCTGCGGCTGCACCGGGCGCCTCGCGGTGGAACGGAAGGGCGGAGGCGCGCGCGCGGCTGCCACGGTTCGCGACGAGGCTGGCGCGCGAGTCTGTGGTGAAGGTGGAGAGATTCGTGTCTACGCGTTCTATCGAGTTTGAGTACGCCACATCGCCCGCGTTGGGGACTGAGCGGGAGCGGTTGTGCGCGTGCATAGGTGTGAGGGGGTGCCGGCGTGCGGCGCGAGTGGTAATGAAGTCGTCGCCGTTAGAGGGACTGAGCGCCAGCGCAGGGAGCAGTGATGGTGGGTAGAGTAAAGGAGCGTCCAGGGATCGGATGGCGGGGAGAGACAGGGAGACTGGTGCACGGCCTCCCGCCGGCAAGCAGCTTTGAGCTTCGGAGCCATCAATGAGCGGAGCACGGACACAAATGGAGTCGGAGAAGCTTCCTTTGCGGGGAACTCGTTTGTCGCGACTGATCCGGACTGCGGCGTGATGCGCCTACCGCTTGTCCGCAGCCGCCACCTCTTGTCGCACTGGCTGCTCAGTTGCGACGACGCCTGCCTGGCACACACTGGGACCGACTGTCGTCAGACGGCCGATCGTGCCAGGACCGCCAAAGAGTCGACGCGTCAGGAGCGATGGTGCGTGGGCTGCTGCTGCTGGGGTCGGCGCACGTGGCTGACGTCGATGACGCGTTGCGGGTCGCGCGCCGGTCTTGTCTCCCGCCCTCACGTCGGCGAGCGCGGCGCGTCCATCTTCTCCGTCCCCCGTCCTCCGCCTCTTATGCTCTCACTGCAATATCTCGCCCGTCGTTGTTCTGCCTGCACCCTGACCTCGCGTCTGCGCTTCTGAGCACGCGCCGGCTGGGCATCGGGGCGTGATGTGACTGGAGTTGAACTGTCTGACTTCCTAATCGAGACGAGTTGGGTGAAATTGCAAGTTGGACCTAGCCGAGCTGCGAAAAACATAAACCTCGTCTAATCGCTCTCGGACCTCGCGGGCTGGGTAGAGGGGGCAAATACAAGCCGGATTACCGAGGGATTTTGTGATCTTTTACCTTGGACTTGTCCTATACCCTCCCTCACTGCCCGATCTCGGAATTAAGCGTGACATGGGGGCTGCTACTCGTTGTAGTTCACCGTCTCTCACCGTTCAAGCTGGAGGAGGTGCAGGACATGTCCTTCTTTTGCTCTATATACTTCCTCAGGCATTGGCTAGTCTACAACTATGGCTACGATTTTTCTACTTGTCCTGCACATGACCTTGCCAAGCACTGGTCAGTGCGAAGCAACACGCGTGCTTAGGGTCGACGGAGGTAGTAGCCGACGGAAGTGCAGGGACAATGAGCATTGTTCTCAGGTAATTCACAGTACTGCGGCAGAAGGCTTGGGCTTACGTTCCCTTGAAACTCGAGTTCAAGTGGGCTTCGGGATGACAAGTGGAGCTTGAGGGTGTAGGATTGAGAAGAACTGGTCAGGGTCGAGGTCAATAAGTCAAGCTCAATACCAACAAGGCAAGCTTGAGACTGGCAAGTCGAGCTCAATACGGACAACTCAAGCTCAAGCATAAGACAGGAATCGGACACCGAGCCAGGGGATGTGATGAAACTGGTACGTGATAGATGCAAGGTTGAGATGTGAAGGAAGCGCTGGATAGGAAGCGGAGGAAGCACGGAGCAGTGAGCGGAAGAAGCACCAGATGGTAAGCAAGGGCAGAAAGAACAGCAATCAAGAGAAGCATGGAACAGTAATCAAGGGAAGCACGGAACAGCGAGCGGAAGAAGCATGGAGTAGCGAGCGAAGCAGTTATTCAGGGTCTTCTGTCAAGGGCGGAGTTGGAAGGCCGAGTCGAGGCTGATCTCACAGAGCAGGGATATTCAGACAAGTCAGGGCCCCAAGAAGCGAGTTGAGGTGCTCAAGAAATGAGTTGAGGTGCTTGAGAAGCAAGTCGAGGTGCTCGAGCTTACTCGAAGATGACCAAGGGTGCTCAGCTCATCTATCTACTCGAGATCACCCCAAAGGTATGGAGCTCATCAACTCACCCTTTGCTTGCCAGAAGGATATCCATTGCTACGTTTATACAATGAGTACACGAGCATGGCAAGAAGTGTGCTACAGATGCAGGAGAGAGGTGGCAAAGGGTGGGACAGACAATGAGAAGGTGACGAGTGAGGAGAAGGAAAGGGAGCTCAGGAGAGCGAGATGCTGAGGACAAGGATGATACAGAGGAGGCGGAGGTATTGACGGAAGCAAGAGCATGGTACGAGAGCAAGGATAAAGCCTGTGAAGCGAGTCAGTAAGTGTTCAAGAAACAGAGCTCATGACACGCACCGTGCAAGACTGTGGAGCAGACAGCGGGCGATACTCATGCTTGAAGGATGGCATGCACACAGAGGTCGAGACGAGCAATGGACTGTTCTCGAAGTCGGACTCAGAAGCCTTGACCGGAACGAGATTGATCTTGAAGAGGCCTGGCGTGGAATGCGGCGATGAGGTGGATGATACAGAGGAGGAGGGGGTATTGGAAGGAAGAGTTCAAATGTCCCAAGTGAAGGGCATCGTCGCGTGAGACGGTAGCGGCACTCGTCCGAGATTTATACCGGAGGCAAGGGAGGAGGGAAGTGGGTAAACTTGAAGAGAGAAGGGTATGGAAGTACAGAAGTAACAAGCGAGAAGCGTGGTCTACGCGAGCGGCGAACGTGGCCGTCAGGGTCAGACGGAACTAGGGAGTTGCCGAACAGGAAAGGCGGAGACAACATCTCTGCAGATCACCCGTCTCATCCTCGAGGCGTGTGCAAGTTTTAAGATCATTGTGCTCGCTGTCGGAGACAGTACACAAGGTATACAGAGCACGCGAGTGAATACAGTCGCAATGCGTCGGTCGAGCTCAAGAGAAAGCATGTACTGTACTCGAGTCGGGGGAATGATGGAACTAATTTATATTGAACACAAGCGCGCTACCAATAGCAGGAATTGCATTCAAGAGCGTCGCCGATAGCGGCGACGCCGCGAGAAGACAACAGACGCGATGGGAGGCGACGCGGGGGACGATGGTGATGGTCGGGAACAACAAGCGCCCAACGATCAAGCGCCCGCTTGACCGGTGCGGAAACCGGTCCGCCCCTCCGATCGCCCTTGCCTCCCGCGTCCATCTCGATTCATGGCCATCGCTTCAGCCCCCCGTCGTTCCAACGCCGAGAACTGCTCCAGAATACTCAGAAACACCCATCTTCGGTGGACGACGCGTCGAGCGCAACGGGGACGCGTCAACACGCGGCATGAGCTGAGAAGACGCGCGGCGGTTTCCCCCAGTCTACGGCACCTACCCCCCATTATGACCCAGTGCTATGAACGTGTAGAAGAGCATAAGAGTGAGTATATAACATTTGAACGGCCGCGCTTGCAGCAGAGAGACGTCTGCGAAAGACCTGGCTTGTCGGGTAACTGAGGGGGGAAGTACCGCACATCAAGTCGCGCGCTCAACATCGACATGATCTGAACCCGATCCCCCACCCGCAAAATCGCAGAAGCGGACCAGTACGCGATAGTGAATACTATGTCTCTACTCTCACAGCTGGCATCACCCATCCGAGACGAACAGCAAGACGTTGGTTAGGCCAAATCCTTCATGTGGCGTCGTCATTCGGTGAGCGTGTACATGCATCGACTTTTGCTGATGAAACCAACTCATTCCCATGCTCTACAATCGATATGCTCGTCATTCAGGACGCGTTAGGGACTTTGGTGATGCTCAGTTCGTGTTAGACTTCATCCCCTCCTCGACACCCACCGCCCTCGCGCACCCCGCATCGTCCCTTTGACCACATGACGAGTACTCTAATCCATTCCGGGTACCTCCTGGAGTATACGTACGATGCGAGGCGGTGCGCCGAGTCCCGCGCCGCCGCGTCAACCCGCATATACTCAACACGCGCACTCTACTCATTCCTCATTGTTCCCTATTTTCCGTCGCTTCCAGTTTCCGAGAACCGAGGTACCAGGCGACCAAGTACCCCATCAAACTGATGGAAGTTTGATGTACGGCCTCGAGGGCCGCGCCGCTGTCGTGATACTCGGGCGGCTACTCTCCCCTTGGCGAGCAGAATGCATCTCCCGCTAACCCCTGCGCGGAATACCCCCCACACCATGTCGACAGGGTCAGGAAACACGTGTCGCGTCAGGATTTGAGATCTGGGATACGGAGGTGACTGGCAGATGCGCTGGCGGCACGCTGCTTTGCGTGCAGCTCAAAGCCTGCCAAATGGAGATCCAGCGTGATCGCGCACAGTTCGACTTTTTCCTCTTTTTCCTGCCATCGTCCCGCAACTTGCCGGTCTCGTCACGTCACGATGGCTCTAGGTACTTGTCTATTGACTGTTTCTCGCTCTCACGACCCGGCGCTCTCGCTGAAAACAATACAGAACGACTTGGACATGCACCGGCACAGGTCGAGGGAAAGAGCGCCCCGCCCCGCGACCCTCTCTCCTGCGGCTCCACGGGCGGCTTCCGCTAACCGACGGGGTACGTTTCAACATATCTTGCTCAGGAGCTGGCTGACATTCACGCAGGGATAGGCGGAAGATCGTGCGCGCGCGAAGCGCGCTTATTCCCCCAATCTTCCACTTTTTCCTGGGCGCGCCGCGGCCCAAGCCCTCCGTCGTCTTCTCGGAGTGATGGCGGACCTGGTCTGGAAGTTCGGATGGGGCCCGCTCGGTAGGTATAGCCGTCGAGCGCGGTATAAGAGCCGGCGGGTCTGAGCCTTTGAACCATCATTCCCCTCCTCTCCATTCCTTTCCTCTCTCTTCTCTCCTCTCCCTCCTTCGTCTTTCTGTACCAATGGTAAGTGATATTCAGTTCTCGCTCTCGACCTCATTCTGATTTTCTCAATTGCAGGTTTACCCTCGCATCGTAGGTGAAGTGTTCTGATTTACTGACGGTGATTAGCCTTGTCAGTCTTTTACCGACCGCCCTTCAGTGATTGGCCTACAACTATGATCCTAGTATCGGTAAGCGCTTCCGCTAGTAGCTGACTGGTCACTGATTGCTCTATAGGTTGCTCTTCGTACGGCTACCGTGCAATCTCGACGACGCCCGACCTTCGTCTTCGCCGCGACGACGTCGTCGCCTTGCGAGTGCGCCAGGTGCGTGCGGATCTCATCTTTGCCCTCGAGATGCTGACACGTTCTATAGCGCTGGCTGAGCTCGTCGTCGCGGACACCCGACGAGCTCAACTCACACAACCTCCCTGACGATCCCGCCGACCCCTCTACCCTTTCCTCGCCGCACGAGGCGACGTCGACGGTGTAGCCGACGCGCTGAGGCGGCGGTCGCCTCGCTTCCCATGACACGTGCCCCCGCGATATCCTGGACGGCGAAACCAGGTCGCGCCCCTTCCCCACTACCGGCGTGCTCCGTCGCTTGCACCGCCATCTCCACGCCTCGCTTGTATACGACGACATGCTTGATCACGACGACGACACGCAAGCGCCTCCCGCCAACACGGTGAGCCCGCCCTCGTCCCCATTCCCCGTGCAGTACTGTGACCGATGACTCACCTCCGAATCCCTCACAGGCGCTGAGGCGCTGGCCTTGTCGACAGACGCGTCGACGTCGGCGCAGTGGCGTGAGAGTGCCGAGTACGCTGTCAAAGTAAGCTCTCTGATCATTGCCCACCGCACGCAACAGCTGATGCGTACGTATAGATTGTACTGAACGATCTCGGCAGACGCCCCTTCCCTCCCACCACCATGTCCCCGTCGCCCTGCTGCCGCGCGACGTGTCGCTCGTTGCCCACCGCCGTCGCCGTTGCCGTTGTGCCGTGCTCGCGCTCTACACGCGACTCTCCAGCTCGGGGAAGCAGGGGACCCAGCACGGCCGCGACGTTGTGAGCGGAGAGTCAAGACCATGCTCGTCTGCGCTGCAGGCAAGGTTGATGACAAACATCGCCGGTGAGTCCGTTCGTCGGATCGATATTCATCGTGCTAACACCGTATTCAGTCATTATCTACGATTTCCAGTCTGACGGGGACACGCGACCGCCCCTTCCATGAGCTTCTCGATGGGCGTGTGGTACTCTAGCCCCCTGCGAACCCCAGCAAGGGGTATTTCACCGTGAGTCGATATTTTTTCTGTTATTGCTATGACCTTAGGACCGTGCTGACCCCGTTCTCAGCGATGTCTTCACACTCTCCAACGCGCAGATGCCCGTCCCGGCATTCTTCACGCCACAAGACATACGTAGCAACGTTAGACCGAGTCGGAATGAGGGTACGTTGTGCCCCATCTACCTATTTACCTGAGTTCCACGCTGCTATGATTACAAAAATGGGCCTACTGAATGAATTTTCAGTTCCTTCTCTATGACCCCGAGCCGCCGGGGGCACACGCGCGGTCCCCTCGGGCGTGGGTCGCGCAAGTGAAAGCTCCCTTCACCCTTAAGACCCCTTCGTGCAGGTACCGCCGCTTTTACAGATAGCATGAGGCGCATCCCGGTGAGTTATGCGCACCCCCTACATCCGGCTTGCCCCGTGTCCCGCGCTCTCGCTGAATGGAAATGCTGAACCGTATTTTCTAGGTATCTTGCGCTGACCCTGAGCCGCCGGAGGCACGCGCGCGCTCCCTCGACCGATTGAAGCGAAGGTGGAGGCCCCCTCCACCCTTACCCCACCTTCGCTCTGGCCCTGCTGCTCCACTTTATAGCTAAGGGGCGGATGCAGGTGAGTCTTGGTGCTGAATACGACCCCCCTCACCCTCCCCCCTCACCTGTCTACCGAGATGCTAAATCCCCGTTTTCAGGTACTTCGTAGAATTCCCGGCCCCCCGAGGCGCGTGCGGGCCCTCTCGACGGTATAAGCGAAGAGGGTGGGATTCCCACCCCCTCCACGGCCTTCGCGCGAGGTCGGAGAGGGGGGTGTTGTAGGCCCCTCCGTACAGAGAAAATAGCGAGTCGCCTCGTCCAACTCGCAAATGACATGCTTACCCTTCGTTTAGGTAGTTTCCCGCTACCCCCAAACCGCCGGAGGCATGCGCGCGCACCCTCGGTGAAGGACGCGACAGGGGTGGGGTACCCCTTTCCCCCAACAGAATACCCGCGCGACTGCAGGGAGGGGTTGCGCAAGCCCTTTCGCTCGAAATATGGTAAGCATTCGCGTACCAATTGTTGAGGAAATGCTGATACCGTCGTTAAGGTAAATTTCTCCGACCTCAAACCGCCGGAGGCATGCGCGCGCATCCTCGGTGAAGGATGCGGAAGGGGTGGGGCACCCCTTACCCCCGTAGCATACTACCTGCACGACGTCGGGGAGGGGTGCTGCAAGCCCTTTCGGGCAGAAAGGGGTTATGACTTGGTGAGTCGTCCCGCCATTCTCTTGAACGACGTACTGAACCCTTTGTCTAGGCAGTTCTCGCTGACCTCAAATCGCCGGAGGCACGCATGCGCGCCCTCGGTGACAAACGCGGAAGGGGTGGGGTACCCCTCGCCCCCTCACGGCACGCCTGAGCGAGGTCGTGCAGGGGCGGGCGAGCTCCCTCGTCGATGTAGGGATCACTATGCTGACCCCTCGACGGATGCACGTCGAGAAACGACGGCTTTGCGTGTCATCGCACGCAAAGGAGAAGCTGTACACCTAGGTACGTCCATCCTGGTAGTTCACCACGTTCTTTTGACTGATGAGCGGTACCCTGACAGAGCGAAGCGTACCCATGCCGCAGCCTTCAAGGGTCTCGAGACCGTCGTTCTCGGCGAGAAGGACATCCCCTCCCGCACCATCCCCCCTCCCCTTGTCGCCGAGTTAACTCATCTGACGCCAGGACGATGAGAAAGGGATCCCGGACCGCGAGATACGTCTCGCGCGATACGGCGGATGGATACGGAAGGCACGCGGCGAAGGTGGGAGGCCGTGGCAGTCGCGTATGCGGCGGGAGGGATGCGCGGTGGGGTCTCCGCGCCACCCCCTCCATTCTCGTCTCGGCCGCTACCGCTGCGGGGAGTTCTCCGGAAGCTGGGGAAAGTGTCGGTGAGCTCGCCGTGTTCTTCTCTGGGCTGCGGCGAGGGCGGCAGATGCGCGGGGGGAAGGGTCGACGTCGGCGAAGGGTGTATGAGGGGAGGTGGAGAGGACGCGTCGTGAAGGGGACGGTGCATGGCCGTTCGCGTTGTGGCTTACGCGATGGACTGGGGAGGGAGCGAAGAGAGAGGGGGAGGGAGAAGTGCTGGAGAGGGCGAGGGGGAGGTTATGAGGGGTGCACGCGGCCCGCGGGCGAAGCGGGGGAAAGCTTCGATCTCGAAGGGAAGGAGGAGGAGTAGGGGAGGGGGATGCCCTCCCCTCGTCGTAGGTACCCTACCCTACGACTACAGTGTACGTAGACAGCTAATGAGACCCCTTTCGCCCCCTTCCTACCTTCGCGCGAGAGAGCGGAGTCGACCTGAGTCGTGTGGCACCATTGCCACAATTCAAGTCTTGGCCGAAATGCGCTCCTCCCCCCCTACCCGTCCCTGCGCTTTCTCCTATTCCTTCCCGTCGCTCACAACACTCCTCCTTCGTTCTACTCCATCCTCCCTTCTTGGAATGCATCCCTTCGAGCTTACCTCCCCCTTCTCTTCCCCCCTTCTCTTCCCCCCTTCCCCTTCCCTCCTCACCCCTCCCTCCCTCCTCACCCTCACTGCGCTTCTCCCCCTCCCTACCCTTTCTCCTTCGTCTTATTCAACCCATCTCGTCCTTTACTTCCTGCATTACTGCCTCGAGCTCCCCCCCTTCCCTCCTTCCTCCCCTTTCCCCCTCCTCCTCGTTATCCCCCTTCTCCTCGTTCTCGCCCCCTTCCTCCTCTCCTCCTAGTCTCCTCCTGCACGTTGACCTTCTCTACACACGAACGCGCGTGTCGCGCGACGTCTCTTGCCTCACTTCGGCATCCCCCCTCACCTCCTCGTCCCCTTCTCCCTCCCTCCTCGTCCCCTTCTCTCCCTCGTCCCCTTCTCACCCCTTCCGCGGCCGCCGCGACGCCATTTCTCACTTCGTTAAGCAGCAAATAACATTATATTGACCTACGTACTACACGTGAGGTACTACCACGCACGACGCGCGCTGCCGTGCCTCCCCTCCCTCTCCCTTCACGTCGTGCTCCCCCTCCCCCTCCCCCTGACGCGCTCCCGTGCGCGTCGCGCGTCGCGCGCCCCCGCAGCGGCAGCGCCCCGCCCGCCCTCGCCGCTGGGAGCGGGGCATCGGCGAAGCGAGATTGAGTGGGAGCGGGGGCGGAGGCGGAGGACGAATCGGTGCGGATGGAATCAGACAATGGGCGCGATTCAATCAGTGAGAGGAGCGGCAACGGGGGGCGGGCATGCTTACAGGATGATTGGACGACGGTGAGCTCGCAGTTGCGCAGCGCGGTAAACTGGAAGAGTGTCAGTGCTGTCCGTAAGCGAAGGTGCTACCGGTGGGAAACTTACGCCGACTACTATCTCAACCCTGCCGGTGATATGAGCGTGGGCGCGTTAGAGAGTCCATACGAAACGTACATGTTTCCCTACAATTAGTGCTGTCCGTAAGCGAAGGTGCTACCGGTGGGAAACTTACGCCGACTACTATCTCAACCCTGCCGGTGATATGAGCGTGGGCGCGTTAGAGAGTCCATACGAAACGTACATGTTTCCCTACAATTAGTAGTGTTAGTGAATGAGCGATCAGCAGTAGGTTGGGCGCGCACCATGGTGGCATGCAAGAGCCCGGCGTTCGCGCCACCAATTCGGCGGGATACTTGGGTGATGGCGAGATCGTGGAGCTGGGGATGACGATAAGCGGCTTGGATGGCTGGAAAGGTTCTGGGGTGCGTACTCTGACCAGTGGAATGAGGGCGAGGATGGAGGCTGTTCCATGTTAGTGGGGTTGCTGCGCAGACACGAGGCGACGCACTGGCGAAGACCAAGGCATGAGATTCGGGGAGGAGGACGCTGACGGTCCACTGCAGGAGGTGAGTGGGGATATCTGAGTCGCGCGGGCACACGCACGGCTATGGGTACAATAAATAGCAACAAGTTCAACCCTGCGATGGTGGCGTGAGTGGGTTGACGATGAGCAAGGACAATGAGACGCACAAGAGCCGAGGACGAGCAGCCGCCAGCCAGCGAAGGCTTCGTGGAACGTCTCTGTCCACGTCCGATAACGTCTGTCTGCGGCTGCGCCGGGCGCCTCGCGGTGGAACGGGAGGGCGGAGGCGCGCGCGCGGCTGCCACGGTTCGCGACGAGGCTGGCGCGCGAGTCTGTGGTAAAGGTGGAGAGATTCGTGTCTACGCGTTCTATCGAGTTTGAGTACGCCAGATCGCCCGCGTTGGGGACTGAGCGGGAGCGGTTGTGTGCGTGCATAGGTGTGAGGGGGTGCCGGCGTGCGGCGCGAGTGGTAATGAAGTCGTCGCCGTTAGAGGGAGTGAGCGCCAGCGCAGGGAGCAGTGATGGTGGGTAGAGTAAAGGAGCGTCCAGGGATCGGATGGCGGGGAGAGACAGGGAGACTGGTGCACGGCCTCCCGCCGGCAAGCAGCTTTGAGCTTCGGAGCCATCAATGAGCGGAGCACGGACACAAATGGAGTCGGAGAAGCTTCCTTTGCGGGGAACTCGTTTGTCGCGACTGATCCGGACTGCGGCGTGATGCGCCTAGCGCTTGTCCGCAGCCGCCACCTCTTGTCGCACTGGCTGCTCGATTGCGACGACGGCTGCCTGGCACACACTGGGACCGACTGTCGTCAGACGGCCGATCGTGCCAGGACCGCCAAAGATTGGACGCGTGCGTGGGCTGCTGGGGTCGGCGCACGTGGCCGACGTCGATGACGCGTTGCGGGTCGCGCGCCGGTCTTGCCTCCCGCCCTCACGTCGGCGAGCGCGGCGCGTCCATCTTCTCTGTCCCCCGTCTTCCGCCTCTTATGCTCTCGCTGCAATATCTCGCCCGTCGTTGTTCTGCCTGCACCCTGACCTCGCGCCTGCGCTTCTGAGCACGCGCCGGCTGGGCATCGGGGTGTGATGTGACTGGAGTTGAACTGTCTGACTTCCTAATCGAGACGAGTTGGGTGGAATTGCAAGTCCGACCTAGCCGAGCTGCGAAAAACATAAACCTCATCTAATCGCTCTCGGACCTCGCGGGCTGGGTAGAGGGGGTGAATACAAGCCAGACTACCAAGGGATTCTGTGATTCTTGACCTTGGACTCGTCCTATGGCTTGCACAAGTGCCCGATCTCGGAATTAAGTGTGACATGGGGGCTGCTACTCGTTGTAGTTCACCGTCTCTCACCGTTCAAGCTGGAGGAGGTGCAGAACATGTCCTTCTTTGGCTCTATATACTTTCTCAGGCTCTGGCTAGTCTACAACTATGGCTACGATTTTTCTACTTGTCCTGCACATGACCTTGCCAAGTGCTGCTCAGTGCGAAGCAACACGCGTGCTTAGGGTCAACAGAGGTAGTAGCCGACGGAAGCACAGGGACAAAGAGCATTGTATTCCATTAATTTGCGGTACTGCGGCAGAAAGCTCGGCCTTACGTTCCCTTGAAACTCGAGTTTGAGTGGATGACAAGTGGAGCTTGAGAGTATAGGATTGAAAAGAACAAGTCAGGCTTGTACTCGAGAACAACCAGTCAAGCTCAATACCTACGAGGCAAGCTCGAGACTGGCAAGTCGAGCTCAAGAGGGGCCAGTCAAGCTCGGGACGGACAACCCAAGCTCAAGCACAAGACAGGAATCGGACACTGAGCCAGGGGATGTGATGAAACTGGTACGTGATAGAAGCAAGGTTGAGATGTGAAGGAAGTGCCGGAGGGTAAGCGAGGGAAGCACCAGATGATAAGCAAGGGAAGCACGGAACAGCAGTGGAAGAAGCATGGCGAGCAAAGCAATCATTCAGGGTCTTTGGTCAAGGGCGGAGTTGGAAGGCCGACTCGAGGCTGGTCTCACGGAGCAGGGATATTCAGACAAGTCAGGGCCTCGAGAAGCGAGTTGAGGTGCTCGAGCTCACTCAAAGATGAGCAAGGTACAAGGGTGCTCAGCTCGTCTATTTACTCGAGATCACCCCAAAGGCACGGAGCTCATCAAGCCACACCATGCTCGCCAGAAGGATATCTATTGCTATGTTTGTACACAGGGTACATGAGCATGGCAAGAGGTGTGCTACAGATGCAGGAGAGGGTCAGCAAAGGGTGGGAGAGTCAATGACAAGGCAACAAGCAAGGAGAAGGAGAGGGAGTGCATGAGAGCGAGATGCTGAGGAGGAGGATGATACAGAGGAGGCGGAGGTATCGACGGAAGCAAGAGCATGGTACGAGAGCAAGGATGAAGCCTGTGAAGCGAGTCAGTGAGTGTTCGAGAACGAGAGCGCATGACACGCACCGTGCGAGACTGTGGAGCGGACCGCAAGCAATACTCATGCCAAAAGGATGGTGTGCACACGGAGGTTGAGACGAGCAATGGACTGCTCTGGAAGTTGGACTCGGAAGCCTTGAGCGGAACGAGATTGATCTTGAAGAGGCCTGGCGTGGAATGCGGTGATGAGGCGGGTGATACAGAGGAGGAGGGGGTATTGGAAGGGAGAGTTCGAAGGTCGAAGGTGAAGGGCATCATCGCGTGAGACGGTAGCGGCACTCGTCCGAGATTTACGCCGGAGGCAAGGGAGAGAGGAAGTGGGTAAACTTGAGGAGAGAAGGGTATGGAAGTACGGAAGTAACGAGAGAGAAGCCCGGTCTATTCGAGCGGCGAACGTGGCCGTCAGGGTCAGACGAAAGTAGGAAGTTGCCGAACAGGAAGGCGGAGGTAACATCTCTGCAGATCACCCCGTCTCATCCTCGGAGTGTGTGCAAATCGTAAGCTCATTGTGCTCGCTGTCGGAGACAGTACACAAGGTATACAGAGGGCGTGAGTCAATACAGTTGCAATGCGTCGGCTGAGCTCAAGAGAAAGCATATACTGTACTCGAGTCGGGGGAATAATGGTGATAATTTATATTGAACGAGAGCGCGCTACCAATAGCAGAAATTGCATTCAAGAGCGTCGCCGATCGCGACGATGCCGCGAGAAGACAATAGACGCGGCGGGAGGTGACGCGGGGGACGATGGTGATGGTCGGGGACAACAAGCGCCCAACGATCAAGCGCCCGCTTGACCGGCGCGGAAACCGGTCCGGCCCCTCCGATCGCCCTTGCCTCCTGCGTCCATCTCGATTTATGGCCATCGCCTGGGTCCCCCGTCGTTCCAGCGCCGACAACAGCTTCGAAATTCTCAGAAACACCCATCCTCGGCGGACGACGCGTCGAGCGCAACGGGGACGCGTCAAAACGCGGCATGAGCTGAGAAGACGCGCGGCGGTTTCCCCCAGTCTACGGCACCTGCCCCCCATTATGACCCAGTGCTATGAACGTGCAGAAGAGTATAAGAGTGAGTATATATATCATTTGAACAGCCGCGCTTGCAGCAGAGAGACGTCCGCAAAAGACCTGGCTTGTCGGGTATCCGCGGGGGAAGTACCGCACACGATGCCGAGCCCTCAATATCGACATGATCTGAACCCGATCCCCCACCCGCAAAATCGCAGAAGCGGACCAGTACACGATATTGCACATGTCTCCACCCTCACAACTGACATCCCCCACACGACACGAACAGCAAGACGTCGGTTAGGCCAAATCCTTCATGTGGCGTCGTTTTTCGGTGAGCGTGTACATACCTGCATCGACTTTTGCTGATGAAATCTACTCATTCCCATACTCTACAATTGATATTCTCGTCACTCAAGACGCGTTAGGGACTTCGGTAATGCTCAGTTCGTGTTAGACTTCATCCCCTCCTCGACACCCACCACCCTCGCGCACCCCGCATCGTCCCTTTGACCACATGACAAGTACTCTCATCCCTTCCGGGTACCTCCTGGAGTATACGTACGATGCGAGGCTGCGCGCCGAGTCCCGCACCGCCGCGTCATCCCGCATATACTCAACACGCACAATCTACTCATTCCTCATTGTTCCCTATTTTCGTCGCGCTCCCAGTCCCCGAGAGCCGAGGTACCAGGCGCCCAAGTACCCCATCAAACTGATGGAAGTTTGATGTACGGCCTCGAGGGCCGCGCCGCTGTCGTGGTACTCGGGCGGCTATCCTCCCCTTGGCGAGCAGAACGCATCTCCCGCTAACCCCTGCGCGGAACACCCCCCACATCAAGTCGACAGGGTCAGAAACACGTGTCGCGCCGCGATTTGGGATCTGGGATGCGGAAGTGGCCGGCAGACGCGCCGGCGGCGCGCTGCTTTGCGTGCAGCTCAAAGCCTGCCAAATGGAGATCCAGCGTGATCGCGCAAAGTTCGACTTTTCCCTCTTTTTCCTGCCATGGTCCCGCAACTGGCCGGTCTCGTCACGTCACACATGGCTCTAGGTACGCGTCTCTTGACTGTTTCTCGCTCTCACGACCCGGCGCTCTCGCTGAAAACAATACAGAACGACTTGGACATGCACCGGCACAACTCGAGGGAAAGAGCGCCCCGCCCCGCGACCCTCTCTCCTGCGGCTCCACGGGCGGCTTCCGCTAGCCGACGGGGTACGTTTCAACATATCTCGCTCAGGAGCTGGCTGACATTCGCGCAGGGATAGGCGGAAGATTGTGCGCGCGCGAAGCGCGCTTATTCCCCCAATCTTCCACTTTTTCCTGGGCGCCCCGCGGCCCAAGCCCTCCGTCGTCTTCTCGGAGTGATGGCGGACTTGGTCTGGAAGTTTGGACGGGGTCCGCTTGGTAGGTATAGCCGTTGAGCGCGGTATAAGAGCCGGCGGGTCTGAGCCTTTGAACCATCATTCCCCTCATCTCCCTTTCTTTCCTACCTCTTCTCTCCTCCACCCCCTTCGTCTTCTTCAAGCATGGTGAGTGATGACTAGTTCTCGCTCTCGACCTCATTTTGATTTTCTCAATTGCAGGTTTACCCTCGCATCGTATGTAAGGGATTCTGATTTACTGACGGTGATCAGTCCTTTACTGACCGCCCTTCAGTGATTAGCCTACAACTACTCTATAATCCTAGTATCGGTAAGCGCTTCAGTTAGTAGCTGACTGGTCACTGATTGCTTTCTAGGACGCTCTTCGTACGGCCACCATGCAATCTCGACGACGCTCGATCATCGTCTTCGCCGCGACGACCTCGTCGCCTCGCGAGTGCGCTAGGTGCGTGCGGATCTCACTTTTTCCCTCTAGATGCTGACACGTTCGACAGCGCTGGCCGCGCTCATCGTCGCGGACACTCGACGAGCCCAACCCACACAACCTTCCTGAGATCCCGCCGACCCCTCTACCCTTTCCTCGCCGCACAAGGCGACGTCGACGCTGTAGCCGACGCGCTGAGGCGGCGGTCGCCTCGCTTCCCATGACACGTGCCCCCGCGATATCCTGGACGGCGAAACCAGGTCGCGCCCCTTCCCCACTACCGGCGTGCTCGGTCGCTTGCACCGCCATCTCCACGCCTCGCTTGTATACGACGACATGCTTGATCACGAAGACGACACGCAAGCGCCTCCCGCCAACACGGTGAGCCCGCCCTCGTCCCTATTCCCCGTGCAGTACTGTGACCGATGACTCGCCTCCGGATCCCTCACAGGCGCTGCGGGGCTGGCCTTGTCGACAGACGCGTCAACGTCGGCGCAGTGGCGTGAGAGTGCCGAGTACGCTGTCAAAGTAAGCTCTCTGATCATTGCCCACCGCACGCAACAGCTGATGCGTACCTATAGATTGTACTGAACGATCTCGGCAGACGCTCCTTCCCTCCCACCACCATGTCCCCGTCGCCCTGCTGCGGTACGACGTGTCGCTCGTCGTTCACCGCCGTCGTCGTCGTGCCGTGTTTGCGCCCTACACGCGACTCTCCAGCTCGGGGAACCAGGGGACCCAGCACGGCCGCGACGTCGTGGGCGGAGAGTCAAGACCATGCTCGTCTGCGCTGCAGGCAAGGTTGATGACAAACATCGCCGGTGAGTCCGTTCGTCGGGTCGATATTCATCGTGCTAACCCCGTATTCAGTCATTATCTACGATTTCCAGTCTGCCGGGGACACGCGACCGCCCCTTCCATGAGCCTCTCGACGATCGTGTGGTACTCTAGCCCCCTGCGAACCCCCCGCAAGGGGCATTTCACCGTGAGTCGATATTTTTTCTGTCATTGCTATGACCTTAGCACCGTGCTGACCACGTTCTCAACGTTGTCTTCGAAATCTCCAATGCGAAGATACCCGTCCCGGCATCCTTCACGCCACAAGACATGCGTAGCCGCGTTACACCGAGTCGGAATGAGGGTACGTTGTGCCCCATCTACCTATTTACCCGGGTTCCACGCTGCTATGATTACAAAATGGGCCTACTGACTGCATTTTCAGTTCATTCTCTATGACCCCGAGCCGCCGGAGGCACGCGCGCAGTACCCTCGGGCGTGGGCCGCGAAAGTGAAGGCCCCCTTTACCCTTAAGACCCCTTCGTGCAGGTACCGCCGCTTTTACACATAGCATGAGGCGCATCCCGGTGAGTTATACGCATTCCCTACATCCGGCTTGCCCCGCGTCTCGCGCTCCCGCTGAATGGAAATGCTGAACCGTATTTTCTAGATATTTCCCGCTGACCCTGAGCCGCCGGAGGCACGCGCGCGCTCCTTCTGTCGATTGAAGCGAAGGTGGAGGCCCCCTCCACCCTTACCCCACCTTCGCTCGAACCCTGCTGCTCCACTTGATAGCTAGAGGGCGAATGCAGGTGAGTCTTGGTGCTAAATACGACCCCCTCACGCTCCCCCCTCACCTGTCTCTCGAGATGCTAAATCCTCGTTTTCAGGCTTTTCGGCAGATCCCGACACTTGGAGGTGCGCGCGGGCTCTGTCGACGGCGTGAGCAAAGAGGGTGGATCCCCCACCCCCTCCACGGTCCTCGCGCGAGGTCGGAGAGGGGGTGTTATAGACCCCTCCGTAGAAAGGAAAAGGTGAGTCGCCTCGTCCAACTCGAAAACGACATGCTTACCTTTCGTTTAGGTAGTTTGCCGCTACCCCCAAACCGCCGGAGGCATGCGCGCGCACCCTCGGTGAAGGACGCGACAGGGGTGGGGTACCCCTTTCCCCCCAACAGCATACCCGCGCGACTGCAGGGATGGGTGGCGCAAGCCCTTTCGCTCGGAATATGGTAAGTCTTCGCGTTCAAATTGTTAAGGAAATGCTGATGTCGTCGTTTAGGCAAATTTCGCTGGCCTGAAACCGCCCGAGGCATGCGCGCGCACCTTCGGTGAAGGATGCGGAAGGGGTGGGGCATCCCTTACCCCCGTAGCATGCTACCTGCACTCGGGGAGGGGTGCTGCAAGCCCTTTCGGGCAGAAAGGGCTTATGACTTGGTGAGTCGTCTCGCCACTCTCTCGAACAACGTACTGAACTCTTTGTCTAGGCAGTTGTCGCTGACCTCGAACCGCCGGAGGCACGCATGCGCGCCCTCGGTGACAAACGCGGAAGGGGTGGGGTACCCCTCGCCCCCTCACGGCACGCCTGCGCGAGGTCGCGGAGGGGCGGGCGAGCGCCCTCGTCGATGTGGGGACCACTTTGCTGACCCCTCGACGTGGTTACGCCACGGAACGAAGGCTTTGCGCGTCTTAACACGCAAAGGAGAAGCTGTACACCTAGGTACGTCCATCCTGGAATTTCGCTACTTTGTTTTGACTGATGAGCGGTACCCTGACAGAGCGAATCGTACCAATGCCCCAGCCTTCAAGGGTCTCGAGACCGTCGTTGTCGGCAAGAAGGACGTCCATCCGGCACCATCCCCCCTCCCCTGGTCGCCGACTCGACTTTTCTGACGCTGGAACGATGAGAAAGGGATCCCGGACCGCAAGATACGTCTCGCGCGACACGGTGGATGGATACGGAAGGCGCGCGACGATGTGGAGAGGCCGCAGCAGTCGCTTATGCGGCGGGAGGGATGCGCGGTGGGGTCTCCGCGCCACCCCCTCCACTCTCGTCTCGGCCGCTACCGCTGCGGGGAGTTCTCCGGAAGCTGGGGAAAGTGTCGGCGAGCTCGCCGTGTTCTTCTCTGGGCTGCGGCGAGGGCGGCAGATGCGCGGGGGGAAGGGTCGACGTCGGCGAAGGGTGTATGAGGGGAGGTGGAGAGGACGCGTCGTGAAGGGGACGGTACATGGCCGTTCGCGTTGTGGCTTACGCGATGGACTGGGGAGGGAGCGAAGGGAGAGGGGGAGGGAGAGGTGCTGGAGAGGGCACGGGGGAACTTATGAGGGGTGCACGCATCCCGCAGGCGAAGCGGGGGAAAGCTTTGGTTTCGAAGGGAAGGGTAGGAGGGGAGGAGGGGGATGCCCTCCCCTCGTCGTAGGTATCCTACCCTACGAGTACGGTGTACGTAGACAGCTAATGAGATCCATTTCGCCCCCTTTCTACCTTCGCGCGAGCGAGCCGTGTCGACTTGAGTCGTGTGGCACCATTGCCACAATTCCTGACTTGGCCGAAATGCGCCCCTCCCCCCTACCCGTCTCTGCGCTCTCTCCTATCCTTTCCCGTCGCTCACAACACTCCTCCTTCGTTCTACTCCATCCTCCCTTCTTGGAATGCATCCCTTCGAGCTTACCTCCCCCTTCTCTTCCCCCTTCTCTCTCCCCCTCCCCTCTTCCCCCTCCCCCTCACTGCGCTTCTCCCCCTCCCTATCATTTCTCCTTCGTCTTATTCAACCCATCTCGTCCTTTACTTCCTGCATTACTGCCTCGAGCTCCCCCCTTCCCTCCTTCCTCCCCTTTCCCCCTCCTCCTCGTTATCCCCCTTCACCTCGTTCTCGCCCCCTTCCTCCTCTCCTCCTAGTCTCCTCCTGCACGTTGACCTTTTCTACACACGAACGCTCGTGTCGCGCGACGTCTCCTCCCTCCCTTCGACATCCCCCCTCAACTCCTCGTCCCCTTCTCACCCTCGTCCCCTTCTCGCCCCCTTCTCACCCCTCCCGCGGCCGCCGCGTCGCCATTTCTCACTTCGTTAAGCAGCAAATAACATTCTATTGCCCTACTTACTACACGCGAGGTACTACCACGCACGACGCGCGCTGCCGTGCCTCCCCTCCCTCTCCCTTCACGTCGTGCTCCCCCTCCCCCCACGTCGCGCTCCCCCCTTGCACGTCGCGCTCCCCCCTTGCACGACGCGCTCCCGCGCGCGTCGCGCGCCCCCGCGGCAGCCCCGCCCTGTCCCCGCCCTCGCGCGCACTCGCCCCTGGGAGCGGGGCATCGGCGAAGCGAGATTGAGGGGGGCCGGGGGCGGAGGCGGAGGACGAATTGGTGTGGATGGAATCAGACAATGGGCGCGGTTCAATCAGTGAGAGGAGCGGCAACGGGGGGCGGGCATGCTTACAGGATGATTGGACGACGGTGAGCTCGCAGTTGCGCAGCGCGGTAAACTGGAGGATTGTTAGTGGGAAGCGAAGGTGCCATCGGCGGGAAACTTACGCCGACTACTATCTCAACCCTGCCGGTGATATGAGCGTGGGGGCGTTTGAGAATAAATGCAGAACGCACATGTTTCCCTACAATCAGTAGTGTTAGTGAATGAGCGATCAGCAGTAGGTTGGGCGCGCACCATGGTGGCATGCAAGAGCCCGGCGTTCGCGCCACCAATTCGGCGGGATACTTGGGTGATGGCGAGATCGTGGAGCTGGGGATGACGATAAGCGGCTTGGATGGCTGGAAAGGTTCTGGGGTGCGTACTCTGACCAGGGGAATGAGGGCGAGGATGGATGCTGTTCCATGTTAGTGGGGTTGCTGCGCAGACACGAGGCGACGCACTGGCGAAGACCAAGGCATGAGATTCGGGGAGGAGGACGCTGACGGTCCACTGCAGGAGGTGAGTGGGGATATCTGAGTCGCGCGGGCACACGCACGGCTATGGGTACAATAAATAGCAACAAGTTCAACCCTGCGATGGTGGCGTGAGTGGGTTGACGATGAGCAAGGACATTCAGACGCACAAGAGCCGAGGACGAGCAGCCGCCAGCCAGCGAAGGCTTCGTGGAACGTCTCTGTCCACGTCCGATAACGTCTGTCTGCGGCTGCGCCGGGCGCCTCGCGGTGGAACGGGAGGGCGGAGGCGCGCGCGCGGCTGCCACGGTTCGCGACGAGGCTGGCGCGCGAGTCTGTGGTGAAGGTGGAGAGATTCGTGTCTACGCGTTCTATCGAGTTTGAGTACGCCAGATCGCCCGCGTTGGGGACTGAGCGGGAGCGGTTGTGTGCGTGCATAGGTGTGAGAGGGTGCCGGCGTGCGGCGCGAGTGGTTATGAAGTCGTCGCCGTTAGAGGGAGTGAGCGCCAGCGCAGGGAGCAGTGATGGTGGGTAGAGTAAAGGAGCGTCCAGGGATCGGATGGCGGGGAGAGACAGGGAGACTGGTGCACGGCCTCCCGCCGGCAAGCAGCTTTGAGCTTCGGAGCCATCAATGAGCGGAGCACGGACACAAATGGAGTCGGAGAAGCTTCCTTTGCGGGGAACTCGTTTGTCGCGACTGATCCGGACTGCGGCGTGATGCGCCTACCGCTCGCCCGCAGCCGCCACCTCTTGTCTTCCTCGCGCACGTTCGGACAACCGCAGCGTCGATTGTATCTTGCTCGCTTGACGATGGTCTATCCCAGGTCTATCCATCCCGTCACCGTACGCCTAGCGCCACGCCAACGTCGTCTTGGAGCACGGCTGTACGACCCTTGAATCGGGCTCGCCGACGTCGGCGGCGGCGCTAAAGTTAATAACGTATGTCCATGACACGTGTTAGATACGAGTTGATAATTGCTACTTGCATGAGAGCCCGAAAGGCTATGTTATAAGCTGTAAAACTCCCCCAACGGACGGGGCAGCTCGCCCAAGGGTATGATGGGAGACGAAAGCAAAGCCGCACACGCGGCGCCTCGTCGAGAACTGAACTGTGACCACCGTGACAAGTGGTCGGCAACTCCCGCGCCTGGCTGCCCCATCGCCCGAAGCATTGGGCGACGCACCACGACCAGATACTGCCGAGGCGCTTTGATATTGTAATTGACCTTGCTCATGAACACCAGAGCCCCCCATCCCTCCTTGCTGTAGACTGCCCGAGTACTACTTGTGGGTCCATGTGTGGGCTGCCTCCATCACGTGGGGCGTTCGCGCATATCTATATTCCACTCCCTCCGAGTGAGGACAGACCAAAGGAGCATTTGGCTGAATGGGAAATACGGCCAATATATCACTCACTCCGGCCTCGAGGAGTTTTATGCCGGAATCTAAACGCGGCGGACGACGCTCGGTGAGCTTGGCCCGACTTGGCCGACTGCGCGCGCTCCATGAATCCCCCAATTCTCTCAGCTCAAGAATCGCTCAGGGAATCTCCCTGGAAGGCGCCGAGGGACGTCCACATAATCAGACCTTCTCAAGTATCTCGCGTGCCGGCTCAAAGTCGACATTGATTGAAAACGGTGACACGATACGAAATATACCAGTTGTCCAGTCCCACTAGCTCACAGCAATGCATACAAACGCTGTGATTGAGGGCACCGACCGAGCAAGGAGCGCCTACTGTATATATGCACGAAAGCCGAATAAAGAACATTGACAAGGCGCTCTCGGAATTTGCCTTCGCGACGCGACATGCACGTGATCGGACATGAATCGGCAAATGCCGGGCACCATTTGGTGCGGCCCCCTCTCCTGCTTGCGTCGAGCGCGCTCGTAGCAGTTGTTCGACAAGGCCGACGATAGTCGCACAGAACTCCTCACATACGAGTGCGTAGTCCGGTTCGACAGTCAGCAATCGTGCGTCTTTGTAACCATATGTCATACGCCATCCGAGCCACAACGTTCTCGCGACCTTCCACGGCGATTCAAAGCCAGACACATACCCTCCCCTCTCGTAAACCGCACACCTCCCAAGTCGTACGAGCAATACAGTGAATCCACCACTTTCCAGAGAAGCACTTTACCGAGAGATGTGGCTCAACGGACTGAACGACACGGTAGTTCAACCGCGGTTGCGCTACCGCGCGCCACGTTGATGTCCGATTGATCAAGGCAGCACCCGTCCCAGTACCTTCCGCAACCTGCCAATTATAAGACGCACGCCCTCACACCGCCAGAACTATATTCCCCGCCCCTTCACCTTTACCATCATCTTCCATACTCGAAAATGAGCTTCTGCAAGGACTGCGTCCGTGGTGAGTGGCTCGCACAGATCGGCGCCGATCGCGGCTGATAGGCGCCAGGTGTTCGCTGGGAGGGCACGCCCACTGGCAAGATCGAGAAGATCAACGGCGTCGATGTGTACGTCGCGACGCCGGAGGTGGACTACCCGAAGGACAAGGTGCTCCTGCTGCTCACAGACATCTACGGCGTCCCGCTGGTCAACAACCAGGTGCGTACGTTGCGTGCGAGGGCGTATGCATCAAGCTTACGTGCCCGCCTTAGCTTCTCGCCGATGACTACGCGGCCAACGGCTTCAAGACGGTCATCCCGGACTACCTGAACGGCGATGCTGCGCCCCCGGATGCGTTGACGCCCACGGTGCGTGCTGGTCGGGCTCAGCGAATGACATAGACTCATGCGACGCGCAGAGCGACTGGAACATTCAGGCGTGGTTCCCCAACCACGGCGCCGACAAGACGCGCCCGACCCTTGACAAGGTCATCGCCGGCCTCAAGGAGCAGGGCGTCACCACCTTCGGCGCCGTCGGCTACTGCTTCGGCGGTGCGCACCCATCCCGTCCACTATCCCGCCCTCCTTCTAACATCCTACCCTCCCCACAGCCCGCTACGTCTTCGACCTCGCCTTCGACGGCGTCATCAAGTCCGCCGCCGTCGCGCACCCGTCGCTCCTCCAGGTCCCCGCCGACATCGAGCGGTACGCGAAGACGAGCGTGCCGCTGCTCATCGAGAGCTGCGAGGTCGACTCGCAGTTCCCGCCGGAGCTGCAGGCGAAGACGGACGCAATTCTGGGCGATGGCAAGTTCGCGCCGGGCTACAAGCGCAACTACTGGGCTGGCTGCCACCACGGGTTTGCAGTGCGTGGTGACCAGAGCAACCCCGCCATCAAGGCGGGCAAGGAAGGCGCGTTCAAGAACATGGTCGAATGGACGGCGAAGCATCTGTAGATTGGGCGATGAAGAAGTGAAGATGTAATATATGTATTCAACGAAGCCTGCATGCGTACATGGTAACCGGAAGACAGAAAGATATCTGAAGGAGCGCAGCGTTATGGCGAGCAGGAGGCACCCTGCTCTTCGCAATTGTCGGTCGCAAGTGTGATCATCAAGGGTCGCGGTGTTGTCAGCAGCGATCTGAATGAACCACTCGACCAGTAGCTGCGTATGCGAGAGTGCATCGAGAGTGCGTGAAGCGAGCATCGACAGATCGGACCGAGGCGGCGGCGTAGGGTATAGCAGGGGTAGGCTTTCTGCAGTGCGACAAGATGACGCCGCAAACTGCGAGACACCGACGACATCCCTGTATCTTCGGTCGAGCATGACTGAGCCCTCTTCATGAGGTCGACTGCGAACAAGCGGGGAGATGAAGTAGAGCATAGGGACCCATAGCCGCCTACACGAGCAGAGGTGAGCGCGTCAAAACGCCAGTTTCGCTTGTGACATTCCAAAATGGACTCGTGGTCGTATTCACCGCAGATGAGAGCAGGAGCCAAGGATCATTTTGCGTCAAATGCGGGGAATGCTACGGGCTCGACGCAGTCCAGGCCGCCCATTGGAGGCGATCGGGAGGAGCCGGTGTGACGTGACCCCTAGCGCATCCCGCTTTTTCGCACGCCTTTTCCTCTCCAAACCGCGACTTCCGCGCGCTTCCTCCCAAAGCACCATGCTCCGCGCCGTCTCCGCCGTCCGCCCCGCTGCCCGCGCCAGCGCGCGCGCCGTCCGCGCGCTCTCCACCACCGCCCGCGTCGCCTCCCACGGCCACGAAGCGCCCAAGCTCTACGGCCCCGGAGGCAAGCCCGGCGAGATCCCCAGCAACTGGGAGCAGGCGACCGGTCTTGAGCGTCTCGAGCTGCTCGGTGACCTGCAGGGCATCAAGGTCTTCGACGACAGCCCGCTCGACTCGAGCCGCATTGGCACGAAGAAGGACCCGATCCGCGTCCCCTCTTTCGTGCGTGATTGGCGTTAGGCGTGCGGGGAAGCTGGCTGACTCGCGATAATGCATGCAGGACCATGACCGTGTCATCGGCTGCACTGGCTCCCCGGCCGACTCCCATCACGTTCTCTGGTTCCACGTGCGCGAGGGCAAGCAGACGCGCTGCACTGAGTGTGGCTCCGGTGCGTGGGCTTGTCGACCTCGGCGTGCTTAAACTGACGATTTCTTTCTAGTCTACGAGCTCGACCTCATCTCCGAGGACCGTGCCATGATCTCTCTCGAGCCCCCTGCGGCAAAGAAGCTCTCCGCCGACGCAGAGAACTAGATGTTCTATTCCTAATGATATTCATTTTTCCTCTGCCAATCAAGAATCATTCGGAAGCATGCTTCGTGGCTCCCTTGTGCCTTTGGGTCTGCGTTTGTCCAGCGCTTCCAAGCAAGCATATTGTAAGAGCGGATTCGGTCGCCTGGAAGGTCAACGAGATTTTCATCCGAATCACAATGCATGGCATGCACTGCCTAACTTCGTCAAGCTTGCAGAAAGCCTTCCCAGCTCCCGGTCCCCTGACAATCCCTCCCTTACGGTTCGACTGTCTTGCCAATCCACAGTCCTCAAGCGCCTACATCACGTCCAAACTTCCACGACCGAAGGCGCTCAGCCTTACAGGCATGCTTGACTCGTCCGCCATGTCACGAAGACGGAGACAATCTCATCTGCACAATCTCTAGCTACAGTGGGCTGCAGCATGCAACGAGTTCCCAGCGAGCGGTCCGCTCGCGTGTCCGCCAACGCATACGAACGGCAACATGATGGCAGCGGGGATCGCGACGCCTATGGCAAGGTAGCTACGGCTTCGGATCGTGACCATTCGTGGTTCATTCCTGCAGTAGGCGACGACAGGACCGACTTGGGCTGACTGTACGCTTGGTAAAGACGAGACCTTCATCTTGAAAGAAGTCGAAGCCGATATATGCTCACTCACGTTTGAAGCGTGCCCCCGGTGACTGACTGAAGGCGTAAGGGCGAGGACGATGAAGAGGCGCCATTGTGGTAAATGCTGTCGATTCGAGGACGCTGGGAGGGACGAGACTGGGACGTTTTGTATGTGGATGGGCGATGCGTTTTATCATGATGGAGCTGTTATCGCAGTATACTGGCGCGGGGAGCGAAGGCAGAAAGAGACTCATGGAGTTGCTGACAATAACTTAGCAGATGATGGGCGCTGAAGGCCACTCGACGGGCGCCTAACGGAACCCAGTCGACTAGGCGCTCAATGCCTTTACAGGATTTCCGGAGAAGACGGTCCATGTGCCACTGCTTCGGCCTTCGCACGTCCCACGGGAAGCTCGTACGAGAGTGAATGTCGTGTCTGTTGAGGACGTATCGCTCCCCTTCTCATTCAACAGAAGACAGCTGGTCACCGACTCGTGGTTCGTGTCGAATTCATGGCGCTTCTCTTACCTTTTGCCTCATGCATACGTGTGCATGAGTATAACGAGGTTCGCAGTACCCTATGATTTGTGTCAAGCTGTTGCTCACCCTACAATGCTCTAGATGGGTCCGTATTTGGCTTTTCACGTGTATGGACAAACAAAAGTCCCGTGACCACGGTTTGACTTTCAGTCTGAACCCAAGTCTGTCGTTTCAAGCCAACCCCGTCCCCGAAGCGGCTAACCTGTGCTCGCTCGGTCCGATTATGCACACCTTATATGCATTCCGTATCTTCGCCGTGCTTGGGACTCTCCGCGACCCAGCGGATCTGGGATGTATACGCGATTTGGTTGATCTCCCACCAAGCACTCCCATGCGGGACGGCTTGCGGCTTACTGCCGTGGTCTACGTCGCGTCCGAGCGGTCCGTCGGGGTCAATTACTCCGTAAGCACACAATACACACCATTTCGCAAGCGCTGTGTCTGCCGTTCCCGCGCAAAGCATATCGAGGATGCCCATGATCGTGTGCGGTGGGCAAATTCGTCAACTAAGAGAAACCTTGAATAAGAGAAGGTCGTAGGCATCTAACCACGAGTACGGCGATGAAGATGCTGTTGAGGCTCTACCGGACTTGGCTGATGTCGAACGTGGGGTCGCCAAGTACCGAACATGGGTCAGACAAGTACCACACCAGTTCGTAAATGCATCTTCGCCCCGGTTCAATGCCTCTCAGTCGGCATACTATAGTCCCGAGTATCTATGGAACTTCAAGTGTATGCTGTAGCTAATGATAGCAAATCGACCGCGCGACGCAGCTGCATGGGCCGACGCATCACGGTGACTACTTGCGAGAACAAACGACGAGGAACTGCAGACGGGTTCTTCGGGACTGCATAAATCATCTGCAGAAACATAGATCATTCCGTGTTGCTAGCGAAGTTCGAAGATAAGTAGGATAGTATGGACGGGTACTCCACAAATATATACATAAATAAGTAATAAAGTCTGCATAAGACTGCGAGTCCCCTCCGACCCGCGTCAGCGGTTACTGTGAACTCTATCCCCTTCGTGGTGAGTAGGTGCCGATACATGGATAGCCACGGCGAGAAAAAGCAGAAAAGATGGACCGGGTAAAATGATACATAGATGTGACGGTGCAAGCAGCGGGAGTATAGAGCGAAGTCGAAGGGAAGGTAAGTGCTTTGCACAGTATATACAAGGTGCAAGGGGCGAGTAAAGGAGTGAAAAAGCTCTATGGTAGGCGAAGACAAGATGGGGTAGTGATACAGATGACGGACAGGAACAAGAATGCATAGCAGGGTGGTATATGCGATCGATAGCGAGGACTGTACATCGGCGGTCGATTGTCACAGTGGTGCGGGCGGCTAGACGGTAAGGCGGCGAAGGCGGCGCAGGGCACGAATGCGAGCAAAGATTGCGGTGCGAGAAGGCGTGTGCGCGTTGGCGGGTAAATTACCAAGTCACGCTGACGGTATGGGGGCATAATGCAGCAGCCAGATAGTCGGCGAGCGTACCCGCATAGATCAGTGCTCCCAGCCAGACACCGCTGTTGTAGAACTGAACGGATTGACTTAGTCGAAGTCAAAAGATTGTGATCGAGACAAGGACGTACCACTTTGCCGCATGACTTCGGGTCATCCACATCGACAGAGGTAGTCAGATGCAGTAGATATGCTATGCCACCTGCGACGCTTATAGCGTAGTAGAGCACCCCCTGCTCGTTGGCAACGCCTGCTAGCGCGAGGGATGCCGCAAAGCTCCCCGCGAGCACTGCGAGAACGGGCCGGATATTTCCGCCGAATAGCAGTGCTGTCGACATCACGCCCACTTGCGCATCGTCCTTCTTGTCCTGGCATGCGTAAATTGTATCTATTCCGGGGAGTCAGAGCCCGAAGTCAACGGAAGAAGACGGTGGAGGGAACACGCTTGGCGATGGGAAGCAGGGGGCCAAGAAGGGCGATGGAAGCGATAGAAGTTGATGCTGTACTAACCATACCACATTGTCCACCTACATCGGGACGTTAGAGAGGAGCGAGGTGATGAGAATGAGGAAGACGTACGACCAGGTGCCTGCCGCGAGGATGAAGGCGCTAGCCGAGACTGTTTGCGAGTAAGCCGTCCACGCCATCGGGATGCCAACGTTCATCGCGAGGCCTGCGGAAGGAAGAGTGAGCGCCTGTGCGAGCGGACCTTTTGTGGAGGTTCATACCTAGCCATGCCTGAGGCCAATATGTCACGCGCTTCATGAGGGGGTAGATACCCGGGTAGATGAAAGTAGCGATGAGGCCGTAGTCCCATCTGTACAGCTTCAGAAACTGAGGGAGGACGGAGCGCGTGTCAACATACGTCGGCTTGTTCATGGGCCAGAGGGCGACTAGGAGAATTGCGAGGTTGGCTGCTAGCAACGCGAAGGCGGCTTGTACGGACATCCGGCCGCTCGCAAGAGGCCGCGTCTTCGTGCGCTCTGCAGAAGGTCAGTTGGAAAGCACGTTCGAGATCGGACGCTCCCTGACGCACCAACATGTTTGTCTATGTCGCGATCGACAATGTCGTTCCAAATAACTCCCGCCGCTGTGGCTTATTCAGTCGATCTGCTCCCGCTGATCACTACCGCGACGTACTGAAGAGATGTTAGAGGGGGTTGACGAGGTACGTCAAGATACGCACCTTCGTAGCAAGAACGAGGCAATCAGCCCGTAAAGGATAGACATAGCATAGGCTGCAACGGAGATCTCGAGGCGGCGTGCCACCATCGACATTGCCCAAGCTAGCGATCGAAGGTTGTGAGCGAGCGGTCCATCTCCAAGGAGCGCGGCACTCACCAAAGGGCCAGAAAATGAGAAGAGTGCCTGCATACTTGCGCACTCGGGTAAGGTCAAGCTGGGCGTATGTGAGGGACGCGTCGGACATAACGGCCCGAGAGTGCGCACCACGGCGTCAACGAAAGGGCCGTTCATAGTGGAAGGGAAACACGAAGGGGAAGGGAAAGACGCTGGAGAGAAGGAGGGGAGGGTATTTGAATGAGGTGCCGGGCGGCGATCAAGCGACACAGGTGAGCAGAGAAGAGCGCAGGATGGGACTGCGGGAGGCGCGCGCGTGCGAGGCGATGCGCGTGCGTCTCCAGCGAGATACAGTTGTTGTGATGTCGTTTCGTCCACATCTTCCACGCGGGCGCCCGCGTTGCAAAGTCGAACCAGCGCGCTTCTAATTTCGCTACGGTCATGCTGAAGATGCCTGTTGCCACTGAGGCGGAAGGTAGATTTTGCCGTAGATCCCGGTCTCACCAAGGGCCCTTCGAACTCTACCCATTTCCATTGACACTGTCGCGGCGGCTCGCTGCATGTTTCGTTCCCAAAACCAGCGCAACATCAGGCAAGCTGCATAGCTTTTCTTACAAACCTGTCAGCCTTGCAGGACAGCTTCCTGTGACTGCCCTCGCTGTCATAAAATAGGTCAGGGTATCTGTCAGCCTGAGTCCTTACCCCCTGCTCATCGTGCTACTCGCAGCCTCCCTTCAAGCAAGCTCTTGAACTAGCCACCATGCAACCCGCTGCGACTACTGTACGACAGCGTGTTGCCCGTCTGCCTTTGGATGTTATCATTGTCGGTGCAGGCATCGGCGGCCTCGCGGCGGCAAGCACGATTAGGGCTGCTGGTCATCGCGTGCATATCCTGGAGGCTGCCTCTGAGCTGCGCGAAGCGGGGGCTGGGATGCAGCTCGCACCTAATGCAACTCGCATCCTCCAGCGCTGGGGGCTCAGTGACCAGTTACAACAGGTCGGCGTCGAGCCTCAAGCGCTAGTCTTCCGGCGATGTGAGTCATCCGTATATCATCTCCAGTGGGACGAGCCAGCTCACAATGCAAGATGCAAACGGAGAAACCGTTGGTCGCACGGAGTGGAGGAATTCAATGAGGGAGCGGTATGCGGCGCCGTACTATCACGTTCATGTTCGTATCGGTGATGCTGGACCTCGACGCTTGGCTAACGGACTTAAACGTAGCGTCAAGACCTCCACCGTATTTTGCATGGTAGGGCGACCGGGTCCGGCGTCACGTTGTCAACCAACAGCGCCGTGAGCGCCGTCACGCCTGCTTCCGCGTCCGTCGACGGCAAACCCAAAGTGGTTCTGGCGAACGGTGACACCATCTCCGCTGACATTGTCGTCGGCGCGGACGGGATCCGTTCCCTTGTGCGGTCGTATGTGACCGGGCAGTCAGACCGGGCAGTACCCACCGGCGACGCTGCGTACCGTGCCGTCATTGACACGGACGCGATGCGCCGCACGACCGATCGGGAACTCATCGACCTCATCGACCGGCGAGAAACGACGGTTTGGATGGGCCCGCAGAAGCACCTCGTAGGGTATAATGTGGTGGGTTACTTGTTCCTTGGCATCAGGCTTGTGAGGCTGATGCTGAGTCCAGTCGGCACAACGCCGCTATAACCTCGTCCTGATCCATCCAGATCAAGGCTATAGTGAATCGTGGACCACTCCGGGCGACGTGAGGCGGCTGAGAGCAGAGTACCAGGGGTGGGAACCCAGGTATGTGTTGCGCGGCCGACATTGCCTGCGATCCAATGCCCAGTCATTCTATGTTCTGAATCTGACTGGCGAATGCGCAGAGTCCAGAAGCTCTTGGAGCTGATCAAGGACGCTTGGGTCTGGCGACTGAACCTTCGAGATCCCATTCCAACATGGGTGGACTCGGATGCCCATGTTACGCTCCTTGGTGATGCGAGGGGACCCATGCTACCGTACATGGCCCAAGGCGGGGTAATGGCGGTAAGGAGTCATCCTCCTGTCCGTTCGTCATCAGGCGCTGACATGTTTTGCCCCAGATTGAAGACGCAGCCGTACTTGGCCGTCTGCTTTCCCATGTTGCGCACGCCGAAGACATTCCTCGTCTCTTGCGAGGGTATCAACAAATTCGTCAAGGCCGCGTCTCGAAGGTTCAGCTGGCGTCGAGCGCTAATAGGACGTTGTTCCACATTCCCGACGGCCCTGCCCAGGAGGCACGAGACGCGAAAATGAGGGAGGCTTGGAAGGCAGCCACCAAGGCCGAGCAGGGCGCCCAACAGAATGGGGGCAAGGCCGACCATCAACATCTAGAGCGAGACGCAGAACGAGGCCGTATTGACGAGATACTCAAGCACGATGCGGACGCAGAAGCAGATGGCTGGCTTGCGGCGAACGGATTCGATTAGCCCGATGGCCGACCCAAGCAGGGAGCTTCTGGTGGCAACTGAGGTGGTATATCAGAGCTAGAAGGCGATAATTGTGAGCGAGGTCTGCTAGCTGATTGACACTACGGCGCATCGTGCTTCAAGCGTATTGCCGTGCTAATCTGCGTGCTCCTCTGACGAGGGCGGAAGCAAAGATAGGTTTGACGCGCTCGAACGTGTCCCCGACATCGCGCGCCGTGCAGATCCTTTGATGGTGGCGGCGGAGGAAGAGATTTGTCGAGGGCTTTGGGTGCGCCCGTCCAATGAACCGTGCGTCGGCAGGCCACGCGTTACGGATCATCGACCGTCGGACTTTGCCGCGCTCTGGGTCCTCTGCCCCGTTCGTCCTCCCTTGTTACCTTTCTAGTCGGCGAGAGTACCACCAACATCGACGCACGTCCGCATTGGTGCTCAAAAGCCGTCTGGACCTCAAGAACTCGATTCGTATGAAGGGTGCTTCTGACTGTCTGAGGGTGCAGTAGCATCATGCGATGCTCGAGGAACGAGATCACAGCGCGTGCTCGCGAAGATGTGTTTCCCCTCCGCGCTCGAGGACCGTTCTTGGTGGAGTCCTCGCCACAACCATACGTTTGGCTCGTACACCGGTCCACTTTGCGTTACAGGTGGTCGGAACTGCGCTATCCATTGTTTCAATGAGGCGCTGATAGCCGCAATGTGATTTATCGTGCGCGACCGCCCCCACGGCGTCATGCTCATGCTGATGTTTTTGATGCGGTGGGACGCTGGGCGGGTCGCTTAAATGGCCTACACTGATATCGTTCTCTTCGAGGTTGGTCTTCCCTTCCCATCACCCGTTCCCCCTTTCCTCTTTTCCCCCTCGCGTCGGTTCTACAAGCGCCATGGCCGCCAACCCCGTTGAGCTCCCTTTGGGCATGCTGCTCATTGGCTTGATCATATCTTCTGCGTGAGTGCCCATCGATCTTTGAATCGGTCCGCTGCTAACCTGCCTCCGATCAGTCTATATGGTCTTGTAGTATGTGGATGTCTTTGCAACAAAAGCCATTGGCTGACCTTGCTGTAGTTTTTACAGGGCTACATATACTTCCGCAGCTATCCGGGCGACGCTACCTGGCTAAAGGTCACAGTGAGTAATCTCTCGAAGGGTTCTCGATTTCTCCGCGCTGACAGGCTCCTAGGTGGTCACCATCCTGTTCGTGCAGAAATCTCAGCGCCGTTATTCTCCCTGCTGACTCGCTCCAAGCCTCATGGACACCGTCGCGACCGCCCTCTCAGGACGCGGGGTGTACAATTACCTCGTCACGAACTATGGCCATCCCGAAGCGATCGGTGCAATCGATCCGTACGTCTCGCTTGTTATAATTGAGAGAACCACCTAACATGCGCGCACCACAGGGCACTTGAGGTACTGTGACTCGCCAAGGCTTGCTTCTCATCTGCTAACATCTACCTCGGTCCTCAGGTCGAGAGTCTCCTGACCGTGAGTCGCGTGTGGCGCTCGATTGAAGCCAGTCGCTAACGAGCCTCCCTTTCGCTTAGGTCTTCGTGACTTTCATCACCCAGGTGTACGTTTTCTCGAATATCGATACTGGCGCCTATGCTAACTCCGCGCCATAGATTCTATGGGCATAGCATCAGCAAATGTTTGTATTTGCGAAACGGCTGAGCGACCCCTGCTGACTTTTTGGTACAGTGGCCGGCCAGCGGCGCTACGTGGCCTGGATCATTGTGAGCTTTTCTCGCAGGCGGTCATCGTGTGTATCTTGAACTAACTAAACAGTACTTCATCGGCTTTGTCTCGCTTGGTACGAAAACATAACCCGCTGCTCGGCCGCGTACTGACCCCGGCGACAGCATTCGGTGTCGCCGCGTGCGTGAACAATTTCGTCTCCGTCCACTTCGCAGGCTTGAGCATGACGAACGCGAAGGTTTGTCCTTGGCCCCTTCGTGCCGTTCCTGTCCCCTTTGTTCCGCTCCTACCACCTTCCATGCGATCGTGTTACCTTGGTGCCTTTGCTAAAGTTCCCTCATCCAGATCATCTCCGGGTTCGCGCTCGGCGGGAACGCGGTGTGCGACTTCGCCATCACGCTCGCGCTGTGCCTGCTCTTCACCGGGAGCAAGACGGGCTTCAAGCCGTGCGTGGACCGCCACACGTGCTTCTTCGACTCTGCTGACGCGCCAGCAGGACGGACAGCATCCTCGACCGGCTCCTCGTCTTCACGATCAACCGCGGGGCGATCGCCTTGTGAGTGGCGCTCGGTTGCGAACCGCGCGGGGATGCGCGCGTGCGTGGCTAGTCGATGTGCTGACGGCGGCTGCAGGGTCGTCCAGATCTTCAACTTCGCGCTGTACATGTGGAACCCGGCGAACCTCGTCTGGGCGCCATTCCACTTCTGCCTGAGCAAGAGTGCGCTGGCGGTCTTTTTCCGTTTCTTTTACCCCTGCTAATCGCATATCCCGCCAGTCTACTCGATCTCCCTCATCGCTACGTGCGTGCATCCCGTGGCTTGCCCGAAGCCGAGCCCGTGTCCTGACTTCGCACAGCCTGAACCAGCGTGACAAGTACCGCCAGTCCACGTTCACGGACGTGACCTCGAGCGCGAGCTTCCGGACCTCCTCGCAGGCCAACTCGACGTTCGTGAGCCAGCGGCAGAGAGGGTCGGGCGGGATTGTACGTCTGGGATATATGATTTTTTGCCCTTGACACGACCACTAACTTGCCTTCCCGATACTAGCCCCTCAAGCTGAAGGTGTATACGGAGACGACGACGGAGACGTTGAAAGAGTCCGTTTCGAGCCCTGAGCCGTGGAAGGTGGCACATGCAGTCTAGGGTGGTGCATGCGGTCTAGGGTTATGCGATTTGCGGCTGAGTGACGATTTAACCTTATATTTTGACACTTGTAGCTTTGTACTTGTATGACTTGCGCAGTTCGGCCTCGTATGTAGTTCCTAGTGGCTACCCTCATTTATTTTGCTATTTATGCTTGGCAATGGAACTGCTACGAGAGATGTGCTGTGGTGTTTTCGAAGCACGGAGGCTGTACGACGAATTGCCGTGGTATCTTGAATCTTGCGACGGAAGACCGAGCTTTGGAGTCGAACTGTGTGAGAAGCTCGTGATATCCACGTGACTCGGACATGACTTTGTGGCGTCGTTGCTATCCTCTGGCTCGTTCTCTAACAACTGCATCCAGCTGTTTGCTGTACGACTAGTCGAAACAGCCGCCCTGAAGTCTCTGTTGTCGGCGCGCATCTTTATCCGCCTTCGTGTCCGCTCCGATACCAACGGCTTGGCTATCCCTGCCAGTTGCTACGGCGCCGATCCCCGGATACGGACAGAGGGATAGCATACACAGCTGCACGGTGTTTCCAAAGTTTAGTGAAAAATCACATTTGTAATTGCCCCGCGCTGTCTCCGAGGCTCGGACCAGCCGCTCCAGCAACATCTGAGCAGCATTTCGTCAGAGGCCGCCGCACAGATGCTGCGTTTCCAAGAGCGCGCCACCGAGTTTGCTCGAGTTCCCACCGTGGAACGTTCCCGAACTCGTCCCGGACGCTGCCCGGCACGGCGGCGGCACGCAACACGCGACCTGCACGCGATGGGCGCCACGCGGCGGTGGAAAATCGGCGCCGTCCGTGGGAGTTGGGACTTCGCGTTTTGCTCTTGACTCCCATCTTCCTCAACGCGGTCTTGAGGGTTGCGGACTCTGCGCAGGTGGGTGCCCGCCCCCGAGCCCTCTTTCTCTGCTTATTGAGCTCCCTCCAGATTCGTGGCGTCGTCAAGCATGAGGGAGAGGTGGAGGGCAGGTCTGGATGTTGAGGTGAGTCGGTGATTTGTCCATCGTCGCTGTTCACTGACTCGCTCCTGCAGATGTCATTCAGAGTCGATGGGATGGAGGGGAGACAGGCTGGGGGCAGCCGCTGCCGCGACTGCCGCTGTCCTCTGACAGCGCTGCAGCTCGTGTCACCGTGTTGCGCGGTTGCTATGATGACGTGGCAGGTGGCAACGGCGGGGAGGGCGGGTGCGCTGTTGGGCGGCGCCCATGTATATTCGAAGTAGACACCTGGATGTCTAGTAGCATAGTTGCAATATACATGATTTTCCCTAATTATGTGTGCACTGAACAGAGGACGAGGAGGAGCAGCAGCAGGCAGAGCGCAGACGCAGGCAGGCAGGCAGCAGAATGCATCCCGGACGAAGCTCCGAAATGACGTCATTTGCAAATGTTTTGGCGGATCGTTTCCAAGTTCTCGTCAAAACGGGCGCTTCCAAAAAATCCTCGTGTCTCCCTATCGTAGAGGACTTCGGGACTTTGCTCAAACATTTTGGAATCAGGGTCCCGCCAAAGATTTCGGCCAAGCCGTGCAGCCGTGTAGACTCTAGAGGATGTGGCGCGCTCCTCGACTCAAGGATCAGAAATCTTGGCTTTTAATCAGCGCCGGTAGACAATCTTGGAGCAACATGCGAGCGCTCGCATAGATCTGGGAATTTATGGACGAAGCGGTATCAAGATTGGATCGCTTCGTCGATCCTGAGGCTCGAAGCCTGCAGGGACGCCCGAATGCCCAGCGCGCCTTCATCGGAGTCAAGCACGGTGGACATGAGATCATAGGCTCATGGCTGCGTGACTGTCGGTTTTAGACGAGTCAATGGTCGCTGAGGCGAGCAGGTTCTTTGATCGCGCAGTGGTAGCGATGGACGTGCGCCCAGCGCCCATATACTTACTTCTTACGTCCATATTTCCGTGCACGGCGCCAGATTCTTGAGAGCTAGCCGACAGCTCTGCTTCCTTCAAGCCTGTGATGCGCTCTTGGTGGGGTCAAAGTCGAACCGTGAGAGGAAAATTAGACTTCCCGGCAAGTTCCGGCCGGTGTCTTGTTCGCACGTGCCAGGTCGGTGAAATTACCCCGCGGCGAGCGTCCGTCCGCTAACGACGGTGGACGACCTTGGACGACTGTGCGGGCTTTCCCAGCGGGTAGAGGCGGAAGGGGGATGGGGTTCCCCAAGCAGGGGGGGAGGACGGCAGAGACCCTCACGGTGAGGGCTAGGCGCAAAAAGCCGAGACACCTAGTATCAGGCCATGTCTCGCGGTGTCTCGCGCGGGCGCGAGGTATCCGGATGGGGTACTGTCCGGACTTCCTGATCGATGACGCCGCGTGCGCTGGCTGGTCCGCCTCCGCCCCGGTTGCTTGTCTCTGACCACCACGAGCTGCAGCACCCGTCCCCCTCGACAGCGCAGGCGCCGCGCACGCACTCTGCGCCGCCACCATGGACTCCCCCACGCAGGGGAACCCGATTGAGACCCCGCTCGGCATGCTGCTCATTGGGCTCATCATATCCTGCGCGTATGTGCTCTCGCTTCCCCTAAATCTTGCTTGCTAACCGTGCCCCCCAGGTTGTATGGTCTGAATGTGCGTGCTTGGCCTGCGCGCATCCGAGGGGGAAAGCTGACAGTCCCAGTTCCTGCAAATATACATGTACTTCCGCACGTATCCCTCGGATAGCTGGTGGTTGAAGTTCCTGGTGCGTGCTCGGCCCCTCATGCTAGCAGTCGTCTGACAGGGGTCATACAGGTCGCTTCACTGCTGTACGTCTTTTGCCCACGCCCCTTCCGAGTCTCTCGGTGCTCACGAAGTCCAGCGTACTGGATACGGCTGGCACGGCTCTCAGCGGTCATGGAGTATACACATATCTCATCATCCACTTTGGGGATCCCACTGCCATTGCGGGCATCGATACGTGCGCTTCATCCTCTACTTCGCCTCTCCGCTACTGAACAACTCTCCCTACTAGCTCCCTTGAAGTACGTTCCCTCCCTCGCCGCTACCCTCCCACAGAATGCTGATGCGTGATTCGCAGGTCGAGAGCCAGATCACCGTACGTGCAGGCCCCATCGTTGACCCGCTCATCGCTCACCCCGTCTCAGAATGTTATCACTTTTATTGTCCAAGCGTGCGCATGACTCCTCCCCATACACCCTCGACCCACTCATCCTTCCCCTCAGGTTCTACGGATACAGTCTCGTACAATGTAGGTTGTCTCGCCCTGACAGCCCTCCCCCTCTCATTTTGCTTCCGCAGTGGCCGCCGGACGGAATCTTAAATGGGCGGCATTTCTTATTGTATGAGTGCGCGCCACCCTATAATCGGCAGATGGCTAACAGCTCCCCAGTGGTTCATCGCGCTCGTCAGCTTCTGTACGCCCCTATCCAGCTAGTCTGCGCCTCCACCGACTCTGACGGTGTCCTCAGCCTTCGGGACGGCCGCGGTCGCGAACAACTTCCTGACGGCCCACTTCGAAGGCCTGACGATGAAGAATGCGCGGATTATCTCTGGATTCGCTCTTGGTGGCGCGGCGCTGTGTGATATCGTTATCACCACCGCGCTATGCATGTTTTTCTGGAGGAGCAAGACGGGGTTCAAGCCGTCAGTACACTCCGCTTCTTCATCGTGCCAACTCTGACTCGGATCTAGAACGGATAACATACTCGACAAGTTGCTCATCTTCACGATCAACCGAGGCGGCATCTCTTTGTGAGTGCTTCATTGATTATGTTTTAGGGAAGACCCTGACCCTCGTTAGTGCCGTGCAAGTGCTCAACTGCATCTTGTACTTTACGCATACAGCGCAGTTGATTTGGACACCATTCCACTTCGCGTTAAGCAAAGGTCCGTGGCTCTAAGTGCCTTGTTGAGTACAGTACACTGATGGCCTGCACCAGTTTATGTTATCTCACTAGTCGCGACGTACGTAGCGTGGTTTGTTTCATCGTCTGTTTCTCACTCCTCTACAGGTTGAACCAACGAGATACGTATCGCAACGATCATGTCTACACCGAAGACCCTGTCAGCTTCGCGCGACCTTCAACTATGTCCGCCTCCGCGAACGGGAACCAGATAGTGCGTTCTGACCTTCGCTTCGAAGACACTCGCTGACTCTGCCACCGGTTGCAGCCCCTGCAACTGAGGAGCGGAAGCGGAAGCGAAGGTGAGACAACAGGGATGTCCGTCAGCCTCAGCAAAAATTCCGAGGAGCGCTACCGCTCTTGGGGTTGATTCCCGGAGACGGGGGAACAATGGAGTGTATACAGGATTTCGCATATATATACTACACTTGTCTGCGTGGACTCGGCACTGTACATAAACCCCCAATTGTCATCGTCGTACTATACGCGCTCCTTCTACTCGTTCATGCACCCGAATCGGACTGCCTCCAGTCTTCCATCTCCCCAAGGCGTGTTCATGCATGGCTTCCCACTCGGATCACGCCTCGATTAGATGGGCACATACAGTCAGCGCAATAGAGGGCGCTCTCGTCGGCGCGCGGTGCGCTGTTGCATCAAGGACGTGATGCTCGGCACGCCATGATCAATCAGCCTCGCAGGCGCCCTTCTTTCTGACGCATCCCACGCAGCAGGGCATAAATTGTCCAGAACTTCTTGGAGCCGCGTAGCCGACCGTTCCCCACACACCCTAATGACATTGGACGTACCGAGAGAGAGGCTGCTCGTCGCGTCGGGCGTTGCGCTGGGCGTGTATGTCGGGCTGCGCGTGTTGGGCAGCCGCCTGCGGCAGAGCATGCTGGAGAAGGAGACCATCGTGTGCGAGCTCGAGCACCTTGGGAAGCCGCGCGCGGAGGGCGAGAAGCTGAAGGGGACCGCCGTGGTGTGCGGAGGCAGGTACGCAGGCCGGGGAGCGCGCGGCGGGGAGGAAGCTCACGCGCGTCTGCAGCATTGCCGGGTTGGTGGCGGCGCGTGTATTGCACGACCACTACGAGCGCGTCGTGATAATCGAGCCGGAGGGTTGGCTGGCGACGGAGGACGGGCGGCGGGTGCGCGCTTGGGAGCAGGAGAACAAGCGCTCGCGGCTCATCCAGTACGGCGCGATTCATGGTGCGTTGCTGGGGCTGCATGGCGGGATGCACGCTGACACGATGCTGCAGTCGTCCACGGTATCGGCTACCGCGCATTCAAGCGCCTCTTCGACAAGTTCGACGAGGAATGCGCGGCGTCGGGCATTGCGTGCGTTGAGCGCTTATGAGCATGCGCGGTTCTTTGCTAACGCTCTTCCTTCCTCCCAGAATCGGTCCCGCGGACTACAAGACGCACATGTGGGGCAATCCCCTCGCGGACACAGACTTGAACGACCCGACGGTCTTCACCTCGCGGCAAGGCATCGAGACCCTGCTCCGACGGCTCACGCTCGACAAGACGACGTACCCGAACATTGACTATATCGTTGGCACTGTCACCGGCCTCATCGCGAGCCCCGACGACCCAACGCGGGTAGGGAGCGTCGCGGTGACCGGCGCGGAGGGAAACTACACCGTCGACGGAACGTTCTTCGCCGACTGCACTGGCTCCGCGCAGGCGCTCAAGTGGCTGCCAGCCGCGGGTTTTGGCAAAGTCGACTCTGGCGCGAAGAAGGACAAGGACGGCCCGCTCCCGCTCGACGAGTTGAAGATCTCGTTCGACCCGAAGACGCGGTATGCGACGATGGAGTTCCCTCTGCCGCCTGACCTGCTGAAGCGGACCCCCGTGCCGGACGACGGGCGGAATACTATCTACTGCTGCCTCTCGCACCCGACGAAGAACAAGGAAAGCATATACGTGCTCAAGCGCGACGGGAACATCGGTCAGTGAAGCAGACTCGCTGAAATGTAATAACTGATCATCTTGAGCAGTACAACTATGTGTTGGACGCTGGGGCGGAGGAGAGACCCCCTCTGACCTCGACGGCTTCATCGACTTGGCGTCGAAGGTCTACACAGACAATGGGCATCCCGACTGGCTTTTCCCTCTCCTCGATACCCTGCACGAAGTTGAGGACCAGATGAAGATACACAAGGCCATCGTCCGTGCGTTGCTGCTTCGTTTACGGGGCCTATGGAAGATACTGATGCTGCTTAAGCGCCGCGCTCGTGGATCCGGTACCACCTCGCTTCCAACTTGCCCTCTAACTGGGTTGCGCTCGGAGACAGCGTCATGACGCTGACGCCTGCGTACGGGTAAGTCAATGGCTGACCATTCGAACGGATCGTACTGATATTGACATGCATTCTTAGGCAAGGCGTAGTGAAAGCTATCATGGATGCGACATGCCTCAACGAGCTGCTCGTCAATGTGAAGGAACGCGTTCCCGATGGGTTTTCTAAGAAGTTCTTCCAGTACCAAATCAACAAAACTGGGCCTCTCTGGTATGGCAATTCACTGTTCTACGACACGGGTGATGTTGACGCTCTCTCGCAGGGACCAAAATCGTCAGGCAGATTATGCGAAGGAGACGACGGTGCCCGTGCCGGGCGAAGACCGATCATACGGCGCTTTCGAGCGGTGGTATGGCTTCCGCTTCCAGCGCCTGACCTTCACGGTACGTCTACTACCATCCGTTTTTAGTGCACGCGTTTCTACCTCGTCTTGTCGACTCTCAACGTCCACCCGGGCTGAACACACGCTACAGGATCCCAGCGTTACCTCTGTCTTCTATAGCGTCATGAACATGGTCGCCCCCGGCATCGACACCCTGCAGCCCTCCATCTTAGCCAAGGTCATCTGGGATCTAATCCGGCATCCGAACGCAAACTAGGCCGAGGTACATCTTATTCCCTCTGTATCGACTGTAGTGCACGCGGAACACCCTCATTCTACCTATGTATTCGTCCCATCTCATCCCCTCATTGTGAATCCTGTACTGGTTATTTATCCCCTCGTCCCTCTTGAATGAGTGCGGTGTATGACTCTTGCCCTGCTACTCTGGGTTGCTGTCCAGGCCCCTGCCGACTATACCTTTTCGTGCGGTGTCGCCTATGTCAGCGCCGACTCGGTGAGGGTGCTTCCGCCGCGGACCACGCCCGGCTGCTTTTAGAGATGGGCAGCGAGCCGGTTCGTGCACTGCTCGCCGCAACTCGATTCCCTCCGTCAGCAAACCTTGTCCCAAATCAGTGCGCTGATCAGGCATTCTCCCTCGTTGGCAATGCCCATTGTTGATCTTGATGCAGATGTTTTTGATGCGCGCTGAGGCATGACGATCAAACTCAGCAGAGCCCGGACTCGTAAGTCACTGCGCGGTAAGACGCGCGGACAGCCCAGCGACGTCAGCGGCCACACCGCACTTAGCGGGCGCTGGGCGAGCCCAATCTCCGTCGCGCGGTGCCGAGCTTACACACTAGCGGTCCGGCGGTACTCCAGCTCGCTGACGGCGCGGGACGCGCGCCAGTACGACCGTTGCACACGGAAGCAAGTGCATCACTGCCGTGTGATAGCGAAGAAGCGTATATAATGGAAGGCCCTGCTGAAAATCATCATCCTCGCATCCATCGATTGCCCGACGACGACGACGACGGAACTACACTTTGTGACTATTCAAATCAATTTCTCTTTAGCCATGGTCAGATCAGCGTCTGAACCAGTACCTGTGCTCATCGTAAGTGAAGGGCAGGTAGCGATGACGTGCAGTGCTGACCAGTCAACCCAGGTAGGGGCTGGCGTGAGCGGGCTCATACTCGCAATATTACTGGCAAAGAACGATGTCCCCTTCCGGATTATCGAAAAGCTACCTTCCGGGGGACGTATTGGTGCGAAGGGATCCGGTGTCCAGGTCAGACTTCCGCATTCGTGTCTCGAGAACGCTTACTGAGGTCGTCTAGCCGCGCACCCAAGAGTTGCTTGAGATCATGGGCATACCATACGACGAGCTTATGGCTTCCGGCATGGGGCCACTGGAAATGCGGTTTTACGCGCCACCGGATGGACTGCAGCCTGCCAAGACGTTCCCGCTTGCTGAGCGTATGCCACCGAATCCTACTGTGCCTTATGTGAGTACGCGCTGCCTTGCATGGGATGAGAACTAAAGGCGAACTAGCCAGAGCTCGTAACTGTCAGCCAGGCAAACCTCGAAGTGCTACTCCACCGCCAGTTGAACAAGTACGGCGCACAAGTTGAATACTCCACTACGCTGCAGTCGATTAGTCAAGACGATGATAGTGTTACTGCCGTAGTAACGAAGGACGGCATTGTGGAGAGAATAGAGGCTCAATGGCTAGTTGGAGCCGACGGTGCCCGTGGTAAGTCCAGTTCTCTGAAGGTGCGCAGGGATACGAAGTCAATTGACTTCCAGGATCATCTCGAAAGTTTCTCGGCATCAACTACGTCGGCGAAAGCAGACCAGGCGACAAAATATTCATAGCGGACGTGACTGTTCCCGGAAACTTTCCTCGCGATGTGAGTTCGTTGCACGGCCCCTATGCCTCGATATGACGCGTTGCAGTATTGGCATGCATGGGGCCAGTTCCACACGTCGGCGTGCGTCTGCCGGCTACATTCCATGCATCCAGCCACTAATTGCCTGACAGCGTCGGCCTCCTTCCTCTCGGCGGCGGCGATCCGACGCATTTCCAGCTGCATCTTATGGGCCCCGAAATTGATTGCGAGATAGTCAAGACACCGCAGGACGTGAAGGATCACTTTTACAAAATTAGCAATCGGAAAGACATCGTAATCGAAGACGTGCGGTGGATGACGACGTGGACGTATGTCTGTTGCTGGTTCCCCCTCGTCCCTCTGCTGACCTCATACGCAGAGCGAACGTACGATTAGCGGATCGCATGCAGGTTGGCCGCTGCATATTGGCAGGCGGTGCGTCATAAAATAAGTATCTTCTATCGACGTGTCATTGACGAGACCGCAGATGCTGCACACTGCCATTCACCGGCTGGAGCGCAAGGCATGAATACCGGTTTACAAGATTCGGTGCGTTGCAGAACACATTATCAGACATCGTTCTGACATGCTCCCAGTTCAATTTAGCCTGGAAATTGGCCGCCGTCGTGAAGAGCACCAGTCCTCCCTCTATCCTGGCGTCCTATGAAGCCGAACGCTATCCTGTTATTTCTGCAATGCTGCAGATCTCCAACGACATGCACTCTCGCCTCTTCGCCCGCGAGGCACCGAAGGAAGGAGACGCAGAGCCCTTCCATCACCCGGACAGCACGCACCAGCTCGGCGTGAATTATCGCCATAGCCCCATCATCCTTGACGAGCGATACACACAGAAGGGAGAGGCACCTGCGCCTTACCAACGTGCAGGCCGATTACGCGCGGGCGACCGAGCGCCAGACGCGCCGGGAGCCAACGGGACGCGCCTGTTTTCTCTCCTGGGCGTGCAGCGGCACCGAGCGCTGGTATTCATACCGAAAAGTGCAGATACTGGGCTACTTCAGGCCGTCAAAAACGCTGCGGGAGGCACTTGGGATGTAGTGGCGGTGATTCCGCAAGGCGTGGAGGCACCAGCAGATGTGCATTCCGTATTCGTCGACAACGCGGAAGGTGTCGCTTTCGGAGTGTACGAGGTAGGGGACGATCCCTTGGCCTTCATTGTACGCCCAGACGGTATGATTGGCGCAGTTCTCCTGTCGACAGATGGTGTGCAGCGCTATCTCGAAGTACTCCGTGGCGGAGCCAGGCCCAAATAGACCCCACGCCTTAATCAGCCAGTCGAGCATGTATCCCTTTCCCTATGTTTATGTCGACGAACGCAGAATTCCAAGATTTAGCAAACATATCGATTCCCAAGCCCAACATCATTACGAGTGAACGAAAAACGCCGTCCCAGTGACCGCCGGGATATGGAACGTGCAGCCACCGGGACTGCGCGCGAGCTGTAAGTATGTACAGTAGGCGCCAGGCATAAGGTGATCGAGAGAGGGAGCAACAAAGTACATGAGGGTATACAACGTCAGGGTGAAAGTACAGCCCAGGGTATCTACATCAACGAGGTAGGGACTGCGAAGCAGCGTGAGCGCCATAGCATCCGTACTACAGCACTCAGTGGGCGTTGAGACGGCGGTTGTTAGCATGCGCGCGCTTCGACACGGAGCGCTTCTTCTCGCTGCGCTTGCGCTGGCGGCACTGCTTGGTCGCGCTGGACTGCGGCGCGCTCGCGGACGACGTCGGCTCAGACCACTCCGAGGTCGAGGCGTCGCCCGAGCCGTTGTTGTCGCCCGAGCTGGCGGCGCCGTTGTTGCTGTCGCCGCCATTGTTGTTGCCGGAGTCACCGTTGCCACCGTCGTTGTCACCGGAATCGCCGTTGTCACCCGAGTTCGAGTTGTCGCCGCCCGAGTTGCCACCGCTGGTAGCGCCATCCCAGACCGCGGGGCCAGGCACCTTGAAGCTGGAGATCTGGCCGTCCTGGTAGAGCTGACGGCGAGTGAGCAAAGGAATCAACGCTGAAAGAGAATCTACGTACGTCGAAGTTGGCGAAGTCGCCGTTGGGGTCGTACAGCTGGCCGGCCTGGGTACCCTCGGGAAGCGTGGTCGTGCCGTCGCCAGTGACGTCGAGCTGCACGCACGCGATGTAGCCCTGCGGGCCCGAGGTGCCGTCGCCGTCCTTCTTCGGGTTGTGGAGGGCGTAGAGCTCGTGGCGGAGGATGTAGCCGCCAGGGGCGAGGCCAGCGGGGATGTTAACCGTCCACTTGGAACCGTCTTGGATCATCTTGGCAGCTGCCCAGAGACCAGGGCCATCAGGGTGGTAAGGTTCGGGCTTGGAAGCGAGCGCATTGCGCAAGTCATCGGAGATGGTCTGCGAGAAGTCGATGCCGAACTCATCGATCTTCGTCCAACCGGCGTTTGTGACGTCCGCATCCTTGCAGTCACCGTTGCAGGACGTGAGGTAGTCTATGATGGGACCCGTACTGCATCATATGATGAGTGGGCGAAGAGAATGCTGAGGCAAGATCAACATACCCGTGAACCCATGCCTGCGCGCCATCCGGGACGGACGTAACCCAAGTAAGCTCGGAGGTGGAGCCAGACCACTGAAGCGTAACCGAGCTGCCCGCAGCGACGGTAAGCGACGAAGGGGCACCTGCGCTACCGAAGCCCTCGCAGGACATCTTCCTGTACGGCTATCAGTGCCCGTTTCAATACGGCGCCAGCAGTGTCGCGATGCCACATGCACTGGCCCCAAATGGTGTACTCACGAGTTGTCCGAGAAGTCGCCCGGGAGAACGTAGGCTTGCTCGCTGGCCTTGTACATCTTGCGGATGGGCGTGTCCGTGTTCGCCTTGTCACCATCGTAGTAGAGCTAGATCACTGATCAGCAATGCACGTTTGGCCAGGAGCTCGGACGACATACGTTGGGCGCAATCTTTGTGTTGCCGTCGGCATATACGTTGAACAGCTGGCCGTGGGCGTTCACGGTTGCCAGGAAGGGGAGGAGGGAAACGAGAGCTGCGAGCTTGAACATGATGTCGTAGGTGGCAATACAGCGGCTCGAAGTTGGGTTGCTTGGGAGTGCGAGAGACCCAGAGAGATAGAGCAAGCGAAGGGAGTATGAACGAGGGGATGAAGCGAGGGGAAGGAGCGACAAGCTCGAGGGAGGGGTCGTAACGAGAGGGAAAACCAAGAGACGCGTTGCGGTGTTTTATGCTCCTCACCTCATGATTGATAGCATCAATGCTTGGCGCCCGAAGTTCAACTTGCAACGTGACTGGACCAACAACCGCGATGAAGCGAGGCATTATGGCTGCCTAGGCAGCTATTGCTAGGTATTTCTCATTAGACATGTTGATTCATGAAGGATACCGTCGTGTGCATATTCTGCATAGTAGTACCCTTCTTCCAGGATTGAGAGCAAATCCATGTCATTCATGCCAAGCCCCACTTGGCCATGATTGGGACCCTAGATTTAGGGAGTCGAATCTCGGAGGTGCTGAAGGACTTGCTAAGATCGACGATGGTGGGAAGAGACAAGGTCGCTGTGCGCCCAGACAGATCGGGCCGAGAGTCGAAAGAGCACGTGACATCCTCCAATTACCGTTTTTGGTCAAAAAAGAACAATGGTCCCTATGAGCGGGTGACTCTTTCCCGGACGCACGTCCATGACACAACGCTCTTCGCGGATACAACAAGCCGACAATCGAAGCCAGACAACGGGCGTCGGTGTGCAGCAAGCCATGGGCGCCAGCTCGGCTATCCATCTGAAGTACGATTACATTCAATCCTGTAAGCAGATAAACGAGGCCTACAGATAGTAGTATATATACAGTTGACTTGAGTCTCATCAGTTGTGCGAGATCTTGAGCAAAGCAAATGATAATTGGTCATGCATCGTCGTCAGCGTTCATCAAAACATCCTCTCGTAGCTCGTCAGGCGTCTTCAAGTTCCCACTTCTTCTTCTTCTCCGCGACGTTCCCAAGAGCATTCCCATCCGCGGAGAACTCGTATACGGGGGGCTTGTCCGCGGGAGGAGACGCGCGATGGGCACGTCGCCGACGCACGAGGATTATAATCCACGCAATCATCGCAAAGAGCCAGATGCCTGGGGTTATCCGCATGAGTCCACACGAATGTATAGTAGATCACTGGGGAGACGCACTTCCGACTACGATGCCAACGATGGCGCCGATGGCAGCTGGGCTGAGATTCTTGCCCGACGACTCGACGTAAACCATCGGCTCGCATTCCTGGGTGTACTGCACGCCAGTCGCGATGCCCGTGCCAGTGGTGCTGACGGGGTACGCTGAGCAGTACGACGCTGAGAGCGTGCGGGTCGTATCGGCCTGCGCGCCCGCAGCGATGGCGAGGGCGGCTAGGGCCAGACCGAGAAGGTTGGCGGACATTTCGAGTTTGATACGGAGGCGATGAATAGAGACGCGGCGGCGCTAGGAGAAATGGGAAGGACGGAAAAGGTTGACCTCCTTTATATGTAGCAGTCATCTTCATCATGGCGCCAATTGCGCAACGGAGCTGTGCTCTTACCAGATATCTCCACAGACGGGTCGTCGAAACGCGCCTAGCCCATGCATCTGCAACTGATCTCTTCAGTACTTGCCAAGAAATGCTGTGCAGTGTCAGCTTTAATGGAGTCGCAGAGAGTTCGAGAGGCCGATGCCATTAGGTAGTGGAGACGTATGAGACCCATAGTGCACAGATGACCTCCCAAGCCATGGCCAAAACAAGAATAAGGCTGCAAGGTTTCGGAACATTCGGAAATTCACCCATCGGTACAAACGGGACGACGAGAACATCTTTCCGCATCCCTTTCGCTGGCGACGAGGCTCACGCTGTAGTTTTTGCTCTACAGTACATTGAAGACTGTGGTCCTGTGAGCGATGATGTAGGGAGCTGTTGATTAAAATTGTGGACTTTCCTGACACGTAGAGGCATGTGCCCATCGAGAGAGCACAGACGCTGATGCACGAAGAACTGCGAGCGTTTTCGACTTGGTCTTCGGCCTTGTCTTCGATCGCGCGAGCTGCCTGAAGACCCCGTCTACAGGACTTGACCAGTAAATGCCCGCTCTGGATTTATCAGCGGCGCATCAAGACCCACCGCACTGACAGGCGATGGACAAGCATATCATATCTACTAAGGGCCCTTGAGGTGAGGGAGAGTCAAGCCGCACCTACGCTCTCGAACGCGCGTCGGAGGGCAAGCCAAGAACGTTCGGCTGACAGCCCGGAATTTGAGTCCTTTAATCGCTCGGAATCGCACATGGCAACTTCACGAGCAGCTCGCGCTGCCGGTCGTCAGTCTCTTGCGAGGCGGACACGCGCACCGCATGTGAATCGAGAGGATCTTCAATCAGGCTGGTCTTCATGAATGTTCGGCGGCAATGAGTACCTGCCTTGCTGGGAGGAGCCGCTTGTGCTGTTGCGGAGCGCAGGCCGAGAATATGGGCTTCGACGTCGCTCCGCTGCTGTACCTAGCTGGCGCTACAGACGGCGAGGCAAGGTCTTCTGGCAGGGTTCTAGCAGAAGAACTGATTTTCGCGCCTTGAGGTCGAAGGGAAGCCCGACAGCCCGCGCGAGGACGTCAATTGAGCGGAAGACCTCGAAGCCACCCGTGCGAGGCCGCGTCCAAGCAGCGCAGCAATTCATACAGAGCGCAGCCATGTAGTAGAATATGAAGCCTTCGAGAGAGCCCCAGCAACAGACTTCGCGGGAGAAGAATGAGCAGAAACGCGGCCTGCGCGCAGTGGCGTGTGCAAGGCTATTGTTTAAGTCCCGGGAAAGTGGCACCGGATGACCGGGAGGCGCAGCAGCATTTCGCCCTCGAGGGCGCGCGAGTAGAACCTAGCCGACCAGGCACTGGGAGCAGAATTTGCAGTAGTTGAACCTTGAGCTTCATGAGGGTTCAGGGAGAGCCGAGATGATGGGTCGGCGAAGGATAAGCGCAATGCCTATTACGGATAAAAGGTTCGGCATCTGCCGTACACCCTCAGAAAGGCGAGTACGAGGTGAACTTCGTGGGAGCCCATGTGAGGTGCGCGAGCATTACTTGTGGATTCATATATTCTGTTGGGATGCAGATCAAGAACATCGACAATGAATAACCCGTCGTTACACGGTCACCATATAATATGTACACGCAGAGGCATACCCTGGCTAAACTAATGCAATCAACCGTCCATTACGGAGATACAGAGCGCGCTGAGGACGGCAACAGTAGAAGGGACGAGAAGAGACAAAGGGGAAAAGGGGAGAAGATATCGGACGGTGGGTGAAGGAATTATGGGAGGTGAACGAAAGAAGAAGGTATGGGTCAGAACCGCGATCGAATGAAACCCGGTATGCGACAGGACCGCTGGTCCCCTAAGGCGCCCGTACGAAACAACAAAGTGTCTATCCTGACAGCATTCGCAGGGAATATCACCAGCCGTACAACGTCAGACCAGCCAGCCCAAAATGAGCATTTGTCAAGGACTGACTGCCGTGCGACAATCACTTCTCATCCGCGCATACGCACGAAAGAACGCTCCTACGCGCCGCCAACCACTGATCGCCTCTGTTCGGGCGCGTCACGCTCGCGATCGCGCTCAAACGACGAAGGGGCCAAGATCTGCCCCGGCGACGTGCGTCCCGTCTCGTACGCTCCGCCTACAGGGGGCTGCGTCGCCAGCGGGGACGTCACGCCTGCGTAGTACGGCGCGTACGGTGTGCGCGGAGGCTCCTGGCTGTTGGGAGCCGGCGAGTAGTGCACGAAGTTGACCGAATTCACGGAGCCCACCGACCCCGCCGATGACGGCGCGGGGCTCATCTCGACGGGCGGGCCATGCTGAGGCGGCTGCGTGTACCCTTCCGTGCTGCCATCGTCGTAGCGCCGAAAGCCAGCGGGGGGCGTGGCCGAGTCGCGCTTGATGATGCCCTTCTCCTTACGCTTCTTCGCCTGCACGTGACCCTCCTTCTTTGCGCGCGAGCGGGCGAAACGGAGGCCGCAGCTGGGAAGAGGGCGGGTAAGTACAACAATTATGTTGTAAGAGCGAGGGCGACGTACGCGTTGCAGAGCTCCTTCTTCCCGCTCGGGCCCTTGCGCCACTCCGGGCTCGATGTCGTCTTGCAGCTTGAGCACTTGAGAACGCCCATGGGGCGGTTGCTGCTCGCGCCACTGTTGCTGCGACTCGCGGAAGATTCCCGAGTCTGCCCAGGACTCACGCGTCGCTTCGGTGGCGGTACTTCATCGCCAGGTGACAAGGGGCGGCCTTCAGCATCGCCGGCTGGCGGGTACGCGGGCTGGGAAGTAGGCCAAGGTTGACCTTGCGGAGGATATGTGCCAGCACGTTGGTGATCGATGGAGGATGAAGGTGCGGAGGAGGGTGGGGGCTGCGACTGCCCTTGCCACTGCCCAGGCTGTGCCCATCGTGGTGAAGAGTACGGGTCCGGAGTTGCCGAGTTCGGCTGGGAAGGAGGCAAGTAGGTACCAGGTGGAGGGTTCACTGCAAGTGGGGGCTGAGCGCCATAGCCGTGGTTCTGGTCGTAATATGGAGGCTGGGGAGGAGCGTAGGCAGTCTGGCCGTACGCTTGCATGGAGGTCGGGGTAGAGGAGGTGCGCGAGGGTGCGTTAACCTTGTGACAGGCGAAGACGATGGAACCTAAGTAGTCCTCGGTCAGAACGTGGTCACCTGGAGCGAGGGGGGCGCTTACCATGAGGGATGAAGATGCTCTCTACGTCCGCGCCAATGCCAGGCATGGTTTGCATGGAGCGGAAGCGCCGAGTACAGCTAGTCTTCGCATCAGTCTCCCCTGGTGAGCCGCCCATGGCGACCTTTTCAGCGAGGCGAGAAAAATCCCTGCCCATGGGCCCGTGGCCCTGGTCTGGAGGCCAGCTGAGCATGAGCTGGCGTTCCTGCTGGTTCGAGAGTATCTGAAACACTCGTATTCCGCTGCCTGCCTGCGGCACGCAGACGAGAAGGCGGCGAAAGAGGAGCTGGAAGTGATCGAGGGTCATGACGGGCGTGCCGCACCAGTTGGGATTGCTGCCCTCGTCGTTATCTTTGCCGGGTTCCTGCTCGACGATAGAGTGTATAAAGCAAAGCACGAGGCCCTCGGCGGCCCAGTTGATCACTATGTCCACGGGCATATAGTCGGAATCGGTGGCGGCGACCTTGATGTCGCCCTCAGAGCCCAGCTGCTTGCGAACATAGGCGAGGCGGCTGAAGCGGACGCGGGTGACGCTACCATGAAGGGTACGACTGTCGAGGACGCTGCCGAGATCTTGCTTGGCAGAGGCTTGCTCGTCTGGATGGACGAACTGGAGAAGGGACTTGCCGACGAGCTGTTCAGCCTGCTGTTCGAGATGGCTGGCGAATGTGGGGTCGAGGTAAATGAACTGGAGGTCGGCGGAGAGGAGCGCCCAGTCTGAAATGCAATCAGCGGGATTCCCAAAGGGAGGGCCAGATCAAGAGCGAGTCGATCGTGATCGAGCGCAAGCACGAGCACTCACAGCAGCGCGTCTCGCCGACTTTGGGCAGCGCCGGCGCCGGCTGCGACGTTGCGGTCTGCGCGCGCGACATAGCGGCTGGGTGGCTCAGGGTGTCGGTGCTGCAGGAGGCAGCAGGGGGCAATGTCGACGCTGTTGACGACTACGGAATCTCTTTTGGACGCGGGGGTCTAGCTACGCCCTGGGCGCTCTACGCGGTGATCGACGTCGACGAGGACGACGGCGAGGACACACAATGGCTCGACGCCGATGATGTTGGTGATCAAGAGGAGTCCGAAGGGCGAAAGGGGCGTGCGCGATGCCCACAAAAGGGAATTCCGCGCAAAATGCTGACAAACTTCCCAAACCGGCACGTTCCGCGGCGAGACGTCCGAGGGCGCGTCGGCGGGCATGTTTTGCGGGCGTCGTCGCCGTCGTTGGCGGCGAGCGGGGGTGCGCGCCCGACGTCTTTGCCTTTTCAGGGCACTTCATTATGTGTCCTTCGATCGTGATCGCGCGTTGTGAAGATCGACCACCTCTTTATCCATCACCGATCCCATGGCAAGACCGCCGAAGAACATCTGGGTCGCTGCTGGTGACGGCGACCTCGCACGCGTCCAGGTTCGTCGTTGACGAGGTCACCCACCCGCATCACTCATTCGCGTGCAGGAACTCATCGAGGGCGAATGTATGCGCGCTGCACGGCCCTCACCATCGCATGCGCTAACGTAGACTAGCCCTGTCCCCCAATGTGCCCGATGAGAACACGTACACGCCCATGTAAACCCAGCCGTTCGCCCCTCCGCGTCGGCTCACAGATCCCAGGCATGCAGCCGCCTCGTACGGTCAGCTCCAGGTCCTTGAGTACTTGATCTCAAGAGGTGCGATCCCTCCTGGCTTTACGGACGCACCGATCTAATTCTTCTCATTGCAGGTGGAGATGTCAATGTGACGGACTCTGATGGCGACACACCGCTGTACACCGTCGAGGACATCCCCACCGCCCAGTGGCTCGTCAATCATGGCGCCACCGTCGTCCGCACAAATAACGAAGGCTTATCGGTGCGCTTCAGCCATAGCTTCATATCCCGTCGCGCCATCCTGATCCTTCTTCCCAGCCCATTGACCACCTCCGCGAAGACTTTGAAGAGGTCGCCACCTTCCTCGAGGGCCTCGTCAGCGGTCAGGCCAACGGCGCGTCAACAAATGGCAATGCAACAACAATCCCCCTACCTCCTGCACCACACCTGCAACAACAACCCTCACAACATTCGCAAAATGCCGCCTCCGAGGCGCTCACGTCCAATCTCATGGCGTCCGTCCAGGACATCATGGCTCGCGCCGAAGCAGAAGGTCGAGAGCCGGATGAGGACGAACTTCGTGCGGCAGTTAGTCGTACCGTGCTGGAGGGTGTGGTGCAGGGATTCGACATGAGCGAGGCGGATAATGGTGCGCGTGAAGAGTCGGCGGAGAAGAGGCAGCGAGGTGATGGAGGTACTTGAGGAGCAGACCGAGCAGGGGCTGTACTGTACTTGTATCGGCCTGTGTCCGTGTGTATCTACTATTCACCGGCATGACCGCCAGAAAAGGGTCGCTGGCTTCTCATCCATTTGACGTCTGAATCACAAACTCGGTGGTCAAAATAAGAAATGGTGTTCAAGTCCATCGAAAGCTTTCCACACCACGACATTGGATAATGTGCAACTCGCCAACCTTTGATAATAAGCAGTGGTCAACCATTCTAAGCCCGACCACTGCCCAAGTCCTAGCCGGTAATCTTTCTTGAAAGATGAAGTCTACTAAGGCTACTCTCGAGCAGGAGAACAATCAAATTTCGCCACCCTATGCGACCCATGCGCTATAAAGCCGCACAGAGTGTGGGTCATATATCCTCCAAGATCAGACCGCGCAGCAGCGAGCATCAAAGGACCATACAGTCTGACGAAAGCAAAACGAAAGACTCGGCCGGATTTGACGGTAAAATCGTGGGAAGTCGAGGAGCATGGCAAATCACGTGTAGCACGCCTCTCGACGCCCACAACTCAATTCATCAAACAGAACAGTGCTCCTGCGTCTTCCCGCGGACCACCACACAAATTCAGCGCAGTCTGAATACCTATGGCAGATGATATCGTTCTATATTACATTCCCCACGATTGTGTCGCCCCAAGGATACCCCAAAGCCCAAATCGAACCGTAGAAGCTGAAAAGCATGCTCTCGTGAAGGACGTAAATACAGAGTCGTGAAGTCGAAGCTGCCATAGGTTATTGGACTAAGTCGACCATGGTCTGGTAGCGACACACACCTCGGTTAGGACTAGCTACAATCAGGCGCGCTCGGTCCAGCGTGCAGATGGTTGCGGGGATTTTGCAGTACGCCTCCACAAAGAGGGCTCGGCACCTGCAGCATTGAGTCAGCTCATTCATGCCTCCTCGTCCGCAATTCTAAGGGTGCGTACCAATTGCGCGTGATGGTAGGGCTTGATTGTCCCTGCGTAGGGGCGTCGCATCCCCGCGCTTGAGCTTGAACTGCTTCAGGCCCTTAACCGGCGCGGCATCTACCATGGCCACAAGGAGTAGCACGAAAGCGACGAGCAGGATATGAACGCGAAAGAACATCGTGTCGAAGTTTCGTTTCCGGGTGAACCTGGGCTTGTCGTGTCGAAGCGGGGAGGCGGACAAAACTGGTGTCCTCTACGGGCCTTTATACGCTACTCGAGAACTAGTGGATATTTGTGAGCTTTGCATGGATCGCGCGAGGACAAACGATAAGAGACTAGCATCCCATGCGGTCGACAGTTTGTTCTACCGTGTCGTGAGAGAGGCATTATATGTTCGGGGCCGGCCAAACAGCGAGATAATCCGGCCACGCCCTGCTCGAAAGTTGAACGTGCGGGCCGCTGAATGTCGGCGGCGACACTTTGGATGTTTGGCGAGGGATCCGAGAGCTACTGTAGTGATCCGTCTTCGTTGAGCGGAGGCAGTAGAGAACCAGGGACGGGAATTGAAGACTGATTCTCCGGTGATTGCGAGGAAGGTCAATGTCCAATGAGGCCTCGAGGACTTCAAGGTACCTGGTAGTCGGAAAGGAAGAGTTCAGTGGGATTGCCGGTCGTTCTGTCGGAAATAAGAAAGCACTGGTGATACCTTCGTCTATAGCTGGCCACAGTTGCTTTCTCCCGCCAAAGTGCATCGAGGCAGGATGGCCATAGAATAGAGCAAACAAAGTTCAAGGCCTACCCGAGGTACTGGCGCCAATGGATTAATGGCTGAGCGGCTTTCTCGCACGATGGTAGCCGCGACGGTAACAGCCAATTCTCGCAGGTGCGGTACTTGATCCACGCGTCGATACATGAAATCCAAATCCATACAACATGATGTCTACAAAGTAGGAATATATCAGTCTACACGAAACCGTCCGGTTACGCAGCTGTACTCGTATTGCCCATCGCCGCGGCGTCTACTTCTGGTCCATCCCAGGCGTCCTTCACAAACCGCACAGCAGTCCGGAATGTCTCGTCCCGCGTCCTCTTTTCCTCGTCGTTGAGCCAGCTGACGGGCATCTGCGTCCAACCGTGGCGCATCCCCTTCACGCGTGTGACCTTGAGATCCTTCTCCCTGCCTTCTGCCTTCACCTTCGCCACCCAAGCCTCGCTTTGCTCCGCGAGAGAGTCCATCTCAGGCAGGACAAGGTACACGCGAGCCTTGTCGTGCAGCGCGCTGATGTCTGCCAGTCCCGGCGACGCGCGAGGATGCGCGGCGAGCTCACGCGGGAGATACGTCTGGTGGAGGATGTCGAAGCTCTCGCGCCAGAAGGTCTTACTCGCAGGCATCTTAGGCGGGAGCGTGCGCTCGGAGGGGAGCTGGCGCGCGTCGAACGATGGGTAGTAGAGTAGGACTGGTATGCGGCGCGGGTGATCGGCGGGGATGCGACTAGGCCATGGTGTGTCGACTTGGGGAGGGTCGAGTGATAGGGCGAGGTTGAGTGCGAGGTTGCCACCGCTGCTGAAGCCGGCGAGCGCGATGCGGGTTATGTCGATGGGCACAGGCCGGCCAGCGGGCTTAACGTTGGTGGCGATCCCCGCCCGCAGCACAGCGAAGCCGAGCATGTCGGGGTCGAGGATCGCGCTCAGCACGTCTTCTCCGTCTTCGACCGCGGCGGGGAATTTGTCGATCGGGCCCATTCGGTAGTCGACCGTGATGACAATCGCGTTGAGCTCGCGCGCCATCTTCGCGCAGAAGGGCGCCTGCTCGAGGCAGCTTCCCATGACGAAGCCGCCTCCGTGGAAGTCGAGGATCACGGGGTAACCATCCGGGGGAGGTTCGGTGGATGGAACGAAGATGTATACGGGAATAGAATAAGTGCCTCGGGACGGTAGCTTTAGGACGAACGGATGCGGTCCTTCGTAGGATGTTATGCGCAGGACCTGGTCAGGTACCATGCGCGGGAGACGGAGGACAGCGGTCCGCCATTGTACATCGAGAGGCTCAGAGAAGAACTTCTTCAACGAACTCGACATGACGGTTGGGAACAAAGGTAAGTACCTTGCGCGCCGTGCGCACCGGGAACATGCACTGTCATGATGTCATCAATTGGCGTGCCACGTGCAATGGGCGCCTAACCAGCATAACCTCTTGTTCCTGTCCACCATGTCCTCCTCCTCCTCGACCCCGATCTCCAATATATTGACCGAGGCCTCTGACACACTCACCGAGGAGCGCTCAGGCTACGAATCAGACTCCGAAACCGACGAGTCTGACGTCGAGTCCGACATGGTAGTGCGGCTCAAAGACATCGCGACCATCGGCAAGCTCTACGTCGAGAAAGTGCTGGTTGCTTCCGATAAACCCAGATATCCTCACAAGGCCTCCCTGCTTGAGAAAATTTCGCTTTTGTAAGCAGTATATTCCTGCACGCAAGACGATCTCTAGAATCATACAGTCAGGGAGATATCACCAAACTTGAAGTCGATGTCATTGTGAACGCCGCAAACCGATCCCTCTTAGGTAGGTATATATATGAATATGTTGAAACGATACTGAACTGCGTTTTTCAATAGGTGGCGGAGGTGGTAAGTCCCAAGCTTGCCATCTGATGGATGGCCTCAAACGATTTGCCACCAGTCGACGGCGCTATTCATGCAGCTGCTGGAAGGGACCTCGTCAAAGAATGCAAGATTAGCTACTTTCAAGTCGTGAACTTGTTTCTTACCTTGAGAGACAGGCCGTACCCTTGGTGGCGCGGAAACTGGCGAATCTAAAATCACGAAGGGGTACAAGCTGCCTGCGTATGCATTGCGTTCGATAAACTCATCGAGGCCATTGCTGACGTTTTACCTTTGACCAGTAAGCATGTTATACACACCGTCGGCCCGATCTATCACTCTGGCGACGAGGAGAAGAACGAGAGGCTCCTACGCTCGTGCTATCGGTCTAGCCTTCAGCTCGCCGTGCAAAATAATTTGAAACACATCGTGAGTGTCTTCCTCTGCATACAAATGGATCGAAGTGCTAACAAATGCACAGGCTTTCTGCTCGGTCTCGACTGGCATCTATGGATATCCTATCATGGACGCTAGTAAGGAAACTCCCATCGTTCATGTTCGAGCAAACGAATAACGATACGCTTTGCAGCTCACGTCGCATTGGATGAAGTGAGGAAGTTTTACGACTCGGAGGACGGCGAGAAGGTAGGTACGAGGCGTTGCACTGAGTTCGATTGCTGAAGCAAAAGCGTCTCGTGAAGCTCGACCGCGCCATCTTTGTCGTTTGGAGCGACAAGGATAAGAGAGTATATGAGTAAGCTTCCACCCCCTGCGTCTCATATGGATGTCTGAATCGAGTCACTAGGAACCTCATCCCAGTGTACTTCCCGCCTGCCTAGTGCACGGTGGGAGACGATAGTCTTCAATGTATTGTCCACTGATTCGCCCGTCTTGACCTACTCATGCTCGAGTTCATCTACGTGCTCGATTACCTGCGTGTCCGTAGCCGAACTTCAACTCGCACGTTGCGGCTTGGCCATGAGAGCCTCATGCAGTGGGCCAGTGGCGCCAATCGACATCGAACATGGCATCAGCCGGTGCTCCACAGGTGATGATGTGATCCACCATCCAGCGCATGCATTCACCATCGCGGCATCCCAACACGTCCACGGTATAGCTTCAGTCCTCAGATGCCATACGCTGGTCGGGCATATACTCGCAGGATGCACGAAGTAAGCTATCCAAGGATTTGTGCAGCGAAGTCCGTTCGACTTGATGCTCGCGCTTCTCCATGTTCCACCAGCTCGGTAAATGCTTCACCAACTTCTCCAGACTTCGACAGCATCCGGAACGCGGGTGCTCGGTGACCATTCGCCGCGACCTGCAGGGTCGTTTGACTTACGCGCATCGACGCGCGCTGGGCGGGCAAGAAGAACACTTGCTTCGGACCACCTGCAGCTGCCCATCAGCGGGAACCCGCATACTCATGACACGCGTCGGACCCTGCACTGCCGATCAGCAATAAAAGACGGAACAGTACACCAAACCTGCCTTCTTCCCCTCCATCTTCCGCGCGCCCTATAGGCACATAGCTAACCACCCTCGTCCACCACTCGTTTCCCACTCACCTTCGTTCACCCTCGCCATGCAACTCACCCTCCTCGCCACCGCTCTGTCCATCGCCTCGGCCGCGCTCGCGGTCCCCTCGCCTCGCGGCACGTGCGACAACGGCTCGGCGTGCTACTCCGCCACGCACGGCTTCGAGTACAATGACAAGGAGCAGTACCAGCGCAACCTCATGGACGCGTGCACCGCGGACGAGTCCGTCACCGAGTGCGGCGACCTCTGGGGCAGCGCCGCCTGCGTTGCGGCCGCGATCAGCTTCAGCAAGATCTGGGTGGGTGTGGTGCGCTGCGCGCGCGAAGCGATGGTGTGGCTGACAGCTTACGTAGCCGGGCACCGTGCAAGGCCTCGCTGCGTGCAAGAACAACGAGATCGCCTGCCAGGCTGACCAGTTGGACTTGGATGAGAGTGTACGTATTTTTCTGCTTGGTGTATCACCCTTCGCTCACATTCAACCCCAGATCTTCTCGGACATCGTCGGCGGCGACGGTTCTGGTGCCATGACACAGCAGAACTACATCGACTTCATTTACGGCACGCTCAGCGCCATTGGGTCGACCGACTATCCCAGGTGAGAAGACTTGATTATCGAGTAGTCTACACAGGGGGGCTCACGACTCCTTCAGCAGCCCTGATAACCTGGTGGCGAATGGCTGGCAGCCGCTTGTTGACTGGACGGCGACGGGAGACTCGATCCCGTACTCCAACTTCAACGACTTCCTGCACTACGCGTAGAAGCCGGGACTAGCCTCGATTCCATTGGACTATCCACGCACCGCGCTCCCTACTCAAGATTCACCTACGGGAACAGACTTTAATTACTTGGATACCTTTTCTTGGCGTAGATATCGATGTCGCAGAGCGTTTGTGGTTCTTGAGCCGAGACTGAGTTTGCAGTGGGCGCCTGGAGGTACGAGATGCCCGTGGCTGCCCACTTCGGGTGCCCAGGCTGGACATCTGGCACGAGGGCGACGTGCATTGAGCTCCCAACCGAGAATCAATGCTGGTTGCGTATGCAGGCTTTAGTACCGAACTTCAAGCTTATCCATTGCGGTAAGTATAGAAATCATGTTCTCGGGTTGGTAAGGTTCGAGTTGGTCTTGGGACTTCTCTCGTCGAATCTAAGCTCGAGTCAGTCACCAGCGGCTGTAGATCTCAATCGACAGACTGGGGACTAGAGAATCATGAGCAGCTGGCATACCGACCTCTGAGGAGTTTCCGCCCAGGTGTGGAGTAGTCCTTAGGAGCTTGCGCTGCACGCTGGGCTGGGCGTTCACCCCTCTGGTGAGCTTCCAGCAGGACGCGAGTTGACGAGGAAGGCGCGCGTACTTCTTTTCTTCCCATATTGCATCGTCTAGGACTACGTTGAGCGCCGCCAGCTGAGGCCTTTATGTATATTGGTCGCTTAAGAGGCTTCCAGACGCCTAAGGCCCTCGGCGACACTGCACCGGGCTGACAGCGAAAAAGCGACACAATGCGCAGATTGGCGTCGGTGGGATATGACAGGATAGTGGTTGTGCGAGGCGCGATGCGGAACACTGCGTCAAAATAACGAATGCGAGCAAGAAGATTGAGAATGGAGGGGTGGATGCGAGGGAAAGGAAGCGAGGGAGGGTGAAGGAGGTGGAGGAGAGGTAATTGGGGATAGCATGCGTATCCCGATCGCTAAGTATGAAATGGTGCAGACATTTGCACAAGCCGCATGTTGGATCGTCGTACCCGGGTAGAACTTGGAAAACAATAACGATCGTTCCCTTATCCGGAAGAGAGATGGTGCAATCGGGAGGGAAGTTGTCTTCGCGAGTGTGTAGATTGCAGAGGCTACCAGATTGCCAGTGTGTCGAAGACCTCGCCACAGCACAGTTCATCACAGCGCGAAGTCCTTTTCTCTTTCCACATCGATCATCGGCGCGAACTGCCTTCCGGATTCGGCGTGCGATGATGGGATGGGATGAGACAAGGACTTGATGCCGGAGAAAGGGCTGCGACCGATGGCACTTCGAGCACAGCGCAGACGTAGACAATACGGCGGTGAATGCTAGTCAAGGACTGAGTTGGGGGCCTGCAACCTGCGATAGAGTATCGGGAGTGTCACAGCAGCGCTGGAAAGCGGGAGAGGTACAGATGCTGTAGATGCGCAGCTTGCCGGAGTAATCGCCGACAAGTTATTGTAGAGGAGTCTAGTTCCCGAGTAGGGTCACCCAAGTAGAGTGGGAATTACCCCTGCGTTGACAGATGGGGAGGATGATGGTGGTTGAAGATAACAAGGGCTTGTGCACGTGGTAATAACATCACTTCATAGGTATTGTTTTACCACGTGCGCGCCGAAGGCAGCTGCCGCTTGACCACGACTTCCATCTCTCCTTTGTTCTCCTCCTCGCGCTCCTCCGCTGCCCTCTCGCGCTACCCAAATCTCTCCTGTGCACTACCTGGCAACTGTAGGCGAGCTATGGGCGGGTGCGCGTCAAAGCCCGTGGACCTGGAAGCGAAAGCCCGGTCCGACGACATCGACAAGATGATTGAGGAGGATGGGAAACGGCTCAAGAAGGAGTGCAAGATTCTGCTGCTCGGTGCGTGCTCAGCTGCAGCCCTCGCGCCGTAGCTCACCGCGCGCCGCAGGCTCCGGCGAGTCCGGCAAGTCGACCATCGTCAAGCAAATGAAGATCATCCACCAGGACGGCTTCAGCCAGGACGAGCTCATCGCCTTCCGCCCCATCATCCACCGCAACGTCCTCGACTCGGCGAAAGCCATCCTCGTCCACATGAAGAAGCTCAGCGTCGAGTGCGAGGACTTCAAGAACCGAGTGCGTGCGAACCGCTGTCGTTCTGGGCGCGCCTGCTGACGTGCCCGCCGTCCGCGCTGCAGCCCTTGCAGGACAAGATCCTCGACTACCAGCTCGACGAGACGACGAACCTCACCATCTCCCCCGACATTGCCGAAGCCATAGACGCCTTCTGGAAGGACCCGGCCGTCACCCGAATCATTGACGAGCAAACTAGCCATTTCTATCTCATGGACAGCGCGACCTAGTACGTGCAAGCGGCCGTGTTGGTCCTGAACACTAACACGACTCCCTCCAGCTTCTTCACGGAAGTCCTACGCATTGGCGAGCCCAACTACATCCCCACCGAGACGGACGTGCTCCGCGCACGAGCCAAGACGACAAGTATCACCGAGACGCGCTTTACGATGGGGCCATTATCGTGAGTACCCCACGCCCTCCGCAACTCCCCGCCAGCTGAATGCCATTCTTCCCAGAATACACATGTTCGACGTCGGCGGCCAGCGCTCAGAGCGGAAGAAGTGGATACACTGCTTCGAAAGCGTAACCTCCATCATCTTCTGTACCGCCCTGAGTGAATACGACCAGTCGTTGCTGGAGGAGAAGAACCAGGTGCGCTTGTGTGATGCTGCCTTGTCTGGGGATTGTCGTGTTCATTCCCGACGCAGAACCGGATGGCGGAGTCCCTCGTGTTATTTGAGTCAATAATCAACTCAAGATGGTTTTTGCGAACATCTATCATTATCTTCCTGAATAAGATCGATGTCTTCAAGTTGAAGGTGCACAAGGTGTGTTGTTGAGGCATCTATACTCCCGAGTTCACAGCTTATGCTGCTCTCTTTAGGTTCCACTGGAGCGCTACTTCCCGGAATACACCGGCGGCAAGGACCCGAACAAGGCGGCGAAGTTCATCCTGTGGAAGTTTATGCAGGCGAATCGCGCGGGGCTGAGCGTGTATCCACAGTGAGTCTAATGAGTCGCATATTCATAAATCAGCGTCGCTAATACACATCCAGCTTAACACAAGCAACCGACACGAGCAATATTCGTCTGGTGTTCGCTGCGGTCAAGGAGACAATACTACAAAACGCGCTGAAGGACTCAGGCATTCTATGACCTCGAGGGGAGGGTCTCTGGGCGACGCCAGAAACTCCGAACGACGCCTCCGGCCTCGCCGGCCACGACATCTCCTGCGACGGCATGCATGGCACGAATCACCCTTAGACATTCGCATCGTCATTCCTTCGTTTTCGCGCGGGGCGCCCTCTTACGCCTTTCACCGCGGTGGGAGTACACCAATCCCGCCGCTGTTGTATTTTTTATTACGCCCCTCCCCCTCATGCCATGCCCCGCGTCGTATTACGACCCGCCGCGCCCACCCCAATCATGACCCTGCCTCAACGCACATTTTCTACCTTATCCCCTGCACACACTATATATAATGCATTCATGATTACCTGTAGCCTTGTTTCATGCCTCCCTCGCTTTACCACCTTGTCTTCGCTCCGTCGTCGCCTTCCTTCCTCCGCTCCTCTACCTTCGCCCCTCCCACCTCGTCACTCCATGGCGCCATCGACCACCACCTCTTCATCTTCGCAACATTTGGACCCTTCTCCACCCTCGGCGTCTTGGTTCGCTTACGTCTGCGGAAATCTGTATATAATCCTGGGTTTTCTGTAATAGTATTGGTTCCTCCCTATAGATGAGGCGGGGGCATGCCAGCATATCCGACCTCGAGGACGTCGAGCCCAGGTTCAATGGGGAAGTGGGATGCGCGTGGTTCCTGCCCTCAGTGCCGTACAAGTGTAGGATTGGGTCCGCAGAAGGTGCGGGGATCTGAACAGAGTGGACAAGGACGGAGCAATCAGGTTCGACAGAGGGTGGTGTCGTGTCGGTCAAAATCGAGAGCGATCTCGGAAGAAAGCATCTTGGTAGGACGCCGACATGGGAGAGACGTCGACATGTCTAGATCTGCGGCAGATTTGATGTAGTATACGCGTTGCTTTGTTGACTAGCAGGAGTTGGACAGCAATTAGGCCGTGTCGGCTAAGTCGCAAGTGTCCACCGGAAGTCCTCCGATGATGGAAAGAAACAAGGCCGACAAATCGAGAACAATGGCCAGCGCGTGGAGGTTGCGCAGCACATTCGCGCCACAACGCCACATATTCCTGGCACCCGTCATGATGCTTCGCCCCACCGCTTGCCAGAGTCTTCCGCGCGCCCTCGCGACGTCCCTTTCTCTCTTTCTTCTCTCTTGCTTCCATCGCGCTCGCCATCTGTACTATTAAGCACCGCTATACTATTCACCGAGGGCCCAATACACGGCCCGGTACCTACCCACGCGTCTCAACCTCCGATTCACGACGGGCAGTGCGCTCAGCAATTCTCACGAACTTGACCGCAACGACTACCGAGCCGCTTAGAGGGTTCAGTTGCACTCAACCACAGGCTTCTATACAGGTGCGTGTTCTTCGACGGCTAGCGTAGCGTCGTCGGTAGCTGACTAGATCGCAGGCTAGCACATACATCAGTTCTCTCCTTCCGAGCCTCGTAACACGACCGTCATGCTCGCCCCCATCGCTTTCGCCCTCATGGGCTCCATCCATGCTGCGTCTGCTGCCCAGCCAGGCCTCTCCCGACGAGACGATGTGCCGTCCGAGGGCTACTACAACCCGAAGGACAATGGCGGCGCGATGCTCACGGTGTGTGGCTACCGGATGCGCTCGATCGAATATAAACTGACGTATACCCTCAGCAAGTCGATGGCACGTACCCTGAAGGCTTGGGGGAGCCGCTCAACATGATCATCTCTGCCAACTCGGATGACGATGTCCTCGTTGACCAGGAGGAGAATGGCGGAATGCGGGGTTACTTCGCGTGCGTGTCTTCCTTGGATTCCCCTTATCATCCCCGCACTCCCCTTCACATATACACATCGAGCTTAATGTTCTGACTGGTGCATACAGCTCTATAGGTTTCGGTGGTGAATGCCTGGGTCAAGTAGACACCCTCGTACAGCGCGCCAATCTCGGGGACGGAGACGGCTACTGTGAGTTGCTTCACTCTGTTCCTCCTTCAGCCGTCCTAACCGCATCCCAGCCAACCAGACAGGTCTTTTGCGCTGGGACTACGGCGACCCGAACTTCGGGACGTGCAAGGAGTCCGTCAACGGCGGCAACCACTTCCGTTACTGGGTCCAGAACGGCACGGACGAGAACAGTGGGGCCTACTTCCTTGCAGCATCCTACGAGAAGTCGGCGAAGGAGAGCCACGACATCGTCGTCAATGGCTACAACATCGCTCGGTGCGTCCCCGTCTCCCCTCACCCTCTTTTTATATCCCCCTCCCTTACCACTTACTGACGCTCAATCCCCCATCCCAGCGACCAAATCGTCGGTAACATCACCGGCTCCGCCATCGACACCTCGTCTCTCTCCGACGGGGCAACGTACTCCGGCTCGACCTCGTACAACGGGTACAAGTACCAGACGGACGTGCAGTACAAAAGCGGCCTGCTCGATGCGACGAGCGACGGGATCAACCACTACCAGAGCGTGCCCGAGGACGGGCAGCCGGCGATTGACGGCCTCGTCGCGGTGCTGACGGTGAAGATCACGGAGCGGGGGGCGACATCAGAGGACAGGTGAGTCCGTTCTGATTTGGAGGGTGCATGGTGGGTACTGATGACTTTCGCAGTAACGCGGCTTTGTCCTTGCGCTTTTCGTTCTCCGCCGCGGCGGTGACTTTGCTAGCGTTTGGCGCCGTTGCGCTGTGCTTGTGATCACCTGGGCGCTTCTTCGTGAACGCTCGGTGTCCTTCGCAATTCCACAGCCGCTTCGGCCGTGTCCACTAGACCCCCGTGCACAAGATATTTAATAGGATAGATGGCACAGCGTCGCCCATACCCACCAAGACTCGCTACTACCAATGGACACCTACTATATCTACGGACTATCTACCCCCTACGTAGCAGGCAAATCTACCACTCATGGTGAAGGACTGCCTTCTATCTGCTACACCAGTAGGGCACCACTACTACCGCTGTATAGGGCAGCACGTACACCGCAGCATGAAGGACTGCGTCGAGACGCTTTGCTACCGTATGTACAACGTTGCTCTATACCTACGTTCTTTGCTGTGCATGCGTTCACGCCCCCTTCACTGCGAACTCGAGAGAGAGAGAGAGAGAGAAAGCAAAGCAGGTAGCGAGTGTAGCAGAGCAAGGTGAGTGATGCGGAGCAGGGCAAGTGGTGCAGAGCGGGGCAGTGCTGCAGAGCAGGGTTACCGCAATTGCGGGGGAGTTATTCCGCTCCCATTCCACTTCCACTTCCACTGCCACTACCATGATCAGTTCGGTCTTCTGTCCAGACGATGCAGATTTGGCCAGGACTTGAACGATGCAGAGTAGGTAGCGACAGGGACATGCGTAATGACACATACGAGGACAGGCAACTATTAGGCCGACATGACAAAACTAGATGAGGATACGATAGCAAGTACATAGAGAGCGAATCCACCAGAAAGAACGCATACGGATACGGGAAGCGCAGTTTAAGGAGGGGCTATGAATCAACGAACCCATTCGAGCCAAGAGGAATGCCGCGACTTCATTCGAGCAAGAAGAACCTCGGCACCGACTCATTCAGCCTCCGCATGCGTGCCCAGAGGAGCGAATCGTGCACATCGAAGCAGGCATCGTCGCAGAGGCTGTCTCTAAACACATGGTCGTCCAGCATCATCTTCATCTCGCGGCTGATCCAGAAGGTCCACGGCGTCGTCGCGTCCGGCGCGAGCTTAGCGCGCCAGTAGGCAGCGATGCGGGACGCGCAGGCGGGGCAGGGGCGAAGACCTTGTGTGGTAGTGCCCTGCGTTCGTCCCTGTGTGGACACAGCCGGGCTGGCGGCATCAACGTCGGCACACAGGTCGACGTCGGGGTCGTAGAGCGGGTTGACCAGTATGTTCGCGAGGAATTCTTGGACGGCCTCGCGCCCCGCGATGAGCCGGCGGAGGTCTGAGGGAGAGATGGCGAGGTGGTTGGTCCAGCCGTCGGCGCCGGTGCTCCAGCGCTGGACGGAGAGGGCGTAGAAGGCGGAGGGGAGGATCTCGGGGACATTGCATTCGCGGGCGAGGGTGATGGCTTCTGGTATGGGCGTTAGTTAGAGGGAGTGGAGAAGGAAGGATGGGGTATGTGAATAATAGATGTGGAGGAAGCGGTCCTGCGCGCATACACGCACCTGCGGCGTTTGGGAGGCAGTTGAGATCCATGTCAAATATCGTCTCCGGCCATATCGTGCGCAGAGAGGTCACAACTGCCTCTCTGAGGTCCGCGATCGCATATTTGGTGCTTATGCGCAGGGCTCCTTTAAGGACTGGCCAATGTTGCGCGCGGCCATACGCCACACCTCTAAGAGGACATTCGATGAGCGGAAACCTCCTTCGTCGAAGAGACATAGCACACGCACTCTTTCTCGTATAGCCACAGCAGGGTGGCATCCCAATCCTCCACCTCATCTCCGAAGACCGGTACCAAGGGACAGCCATCCACTCGCTCCGCGTCGACCGGTTGCGGGAACTCAAACATGTCGGCGAAGACGGTGGCACGCGCGAGCCGCTCCTTATGCACCTTGAAGTACGTGTCCTTCACGCGCAGCACCACATCCGCGCCGGGGAACTCGCGCATGAATGTGGGCCTCCAGGTCGGGAGGACATCGCTCGTCGTGAGCTGCTCATGATCGGCGACGGTGCATCGCGAATTCCGCTTGCATAGGCGACGACGCTTGCGCAGGGGCATAAACTCATCGTCGAGGTCGGCAGAGGAGTACGAGTCGGCGAAGACGACGACCATCTCGGATGTTGGTGAGGATCGAGAGCAAGAGTCCGCCATCGCATGGACCCTGGCCATGCCGCGCATGTTCGCGATCACGTGAAGATATGCGCGTCGCGTGACTTGCGTCATTGTCTTTGCAAAGTGCAGAAGGGGTTACTGGCTTCGGCACTTGCCGACAAGGTTGAAGGGGCTACAGTGGACGCCTATGTTTGTCTGGATGCCCCGACTTATGCCTCCCTCATGCATGACTCAACGTTACTTCCCTCGTCCGTGGAGTTTTCTTGGCTTCCTTGTTTCGCGCAGAGATGTCAGCGCCTCCATTCAACATATGTACTAGGGGGGCAGACATAAAGAAGACGTGTACTGTATACGCTTTTCGTGGTCATATCGCACCAAATCACACTTCCTCCCTCCAATCAGGAGCTTCGGGGTCTATCCAGGGTTATTAGGTGTACAAGTCAAGGGACATAAGAGTCGGGTGACTAGTGACTTCCTCGCTATAGACAGGGTAGGTATAGTCTGACAAGCAAGCGACATCCCAGGTATAGACTAGGGCAGGTCAGACAAAGAGGCGCTTGAATGAAGGATCAGATCTAGAGACAGATGCGAGGAGAGGCTAGCTGGTTGGGGAAGGAAGCACCCTGTGCTAGTGAAGTACGAACCATCAGGTGAAAGCTTACGGCGCCCTACCGATGAACGCGCACCGTACCCGCCCGACGCGAACGACCGCGGGACAGGACCGCAAAGGCCGGAATAGCAGCGGCATTGCACCACAGCGACCGCAAGACTGCACCGCAATGACCGCAGGCCGCTGTTGACTGAACTGTCGGTCGCGGACGACCGCAGAGGTAGTAGTTATCGGAATGCGCTCCAAGGTCCGTGATGCGAGCGATGGGCATGCTGTTCTTGCCCAGTCCTCCGCCCCTGCCCATCTCCCTCCTCCACCTCCCCACACTCTCCTCCACCTCCCTACTCTCTCGTCCACCTCCCCACTCCCTCCCTCCTCTCCCATCCCACCACACACATCCTAATCATTCTGAACCGCACACCAGTCCACTGTCCCCGCAGGCCCGTATCTCTCTTCCAGCCACTCATTGGCCTTCTTGAAGTGGCCGTTGCCGACGAAGCCGGGACCGGACGATTGGGCGAGTGGGGAGGGGTGCTGGATATAGGGATGAGGGGAGGGTGGAGAGGAAGGGGGAGGGGAAAGGGAAGGTAGGGGAAGGAAAGTATCAACATCATGCACCACTTGTGTCAAAATAGATTGGACGTACCGGACAGGTTAGAATTAGGTGTCGCTTCTGTGAAACGAACGATTGTTAGCTCATTCTATGTATCCCGGACGGAACTCGATGTCTTGACGCTAGGAAGACACCCAGAGGCGACTCTGAGAGCCCTCAGCGTAGACACCGTAAAGATACGCACCTTATCCAGCTTCGCTACCCGCCCTTCGGCCGCTCTACCCCAAGCCAGGAAGACAACACCGCGACCGACGCCAGAGGGCTTGCCCGTAGACGGATCGGGGAGGTTTGCGCCGCCGTATCTGAGCGGATGTCAGCGAGAAGTCTTCCAATGACAGAACGAAGGCCATAAGACTTTGACAAGAAGGAAAGGAAACAGTCGTAACAAACAAGAAGGAAAAGACAGTCGGCGCTGAACGAAAAGGAACGGAAAATCAATGACGGCAACTCACTTGTCCACCGCCTCAATAACCTTCTCCGTAAACGTCTCCCACCCGCGCTTCGCGTGCGAGTTTGCCTTCTCGGCGCGCACCGTGAGCGCGGCATTGAGCAGGAGCACGCCCTGGTCGGCCCACGCGCCGAGGTAGCCGTGCTTCGGCGCCTTGAAGTTGTCCTCGCCGTATTCGTTGGTGAGTTCGGTGTAGATCTGAGGTGGGGGTTAGATAGGTGGTGCGACGTTTTGATTGTAGATTGTGCGAGGTCCACGAGCGAAGAAGTATCAGGGAAGAAGTATGACGAACGAGCTACGACCTACATTCCTGAGCGATGGTGGCGTCCGGACGCCCTTGCGCACGGAGAAGCAGAGGCCATGGGCCTGGCCGGGACCGTGGTAGGGGTCCTGGCCGAGAATGACGACCTTGACGCGCCCCAGGGGTGTGTGGGACCAGGAGTAGATGTCGCGCGCTTTGAAGGACGTTAAAGTCAGAAGGGAAGTCGCTGGAGGAAAGCGGGAGACGTACGAGGTGGGTAGACTTTGAGGGGCGTGGGGGTGTCGTCGGGGCCGTGGACACCCTCTTCCCAGAGGTAGCGCTTCAGGGCAATGAAGTATGGCTTCTTGATTTCATCTTGAAGGATTTTGAGCCTGAAGGAGCATTTGTCGGTGTTAGGGATTACTTGCCAACTAACAGTCTACTCACCAAGTCTTGTTCATGCACTCAATCTCGAGCTTGAGCAGCCTCTTCTGCTCGTCGTTCAACGAATCTACAAATGCAGACACGGAGAAGGGAATAGAATTGAGCGTCTGGACACCAGAAAGAGCCTTGGTAGGGCTGCAAGTGACCGAACTGGAGGATGCGCTGGCAGCCAGCTTGGGCTTCTTCAGCGCAGGCTCTGCCGTGCCATCTTTCTTTGCCGGAGGAGCGAAGAAGCTGTCCATGAGAGTGCGCTGGCGTTTGAGTGTCGTTGTGGACGTCTGCTGTTTGGATTTGGTTCCGCTGCCAGACGCGTCTGGCTTGGAAGTACGCGTCGTGGACTTGGCTTCGATGTCTTCGAGGAAGACGGTCGTGTTCTCGTCCGCCATCGTGCTAGTAGAGTGGTAGGAGTAGGTTGTGCGGGTATAATGGTTGAGAACAAGAGACTTGGCGCGCGCCATCCGACGGGCGCTAATTACGGCACGCGTCGTAGATGGCGCCGCGTAACAGGCACAAACAACACGTCGGCGCGCTTATGCAGGGCGCATGTCGGGCCGGACGAGCCTGCTAGAAACCTCCATCGCCGCCCGACTTTCTGCGGTTCGCAAAACTGAGGAAACCAACAAACTGGCCCGCTCAACCTCATCCCCTTCTCCTCCCCCCGCAAGACATGCGCGAGAGAAGAGCAGGCCACGACCATTGACCAATGGGCGTACACCACGAGAACGGCGGGCTCGCAATGGCACCACGAACGACTGGAGTACGAGCTACCATGCGGGGTCCTCGGGGTGTGTATCCCCCTTCGCATGATCTGAGCACCTCACTGACATTCGCAGCTCCGTCTCGCAAACGAGTTCGGATGATGAATCCGATCTGGACATGCCTAGCACCTTCCGAGGCCGCTCTGCATCGCAGAGCACCATTCGGCCCCGCACACGCAACTTGTCCTCCAAAGCGTCACCCTCTAGCATCCATCACTCACACTCACGCCCACCCTCAATCTCCATCTCCGAAGAGTCCACCAGGGAAGATGCACCGAGCCCGCGTACCTCCTTCATGCGTGCCCGATCGCCACGACCTACCACGTCCGCACGAAGAGCAACCCGCATCAGTAGACGACCTATTCTGCTCCCCTTTGCCGTCCTTCCCACTGCCTTTCAGTGCTCCTGTCATATCCCCTTCACCCGCAAAACCTTGACATTCTTCATGGACTCGAGGCAGCTCGCTGAATCCGTCCTCCTCCTCGGCACTTTGCTCTATGCGACTCTCAAGATCAAAACTGCACCTGACCCCATAGACGTGCGCTTTGATACTGCGGACTATTTAACGTGGACTTGCACAGGTCCATCTAATCCCTTTCACTCGTGGGACGATGCTGATGTGGCATCACAGAATTACTCGTCCTAATATGCGGCTGCATAGCGTACATGATTTGGACACACACTACACTTGCTGGACCTTCTGTGGAAGGGGATACCGACCCCACCTCGCCCTCAGCAGCCTCACCTCTAACCCGGACAAGCTTCGAAGGCCCGGGACGCGGGCTCGCGCAACGACCATGGGCACCGCGCCTCCCTGAACGCTCCAAAGCAGACTTCGGTTTCATCTTCATGTCTGTGCCGAAGAATTATCGGTACGAAGCGCGCCATATCCGCCATACCTCGCTCAACCCGACTTAGGGACTCCTTAGATGACGGCGTCCTCACCGGCCTCCTTTTCGGACCGCTCATAGCGACGTCCTTGCTTTACATATCCTTGCGCTCGGCCTCCGACCCCGCGACCGCCGCGAATCCGCTGCCAGCGGCGTGGCGGATAGAACCCCCAGCCACGCTGGGTAACGGGCTCGACGCGTACTCCGTCTCGGAGGCCATTCTGTTGTCCCGCCTGAGCGTCGTTGACCTCGCTACCTTGTGCTCCTTCATCCATCTACTGCACGTATGCGGTTCGTGGTGGTGGGAAAGCCGGTTCACAGTCGGCGGTACTCCATCCCCGGATGGCGAGAGGCGCTCAGTCCCCCGAAGCGAAGGGCGACGTGGCTGGTACTATGTACTGTTCACCGTGGCGACCACACTGCTTGCCTTCGTTTTGAGGATCGCCTTCCCGTACTTTGGGTGCGGCATTTGGCAAAGTTCGCATCGCGTTCTCTTCTCGCGGCCCATCTTGAGCTCATCCGCTGAGTAGACCTCAACATATTGGAGGCCGTGGTAGCTGCGTTGTTTTACCAGTTTGCGCAGTATGTCGTTATCCGACTCGCGCACCGTGGCTTCACGCTGGGCGAGACCGGACTCGTATGCTTCGGTGGTACATCCCTGCTCATGGAGCTGCTCAACGTCACCATAGCACGCGTGCGTACATCCGAATACCCCTTCTATGCCTTGAAATCACCCATTAACCCCTCTACCCAGATCTGGCCCGTCACCACCACCTACATCAAGACCTACCGGCTGCCCACGCCCCTTCTCGTCTTCCAAATCGCCCTCGTAGGCGGCTCCTTCCTCGTTGGCTTCGCCCTCGCCCCCTTCCTTGTACTCTCCCGCCACATCGCGCGCCGCCCCGTTCGCCGCCTGCGCCACCCCGAGGAGAAGAACCGGCAGCGGCGCTTCCTCGCCCTCGGCTTCTATATCGGCGCCTTCCTCATCGTCTTCGGGCTCATCGGCGTGTGGGCACGGTGGTGCCTGGGCAAGCGCGATCCCTGGGTGTGGGCCGCGTTCTATCTGTTGGAGGGACGAAGACCGTGGAGCAGACCTGCGCTGCTGGCGTATTGGGGCGTGCTGGGGCTGTTGAGCGTGGCGGGGTGGAACCGGCAGCTGGCGCGGTCGAGGAGGTATCGGAGCATGAACGAAGCGCTGTCGGTGCCCGGGGCGGGCGGGGTGGAGCGAGAGGCTATTGCGCCGCCGAGTGGGCGGGACACGTCGGGGACGGCGAGCGGGGGGGAGGCGGTGCCGTCGGTCGCGCCGAGTCTGAACCAGATCGGCCTTTTCCCGAACGTGGCGCAGTTGACGCAGCTGCCGAACGGCGCGTCGAGCGTGGCGACGGATATCCTGGACGCAGCGGACAAGCACGTGCCAACGCTGAGGCTGAACGCGCGGAGGAAGTTCTTCCACGCGCTCGCGGTCGTGATGTTCGTGCCGGGGATTGCGCTGGATGTGGGTGATGATCCTTTCCGCTGTGTAACATTGACGCTGACGGTGTGCTAATCAGCCCGCTTTCACGCACCTCGCGTTCAACGTCGCCTTCGCGCTGTTCATCTTCGCGGAATACGTGCGCTACTTTGCATTGTATCCGTTCGGGGCGTCGGTGCACCTCTTCATGAACGAGTTCCTGGATAGCAAGGATAGCGGGACGGCGATCCTGAGCCACTTTTATCTGCTCACTGGCTGTGCGAATGCGCTGTGGTTCGAAGCGTGCGTTGGCTATCCGTCTGCGTCGATTGGGATTAGTGGACTGAATTGATTCGGACAGGCCGTCGCAGCTCATCTCGTTCACGGGCGTGCTGGTGTTGGGGATTGGGGATGCCCTGGTAAGTGGCCTCTCATCGAGTCGGCATTTGCGCTTAGTAACATCGGCACGCAGGCATCGATCGTTGGCAAGCGTATCGGAATCCACCGCTGGACACCCCTCACGCCGAAGACGACCGAGGGTACGGCCGCGTTTGCATCCTCCGTCGTCCTCGCTGCATGGCTGCTTCGGCTCCTAGGGATTGCAGAGCCTTTCTCGGTGAGCATTTCTCCGCCAACTCCTACGATGCATCCACCGACATGGTCCTCCCAGACCGTACGCTACACCATCATCGCCGCCATCTCTGCGGTCCTGGAGGCGCTATCGGACCAAAACGATAACCTGACGCTCCCGTTATATATGTGGAGCTTGTTGGTGTTGAGCGATGTGTGAGTGCTTGTAATGGGATTGGGCAGGAGGGACAAACGAGATGGTCATGGACATTACCTATCACTGTTCTGACTATGAGAAAGTGTGTAGCAATTGGTATACTAGATATAATGGGTATAATAGGTGTACAAGAGGGGTCTCGGCATCGCCAAGTTGCATACTTATCCCCTTGTGAGCTTGTGATTGAGGTTGGCTTCACCGCGGATGAACGTGCCGACCAACAGAAGACTGATATCCAAGTGGGGTGGGACGGGGGGGGGGGCAGCCGTGTAAAGGCGCAGGTAGAAGAGAGAACTAAAGCCATGCTCGTCAAAAAGGAAAGACGGCAAAGATGAGAGAGAATGGGTAGGCGGGGATGGTTGAGGTCCTCTGATGGTGGCGGGCCCGATCGCCCTTGCGCAGACTGCGCCGATCCCTTTCGTCCGTACTCAATCTATTCGAGACCTTCCTCAATGCAACGACCTCTACACCTTGACTGCGCAGTACCCACTCTACTCGAGTACATCATCGGCCACCACTCATCTCATTGCCGCGGGGTCTCCGCTAGCGTCGCCGCAGGGTTTCTACTTCACTAGCACATGGCGCCTCCTTCCCCAACCAGCTAGCCTCCCCTCAAATCTGCTTCTAGCTCTGATCCTTCATTCGGCGCCTCTTTGCCTGACCTGCCCTAGTCTATACCCGGCAGGGCCAGGCGTATACCGTTCTCTCCGGTCTAATGACGATGTTACTAATTACTGATGAACTTCTTATACGTCCACTGACCGAGACTACCCCGTGGCCCTAGGCCTGCACAGAGCCCGAGCTTTTGAGTGGACGAACGAAGTATAAGTGTGTGATATGACAGTCCAAGGCGTACTATACGTCTTTCCTCACCATGGCTGACTTCATGTCATTGTACGTCTGCGTTGCAAGGGGAAGGGTAAGGGTTTGCAAGGAGCGGAAGACATGATGCGTGACGGGCAGGCTGTCACATTCAAAGGCGTTGGGCGGACAAATAAAGGCGCGCCACCGGTACCGGCGGGAGAATCTGGAAGTGCTTCTTCGGGCAGAACACACTTCTGGCGCGGACAGTTCCTGTCAGAAAGTCATGATCACAGAAAGTGATCTTGGCAGAAACTGTAGAGTACAGTGGCGCGTCCTGTACGGCTCATCTGAATGCGTTGAGCGTCACTTTGCTTAGGTAAGACTTGCGCTGGGAACCCCGGCGACGGCCGAAGATCGCCGCCGCATCCCCTCAACTTCCTGCCATATGTAGGTGTGAAGAGCAAGCAGAGAACAAAAGGTCACCTCGGGACGATATTCGTAATCAACATCGTTCCCGTGTCGATGATGATATACAAGAGGATAGTTTCCGAGTGACTCAGCTATCAGTGTACCTTTGCGGATGGATGCCGAGTCTTCCCCAGTTATTCAGGCTCCTATTGGCGCCTCGGGGTCTCCGTTTCGGTGTTGTCTACATGACTTGGAATTTTTGCAGCCTTGCCGTGCGTCGTACGCGGTCCCAAGCCGTCCGCAAAGTGCGCGAGCTACCCGAGTAGGTCTTCCCCTATACACCCCCGCCGTACGGCATGTCGCGGCGCTCTACCAACTCAACTGCGTTCCGTGGACTCTGAAGGAGGTCATGTGTCGGCTCGGCTTTATGTGGGGCTACGGATCCTTTGCGCGTCAATCATATAAGAGCTCGCGGGAGACTTTCATGCAAGGTTCCCTTGAATTATACTCTCGGTCTCCTCTATATACCAACGAATAGCATGGCAGCCAGCTACCCCAAGCGCCATCTCGGCAGGAATGGACCTCTGGTCAGCGCCATTGGATTCGGTGCAATGGGTAGGCTAGTTCTTTGCCTCAAAACCCACCTAACATCTTGGTAGGTGCCGGTGTGACCAAGCCCAGCGAGTCCGGCTTCGACTTCTACGGTGTCACCAACGAGGAAGAGGTGTTCGCCACCCTGTCCCGCGCTGCCGACCTCGGTGTCACCTTCTGGGATACCTCTGACTTCTACGGTGACAGTACGCATCTGATGTTCACCTTTTCCCTTACAAGTACCTTGCTCAACATGCCATCCCTCTAGGCGAAGTCAGCATCGGTAAGTGATTCGTCAAGACAGGCCGACGCGACGAGATCTTCCTTGCCACCAAGTTTGGCTGCTGCGACTTCTCGCCGAGCGCGACCGAGTTCTTCAAGCCGAACAGCAAGCCAGACTACGTCCGCGAGCGGGTGGAGACGGCGCTCAAGCGCCTGCAGACGGACCGCATCGATCTCTTCTACCAGCACCGCGTCGACCCGGAGGTGCCCATCGAGGTCGTGCTCGAGACGCTGCGCCCCTATGTCGAAAAGGGAACCGTCAAGTACATCGGCCTGAGTGAGTGCTCCGCGAACGTCCTTCGCAGGGCGCGCGGCGTCGCGGGTATTGGAGAGAAGGTCATCGCGGCCCAGATGGAGCTCAGCCCATTCGAGTTGTTCATCGTGCAGAACGGGTTCTTGGACGCGGCGCGCGAGCTCGGGGTCGGGATTGTCGCGTACTCGCCGTTGGGACGGGGCATGATCACTGGGAAGTGAGTGGCTCCTGTGGCATTCGCGCATCCGGGAGTGCAAACTGACTATGGCTACGCAGGTACCGCTCCCTCGACGATTTCGAGCCGGGCGACATGCGTCGGGCAATGCCGCGCTTCCAAGAGGAGAACTTCGCGAAGAACCTCGTGCTCGTCGATGCTTTCAAGACCATTGCAGACAAGTATAAGGCAACCTCTGCTCAGATCTGCCTCGCATGGCTGCTCGCAGCGTATCCTGACAGTGAGTGAAGAATCACGGCGCCGACGATGCAAGATCTAGGTTAACACATACGTGCAGGTATTCCTATCCCCGGTAGCCGCAATCCCACGCGGCTGGAAGAGAACGCCAAGGCAGCGCATATCCAGCTCACGGCGGACGATCTGGCGACGCTGACGGATCTGGTGAAGAAGGCTGAGGTCTCAGGCGGGAGATATCCCTCTGCGCACGATCCTTCGAATTTCGCTGACTGCATCACGCTGGCAGAGTGGGAGGCACGTAGATGAGGAACTCAGGAATTTCTGTACGATTGAACAGAGCATGTACGCATATCGGGTGTCATCTGTACGTCTGACAATCGAAGTCCTGGAATCGCAATCAGTGGCGCGTTACTTCAGCCTTGACACTTGAATGAGTAACGCGGGGACGTCCAAGAACGGTTCATTCTGGGTGTTGGCTATGCTGGTAGTGCTGCTGGATATTTCGTAGATGTCTTGAGTCGAGGGAGACGTTGCTCAGCCTGAGGTTGCACACTATCTTCTCGGCAGGGAGCCAGGCACGACGCACACCTCTCCTGCGAGGCCATGGAGCGAGAGGGAGAGCGTCCGAAGGTTAACTCGTTCCTCCTGCGCAAGCATCTCCACTGGTAGTGAAGAAAGATCCTGTCGCCCAATCGCTATAGAGTTGTGCTGACGTGGATAAGAGGGATCCGCGAACTTCCACAACGGCCTCATCCTGAGAAGGTCATGTCCCCGTTTAGTGATGCTCGACCGATGCAACGTCTACCAACGTGCAGCCCGAATCATGACAGCACCGTCGCGGACTTGGAACTTACTGATACTGAGCGGCACGTCCCATTGATGCTGCCCGACCCATTGATTCTGCGCGCCGCGGACTTCATGATAGTACCCGCCATGCAGCGCCCGGATAAAGGGTACAGTAGTATAGGGTGCGAACATGCACCGCACAACTGGGCGCGAGGAGGAAGGAGGGGAGGGGCAAGCGTTTCAAGGATCACGGAGAGCCTGCCGCTGTGCCTTGCCCATTGACACGCACGCGATGCTGGTCTACGTACGCGATTGCTACTAGCCTACCCACGCGATTGCAGCCAGCCCACGCACGTATGCGGGCCGTATAGCCTATGTACGCCGACACATCCAGAACCCAACTGCTCTCACGCGCAGGATCATGATGCAGCTCATACGGCCAGGATGCACCTCATAGGTTCATGATGCAGTTCATAGGGTCAGGGAGTCGACAACGGCAGCTCATAGGGCCAGCAACGCTGAGGTCATGCTGCACGCACACTCGACGTCGCGGAGTGCGAATCGAGCGCGGGGAACACTGGAAGGACGGATCATGGCATGGGGACGTCGCGAAGAGGAGGGCACCCTGAGAGAAGAAAACCCGCGGAGAACGACAGGCGGCCACGCGAAGCTTCACGACACAGGGCCCGGGAAGAGCGACATGGAGTCCAGGAAGAGCACCACGAGCCCCGGGAAGAACAGAAGAGCAGATTACTATAGCACAGTGTATTGGTTGGATTGCTGCTGCTGGCGTCGTGCACGTACATACCGCCGCGACGGGGCTCTAGGGGGCCGAATACCGCTACTAATAACTTATAAGTAAGTAAACAGCCGTAGCGTAGGGTGAGTGGCTAGGTGGGTGGTAGGTAGGGTGAACAGTTACGTGGGTAGGGTGTGGGTGGGCAGAAGACGGTTGGTATAGGACGGACAGGGTGTTTATACAGCAGATCTAGATGCAGGAGCGTATATCGCCCGACAACCAAGAGTCTTTAAGGATACAGCGGTTTTGGGAGTCGTACTGGAAAAGGGGAAAGGGGAAGGAAGAAGCGAGGCGAGGAAAGGCAGGACGAGACAGGGACTAGGGATTAGATGTACTGATGCATCGATAGCGATGCTCAGCCAGCAAGTCATGCCAGCGAGTTGATGGTGCCGTCCGGGCCGTATGCCGACCTGAGCGAAGGGAGGTGACCATCGGGTAGACGGGGAGGCGACGGGAGCCGGATGCCGTGCGCGGCCTGCGACATGTACGCCTGCTGCTGCTGTTGCTGCTGATGGTGGTGCGCCTGCGCCTGCGAGAGAGGCTGCCCGTACCCCTGCGGGTCCGTCACTGAGCGACGCTGGGAATAAGGTAGGGGAGACTCTCGTGGGGGCGCATGGTGGGATGGTGCATGTAAGGGTGCAGAGCTGGGCCCGTTGCGTTCGTCGTGTAGAGCGACGTCTGGGGGTGGAAAAGACTGCTGAGAGAACGAATATTGCGATCGCGGGTCATCACGCACGTCTCCGCGAACGTTGTAGCTTGACGACGCGTAGCTGCTCAGAGGCGGGCGCTCGTTGACGCTTTGTGCATACGGCTGGGGCGAGGCGTAGACGTTCGTGGAGGACTGCATGGAGGAGATGGAGCCGCGCGGCGGAGGGGGCGGCGGCGGCAGCCCGGACTGGTAAGGTGGATACGACGACTGCGGCAGGGTCTTTGTCGGCATGGGGGATGATGGCAACGGCGGGAGGGAGAAGGACGACGAGGTAGCGGAGGGGGGCACCTCCGATTGCTGCTCGTTCATGAGGATGGCCTGGTCCCAAGGCCCGCTGTCGACGACTTGCATCGCCCGTGATGAGGATGGAAGCATGTTCGGCGACATAGAGCTGGTGCGCGTCGAACCGGGCGAGTCCACCGATGATGCGCGACTCTGGGTGAAGATGGGATTGTAGCCAGTGGGAGACGCCTGGCTTGGCTGATGGTCGTTCGTCTTGGGCTTGTCCTTCCCGGTCGGCCCCTTCCCGAGCGGCGGGCGGTTGGCAGGGGGAAGATTGAGGGCTTGACGAAGGCAGGCATTCTCGTCCTCCAGCTCCTGCACGCGGGCCTCAAGCGCCTGTTGGAATGATTAGGTTGCGGGGGGAATTTCCAAAGGGAGGACACATACCTGGAGATGGGCAGCGCGGCGTGCGCGGAAGGCGCGCTGGACGTCGCGGGCGCGGTTGGGCGGGAGGTTGTCGTTGCGCTTGCGGCCGCGCTTGGAGGGGACGGGGGGCGGCGAGGACGGGCGGGAGGAGGACATGGTGGTGACGGCAGACGTGACAGGCGCGGAAAAAAACACGGCGGGGTGAAAGAAGGACAATCAAGGGTTAAATAAGGCGGCCCTTGCGATCTCCTTATATGGACGCGATCGATCTCGCTTTTCCTGTTGGGATCTGCGCCGGTCGACGCTCTAGACTCGTCTCATGCTCCCCCGGCCCATCGGCGCGCAGGCGGAGCAATCCGACCGTCTGCATGACGTTCGACGAGGATGAGCGGCCCTCTTCATCGTCGTCCTTCCCCCATCCCACGCTCATCAACTCGGAGGTTCGTATTTACAATCCCAAGCGAAGCACGCTACGGAACAGCCAGTATTTCGTATCCTTCCCTCTCTGGCACAATACCAAGTTCCTGACTCTCCGATGCCATAAAGCTCGATATCTTTCACGCCCACGCTTACCTTACCGCCCCCGCTGACTGACAGCACCCCCAACCGCGCGGACTGCGCAAGCCCACCTCTCGTGTTTCCCAAACGCTTCGCCACCCGCAACAGATCGAACATATCTCTCTCTTCCTGACATGAAGCACTGGCTGGCAGGACGCTACACGTGTGCCATCTTGGCTACCGCTGCGGCCCACGATTGGACATCGGCATTGCGGTCCGCCTGGCACATCAGAACAGCCACCCCTCCTTCCCGCTTTGGCCGGAGGACCCGGCATGCCGCGTGGCCGTCACACCCGCGTCACGGTTGAGTTGTACAGCACGTTCACGGGACCAAGCCCAGGACGTCCGCCTACTCGCCTTGCCCAACGATGCCGACGCCTCGACAAGTGCTCCACAGTCCATTTCCGCGACAAGGAACGCCCCCAGCCTCCTCGGGCAGGCCGTGGCCGGCAGTGCCGGCCGCCGTTACCATTCGCTGAGCTCGGTGTAGAGCCCTCTCCTTCCGAGACACTGTGGAGCTTGTTTTCCTCCGTCGGGAAAGCAGCCACGCACATCGCCCACTCTAGGCTCTTACCAACCATTCATCACGCTACTGCACGTTTTCGTCCTCGGAAGGGCTCCCGCATGCCCGTATCTTCGCTTCATATCGCACTGATCTACAGCATCCTTGCGCTACTCATGCCCCCCTCGTGCTAGCGAAACATCGAAGAGGCTATCTCAGCAGCCTTGCGCTGGCGAACCTTACGCTGAAAGTAAGGAAGCGGGTCCAGTATGAGTCGGCCAAGCCCGACAGACATAGGCCAGGATCCGACACTCCGCCCGCGTTCTCGAAGGTCCATAGTATAGTCAGCTGTACTGTACACACAAGCGTACGAACAACCTCGACGGGGGCTCGAGCACCTCCGTCTCACCCCCGCGCACTGCCGCCGAGCCTACTGTCAGCCTGAAGTTCACCCCCGCGCGGCCTTACGCGCCGCCGCCTTCTGCTGGTCTCTCTTCTGGAACAGCTTGTGCCGGTCCGCGCCCGAGTCCCTCGCGAGCTTCCTGTTCGCCGACTTGTTCTGCTCGACGTACGACATGTGCTGCCCGCCGCTCAGCGCGCTCAGCGAGCCCGTCGTCCGCTGCGCACCCGGCCACTTCGTGCGCACCGTCGACGTCACCGTACCCGCGAGATCGCCCTCGACGGCCTTGATGTCGCTCCCCACGTCCGCCTCGTTCTCCGTCGCGAGCAGCACGGAGGACAGCAGCTCGATCTGCTCGTCGCGCGTGCGATAGACAAGGTCCGGGAGCGCGTCCATCCCGTCCAGGTGCGTGATCACCTTGAACGCGTACCCTTGATCGATGAGGAACTGCTGCCGCTTCGTGCTGTAAAACATCTCCTGCGTATCCTTGGAGACGAGGGAGTAGAAAAACGCGTTGAACCCCTCGTCATTTCGCCGCTTCGCGCGCAATATACGCCCTGGCCGCAGCGTCGCATGTCAGCATCCTTGCTCCGAATCGAGAGGCACGCAAATCCACGCACCGAGCCGCTGCGCCTCTTGTCGTCGGGATCCGAAATGCGACGAGATCTGGATAAGGCAAGTGGCCTCTGGGAGGTCGATCGAGGTATCGCCGACCTGGAAAGGACATCAATGAGATCATCGCATTCCGGGGTGCAAGCGCGCAATTTAGCTGCCGCGCGGTGACGATTCCGCGGACGTACCTTACTCAGGAAAATGGTGTTGACCTTCGGGTTGTGCTGGAACTGCGAGAGAATGCGCATGCGCTCGACCTGGCCCGTCGCGCCGTGAATGTAGAGCTTGCCCAATCGCTTCGCGTACGCCTGCGCGGAATGAGCACCATCACGGCCAGCAGCGGCGAACCAACTCACCTCCAGCGCGTACACATTATCGGAGAAAACGATGATCTTGTCCCCGCGCTCCTCGTGGAACTTAATGAGAAACTGGCACGCCTGGAACTTGTTGGGGTTCATGCAGTACAGGAGCATGCGCTTGCGGGACTGCTCCCTCAGGTACTCGCGATAAAACTCAGGGGTCATCGGGCACCAAACTTCCGCGCACTGTAACATGGCCGCCGCCGTCATCAGTAACCAGCCAGCAACACCCACCCCCACGGCCGAGCCCAGCGGAACAAGGCGAACAGTCCTCCGTGGGTACCGGAGACGCACCTGCACGTTTGCGATGTGCCCCTTTGCGGCGAGGTCCCTATTTTGGAAGGCATTGTTAGTTTCGTTGGGAATTTTCATTTTGGACGTGTGAAATTCGAAAAGGGAGCTTAACGCACATCCAATTCGCCTCATAGAGCTTCGGACCGATCATGTAGTTCAGATCGGCGATTTTGTCATCCTCGCGGACCAACGTGGCTAGGGAACACCGTCAGTTCAGTCATCCTGACATGGGGTCCACGAGGAGGGGGGCGTACCCGTCAAGCCGAGCTTCGAGTGCGCCTTGATGGTAGTGACCACTCGCCGGAACATGGCGGCGGGCACGACATGCACCTCGTCAAGCAGAATGAAGCCCCATTCGCGCGACGTGAGGAACTCCATCATCTTCTTCGAGTCGTGCGAACGGTTGTGCGTGTTCGCGACCATAGAGTAGGTCGAGATGATGATACCACTTTCCGTCGCGAACTGCATGCTGTCAGCATACATTCATCCCCCGTCTGGGCGAGAACTTACCTTCTCCTTCGATTCCGCCGTGAAGACTGCGATCTGCTTGTCCGTCGTGTTGGACCATTGCATGAACTGCTGCTTCCATTGCATGACGGAGACCCTGTGCGGGATGATGAGAGGCAGCTGACGATGTAGTAATAATATCTCTTACGAGGAGGTGCATAGTACAAGGCAGGACTTCTTGATGGTGCAGGCCGCGGTAATGCCTACGAGCGTTTTGCCCGCGCCACAAGGAAGCACAATGATGCCAGAACGCGCACGACTGAATGGGTAGATGTGAGCGGAGGACCTCGTCGGTCAATCTGCCCGCTACGCACCCGTTACCGAACATCTTACTCAGACTGGTCTCCTGATACGGCCGAATGACCGTCGCCGGCTTGAGGTCGATGTCCAGATTCGGATTGATCGTGTCGTTCCGGAAGTCGTACTCCTCCAACATGGGGTACTCTAGCTCATTGCAGCGCTTCTTGACCTCCTAGAAGGGATCATCAGAGCTAGAAGGACAACTTGCGCAGCTCTAGAACATACATCGATCTTGGCGTCGTCTATCTCGAAGGAGTGGACGTTATCGTCGTCCTCATCCATCTCATCTGGGACGGGTGAGCGGGCGAAGTTGGCCGCAAGATGACCGTCGCCTACCGTTCTCGACGCCCACAACGGAGCTAAAGATGTCTGTATCTGCCTGTGCGGCACCGCCTGCTGCGCCCGCCGCACCACCCTTGCCATCATCCTTCTTCTTGTCTGTACCAGGAATGACAAGATTACCCTTGACGGGCGCCTTGCTGGTAGTAAAGGTGGCGGCCTTGATGGAGGTGTCTTGTTGCGCTGATATGACGCGGGCCTCGCGGATCGTCTTGTCCTTCAGAAGGAACTGCAGCGTCTCCGGGTGGCTTGACTCGATGAAGTACTTGTTGTGCTTCAAGACGAGCTTGACTTTCCCGTAACTCAACGTGCGTTCGCGGATGAAGGAAGTGATGGACTCCGGGACGGGCACCTTCGTGCGGGTTGGCGGAGGTCCAACACGAACGCACAAGGTTTGCTTACCTTTGACAAACGATTTAGGACCTTTTGTAAGCCAACAACGTCAGCGTGAAAGAAGCTCAAAAGTGCAAGGCACACAGACTTGTATAATATCTTCCGTTTGTAGTCCGACGGAGACAGCGGCGTATAGCGAGTACGAAGTAAGTTTGTATTCGTGCACGAACTCTGGTCTGTGTAGAGTCGATACACGTCGCCCGGCTGACGATCGACGCGTCCTACGTACCTGCTGACAGGCTCGCTTATAGCCGTGAGGAAGTCCTGGGCTTGCTCGGCGATTGGAGAGAAGTGTTCAAGGATGATGTGGCCGTCGTCGGGACAGATCCAGAGGGGACGGGAGGCATGATCGGACTTCAAGTGTAGCCAGGAGAAGTCTTGATCTTGGAATACGTGGGAGATGAGGGCGTTCTGCTGACGTCGATGCTTCTCTAAGGACGACAGTGAAGACGGGTCGACGTCTTGCGAATGCGCCAATTCCTTGGAGGCTTTCAACTTTCTCGTCAACGCGCTAAAGTTGATTGTCGCCCCCCTTGGCACGACTGCTGTATCGTGCGCGTCGTCGGAGTCCGAGCCATAGTTGTAGTCCGCTTCGTCGTGTCGAGGTCGCTTTGATGAACTGGGGTAACCTAGCAAACGCTCAGTAGAGTTCTCATAGCGACAATGTGCCACGCACTGTCCGCAGGGCGTTTGTAGGCCATGAATGGATGGTGGTCGAAGTCAAGAGACAACGCGCTGACTAACACGGTGGCTCTGTCCTTGTTCGCGCAAGCTCGGCATCTGCCGGACCGCCTTTTCGTCTTCCACCATCGACGACGCGCAAGTCGCCAGCTGACGCTCCCGCCTAACTTTGTTCTTGGAAATTACGATACTCACCTTGCCCACAATGTGGAAGCCCGCAACGAAGCAGGTCACCGGCACCAACGATGGTACGTGGCCAAAATTTCCTGTCGACCCCGATACTCACACTGGCTTTAGTGCCTCTGGGTGCGCGCCGACGATTCGGACCAGCGCCAGCAGGAGAGTCAGCGCCTCCGCAGCTAGCGCAACCCTCGCCATCGGCGTACCCGAGACCTCAGAGCACAGACGACCGAGATCGGCGTGGACGCACGGAAACCCCGCCCCATGAGAGCGCGAAAGGTGAGCATCACTAATCCCAACTGATGTGTGTGGCCGAGCACCCAGGGAGCCGAGAGTCGCTGTGGTATCATCTCCTGTCTCGATTGCATTCTGACGGCGCAGATCGTACTCGCTGACGAATCGCTAACTCCGCCCCATCCATAACCCTCCACTGACTGCAACTGACTGCCTCACACTGACTGAAATGACACATTTACTGACCATGCCTGACTCTGTCTTACCCTCACAGCTGACCCAAACGCACCTCGCAAGAGGCGCAGCCGCTGGGGCGATGCTAAGAGTGAAATACCTGGCTTGCCGACCGCTATTTCCTCCGCTGGTGTCTCTCAAGCTCAGCTTGACAACTACGCCATCCACCTCCGCCTCGAAGAAATCAACCGCAAACTACGCCTGAATGATTTTGTCCCACCCGAACGCGAGAGGTGCGTGTGCCATGCCATGCACATGTCCTCCTACTCACCTCACCTCCAGATCCCCGTCTCCCCCTCCCACGTACGATGCCCATGGTCGCCGTACCAACACCCGTGAAGTTCGATACCGCAAAAAGCTTGAGGACGAGCGCATTCGCCTCGTCGATCGCGCCATGAAAAACGACCCCAACTTCCGCCCTCCTGTCGAGTACCAGCAGCAGAAGCGCTCCCAGCGCCCCTCCGACAAGGTCTACATCCCCGTCAAGGAGTTCCCCGAGATCAACTTCTTCGGTCTTCTTGTTGGCCCTCGCGGCAACAGCTTGAAGAAGATGGAACGCGAGAGCGGTGCAAAGATCAGCATCCGTGGGAAGGGGAGTGTGAAGGAGGGCAAGTCGCGCCCTGACCAGTTCGCCGATGACGCCGAGGAGGACCTCCACTGCCTGGTCATGGCAGACACCGAGGAGAAGGTGGCTTTGTGCGTGAAGCTCATCAACAAAGTCATTGAAACGGTGCGTAGTTCATCTCCATCAGTTGCACAGCTTGCTCACGATACTTTCAGGCAGCTTCCACTCCCGAGGGTCAGAACGACCACAAGCGCAACCAGTTGCGCGAGCTCGCCGCTCTCAACGGCACTCTTCGCGACGACGAGAACCAGATCTGCCAGAACTGCGGTGGTATTGGTCACCGCAAGTACGACTGCCCCGAGCAACGCAACTTCACCGCCAACATCATCTGTCGCGTCTGCGGCAGCGCTGGTCACATGGCGCGCGATTGTACGGTCAACAAGGACCCCGCCATGCTCGCGAGCATGAATGGCACCCCTAATGGCGGTGCTGTTGGCGGGCCCATGGACCTCGTCCAGCGCAGCGGCTTCGATTCAGAGTACGCGAACCTCATGGCGGAGCTTGGGGAGAACCCGGGAGGGGCCGCCGACCAAGGGCGCGGTTCGTGGCAGGGGACGCCCGCGAACGACATCACGGGCGGTGGTGTCAACGTTCCACCCTGGCGGCGTCCGGAGAACTGGACGCAGCCTAGTCAGCAGCAGAACCAGGGATACAGACCGCCTGCGCCGTACGGAGGGTATCAGGGTAGCGGCTTCTGGGCGGGCTACAACCAGCAGCCGGAATACCCGGCGGCGGCGAACGCGGGCTACGCGGCGTACTACCAGGGCCAGTACGCGCAGCAGCAGGGTGTCTAAAGGCAGCAACAGGGCGTCTGATCTCCATCTTCGCTTACTTTCGACCTTTCAATTGGCAGACTTTCTCGACACTGATCCCCTCAACTCCAATCGACTGCCGCTTCTAACAACGACCAGCATCTGCCACCCACTGAACGACGACGCTATGCCGGCGCGTCTAGTTTTCTCTCACCTTCACAGTACAGCCGTAGTTCACCGATTTTCTCTACTCGCCGCGACGCCTCTTCTTTCCATCGATGCCCTGTAATCAAGTCACCAGTACATCGTTCTAACTGTCCAGCGCAGCAGCTCAGCTTCGGACACCATTCTCGATGGCGGGCTTCTCCTTCGCTCTCGTGCCGACGAGGTCGACGGCTGCTGCGAGCGCCTCTGCGACTGTATGTAGCAGTCGGTTTCCTGACCTACTGACCCCGTGGGCTTGTGCAGATTGTAGTAGCAGCATAACTTACTTGAGATTGGCCTGTGTATAATGGATTCAATGAGGTGTTGAGCAAGTAAAGTGCCAGTACGTGAGCTGAGTTTGAGGATGGTGGACTTGTTTGGCTCGATGGGCGCTTGTTGTGACGTCCCGGTTTTGGCAATTTCCCACAGTCCGACACCAGCCGCGCGAAAATACATGGGCTGGCGGTTTACACCGCGCCGCCATGTCGAACGAGGACGTCAAGGCCGCCATCAAGGGTGAGTGCGCTGGCATGACGAGCGTCCACTGCAGCTGACTGTCTCTTCCGTTCCTCGTCGTCACCAACGCTCCTCGTCTCTCTGGCCGCCCGGTTTAACCCGCCCTTCGCGTCATCCCTACGTCCCTATTGGCTATTCCCTTCCCACATCACCCTCTTAACGCGGCTGCCCTCCGACTTCCCTCTCATCCAGCCAAATATGAAGAGCGCGACAACATAATTCGCGAGCAGTGGGTGAAGGCGATGGAGGCGCGCATCGTGCGCGAGGAGCTCCAGAAGTGCCACCGCGCCGAGGGCGTGAACCAGCAGGAGAACTGCAAGTGGCTCGCGGAGAAGTATCTCGAGAAGCTGGAGGGGAGCAGGGTGCGTGGGTTTGGTTTACGAGTCAAGGATGGCGGGGCTAACGTGTGTTTGACCTGCAGATTAAGGGCTACAAGACCGTGGATGCATAGCGACACTGCGTATAGAAGTCCTTTTTCTGGGCTGCTGCGCGGCCCGAGCCTGAAGTTATGCGTGATTGGATGATGACCTGACGTTGGGACGTTACCAAAAATCGTCCCAATCATGACCATACCCTTCGCGTTCCCCTGGCTCACCCGCGAGGCGCATACTGACATAACTATTCCACAACATGCTTTTTCCCTTCAGGTTACGATTCATGAATGACTCCACCTTGGTGAGTGGCTACTTCCTCAATCGTACTTCCCCCACGCACCTTCCATGATGTCCAATTTTAATTAGACTTTGAACGAGTGCATACGTGCACTTCGTTATGAACTCAAATCCCAACCCTGATCTCCTTCGCGCTCGTTTACCATCGTGTCGGTCATAACTGACTTGTCGACCTCCAGACTCTCCCATTGAGGTCGCGTACGCGGTCGCGCGTTGCTCAGCCAAACGCAAGTTCTTAAATCGGTGAGTCAACATCTTACCTCCCCTCCTTCCACTTCGCACCTTCCATGATGTCTACAAATTTTAATTAGACTACGAACGGGCGCATACGTGCGCTTCGTTATGAATGCAAATTCCCATCCCTGACCCCTTCCCTTCAACCAAGCATGGTGTCTCTTCACGCACCGTACTAACTTCATGCGCCAGGTCTTTAGCGCGAAAGGATCGTGGACATGGACCTGGACGCAGGTGGTACTTCTCCAAGGGCTTTTCCCTAAAGGTAAGTATCTCGGGCATCGCATTCGCCTCCCCTCCATTATCCTGTATACTATTCCTTGCTATGATGCCCAATTTAACCAGACTGCGAACGAGCGTACATTGTGCGACTCGTGCTGAGTTGAACCTTCACTATATTTCTGAGCCTGATCGCCTCTCTATGGTTCCGCTCCCATCCGAGCGAAGCTAATGCGGTATGCGCAGAAGCCCTGAATAGCAAACTACGGAGGTGCGTGCTTTGCTTTTGGGAGCGGTCGGCGATGTTGGGTCGTTCGTGTTGGCGCTGAATCGAGCAGTTATGGTCGATGAGGATGCGCTCATACGCCTTCGATCTTCAGTTAGCAATCCTTGTTGTGCTCTCTAGCTTCTAGCTGGGATCCTTCGCTAAAAACTTGAGTCTACATACTTCCTGAGAGGAGTGCATCTACTATCTACGAAGCTATAGAAGCGTCGAGACCGAGGAAAGTCTCATTCGATCTGCGTGAAAGAGGAGCTATGGAAGCAGAAGTAGTTGCATTTGCGTTGTCTGCCCCTGCCGCGCACCTGGGTCCACCGTCCGCCTCGTCATTGCAGGCCTGTGACTTGTGGGCGCTGCGCCGGCTGGGGCTGTTTGTATTGGGATACACGTGGCAGGACGCATCTGATCAGAGATCAAAGATGGATGACGTCACGAGTGCGGGCAATGAATGGAAAGGAAAATGCCCCAAAATGGCAAAAGGGCAGTTCGCCAACGCCGTCATCACACCCAATGCCGGCAGGAACGTCGGCGCCAACGACAACGACGACAGCGGTGGCGGACACCGTCAGCGACGACGTCGAAAGCTCTTCATCATCACCTCCTTCACGCCCCACGCGCCCCAGGAGACGACGCCCGACGCGCCCATCAACAGCACCGGAAAGAGACGCGTCTACAGCCTTCCTGCCCTCGTTCCCATCGGGCCACGGCCTCGTTACGGAAGAGTGCCAGGAGCGGTGTACAGCGGAGGAGCAGCCATCTGCACCACGCGCGTTCGGACACATGCAGACCGTCAGGGAGGACGAAGATCATGGTGCGTGCGCATCCATCGCACGATCCCAGCGCGCTCATACGTCTTTTCAGAGGGGGGCGCTCGTGTATCCTCCTCCGCACCTGAAGATTCTAGTTTGCACGCGAACTCCGCGCACGATACATATGATCTGCCCGAGTACAACTGGGCGACTTTCATGGACCTTTATGCCGCCGGTCGCTGGAATTCCTTCCGTATACCGCGCTTCCCGATTCCGCACTCCACACCGTCCGTCAAGGCCCATCACTCGTACTCTGAGCCTCAGCCGCAGGAAGCTGTCCCTAACAGGACTACTGTGCGCCACAACAGTGATGGCACCCCGCCCAGGCCGGTGATGTCGACATCAGTCCCCACCAAACCTTTTCGCGCCAATGCGCCGACCCTCAAGGGTCTCCCGATGCAGCGCTTCCGCAACTCGTTCTCTTCCACGAACACGCTATCGTCTGCTCCCTCGAATGGCTACAAGAGTCCGATCAAGTACCCCACCATTACTTCCTCACACAACGCCGACATTCAGGCTCAGGCGGCGACAGTCAGAATGGCATCCCAATTCGCTGATGTGTCCCCCCTTGCACTGCCCTCGCCCGAGCATGAGCTGACAGATCCGATGCACGGCAATACCGCGACCGTTCCGGGCTCCCATCTCGCGGACATGCACAGGGACAAGTACAAGAAGAGCAATCTGGCGAGGTACGAGTATTGGGGCGGCATGCAAGACGTACAGACCGTGCTGGAAACTCAAGACGATGATCCTTCCCCGATATCCCAGTCCTCGGTCACGGAGTCGTCCATGACACGTTCTTCGAAGTCCCCGTCCCCATCGGCCGAGTCCGCAGCATGTACTGTGGCGCGCACGGAATCAACCTCGGCCACGACTGTGGACTCTGCTGCGCCTTCGCAAAAGAGCAGCCTTGTCTATCCGCGCGATGCCATCCCACCGCCCGCGACGATGCCGTCATTTTCCGTCGATGAAGAGGAGCCGGGTGACTACTTCGGCGCGCCCAAAGACAGGCCCAAGGAGAGCGTTCGCCGAATGACATCCTCCCCCGTCTCGATGGAACCCCCATCCTTTGGCTCCTCCGCAACCACGTCCATCACGCACACTCCGAACTCGATATCTGGCATCGACACCACGATGTCGGCGCCCCTCGTCCCACGCCGTACGGGCCTCATGCGGCAGGTGTCGGCGCCCCTCCCATCGAAGATCATAGCCCCGCCGCCGGTGCAGCGCACCCGAACACCACAGGAGAGCTACATCATGCGCCAGTCAGCGGAGGCAGAAGAGCGGTACCACAAGCATGGTTATCTGCGTGCCCCGAAGCCGCCGGTCGAGAAGGAGCGCAAGCGCGAGTTGCACAAGTTTAACATTTGGAGGACGTACTCGGATCCTAATTTCGATCGCATCGTGCGCCTGGTGAGAATATTCACACACGGCGAGAACCCGCCAGGCTGAATCATCCAGGTGTATATGGTCTTCCAGCCCAAGGGCATACAATATGTCACTATCTCTCTTGTAGATGGCGAAGAGGAGTGAGTGTTTCCGTTGACCTATGCATTTGCAGAGCTAACATACCGCAGATGGTTCAAGTCAGTCGCTGGCTTCCGGCTGGAAGGTTTCGACCGGGCGTCTAGCTTCACGGGACATGCTATCCTCCAGAGGTGAGTAAACATCATTGATCCGTCTTTCAACCTGACCAATGCTCTACGCCAGCAATGACGAGCCTATGATTGTTCTCGATGCTCAGCGGGATTGGCGGTTTGCGCGTAGCGTGAGTAGTATTGACGGTCATTCCGTGGAGTGTACGCTTACTAGTGTCGCTTAGCCGATCGTCACCGGCCCTCCTGCGATTAGGTTTTACGCGGGATCGCCGTTGCGGACGAATAATGGCTTCAACATCGGCGCGCTGACGGTTATGTCGACGAATCCACGACCAGATTTCTCGCCGTCGGAACGACAAACACTGAAGGAGTTCGCTGCCATTGTTATGCGGGAGTTCGAGTTGTGGAAGGACAAAGCATGTGCATCTTAACGAAGTTCCCCGCGGGCGACTGACTTTTGCTTGCTTCAGATCCAGCTACGAATCCGGGATAAGATCCAGAGCTCTGTACGTGCCGCGTTGGCTGACAAGTTATTCGACCTCACCATAGTCTCAGATGGCGGACTTCAGTCGCGAGTGCTTGGAGCTCAACTATGACGAGGCGGGCACGACGTCCGGCGTCTCGATGGAAGTCGTGTACGACCGCGCGGCAAAGCTTGTCAAGCAAACGTTGGACGTCGATGACTGCAAGGTCCTGGACTTCTCGCATGGGGACGTCCTGGACACTATGGGCGACGATGACCGCGAAGAGGAGGAAGAGGGCAGTTCCTCGGTGTCGATCATCACGTACCAAGGGACCGGCGTGCCGACGACGAGCAAGCCGTTGACGCCAGATCAACTGAGGCTGATCAATAACTGTGAGCGCGCTTAGGAGATTCGTGGAGGAAACAGCTAATTGGCGTTCCTGCAGTCTTCGAGAAGCACTCCAAGGGCCGGGTCATCGAGCCGATGGAGTCCATTCTACGGACGACGTTCACCGAGATCTTACCGACGGACATTCAGTACGCGCTGACGGTGCCGATCTATAACATCGACAAGCGACCGTTTGCGCTCATCTGCGCGTACAACCTCGACAAGAAGGACAACATACGCTACGTGGGTCCTGCTTGCTACTGCTTGAGAACAAGACTGACGCATTGCAGTTGGAGGGGCATGAACTCTCGTTCCTTCGTGCTATCGGGGTTATCATCTTGAGCGCGGTGCTGAAGAGAAAGATGATACTTGCAGACAAGTGCGTGACATCACTTGTGGGAGGGAAGCCCATGCTGATTGAGTGCGATAGCGCGAAGAGCCTGTTCATCTCAAATATCTCGCATGAGTTGCGGACACCGCTGCATGGCATCCTCGGGGCGGCGGATATGCTCACATACGATGGCACATTGACCGACAACCAGCAAGCGTCGCTGGCGACCGTGAAGGCGTGCGGGCACTCGTTGATTGAGGTATGTTCGACACCTACTCCAAATGGTGGCTTTTTTGATGACTGTCTGCCCAGGTCGTCGATCACGTCCTGGACTTCACCAAGCTGAGCGGCAACAACTCAAGATCGGGCGGCGTGGAGAACGTGCTTGTTCCGACCACCGTCGATCTCGTCACGCTCTTTGAGGAATCCATCGATGGCTGCTGGGTTGGTCACTGCGCTCGCACCCTGGTCGCGGAAGAGTCGTCGAGCGCCATCGGAAGTCTGTACTCGCCACCGGAGTCGGACTCGCAGCTTCCGAAGATGCATGTGGAGACTATCGTGGACATTGGACGCAGGACGGAGGTGAGTTGCTCGATGAATAGTAGACGTCTCAGACTACTGACAGTTGATTCTGCAGGGTTGGAAAGTGAAGTGCGAGAAGGGTGGCATCCGTCGGATCCTCATGAACATCCTTGGCAACAGGTACGGTCACCCCATAGGAACCCAGAAGCGCTTTGCTGACCATGACCATAGCTTGAAGTTCACCAAGCAAGGCTTCGTTCTCGTCAGGCTCGTCGAGCTGCCCATGCAAGAGGGTGACCCAGCAGACAAGGTCAAATTGGAACTCTCGGTCACGGATACTGGCAAGGGCATCACCAAGGAGTTCATGCAGAACTCGCTGTTCCACCCCTTCGCGCAGCAAGATCATCATCAAGCAGGCACCGGGCTCGGTCTTGCGATTGTCAAATCCATCGTACACTCCATGGGTGGCACGATAGAGATTGCGAGCGAGGAGGGCAAGGGCACTGAGGTCAGAGTTACCTTCTTCGCCGAACCGGTCCACGACGGGAAGCCTACACCCTCGGAAGAGCCATTGAAATTGGACGAAGGCGATCCGCCTGTCGTATCCCTGCACGGCTTCGACAATGGCGAGCGCGGCACGCGGTTACTACGCGACGTCCTCACCCGCTACCTCACCGGCTGGTACAACTTCCGCGTCGACGAGGCCGGGCGTGGCAATGGCCAGATCCTCGTCGCCAACAACGACCTGGCGCCACTCGTCCGCGCCTTCGATGCACGCGATTTCTCGAAGGCCTTTATCATCGTCTCCGACTCGCGCCAGTCGCCCGAGCAGCTCGCTCTGATCAATGAGTTCGAGCGCTTGGGCGGCTTCTGTCGCGTGATGTACAAACCTGGAGGTCCGTCGAGACTGCGGGCTGCGTTAGCGCCGTGCTTGCATTATTTGAACGTGAAGAGGGCGGGTGCGACGGAGATGCTGACGCCGGGGACGGGGCCGACGACGCCGATGAGCGAGGGCTATGGTGGTGGTGGGAGGGACATGCTTATCCCGAGGCGGCCTGGGCTGAATCGTGCGGTCACGGCGCATCCCGCAGCGCTGCATTGGACCATTCCGGAGACACAGGATATCGAGGAAGAGGACACCGAAATCGAGGTCCCTGCCTTGGCGATCGGCGATGGCGCGGCGACAATCTTGAAATCTTCGTTAGAGCCGGAGAAGGCCAAACATGGGCGCATTCTCGTTGTGGAGGACAACGTGATTCTGCGGAGGGTTTTGTGAGTTGGCTTCAGATATGGTCCCGCGACGAAATGACTAACAAATGCCGTAGAACGAAGTGGATGAGCAAGAAAGGCTACGACTTCCTGGATGCTGCAGATGGTCGCATGGGTGTTGAGGTGTACAGAGACAAGGGACCCTTCGAGTGAGTGACGATCATGATCACGAGGTCTTGTTCATTGACGCCTTTCTGAGTGTCGTTCTCCTTGATCTCTCCATGCCCGTGCTCGATGGCTTTGGTGCAACGGCGGAAATACGCGATCTCGAGACGAGTCGAAGTATGCCTCATGCCCGTATACTAGCTCTGACTGGGCGTTCGTCATTGGACGATAAACGAAGAGCGTTTGAGGTGCGTGCATTGCTTGATCTCCCTTCGAGTGGTCGCTCACGAGTCTTGTAGGCTGGCGTCGATGGCTACTTGGTGAAGCCTGTGGAATTCTCGACGCTCGAAAACATATTCCGCAAGCTCGGACTTGCCTCATGACTGACGACAATCTCGCACTAGCTCTACTGCTCTCTGATTCATTCCGTCCCATTCTCATTGCTATCTATCCTCACATGTAGGGATTGTGTTGTTTTCGCTGCCGGCCCTTCGACACCTGCGCACGCTTGTGCTCTGTTCTGTCGGACCTTCTGCTTCTGGGCTGGTATGTGTTGTATACTGGTGCATTCTTCTTGTACTCTCCCAGGCTTTACATTGTACAACCCTATTACACTCATCTACGCTATGCCCGCGGACACTCGGGATGGGTCCTAATCATGTACATTGTGGCGCTCTCCGCTTTGGCATTGTTGGCATGTCTTACTCATAACATAGTGTAGCATTACCGGTCCCTCGTGCTTTAGAATTCAAAGTGGTTATTGAGCGAAGGAGGGCCAGGCACTTTACCTGGTCCAGGTGCGTGAGCGCGACGAAAAGTAGCGTTGCGGAACAGGTACTCGAGGCGGCGGTCGTCGTTGATCAGTGGTACAGGACGCGCCCTTGCGAGCCTCCCTGCAAAGCCTGGAGGTATCCAGCCTACTATGATCATTTTTGTAGATGTAATGCTCAGGCTGCAGCTGATGCGAATGTATATAATGCACGTAGGCGATGAATTTGTGGCGTTACGGCGCAAATTCGCTGTCGGAGTTGACTCTTCCTATCATCACCGTTTGGCGGACAGTGAACGCAGCTCGCCGAATTCTGCGTTGATGATGATCTTGGCCTTGAATCGGGAGGGTGCAAACATCTAGCTCAAATGGCGGGCGAGAACGACAAGTAGCGTGCCACTTCTTGGCCTTGTACTCCCAACGATGGAGTATGCTGTACGCTATGGCGCTGCATCTGACCGGCGGCTTTGCTCTCACCTGGTCTATCTCACCGCCCTAGAACATGTTCCGGTGGGGGTATAGTCTGCCATACTGCTGCCGTCCCCGCAGCCATCTGGACACTCAAGAAGGACTGGCGCGCGAACTTGAAGGGTCCCGGACGTTGAAGCCGCTCTACTACGAGGTCAAATACCCTTTGGTACCACACCTGACGGGGGGTATTATGTCCACCGTGCTGCTCATCGGAGACCAGCTCCACTTCATAGAGAGTTTTGCGCACCTGTACGTCTTTCACCTCGCCAGAAGGCTCGCAAATTGCGTAGCACGTACTTCCCGCGACCACAGAGCCCGACGATGCTGAGCTCCTGCAGCGACGCGACAGAAAGCTGCTGCGTATAAAGGCGAAGAAGACTGAACTTAAAGAACAGCCCAACTGCCTTCTGGACGTCCACCATCTGCCTTCGCACCTCCGCCAAGATGACCTCAGTCTCCGACATCGATATGACGCCGAAAGGCCTCGTGAACGACGATGGAAACTATGTTCTTCAGCACGAAGATATTGCCAACCTTCTGAAGTATGTTTGGTCGGGAGTCCTTCTGCCGGTTACCGTGTCCGCCTACCAGGACCGCCTCAATCTCTCGACCGACACTGTGGACAAGCTTTCCGATGTCATTGACCCACTCCTCGCGGCTTATGCTACTGTGAGCGGTTTCCACCTAGTCTGTATGTCATGCATGTTACACGTTCGTTTAGGCGCAGAAGAACTGCCTGAAATTCAGGGACGAGACGTATCCCAGCATTGTCGACCTTTCCAACGACGTTTTCGCCTATGCTCAGACTGCGGGCGGAACCATCGACGACTCTTACTACGGTATGTGTCCCTTTGGAGCTTTCGGCTGTTGGCATGTACACTGACGCTTCGCCGTAGCTGCCATTCTCAACTGGATCAGAGAATTGAATGAAACCACGGACCCGGGGACGCAGAAGGAGCTCAGACAGAGTATAGATGCTATCATCGACCAACAGACGGGCGAGATCGAGCGCATGCAAGCCAGAGCGAAGGGGACGGTCGCTGACCTCAAGACTTTTGAGTCTCTGACGCAGACGGACCAGAATGCGCTGAGCTCCCGTAGCAACGCTCTGAACGACAAAATCATCGCCGAGCTCGGCAGCATCAAGGAACTCGACGCAGAAATGGAGAAGTACCGGAAGCAGATGAGGTCCGACATGGACGAATGCGAGCACGGTGAGCCTGTGATCACGTATCGGATCAATAGCATCTCGCTCACTGGAGTTCCTCCAGACAGGGTCATTGCTCAGACTTCCGCGGCGTATGTCTGGCTCTTCCCCTTCGGAACGATCGCCGCCGCCGCCATTGCTGTAATCTTCACGAATAAGGCCAATGACATGGAGCGCAGCATCAGACAGGTCAAGGATCTCATCGCGAAGGACCAGCAGAAGAAGCATGACGAGACGAACCTGTCCCTGGACCTTAAAGCCATCGGGGTACGTGCTGGTACTGACAGGGTGCACTTTTGTTCTGAAGACACACACTCTCTCATAATAGAACGACCTGAAGAGCGTTCGGGACAAAATCCAGCCCTGCATCAAAGTCCTAGAGACGATGGAGGGGGTCTGGTCTGCCATTGCCGGAGACCTCAGCACGATCAAGGAGCTGCTCGCAAGGGACTTCAGGTCTGCGGGCGAAGCAATGGCGAAGTTGGAGGCGAAGAAACTGGTGAATGATTGGAACGAGCTCAAGGTGTCCAGTGAGTTGTTAGCGCACGTCACATCTAGCCTACTAACAGACCAACGTGGCCAACAGTCGACAAATATCGCCAAGTCGCGTACGTGGCCGACGTTTCCACTGTCACCATGGACGAGTACGTGGTACAGCTGCACGAGGCGAGCAAGTAGTCTACGTTCCGGTGGATATCGTCGTTGCCCTCGGGCTCGTCCCTCTTGTTCTGGCGTCAATTAACGTGTTTGTATCGGTTGTTGTATATTGCTGTCAGTCGTTGAATGCCTATTCTCTCGTATTATGCAACGATTTCCAGTTCACTCTAGACGTCCAGCTGGTCGTGGCGGTCAGGTTCCTGAGATCGTTGAGTGGCCTTCGTTTGGAGGTCATGACGCGCGTCGCATGGCCAGGAATATGTGGCGTTTCGGCCACGCGGTGGCCATTGTTCTCGATTTGTTCGCTTCTGACCATCATCATTCAACCCAAGCTAGTCATCTACAGACACTTCCATTGACAGACGCCCGGTACTCGAAGTTCAGATACAACCGCCCTCAAGTCGTCAATCATCTTGCCGGTCAACAAAGCGAACAGATAGCCCCAATCGACCCTTGAACCGGGGACTCATCTAGGTGGCGCGCTGTGATGTCTCCTCCGGCGACCTCTCTCGATTCTGAGCGACACGACGTCCCTCTGTGGCAAATTTTCGACCACACAATCCGTGTCAACTTCGACAGAATCCCTCCTCCTTCGGCGGACCCGGTTCTGCGCAATGGGCATATCTTCCAGGACACAGAACGCCACGCGATCGCGGGCGCTATTGAGAATATGACACGTAAACGGGAGGCCTTGCAGAAAGAGCTTCAGGCGCAGGGAGCGCCGACGGAGCGACTACAGCACGCAATCGACACACTGGACAACGCGCTGGATTCGTACGCTGCGTATGTAACGCCTGTCCGGCGCCTGCCGGTAGAACTGCTAGCGGAGATCATGGACCTCGCGTGTGCAGAAGAGAGCCACCTGACAACTGAGTTCTGTCAACCGCTAGCACTGAGCGCAGTGTGCAGAAGCTGGCGAGGTGAGTTTATTGTCCATGCGTCCATGAGCGATCCTCACTCTTTTACCCACTGCAGACACGATGCTCTCTTGTCCGAAGGCATGGACGCGGTGGTCCACGGAAAATATGAGCCCTTGGACTGAGCACGCTGAGGTCCAGGATGTGGTCTTGCCACGTCTACGAATATTTCTCGAGCGCTCCGGCAGCCATCCGCTCACCCAAAACATTGGTTTCTACCCATCCGACCCCTCTGAAGCACTGAATCTACTTCTACGACCCCTTCTCGATCACACCGATCGCTGGCAGAACATCAGCTTCACTCAGATGCTTCAAAATGATCGGGGCTTAGACTTTAGCGCGTTGGAGGGCAAGCCGTTGCCGCTCCTGAAGTCTCTCTCGGGGCCCGCGCTTCCGCTAGAGCTGGCCGCCGCCAGCGGTGTCTTCCGTGGCTTCCCTACCCTGCAGCATGTCGGACTGTACAACCGGAACGCCTCGAAGATCGTGCCGCACTTGCCCTGGGCGCAGCTGCAGACGCTCTCAATCGGGTCACATTCCATCAAATATCCTCTCGAAGTCTTGCGGAAGTGCTCGAACTTGCGGTCCTGGACATACCGGTGCATGGATCTGGATGACGATGAAGCGCCTCCTGATATGACCATGCTCCATATGCCGACCGTCCTCGAGATCGAGATAGACATGGCTTTCGACAAGCGCGACAGCCTCCTCTGCTGTATCACGGCTCCTTCGCTTCAGGTCTTGACCCTCCGCTGGTATTGTCCCAAGATCAACCAAACCGACCTGCAAGGGCCGCTTCCCATGTTCATGGAGCGCTCTTCCTGCCCCCTGCGAAAGTTGACGCTGGATCAGTGGCCATACTTAGCCTTTGCGGGCTTGGATTCGGTGACGTTTCCGCACCTCGAGGAGCTCTGCTTGATGGGCGCGCGTCTGCCAGTAACGAACGAGTTCATGGACTTGCTGGCGGGTTGTGATCAGTTTCCGCGGTTGGAGAAGCTGGAGGTGGGGGACAACATAGAGGCAGACAATGCCGCCTTCATTGAGCTGGCGAAGGCGCGAAAGGCCGGCGGCCGCCCGCTTCAGGCGCTCATAGTGAAGATCACGGACATGACGTGGAACGCGCATCGATTCGAAGAGGAAAAGTGGAGGGTTCAGATGCAGGCTTTGGTACCGACTTTCTCTATACGTGACCGGATGAGGAACGCGCGGTGCTACTAGTCCTTGTGATGTTTGGAAACTCTTGATACCTTCCTGGTCGAATACAACCTAGAAGTGCAGTATATTGCCACGCGCGACTGCATTGTCCGATGGAGGACGCGATCTCGTTAGGGCCGCGCCGTGCCTCGAGTGCTGGTCGTCAACGCCAGACCGACGGGTGTACGAAAGGTACGCAGGTCCCGCCTGGCGGCCTCGGCACGATGTCCAGTAGCCACGCATGCGGACGTATATAGGGCGAGGCGGCGGTGGCGTTTGCTTTTGTCCGGTCCAATGACTGGAAGGATCTCGACCTTGCGCAAAGGCAGCACCGCAGGTCGACGACGACGAGGGGGACGATGCTGAACATCATTTTGAGGCTTTTCGTGAGCATATCTTCGTCCGGCCTTGCCGTGTAGTAACTAGTTCTTCGTTGTATATTTCAGAATTTCTTTCGCCATTTTTTGAGGCAACTTGGCGGTCCAAAAGTCGAACTGCGTGCGTGTGACGGAGATGGTCTGGGCCGATCAGCGGCGATCTATGACGCAATATATAGCGCGCCAAAAGCGGCGGGCGCGCCTTGAATTTACGTCGGACGGAGGACGCGGATCCACCTCGACAAACTCCTTGCTTTCCTCCACCATCACCACCACCATGAAGATCGCGGTCCTCACGTCGGGCGGCGACAGCGCCGGCATGAACGCCGTCGTCCGCGCCATCGTCAAGGCTGGCATCCTCAGGTCCGCGAACGTTCCCCCAAGCGTGGCTGTACCTCCCGACTGACGCGGTGCAGGGGATGCGAGACATGGATCGTGCGCGAGGGGTACGAGGGCCTCGTGCGCGGAAACACGGAGTACGAAGAGCTGCACGGCAACACATGCTACGAGAGCCCGGCGCCGAAGCTGCCAGTGCTGCCCGACATTCCCGCGGACAGCAAGATCTTGGCCAATCTTCGCTTTGGAGATGGGCCCTTGTTGCGGGATGGGACGGCCGACTTGGCTAGCGGGCGAACGCTGAAGGGTAGATACATCGTCCGCGCGGGATGGGATGATGTGCGCGGATGGTTTGCAGAGGTGCGTCGATCGTCTGCCTGTGCACGTCCGATACTGACAGGAACTTGTAGGGCGGCACTCTGGCCGGAACGGCGCGATCACAGACATTCCGCACGCCTGAAGGTCGTCTTCAAGCTGCCTACAACTTGATCAAAGAGGGAATTGACGCCCTTGCCGTTTGCGGTGGAGATGGCTCTCTCACCGGCGCGGACGTCTTCCGCTCCGAATGGCCCTCTCTCGTCGCCGACCTTCGCTCGCAAGGTACGCGCAAGCGTATGAACTGTCCATCATCCCACTCACCACCACGATAGGCAGAATCACGGAGGAACAGGCCATCAAGCATGGACACCTCAAGATCGTCGGTCTCGTTGGGTCTATCGACAACGACATGTCCTTGACGGACTTGACTATTGGCGCGCCTACGGCTCTGGCGCGCATTTGCGAGGCTATCGACAACATCAACTCGACGGCTGCTAGCCACTCGCGCGCCTTCGTGCTCGAGGTTATGGGCAGACATTGCGGCTGGCTTGCCCTGCAGGCGGCTTTGAGGTTTGTTTACACACTTTTCGCTCTCGGGAAGTATCTCAAGCTCGTGACAGCGGAGGCGCCGACTTCCTCTTCATTCCCGAGCGGCCACCTACAGTCAATCCTTGGGAGGATGAGATGTGCGAAGCTATCAAGCGTGTAAGCGCAATATTAGCATGTTGTAGAGCATCCCTGCTGACACTTCTCTCAGCACCGCGAGATCGGCAAGCGCAAGACCATCGTCATCGTCGCGGAGGGCGCTCACGATTCCGATCTGAACCCCATCAAGGCCGAGTACGTGAAGGACGTCCTCACTGAGCGCCTTGGTCTCGACACCCGTGTCACGACCCTCGGGCACACTCAGCGTGGCGGCAAGCCGGTCGCATTCGACCGTATTCTAGTACGTCTTGTGGTACCGCCCTTTTCCGGGATGTGTTCTGACAACACTCCGTAGCCCACATTGCAAGGCGTAGAGGCCGTCGAGGCGCTTTTGGAGGCGAACCCGAACACCCCGTCCTACATGATCGGCATCCAGGAGAACAAGATCACGCGCGTTCCGCTCATGGAGGCGGTTGCGATGGTTCGTGGGTTGTAGCGCAGTATGTTGGGAAGTACGCTAATGGTCTTGTAGACTCGCGCAGTGGCGGACGCTATCAAGGTCAAGGACTTTGAGAAGGCGATGTCCTACCGTGATCCGGAGTTCTGCGACAACCTTGACGGTTTTCATACCGTGTCCGAGTTGTTCAAGGAGAAGCGTTTGCCGCCTGAGAAGCGGATGCGTATAGCTATCATGCAGTAAGTTTCGGAGTTCGATCGCGTTGGGCGGTACTGACCGACTTTTGCTTGCAGCATGGGTGCTCCCGCTGGTGGCATGAACGCGGCAACGCGTACCGCCGTTCGCTACTGTTTGAGACAAGGGCACACCCCTATCGGCATCCACAACGGCTTCCCGGGTCTGCTCGACGATGATCTGCTCGAATTATCGTGGCTCGGCGTCGACAACTGGGTGTCTCGTGGCGGCTCCGAGCTGGGCACGAACCGCAAGCTGCCCGACATGGACATCGGCGCCGTCGCGTCCAAATTTCAGGAGTATGGCTTCGACGCGTTCATGATGATCGGCGGCTTCGAGGCCTTCTCTGCGCTGCTTATCCTCGACACGAACCGCAAGCACTACCCGGCGTTCAACATCCCCATGGTTCATCTGCCCGCGACGATCAGCAACAACGTGCCGATGACGGAGCACAGTCTGGGCAGCGACACGAGTTTGAACGCGCTCGTGGATGCGTGCGATGCCATCAAGCAAAGCGCAAGCGCGAGTCGCAACCGTGTGTTCGTTGTGGAGACGCAGGGTGGCAGATGCGGGTATATCGCGACGGCGGGTGCGCTGGCGGTAAGTGCAATCTGCTTAAGTATGGACTAGAAGCTGAACGCGTCGACAGACCGGTGCATCCCTTGTCTACACGCCCGAGGTTGGCATTGGCCTTGATACTCTGCGCCGGGATGTGCGTTACCTCAAGGCGCGCTACGCGCTCGATGAGAAAGGCAAGAGCGAGGGTCGCATCGTCATCCGGTGAGCCACGAGATGCGTGTATACCCTGGGCAGCAGAGCTAACGACGCCACAGCAACGAGATCTCGTCCGAAGTCTACACTACGGACGTCATCACGCGCATGCTAAAGGAGGAGGGCGGCAAGCTTTTCGACTCGCGCTCCGCGTCGCTCGGGCACACGCTCCAGGGTGGCGTGCCCTCGCCAATGGACCGCTCGCGTGCGGTGCGCCTCTCGCTGAAGTCGATGGCGTTCCTCGAGCGGTACCATGAGTTGTTGAGGCATACGCCGAGGCAGCTCCGCCACGCGCCGGAGGAGAGCGCGGCGGTAATCACGATCCAGTCGAGCTCGATCAAGTGGGTGCCGGCGCAGGAGATGCTGCTGCACGCGGATATGCACAACCGGAGGGGGAAGACGGCGTGGTGGACGGGGCTGAAGGACCTGGCGGAGGCGCTGGCCGGTCGCCCGGAGTTCGTGAAGGTCAAGTTGCCCGAGTAATGGCGCGGTTTGGACGAGGCGAAGGAACTTTGAAGGAATTGAAAAAGTGTAACAACATCTGCTTAGAATTTAGAGTGTAGAGTATTGTACTTGAACTGCTTGTTCTAGTAGCTCAGGAGTATGCCAACGATGCCCCTTTTTCTGCAAACGAAGCAATCGTATCACGCAACTGACTTGGGTGTCCATGTTTGCGCTGGTAAATGAACAAACAAAGCGTAACAAACAAAGAAGGCGACAACAAACAGGCACAAGCTAAATCGTCGGCCTTTCCCATCGGTCCTGCATCCTGCCCTCATGCACTCACACGAAGATGGGGCACTCGACTGCTCGCTCTTTGTGAGCTCCGAGCGAACAGTCGGGGGTCAGCTGCGCCCGATTAGCAGCCTTTTGTCACCGCCTTTCCTGCGCCTCAGCTGGTCCTCGCCTTTCTATCAGCTTGCGTCGACATGATCGCAGCCGTAAGGCTACGGAGCGTGTCGTCAATCCATCTGTAGAAGCGTCGGCGATGAACAGCTGCCTACGGATATTTCTGATATCGTCTCCAACGCATTCAGTTGCCAGCCCACGCCACTGTCGCCTATGCTCTTCGCGAGGGTACTGCCCGGTATACCGTTCCTTTCGAAGACGAATAGCTCGAGTGGATGCTGTCAATACCTATCATGGGTTCCGGCGCGTAGTTCATCATCGAGGGAACCCCCGACCTCGCCGCCTACGTCAGCCGGACCTACAGCGTCGGATGGGACTGGCATATAAGGAGTGGTTGTCTCCTTCGTCGACGCCAACCACGTCGTCCGCGATATCATCATGGAAGATAACCTGAACCAGACTTCTCCTCTTAAGGACATGCACGAGAGCATCTCGGCGTGGTTCCTTGGTCCTCGTGCCGAGAACTACGACCTGCTCAAGCAGCTCTTTGCCGGCGCCGTGGACTCTCACGCGCGCGTCCGCGAGAACTACTATGCCGAGGATGGAGTGAGTCCTTTGCTTGCCACTCTTGCCTTCGATGAACTCAACGATTGCGTGCAGGTCTTCATCACCGACTCAATCAAGGAGTCGAAGACATACCAGGCGAACGTCACTCAGTTGCGCGAACAAACCTGCCAGATCGTTGATCTCCTGAACAAATACTCCGTGCCCTTCTTTTCGCCTCGTTACGCCGGCCACATGAGCTTTGAGACGTACGTGTGCTTGTCGCTTTGACATGTAAATGCACTGACTGATTGCCTTTCAGGTCTCTTCCGGGAATAGTTGGGTGGGTTGCCACCATCCTGAACAACCCTAACAACGTAAGACTGAACTCTTTTTCCCTGACGGAAAGCATGCGCCGCTCACACTCTTCGCAAGGTGGCCTTTGAGGCCAGCCCATTTACCACGCTTGTCGAGTTGGAGGTTGGAAGCGAGCTCTGCAGTATGCTGGGATATCCTATGGACACGGAGTCTACCATCCAGCCGTGGGGTCATATTGCCTGCGACGGTACCATCGCGAACATGGAGTCGATGTGGTAAGTTCGTGTTTGCCGAGGTTGCTGTTCGATGGCTGACCTCCTTTCTCTTGTTAAGGGTCGGTGAGTCTGGCGAGCCTCCGTATTTGCTGGTATGCTGACATACTCTAGCCCGCAACCTCAAGTTCTACCCGCTCTCCGTTCACGCTGCGATGACCGACCCCGAGGGGCCGCTTCGTTTCGTCGCCGACTCCTTCAAGGTCCCGACGGCAGATAGCCCCCACGAGCCGCAGCTCTTCAAGGACCTCGACTCATGGCAACTTCTGAACCTCCCCATTTCTGTCACCCTTGGTATCGGGGAGGAGCTGCTTCTCCAGTACGGCATCACGAACGACTTCCTGACGTCTGCGCTCTCGCCGTATCTGGTGCAAAGCACGGGCATGGAGGAACTCATTCGGAAGTACAACATCACTGCCCCGCCTCAATACCTGATCTCGAACACGAAGCATTACTCGTGGCCGAAGTCTGCGGGTGAGTTGACCGACGCAACATTGCCTTCGAGTACTGATATGTTATTAGCTCTCGTCGGCATCGGGTCGTCGAACACGATCCCCATCCCTGTGGACTCGGATGCGCGCATCAACTTCGAGAAGCTCGATGCCTTGCTGCAGGAGCGCCTCGACAACAAGCAGGCCGTCTACGGCGTCGTCGCCGTCATCGGCTCGACGGAGGAAGGCGCGGTCGACCCCCTCGACAAGGTCATAGAGCTGCGCAACAAGTACGCCGAGCTGGGCATGACCTTCGTCGTGCACGCCGACGCCGCCTGGGGCGGCTACTTCGCGAGCATGATCCGTGACCCGCCCTCGGGCGGCATCAGCCGGGATGACGACGAGGAGGACGAGGACGGCTCGCGGGACTTCGTGCCGTCGATCACGATGCGGGAGTATAGCGTGCGGCAGTTCGATGCGCTGAAGGATGCGGACTCGATCACGATTGACCCGCATAAGGCGGGCTATGTGCCGTATCCAGCGGGTGGCCTCTGCTACAAGGATGGCCGGATGAGGTATCTGGTGACGTGGACCGCGCCGTACCTGCACGATAGCAACACGGGCGAGAGTATCGGCGTGTACGGGATCGAGGGCAGGCGAGTGCGCCCTTCTGGATTACCATGCAGGCTGCTGACCGGAGTACAGCAAACCTGGAGCGGCGGCCGTCGCCACTTTCATGCACAATAACATCGTCGGGCTGCACAAGCATGGCCAAGGCGCCCTTCTTGGCGAGGTCGCATTTACCTGCCGCCGCGTGGGTACTATGTGCTCTACGGTTTTTTCTCCTCTCTGATCTCGCTTTTCAGTTCTCCGCGCACTGGGCTGCGATGTCGGACGACAAGACCGACTTCATCGTCGTACCTTTCAACAAGTTCGTCCACGAGGCCGATGGCGATGCGGCCATCCTCGAGGAGAAGGCGTTCATCCGGGAGAACATCCTCGGCCAGAGCAACCAGGCGATCGTGCAGAACAAGGACGCTCTCGATGAGATCTGCGGGCTCGGGTCCGATTTGAACATCAACGCGTTCGCGTGCAACTTCCGCATCAATGGCGAGGTCAACACGGATGTGGCGGAGGCGAACTACCTGAACAGTCGTATCTTCGATATTCTGTCGCTGACGGGCGTGGGCGAGCTGCCCGAGACGATCCCAATGTTCTTGAGTGCGACGACCTTCGCGCACGCGGACTATGGCGAGTGTGCGGATGCGTACAAGCGGTGAGCGTCGTTGGCTTGTAAGATGCTTAGGACACTGACTCATTTCCGACAGACGCTTGGGGCTCGAGACGGACTCGGAGCAGGATCTCTTCGTATTGCGCAACGTCTGCATGTCTCCGTTCCAAGCAGCGGGCGACTTCGTCCAGGAGCTCGCGAAGATCTTCCAGGAGACCCTCGAGAACGAGGTGCAGGTGAGTACTATCACGGAGGAAGTCGATAATCTGGTTGCTGACCGTCGCCTGCAGGTCGTCGTCAAGAGGAACACTGTGTCGCCTCAGATTCACGAATTCACAATGCAGGGCAACGAGCAGCTATATCTCACGTACCGTCCTCTGTTCAACCACGCGAACGGTCGTCAGCAAGTGATCCTGCGCGTTGGCGAGATGCCCGCGGATGCGTGGGAGAAGTATAAGGCGGCTGTGGCGAAGTTCCCGGGCTCGACCTACACCTTGCGCACGTCGTCGGCAACCAAGATGACCGAAGTCTTGAGGGCGTGCTCCTGCGGGGAGCGCAGCTTCACAGCCGACATATCCGGACCGTAGGTTATGTCCTTTGGCCTGTATTCATCAGGCTGACGACGACTTCAGGGAGCTTGATCTGCAGGCTGTCGATCTGTCCAAGGTCGAGATCGTCAAGCAGCGCGCGCTTAACTCGGCTTACTACGACAAGGCGTACCCCAAAACGACCACGCCGTTCTACGTGTACGGCTCGCCGACCGAGGTCCATGCCGACCACATGCTCCTCCGTGCCCCCAACGCCCAAATCTCGTCTGCGCACGTCAAGCTCGGCCTTGAGTCGGTGTTGTCCGCCGAGCAACTCGCCCGCGGTGTGATCGCCCACGTCGAGGTCCCCGAGCAAGCCCTCCAGCCCCTGGCCGAGCAGCACCCATTCTCGCCCGGCGCCAAATTCCGCGTCACCATCACCGAGGACGCGTTCGACGCGACCGCCCACGGGCCGAACCTCGCGGAAGGCGGCGCGCAGCTCGCGACGGGCACGCTCACCCTCGGCCGCGCGGTGTACACGAACGTGGCGGAGCTGAACACGCAGGACTTCGAGGTGGACAAGCGCGCGGCGGACTACACGTCGACGGGCGCGAGCGGGGAGACGAAGGCGGAGTGGGCGCGCGTTATTTCGGAGGAGCTGGGGTTGAAGCCGGCGGGTGGGAAGGTGGTGCAGCCGCCGAAGGGCAGCAACGTTGGCTCGGGCTCGGGCTTGGGCCTCGGGGCGAGGGTCTTCCAGGCTGGTGGCGAGGTCGCCGGAGGCGCCGTCAACGCGGGCGGCAGCGTGGCTGGAGGCGCCGTGAAGGGCGGCCTTGAGGTCACCGAGGGCATGCGCAAGGCCGGCCAGACGCTCTTCAGCGGGTTCAGGCTTTAAAATTTGAGAGAACGTTCGTTTGCACGCCGTGAAGGATGATGTTCTGGAGATATATTTGCTGTATCGATGCTTGTAACACAATGAGAGCTTGGTGAATGGAATTGCTCTTGACGGTCTTGACTGGTTCAAGCCAACTGCCAGGAACTCTTGGGATGTGTGCCTTTCCCTGGGAGTCGGAACATTCACTCTCAGACAACTTACGCTTAGAGCCAGCTGGCAGCACATTCTACAGACGAGCTTTGGCAATATTGCAGTAGTATATGTATCCCTTATGATTGACAAGATACCGCAGGGGATCTTCATTGTTCAAATCCAAAACTTCTCACTTTTCGTAAACTGTTTGATGAGGTCGGCGATGGCATATCGTCCCAGAACTCAGAGCGACTCACCCGCGGTGAATTCGATGTCATCTGACAGGCACGACGATGGTGTTAACACAATTCGCCTTGAACACCTGATTGCATGGACTGACCTGCAGCCTCGCCGGAGTGGGCCACTTCTGGCCGTAGTCCTTGTCGTCGCGGTAGAAATCCCAAGGCCGGTGGTCAAACAATAATGGTGGAAGGGGGATCGCAAGTCCTAGGTGTGCGATGAAAGGAGAGCCAAATAAAAGAGCCGTGAAGCGCTCGGTAGTCGAAGGTATGAGCAGGACTGGGTTGGAAGATGGCTCCAGCTCCCGGGTGGCTCTCCGTCTGAGGTATTCTTCCTTCTTCCTCCGAAAGTCGGCAGCCATTTTGTTTCTGCGGAGAAGCTTGAATATGATGACGGTGGGTACGGTGAAGCGATGCATATACCGAGCGACTGAGAGCAGCTCCTCGAGGGAAGGATTGCGTGCTCGACCCGCATCAGACTCTACGCGGCGTTGAATGAGGGTATCGGCTCTCCAACGCCCATGGAGGCTTACCTAGTACGCGCACCAGCACCTGAAGACATGATAAGAAAACTATTATCCGATGGATATATAGTCCACGCTTACCTTTGTCATTGAGACGTTCTTCACCTCAACAGCGGACTCCTCGTCTTTGCACGCGCTAAAGCATATCTGCACATAGTGAGTTCAGCCATAAATCATGTATAAGAGAAGTCGAGCGCTGAATACGCACAACCCATGGATCGTCCGGCTGGTTCACTCGACGACAGAAGCCCTGACAGAAGCGCAAAGAGTGCGAAAACCGTGCGATGGCGGAGATGACTGGGAAGTTGAGTGAACAAACGCGTTCCACACCAGCATGGCGCTGAATCACTGCGTTGTCGACGTTGGGAGCAGATATAGGAATTCCGAGGACGTGGCTGGCTTGCTCGCGCACTGTAGGAAGATCAAGATGAGGGACTACACGAGAGGATAAAAAATACGAACACCATCGTATGGCCGAAACGACTGAACGTTTATCAGCAGCAGAACTTCCGAACCGAAGAAGACTATTCGCTCACCGCCCCCGACCCAGCCGTCCGGGCACATGCATTTATCGTGTACAAGGTCTTATCGGAATCAGCGCGCAAGGGTTTATAGAAACACTAGGGTGCGTACCCAACAAAGTGGCGGAATGGCACGCGTCAAGGAAGGCCTTATCAGGGTAAGCTGAGTGGATCTAAACCACGACGGTGAGAAATACTCACAACGAAGCGACAGCGAGACTTCAGCGGCTGGATTAACAAGTTGTGAAGGTCCTGGATCGGAATGTCGGGCGCCTGCAAAGAAAACATTCACCACCATGTACGCACATTGTCAAGGATGCATCCATCCCCTTGCATGTTCGGTGCGTCGCATGGGACGATGTCTGAAGTCATATCAGCGCGGGATTCAGAGAAGTGGAGGCCGCACGTACACTCGTCTTTGCCGTCCGCCTCCGAGTTTCTGATGAGCTCATCCTTCTGCTCCGCATGTCCGGCGTCTAGGCATCGACTGTTACGAACTATTATATGATCGTGAAGCGGCTCGCCTACACAGAAAGACGAAGCGATCACCTAAACAGAGTCTTCAGTAGGGGATTAACGGTGTTTCAAAGAGACTTACGCGAAGCGCAGTCTTGGGTAAAGCTTTTGAGCTCACGTCGCTATGAAGAGAGAAGGATGTGAGAGGGTCGAGCATACGCGGTTGAGGACGCCCACAATGTTAGCCTCTGTAGGCCATAGATGGTCGGGTACGCCGTCCTTGTCCATCATGACCGTGATTTCCGATGGAAGCCATCCGAAGCGGTCTGCATGTCGTCGGGTCAGCTCGAAGAGTTTCCCGGAAATGCGTCCGACGGCTCACTGACGAGAAGCCTTCGAAGGCTCTTCACGTCGCCGTGGGTCCCGTACAACCACCAGTCCTTGTTCCTTCTTCGGTATGAGATCCCGATCAGGAGCGCGCGTCGGCGGACTGGACGAGTGCAGCGAGGGTGTAGTCGACTAATCGCTAACAGGACGTATGGCACGGAGCTCCGTCTGGAGGTGCTCCCAATCTTGAGGCGACCGTGTTGCGATACGCGGGAGCGATAGACCGAGAATGCCCAGCGAATGAAGAAGAAAGTGGCCTTGAAGGTCCACAGCAGCGTCGCTATAGTCCAAGAGAGCATGACGGCGAGGGAGCAATTGGGGAAGATGCAGATTGAGGATCATCCTACAGTATTTAAAGGGGATGGCGTCCCGGTGCTTGGCTGTGTCGCGGATCTAAAGCGAGCAATGAAGAGGGAGTACCGGGGGTCGTGTGAGGTGATGGTGAGTCACATCGGTTGCCTCCCGGAGATATTACACAGGTTGAGAAATTCACACGCTTGCAAAGTTTGCCCTCACACGGATCAGACGAAGTCGACATTTGAGGCCGAGCTTGCGCGCTAGAAAGAGGTGATGGGTTGTCAAATTGGGCGCTTCGCTACAGCAGTAGTCGAGCTTGGGTAATTCCACAAGGCTATCAACACGTTTCAGCAGTCAGAAAGGACCCTTGACCCAGTCAGAGATACGATGGGGAATCCATTCTATTGTGGTTTGCATATGCCTGGAGGATGAGGTACATTGGTCCTACCCAATGTACCCACTATGCGTCGATGAGCGCTTGCGGACGACCTTCCAAATAGGGTAATTACAACGGTCAATCACAAGTGCAAACTAAAGAGCGTCGCCTATAAGCGGTAAGAAGCATGGGAAAGAACTCAATCCGGCCGACGAATGGCCAACAGCCCTGATCAACGCTACATACAGCTTCACGTAGCAGAAGTCTCCGGTTCAGTGCGCTCGTGTCACATGTGGGCCTCACCTGCGGCAAGGTCCCATGCGCTCGCGTGTCAGCAGGTGAAGTGGGAGAGGACTATAGGAGCGGCTCAATTTAGTAGGTCATTCAATACAGCTTATCGCGCATCTATCGTCCGCAGCGGCTTCCTCAGCGCAGCTAGGCAGAATGGCACTGATAGGGTATCTTCTGTGTACAGGTTCAGTGCCGATAGCTATGTGCGCACTGGCAAGGGGAGTCTGTGCCGAGGAAGGAGGGGCGCGGCCGTATGAGGAACCTCGCATGGTGGCCTATCGCGGTGATCTGCTTCACATCTGTGATTCTCCCGCACGTATTCCCATATGTTCAGCGAGTGAGACCGGACGTAAGAAGCGGTACGTTGTCGGAGTATACCAAATGGCCTGCCCTCGCCTAAGCAGAGACCTTGAGGATGATAACGTGTGTAGGAATGTGCTCTATAGTACAGATTGCAGCGAAGTAAGGGACGGGACCAATGTCCTTCAGAAGCCCTTTTTATCTGACATGCCGTAAGAGACAATGCGCGTGACAGATGGTACATCAATGCGACGGATAAGGAAAATCTGATTCCCCTTCACGGGTGCTTGCCGATGTTGTTGAACTTCCTAAAGGGGTAACCAGAGGTTTGCTTGTGCCTGTTTGTGTCCTTCCAAAACTATGGATTATCGCGTGTAAAGGGCTATGGTAGTATTAGTCTTGATGAGAGGTACGCATTCTAGCATGGCGAGACTGCAGAGTATCCCAGCAAAGACTTAGCCAAGTTGTGAGGCAGATGGGCACCCAGTAATGATAACCTTCCAAATAAAGTAACTTCTTTGCCTGCGGTTGTTTGCCTGCACGCGCTTGCATCCTGCCGCAAGTGGCAATAATTGCTTGCTAAGCCTGAGACGTTGGGCCTCATAGAAAGGGCGTGTACTGAGCATAGTCAACCAGAGTGCTCATGTCCGACAATCGCTCGTCCGCATTTCGATATCGACGTCGGCCATGGCGACGTGGCGAGGGAGGAGACGCAGGCGGAGGAAGGATGCGGGACTCGTCGCGGTCCAGCGCTTATATGAACTCGAACAAAACACCTTGGGGCAGCATTCCGGACGATTACGCCCCTCTACCGTCGTATTTCAGTGCCAGGATTAAAGAGACTTGAGTATGCAGCAGCTTTCCGCGCGCCCAGGATGCCGCGCCACTTACGTCTAGGACCACATGTGGCGCGCCTCACATGCAACTCTGAGGATACCGGCATAAACGGGACGCAGGGGTCCATCTTGACGTCGCTCGGGCGTGATGGCTTTGGGAACCTTTTACGTGGATGGGCAGCTACTACCCGCCCCATCCTTCGCAGCATCCCCTGTGCTACGCAGAAAAGTCCCTCTCTGCCTTCCACCGAGGTCCTCAATGCATCTTCCAAGCAAAAGCAGAGTCACCTCAGCTCTCTGCAGAACCAGGTGTGAGGGGAAAGTGGCGTGGGACGCTTCTTCGGGGATTACCGACATCAGAGCCGCGTTGACACTGCCTTGCCCCGAGTACCTCGTAGAGCACCGTCTACAGCTGCTGACATACGACGTCTATGCATGCTGTTTCTGCGACCAAGTGCTGGACCGCCCCATTGCACATCCCAATGCATCTTCTTACCGCGTCACTGCCCTCGTCCGATCGGAGAATACAGAGAGGCGACGGCAGTTCTGCGTACATCCTACCGTGCGCACTTTGGACAACATCGAGCTCACTGAAGACGCGGCGAGTGCATCGAACGTCGTGTTCGGCGCAGTGCGTGATATGGGATGGATTCCATCTACGCTTGAGCTGACATGCGTGCAGGCGAACGTCGTCCGTGTAACTTCTGCTGAGGTGGTCCTTTGAAGTTCGGAGGGAAGTTCGACGCGCGCAGCGCACAAGCCAGCATCTACGACGACGTGAACCCCGCTCGGATTGAAACCCTCCCTCATCAACATCGCCGTCGTCGACGCAGGCATGATCGGCTGCGTCTGCACCTACATCGACCTCCCCCTCCTCGTACGGCTTCGCCAGCCATTAGCTCAACCGGGCGGGCGCGACCAAGTACAGGTCGCTTCAGGTGCCGCAGCTCGCGCGCGGCCATCTTGATGTCGTTGACCATGCGATTGGGGAGGCGATGGTCAAGCTTGAGGCGCTCGGCAGGCGCTGAGCCGCCGTTGTTCATGGAGGACGAGGGGTTGAGAAGAACTCGGGGGTACGCTGATCCGTCTTGATGCGTGCTAGGTCTCGTTCACAAACCTGGTTCTCGTTCGGTGTACTGATTGCGCGCCCAGGGCTCGTCTGAGTCAGGCTTTAACTCGCGGTGCATGGCTACCCAGTCCGAAGAAGGCTCTGGGGCGGAAGCCGACGAAGACGGTGGACGACTTCTTGAGGAGCATCTATCAGGACGTCGAAGAGTGTACAAAGAACCCGTCTCCGCTATGAGCAGAAGAATCATAAGAATTGTGAGTCCTTCGTGTTCGAATCGCATGCTCGTCAAGGCTGACTCGTGTGTAGAAGTACAGTGTATCATAGTACATGGCTGCGAATATTATGCGACTGTTTGATTCATATCTTCGACATGGGTATACGGCTCCGATAGCTGACCGAGTCATGCGTGTGCTGTAGGCGACGCGAGAGCATCGATTCGCGAGCGCGACTGCTAGGCCCATCGCAGCATGGATATCGATCGGAAGAATGGTCTGCGCGTTACGTTGAGGCCGGGTATGGCCTTGCGAGTAGCTTACTCACGCAATCGCCACCCCTCAGGCTTTGTTCGCCGTCGACGCGCTCGGGGTGTTTGGGCCAGTCTGCCCTCTCCCTGCCTGCGTTCGCGAGGGCGCCTCCTGCGCGGCTGCGTGCGCCGGCGGGCGATCACACGAGCTCTGGGCATTCCGAGATCGTGGCGGCGGGGACACGAAGCGCGTGAAGTGATGCACCGCGAACGGGTCGAACTGCTCGGGGAGGATGGAGGACGGTATCATGACTTTGGGTAGCGGTGGACGAGTGGCTCTGGGTGATGGTTGAAGATGCGGCGAGCACAAAACCCGGGGCTGCGACGCGTCGAGGCGCGAGTGAAGAGCGGGTACGCACTCTTGGAGGTAGGTACGCGCTCCTCCTCACTTATTTATGCCCGCACTTACCTTTCAGCCCCCCAGTCTCCACCTTCATCGGCGCCCGAATGTGTTCAACACGGATTCTCCGGGGATAAGGGCCTGCTGACGCGGCGGGCGGCGTCCCAGGTGGGGTGGATGGGAAGCACGTAGCTGTGACCGCTCAATGACCCCGTTAGCCCGCTCCATACACGCTCTGATGCTCTCAGATATCGCTCCATGCGTGCTCTGCCGCCGCTCCATTCAATCAACTTATGACCGCGACTTTCAAGCCCAGCGGAGGCTTTAATCCCCACATTCGTGCTCGACTGCCCCTGCTCCAGAGGTCTGCTGGACGCGCGGGGTGCGCTGGCGGACCGACGGCGTCCGCAATGACGCATGGATCTGCACTGGGAATCGGGAGGTATCGGGTACCTCGACTCTTCAGCGAACTTCGGGGGCGACTAGAAGCGTAGGCTGAGGACGACTAGAAGCTTGCGCTGAGGAGACCATGGATGCGGCTTCGACGTGCCAGCGGGTATACGTCAGTATACGCTGTTGATGCTAAGAAGGGGCACAGGAACAGTGTATATCGGGCGGGCGAAAGTTGATGGATTGGTGGATGGATCACAACTTGCGTCCGGTCAAGCAGCAAGACCAGCAGTCTTGGCCCGCGTTGCGGCGGGCCGTCCCTAACCTCTTACATTTCCTTTTACATCTGTTTGCCAAAGTCGTGTTTGTGAGAGGGTACAACATTCATGACATTACATATGTTCAATCGTAGATAATGGAATAGGCATATACATAGTCGCGAAGTATTAGGAAAGCAGTATTGTAAGCAAGTGGCGATTCACGTTCGAGCCGCAGACGAGATCTACCAAGTAACCTCCGTCAAGGTGATCCCCATACGACGAGCCCGGTCGATGGTGGCCTGCGCGAGCGGAGCGGCAATCTCGACGGTGTGAAGCACGTCGCGAGCACCGAGAGAGCGGTGGCGCGCCTCTAGGGCGTCGAGCAGCTGGCTCGGCGCGAACTTCTTGATGCGGAGGACGAGGGTGCGCAATGCGGGGAGCTGGGTGCCCGTTACGAGAGCCTCGATGAGGATGCTTTGGATATCCGTGTTGGTCTTGAGGCGGAGGGTCTCGAGGTTCGCCGCCGAGTTAGACTTCAGGTATTTTGAAAGACCTGCGCGATAGCCGAACCGCATGTTGAGATGGAGGTGCTTGAGCTTCGAGGGGCTGGTGTGCTTCTCGGCGAAGTCGAAGACCGCCGTGTCGAACCCCACGGTCGTCCGTCCTGGCCGCAGGACCTTGAGAGTCTCGAGATCCCACGCGCGCATCATCAGCAGCAGGGCTGTATGCTGACCTTGCCTTTTTGCTTCGGTATTGTTGCCTCGCAGGGTGAGAGACTTGAGCCGGGCGGCGAGTAGGCGTTGTTGCGAGATCATCTTGGGGGTCAAGTCGGCGGAGTAGGCGATGTCGCTGGAGTCGATGTCGTACGTCGGTCTGTGAGGTAGTCCACTCGTCTCCCGAATCGAGCAAATAACATCGCCTATGCTATCGCACTCGATGGGGATGTGACTGGGCGGATTGGGTGTGGCATTCACTGAGAACATCAGTACCATGAAGGGTGGAGGGCGAACGGCCAAATGCATACCATGACCGACGGAAGTATGGTTGCCAATCGAATGCGAGGACGCCTGAGCCCCTGGATGGCGTTGGCTGTCCATGCAATGAGCATTATGTCAAACTTGAGTCAGGAAGAGTCAGCTTACCGTCGAGACGGGTCCCCCAGGACTGCCCGTTGCTTGTTGGTTGGCTTGTTGACCATGATGGATGAGCGAGATTGTTGTTGCTTAATACTCAAGTAGCGTGGAGCTGTACTTCCCGGGCTGCCATTGCGCTCTTTATACGCAGGGGAACGAGGGACTCATGAATTTTCCCAGGAGACATAGACCTGGTCATACACGTCTTGGGCGGGCTATGATAGACGCCCAGCGCCCGCTCGCAAGTTTATGACCTTACGAAAGTAGGCGCTTCGCCGCCGGTCACGATCGTGACTGCGAGCCACCGGGACCCTACAACGTCAAGTGTGCGCTCGAGAGGACGCTGATAGCGCTCGCAAGAGCGATCTCGGGATGCGTACTGTCGATGCGTTTGCCGCAGGATAGGTCAGTAGATGATAGAAACACTTGCCAAGACCGTGCTCACGAACCTGTTCATAAACATTGCGTGTGCTCGAGAAGCTGCGGATAAGTTCTTGAATGGTCATCGATGGGCTATGACCGGGTTTTGTGTCTTTGACCTCGTGTGGACCTCGTGGCGTGCGCCTGGAATCGGAGGCGATGCTCCTGCGCTACTGCTGCAGCAGTAGAAGATCCAGTTGTGTCTTGGGATAGAAGCACAAATCCGGAGAATATCCATGCGCTCTGAAGGGAGGATTACTGGGATAAGCATATCGCAGGCGCAGTGGCCGGAGAGAACAATGGACGAGTCTCAATCTGATGCCGATCCGGATCACAAGCCGATGCCTCGTGCCCATCGGTATAAAAGGCGGGCGGCATCCCCCTTGTTCCCCTCCTATCTCAGCGTCGAATGCAGTACCCAACCAACCACAATCTTGCAGTAGCTGAGGACCAGCGTCTCCAGTCGGACGTGCTAGGCATGCCACCTTCCGTGGCTGCCAGCACGTCCGGCGACCGTCACGGCGACAGGCGCTTAACGGCAGATGCGTTTTGTGGGTGGATCGCCACTGCGGACTCTGCGTACGCTGTCGGGTCGACAGCCGAACCAGTGGCCGCGAGATCCGCCATCGTTGGGCCTGCCGCGGAAATTGAAGAGACGATGTCGCTATTGTAGCGGCATCACCAGCTCTCGACGATAGATGCGGCGGGTGGGTCTGCTTTGACCGTGGGCGGGTCGTAGCGCCGTCGATGCTGCCCGACTTACTTCGCACGAAGTTGGTGGGTGGCGGAGGTGCGACGGGCTCGTCCGCTGCCTCAGATGTGCATCGCCGATGATGTTACCTGTCTTCGGGCAGGCAACGGAGGTGGCGCACGTTCTGGGGCGCCGGCAGGGTGTGGCACGCTCGTTTCTGATGCGTCCTAGTAGCTGGGGGCCTTCAGGCGCTCAGCGAACGTGTACACATTAGCGCGGACGTGCTACCCTCTGTCGGCAATTTTTGGAACCTTTCCCATCCTCTCTGAGGACGTGTGGAACTATCCGGCCAGGCGGGGGGCGATTCGACTGTTCTCCCCGCCCCTCATCGTCAAACGCAGTACCTAATCAGCCGCAATCTTGCAGTTTTAGACACGACCGGTGCCTCCAGTCAGATGCGCTGAGCGTCCCACTTTCAGTGGCTGCCAGCGTATCGGGCGACTGGCAAGGCGAGGCGCTTTACAAGGCGGATGCGTTTTGTGGGTGGATCGCTACTGCAGTCTCTGCGTATGCTGTCGGGTCGGCAGCGTAACCAGAGGCCGCGAGATCCGCCATCGTTGGGCTCGTCGCGGACGTCGAAGAGCCAATGTCGCTAATGCAGCGGCATCACCAGGTCTCGACGATGGATGCGGCGGGTGGGTCTGCGTTGACCGCGGGCGGGTCGCGGTGCTGTCAAAGCTGCCCTTCCTTCTTCATATGGGGTTGGAGGGCAGTGGAGGTGCTGTCTACTCGCCCGCTGCCTCAGACGTGCGCCGTCTACGATGCCCTGTCTTCCCGGGCAGGCAACGAAGGTAGTGCGCGTTCTGCGGCGCCGGTAGGGCGTATCACGCTCGGTTCTGAGGTGTCCTAGTAGCTGAGTGCCTTCGGGCGCTCAGTGAAAGTGTACACCCCTGGGCGGACGTGCTGCACTCTGTCGGCAATTTTTGGGATCCTCCTCATCCTCTACGAGGACTTGTGGAACAATCAGGCCAGGGGATAACAATGATCTCGTGGGGTGCACTTCGGATCTTAATTGTCCTGTTCAGTGAATTTATTGACCTTTCAGCTGACTGGTATGGAGGCGGGCGGCGATTCAATTGTTCTCCCCCTTCCTTGTCGTCAGACGCAGCACCCAACCAACCACAATTTGCAGTTTTAGCTACGACCGGTGTCTCCAGTCAGACATGCTGGGCATGCTGCTTTCACTGTTCAGTGGCTGCCGGCACGTCTGACGAATGTCATGGCGACAGGCGCTTTACAAGGCGGATGCGTTTTGTGGGTGGATCGCCACTGCGGTCTCTGTGTACGCTGTCGGGTTGGCAGCGTAACCAGAGGCTGCGAGATCTGCCATTGTTGGGCCCGTCGTGAACGTTGGAGAGCCGATGTCGCTGGAGAGTCGGCGGCATCACCAGGTCTCGACAATGGACGCGGCGGGTGGGTCTGTGCCTGCGACGCGGGCGTGTCGTAGTCCCGATGATGCTATCTTCCCTTCTTCGTATGAGGTCGGGGGGTAGCGGAGGTGCTACGTACTCGTCCGCTGCCTCAGACGTGCGTTGCCGGTGACATTCCCTACCTTTGCGGGTAGGCAACGGAGATGGCGCACGTTCTGTGGCGCCGGTAGAGCGTGGCACGCTCGTTTCCGATGCGTCCCGTAGCTGGCGCCTTCGGCCGCTCAGCGAACGTGTACACATTGGCGCGGACGTGCTACTCTCTGTCGGCAATTTTTGGAACCTTTCCCATCCTCTCTGAGGACTTGCGGAACGCTCGGGCGTAGGATAGCAATGATACACACAGAGTGGATGCTAGTACTCCATTATATCAATGTGTAATCGTCGAGGCTCAACAGCTCAGATCCCCAGCTGCATCTGTATACGTCTTCGTCAATAGGACGGGATGCCGTGCGTGATGTTGTATGTTAGCTCTGGGTTCTCAATGATAGGGAGCTCGTCTGGGAAGCGTGCAGCGAGCAGGTCGGCGACCATCCTGTAGAAGTTTGTCAGTATGTCGAAGAGGAAATGGGATGTCTCGCCTAGCGCGACACAGATGGTGGCCCCAGGCTTCGACTACGAATCCACGCACCTGCCGAAGACAATGGTCCCGTTAATGTTCAGGTCTGGATTGTTAGTTAGCGAAAGACCTCTGACTCACGATGGAGCGTACGACTCACGAGTATTGTCGTCTGGCTCACGATTCAGACGATGCGCGGCGTCCTCGCCGATAGCCTCGACGTAGTCTATCGAGGCCTGGTGGAGGTCGATGTAGGGCGCATCTTGGTCCTCGGCGACTGCGATGGTTTCTGTTCGGGGGTCAGATGTGAATAGGAGAAGAATGTAATAGGAAAGCAAAGGAGGGGAAGGGAAGCTACGGAGATGATAGTAAGTAAGAAAGCGAATTACGACGCACCATCCGCCCAAGGACCCAACGTATCCGCCACCGTGCCGTCGTCGTTGAATGACCGTCGTGTCAAGCTGGTCACGAGCACGGGTTCCGCGCCGAGCGCGCGCAACTCTTGCACCATCGCGGTGAGGTTGGCGCCCATGGATTCGGGCGGAGCTAAAGAGGGGTCAGTATACGCGGTCACCTAGAATGAATCCCAACCTTGAAAGATTAGGAATGCTCACCTATCTTCATATCGTTATGCCCAAACTGGACTGTGACGATGGTGCGCTGACCCTTCGCGAGCTCGCCAGTGACATAGTCGAGAGCGGTATCCCAGTACCCGTCGGCGACGAAGCTGCCGGTGGTAGCCTGCGAGAGATGGAGGATGCGAAGTCAGCAGGAGATTGAGAATGTGTCGTCAGGATGGCGACTGGGGAGCACTTACCCCGTTATGCGCCGCGTTGATGCAGGGCGTGTCCGGCTCGAGGGAAGACGGTGTGGGCTCGGACGCGTTCGTGCTTCCGCAGAAGCCGTTTCCCCAGCTTCGACTCACTCGTAAGTAGAAGGATGGGCAAACTGAAGCTCTGGCTTACCCGCCGCTGTTTGGTGTTGTCCTGATGTAGGAGTCAGCGTAGAGCGCAAAAATGAGGAACGGAAAGTTGTACCAACCCATTTGCCGTAGTGCTGTCGCCCACGAGTACGAAGGATACTCCTTGCTGTCTGGCGGGTAGAAACCCGCGCGGTGTTCCATACGCGAGAGGACATGTCGCTGCTAGGAACGCAGAAACAAGCGAGAACTTCACCATTTCGCGCGCGTGGGTAAGACTTCGTACGGCCCTCGCGTCGAGACGGAAAGCTGGTGCATGCTGAGAGGATGATATATGGCCGCCCGCAAGGTCACGAGGCAAGAGAAGGACGTGCAAGCGCGCAACGCAACAGGCGGTGGAAGGGCCGGACGATGAGCGCCCGGGCCGTGCAGGGTGGTCTTCACGGTCATGCGATCATGATTCAGGTGCGCCTGGGATGAGAAAAAAAAAGGAAGGGCGGAGGTAGGAGGGCTTGACAAGTAGCTTCGACAGGTCGTATCTTCTGCGCCATAATGTGATTGAGGAAGTAGAGCGCTTGATGGGAGGAGTATGACGGTGAAGGGAAATCGGCCCCGTGGGCTGTGGCGGGCCGGCAGAAACGTCAGTCTCATCCGAAAATTATCCCAAGCTCACATCCGAGCATCCTCCGAGTCAGCGCGAGCAAAGAAGTTCTTGTTCCACACAGATGACATTCATCCTACTCATTTTCCCAATACATCGGACCCCATCAACCCTTAAATATACCCATAACTTAGCAAACAATGTCTGGACATCCGTTAGCATCGCCTTCCCAGTCAAGTGCAAATTCACCACTCACTGCGTGCGTAGTACCGGTAATTGTCGGCATTGTGCATGGCCTGGTCGTGGTTAAGTGCAAGCGAGCCGTCGACGCCGTACACCGTGTCGAGCGTGCCGTACAAGTGCGAGACCTCGTGCACGAGCACGTCCGCCTGGCCGTTGCCGCCCGGGCACTCGGGCGTGTTGAGCGGGAAGGTCCAGAAGGGGTCGCACATGTAGACGGTGCCACCGACGATCTGGCCGTTGCTCATGGCGATTGCGGCGTAGGCGACGACGCTGGGAAGGTCGGGTCAGTAAGCGTAGGGATGAAGGAGTAGACGAACCCAGCGCTGCAGCTGCCCTGGCAGTTGGTGGAAAACTTGGCGGGCTCGCCGACGTTGGTGGTGACGCCGATGTTATCGAACATGGCGCCGACGGTGTTGCGGTCGGCCTGAGAGTTGGACTTGAACCACTTGTTGAAGCTAGTGCACGTGATCAGCATCGTGTTCGACCGAGGTGCTAGACGACTTACATGGTACCCGTGCCGGTCTTCGCGACATTCGCGGCGTTCGTCGCGAGGGAGTGCGCACGTCCGTACGCATTGATGAGGGTCTGCTTCCTACCAGCGTCCGGGCACCCTTCGACCTTCACGCGCTTCCCGAGCTCCTTCGCGGCGAACTTCGCCTTCGAGGCGGCCACGCCCTCGTCGGAGATCGTGATCGTCGCGTTCGCGGTGTAAGGCAGGACGCCCGAGGGAGTCTGACCAGCCCACCGGCCTTCGACGTACTCAAAGACGTTGTCAGTGATGGCGAGATAGTCGCCCGGGGTGTCGAGGAAGTGAGTCCCGGCGAAATCAATTTCGCTGGATGCGGAGGCGCCTGCGGGGAGGAACTGCCATGCAGCCTCGTCGGCGAGAGACATGTCGTAGAACACGCCAATCATGCCGCCAAAGGTGGTCGCATCGCCTGAGCAGAAGGTGGATTAGCAACCGCATAGGGTGAAAGCCGAAAAGGAACATACCGCTTTCGACATCGTGCAGGTCGAACTGCTTGATGGGAAGGTCGGAGAGGATGGAACCCCACTTGAGCAGGGAGACGTCTTTGTTGCCAGTGTTTGTGACAGTGGCAATGACCGTGGTTGCGGACTCGCCAGGTGCGAGGTTGACGCTGACACTGGGTGCCGCGATGGCGAGACGCGCGAGGAATGCGACGGCGAGCGTGCAGTAGAAGACTTGGAGAGCTCGAAGACCAGTAATCAAGAGGTGAGCTCAACGCCTCTTATATATTGGACGCCAAGAGCAACCCATACAGGTACAAGGCTTCGAGACGTTAGTACGAAAGGTCTTCATCTCACCGACCTCGGTAGCGGGCGTCGCTGGGACATGAGCGACCGTATTAGCGCAGAGATCTGCACAGCGGCGTCCTGATTCACACTGTTCGAGGACTCCTCGGTGAAGTTCTCGGCGAGGACGGTCGATGGGTATCGTGCCTTCCCGCAGGGGCCGCACCGCGCCGCGCGGAGGATGTCCTGTGCGGGAGTCGACCTCGATGAATCCGGCTGTATCAAACAGGTAGATACGCCGAGCTGCGTTGAGTACACAATGTATTTCGATTTGCTTGGGCATGGAAGTAGACGACGTGCATCGAATGCGAGGTGGAAGTTCAGGACAACCATACTTCGATCAATGGTCCGAATCTATATTGAACTGTGTTTGGTTTGCAGGTCGCCGGCAAGTTCCGATTCACCTGTTCCAAGAAATGTGCTGGTTCCTTGCAAACCTAGGCATGCGCGGCCGCCACTGGTGGGAGGAATCCAACGTAGCGAGCTGTAGCGAAATCCCCGAAGCTGTACGATACCGCAAGTGTACAGCTCGGACTGAAGGAGTCTACTGAGATTCAGCGGACAACGGCCACCGATGGAATCCACAAGGCTCCTACGATCCTCCGATTCCCTTCGCCGAGACCGTCAGTTACATGTACGCGTCCAGGTCGAAGGGGCAGACGGTGAGTATGATCTGTGCGACCCATGTGCATTGGCTTGTACTTAGGCAACAAATCCCTACGGATGGACGAGGAAAAAGAGGAGATTGAAAGTGATTCACCACCTGCCCGGCGCATGAGCTTCGAGATACTCAATTTATGAATGGGAAGTACGCACCCAAAGTTCTCCGCATGCAGGTAGACCTCCCGACAATGCCCAAAGCCATCAAAGATGGTCAGCTCTTCCTCCGCGACCGCCCTTCGCACGTCGTACAGGAAGGACAAAGGTCCGCAAGCTGCGAGATGTAGTAGTCAGACGATATACCTGATGGAACAGTGCAGCTTCCTCGAACCTGCTATGGCGAGCCTGCCGCGGGTCTCCCGCGCTGCCTCATGCACGATACGCGGAAGATCCGGCCTACCAGCGAGGAGATTGTCGGATGAAGACTCGGGTGCCTCCTTGGCCGGCTTGTCTTCGTGTGTAACGTGTATCGATACGCGCAGAACGCCGGATGGGACCAGAGACTGAGCATAGGCGAGTTGGTCCTGGAACCACTCAAGCGAATCTATGTACCGTGAGCGCCTCTACATCACACCGGAAGGTGTTGCTCACCAGTACTCTTGACGGCGATTACAAAGTCTACGCGCTTGCAAGACGCCGCCCCCGCCTTCAGCGCACGGGCAAGATCCTGGAGAAGCGGAAGCGTGAACGTCGCACCTGCTCCTCATCAGCAACGCCACCCTGTCCCCGAGCTTAATATCACTCACCGCTTCCTCCAGCTAGCAGCAGAACCCGGTTGTAAGCCGCCAGCGTCACATGTACACCCCCATACGGCCCATCGACCAGCACGCGCATGCCGAGGCCGACCTTCCCGGCGGCGCGAGCTGCCAACGCCGCGGTCGTCCCGCCATGGACGCGGAACACGACCTCCAACTCGCGGAGAGTCGACCCGTCCGCCTCTCGCAAACCAGCAATCGTGAACGGATGACTGGTGAGCGAGTGCACCCCCGCGCCGAGGAAGCGGAGGAAGACGTGCTGGCCAGGGGCCGCGCGAACCCGACGAGGAGCGTTGATGCGCACGCGCACGAGACCGGTGTTAAGGATGTCGGGTTGGCGTTCGGAGAGCACGTCGAGGGTGGCGGGGAGGCCGGTGAAGCCGCTGTTGTAGACCGAGCGGGCGAAGCGGATGAGCCAGGCGAGAGCCCAGGCGGCAGCGGTTCCGAAGAAGTAGTCCCTGTAGCTGATGTGAGCGGGGTTGCGCTCAAGGAAAAGAGGGAGGTATACCATGAAGACAGCCTGAAGTTGACGTGAACGAAGAGGGCGGCCATGAAAATTCCCGCAGCGCTATTAATCATCGTCAACTTTGTGGCCAACGGCATGACACATGCGTCGGTGGACATACATGAAGTGCAGCCTAGAGAGGGGATCAGTAGGGATGCACTTGCAAGGGGCGAAAGGCGTACTTCTTGAAAATCTCGTAGTACTTGTTGCGGAAGATCCCCCACGACAAGATTACGAGGTACGTCTGAGGGACGAGCGCGGCGACGCCAGTCCAGTAGAACACTGACGTCTCCCAATTCTCGACCATTGTGCCCTCTCGAATGTTCATGACGATGAAGGGGAAGGTGTGCACCAGAGAGGGTATGTCTGAACGTTGCCGTCAGTCCTCGCATGTCCAGACGCCGAACTGGCGAGCGCGGAAGTTTAAGAAGAAAGCACGCACACATCAACACCGCCGACCACCGATGGAAGACCTGCAGTCGCTCGTGCGATACGCCCGTGAGCATCCCGACGAAGTTGACTTTCGTGGCGAACACACTGTGCACGATCAGAACGAATGTAAGCTCAGACAGGGCGCGACGCACATCATGAAGGGCATAATGGCGATGGCGATCCAGCCGCTGCGGGTCGCGATGGGCATGCTATGCCCCATGGCCATGTTCGGCCAGTAGTAGGGGCGGACGGCAAGCATAAGGGCTGAAGGAGGATTAACAACGAAATAAGCATCAAAGCCATCTAGCAGCAGTACAGTGCACGTACCGAAGACGAAGATGGTCATGCTCGCCACAACGAGGATGGCAGCAAGGGGCGGTGAATACCATCCGAGCGACTGAACACGATATTGACGAGCGGATGCGTAGCGGCAGCCTGCGACGAGTCGGTTGAGAATTGTTGGTCGAACTGACCGCCCGGAGGCGAGCTCGTTGACGACCAAGGCTTCCTCAGGAGACTTGTCGTCCTTCTCGTTTTGAGAGGCGACCGACTCGGTTCTGTCATACGCTATAAGAACAGGAATTTCCCGCGAATTCAGCCAGAGCCGCTTACCTCTTGACTCGCAGGTACGCTCTATCCCGCAAAAGGACTGTCGCGTACAGCAAAGTCGCTGCCCCGATACCAGCGCAGAAGAAGGCGATGGTCGTCTGCCCGTAATCCCAATCCGCGCGATACCACTGAAAACGGTCAATCACGAAAAAGTAATCGAGGACACCAACACCTACATCTAGCCATTTCGTCGTGATCATCGCAGCCTGTTCGTCGGACATGCTGCTATGGTCGATCGCGCCGCGCTCGCGCGACGAGTGCACCATGATGGGGCGCGTCAGCCAGACCATGATGAACGCAGGAGACAAGGCGGATAGGAATCGGACTCCAGAAAATGACCAACGTAAAGTCAGGTATGTATATTTGTCGCACGGGGCGAGTAACTACGCATGAATAACACCCGCGGGTGGGGACGGCAATACATACTACGAGCATCCGATTCGCTGCACCAGAGTAAGCCCCAGAAGTAGTCGGAAAGGTCCCCAAAGAGCTAAGAGAAGATCGCGAGGAGCTGGCTCAGAGTGGCTCGAGACGCGGAAAGTCAATGCGCGGCAGGGACGGGGTGTGGTTCTGCCCGCACTGTATGGGCCCAGAGGGTACCTGTGGCGACCTTGCGGGTGTCCGCAGTTCCGATGGGGAGGGAAATTGATCAAAGGATGTTCAACGGCATGGCGATAGGTGCGGAGGGGAACTTTCTTGCCGAACGATGAGGAGCGTTTTTGCGTGCGCAGGCGGCAGCTGTGTGGTCGCCGACGGCGAGCGCTTATCGATAGACACGATAGGAGATAGGAGATGAGCCGTAGCGAGGTTGACGACAACTGGATGGGCGACGAGGCGAGCCGCAGAGGGAAGAGCGGTCGGTGGCTCACTTGAAGGACAGAGCCGGTCATAGAGTTGTATACGGAGGATGTGCTGGCGGCGGACGACGAGAGAGAGGTGCAGGAGACATCAGACAATGAGCGAGTGAGGGAGGGGAGGGCAGCGGAGGCGTAGTTGTATTCCGTCGACATGGAAGAGGTCATCCTTGAATGTGTATTCTCTGGCTAATGCTAATGAGTACGCCAGCCCATCTGGATGGCAAGCAACGCACCACATGTCGATAGAGATTCAAGAAACTGCAGAAGATGGAGGTTTGGGATGGGGACAATCGTGGGGGAGAAGGGGAAGCAGGAAAGCTGCAGCAGCCGAACATCAAGCCCTTATATACGCCGGGAGCCCCGGCGCCATGCGCTGTATTCGCGCATCGGATTTATGCGATTGGCTGGCATTTGCCGGTACGGCATTTTCCGGCCGGTTCGCCCATTCCTCGCTGCGCAGGTTCGATTCGAACCGTGATGTTGGCTGCTCGGTCGACTTGGTTCATCGCTATCACCATGCCCGTGCTTCCAAGACCTCGGCGTGACTATGTAAGGCTCGAGGAGCGGGGGTAACGTAGCGCCTCTTCCCCTCTCCTCTTACTGCAAATACGGACATGGACGGCATGGACATGGGCTCCGGCTCGGATTCGTCGAGCAGCAACTCGACCTCGATGTTCACCATGCCCATGATGAAGTCGTACCTGCACTTTACCATGGGCGACGTCGTCCTCTTCGACAACGTCACTCCCTCCTCCGCGGGTGCCGTATTGGGCGCCTGTCTCATCTTCTTCCTCATTGCCATCGGCGAGTGCTACCTTCGCGCGCTGCGCAGGAGGATGGATCGCACGTTCTCGGCCAGGTCAGCTATGCTTTCGTCCACTCTCCGTGATAGGCTCTGACAAAGCCCCAGATCTTGCCGACTGCAAACACTATACGCCGTGTCTGGCGACGATAGCAAGTTGCCGGTCGAGTCCGAGGTTGCCGAGACGCCGTCGACACCGGAAAACAAGCATCGCTTCGTCGTCTCTCAGGACCTCAGCCGTGGCGTAATTGCAGGAGCTCAAACGACGATTCACTACCTTCTCATGCTGGTCGCGATGTGCGTTTTCAATGATTTGGAGACATCGAACGTCACTTATTCTGATCCAGGTCCTTCAACGCCTCCTATATCGTCAGCATCATTCTGGGCGTCGTCGTGGGGGAGACAGCGTTTGGAAGGCTGTATATCTCATGATGTAGACCTCTTGAACGCTACCACCGAGTCGCAACAGTGGAATCAATGTGTAATACTATGCACCCCATTGCCTGGTTCTCTCGCCTGCCTCACTACGCTCTTATCATGGTCAGAATTACGCCATCATCCTGCGCGCCCTTGTCAGCTCCGAACTTTCTGACGGAGGTGAGATTTCGTACCGAACCGGACTTCTTTTTGGCTTCGTTCAGACGCACAAGCAGACCGTCTCATCGGAGGGGTTCAAGTCGTCGGCGTGACAGACGTACATCCAGGAATCACATCCGCTTCGAGATCAGCCGACAAAAGCCTTGCACAATTGAAGTACGAGGTCGTCAGCTTCTTGAAGACGCGAAGCGGCCGTAAATGCTCCATCTCCTTCTCCACATTTCCCGGCAGCCTCACGGACTTGATGACCAGAACCCTCAACCTCTCGCGGTCGCAGCGCTCGTAGATGGCCTGCACGAGCGGTGCGATTTCTGTGACGGGGTCGAATGGGTAGAGCGAGACGCGGATAAGGCGCAGTTGGTGGGCGGGCGAGGCGCGGAGGACGTCGACGACGAAGTCGACACTGCAATTGAAGAGCCGGAGGTTCTGCAGGGAGGGGAAGGTAGGGGCCGTGTAGCTCGCGCGATGGGGATCGTCGGGGAGGAACGGGTACGCGAACGAGATGTGGAGCGTTACAATATTCAGGATCTGGGAAAGGCGCGAGAACAGCGGAAGATACGTGAGGGGGTCACGAAAAACGCACAGCAGCGCAAGACCGCCCGACAGCTGTGGTGAAAGACTTTGTAGGGTCTGCAGAAAGTCTTCGTCCCGCCCTTGTGTCTCTTGTAGGTCCGCTCTGATGTGCAGCTTTGTTATACTGGAGAAAGACGATAGAAAGGTGTGGCCCATGTGATAGAGCTCGGAAATCGCCGAGCGGTAGAAGAGTAGAGTGCGGATGCGCGCCGTGGGCAGGATTGGGGCTAGAAAATTGCATTCCACCCCAGGCATTGCGGAAGATGGGCTGGGAGTGTTTATGACTCGTAGCACCTCCACGAGATGCAAGAAGCCACTGGGCGGCGGACACTCACTCAAAGGAGTCACGCTTGCGTAAGTCATGGCACGCACGGAAAGGCGTTTCACATATCCAGACTTGCGCAGAAGCGGCTGCCAGAGAGTCCGAGTGAGCGCTTTTGTGAATCTCTGCCAGGTGCTTGTCAGCTGGCCCATGATATCCACTTGTGCTACCTACGAAGCCCCAGATAGAACTGTCCGTCGGACTTCGTGACTGTGGGAAAGACGTTGAGAAAGCAGATGCCAGGTGAGAAGATATCGCTTACTATGGACCAGGAGTCTCTGGGCATCAGCATGAAAAGGTAGACGATATCGGGCAGATCTTCCCAGAGTACCGGCTCTGCGACGTCTCGCCAGTCTTTGGATACTAATGCAAGTCTGCATAGGTCCGAGCAGCGAAGAGCGTCACTTCGAGAAATGAGAAAGCGCAGCTCCTCAAGTTGCAGGGCCGGATGCATCGCGAGTCGGTGTCGAGCAACGACGATGTGCGATGAGCCATGACGCCGCTACCGCGGGAAGCACGCCCTCGATGTGGCAATACCCCTATCTTCTCCTCGAAATGTCGGCGGGCGAGTGTGAAAATGCGGTCTGAGTCCTGAGTGATTTTTTGAACATGTCTTGAGCATACTTCAAGCACTTCCAGCTACCTGGAATCTCAGGGATATCACCACGGTAGAATTCCGCGGTCGCAGTTCCGGCACGTGCATGTTCGACTTCAGGTCTCGTGGTCCTGAGATTGTCCGGCACTTGCCGAAAAGCCCCTGTCGCTGTCTGTAAGCCTCTCTTCAGTCTCTCTTCCATCTTCGGACAAAATATGCACGTTTTGGCCGTTATGTCGCGCACACATCTCGCGCGTGGCTTACACTGGCTTTGAAGTGCCACTGGTTCGCCTAGATGGCAGGTCGGCAAACTCGTGTCAGGTCTCAGGCGAAGTTCGGTTGTCGCTAACCGGGATGGCGTATATAGCTGAACACCTCGTCGGTGTGACACGCTCAAGCTGGGATACAATTTCTGATTACGATGGCTGAATTTGCCAAACTGCGGGTCGTTGTAGTCGGTGCTACTGGTCTCACGGGGACCAGCATCGTCAATGGTTTGCTGCAGTCTGACAACTACGTACGTCTCGCCCATTGTTCATCCCTCTAATACCCTCATCTCACGATGTTCCAGCAAGTTGCAGCTGTCGTACGCTCTGCGGCTAAGCCTGCAGCTCTAGATTTCCAGAAGCGAGGTGCTGAGCTTCTTGTCTGCCCAGACCTCGCTACAGCGACACACGAAGAGCTCGTCGCGCTACTGAATGGCGCGGACATCCTCATTTCCGCAATCTATGCTTTCATTCTCGACGCGCAGCGACCTCTCTTTGCCGCTGCTAAGGAGGTCGGCGTCTCGCGTGTGATCCCCTGCGACTTCGGCACCCACGCGCCGCCTGGCTCAATGCTTTTGAACGACAAGGTAGGCCTTTCCCACCGTCGATATACAGTCGAAATTCTCATAATGCATAGCGCCTGAGCCTCGGCGATCCTATGCATTATGAGAGTTTATGCATTGCGAGATTGTCACGCATATGTGACACGTCGCGCGTGATCGTGACATTCAGCCAAGATTTGTCACACCGCTGCTACCCGGCCGTACTGTTGAGCATTGTACACTACCTACTGCGCTGTAAAGAAGCTATCAAGTTTCGCCTGCTTCATCTGCCCCATCTCCTCCAATCGAAGCTCCCCCTTCCACTTTCTGAGCAGATTCTGAAGAATATATGCTTTATCCCCATCCTGACCAGTCAGCCTCTCGATGCAGGCCTCCTGCAGCTCAGAGCAGAGCTTAAGGATCTCCGAGGTCCTGTACTTTGGGGTGATCTCCTCCTCTTCCTCGGTACCTTCTTCGTCATCTTCACCCTCCTTCTCGCGCTGGACTTCAGCAACGATCTGCTCCTCCGTGAGAAACGGGACGTCAGGATCCTCCTGTTCTTCCTTGTTGTTGAGGACCTCTTCGACAGTGGGGGCATTGCCACCGAGTCGATTGCGCTTCTGGAGTTCTGACAGGCAAGTCGCTAGCTCGGCTTCCGCCTTCTCGAGCGCGGAAATTCGAGCGTGCAGTGACGGGATCTTGATCGGCGGGATCGCGGCAGACTTCTCGAGCCGATCAAGAGCAGCCAATGCGCCGTCTGTGGTCTCGCTCTCTGTGACAGCGTTGAGAGCACGTGTCCAGTCAGAGAGGTTGTAGTGGGCACGAAGACGCGTCTGAAGGCGCTCCTCCGCCTGAGCTCGGTCCAGGTGTCCTTTCGCGTAGCTACGCAGGATAGCCCATGCAGCCGGATCAAGAACAGCGCGCTCACGTGCTTCCTCGGGCACACTGTCATCGCGTGCGCCGCGGATACTCGTGTGGGTCCAGCAGTTCTTGATTGTCTCCGCAGAGACCTGCTTCCATGCGTCACGGATCATGATCAGTGCTTGCTTGAAGTCCATCTTCCAGACATCCTTGATCTCGGGGTCGGAGTCATGCTGGTCGAGGGCATAACGGCAGAATTCACGGCGGTAAATAGCCTTGAAGCATCGGATGACGCCGGCGTCGCAAGGCTGAACAAAGGACGTCATATTTGGTTCGAAGAAGACGAGCTTGATGTTCGTGGGCTTGTAAGCAACGTAGTGACCCTTGAAGTTGTCGAGGGTCAGGGCGATGTGGCGGCCCTCTGCACGCATGCGACGGTCAACACGCTTCAGCCACCTTCGAAGATCATAAGGCTTCCCAATCAGAATCAGACAGACGCGCACTCACTTCTCAAAAATCACCATGGTCATCCATGCAGTTGCATTGTTCTCGTAGTCAAAGCCAGAGGCACGCGGTGACTTCCTCCCGAAGGCAACAGGCTTCGCAGCTTTTCCGATAAAGAGCGGCTCAAGCTTGTCGGTCCCTGAAGCGTTGACACAGAAGAGCAAGCTGATCCGAGTCTTGTTATCCTTCTTGCCGCTCATCTGACGTGTTGCCAGTCCGCGCGAAGGGAGTGCGTACAGAAAGCAGCCAGTTTCGTCTGCGTTGTAACTGTCGTCCGGCGAGTATGGGGCGAGCTCGGCGGCAAGGCGCTTCTTCTCGCGCTCGACAGCAGCCAGATCGACGGAGCCAGCTTCGCCGTGCCGAGCATACTCCGAGATGCCGTAGGTCTTCTTGAACGAAGCTATCCAGCCCTTCTCTTTGAGGCGTCGCTCAAGGGGAATGTCGAACATCTCCTCAAAGCGCCCGCGTGCGACCTGCAGCATGTCGCCAGTGTAGTGGTCCCCACGAGCCTCGAATTGATTGCACAGTTTGACGAGAGCTTGTTCGACGAGGGGTTCCGTCACGATGCGGTCACGTTTAGATGACAGTCCGGTGGGTGTAGCATTTGCGCGACTCTCGACGGCTTCGCGAGCCGCTGTGCCAAGTTTGCGCGAGAGAGTGGGCTGCGTAAACAGGAGAGGACCTTCGGGACGAGTTTTGAAGTGTTCGACAATCTCAGTGTGCGTGAGCCCTGGATTCGCATCCCGGAAAGCATAGACAAGCAGCCAGTCGGCGGTGGTAAGATGCGGCCTAGTCGTTGAAGTCGGAGCCTGAGCTGAAGTCTTTGGCTGCTTAGCGGCTTTCGCCGGTCGCCCGACCTTTCTCGTGACGTTGTAAGGTGCGTGAGAAGTGCGGACCGCGCGCGTTTTTGCGGCACTAGAAGACTCGTCGCGCGGCATTGCGATGGGGGAGAAAGCAGAGCGGACTTGAGCTCAGAGGTGCATTCGACCTCCAATTTATAGCCTTGTGCGTGTCGCTCCATTCCAGACAAACTGCGCAGTGATCACAAAGGTCAAAGACGTTCATTGTTCTCTGGAATGAATGGCATCAAGGCACGGTGGGGCCATTGATGCGGTGGGGGGAATGTATAACCTTCGCGAAAGGGCTATGCATTATGCATTATGCATTTGCTGGCGCCTGGCCCGCATACTTAGGGGGGTGCCAGTTGATTTCGGCCGGATTTCATGCATTATGAAATATATGCATTTCGAGAGTATGCATTATGAGAATTTCGACTGTATCTCTTGATCTCTGATCCTTGCTCGTGTATCCCAGAAACTAGCAATCCGCGATTACATCAAAGAGCTCGGGCTCAACCACACGTTCATCGAGGTCGGGCTCTGGTATCAGGTGCGGATTGCCGCATTCGTGGCGCTCGTCCTCATAACTAACACCCTTTGCCAGGTCCTGCTCCCCTACCCGCCCAGCTACACCGACAATCCCGTCGCCCACGCCAGCCGCCGGTACCGTGGTCCCGGTGACATCCCTTGCGCCGCGACGGACCTCAATAACATCGGCACCTTCGTCGCGCGCATCATCGATGATTCTCGGACACTCAATAAGACCGTCTTTGTCTGGGAAGACCAGGTCACGGTCGCCGACCTTTTCCGTATCGCAGAAGAAAAGTGCGGGGATGCAGAGGGGCTTCGGAAGGCTATAGTCAAGGTTAGTACGCAGTGCTTGCGGCGACTTTGTCTAGCATGTATCCGCTCGCCCCTCTGACTTACATATCGTCCAGGTCTCTGCGGACGACATCGAAGCTCAAGTCCAAGCCAGCATCGCCGCGGGCGAGGTGGCTATACAACTTCGCAGCTTTGTCGAGTACTCGCGCAGCGTGTGCGTCCACGGCGACAATACCGTGGAGAACGCGGTGCGGGACGGTGCCCTCGATGCTCGGGAGTTGTACCCGGACCTGTACCCGCGCAAGAGTATAGAGGAATTTGCGGATACGTGGTACCCAAACCCGCCGTACGTATGGAACGAGGACGTGCTTGACAAGCTTCGCCCACCGTCAAGCACTTAGGGGGATATCAGCAGTTGCAAGAAGTCGACAGGCGTAGCACGTCATATCGTAGATTGCTGTAGATTTGTACCTATATCGGTGACATAGCGCAAAGCCAAACAAGGGGGGCTTACAGTATATGGAGAAAGAAAGTATATAACGGAAGTATAATGCAAAGGAAAGGAATATAGTAGACGCATAAGAATTCAGAAGATGAATCGATGATTACGAAGTATTCAGGCAAGTGTAGGTTTCACTTCGGAAAACTGAGGACGAGTGCCTTTTAGAGCTTGAATTTCTCGACGGCAGTTGGCTGCAACAAACGCTGAGTACGAGGCTGCCCCAATCGCGCAGGACACGCACCCGTGGGAGGTTCGATGTCATCTACGAGCAACGCGTCAGCTTCGCGTCGAAAGAGTGCTCCGGCGTGTATACCTACCTGAACAGAAGCAAGCTTAGGGTAGCGCGGGACCTCCTCGCCGTGTAGTAGAAAGGTCCAAAAATTGTCGGGCGCTAGCTTGAACCAGGCGAGCGGGATCAGAAGCAGGAGACCGCCGATGCCCGCTTTCTGTGCCTTCCTCTTCCAATGCTTCGTGCACTGGGCCTCGTACGCGGAGGCAAGCTTGGCTCTGCTCGACAATCTTGTTAGTATCAATCGGTACCAGACGAGCAACTACGAACGCACCGGACGCTAGTGAGCAGCTCCGCCAACGAGGGGCTCTCGGAGGCCTCTGATGGGAGCGTAAGGTATGGGGTGGGCGACGGGAATGACTGAATTTACCTAGAACTTCGACCAGCATCTGACCGACACACCGTTAACATTTGTACGGAGCCTGGATGTCGAACAAATTACGCACCTTGGTCATGGAGACTTTCCTCGTGTCTATGGCTGACTCGTGATCCTTGCAAGAGCTGATGCAGAGCTGCAACAATCGAGCGGTCAGCGCCCAGTCAGTGCTTTGTCGCCAGACGTACCACGAAAGGGACATTGGGCCGAACTGTTCGGCGACAAAGCCCGCGGCAGAACCGCCATGGCTTCACCAGCCGCTCCATCATAGGCACCGCGACGTTGCGGCACATGTCTTCCGTCGTGCCGTCCACTGATACGCCCTGCGGCTGAAAAACGCGGAAAAACATACATAAACAAGCGATATATAGTCGACTTGGTCTAGATTGTATGGGCGGATCCGTATATACTGCACCGACGTCGCGACTGTACAACGGGCGCGTCGGGGGTATTTTATGACATAGAAAACCAGGAGCGCCACGCTTCCTAACCTTCAATACAACTAGTCCGCAGCATTATCCATCTGCAATGACTGACCAAGGATAGCAGCGAGCTCTTCGGCGCCTGATCACGAGTCTGCGCGTCGTCGATGACATCCTGCGAGTCCTTTGGCGGGCCCTACTTAATCAAGTAGCCGCGCTATACGCGCCTCAAGCCTTCAGTCCTCTTGCCCTGCTGTGTCAAGCGAATCTAGATTATTGTTGGGGCTCGGACAAGCCTTCCTGCTGCTCGCCGTCATGCGGAGACACGCAGAGCACCGCGCAAGCGGAACTCGAACCATCAACGTGACTACACGTGACTTCGGATCCGAGACCGGAACTTCGGGTCCGAGCTCGTGATCTCGGACATCGCCGAGTTGAACTCCGAACCGAGCGTCGGCGCCGCCAAGCGCTGTCCGCCCCGGCAAGGGCTTCGCTCCCCGCGTATCGACAGTCCAGACTGTACGCTCCCCGCCGCGCAGGCCTCTGAGCCGCGTCGCGCACAAGGGAACGGGTGGAAACCAGGCCGGCCTTGCCTTGGTAAACATCAACAAGTGTGGAATCGCGCCCGGCATCGCGGCGCAGGAGGATACCCGACCAGTCAACCGCTCTACCGCCAGGAACCGCAGTCATTGCGCGATTATTCGGACAGGAGAACGCGCGGATAGGCGTTATAGTTGGATTTTGACTCAGAGATAGGCATTGTGTGTTACCGCGCGGTCTGGACGGCCGAGACGACGCGTTCAAGTTATATACCGAGACCTACATACGATTCGAGGAGTTTTCCCGCCCCGCGCAGAGAAGCCCTAGTACCTACACACCACACCAAATAAACACAACCGCGTTAACCCGCACTTTACACATCATAAAAGCCTGAACTTCCGAGCGCATTAAACCGCCTTGTGAACTTCAATCAAACCCGAAAGCGCTCGTCAGAACGCCGAGACGTCCGATTGCCCCACTCGACTTCTCGCTTCAGTCCAGCTCGTCTGGAACTGGCATAAACAACACAATCTATCCCCAAGTAATATAAATACTCGGACTCGCCCGCTCTCGTAGCGCCCCCAGTCTAGCGTGTTCATTGCTATCGTGGTTGTTGGTGTTTGGTTGTGTGGATCGTCTAGCTAGACTGTACTTCGCGTCATTCGTGAGCGTACGATCCCATCATCTGGAGCCCACCGCGAGGGGATATTTCTGTGGTAGCCAGCAAATTACTAGCTGCTGAGCGAACTTCGAGAGTCATATTAAGGCCCTCTCCAATTCTACTTGTGTTTTCGGGTACCGTCACGACGGCTCCTGGACAAAAATCCAGCCTCTCGGCTCTAAGACCGGACTGGGATAGCTCTACATCCGAGCGATCCAAGAGAAAGGCCAAAGAGCGAGCGCGTCTAGCGGAACAAGCCAGTCGCCCATCGCGATCAGCATCACCCCGGAAATCCGTTACCCAACGTCCGGTAGAAACATCCAAAGCGGACGACACCTTACCAGGTGCTTTCCCTGAGGACACAGAACCGAACCCTCCTTCTCCTACTTCTCTCTCGGTCGCCAACGACCTCTCTGCTTCATTCTCTCGTCTTTCCATCGAGCCCGAACCGGCCGCGACACAGGGTCCACGCGCTTCATCCCCCTTGAGCTCTCTGTCTGACGATTCGACTCCGTCTCTCTCTGAATTATTTCCGACTCGCAACCGTACCGAACCAGCCTCGACCGAAGAACCGACTCCGACTCCAGCTTCCAGAATCATTCCGACTCCGAATCCGGCTCGTATATCCCGTCCCGTTCCTTCTATTCCGACTTCGACTTCTACTTCTATTCCCAAACCAATGTCTACCGCTCGCTACTCTCATACGGCGTCTGACGCCCCTCGCTTCGACGAGGATGATATGAGTGGCTTGCCTTTGTTCCTACGAGATCTTGATACCTACCTCAAAGATCACGGGATCACGTCCGATGCGGACAAAATCGCTAAGGCGCCTCTCCACGCTAAAAAGACTGCTACGCGCATCTTGTGGGAGGAGCTGGCGCTCGCATTCAAAAACAAACCATGGGAGGACTTTGTTAAAGCGATCCTGGAACAGTACCCTGAAATATCGGGTCAGCAGTCCGGAACGCTTGCAGAGCTCAGCCAAATCTGTAGCGAGTTCCGCGGACTTGGCGAGCAGGACGGGACTCGTGGAAACGTGTTCCTTCGTCGCTTTGCTCCGTGTATTCTCAAACTCGGCCGTAGCAACTACAAGATTTCGAATTTTGAAGTCTGCTCGCGCCTCGCCGCTGTCTGCACGCCTCAGTTCCTTGCGACCCTCGACATGATGTTGGTCGGCAAGTCGAGCAGTCTTGAGGTACCCGGCAAGGAAAACGCGAATCCTCCGGAACGGCCGACTAACACATCCATCGTCGAAGGAGGTTACCGATGGGAAGATATTGTTGCCACCATGCGCGAAGTCTGGCGCCGCGGTTTCGCTGCGGCTCAGAACGCCATTGGCGACGCTTATCCCGTCGCGTCCACCCGGACCTCCGTGGCCTCCGCCTCGCACGCTGTATCCTACTCGGGCGACAGTGAATCTCGCTTAGTTAAACTCGAGCAGGATTTCCACGAATTTGCTGAGCGCGCTAGCCAAGGCGAAAAGGAAACCAAGACCGCTATACGTAGTCTACAGTCCGAAGTTCATACCGAGCTCGCGCAAGGACGTACCAAGTCCGATCAGAACTTCGCGATGATCCAAGAGACGATTCAGCGCCTCACCAACCAGCTGTCGCTCAACACAAACAGCGCCGCCCCGCAAGGCGGTGGGTTCCGACCCAACTACCCTGGATCGTTCAACCGACCCCAAAATAATTATGGTGGCGGACAGCGCGGTCCCCCTCGACCTCAATATACTTGCAACTGGTGTGGCGAGGTCGGCCACTTCATGAACAATTGCCCTGATTGTCAGAATGCGATTAAGTCCGGCGAGATCGTACCCGATAACGCTGGAGGTTTCCGCACTAAGACAGGCGAAATTATACCGCGTCGCAATGGTCCACTGGACTTGCCGATGCGCACTAAGTGGCAGCAAATGAAAGCGGCTGTTAACCAATATGTGGTCGCTCCTTTCATGAACTACATTGGTCAATATACCAACTCAGGCATGTGGGGCATCCCGCAACAACCGCCGAGTGTCATACTGGACTCAGGCTTGGACGTTCCTCCCGGCTGGGATGAGTTCACCGAGCAGCTCTCCCCGGAGCAGATCGCTCATTACAACAACCCGCCTGTCGGCGAGATGGCTCAGCCACCGTCGGTCCAGGAGGGGTCGTCCCAGGGTTTTTGATGGGTTCAGGGATTCACGCCCAATACCTTGATAAACGCTGGGGGCGTGATGAGAGCCAGTTAAAACCAGCAGCTAGTTCGTTGCCACAAAATCCAAACCAGTCCGTGTATGCGACGCCTGCGAAGGCGCCCAATGCTAAGACTACGAATTCGCAGCCCGGCCCTGTACCGCAGGCCGGTCCTGCTCATCCCTATCGCTCTGTGCCCGAGACGCGATTTATACCCATTGACCAACGCCCTTCTGCGTTACCTGTTAAGCCCGGCGCAGCGCCCGGTGAAGCAAGTCGCGCGAAGCCCGCGGCGAAGGTCCAGGCTCCTATACAAACCTCTGTAGACTCGGAAGATGTCTTAGAGAAATTATTGTCGACCAAGTGCCCGATGACCGGAATTACGCTGCGTGAATTTCTGGGAGTCAGTCCTACTCTACAAGACCTTCTAAGGAAATTGTTGACTAGGAAGCGCGAGATCGACGACAATTTTGGCAAGGTCCTGCGTGTGGCTTTGCTCACTGAAGCGTACCAACGCAAAGAATTGGGTTATGCCCAGGGACAGCGCCCCAATCTCGGCCGAGGTAGCGAGTCCGACGATCCAGTTCAGGTGAATTGGGCCGCGCTCGAGAACGAGGTCATTACCACGACGGTCGAGCTACCGTCGTGCGCCCACACTAAGGTACCCATCGGGTCCTATGTGCAGATTGACGCCCGACTCGAGGTATACCAGAGTCTGCCTGAACGCGGTCGCTCCGATGTTATCTTCGCGGGCGAACCTTCGGCGACACTGCGTACCGTCTGGCCGAATATTAACAACAATGGTCCGGACGAAAGTATCTTGGACAGTGGTTCACAAATCGTATCCATGTCTAAGGATTGCGCGCGAGACCGCGGCGCTTCCTACGACCCGACTGTTACCATACGCATGCAAAGCGCCAATAACCAAGTTAACTCGACCTTGGGCCTAGCGAGGAATATTCCCTTTGACTTCGCTGGGATCACGGTGTACTTGCAGTGCCACATATCGGACACCGGCGCCTTCCGAGTGTTATTAGGGAGACCTTTTGATACTCTGTGCGAGTCCGTATATACCAATGACCGCGACGGCAACCAGGAGGTGACCATTACTTGCCCTAACACTGGCAATAAGGTTACTATGCACACATACGCCAGAGGCGTAATTCCTGAGCACGTCCGCGCTCATCCGGGTTTTCCGGACGCTTCTGCGAACTGATCTCTTCTCTCGAGGATCAGGGAGAAGCGGCTCTACAAATCGAGATGGACGAAAATCAGGAAATCATAATCCGTAGCGTCATGCGACCGCAAGCGTCGACGACCTTCACACAAGTCAACCTTCAATCTGCCTTTTTGCAAGCGTCTCTGAACGCGGACCAAATCAAGGACGAGAAGGACAAGACTATTTTATACAACTTCTTTCACGGACCGGAGGCGGAATCAGCGAGTACCTTTACTTCGCGGACTGTCGATGGCCGAGAGGGATGTCCGAACCAACC